CTTTCCTACCGAATTCTAACTAGCTATACGCCGTATAATAATGCTCCCTTATCTTTCGGACATTTTAGTAGATNTAATAATAAGATTACTTATCGAGCCGATACTAGAACGCATTACTATAGAGAAAGAGGATTAGATCGGCTTCTTCTAAGGAGGAGGGTATTTTATACGAGCTCTAGTAGTTTTCCGCCCGGACGGACCGATAGAGAGCTTCGATAGTACGAAGTCGGTTACCCTTAATCTAATGTCGCTTACTCTAGTACGTACCGATCTAGCCCGGCCGTACGCTAAAGCGATATACGCTATAAAAGAAGCAGTCCTATTCCTACCTATACTCGACTCTGTACGAGGTAAGAGATATCGATCGATATCGAGAGTACGCGTATACGCGCGCGCGCTAAGGACCTAAGGTCGAGAAGAATCCTCGTACGAGAAGTGCTTAGGGCGGTTAGCGCGGTAGAGCTATATATAGGGGTACTACTCGTACGCTGCTTTATATATATATATATATATATATATATATATATATATTTATATATTTTTTTCTTTTTACTTTCTCGTAATAAGTTGTCGTATAGGAAGGGTAGGGCGGGGAGAGCTCTTTAGTCTTTAGTCGCGTCTTAGCGTCGCGTCGAATAGAGACGAGTAGCTATCTTTAACATATAATCGAATAACGTAACTACGGCTCGAACGGTAGAGATGTCGGTATACCGGCTAGATGTCGAGGCGGACTTTTATACGCTATAATTTTTAGCTCCGTACGGGTAGAGATTAAAAATGACTTTAGCGTACGGGCGAAAAGGCCCTAAGGGCAGGTCTAGAGGTCGGCTCGTAGGATCCGATTAGCTAGCGGGATGCGGGGAAAAGGCCCCGAGGGTAGGGGACCTTTTAACCTAGAGTTAGGGCTTTTTGCTAGCTTCTTTAACTTAGACGAACTCGTCTTAAAGCTAATTATTATCTAAGACGCGTTTTAACAGCTATCGACGACTCTCTAAGAGTTCTTCCTTATTACGCGGATCTTAGAGAAAATTCTAACCCCTTCGATTTTCTGCTATATTGTCTTTAATTTTTAGGAGGTGTAGTATAGGTATAACGTCCTCCCGCTACTCGTCTAGATATAGTAGAAAGAGCTCTATAAGAAGATTCTATCCCGTACTAACTAAATCTGCGACGAATAGCTTAAACTATGTTATAGAAAGCTCGAGCGCCTTATACGAGACGGTCTCCTAATCGTCTAACTAGCTAATATACCTAAGGCAGGTCGTGCTATCTCGTACCTTTCTGCTATATATACGTAGTCGAGTTACCTAAGCGAACGGTAATCTACTACTATAGATTAAAAACCTATCTCGTATATCGTTAAGAAGGTTATAAGGGTCGTCTACCTTACCCTCTATAACTGCTAAAACGGCTCTTTATATAATAAGTATCTAGCTAATCTTAATAAAGCGAGATAAGGTAGGTATAAAGGCGTTTACATCTATAAAGATACCTTTTTTCTCGTTAATTGCTATTATAGCGAAAAATCTAATAATTACGCTCTCGAAGAGATTACACTTAAGCGTATAATTAAGTAGAGATATGCAGAAAAGAAGGCATTCGCGGTCGAGTTCTGCCTTTACTTACGCGACGTCGTAACTCTTCGAACAGTTTTCGTTTATCGAAGGTATGTCGACTTTTTATATAAACGATAAACGCTTTTTTCCCTTTACTAGAAACCGATTAAGTAAGGCACCTTACTTTAGTGTAAGTTAATATATAAGCTCGATACCCTAAGTAAATGCTACCTTCCGATAGATAAAGCAGATTAAGCGCTTCTAAAGGCCCTTATATTAACGATAAGATGCTTCTTATAGTTTAACTATAAGTAGTCGATTAGACGCCCGTAGACGCTGCATAAAGCTATTAATCCTTATTTAATCGAGAGGGTTAATCTTGTCCTAGCAGATAGACTTATATACTTGCTCTACAATCCGATTTAAGCTCTCTCCTAGCTAAAACAGAAGCGCCTCTTTCGTAGGATCCGTAAGGTAAGCAAGCGGTGCTAGGGTAGTAAAGGTGTAACCGTTTATATACCTAGCCCATCTTATTATCTCTAACTAAGGAGAAGAATTAAGTTTCGTCTGGCCTTAATTACTGATTCTTTAATAAGATAAGTGGTACGCCTCCTCTTTCGATTTAAGCGTAGACAGGATTTATAAGGATATTATGTCTTTTTCAGATTTCGAAGCTCTTAGTTATTCGCGAGGATTATTTCGTTTTGGGCCTAGAAGCTGCGTTACTTTACGATTTACCTTAAAAAATCGTATCTAGAGGTTATTACGAAAGAATGTCTGGCAGTAATTACAACTTTCCTATAGGACAATCTAAGTCTATGCCGCTTTTACACGCACATTACTACCTCTTTTATTCAAATTCACCCACTTATAGGCGGATTTGTAATGCTGTTATATCCTAGCAACCGACCTACATATGTAACTACACTGCTGGCCGGCTCTGTCAAGGCTCGTACATCTAAGGCCATCGTAGTATGTTTTAAGGCACTCGATAGGTTCTACATCTGGATCTGGATATATAACGTCCTGGGCGGATCGCGCGACAGAGTCGCCTAGATTGTCGATAATAGACTGGATTCCCTTAATCGATTGACTGCTGATGGGCGAATGCTAAGCTCGTAAATAGCTTTTAATCGCCTACGGAGGTACTACAAACCGACACGACCTGCAGATTATAATCTTATATTATAGCAGATAGGTAAGATAAGCATCGAATTCGTCCTTAGGGAATAACATCGATGACGAGAGACGAAAAGGAGCAGCTTAGAGATGGATCGATAGTTTATATAAAGTTAGAAGGTAAGCATATACAAAAGATTGCTCATTAGGGTGAGGTAAGAAATGCCTAAATACAGAACGCGTAGCAGTTAGGACGCGAAGCGCGCTAAAGAGCGCGTAGAGTAGCGCGTTAGCCCAAATACTTTAGCGACGCCTACAGGCTTAAGATCTATTATTCTATTAGTAGCACAATGTTTCTTTATAAGAAAAAAATTGGTAGACAGTTAAGATAGGATATTTAGATCTAGACAGAGAGTAGAGAGCATGATCCCACAATACGTAGAGGCATACGGACGCTGTAAGATTGTGTACGATAGGAAAAGTTTTAATGTTGCGGCGAAACTCCGGAGGAGGGGCCAAAATGTTCGAAAGGCTGAATTGTTCGTGGCATGGAGGTGAGGTCAGATTACCCGAAACACGAGACACAAGCCACAAGGCTTTAGTTGTATCGTGTAAAGACAGACATATGCTAGACGTTCACCGCAAGAGGCAAGACCCTTCCCTAGAAATGTAATGAGAGCATCCAGAGACAAGGGCCTCTGCCCTTATTGAGTGTTTTGCATCCTTTTAATAATCCTACAATCCAGAAAATAACTAGTATGGTCGGGGACCCCGAACTTTCTCACCGTATCGAGATCAGAAAATGAGGTCTGGGGGCGGACTTGCCAGTTTGGAATCTAGTCAGGAGCTGAACTTCAGCCTCAAGCCCAATGTCTCACCTGTGGAGACGGCAGGAAACGGGATATTCATAGTCGTTAGACTTTGCGCGATAATCGATCGCGTCGCGAAGTGAGTCCATCTCAACGACCTCGTTGTCCCAACGTGTTTCGGCTCTCGAGTGAGCACTCTTCGTCGTTGTCGAAGATGTGTGGTTGATCATCTTACATGCTGACAGGTACTCTGCAGGAACAGAAAGAAACATGTGACAAAGCCTACCCGAGATTTCCCTCAGGGTCAATAAGGTTTTGACTCTAACCATTTCTGGACGCAAATTCGCTCAGCCCGATCACGGAAGGGCCACGCTTTTCCCATCCACGCGACCTTGGCGACTCAATCTGCTTTTCGCTCGACCTTCCCCTCGTTCTTCCATGCCAGTATCTCCTACTCAAGCGTCTTAGCCCGAAACTATCAAGCCCCTGCAGGCCAATCTAGATCTTCAGCTGAGGTCGGTTCCTCCCAGACAGCAAATGGTGAGCGTTACCTTTACTACGAACGCCACATAGAGTTCGCAAGGCCATGTTCTAGTACTCGGCCAGACCGACATTTCTGCTATACTAGAGCATCGATGAGAGGATGCTGTGGTATATATGGTAGGGTGAACGCAGCCAGTACAATCCAGATTCAAGCTCATCTTCCTTTCCAATCCACTGCCATCTTCACAACATCAAGATGCGTTTCTCATCCTATGCTCTTCCGGCTCTGGCGGCTCATCTGGCTGCTGCCTTGCCTAGACCTCAGGATATCGATCTTGATATGGTCTTGGCCGCTCCGGACCCGACATACTCCCAAGATATCGGTGCCACTGCTCAGACAATCACCGTCGATCCTCAAGCTCTCATTGCATCAGCTACCGCTGCTGTTTCTTCTGTCAGCGTCGCAGTCAGTGATGTCCTGTCCCAGACTGCCGTAGTCAACTCCAAGAGAGCGGCTGCCAGCCCTACCACTTGTGCTTCCCAGCCTGCCGGAGCGTCCTCAGCTCCTACTTACGCTGCTGATGTCGACAATGTTTCCAACTTCCGAGCAAACACTTACTATTCATCCGTTGCTGCTGCTGCCCCAACCCCCACTGGCTATACTCAATCGTTTCAGGCCCAAACGGCTTCTAACAACGCGTAAGCTAAGATCCCTTCTGTTCGCAATAGAGTCTCGAGCTAATGAAAACACTAGATTTGGTTACATGGGGTAAATTATCATCCTGCTCCGTTCGCAACCAAGTCTCGAGCTAACCCAAACTAGGTTTGACACTTTCGATGACTACGATGTCAACACTTGCGCAACCCGATGCAACGTCAAATACGGCTGTGTTTCGTTCAACATCTACTTCGAACGTGATCCGTCTGGTGAGTATACTGATATCATTCTTGTGTTCAAACCACAGCTAACTCGGTGCAGTCAATCCCGATGACTCGTCCTGTTCGGATCCTCGCTCCGTCACTATGATCAAGTGCGTGTATTGGGGTGGCCAGGTCACCCAGGAGAATGCTCAAAACACCGGCCAGCCGCGGGGTAAGTTTATTGTTGCCATTGCCGGCTCGAACGGATACGTCTCTACCCAGATCTCTACCCCTGCTGGTTACCAAATCGGCGTCCCTTACGGCAAGTTCGCCATTAATGCACCTTACGATGCTCAGGGCTACAACACCGTAAGTGAACAAGATTGGTTGTCGAAGACTCCCGCTGACTCTAGACAGTACATGGGAGCCAAAATCTTCACCGGAACATGGGACGTCTCTCAGTGCTCCAACTACTGCGATGCCCAGACCAAGTACAACCTGGCTACAGCTCCTAAAGATGGCACACCTGCCAAGGTCTGCAAGTTTTTCAACACTTACCTTCTGCAGGCCAAGTTGGCCAATGGCACAATCGTTCCTCAAGGTCAATACTGCTCGCTCTACACCGAAGCTTGGCCCATCAAGTACGCTGTCAATGGCGGTCAATGGAGAGGCCAGGATCAGTACACTGTCGACTACAGCTTCGGCTACGCCAAGACTGCCAGTTCTTCTGATGTCGACCCGACTCTCGGAGACGCCAATGGCGCCAAGTACCAAGCTGTTGCCGACATCAAGTGGTCGTCGCTGCAGCCTTTCTGTTCGAGTTTCCTGAGCTACTCGACTCCTCTCGTGACTGTCGCCACCACTACTTTCGTCACTCCCGTCGCTACTTCCACTGTCTATTCAATTTCAACTGTCGCTGCCATGCGCAAGCGTGCTGGCGGCGCTTCTCCTACAGCAGGCTTGACCACTGACGCCTCTGCGGGTATCGCGGTTCTGATAGATGACAAGAACACCACGTGGTATCTGCCTCAATCTCAGGGCAACGTCAACGCCCCTATCCAAAAGCGCACTGCCTCCCTGGCGATCCCCGGTGGTCTTTCCAAATACCCTACCACAGTGATTAGATCTGCATGTGAGATGCAAGCGACTCCAGTCACCGCGACTTCAACAATTACCAGTGCGGTGACTCTCACTACCGCCACTTCCACCACGGTAACCTCGATCATCTCATACACAACCGCCGCTGCCCACCCTAAACCTAAAGCCGATAATCTCATTATCAATGCTCCTGGCTCAACTGGCAGTGGCAAACCGATGGATTATGTGAACTATGGATTGCCCGATTCAGCTATTGGAGCCTTCAACATCGACCCTACGAAGCCCGTTGTCCATGTCGGCTTCTACATCGATTCCTCGACCGGTTACGTCATGGATGGCACTTACGGCCTCATCATGGCTGCCTACTCGATGGACGCAGCGTCGAGGAACAAGTATGCTGCTATGGTGTACTGGAAATCGCCATCAGCCATGGCGTCCTCCAATTATGATCCCCTGGTGTGTACGCAGACCGCACCTTCGAACTTCTTGCATTGCTCGATCACAAGCTCTGGTACGACGACGCCGCTCCAGTTCTTTGCTATGGACTACAGCGCCGCTTCGGATCTGTTCGTTGCCGGTAACGGGCTCACACTCCAGTACGGCCAGTATGCGGCAACTGTGAGCCTTTATAATTAGAATTAGATTGTTTCGAGAGACGTGTCGGTGGGAAGTTATGATAGAAGCTATCAAAATTGTCCCGGGCATGCGGAGTTTTGCACCTGTTTATATACCCAATACATCGGTCTGTCTTATCTTCAAAATCAAGTTGATGTGTTCTATTCGCTGAGAGCTCGAACAAGTGGTGAGAATTATGTTTTCGTGATCGAGAGAACAGCAGGACCAACCGATTTCTATCATGGACAATGCATGCATCATAATTGTTATCTTCTATACATCTTGCTTTTGCGAGATGTTGTTGGATAGCGATAGTTGACCGATGGTTGTCATCTACTTGATAACGAACCATGTCGCCGATACCCAAAAGAACCAGCTTGAAGACAGAAGCGGTCCACAGAGATACCAAGCCATCTGAATACTATGCTGGCTGGGATGATTCGACCTTGCGAAGAACGTCCAATTCTGTGAAAAGGCCTTTGTGAATGAACCGCTGGGGATATCAATATTGAGGCAATTGAGAAGGCAAGGAGTTGTTGGAAGAAAATTATCAATCTTACAACATTAACGAGAGTGTGGCTTGCTACAGTAACAAAGTATTCTATCCCATTGGGCTCATATCCAGTCATATCAATATGTACAAATTCTTTTCCTCGCCACACTCAACCAAACTCAGGAGAGTAGCTTAGTTGTAGGTGTAGACCTGTTCGGGACCAAGGTTGCCCCAGTTGCGCTGGCTGTCAACATTGCTGGCACCGAACCAAGCAAGCTCGTTCTGCTTGTTAACAACAGTGATGACAGCAAAGGCAGGAGCAGAGTTAGCAACGTATCTCCAGCTGACGGTGTAGTCACCGTTAGCACACTTCTCGTTGTTAAAGGACTTGTTGCTAGCGTTGACGATGGTGCAATGCTCGGTCTTGCCGTTAGCGACAATGTCAAAGCTGTAGTCGCAAGTGGAGCCAGTGCTCTTAATGGGTGGAGTGGAGTGGAGTAAGCCCCTTCTCCACTCCACTCTAATTAGTATAGAGTAGAATGGAGTGGAGTGAGACCTCACTTCATAGAGTTTATGGAGTGGTAGCAAAAGGGATGCCCGAATGGTGTCAGTTTTAGAGGTGTATAAACAGGAAAAAACATGTAATCTAGTTAATATGAATAGTCTCCTCGTCGTCTTTGCCTCCGTCCCTCGTGCCTATAAGAACTTAAGGTAAGATAACACCGTTCCTTAACCGATCCTTAGTGCATTAAGTGTATTTAACATCTTACGACGAGTAAGATAGGGTTACTAAGGGAAGAAGTATTCCTCCAGTTTTTGCATATCGCTAACTCGTTATATGAAGTAATCGATAGTAGGAACACCCTTTAAACTAAAAGGGACTATATACGAGTCTTAGAAATAGAATGTTAGCTTTAGCGGATAGGTAGTACCTAGAGCGCAGGTAATAGGGTTATCTGATAGCCTTCCTAAGTCGTGTTTGATGAGAGCCGCGATGCTGTGTGAAGCAGTGTATCATTGATCGCGCAATGTGTAATTGAGACTTTGGACCCTTGTGTTGATATTGTTGTGCACACCGCTGGCCTTTTGTAAGGACAGCAGTCGATCCGAGCTAGCGCCACATATGTATCGGGCCCGTAATTGCGGTGACTCAACAACGGAGGTGACTTCGAGCCAAGGCTTGTTGGGTTTCGAAAGTCAGTCTGAGCCTCACGATCTTGATTGGTCTACAACACGAACACGACGATGAGCCTTCGAAGGCTGACTGGACAACATGCCATTGTTGACGACCGATTTACGATTCGCAAGGTCGATCAACGTACGTCTCCGATCGTGAACTCGAGGAAAGGATACGATCATGAGTATCTAGTTCTGGTTACTCTCCTTTCCTCCCTTCTGTACCATTCCTCGCCTCCGAGTCGACCTCAGCTTCGTCACTCACAACTTCCTTTTCCTTCCCATCCCTGCCATCAACTCTTAGCTCCTCAGCAAGGACGTCCATCTGCTTGCAAAGCTTGTAGAGGAAGCTGTTCTCCGATAACCCCGAGATAAGCTCAGCATGCGGCCGCTTGCCCACATCGTGAGCTTCGTCATCATCATCGACAGCGGAATGATCATCGCCGCCTACGTGAATCAACAGCGTGTGGACGAAAACCTCCTTCAAATAGGCAAAAGTGAAGCCCTCTGTCAACGTTGCAACAGCCTGACAGACTTCATCTGGAAAGTCGATGGCTGGGTCTGAGCTTAACTTTTGTTGCCAGTACTGGCAGTAGAGAAGTCGTTCCCGTTCGGAGGGCGCCTTGAAGTGGTATTTCCGATCGAATCGCGAAGGTCGTTTGGTGATACTGGTGTCAATCCTGTCGAGGTGATTTGTGGATCCGATGATCAGAAGACCGTCATTCTCCTCCACACCGTCGACTTCATTGAGAAAGAACGATCGAAGCTCATCTGTGATCAAGCTGTCCAGATCTTCAAAGATGAGCATCGCGGGTGCAATTGAGCGGGCTTTGTTGAAGATTTCACGGATACTCGCTTGGTCGCTTTGACAACCAGATGCTTTGAAGCTCTTGACATACAGGTTAGCTACGTTCTTTTTGCGAGCCGAGTTCATCAGGGCTTTGATGGAGATTGTCTTGCCACATCCAGGAGGGCCGTAGAGGATGATTCCACGCTTCCAGGGAATATTGTATTGCTGGTAGGTGGACTTGGCATTGAAGAAAGAATCAACATCTTTGATCAGATTTGCTTTCATGACAGGATTGATGATGACATCTTGCCATGACGCTTTGCTGACTGCCTTGTAGAGAGCTTTATTTTTGACCCAGTCACCATCCTCGTAAACATAGACCTCGTCGTGAAGTTGTCGAGTCCATGTGCCACAAGCCTTGATGAGCTGGTCGGCATAAGAAGCCTGATCATTTTGCAGAAGTCCCTCGTCCGTGACGATAGCATAGTATTCTCGTATTTGCCATGCGCTGTCGACCCATCGGAACTTGTAGCATGGCACAGTTTGGCCATTCCATCCCAAACCCCAATGTGCGAATAGTATGCTGTCCGAGACAGACCCTTCTGGCTCATCCAGCGAGCGAGCGGGCTCTTGATACCTACGAATGGCCGTATACATTCGCTCGCCACCATCAATGCGAGCGCTTGCATGCCCTGCTTTGGCGAAGCCGAGAATATCACACTCTTCCGCTCCAATCCAGGTGACAAGGCTGGGATAGTGAGCTTCCCTAAGCTCGTTCTGGAGGAAGACCTCGGAGTTCACTCGCAAAGCGGATCCATGTTTGTGGTAGATGTCGAAAGCGCCGCGCGGGGACTTCTGTGCGCTCGCCATGATAAAGTAACTGTCTTTTTGTTTCCTAGGAAGGATTGAGAATGTAAGGAGGTTGGAGACGAATGATGATAATCAGAAATTTTATACTTGGACTGCATCTGGCTGCCTGTTCTAGGCGCCCGTGAGCCAGACTGCCATTGGTCAGAAATACGACTGGCGATGATTGGCTGAAATAGTGCAAGGTGAGTCACGTCCTCTGAAAAATGAATACTGTATTGATGCAGCACGATTTGACATTGTTGGTGGCAAGCAGACGAGACAATGTACAGGTCGACAGGCCACGAGGACGCCGGGCTGAGAGACGGGCGTGAATTCGAAGCGCGTTTGTCGCGATACCCCGCGCAATTGAATCTGGAGTGGCACGGCCCACGTGACCATAGCATCCGCAGACCGTCATACTCGGAGTAGCTGGGACCAGGTGTGGGCGTGCGTACCTTCAGCTGGCATCATGCAAAATATCGTTACTACATACGCAAAGTTCTCGAAATCTTCGACATGCTTGTTGCAACTTCCATTAAATGGCACTGCGTCGTAACAGGATGTGGTACTTAGAAAAATGATATTTCGGCACCGTGTTACCATTTTTTCACACACGCACGGAACATCGAAGCAGCATGTGGATCGACTCTTGAAGATTGCATGAAAATATATGGATCAACACGCGATGACCAGGCATTACTACAGGTGAACTGGACTTGTGTCCACATAAAAGAGCTCGATTGTGATGGCTCTAGTTGGCTTCCGAGCCTTGAGCACCACACTTTTCAGTGCAGTAGTAGTTCATCTGAGTACGGTGTGTCAGTATAAGACACGGAAAAAGCTCTGGGAAGCCACTGACCTCATCACCACCGATATGCCAGGCAGCTGAATTGCATTGAAGTCCATCCTGGTTGAAAAATCAGCACCGAGAACAACGATCCAATGTCTGCGTCAAGGCGTCTTACAAATGTGCAGTCCTCACACTTGTCCCACTGCTTGTCGCCTGTGTTGCGAACTTTGTAATGATCGCAGGCGCACTTCGAGGCAGTGATGTCGATCTCGTAGTTCTTTTGCCAGTTGTAGCTGACGCTCCACCCAGTACCTCCAATAGGCGCCTCCGTTCTTCCAGTCACACAGACAGCAGAGTTATGGAGCTTCGCTTGGGCTCTGCCCCCCAGGAGAACATTAGCTACGACCTTCTTGCAGATATCAGTCGGCGCTGTGATCCTACCCGGGGCCGAAAGCTGCGAGAAGCAGCGAGCAAAGCGCAACATTCAAGGTCGACACTGAATGCATGATATGTCGGTGGTGGATGTGAAAGTCTTTGACGTGGGAAAATGGAGAAAAGGAAGTGATGTTCACAGACTGATGGGAAGTTGCCCTCATATGTACCTGCAAGACACAGAGAACCAACAGGACACAATCTCGAGCCCTTTCCAGTTGAATGATAGTCCCTCAGGGCAACGGCAGGCGATTTCAGATGACTCGTTCGTGTTCGGGACTGAGTTTGTTGAGAGGATCTTCTTGGACCACTGTTCAATTCTTGGTGTTGCGTGTGTAGATTGGGAGATTGAACCTTATCACTCAACCCAGTCTTGTTACATGTTTTCGGCCATTTTACCGACGTTGAGTGTAGGACGACCTTGATGTTCCTCAAGAGTACTGTCAAGGGAGTGCGCCGACCACCTCGTGAAGTGCACAGCCTCTAGGGCTTGCTGTCTCATCGGAAGTTTTTCCATTCAAGACTGTTGTGATCTTCGACCACGAATCATTCGATGTTGTTGGCAGTGAGCTTGAGATGCTAATCGGCGTGAATCATATGAGATGAAGTTCAAGAAACGCGCTGGGGTCGCTTCAACCTTCCCCAGATCCCGACACGGCCCGATATAGGCTCTCCACGTGCATACCTGCGGCCCTCCAGGCCTAGGAGATTATCGTTCATGCTTTGTTTCAGGTGCCCGTATTCACCTCCAAGCACAAAAAGTCTGATGCATGGACATCGTGTTAGCTGATCCTTCGACGCAGTAGTATATCGCACTTCGCAATGCTCACAATGCCCTATTGACAAGTTCGATGGCCGGAATCACCGACATAACGTGGTATATAAGAGCGGCCATCTTCTGCGTCTAAAGATCAGCAGCTCCAGCCTTCTTTCCTATCAGGTAGCCATTCAGCTTCTTCACTCCCTTGCGAAATGCATCTTCCTACTCTGACCCTGCTTTATGCAGCATCTGCCATCGCATCGCCTCTCGCGCTTCGCTCTGAGCATGACGCTGCTGTCATGCTGCCCGAGGATGTGATGGTTCTCACCAAGAACGGCACTGGTAAGTTGGAAGCCGCCCTTGCAGGGTATAGATACTGATGTACGCCCTGCAGTCGAGGCCATCAAGTCGACTGAGTGGATCTCTACGCTTGAAGCCGCAGGAGTCCTACTTGAGAGGCCAGCTGTTGACGAAGCATATCTCAATGCGACGGATCGGCCTGCAGAGATCTTCAGCTCCAAGGCAAACCTTGAGAAGCGACAAGCAAGCTGCGATAATACTTTCGCGGTCGTCACTGACACTACTCAGCGATTCGTTGACTGGGACGTTCAAATGTCGCCTGTAGTCTGCGCCGTGGGTGACATGGATATCAGTGTCATGAAAGGATGTAAGTACAACATGCTCTCGTCTCGAGCCGCTTCTTTCTGACAAGATCTTGCAGACACTGTCGCCAACGCGGTGACTGTCTCAGGAAGTGGCAGTCCGACCCTGATTGCCAACAAGTTGACTGCACAGTTCGGAGTCCAGTTCCAGCGTACTTGGACAACACAGAGCTCTGTCACCACCAAGGGTACTGTCAAGGACGGCAACTGTGGTGTTATGATAACTCGTCCTTTGGTCACTCGTCGTTATGGTCGTACCATGCAAGGCTGTCCAGGAAGCTTCAAGCAAGTCGGGACTTGGATGGCAGATGATCATGGCAGTGGCAGCTACGCAGGTATTGACTGGATCTCGGGGGCAATCTCTATGTGTAGCAAGAAGCAGAGTACGCCCCCTCTTACTCGTTGTGAGGGAGCTGGCGAATTCAACTGAGCCTCACGGTGAGGTTCGCGCTTTTGAGCCTTGTCGACTGATTGAACAGGTCCGACTGCGACAGGTCAATTGCGCAATCTGAAGGCGGAACCGAGTTGAGTGTGAGAGGCAGTGAAATGCAGTGGCTGTGTTGTCGTCGTCGTTACGGATGGCGGACGTACATGACGAGGCACGAGATAGACTGACAATTGACAATTCCCTTCGCTGCCTCAGTGCATCTTCTGCTGTACACTATCACACCACCGGCTATGTATGTATTCGTAGTAAGTGGCTATGGCTCAACTTGGATCAAGCTTGCATGGTGGCGATCCGCGCAGGGTGTCGTTCATTGTGATAGACGAAATGTCAAAAATGTGGAAGGAAGACGCGACAGAATTACGCGAAGGAGATTGGTGCGACTTCGGCGCGTGGCTACGTCACGACCGTCAAACGCCGCCTGGATTGCCTAGTACAGCGCGCGGATAAGAATTCTTCCACAAACTTCCCTGCGCAGACCACTATCGGGCCACATGCGACTTCTCCGCCCTGGACACAATTCGAATGTGAAGCCTGGGGAATCAAGAATACCTTGTTCTCAGCAGATTGTGTTCTTGATCGCACCGCGACGCATTAGAGGTGAGGCGACATCGATGTGAACATCACTCTTCAACAGTCTACACCGAAGAGGGCTGTTCGTCCAATATCCGGCGTGCGCATGTAGAACCAGCCGACTCTTAGGGTCCGGGGTCTCCATGGGGTGCGGATCTGCACGATGCCTTGCCGACGTGCTTGCCGTATACAGGTCTGCGGGGTCATCGCGTATATCTGCAAGCCATGATGACAATCATCGTTACTTCGGTAAGAAGATCTCACAACCGGCGATGACCTCGGTCATGGAAGCAGAAGAGTATATGAGCGTGTGGCAGCGTGCTGTTTTGGATGTTCAAGACAACTCTCAGCCGACCCTATGTTGTTCCAGACCATCGCCATCACTGGCATTCTTAGGCTGGCTTATGCCTCTTCTGCTTTGTCAAACAATGGCTTGACAGTCAATACCACCAGTGGACAGCTCCAAGGCTTTGTCAACGAGACAGCACCCGATGTTCGTCAATTCCTTGGTATACCCTATGCGCAACCACCGGTTGGAGCTCTGAGATTTGCTCCGCCCGTAGACTTCGTATCGAGCCAGTCCATCAATGCGACCGCACTACCGAACTCCTGCATGCAGCAATTTTCGAATGGATCCACCATCTACACAGCGTACGAACAGCAATTTCTCACCAGTGGAGGTCAGTCAGAAGACTGCCTCTTTCTCTCCGTTTGGACACCTTCGATTGCTGGCATCGACGCAAAAGGCTCTCCTCTTCCAGTCTTTCTGTACATTCCTGGAGGTGGATTCACTGGTGGAGGTCAGAACTCCATGTACAAGATTCCGGACAAGTGGGTGCAGAGAACGCAGTCGCATATCGTGGTCGTGATGAAGTAAGTTCTCTCTGTCGCTAGCCGCACGACAAGTGTTGACGATGACAGCTACCGCGTCAACGTATTTGGCTTTCCAAACGCTGCAGCTCTTGCACATCAGAATCCAGGATTACTTGATCAGCGCAAAGCGTGAGTGATAAAGTCTTTGCTGTTCCACGTCTTATACTGAACGTGGATAGTGTGGAGTGGACCTACAAGAACATTGCTCAGTTCGGTGGTGATCCGAACAGAATCACACTCTGGGGCCAGTCAGCTGGTGGTGCGAGCGTCGCAAACTACCCCTATGCGTTCGCAGATGATCCGATTGTAGCTGGCTTGATCGCAGACTCCGGAGCTACGGGCATCATCGCAAAGTCTGATCCGACGCACACCAACTTCACAGCTCTCGCCGGTCTTGTCGGCTGCAGTAGTCTGAATGCCACCGCTGAACTCGCATGTGTGCGAAACGTCAATGCGACGGCCTTGGAGAGTGCTTTGTCGAACTATGTTATCAGCAAGAAGACTCCCGCGATCTCTTTCACACCATCAGATGACAACATCACTGTATTCTCCAACTATACTGATCGTTTGGTTCATGGCCATCTTGCACCTCTGGTAAGTTTCTTGTCGCTTCGCAAGCACGCGAATTGGTCACTTACTTGAATTTCATAGCCATTGATAACTGGCTCAAACACAAACGAGGGTGCAGGATTCGTACCTTTCACCCCAGCCGGTCCAGGTAACGCGACGCTTGTCAATACTACACTGTCTATCATCGCTTGTCCTGTCGCTCGAGACGTCGCCCGCCGTGACATCGATCCTTCACTGTATCCCACCTACCGTTATCTCTACACCGGTAACTTCAGCAATATCTCGCCCGTCTCCTGGTTCGGCGCGTATCACAGTGCTGAGCTACCTCTGCTCTTCGGCACACATGATGAGTATGGCCCAGGCAACTCCACCAGTTTCGAGTATGCCGTGAGTCAGACAATGGAAGCGTTGTGGTTGAGCTTCGCGGAGAATCCAGCTGCTGGTCCGAAGAGATTCAACAGCTCAGATGGTGGCTACTTTGCTTGGCCCCAGTTCCGACCGAATGCAAGCGACCTCGTCGTGTTTGCAGAAGGTGGTAAGACTTTGCAGCTCGCTGAAGCCGGTCCCCGAGTTGATGACTTCTGTGGGCTGTGAGCATGCGGAAATGTGGGGAACTGTATGTGCGCACTCGAGGACGCGAGAATGACGTGGGATTTCTAACGTGGGTCTGCTCGCTGGTTTCGCGAGGTTCAGCCAGATCAACTGTGAGCTTGGCATTACCGGCCTTCGATTCTATCAGCGGTTGATTGTAGACAGCGAAGGACAGGCAGACATATGCGCAGGCTTCTTTATCGCAGTACGGCATCTTTACGTAGTAAGAATCGAGATTTTGAATATGAGATGTCCAGTTTGAAGATCAGAGGGTTTCGTGATCAGAGACCATGCCGCCAGATCATCCGTCTGTGCAAAGTGTGTTACTGACCAAAAAACCCGAGAGTCTGTTCCCGCACAATGTCAACTACGTGGCATCACACTATTCATCTCTAGAAAACGATATCTAACAGCTTCTCTGTCCCCTCAAGTATCTCAGAACCAAAGGAGTCGTCACTCCGAGTGCTCGTTGATCGGTCAAGCGAGGCAGAAAACGCAGACCAGGGTCTTATCCTCACCAACGATTTGAGGTAGATCCTGATCTGCAAAACACCAGCGACCGACCACCTTCCAGACTCGGTTATTGCCCAGAGATGATTCATTCCCTATAGACAAACCCTATGGAGTGTCATTCTGCCGCAGAAGTTCGAAGATCCGGAGCGGTGCGATGCGAGAGCTGATAACTGAGACCTGCTGAAGATGTGCTGCACATCCTACCTTCTTGGAGCGTGCCGACTGGTGTGACGCTCTTGCCGGCAATCGAGGCCGAGTACGCGTCAATACGAGTGATCGGGTTCAAGTTGTCAGCACCAAGAACACCGCATGCTTTCTTCTTACAACAACATCACAATTGGCCGCAATCATGGCATCCTCAATCCCTACGATCGATCTCAGGAACACCACGTTGTGCCCCCCTTCGGTATTCTTTGCACAATGTTGAAGAGCCACGTTCTCTGGTCTCGGCATGTGACGACGTTTTTCTGCGGCCGAACAAGTTCAAACCGTTGTCAAACGTCCTGTAGTATTCGATGATGCGGTTTCACCCAATCTGCAGTGGTCAGCAACGCTCGAATCCTTCGACGGTCGTTCCACCAAAAGTTGTCGCTGCATCTTATGATCCTGACATTCACTGGAGCCCGCGAGGCCCGTCGCTGCTTCCTCGGGTTGATCACTACGCCATTGATGAATTTAGATCATAATGTATAGCTTATACTGACAAGTAGGGCACCCGCGCACGCAATAGGTCCACTGTCTGTCACTCGTGAAAGGCGCCTCTCAATAATCGCGACCTCCCGATTAGTGCACCCTGTCTCACTCCTTCGACAATTTCTCGCTTCCCTTGTGAGGCTCCACAACAATCCCTGCAAGGCCTCAGCTCATTCGATACAAGGTGGAATGATAGGCTTTCCGTCGTCGCGTGTTCAGCCCTTTTTACAGAGCGCAATCCATTCTTCTTCGCTTGTTCTCTGTTCGGTACTCGGCAGAAAGCAATATTTCACATTCCCGGCGCCTGTGGCTTCCTGACATTAGCGATATCACTGCGTATATCTAGAGCAAGTGATTCTACGCGACCTTGGCCCAAGCCACCTACCTGCCCTTGGATCAGGCTCTCGGGTGTCCACACGGGGTCGTACCAAACACATATAGCTGGTCTAGACACCTCGAGGCTCTGATGTGTCATACTTCTTCCATCCTGTCTCTTCAATATTCGGCTAAGACTAAGAAATTCCGCCTACACTTATTACTAGCCGGACATCCACACTCTACCCTGCCATACTGGAGCTGGTCTCATCCTTACCTTTGATGTCTGTTACTATCACCATTGAGCAACATGCCCGCACTGCAAGGATCACTCTTACCTCGCGCCACGATCGTACACAGTAAGGCGTATCTGGATGATGACATCTCGGCGCGAATACTCGGCATCACTGGCTTCTTCTGCTTCTTCTCTGTCGTCGTCGTGACTCTGAGACTGTACGCTCGTGCCTTCATGGTACGCCGACTTGGCTGGGAAGACCTACTCATCTTCATCACCGCCCTTTTCGTCATTGGTTGCTGGACTTGCTTCGTTGGGGAAGCAAGCACTGGAGTTCTCGGTCGACACAGCGTGACGTACACAATACCACAATATGAACATTTCCTGATGTGGACATTTCCTCACCAACTCTTCCTCATGCTTGGTGTCGGCACCTTCAAGTGTAGTGTCGGCTTCTTCCTCATCCGCGTCGGGCGGAGCAGATGGGCTCGATGGGCGTTGTATGGCTTGATGGGTGAGTCAGAGCATGTCACCTCGCCGAATGCCCACTGACATTTGTAGTCTTCATGTCTCTTTGTTCGGTCGCATATGCTACAACGCTCTTCTGGTCATGTATCCCTCTACGAGCCAACTGGCATCTGGACGAGCAAAAAGATGCAAAGATAATCTCCACCGAGGTCTGGAGAGGCTTGGCCATGTGGAACAGCGTCACGAACATGCTGACAGATGCCGTCCTTGCCCTCTGGCCTATCCCCATCGTCCTCAGAATGAAGGTGTCGACCTTCAAAAAGATCTTCCTTGTTATCGCATTGAGCCTTGGCTGGGTCGCGGTCGTGTGCGGTTCCATCAAGACGTATGCCATGTGGGTGTACTTCAGCGCCGAAGACAAATACTACAAGGACAACTACTTCGTGTGGAGTTTTCTCGAGCTGAGTGTCGGTACCATCGCCGCATCTGTGCCACTGCTCTCGCCTTTGGTCCACAAGATCCGTCGCTCTTCTTCCTCCAGAGGCGATAGCGGAAACGCCGTACTGGTCATGCTACCAGCAGAGCTACCTCGCGCGGTCATCCGACGACCAATCATCACATGGACGGGTATGGGCTTTACTTCCTACGAAGAAGACGACGAGGCGAAAGACGACAACCCAGGACGAAGCGGATCGAGTACAAGGATAGAGATGGAGAAGTCGGATAGCGGTACGATATTTGTAGGATACGAGGGGTCGAAAGCGTTTACTAGAGCGACTGTATGAATGAGCAATTACATAACGACCGTCATGACCAAAAGCACTTTCATGCCTGCACTTGTCGACCGGACCGATCGCAGACACCACTTCATGCTGCGCGGCTACTTGCAATTCCCGTGTAGAAGCCCGCAATGGTCCTGCAAGCGTAGAGCGACGGAATATTGCAGGCAACCGTCAACACTTGGTTGTTGGACAAGACGACGTTTTGCGTGTCGAGTGTTTGCGCTGGTCCCATCCAGACACTCGGACCCCAGGCGCAGAGAAGCCGATATTTGGCCGGACAGGCCGGCTTCTTACAATCCCACGATACCGTCGCTCTCAATGCAGACTCAGCGGGCTCTGAAAGCTGCTCCAGGACTGGAAACGTTGACTCTAGAGCGGAGAAACAAATGCAAGAGCTGAGAGTTCAAATCATACTTTCCCCAAGCATGAAAAGCAAAGCGACGCTGCAAAAGAAGACGAAGGATTTAGACAGCACGAAGACAAGAGGCCTGAGGCTGAATTGTCCTTACACAACCTCTGGATTTTTGCAGACGACCTCGGTATTTTCACAAATAGATCAAGCGCTGAAGTGGTAGATCGTTTGAGTGTCTTACAACTCCGAGATCCTTCTCTCGATAGCTCGAGCCGACAAAGAATGCCCTATGATGAGTCAACATATCAAACGTTGGGCAGAGTCGTCATTGGACTCTCCTTGAATCCTTGCGCCATTGACATGCGACGTATATTGTCTTGAATGTTTTGATTGTCATCAAATCAACCTCGCGTACTGTTTCCCATCTTGCAAATCATGTTCTAGATTGAAGTACCGAAATTGCAGTCCATAGCGCAGCAGGTCTGGCTGCCAGATAGGTATACGAACGCGGAGCCAGGTAAGGCACAATTCGTCCCTTTGGCCCTTGTCTTGCAATTGGTCTTTCTGCTCTTGGACGACATCTCTACAAGCGTAGCCAGAAGCCGGCTCAAGTTTGAATTGAATGCACAGCTCTTCGGCCGTTGCTTTGATACGCGATGATGGGGGGATTACGAGCTACCACACGCGTCGACCGACGACACTACTGCTCACCGCGAGCGGGCGCACATAAATGCTACAATGGCAAACCTTGGGAAGATGTGAACGACATTGAATTCATTAAATAACATAATTACTGAGACGTCTCAAGTCATGAAAGGTACACCATCTAACCCTGCATCTCAATACCACCGGTACCGTGAATACACTCGCCGGTGAAGTACGAACCAAGAGGCGAAGCCAACTGAATGTATGCAGTAGCAATCTCAATAGGCATACCAGTTCTATCCATAGGAGCCATGCCCTTGCCGACATTCTTCATACCCTCAGCAGGGACATTGGCGGTAGCGGGCTGTAGGGGAGTCCAACTGTTGAAACGTCAGCAACTTGATTGCGGGATAGTGGAGTGAGAAAAGCTTGCATGATTCCAGGTGCGACGGCGTTGACTCTGATTCCTTTGGGTGCCTGCTGCTTTGCAAGTGCGCGAGTGAAAGTGACGATGGCGCCCTTTGTGGAGGAGTAGTCGACCTTGGAGGCATCACCCTCGTAGGCGAGGACTGAGGCTGAGTTGACAATGTTGTCGCCGCGCTTCATGTGTTGGAGAGCGTACTTGCTCAGAGCCATCATCTGTGCACCGTCGTGGTCAGTAATCTCCTCGGTGCCTGCTTAGACTCTACGACATACCTGGATGATGTTGGTCTGGAAAGTCTGTGTGACGACAGCAATGTCAATCTCTCTGTGGTCTTCACACGACTCTTGCATGGAAGCATTGTTGACCAAAACATTCAACTTTCCAAACACCTTGATGTGCTCGTCGATAGCAGCCTTGCAGTTCTTCTCCTCCTTGAGATCATACTGCATACCGTGACCCTTGCGACCAGCCTTTTCAATCTGCTTGATGGTCCACTGCGCATCCTCCTCTTCCTCTGGCAAGTATAAGATTGAGACGTCGGCGCCTTCTCTGGCCATCAGGATGGCGACACTGCGACCGATACCGCTGTCGCCACCGGTGATGAGGACGGCTTTGTCTTGGAGAAGACCGCGGCCTTCGTATTCCTTGAGGTAAGGCTTGCCGTTGTCGTCCCAGAATTCGAGTTGGGTCCAGTTGGCTTGCTCCTTCATATCCTTGTCAAGACCGGGGCCACCCTGTTGGTCTTGGGCAGAGATTTGCCATGTGTAGGCAGTGACGGGACCTTCTTGTTCAGACATGATTGTGATGTAAGGTATGATTTTTCGATTTGCGGAAAAATGTAGGATATTGGAGAGAGGCTGAGAAGGTGGAACAGGACTTCACACACTTCAAGTAGCTGAACGCAGGAAGTGGATACTTTACTGCATTTGGACGGGTAATGCATCAACAAATGTGTGACAAGATGTGACATCAGCGAAAGTCCGAGCTCAAGCTTTTGGTGCTGTCATTGAGGCTCAAGTCGTGATCGTCCGCGGCGGGGCAACCAGAAACTTTACCCGGAGGCTCCGCTGTTGCATCTTCAGCCTCTTTTGTTCGCAACACGACCACCAGCCACAGTTGGAGCCTGTAGTGTCTGGCCTCTAGTGCTGTACTACCAAAACTCACCTGGCCCTTTATGAGTATCTTGATTGTACCTAGCGATATACCAGTCCTCGTCGTCTTCGAAGTTGTACAGAGGATGTTTACGTGGGATCTGGTGAGTAAGTATGCTTGATGTCGGGACGGGACAAGATCTAGAGAAATTCGGAAGAGTCACTTTTGTCTTGCTACCACAACCATAGGCACTCTACATGTTAGTGAATATACCCTTGTCAAGTCTGGTTTGACAGATGTTGATCCAATTGCATTGTTCTTACTTGCTTTGCGGGGCTTTCTGATAGATCTCACCCAATTCCGATTTTTTGTCTCTACGATAAGATTGTAATCATCTTATTGATTGCCGTCTGGTCGCCCCGACAAGACCTACGGTATCGAGGGAGCGATACACGACGTGAGCATCACACTTCCCGGAAGCCACAATGGCTAGCCATGAATGGAAGTCACTTATCTCAATGATCTGTATAGGGAGATACGGAGCGCAGCCATCACATGAGCGACTCCTGGCACTTCCTCACAACCTTCGCAATCCTTCCATCGCCAACTTTGTCAATGACCTCTAGCACGACATCACCTCTGACCACGACTCCCCACATCACAGCTGCCACGACACAAAAGTCCACATACTGTGGTTCTTCTCCACCGCCATAGAAGACACCTTTTCTTTCTTGACCAACCTCCTCGGCTTTCTCATAGAAATCTTGGATGGGCCGCACGGCCCTCTTGTTCGCATCCTCCAGAACCCCCGTCTCTTCTTCTTGCTTTGACATGCGAGTTCGGAACTCATCCATAGGACCAAACTTCGATTTCTTGCTCTCATCGATGTACTTGGCTCCTCTGGCATCGAGGATCAATGCTGTAAAAGGCAAAACATGCTCCAACCATCCCTCCAACATGATCCGAGGAAACACCTTCGCTTCAAACTCGACGGCTGCAGTAATGGACAGGTCGCCTTGTGGGAATAACATCTTGGCATTGCAGAACTTCGAGTTGCAAAGTTCTTGCGCGATATCGAGCGCTCCCATGATGGTATAAGCTTTTCTTTCATCGCTTGCTGGGAAAGTGACAGCTGGAAGGGTATAGGCAGGGATCGTGGCGGCGGGCGGCACGCATAGTGATTCGAGAAGCGGCGCGATGGCGGCATAAGACACCGGAACATGAATGTAGCGGGGTTTAGTGTTGTTCGTGGAAGGGAGACAATCTTGATCGTTCTGCGTTGCTTTCGCGCTGTCTTGAGACGTCGACTGTTGCTGAAATATTGGACCTCAGGAGAATGAGATGATCGTAAATTTGTACTTCTAGGTACCTGGCGTATTGCTAATCGTGGAAGATATCCCGAGTGGATTTGTAGCTACCATCGCTCAACACATCTACAGCCCGCAACATTGGTCATCGCTTAGATAAGCTTCGTGGTACACGGGCATCAAGCTTTTGCGCCGTCATAGCTTTGCAAGTCACTGCTACAAGATCGTTCCAGGCCACTGTGCTAGAGTGGAAGAATGCTCTGATTGAAATGTCCCAACACGGTTGTGCCTAACGCCATATCTATAATCTATCACCCATCCAACGATTACGCTCCTCCGTCTTCCGTCCAAAAGACTGATATAGACATCGTACCGGATAGCAACTCCTGTCCTACACTCTTGTCGCGCCATCTACTCAGCAGTCTTCGACTTCTTGGTCCTCAACTTCATCAACAGATACACCAATCCATAGCCACTAAACACAAACAAGACCACAATTCCTGCATCTCTCCAGCCAAAGTACTTTTCCGTCAAGTTCAAAGTGGCCAGGTAATCGGCACCAGTTCTGTATTGACAGACTTCGCAGGCACCGGTGGCTTCGGGGTTGAGGAGATTGGTTCTGGCTCCCATGCCCTGCATGTAAGGGGTAAGATACTCAAGGCAGGTCTGAGCAGATGGAGGGTCGAAGATGGCGAGTTCTGAGCGCTTGCAGGTCACTTGAACGTCCCAGGTTGTGAAGACAAGGAAGGCGCCGATGAGGTAATTGAAGGGGTTGAGGTAGTAGAGCCTGGAGGATATCGCGTCAGTCACTTCGCTTCTAGGGACAAGAAAAAGTGGGATCAAAACATACCAGTATCTCCAGAACTCAGTGATCTGCCCGTAAGGTACGACAGCGCCGCAGAAGCCAACCAACGTGAAGATGATCAAAGGATTGACCAGTGATGCAGCGACAGCATTTGATGCATAAGCGGCAATGAACTGTCCGATACCAGTGTAGATAAATTCGTACATCAGCATGACAAAGAAGAATGCTCCTGCTGAAGACGCTGCGTTCGGGAAGCCAACGGTATAGTAGAAGCACAGGAAGAACTGGACAGCGCAGATGACCAGGTACGGGAACTCGGAAACGATGAGAGAGGTTACAAAGGCGAACCATGAGTACATCTTCGACTTCTTCTCACGTGCGTCGTAAATGTCTCTCTTCTGGATGAAGAGAGGCTGGAGTTGTGCTTCGAAAACAGTTAGTAGTCTTTCACAAGTGCTGGAGGTGTGTCACGCATACCTATAACGCCGGGCGCAACAAATATGGCGTTGAAGCAAGCGAACAAACGTTGCTGAAGATCGGTAACACTATCTCCGATTTGCCAAAAAGTGAATCCAAAGAACAACCCAGTGATGATGTGGAACGCAAACTTGTTGTTAACGTAGTCGATGTTGCGATACATTGTCGTATTAGCTCTGGCAGAAACGATCTTGATCTGGTTCCACAGAGGCATGGCAAACTCCAAAGACTCGTCGCCATCTTCTCTGGGTGTGCTGTCTGATGGGTCTTGGAGGCGATTCAGCTCGGTAAGCATGGCATCATGCTCGGGGGATGAGAGCCAGATATCGTTCCAGTTTGTTGAAGTGTCCGAGATGACATCAATCATGTGCTCGGCTGGATTCTTCTCCTCTGGACAGGGAGCTCCATGTTTCCCAAAGTAATCGCGAATGACGGAAGCGTTTTCACCAATCTCTCCAAAGTAGGCCGTATTACCACTCTTGGCCAGAAGAAGCAAGTTGTCGAACTGTGCGAACAGTTGAGAGCTGGGCTGATGGATCGTAACCAAAATAGCCTGGCCCGCGGCAGCAAGCTTCTTGAGGAAGCGCACTGTGTTGAAAGCAGCTTGCCCATCCAGTCCGGAGGTTGGCTCATCCAAAAAAATCAAAACGCTCGGTTTGGCGACCAGTTCCACACCAATTGTAAGACGCTTACGTTGTTCGATGGACAATCCAGCGCCTCCGGAGGTTCCTACCAGACAGTCGGCGATGTCGTGCATCTCAAGCAAATCAAGGATGACATCGACATATCTCAACTTGTCCTCTCTGGGGGTCGTCCTTGACTGACGTAAAAGAGCGGAGAACTCGAGAGCTTCCCTCACAGTGCTGAGAACATGTCAGCACAGATAATCCTTCCGTTTGTGTGATAGACTTACGTCAACGGCTCATGTACGTCGAGCTGTTCACAGTAGCCTGTAGATCGCTGGAAACTGATGGATAATGGGCGGCCATCGACCAAGACTGAGCCATTGATGCTTCCGTCAGTCTTACGTTGAGCCAACACATCCAGCAAAGTTGTTTTGCCTGCACCAGATGCGCCCATTAGCGCGCCTAACATGCCTGGCTTCACCCAACCATTGACTTCATTGAGCAGTACCCGTGGTCCCTCAGGTGTTTGGACGGTGTATGTCAACTTCTTCCATGAGAAGACAGAGGTATTCCTGATCAATTCGCCCTCGAGCTTGTCGTTGGCGTCGTCCGTGGAGGTCTCATTAGATGAGGTAACAGTCGACTTTTCGTTCTGCTGCGACTCCTCGTCGTTGAGTATCGGCCTTGCTTGCTTGGCAAGTTCTGAAGGAACAAGGAGAAGTCCCTTTTGTTCATTGGTCTCCTTCCATCGGGAGGTAAATAGGAAAGTCAGACCAACGTAGAACGCCCACCACGCCCTAGAAGATGTCAGCGCTAATGCAAGAGTAGTTGTCAAGACCCGAAGATTACCAGATGATCCCGATGTTTCTCCACAGGTCGGAACGACTGTAGCTTAAGCTGTCGAGGTACTGTTCGCCGGTCACAAACGTGGCACCGATGGAAGCACCTCGCACGCCAGTACATCCCTGGTTTGCCGCAGAAGTGTAGCCGGGGCCATTGGGTACGAGATTGGGTCCGACGCAAGGTATAATCTTGCCACTGAATTCGTTCGACAGTAAAGCATTGTAAGCATAGGCAATGGGGTCGATCCAGTAGATCCTAAATGTTGTCAATTTCAAAACTCAGCCTCAGGACTACAACACTCACCAAACAAACCACGGATGCATCTCAGTCTTCGGTATCATGTAGCCGACGTATAGCAGCAGGGCCATCACGACTACTCCTGCGAATTTACTTGCCTCGTCGAAGTTTGGGGATGCTGCACCCACGGCTCGGAAGATTGCAGTTGTACACATCGTAGCAGCGAAGATGATAAACCAGAAGATGAAGAAGTGACCGGCCTCGTACGTCAGGCCAACCATGAAGTAGAGAATCAGTGAGAAAGTAGAGATCTGGAAGATCAGGATGGGGATGTCGGTCAAGATTTGGGCCAAACACCATGCGATAGGATTGTACAGTGCGAATGACTTGTGCTTTGCAAGAACAGGGCGTCCGGTAAATGAGTCAATGACTTCCGATTGTGTGAGCAGAACGTTGAATAAGAGAGAGACGAAAAGTGCTCCCGACTTGATGAAGAGGCCGGTCGATGTATTTGGCGCATTGTAGAAGAGCGAGCCCGAGGTCAGAGCCTGTACGATATTTGATGCTTGTTTGATGAAGAGAACGTTGATGTCGCCACGGATGATTTGGTATTGGCGTTGCGTCGCAGCCTTGAGCTGTGCCCCGAACCCGACAGTGGTGGGTGCTCGTGCAGTAAGGATGTCCGAGGTTTTCTCTTCCGCAATTGTTCGCTCAAACTCTATCGTATGGTCTTTGGCCTCGATCGTCGTTGGGTAGTCATACTCTGACTCCATCAGTGTCCTGATTTCGGACGATTCGTAGAGGGTGACAATCTGGTCCGCGGTCCTGGGGAACTTGGCCTCGTAGCCCTCGCGAATCTGTCGCTCAGTCGGCACGGTAACACCTCAATCTCGAGTCAGCGTCACTCTCTATCAGAATTAGACAGACGTACCAGTCAAATAATCAGCAACGTTGGCGCCGTCAGGACAGAAGAAGCCAATGTCTTCCATAAATGGTCGTGCCATCGTGGCTGGTCCGTAGTAAAGCTGTTTGCCCTCGTCGAGAACGAGTGCCTTGTCAAACTGCTCGAAGATACCATTCCCGGCTTGATATAGAGTAACGATGGAAGCAAGCCCGAAAATGTCGGTCATGGCGCGAACAGCCTTGATGTATTGAAGGGCTGTGCTAGCATCGAGACCACGCGTGGAGTTGTCCCAACAGTAAACACTTCCTCGAGTCGCCATTGTTTCGATGATGCTGACGCGCTTTCTCTCGCCACCGCTGACACCGCGGATGAATTCGTTGCCGACTTTGGTGCCCTTGGTGTGAGAGATGGAGAGCTGCTTGAGAATGAAATCCCTCGAGGCCTCACGAGCTTCTTCCTTTGACGAAGATCCGGAAGTGACATAATTTGGCACCTTCATACGTGTCGCGAAGTCGATGGTTTGACCGACGGTGAGGGACGGGAAGAATATCTCATCTTCTGTGTTCATCACAATCTGGCCTTGGTACTTTTTCGCTTCATCGTGTCGAAGTGATCCGTAGTTGACCTCGCCATCGATCTCAGCAAAGCCAAAACGGCGGTTGGCCAGAAGCTTGAGCAGAGTGGTGCAACCGGCTCCAGGGCGACCCAAAACCAGCAGCATCTCGCCAGGCTTGACGCAGCCGTGACTGTTGTCGATGATCGTTCTCAATGAGGCCTTGTCGGTCTTGCGTCTTCCCTTCAGTCTGCCAGGCAGAAATTGCGAAAGGACGTTTTCGTTGAAGCACGCATCTGCGCCAACGCCCTTGACAGTGAGGTTCGTCCAGGTCACTCCGAGCTTTCTGTGCACAGATCTGGAGCCATCGGCGTGTCTGATAGCATGCACTTCGGGCATGTCGTGCCATCCGTTGTGCTTGGCCGTTTTGTCGTGGTGTTCATGGGTGTTGTCGCCCGCCTGAGATCGTGGTGGAGTTGTGACCAATGTTGGTGTGGAAGCCGAGGGCTTCAAGTCTCCATGCGACATAGCAGCGGAGGGGACGCAAATCCGAAGCAGTCAGCAGTAAGAGAAGTGCAATCAAGATACCGAGTGGATGTGGATGGATGGACAAACAAGCTGCGCTCGCTGCTAGCCATATAAAGGATCATATCTACAAACTGTTGGACCTACCAAAGTTTATTCAGGTTGGCATAGTCATCAAGGAGGTTCGTCTAAGATACTCCGAGCCTCAAGTCATCCCGAGCGGGCATTGGCGCGGACAGTTGGGGTCCGCTTGCTGTCGCTCTTGGAGATTGTCAAGTGTGGTGGTATGAGTAAGGAGCCAAAGCGGTAGGTCTGAGTAACGCCTCCCGATTCGGCAAAGAACGCATCGCACGAGCACGCCAGCGGGCTCGTCGGATGCGTCATCGCAGTTCGCAACTGTTCATCCTTGCAGGGGAATCAGATGCATGACGCATGTGCATTCAATGAGCTCATTTTGTGTGTTGTGCCAGAAGGATGTAAGAAGCAGCTGCCTGTGCCGAGAAGATTGGCTGATCTAGGCGCGTCAGCTCGAATCCACATTTTTGCTCGGCAAGAAAGTCGCGCTCTCGCTCACAAGCAAAATGTATACGATTTCTCACCAAGCTCTACCACGCGTCAAAAACATGGGCTGATGAACAGAATTACCGTCTCGTCAATGCGCAAATGGCGGACATGGTATCAACTTGTTAAAGGAAGTTTGCTAAATAGTGACCAAAAGACATGTCCAAGCGGACCAAGTGGCCCAGTCATGGCTCAGTACCTGTATCTAACCTCCCTTTGAGTGTGGTGTTGCTCGACAGGACTCACTTCCTCAGTAATTGTCGTGTCAAGTCCGCCATGCATGCTGAGACCGTTGGCGGCACTGTACTGCCGACCCATGTAGCTCTCAGTCACGCCGCCATACGCGGGCCGCGGGTTTGTGTCCAGACTCGGACCGTAGTTGCGTCGCTCTTGTGGATAGTCTGTGTAGTCGAAGTCATGGTTATGCCGAGAGTCCGAAGGATCGGCGAAGGGGTTGTTCGGGGCGAGTGCTGGAGCAGAAGGGTGGCCTGGAGGTGGACCAGGAGGAGGAGGCGCGGAGAAGACGCCGTTGACGGGCGAGACGGGAGAGTTGGCAGTATGAGGGTCTGTGGCGTAGGGCTGGGAGGCGGGTTGTAGGGAGCTTTGCTGGACAGCGGGTTGCGCTTGCGGCGGTGGAGGAGCAAAGGGATTGTTTGGGCCGAGGGCGGGAGAGGGTGACTGGCCGAGGGCTCGTCGGGCTTGGAGGACGGCACGTTGGTGCCTGCTGATGGCCAGACTCAGTTGTTCGTTGGTCTCGATGAGCGTCTGCAGCGTGTCGTCGTCGGGAGGGGGCGAGTTGCAGTTGATGTATTCCTGCATGCTGCGCTGAGCCGACTGGCAGCGGTCCGAGAACTCCTTGATCAGCTCGGTGTTCATGACTTGATCTGCCGGCGTGCTCTGGAGTAGTTGCAGCAGGATCTTGGCCGTGTTGCGGGCTTCTTCGACACGCGAGGCCAGCTCTTGCGGTGTCGGCAGCACTCCAGGCTGGGCGGAGTGGGAATGTGGGTGTAGTGGAAGTGGTGGAAGTGGTGGAGCATTCTGTCGGTATGCGCCTTGTGGCAGGATGCGAGCTCCGTGTCCCTTGACTTGACGCCACATGGCCAGCAAGTCGTACAGTCCGTGGTCATGACTCTTTTCGGCTTCCAACGAGTCGAGCGTTTCTCTCATCATCTGCTGCACGCTCGGGTCCTTTCCGTGCTTGACAATGTCCTTGACGGTCGAGACGAATTTGGTGTCTATGTTGCGGGTGAACGAGGGACCGGGATTGTCGGCGAGGATGCGGATCAACATGATGGCGTTGTATTGTACTCGAGACTTGTTGTCCTTGTCGAGGCATTTTCGGAGCTGGTGGGCGGCGGCGGCTGCAGCTTGTGGTGACGACTCGGCGGCTTCGACGATGACGGGTAGGTGCAGCACTTCTTCTCCCTGCTGTGTGATCAGTTGTTGCGCGTGCGACGAGTGGGACAGGGCATGAGGCCTACACTGTTGTCGCTGGGCGCTTCGCAGAACTGGCGCTGTGTCTTGTCTTAGTCGCTGGGTCGTGAGTCGTGGTTTACAAAAGAGGCCAGACTCACAATGGCTCTTGTCGCATTGGATTCTGGAGAGTCGTCGGTGGGCGCTCTGCTTGTGCGCGCAGTCGTCGCATCGCTGCCTGCCCATTCATGTCAGTAAACATTGCGTCATGCGTCGTGCCCGTCTCGAAACACTAGCACTGACTGTGTGTTCTCTTCAAGAATCCTGCGCGCAGCTTCTTCATGTTTGCAGACTGCTACTTGGTGCTTGTGTGGCTATCTTTGAAGACTTCGGACAGATGCGCAAGATGCAAGTACAAGTAATCAGTGGTTTGTCACGTCGACAATACGGGAGGGCGCATGTGATTGCTGTCAAGTCCTTGGCGCCACGAAGTCCCCTGCAGCTCCGCCTCGCACACTCCGTCACTCGCTCTTTGCTTACGAATACTTGCCACTGCCCAGATATCTTGTTCCATGCCGTCGCTCTTTACAACGCGTACTTCCTCGTAGTAATTGCGCGTCCAGTGTCTGATACCTCTAAGATCTTTCTAACCTTGTAGCACTTATCCTCAGTCACTTTGTAGGTTGGAAAACTTATACCCTGAGAGGCAATACCCCAAGAACACCATGTATTGAAATGGGTTGAACGTGTAAAGTAAGAACGTAGTAAAAGCCAAATTTAATTGAAAAGTCACCTAATCCTAAACTCCAAACTCAAAATTCACCAGGGGCTATACCTCTCCATCTGTACTCGAGTTGTCCGAGACATCGGCCGAAGACACAAGGGCCTCACTCTGATAATTATCCTCACTCGGGACCTCTTCTTGCGAAACCTTTTCTTGCGGAACCTCAACCTTGACTTCTTCTCTCTTGACCTCCGGCGTCAAGTCATGCGAAAGTCTCTCGAATGCGTCTTCTACCATCTTCTCAATGCTAGCACCGCTTAGGATCTTGAGCACAGGCATATCGAGATCAATTTCGCTCTGGAACCATGAGCGGATCTCAACAGCAACCAACGAGTCGATGCCAAGTTCCGTCAAGCCGGTCTCGGGTGTGATTCTGTTGTCTTCCTCAGATATGTGCAGCATGGTGCACAAGCCGGAAATGAAGCGGTCCAGGAGAACCTTCTGCACACCTTCCTCGCTTGTTTGTGCCTTGAGTTGGGCACGGACAGAGACCTGGCGCTTATCGCTTTGCTCGGCAAAGGCATGTGCCTTGACACGACGGTAGTAAGCGAATTTGGGCAGGTCAAGCCAGTAAGGGAGGTTGGACTCCTTGGCGACATCAAAGACCTTGCAACCACTCGAAATCTCGAAATTTCTGCCAGAGTCCGGAGGAGATGCAAGGACGGCCTCGGCGAAGAATTGGTGATAGTCCCATTCGGAGACGGGTGCGTAGCCGAGATTGCTCATCATCTGGCTGAGATTGATGTCCACGCTGCGGCGCTCGACGTAGCCGACACCAGAGATGGCGCCGAAGCTCATGGCACTACCCGCCAGACCTCTTTCTCTACGGTTAGCTGCTAGAGCCGTCATAAATCCGTTCGCTGCGGCATAGGGAGATTGACCGTGGTTGCCAGCAACGTAAGCAAGGGAAGAATACACGATGAAGAAGTCGAGATTGTTTTCGGGGAACAACTCGTCGAGGAACAGAGTGCCATCGACCTTGGGCTTGAGCGTCTTGACAAAAGACTCGTAAGGCATGTTGGTGAGCAGGTTGTCATCGAGCACCATGGCGGCGTTGGTGACACCTGTGATACGAGGCATAGTATCACAAATATCTTTGTAGCCAGCACGGACCGAGTCTCTGCTTGTGACGTCCATCGCAAGGATCTTGACAGTCACGCCTTGAGCAGTCATAGTATCCATCCAAGCTTGCTCAACCTTTGGATTTCTGCTGGTCAGGGCGAAGTACTTAGCCCCACGGTTGGCCATCCACTGGCAAGTGGACAGACCAAGCTCACCGGTTGCACCAACCATCCAGTATGTACCGTCGGAGCGGAAGCGAAGCTGCTCATTAACCAATGAAGTCGAGACTGGCACCGACTCATCGGCAGCCCAATCGATGATCTTGAAGCTGTCACTTTCGACTGTGTTGTCAGGCAAGCTCGCGAGAGCGATGGTTGTGGGGTCCTGGAAGGATGCAAGATCCACGACTGCACGGCTATAGTATCCTCGGAGAGCCTTTGAAACATTATTTTCGGAATGAACGAAGCCATCGCTTCCCAAAATACCAGCAACATCTCTGCGCTTGCATGCAGTGGGAAGAGCGCGAGCGATGCGACTTCCAACACCATCGTGTTTGATGGAGCTACCGGAGAAGTCTGCGAAGACTGAGACATTCTGAGGAAGGTGTGATTCAATTAGTGCCTGAGAAGTCGAAGGATGTACGTAGTGATACATGGCATCGGTCGACTTTGACGAAGTGAGAAGCAGAGGTAACTTCTGCTCGCCAGCGACCTTGAGCAGAGTTCTCGCAAGAGATGGAGTGGCTTCGTGAACCAGACAGGAAGATTTGGAATTCACCTTGCCAATGATCGCGTCAGCAGCACTGTGCGTTGCAGCTGCCCAGATGATGCTGCTCTCAAACTCGTCCGCAACGTCGCACTCCACCGTCCAGTCTTGGGGCACAGCCACTGAGGATTGCAAATATTGCGAGAAAGCCAACAGCTTCTTCCCGGTACCGACCTGAGTGCCAAGGACGACAAATAGGGTACCGACTGACTTGATCTTGACAGCACTGATGGACGATTTTCGGACGTTGATAGTCACCATGTCGGCGGCGCTGACGACTTCCTTGTGGAAGGGCATATTGAAGACTTCCTTGAGCTGGTAAGAGGACTTGGCTCGGCTGACTGCAACGGTTGTGGTGCTCAGCGGCATGCCCTTCTTGATCTCACGCTTGTCAGAGTTGTAACGGCTGTCAAGTTCTTGGCTGGGGATGAAGCGCTCAATCTCCAGGACACCGTTGTTGACATGCAGCTCACGCTCAAGACACCAGAGCGGCTCGTAAGGGGTTGATGCATTTCTCCACTGCTCAGCGAGGTGCATTCTCAGCATGGTCTCAGCGAGGAGGTGAGGCTTGGGCAGCTCATCAATGTTGGAGTCAATGGTTTGCATGTAGAGGGCATCTCTACGTTCACCGGCCAAGCATCGGGCAACAGCCATCATCATTCTTGCGTAAGGGTCCTGTGTTCTGGATCCTTGCACAGTCCAGAGAACATTGCGAGCTTCGTCAAGGACGAATTGCATTGCCTTGTACATCTTCTCGCTGAACGACTTGAAGAGGGGCTCATCAAGCTCAGTCAGAGACATAAGAGCATCCTTGGATGAAAAGTTGTGCTTGCCAACATCCTGCAAAGTTGTGACGATGGCGACAGAGCCGTAGTATGGCTTCACTAGCTTTTCGACTTCGCGAGCGATCTGGAGAGTGGATGCCTTCTTGCCTCCAACGATAATCAGCTTATCGCAAAGATGCTTCTCAGGTACAGACTTGAGCGGGGTTCTCATGATTTCCATACGGGTATCGAGTGCCTGCGTGACCATCACAGAGTAAGGTCCCATGATTGTCTTGTCCGAGGGAGTGGCAGTGTCGATGCCCGAGAAGCCTGTGCGACGGAAGGCAGAGTCCCATTGAGTTTCGGTGGCCAAGGGAGTGTAAGGACGGCCATCCTCAACACCGGCCCACCATCCGGGAATGCAAGAGAAGAAGAGACCAGTACGCAGCCAGTCGATTTGGGTAATCTCAAGCATGACGAGGTAACCACCAGGCTTCAGGAGTTTGCGAGCATTGCTCAAGGTTTGATCAAGCGACTTGGTCGCGTGGAGAACGTTGCTAGCGACTACACAATCGTATGTGCCTTCGGTGAATCCCTGCTCAACGACATCTTGCTCGATATCGAGGACCTTGTAGGTAAAGCCGTGACCATGATCTTTAAAAAGTTGAGCAGCGTCGCTGAAGAAGCCAGCGGAGATGTCTGTGTAAGTGTATGAAGAATAACTCTCGCCAATCTGTTCCACGATACTCTGAGTGGCGCTTCCAGTGCCAGCACCGATCTCCAATATCTTCATGTAAGGGAAACGATGAGCAAGCTGTTTGACAACAGCACCCATGCATGCGTTGTAGTCGGCAATCACGGTCGAAGACTTGTAGAACCAGTCCAGCAGGCTGTGGTTCTTGAACTCCTCAAGCATGTTGGCTTGATCGCGGACGAATGGGATCAATATATCACCAGCGAACATCACTTTGTGCATGTCGTCAGAGGTTTCAGCGGCTGACAAGAGAAGAGGCTTGAGCGAGGATTCGGTATCGGCTAGCCACTCGGATTGCAGATGAGGGTGCGAACCCTCGGCAGTAGTCTCGACGAGATGCTCAGCCCAGTTCAAGATGGCCAAGCGGTCGGCGTCACATCCTTCGCGCTCTTCGAGGGTGATGGTCTCATGGAGCTGCTTCAAGTAGAACAAACAGGCACGCTCAACCAACATGGATAGATTCCTCTGATCGTCCGTCTCGCGGGTCTCCTTGAAGCAGGTGGCAGCGTTCGGCTCTAGAACCGACCAGGCAGACTCTGCGAACATGTGACGGTCGCTGGCCTTGTTGGGACGAGCAAGAGCCTCGACTCTGACACCTTCAAGCTGGACGAAGCAGTTGGCGCCTGTAGGATCATAGATAGAAAGGTCACCAGTGAAACCGTGATCGCCAGCTTCCTGCTTTGCAAGTACCGAGTTGGCAAGAACTTCAGATCCACGACCACCCTCAGCTGGGCAGACCATAGGATTGATCTTGATTCTTCTGATGACAGTGGGAACATGTAGAGTCCATAGACGGCTATCGAAGGGTGCACCGATGGCACACAGAGTAACTTGAAGACCAACATCAAGAACAGCGGGATGGACAGTGAATGAAGCATCAGAGCCTGTGGCGTCTTCGGGTACGAGGATCTTGCCCATGGCTAGGTTGGTGGTTCTTTTAAGCGAAGTGATGGCCTTGAAGATGCCATTGTAGTTGTAGCCGATGTCATTGAAACTAGCATATTGATTCTCGACGTTGACCTTCCTCAGCTCATGCTTGGGAGTAGGTCTGATGGGGAGAGCCGTCTCGGACTGTTCGCCAAGTCTGATCACAAGTATGCCCGTGGACATGCTGGACATGCTACCAGTATCTCTGTTTGTGCAAGCATCGCAGCTGAATTGTGCAGTAATAGTGTCATTCTCTCTGACAATGCTCTTGATCGACGTGATGATCTCTGCACCGTAGCTCTCGTCGGCGATCGCAAGAGCGTTGTGGATGCTAAAGTCATGCAGCTCGATGAGCGCGACCGTTTCATCAGCAGTAAAAGTCTTGGAGCCTTCGACAGCCAAAGCAACGAACCCAGCAGCCGGGAAGAGAACTTGCCCTTGTACAGTATGGCCGCGCAGCCAAGAGATTTCGCTTGGCTTGAGGAAGTTGTGCCACCGGTACTCGCCTTCAAGTTCAGAGTCCATGCGAACACCCAGAATCTCATGAGTGGCCTGAGGGCGCTGCGCACGAAAGAGACGTGAGACACGAGATTCGTACCAATAGGTGCGGTCGTGGTCCCAAGTGTACTGAGGCAGATTCTTAAGGACCTCCTGTCTAGAGTTGCCAAACAAAGCATTGTACGCTTTGAAGTTAGGAGTCTGGGCACCAAGATAGGTCCAGATGAAGCCAAGGGATTCGGCAAGAGACTCGACATCGTTGGCGTTGCGTGAGAGAGTACCGGTGTAGGGAATGATGCTACCGGTTACCTCCTCAATCGTAGCGCTGGCGGGTCCCTTGAGCGCGGGGTGAGGGCCGATCTCCATTGCGAAAGCGGGGGTACCAGCCTCGTCCAAAGCAGCTGTCAGAGCCTGCGAAAAGAGTACGGGCTGCAGCATGTTGTCGGCCCAGTACCGGCCGGTGAGATCATCGTTATCCTCTGACATCTGGTCGCCGCCGTAGACGCTTGAGAACCATCTTGGAGCATTCTCAGGTGGAGTCAAGATCTGGACATCGCACTCTTCCAATGACTTGATATACCTGTCAGAGGCAGGGATCATGTGGTGAGAGTGATATGCCGTATCCACCTTGAGTTGCCTGGCGAATTTGTTCTCATCCTTGAGGATTTCGAGAGCCTCTACGATAGCATCCTCGTCTCCAGAAAGAGTAAGACTGGAAGAGGAGTTTGATGCTGCGATCTGGATACGGCCCTCGAGACTGGGGAGCGCGCACAGCTCTTCAGCATCCTCCATCGAAGTCCCGACAGCAACCATGGATCCCTTTTCACCGTTGGCTCCTTTGGCGTACTTGGCGTAGTATCCTCTGTAGTAGGCGATGCGAATTGCATCGTGAGCAGAGATGAAGCCAGCGGCATATGCAGCGCCGATTTCTCCACTGGAATGACCAACAACTGCATTGAATGAGATACCAGCTTTGGTCAGGAGGTTAACCAGGATGACCTGAACAGCGGTACAAAGAGGTTGCGACATCAGGCCTTCGCCAATGCGTGACTCCTTGCCTTGCTTCAGCATCTCACTCCTGAGCGACCAATCAGGACGGCTTGCTTCGGGTAGCTGAGCGAGAGACTGCTCGAGATCATTGACAATACCCTCTACAAAGGGTGAGGACAGAATCAATTCGCGAGCCATAGCGGCCCACTGGGCACCTTGGCCAGTGAAGACACCGAGAATTTTGGTGGAGTCCTTTGCGGCTCTGTTACCAAGAGGTGTGTTGTTTGACTTTCTGCCCTCAAGTTTGGCTTCAATCTTCTCCGCAAGAGACTCGACGGTAAGAGCAGATATGACAGTTCTGATGGTGAGAGTAGAGCGCTGTGCGAGCGTGAGTGCCATCTGCGAAAGATTGACATCCTGGTTCTCGCGAATGAAGGAAAGCATAGTGTCGAGCTGCATCCCGAGCGCCTTCTCTGAAGGTGCGGAAAAAGTGAAAGGGAGCGCGACGGCCTTGGTCACTGAGCTACCGACTGGCTCATATGCCTCAATGATGGCATGGGCGTTGGTACCGCCAAATCCAAAGCTGTTGACACTCGCTCTGCGAGGAGTTCCGGCGGGCAGTTCAGGCCATGGCAAGGCCTTGGTTGGAACCTTCAGGTTCTGGGCGTAGGTCTCCAGATCAGGATTGAGCGTCTCGAACAACAGGTTAGGAGGAATGGTACTGTTTTGGAGGGCCAGCGAGGCCTTGATGAGCCCAGCGATACCGGCAGTACCCTCAGTATGACCCACGACAGTCTTGATGGATCCGACATGGAGTATCTCGTCCGTAATACCAGTATCTTCGAAGAATGCCCGGTAGATCGCTCCAGCCTCTTGAGGGTCGCCAGCCTTGGTACCGGTACCGTGGGCCTCGAAGAACTGGCAGCGGTCGGAGCTCTTGGTCAGATCGAGACCAGCTTTGCGGTAAGTTGAGCGAATCAGATCGCCCTGAGCCTTAGAGCTAGGCATAGTGATACCAGGGGTGCGACCGTCTTGGTTGACTCCTGTCTCGCGGATGATGCATTCGATAGTGTCACCGTCAGCAAGGGCTTGGGTCAAGGTCTTCAATATGACAGAGGCAACACCTTCGCCACGAGCATATCCATTGGCATTGGCATCCCACATGCGGGATCTGCCGTCGGGCGAAAGCATGTTGAGATTGCTCTCGGCGATGAAGTTACGAGGAGATAGGATGATGTTGGTACCAGCTGCGACGGCGACACGCGACTCACCCGCTCTCAGCGAAAGAACGGCTTGATGGACGGCAACCAGAGACGAGGAACAAGCAGTGTCGATGGTCATGGAAGGACCGTTCCAGTTGAAGAAGTAGGACATACGGTTCGCTAGCATGCTACGAGCAGTTCCAGTGGCAGCGTACTTGGGGATCGACTCATTGTCGTGAAAAGCGATGCCGGAAGCATCCTCGCACATGACAGCGGAGAACATGGCGGTGTCCGAACCTTGCAGATCGTCAAGGGCAATACCGGCGGATTCAAGACCCTCGTAAATGGTCTCCAGCATGAGACGCTGTTGAGGGTCGATGGATTCAGCCTCACCGGCCTGAATATTGAAGAAGGTAGCATCGAATGCCTTTGCATCCTGCTCAAGCATGTAGGCGTGCCTGACATTACTGGTACCGTGATGATGGCCATCAGGGTGGTAGAAGTGATCCGCATCGAAGCGATCAATCTTGGTCAAGACATCGGTAGGCTCTTTGAGCAGGTCCCAGAGCTTGGAGGGAGAAGTGGCGGAGCCGGCGAAGCGGCAAGAGCTGCCAATGATGGCGATAGGCTCGTTCTTGTATCCAGACATTGTATAGGTTGTTGGTGTGGGTTTGAGAGAGATGATTGATTAGCGATCAATATCAGAAGAGTCTGATTATTGGAGACTATGTGCGATGTGTTCGTTCGGCTTCTGAGACGTTGTCTGGAGTCCTAGGCTGCTGGGCAGTGACGATGTTGGTGATGATGATGGTGTTGATAATGGAGATGAGACTGAGAGCGGTAGACAACCATCTATATATTGTCGCATGTTGATAGATATTTTCATGTTCGTGGTAGACATGATGACCTCGTCACTTTTGGAGGTGTTACGTGACATGACAGTAATCTGACTACCGCTGACAGTCTGAACAGAGGCTTAGGATTGCAGGAAGGAAGTTGAGAAGGATGCGACAGCGCAAGCCCAGGCTTCGACACGAGCCGCACGCTGCCAACCAAGCTGCGCACGGATATTAAGATCGATGTAAGTTTTGTCATCTCCGCTTGTCCTCGTTAGCACCAGGTGTCCAAGCCTCTGTGGTAATGCACAGCGTCTTTCTATCTGGCCACCTTTACCGAGAGTATCTCAATCAACAACCCCGCAGAGGGTTTTTCGCTTTTGGAATGGTACGGTGAATCCCGGAAGATACGCGAGTCAAATTCAGCACGCCTCTAGAACGGGGATGGAGCATCACGGGCGGCTACGCGACGCGTCAAGCCACCCGCAGACGCTCCGCTTCCGCTTGTAGACACATGCACAGTACTGATTACCCTATCTCAATGGAGTTCTGGAAGCAAGTGTACAGTCTCAAGCCACTCATCATAGACCGATAACCCGCTTCCAACGCACTGTGCTTGATTTCAGCTTGACCGCCCCCGCAGACAAGCGCGGAACGGAACTCGAGTGACAAAGTTTATAAAGCACACAGGGGAACAACATGACAAGCTTTACAATTCAGCCTGCATACAAATGCGAATGGGCGAGAGTTACGTCCTTTAGTCAAGCACTGCCAACCTTTGCGGCTTGTCTTGGGTCGGCTTGTGGTTCTTGTCTGTCAGACTGTGGGGCAAGCCCCGTCCTTCTGACCTATACCGAAAGACGTCAGCAAGAATAGTCTGTAGAGTCAGACTGTCATCTCGTAGAACATCGCGGATATATAACATTCGTGCGATAGATCTAGCAATAACCACAAACACATCTCCGAAGTCATCTCTACTCTTGCGCATCGCATAGACATCTTCCCTTCTTACCTGGCTTGACATTCTGCTTTCGTCTTCTACCAAACTCGACTATCAAGATGATTGCACGCACGATTGACATCCCTCGGACCCAAAAGGCAATCATTGCCGGATCCGACAGAAATTTCACAGTCGTACACGATGCGCCTGTCATTGACCTCGCTCCCAATGCAATCCTAGTCAAAGTACACGCTGTCGCACTAAACCCCGTGGACACCAAATTGACCGGAGATTTTGTTACGCCTGGAGCGATTTTCGGTTTTGATTGCGCCGGCACGGTCGTAGCCGTGGGCTCAGCCGTGCGCAAGCGCTGGGTAATTGGAGAGCGAGTATGCGGCAGCGCATGCGGCATGGATCCAGAGCGACCTTCAGGCGGTGCTTTTGCCGAATACACGGCACTGCCTGGCGAATTGGCCCTTCGCATTCCTGATTACATGTCGTTCGAGGATGCAGCCACACTTCCAACCGCTCTCAACACTACCGTCCTTGCAGTGTTCTGGTCCATGAACATTCCCATGTCTTTGATTGATAAGCCTGCAGAGAAGTCTTTCCCTATCCTTGTTTACGGAGGCAGTACTTCCGTGGGCACAATGGTGATCCAGATGCTCAAGAGGTACGTGAACACTCTTAGCCTACAGACCCGATGGAGCTGACTTCTTGAGAAGAGCCGGTCTCAGACCTATTACGACATGCTCGCCTAAGAACTTCGATTTTGTCAAATCCTTCGGCGCCGAGGCCGTCTTTGACTACCGCTCGCCCTCATGCGGGGCAGACATCAAAAATTACACCAAGAACGGCCTGGGATATGCTATCGACTGCATTACCGAGGAATCGAGCATGAAGATCTGTTACGAGGCCATCGGGCGCGCTGGTGGCCGCTATATTGGCATGGACCCTTTCCCCGCGCACGTCGCAGCCACTCGTAAGATCGTCAAGTCAGACTGGGTTGTTGCGTTCCGCATCACGGGAATGCCTTGCAACTGGCCTGCACCTTTCACCAGCGACGCAGATCCAGAGTTGTCTGAATCTGCAATTCCGTTCTTCGATTCTGTGGAGAAGTTGCTTGCCGATGGCCAGATAAAGACTCATCCTGCAAAGGTCAGCGGCGGCGGGCTCGAAGCAGTCATTGGCGGCGTTGATCTTTTGCGTCGCAAGGAGATCAGCGCAGAAAAACTGGTGTACACGACCATCTCGGAAAAGTGATCTTGCTGATTAAATGGGTCCGCCTGGGGAAGGAGGCATTTGGTCAGAGATCAGTGAGGCTGGCGTTGCTCTCTTATCTTTTCCGTCGCATCGATTGTCGTATTCTATTTGTCAACGCCACTACTGAAGCCTGGAATCAGCGTGTAGTTTACGCATCCTTTCCGTATCTGGAACCCGTAATACAGGTATATAGCTTTTGGTACTTGATTCTGCGACAGTCACGTCTGCAGACGCGCTCTCTTCATGTGCTCCCGCAAACCCCACTCTGAGAACCCTTAACAACGTGAAGGCAGTATGGATGTTACATGAAATCCCTGGAATATCGCGAAGGTCCTATTTGTTCCAGCCTTATAAGGATTTATACCATTCTATGTATGAAGTGTTCTAGAACTTGCAAACGGTCCACCATATATAAAGATCCATAATCGACTGGTTGTGTAGAAATGACAACAGCTAGATCACTAAGATTATAGCAGGCTAGAATCACAGATTCTACGCGGTTTTTCGTAAGGTGGTCAGTTTAAAAGGCTAGTATACACGCAGAGATTTTCCGCGTAATCTACGGGCGAAAGCCAGTCGGAGCCGTTAATCTTATCTTCCAGATTAAATGGTTGCGCAACTGATTAGATTACAGAGCGGATGTTACATGGAATCGGTGGAATTTCGGCTCCATGCTATGCCATGCTACTACTTCTAGCTAACATTCCATTCCATGTCAATTATCTAGTGGAATAATGCTAATGCCAACTCCGTCGTCGTCGTCACCGCGACCCTGTCCCTCTAAGGTGTCACCCTGTCCTCTTTCGTCCTCCTAGTCTACCTCGCCGTCCTCCTCTCCTTCGTCAATAGGTAGATCAACCGCCTCGAGATAGAGGTTCTTCTGCCAGTTCTTAAGACACTTAATGTAGCTAAGATTATTAGCAGAGAGACATACTCGGTCCTACGATAGCGTCCTTCTATAGCTACTAAACACCCTCTCTAACTTAGCAGACATTAGATTAATAGAGAGTATATTAATAGCTATCTAAGCGAGGTTCGGATAGTTGAGTTGCTACGTCGGTTTAAGCTACTACTGTATAGCGTTATTAATAAGCACCGGCATGCTCTTAGTAAAGTGGACGAACTCCTTAGGTATATAAACTAAGCTTATATACCTTAAAGAAGCCTGCCATTAAGCAAGCTTATTTAACTCCTCCTCTTTTAATAATGACACTGCTTATACAGCCTTTATCTTATTCTTATACTTGTCGTTCTATAGAGCACGTATAGCAGTAATGGCTGGTGTTCGCTATAACTGAGGCTACTGCTTGTTAATGTATACCTCGCGATAAGTTAGATGGAGGAGTAGCGTAGCGGTATAGGTAGGGGTGTAGCTATTAATAAGTTGCCATTTATCGAGTGTAAATCGGCTGGTTCGTATAGCGGCGGCAAGGACTGAATTAGAAGAAGCGTGCTTAGCCGCGTACTTATCGTAATGCTTACGTAAGAAGTCTATCGAAATCAGTACTTAATTAAGTGTAGCATTATTACCTTTATATAACTTCGTCACCTCTTATAGCGGTTCTATAAACTTAATAAGCTGCTTAAGAAATTGCTAGTGACGCCGCTAGAGGGTAGTTTGCTCTATATGCTCGTAAGCATACTAAATTGTACGTATAGCTGATCGAGATTAAAGCCCTCGCTTAATTATAGATAGCCAGCTATTCCACCTTATAGTGTTGTTAAGTATAGCAGATACACTAGCAGCTGCCTTAAACTTACGACGACGGCGAGCTGACTTTATAATCTACTTAAAAAACTGACGGAGGTAGTCGACAGCTTCGTAATTAGCAAGGCTAGTATCTTAACTAAGTATTAAGATCGCATCTAAGGGGTCTTAACTTTAGGCAAGTACGGCAGCAACAGCCTCTTTTAAGCTTACTAACATTAGTGCTTAACTAGCAAGGTTAATCTGATGGCTAAAACAGCGAGTTCGATGCTATATAGGGTCCTAATCGATAGAGAGGCGCTCGCTAAACAGAGTAGCAAGGTAGCTCATTATAGTGTCGTTATAAGTAGCGTTATTAGAAGTGATATATCTAACTTTGTGCTTAATGCCATAATTAACAATAGTCTCGAAGAAGAGAGGGGCACACTAAGCGCCAGTATAGCCAGACTATAGCTTATAAAGAGCAAGTAGTGCCTTACTTAGCTTGCCATCTAACGCAATAAATCGAGCTATAATACTAAGCAGCTTATAGCTACTATAGTTAGCTGTCTAAGCATTATAGGTAAAGTGAATTAAGGATCGAGATGTTATAAGGAGGCCTTTAAGCTGCTCTTAATAGAAGTTATGCTCCTTCTTAATGTGTTTTGCAATAGTATAATGAGTCTTAATTAGGAGGTTAGAGGCACTAGGAAGCACCTTATCGAGTAGAGCATAAAGCTTGTCGTTACTAGCAATACGGAAGGGGATATTGCTTAAGGTAATTAAGTTAATTAGACGTCTGTTTAAGCGAGCTTTGTCGATATTAGCAACAGTACGGGACTAAGAGGATGTTGCTGTTAATAAGATCCTTAGAAGTGCACTAGTTGCTTGCCTCTAGCTATATTTATTTATTAAGTACGATCTAATATTATCGTAGTTAGTAGTAGAGTAGTTACGAGGACAGTCTTTCTTTCTATAGAAGTAGTACTAGATCTTCTTCTTACGCTTACGGTCGCGCTCACTATAACGGCGAGCTCTAGCGTAAGACTAGAGCTCTTTAGAGTCGCCACGGGTAGAAGTAGCCCTTCGACGAGCTTATATTAGTGTCGCGTTAGACTTATTAACGATATTGCTTAAGGTAGACGGTGTTAGTCGCTGTCGCTTCGAAGGAGGAAGCAACGGCTAATTAACATTAGAGGCGCTAGCGTCGCTCTTATAGTTGTTGTCTCTAATAAGAAAACTGTGCGTACGATCTGCTAAGCCCAGATTAGGAAGGTAGGCCCTCTCCTTTAGAGTGTTAGAGGCGAATTTGAAGAGAGTGCTCTATATAGAGGCGCGTAGTAGCTGGCCTTAAGGAGTTCGAGAGTTCAATTGGCTTTATAACTGTGTATTAGCAGGCGAATATATAATATAAAGGTCGAGTTAAGTATAATATAGTGTGCTGACTAGGGCAGGGAAGTAGCCGAGAGCTTAGCTCTAATGTTTAGTAAGGAGTGGTTAAAAGAGTGGTAGATAGTGTGTTAAATATAAGAAGAGGGAGCAATTGATACGCGTCGAAAAGGACGCGTGAGACATCGCGTGGCTGAAGCCTCAGCTAGCCAGTGGGAGCGCTAGATCTAATCTCCGAGATAAGATCTAGCCAATCAGAGGCCTTAGATTGGCTTCCGATCGAAACACGCGTAATAGCGAGCTTTTCTATGATATCCGCTGTGCCTGAACGCTGCACGCGCTAGCTTCGAGCTTGCTACCATCTAACTATCGACATTAGCTATATTAAGAGGTAGAATAGTGGAATATTCTACCAGGATTAGCGATTCTATTCCATGCCACTAGAGTGGAATATTCTACTGAAAACCAGTGGCATATGCCAAGATTCTACTTATTCCATGCCATTTAACATCCGCTCTGTTAGATTAAAAGCGCAATGTTGCTAGTGGTAGAACCCTGACCGTGACTTGTTAGAGCGACGGCGACGTCACTATACTGCGAATACTACTACTGAAACGTTCCAACAGCTGAAATAGAATACACCCTCGATTCCAAGCCAATTAAAGGAATATTTCAGACGATTTTGCTGGAACTCGAATTGTCCCAGCAATCCGTTCCATTCTGTGTGCGTAATATGTAAACCCACATTTCACACAGGGACCAATCCAACCTTAGTGCCTTGACCACTGCACAGGGTCAACCCAAGACCTTCCCTCCAAGGCCCGTGATCTCTGGACTGCACTTCCTTGAAGATTTGACACATCCTGATGACCGTATAGCTAGCCTCCGTCAAAGCATACTGCTGGCCAACACAAATTCTTGGGCCGCCACTAAAGGGAATAAAGCCCCATCCCGGCCTGAGAGGGCCGTCGGGCGAATCCGCAGCCCATCGTTCGGGATTAAAGGCTTCAGCTGTAGGGCCATATATGTCGTGACGTCGATGCAAAGCGTAGATTGAGAAAACGACGATCGAACCCGCGGAAACGAAGACAGGTGATGTGCGAGTCGGACCACCCCCAGTGGGCAGAACCGTATTGACTTTGGAATAGCGTGCATTAGTTGGCACGGGAGGATACAGACGAAGAACTACAAGCATTAGGCGAGAGGATCGTGACAGCGAAGAGTAAGGGGAGCTTACCTTCATTCAGGACACATTTAAGGTACTTCAGACTTTTCAGGTCTTCGTAAGTGGGGAGTTTACCCTGCAGAGTGTCGACTTCCACCTTCAACTTCGTCCAGACATCAGGATGTCGCGACAAGACATGGAATGTATTGGAGAGCAGTCCTGCGGTAGTGTCTCTTCCGGCAAGTAGCACGTTGAGCATTTCGTCACGGAGCTGCTTCGGATCTTGGATCTCGTCGGCAATTTGCTCGAGACAGAAGTATTTTGTGGCTTCACTCGAGGAGTTTTCCTTTTTGTCGTGGTTTCTATCTTTGAGCCATTGCTCGATGTATGTGTCGGCCCATGCGTGCACGACTTTGCAGGCAGCATTGAACTTGGCGTTTGGGACAAGCAGATTCATGATACCAAGGCGATTGCGGTCGGGCATCTGATGTTGGGCGTAGTCGAAAGCAGTTTGGAAGCGATCAGCTTCACTTCCTTGACCTGCCCCTTGGGCACCGACGCTTTGTCCAAATAGAAATTCCGTGGCCGAGTCGAGGGTCATGCTGAAGAACAGCTTTTGTAGGTCGATAGTCGATGCATCCTGAGGTAGTAAGGCCAAGAGATGACTGAAATGCCGCTCGAACATGTCCAGGCTAGAGATTTGTTGTCTGTTGAAGTTTGGTCGAAGGACTGCACGTCTGTGGGCCCACTCGGGACCGTCAGATGTGAACACGCCCTTGCCGACAAGCGGACCCCAGGCATAAATCCTGCCTCCCAGGTCATACTCGTTGAATTTGTGAGCAAGGACGGTCTGGATGTTGGTAGGATCGATGGTAGTTATGATGTTGAGGCCGACGACGGTGTTTGAAAAAGTATTGCCAGTGGATGCGATGCGACGGACAGCGCCTTCCAAGCTTGTCTTTGCTTTAACGGCCGCAGCGCCGTCTTTCAGCAGATCAAGTCCGATGATCCGCTCACGCTGAGGTAACGCAGGCGGGTCGAGACATCCGTGCAATGACTTGAATCGCGAATCGGAAAACTTGCGAAGAATCAGTGCTCCAACCAGATAGAGAGTAGGTAGTCCACAAAGGGACAACAGGATAGTGAAGAAGGCCATGGCTTCCGACGCAGATCTGCAAAAAGAAATCGGACAGTCTGCCAATGCTTCCTATATAGAAGGCGAGCATTCCACGGCGTCTGTATAGACAGACATGGTCACGGTGCTTCAGAGCGCGTAAACGATATAATGTCAGTCTGACAACACAAAGCTGACCTGTCAGCATGTGTAGAAGGTCAGGAAAGAAGAATGGGAGACAGCATGGAAGGATCTCAGCCGAAGTCTATCGCGCTGGTAGCTGTATCAAGGCACGATGAGTTGAAGGATCGGGCATACTTCGCTGACATGCGTCGTATCATCGAATCTCTGCGAGGAAGTCTCTGATCCCAAGAACACAAAAGAACAAACTGTGTCTGTCGCGTCTTAAACTGCTTCTGTGTCATCATGGGGACGAGTGTAGAGTGAGAGAGATCAGCACCGCGAGGAAAAATCGCAGCCGGGGATTGCGACGAACGATTGTGGCGCTGATTAGCTGCGGGGCGGCTGATACAAGTATCCTCGTATTCGAAATTCGTGACCGTCTGCCACCCCAACTTATCGAGCTAGCGTTTTGGGGCGACCCGAGGGTAAGAGGCTGACATGGCTTGAGTCAGGTGCAAGCCACAATATCCGGTTCGACGGGCGGTTGAACCAAAACTTAGATTGGTTCGGGAGAAGCTTGGTGGACGATGTGTTTGTACTTATGTAGATCCTCCTGCTCCAGTTCGCCCTTCATCACGAAACCCAAAGATTCAAACGCGTTTTCTCAAAAATACATTTGCCATGGTTCGTCACGATGTCGAGAATGGGGGTTACAAAGGTGGGTTTGTACGAGCGGGAATAAGGAGTGTCTCTGGAGCCGTCGGCTTGGCATCTGAGAGCATCAAATCACGGAAAACAGAACGCCAAAGCCCTCAAGGTGAACAACCAGCAGCATTGCGATCGAATAGCGCACATGCAGTGAACGACTCGTTATCGACATCACAAGCAGATGAAGCTGGAGGGGATCTCGAGAATGAGTGGAATCTGGACGACGCTCAGGACCAGATCGCTGAGGAACAGACTCGAACTGGCGTTGACGCAGAGCCCAAGCTCACCTTTTTCGAAAAGTATTGTTCAAAGACTGATCGACTTTCGACCGGACAGCTCACGCTGCCGGTTGTTCTTCCTCAGCGACGCCCAAGAGATCGCTCGCGTGGGTTCATTCGAGCTTACGCGCCGATGCTACAAGATGTGAGCATCGACCAAACGACCTGGCTCGACTTTCTTGATACCCTGCAGAAGTCAAGCGCTGCGGATCCTTGGCTGAATGCCATCAACATGGCTTCTATTGGCACTATGTTTATGCCTCATGTCATCGGCATTGCTGTGTCATACGCCATCCAACAGGCCACCAATATTGCTATCGAGATGCAAGCCCGATTCAGGTATCTTGCCGACGTCGCTTCCATGGCTTCTTTTTGTCTGACGATTGTTAGGACTGCTACAGCTTTGCGCAAGCTCAACGAAGAGTTCTTCCAGCCTCGGGGACTTTACTGCCTAATCATGGTATGGAATCCAGAATCGAGTAACATAGTGGAGCAGGTCAACATCAACGACACTGTTGCAGACCTCAGTAACGTACCGCATGGTGTCACAGGTGTCCAGAAGAAGTTCAGATCATCTGATGGGACCACATATGGAGAAATGGCATTCCCTGAGGTGGCACCGCTCACCTTCCCCACTCTGGATGAGCTGGCAGCGCAAACTGGGCAAAAAGCAGCGGAGAAGAAGAGTAGCGTAGCAAAAGGCATGACTTTTGTTGCTAATTATTGGGACAAAAGAGCAACAGCAGAATATGTGAGCATTCCCCTCTTGATTCTCAACACGTGGTATTGACCCAACTCTAGTGCATGCAAAATCCGGATAGCGTCCTAGCACAGGTCCCCCAAGGCGAGTTCAGCTCGAGATATGCCGACCCCAATCACGCGGCAGCCAGCGGTTCGCTGATATCGTTCGTTTCGGGAGGGAAGCTTATTCCCGGACCCAACTCGCGAGGCCTGATAGGAGGCTTTGCTTCAGTCATTAGACAAGCCGCTCGAGGAGAGAAGCAAGGATCAGAGTGGGAATCATATGCAGTCGAGCAGAGACAAAACGCTCAAAGACGGGAGAAGCGTGGAATTGTTCCAAATCCTATTCGCACATACAAGAAGCTGTTGGCAAAGGTAGGTACAGACACTCGTACGCACCGTCACCCTGCTAATCCACGAACAGAACGTACTGTACTTGATGGTCGTAAATATGCCATCGGAGGAAGAAATGGCAACAGCTAGGGCCGCAACTCACAGCTAAGGAATGTTGCATTAGTCGAACTTGTAATCTCGTATCTGAATCACAGAATTGACCCTGACATCCCTCCGTACGCTGTCATCTGAAAAAGGATTCACTGGGTCAAAACCATCAAGGTCATGTCCCTGTGTCAGTTCGAAGCTTATTAGCGCTGAGGCGGGGTCAAACATCGCCCACAACGCTCCGGTTGATTGAAGGGACACGGAACTTTGCCTAAAGAGGACAAAACTGCGATTGGGGCTGACCAGTGAGAACGCGTATCTCGAACACTCCTTTGAGCCCGGTCGGTTCGCTGAACCATGTCACCCCTGCGCTCCCCCGCACGCATAGAAGAGGCCCCGCTGCAGAGATGCGTGATAGTTCTCAGATGATCTGATTTGTCCGCAGAGGGCGGTCAAACATTGAATCTCGCGTCAGGATTGAGCGCATCTCGGAAAGTATTGAGCCTGAAACATATACATGCGTGCCAGGATCTCGACAGCACGCAAGAAGCTTTAGACGGGCACTAAATTTCGGAACGATGGAGTGTCGGGCCGACTGAAACCCCACCAAGCACGACCAAGCTTCAGGGGGAAAGGGGTACAGACTCGCCGCCTGCCGTGCTGGCAAGTGCTTCACGAGCGTGCCAATGCCGCCTGCCGTGTTGGCAAAGGCTTCGCGAGGGGATCTGCAACGTTCCTAGACTCTTTACGCACGTTCCTCGTCGAACCGTGAATCAACAAGATTCGGCTTAACCATTGCCTCCAATCAAGTTGCTCTGCATGACAGGCACGCATCTCCCACCGTCGTTTGGCCGCTCAGGAATGTCTGTTCCAGAGCGTAGATCTTGCCGCAACGCGTAGCATTTCACGAGGTTGACGAGCGTCGGCCCTCTGGACCCTTTTCGATATTGCTCGACATGGCATTTTGCAGGAACAGCCGCGCTATCTACGCCACCCTCAGCTTTTTCCCTCAAGCCTGGACATCTGACAGACCCGTATAACACTTTCGGTTCAAGCGGGTTAGCATCTGCACAGGAATAGCCTGCGGCGACAATCAATCTGTTGCTATCTCTTCTAGACGTTCAATGACCCTGGCTCCCTATAGCTCTTTGCGGCACCTCGAAGCTCACGCGAAGGATGATTTATCGAAGGAATAATTGTTGAACCCCGCAATCCTTCGGCGCCGCCAGATTGACCGGTCTGTCAGTCACTGATAACCATATGACAATGACTGCAGATCGAGCCTCATACGGCTGTCAGCTTGTTCTGCCCTTCGCGGAATTGCACCCACCGCGTTGGTGTACTGCCCTGCATAATTAATTGCCCAAACATCTAGAGTGTCTAGCTTGTGGACTCTCAGGATTTATAGAGCAACCCGACCGCGCGTTTCTCTCTACCTAATCGAACATTTCACAAACATGTCTCCGCCCGTGAAGACCGACGCCGAGCAAATTTCTGACTCCGAAGATTGGACCAAACTATCCGACATCAATGAGAGGCGACGGGTACAAAATCGTCTCGCACAGCGAAGTCGTAGTATGTGGCACGGTAAAGATTTGTGAAGTTGCCAAGACTAAGAGTCTATTCAGGGAAGAAATTGAGAATGCTCGAGAGTCGTGACACCCAGCGTGGGACACTATCCGCAGCATCCAAAAGCCCAGAGCCCCCAACGTCTTTTCGCGATATCGAAGATTTATTGAACCACATCGACCAAACTAAAACTCGTCTACAAGAGTATCTTTCCAAGACAACAAAGGTTATGCCGGAAGCTCCCGCTGCAGGTATCAACATCTGGGACCCCTGTGTGCTTCAAAGCCTGGACGGAAATGACCTGGATGAATTATTCAAGAGTCTTGATCAAATGCCTACTCCAGATATCAGATCTCCTGATCCGGTTGGCATTTCGACGGACTACTTCGGTGATATGGCAATGGCAAACAATAGCGCTGGACAAAAAACTGCAATGTTCGGACCTCTAATGACGCCACCGGCTAGTGTGTCTTCAAGACCTTGTAAGACGCCATTCCTTCGCCTACAGAGAGTACATAGTCTGACAACAGATTTAGCAGCATCTAGGAGTAACTCAGGGCTGCATCAAAGAAATGACGTCTACAACGTGAATGGAGCAAGTGACGTCTTCTCCCTCAATAACAACGACCATGGCAACACCGCTTTGCATATCGCAGCTCGTGACCGTCATCACTCCATCATCCGCCTTCTGGTGGAGACAGGCACCGACATCAACTCATCCAACAACTTACAAATGACTGCCCTTCAGATTGCGATCACCTCTGCCAACATCACCACTGCACAATACCTTTTGGGCTTGGGCGCTGACGTTTCGGGAAGGACTTCAAGCGGAGATACATCACTGCATCTGGCCGCTCGCGTTGGTGATGTGAGTCTAGTAGAATCATTACTCCAGCGTTCCGTGGGTCTCAATGCGAAAAATCACTGCGGTGAGACAGCACTGCACGCTGCTGTAACGGCAGGCCATGAAGATGTGGTCAGAGTGATGTTAGCAAGCGGTGTTGACTCGCAGGTGAAGGTCGGAGTCGCTACTCCCATGGACGATGGGTTTGATTGGAGTTCAATCATGGGGGTGTAACTTTCTTGTGTTTACTTTTGGTGAAGCATCTATCTCTCATATCGATATTGCATTTGGCGCTTTGCACATTGGAACCAGGGTCGCGAGGTAGTGAGGCGTTTACACTGAACATATATCATTCAAGACTTTTCCTCTGATGGCACACAAACTCATGCTTTCCATCTTCTGCTTTTTACACATCGAACATCCTGTCTATCCTGCTCGGACAAGATGTGTTTCCTCCTTCCACTTCTCTCACACTCACAGTCAGATGCTCAAGCGCCATAATACTATACCGTACTGTACTCTAAGTATCGTGCATTTCACCACTGCATACGTGACAGAGCTGAACAGATGGAGAGAACGTGTGGTTGCAGGTCCTGACCATAAGTGATAGAAAGTTATCTGGTGTATGCATATGAGTTTCGAACACACAATATATGCTACCGGAGCGCCGGAACCATGGCGCTGAGTTCCAGATTCCAGGTATTACTTGGCCGGCAAACCGAAGCTCAGATCACCAGTTCATGAGATCTTTTTATCATCCCGAACTTTCCACATTGCATGGACATGTGATACTGGTGCACATTCCAAGAATTCAAGGAAAGCACTGAATGTAGGAGATCTAACTGCCGGAAATCATCAAAGATACAGACCAGCAGCCTTTCTACCAGCTTGTCCATTCAAGATACCCTCCTCACCTTTATAGCCTTTGAAGATCGTCTCGTCCGTGCCATTCCTTGCAAAGTCTTCCGGCGGGACGCCGGCCTTGAAGTTGACCACTTGCTGACGTATGTATCTTGTGTTAGCCTCGGTGGTAGGAACAGCGGCGATATACAGGACCGCCGAGTCGTGGTCGCCGGCATGTTGCACATCCACACCGTGAATCATCTACATTTGACAAACACACATTAGCCTCCGAGACCTTACATCAGCACAAGAAAGAGAGAAATCTTACATCGGCGTGCCACCACACCGTATCCCCCGGTCGCATGGTCGGGATATTCAACAAACACTCTTCAAGCCTCAGATGCGGATGTGATGCTGGACTAACAATTTGCGGCAGCTGTCTCCAAGTACCCGGAAACCAGCCTCGGTCAGCATTTAATGTCCACTTTGTCGCATCCATGATGTCGCATTGATCTTCGGGAGCGTCAAACAAGGGTCGCAGAATCACATATGCCATGGCGGTCTTGACATCTGGATATAGTAAGAGAGAACCTTCCTTGGCGCCTGCGGACGTCAATGCAGTCCATCCTTGGAAGGCGCGTAAAACCTGAGAAGCAGTGCCGGGAAAGAGACCTGGCTTTGCATCCTTGCGGATCGAGAGGTCGTAAGGATCGAAAGCGTCGGGTTTACCCGACCAGATGGCTGAGTATACCTCACGATAAGTATGATCTGCCCAGCGTGAGAGACTGCCGCCATCTGCAGATTATCAGTCGTGAGACATAATCGGATCGATAGAAGGAAGAGAACAACATACCAATGTGTGGAGGTAGCGCGTTGAAGGTGGTGTTCCCAGGCCGAATGCGGAAACCATCGGCATATGAGAGTGGCTCTTGGGTAGTGGTCTGATTCTCACTCTTGTCGTGCCACAGAGCATTGATTGCTCGTTGGACCGCTAGGCTGTTAGGGTGCGAGCGAGCCGCTTGCTGTACTGGCGAGTGATACACGTCGAACATGAAAGGGGTATCGGCTGGCATGCCTTTGATAGACACGATGAGGTCAGAGATAAAATCCTGACAAAGGATGGTGTTGATTACCGGTGATTTGAGCCTCGTTGTCTTCGACATAGTTCTTCAGCTCATTGTACCAATCAGTCGCCTGCTCTTCAGAAACAACATGCCGCACAATAAAGCATCCAGTATCTTTTAGCTTATGCTTTGTCGCTATTTCGGCAGAGAGGAAGTCTTCTAAATCAAGCTCTGGAATAACAGTGTTGCCTTGCGAAGCGATGTTCTCCGTGATAGATTCCAGTCTCTTACAAACCTGAACCCAGCTTGACTTCAAAGCTTCGGCGCCGTACTTGGAGTAGATAGCTTCGGTGTACTCGTTGGTGCCTGCCTGGACTCCCTTTGCTGTGGCAAGAGTGAGTTGTGGCCATGGTGACCATATATTGTCGACGCCTCCAGGCATAGAAAGATCAGTAGCAAGCTGGTGTGGTGAAGATGGGATGTAAAAATTAAGAGTCTGATAAGTTTTAGAGGTCTTGCGAGTGGGCAAGCTAGACTTTAAGAAGATAACGATAGTAGGCATGTCAGACATGCTGACTTGACCATTGGCTGACAGATGACATCCCATGTCAGCAATCATGAGTAACGCGTAGTTCCGTCTGACAAAATTCGGGAATCTATCAAAAGCCCTCGTCAGCATCGTTCGGGACAATTATGGGAGGGCCGCCGTCCAACTCAAGGTCATCCCCGGCCTTGTTGATTGACGTAAACTAGGCTTCACTATCATTCCAAGTTCGGCCAGGATAGAAGTGCACATCCCTGGACGCGAGTTTAATCAGCCAGTGGTAATGTGTTGATAAGAGAGCTGTCCGAATTTACAACATAGAACGCTTGACTTGACTGAATTGAACGTAAAGATTGTGAATATGCTCAGATGATTTTCACGCGAGTCATTAATTCATTTTTCTATCTGACTTAGTGGTTGACTGTCTTGACTCTTTCATACGCTGAAAAAGAGAAACTCAACTTCAATATGGTAATCAAGCTGTACGACTATGAATCGGAAGCGAGTGGCTAGACTCTCTCCGCGACGATGTCGTCTCAATCAAATCGCCACAATCGACGACAGATGGGGCACTGGATGTCTCAGTCTTGCTGACCAGTCGTGCATGAACCAGGTTGATGCGTGTGACAGAGCCACTATGCAGCTCGACTGACGTGGTTCGACCAGTGTGAAATGCGACACGCTCCGCTTCGAGAGCTTTGCGGTCTCGTGGAGCATTTTGTCGAGCAAACATACTCACCAAGACGGCCGCACCCGCGAACGCGGTAACGACTCGCATCTGGGCGTTCGAAGATCTTCCGTACGCGCGGCAAGTCAAGTCTCTATGTGAATCACTAAGGTTTGCGATGTTAGCTGTTGACAGCATGACCGATCTCAGCTCCTCATCGGATAAGAACTTGGCGAGTTGCGATCTGAAATTGCCATTCAGGATGGCTTGCGTCACAGCGAGACCGATAACACCGCCGAGTTGTCGTAGTTGTGTGACGGCGCCCAAAGACACAGCTAGTCTGGTCAGTTACTCACGACATGTTTAAGGGACGAGGAAGACTTACTGTTATCTTTCATAGCCACTTCGGTGCGAATGACAACCATCGAACTGGCCATGGTGAGACCAAAACCGAAGCCGAGAATAATTTGATAAAGATAACAGAGATTGGCGATCTCACTATCTGTGGGTAAGGTCGACATGAGTCCACAACCAACTGTCATGAGTACGTTCGAAGACACCAATAAGTGCCAGGCGACATTGAATTTGCCAGTAATCGTGCCAGTCAGAATCGCGCCCAAAGCGGTCGAACCAATAAGTGGGAGCATGTGAAGACCCGCGTTCTCGGGACTGTCGCCATTGACGATCTGAAGGCGTTGTGGTAGGGCCATGATGGTGACCACAAAGGGAAAGCCAGTGAAGAATACAGTCCTACAAATATTAGCTTTCGTGTTGAAGTTGTGTTACTGCGTCGCCCAACATACCCAAGAGTCGCTGCAACGACCCTGCTAGATATGAGTCTTGTCGGAAAGAGAGGCAGCATCTTCATGCTTGCTTCTCTGGGTGTCAGAACATACTCCCATATGCCAAAGCCTACAAAACAGAGTACCGATCCGACAAGCATCAACACCACAAACAAGCTTCGCCAGGAGAAGTGAACACCTCCTTCTTCCAAAGAGATAACCAACAGTGAAGATCCGGTGAGCGAGAGAAGTATCCCAGGCCAGTCGATCTGTTGCAACGCCGGCTTTCCAAGTTTCCTTGATTGTGTTTCAGTTGGAAACAGGAAAGCGACGCAGACAGTGACCAGGACTCCACAGGGGATGTTGATCCAAAAGACCCACTGTGAATGTTAGCGAAAGTCAATGATTGCATCTTGGGACACGACCCTCCAAGTGGTATTCGAGGTAATAACTCCGCCAAGGACAGGACCCAAGAGGCTTGCACAAGCGGTGCTCATTGAGATAGCTCCTGATGCTGCGCTAACGAGCCTAAATGGTACCACGTCCAGAACAGATGCATAAGCAAGCGCATAGATTCCAGCCCCACCTATACCTTGTAAAGCCCGAAAGACAATACTAAGCGAAGTTTTAGCGAGGTCCTGATAGTTATGACAATTCGAGACCTACAGTTGTTTGAGTGTTTGTGAGAAGCCGCATCCGATTGACCAGAAAAGAAACATGAGAATTGAAAACATCAACACAGGTTTTCTGCCCAAGACATCGCTCAATCGAGTGAATATGAGGAGAAAACCAGAATAAGTGAGCAAATAAGACACAATAATCCAGCTTGCTTGATCAAAGTGGCCAAAGTCGGAAGCGATCGTGATCAACGAGGTCGAGATGATGGTAGTATCTAGTGTTGCAAGGAGCAGAGCTAAGCATAGCCTAATCACGTGTAAGAGATCATTCCAGATGAGTCTTCGGACGAACCCACGCAAACACAGTCGAACCAAGCGGCCAGCCTCCCAGAACAGGTAATCCCAAATCCTTTTCTTCTTCGACATAAGAACTGGTCTTTCTGCCCTCTTTTCGGGACCTTACGGAAATTGAAGCCGAGTCAGTACCTGCTTGGGATTGAGGGCTTGAAGCGCGAGGAGCTGCGTCTTCGAATATTGTCGTAGACATGGCCGGTTGTCTTTGTTTGACGTTGGAGCGAATGGTGGGTTCGGAAATCGCGTGGCACATGTTGTACACTCAACTTATGTATCGGCCTTGATCTTCGCAATTGCCGATTGGCGGCTCTTGGGAGGTCATGGCTTCGTCTCGAGAGTCATCTTTGAGCAGATGAGCTAGGAATTGCTGACCGGGAAACATGTTGAAAGAGGATTTGGTGGATGACTGCAATGACTCAGCCACGGTCTGCGCACGGACTGGTCTGACTTTTGAAGCGTCATCACCTTCACCACTTCTATTTGATTCTCTACACCATGACCAGATGATGACTTGAGCAAGGAGACAACCGCCGTACGAGAAGTAAAGTTCAAAAGCCGATTGAAGAACCGATGCATCATGAGGTCCATCCAACAACTTTCCGTCCAAGATCCACATGGCAAAGCAACGCACTCTTCTCTTCGTGACGAACAGTGAGCTGGGCCAGGCCAGCGTCATTCTCGCCGTCGCGTATGAGTTTCTCGTACGGCGGGAGTACGATGTGCATATCGCTTCCTTCCCCGCTCTTCAGAGCAGCGTTGACGATCTTAACGACACAGCATTTCGCCTTAGCAATGGGACATGCAGCGCCATCACATTCCACCATCTGTCTGGAAAGTCGATGAAGGAGGCCGCCCCTCCTGGTACCGAATTTCTCGACCTACATCCTCCAGGCATTAGGGGAGCTCTGTTTGCTTACGACAATGTGCTCCCCGCAACTTTTGCTCCGTGGCACGGAGTCGAGTACATGATCGGTTACAGCAGCACCATCGAGATTATCAGCGATGTTGCTCCCAAATTGGTGGTTGTCGATCCATTGTTTAGTCAAGCCGTTGATGCTTGCAATGCGATAGGTCAGAAGTGCATGATTCTTAGCCCGAATACCTTCAAGGAGCTTGTACTGGACCGACAGCCTAATGGAGGAGCTTTGTGGAAGTTTCCAGCGTGAGTGCTCTCGGAGATTTCCAACGATGATGCTGACAGTCTCAAGGATGGCATCAGGTTTTCCCTACCCTGTCCCTTGGTCGTACATTCCGGCGAACATGTACCTCATCTATCGCTTCTTACGCTCGCGCCGTCAGAACGAGAGACTTCTTCAACTGTCGCGATATCGTGAAGGTTGTGGTCTCCCAGGCAAGATCCCGTCCATGTTCGAGGGATTTGGCGATGCTCATATTCTGCTCCCTTCGACATCGACCATCGACTATGACTTCTCCATACCTTCACACGTAACTCCTTGTGGCCCCATCATACCCCCCTTTGAACCTCTTGCCGAGACTGACCCAAAACTGAGCGCCTGGTTACAACAAGGTCCAACGGTCTTGATAAATCTCGGATCCCATGTTGTTGTCGACCAGCATCTCACCGCCGAATTTGCGGCTGGCGTCAAAACTCTACTCGACCGTCGACCCGATGTACAGATCTTGTGGAAGTTGAAGACCAAGGTCGATGTGAAGGATGCTCTGCATGTGATTGCCGAAGAGATCAAAACCAAGCGAGTTTGGATCGAGTCTTGGCTACCCGCCAAACCCCTCGCAATCTTGATGACTAACACAATTGTCTGCACTGTTCACCACGGTGGATCTAATTCGTACCATGAGGCCATACAGTATGTTCCTTGCACTTCTTGCTCGAAGCTGAGCTAATATGAAATAGTGCTGGGGTTCCACAAGTTGTCCTGCCTGTCTGGATTGACACATACGATTTTGCTATCCGAGTCGAGTATCTTGGTCTAGGCGTGTGGGGTAATCGTGTTGCTGCACCATACGTTGGAGCATCGGAACTTGGAACAGCCTTTCTCAAAGTGGTCGATGGGCGAGAGTCTGCTAGGATGGTGATCAAGGCTAAGAGCATTGCGGTTCCCTTTCAGGAGCGCCCTGGCCGGCAGGTCGCTTTCGAGAAGATGACCGAGATATTGGAACTCTGATTTGCGGGTGAGATAATATTGCCAGTAACCACTGTATTGACTGCTTGATATTGTCTGAGCTCGCTCAGGACATTTGTGTCCATTGTTCCTTTGCCATATCCATTGTGCTGATGGTTGGATCTGTGTTCAGCACCATAATGAGCACTTGCTTGAGGCTGATTTTCCGTAGAAGGGATGAGCTGCGCGAAATTAACGCGCACAGCCAAAGAGAGTCCCACAATATGCTGCTAGGTTGCTATTTGGTATCATAACCACTGCGTGTGCCTACAAAACTCCATCGCTTACGAAATTAGGTTCCCATCCAATGCAAGACATGCCAAACTAAGTACGGAAATTCCCTCCCAGAACAATTTGTCTCATGCAACCTCGTGAAGCCAACCATATCGATAAATCATCAGTCATGCATCAAGTCTCCTCCGAACATTCAGACTTTATCTTATCATCCACCTTGAGGCCTGATGCATAGCGCTCTGCTATCTGGATGTATATGCTCTGTAAGTCGTACAATGTTGCCGTTGTCACTTCCGCAGCTGAATCCAGAGATTCAACATCATCCTAAGTTCCTGTTCAGCAAGAATTCACGTAGTGTCGATACAGCTTGAAAACTTACGTTCTCTTCTGGACTCGAATCGTCATTGACATTACCATCAACATCTTCATTCTTGATACGGATACTGTCTCCAGAATTCCAATCCGTATCAACTCTGTTCCGTAAACGGCTTTGTAGGATATTGAGTTGCTCCTCGACTTCTGCCAATTGCTTCTTCAACTCGATGATCACTTTGCCTTGTCGATGAATGGTCTTGCGTTCGCGGATTATCAAAGCTCTCAGCCCGCTGATTAGGCTCTTGACGTGGATCTCGCGGTGGCTTGTGTTATCAAGAAGTTTTATGATCGAGTCTGTGAGCTCGAGCATCGCTGGGACTACTTTTTCATAATCGATGTTGGAGGACATGGTGGAACCCCAAGGAGAGGTGGGGATAGAGAAGCTCTGATGGGCAGAAAGGAAAAGAAATTCCAAAAGAGAATCAAGTACGGACTTTTAGCAAGAGGGTCAAAGGACATGATATGAGTTCTCAGCAGATGGAAAGATGGCGTGAAGATGACAGAGCAGAGGTGAAGAGTGCCAATGCTGACGTCTCTGCCCCAAAACCCCATCCAAAATCTGACAGCCCGATTCGGCGGGTCTCTTGGGCATGACAACAGGTCTGACTTTGTGGTCCGTGGTGTTGCGGTCAGCTCGGGGAGACTGAAGGCGCGTTCCCACTTGATGACAGTCTTTCGATCGGAGTTGATGACAGGGAATTCACAGCTGACAGGCACAGGCTTCGCAGATGGATTGCTCCGACCCAGTCAAGGAGAGTATACTACAGTCAGACGTACTCATTGAGGACAACTATAAAGCGTAAGGTGTACTCATCATAGGTCATACCATCACTCAACCACCATCAGCACTATCGAGTCAAGCAACCCAAAGCGGAACAGCACTCCGGTCGATCATGTCCTCATTCCTCCCCACAATCCTCTGTCTGCATGGCACGGGCACATCGGCCAGCATCTTTGCAGCACAAACACGAAAACTGCGGTCTGCCCTACAATCACAATTCAAATTCGTCTTCATCGACGCACCCCACCCCTCAGCACCAGGTCCTGGTGTCGTTCCCGCATACGTCGATTCAGGGCCCTTCTACAGCTGGTTTTCCCCCTCAGCAAATGACTCGATGGAATGTGTAGCTAGAGAATTTGTCACCTGCAACGAACACATCATCAAGACCTTGTTAGCACGCGACATCCAACCTTCGAGCATCACGGCTGTCATGGGCTTCTCCCAGGGGACCATCGTAGCTTCCATGCTGTTGGGCTTGGCTCAATACCACGTTATTGAATGGGCATCGATGGATGTCAGCCTGGCCGCGGTGCCATGGGCCGGTCTGCGGTTCGGGGCGCTGCTGTCGGGGTCCTGCAGTGATGGTGTCGTGACTGCGTTTATGGGTAAGAAGTTGCAATTGCCATGCGTGCATTTGCACGGTCTGCAAGATCCCTTCTTGGAGCATGCGAGGATGCTCCACACCAAGATCTATCATGCCACTTCATCGGATGTGATTGAGTTTGATGGTGGCCACAACATTCCTGGAAGCAAAGCGGATCTTGACAGGCTGGTTGCTCTGATCCGAGGTCTGAACAGGAAGACTAAGACGAAAGTATGGGCAAAGAGAAGATGAGGAGGTTGTTTGTTGTTGCATCGGGTCTGGAATGGAGATGGAGCTAGCTGGAGATAAATGGCGTTCAGGAGTTTTCATTCGAGTCAGAGTCAGAGTCATGGTGTAGTAGGCCTGACATGATCTGATGTCCTCCGTGACATGGAGTGACAGGTTGTGGCGTGGTCTAGTTGGACCCTGTGTAAATGTTTGTTTTGTTTGGTACACAGCAAATTTGACAGGGCGACGTTTTTGACGTCAGCCAAGATCCACCTTGAACACGATATTGGTTCCACAAGGGATTGCGACAGACTGCCTGGTGATTATGATATCATTTAATCACAGATATCTACATTCCATGCAACGAGTTGCCTATTAGCGAACAGTCTCGTGCGCCCTGAGCTGAGCCATCAGTACCCAGTCGTTCTCCAGCACGCTGTTACTCGGGCGGGCGCGAAGCGCGACGTTCCCTTTTCGTGACAGGCCTACCACGTCGCACAGCCGCGGTGAGAAGGATCGTTAGCACTGGCGATCCTCCTCTCGTATGACAAGATCTACGCATAGATCTTGGAGACCCGTGGATCTTTTGCCGGAGTCTCTTCCGTATCCAATCTTCGCAGCCACTTTGACGGACATAAAGCAACGTTTCAGGGTCATTCTGACCTGTCACTCGGTCAGCATGTATGTCAGCTTGACCGCATTGCCGGGTTCGTCTACAACATCGAGATTGTTTCGATGCTATACACCATGAATTCTGCAGACTATATAAGTTCAGAATCCTGCTCACAGTATGCATCTCCTTCGAACGTTCAATTCTGACTATGTCCTCACCTGGAATCTCATCTGCGGCGTTCCCCGCGGCTCTTTATATCGCGACTGTCGTCCTCTACTCCTGCCTCATCGTCCCAACCTTCTATATCTGGCGCCGCCATGGCAGAGCTGGCTTCTTGGCCTACAATTTCGTCTTTTCGTTCTGCGCCATTCGCATTGCTGGCGGTGCGCTTTCCATGGTTGCGAGGCACAAGCCCAACATTGAGACCAGCGCAACTGTCGTCAACAGTTTGGCCATATCCCCGCTCCTCCTTGCTGAACTTGGAGTCTTGCACGAGGCACGCAATGCTTGTCTTGTGCGGCTCAAGCCAAGAGTTGAGCGGACGCTTGTGGGTGGCTTCCACAGCATCATTACGACGGCCATTATACTGGTGGTGATCGGGATTGTCAATGTTGTCAAGGGGCTTTCCACTACTCAAGACTCTGGCCTAATCAAGGCTGGACTGGCGATGTTTGTGGTGTCATATCTAAGTCTTCTTGCGTGGACGACTATCTCGCTGCGCAATCCGGCTAGACCGAGAAATGACACTTTCATTGATGGAACTGTGGTAAGTTCTGTTTCTACTTTTCTGATCTTGCCGCTGATTGTAGATAGCTTTTACGTACTGCCGCAGTTGCCCTACCATTTATCGGCATGAGACTCGTCTACGGCATCATCGCATTTCTTCTGACTAGCCCAGCATTTGCAAGCTCGTTGACGGCGAAAATCCTTCTGAGTTTCACCCCAGAGGCACTTGCTACTGGCTTGTTCGTGCTTGGTGGCTACAAGACACGTAGTATGTATGCTTTGCGCTACCAGGAAACGCTTCTAAAGCACACTTCATCGCCGTCTGTGTAATGTGCCATATGTAGCTCTCCTTGGCAAAAGGTACATCATTCTGTTAAATGGGCAGTGGCTTGTGCGAATTTGCGTCAGGCGGTGCATCCACGGACGCTCCACTCTATCACCTGCCCCAATGACGATTATGATCCCTGCGCCAAGGACGATGCTGGATGCGACACTACTTATCACCCCGCAGACTATGTGGACTCTGAACATATCAACGCCAATTCGATTCGATGGTACACAGCGGCGATCTTACAACAGCCAGCAAGGGCGCCATTTTCTCTACACGTGCTGCTGTATCAACAAGCAAGACAATATCGCAGAAGCAATTCTCCGGATCCTCTACGCGTACTCTCATACCAATAAGTAAGAGCAGGTCGCAGAAGCCATCCTCGGGTTCCTCCGCACGCACTCCTGTTTTAACAAGCAAGAGCTCATCTGACAAGCCGATCACAACAGATAGCACGTCTGTTCACGACCACCATCGAGGAGAAGCCGTCGCCATCACCGGAAGACCGTCCATCTCCCATTGAGACCCCAGTCCTCCCACCGACGGTCTTCTACTTCAGTGAATGGTATCCCGGTCAATTCCAAGTCTTCTTTCACATAACCATCATCTATGGTCCGCTCCCAGTAAACCAGATCATGAGCACTGATACAGGTCTCGCGGGCTATGAACGACCCTCGGGAGTTAAATTTGCTGCTTGCTGTCATATCTAGTTATAGCCTCCATGGAGGTTGCCAAAAACACATCTTGCCTACAAGAAGACTATATCATCACACATCAAGGATTCAGGAAGACGATGTAGCAATTTCCAAATTTATATGGATGGACAAAGCGATGAATACACTCCCGCCCAAAATATCCTTAGACGACATTAGTTCATATCAGGATTCGCATCAGGGATATCGAATTGCAATCGCACGACGTGGCGTAATGTCTATTGTTTGATTTGTCTGCTACTGCCCTCGCTCCGGTGACGCAAAACCTCAGAAGGATTACCTGCTAGATCCCTCTTGTTCTGTAGTTTCACGTTCCTTCAGTTCAACCGTTGCTTATCCCGATAGAGCCTTCGCTGACGACTCTCAGCTTGACTGTTTGTCTAATGGTCGTTTACCCACGAACATCGTGTTTAGGTCCATTTCATGGGTTGTGGCCGTCTGAATTATTGATATATTGATGCAGCTGATTGAAAGTCCATCAGCTGTGCAGCTAGAACACTACTGCCCGTTTTTCAGGCAGCATGTCTTATCCATCGACTGTTCCACGCCGATAATTTTCTCACTGAAGTTGGGGAACACGAGCGAAACCGATCCTAGTACTCTGCTTTACTGCGACTCACATCTTCCGGACTATCTCTGCACTGAGCTAGACTCGGAAATTCGGCTTTCGGTGATTTGATTCCACATGGCGATCCATGATGCTTAAAAAGACGCCAGGACTACTTCTGCGCTTTCATATCTCATTGTTGTTCGCTACCTAAGCGAGAGGTGGCTACTAGACCACTCCACAATGTTGCTTCCAGTGAAGCTATGCACAGCTGGAAATCGATAGTAGCGTTCGACCCCGCGTCGCATATCAGAACGCGATCCAGTGAAATTCCTAGCTAGGAACCGGTCACATACGTTCGTCAAAACGGCTCCAACGGCACCGCATGACCGACACAAGTGGTGGTAATAGTTCACGCCATAATGTCGCACTCTATTTGACGCCCAAGTTGGGATTGTCGCTATAAATCGCAAGCCTCGCTCACATGCTGTAGGTCAGCTCGAAGGATTCTCGTTTCATGTTAGCTCAATAGCGCGCTTCATAGACCGTACATGCAATGCAGACTGTCTTACTCTAGCTGGAGATCGGTCAATTTGAGCCACAGATAGCTCGACAATTGTTCCGGTGCTGAACTGCAAATATAAAAGTCTTCCAGTCTCATAGGCCTGCTCCTACAATCAAATATCGACACTCAGTCGCGTTTAGAACCTCTTCATCTACGGGAACGTCTGATATTGCCCACTGACGATCACAATGGCTACCTTCTTCAACTTCGACCAATACAGTGAGGGCGCTCTGAGTATTTCATCTACTGCACTGAGGGTGGATGCACCGATAGGCACGTTCTCTAGTAACGCAAACCCCTATGAGCCAGGGTCCTTCCTGAACGGGATCACTTCTTTTAGGCCAAACTACAATGTATACATCCTCCACGACTCTGGCGCTGCGCACGGCGCAAGTCAAAGGAATTGTGTGATCAGCTTCACGGTACCGAACCAGACTACCTTCTCACGCCTATCTCTGGACATACAGCACAATTCAGGTTCCCCCGGACTGGTCGCTCCCATCTCGATAGCTTTTGAGGCCTCTACCACCGTCGACTTTCAGAATGCCACTCAGCTTGGGACCCTCGACTCCGTCTTCAGCGGGCCCGAAGGTCATTTTCTGACCTTCGCTCACACAGTCTCTGGCGACGTCCACTTTCGCCTCCGCTGTACCTCACCAATCCCGGATGGCAGCAACTATATCTCCTATGCCAACGTCAGAATAGCTTCATATTCCGAAGCAGTGACTCGCTCTCGATTGATGACACAATGGCACAAGTACTTTGTCTCAGGATTGCACTTTACCTTGAGCTTTACCGATCGAGATCACGCCTCATTGGGTATGGCTACACCAGACGAAAGGAATCCTGGTAGTCAGATAGCTTATTTGACCCCGGACTGCGTTGCCATGTTTTCTTTTGAGGCTGTCGATCAGCTGGACTACAATCAGGGGTACCGGATCATCAGCGACAGCAAATATGTCGGTCCCATGGATATTTTTCGCCGCTCAGACTGTATATCGTTTGTCGCGGAGGCGAATCGAGCCTTGATATTCTTACCAGACTTCTCGGACACCTTGACATTCGTCCTCAGGAATATCGCTGATGGTCAGCTTCTTACTCGTCCATGGGACTATACAGTTGATATTGGCCTACAAAGTCGGTGTGCGGTAGTTCTCGCGCAGCTGAACTCACCCTTGTACGGTGCGACACAGCAGATCTTCCGCATGCCAGCCTGGGCCTTGCGAGAAGCACAGATGGCAAACCTGCCGTCGGACCTTCGTGTCATTGTCAGCTCCTCTGGTAGATGTCTATACGCCAATGGGGATCAGCTAGCATGGGGAATGTCGCCGCAGAGTGACGCTGCAGTAGTATCCTTCATCGCGCCCGAGTTGACGTCAATTCACGCTGGTTACTTACTTGTAGTTGGCGGCAAGTACGTGAAGATGACATCCACAGACGTAGTTCTTGGATTGACCACCAATATGGCCGATGCCACACACATCTGTGTGAACGCGACAGCGAATGGCACACTATCATTCTGGATGTGTCAGAGCGACTATGTTCTCGCCCCAAATAACGACACGCCTGTGTTCACGGTCTGCGACGATCCGCGGGCGGTTGTTCCAACCTGGCAGATACTCGAGCCGGAGGTGCATGTCGAGCAAACTATGGTCGTGAACGACTCCCCAGGAGCAATCCATACTCTGAGTAACACAACTTACATCAAAGCAATTGTTCAAAGGCTCAACAGGACAAGTCTCGAGAAGGAAGGATCTCTTTGGAATTATTCTTTCGACAACGCTCTTCCTGCAGATTGGTTGATAATCACACCCGAGCATTGCTTCGATCCCTACAGCACATTCGAGATGCGAATTCCCGCTGATGGTGCAAATGACTTCAACCTCAAGTCCTGCGATGGGTCATCGCCTGATCCGACACATCCTTGTGTCTCATTGGCTTCGTCAGTCAGTGTCCCAGGAGGAACACCGTTGAAACTCCATGCTGGTCATTCGCGCCGAATCTACGAGGAGATGTACAATCATATCATCTCCGGCCGCCACTTCATTGATATCGCCAGTCTATTGAGAAAGGACGCCACGCCGAGTGGCGAGTTTCTTGCCGCTGTGCGGAACGCAATTACAAGGCTAAGCAAAACTGCTGAGGCAATGAATGTGGTCATTCGCTTGATATTCGGTGAGCCTCTAGGGTGGGCCGGAGATCTAGGGTTGCCCTTCATTCCCGGAACAGGTCCTTACCGTGCAGCACCTGCGCTCTTGCTTGATCTTGTGCGAGACGTACCGAGTGACACTTATTCCCAGATGCAGATTTATCTAGCCTATACCTCTTCAGCTGCGTCGCTCACTTGGAATCACTCCAAGATCGTCGCGGTAGATGGTCAGAGGGCTCTTGTTGGAGGGCACAACATGTGGGACGGCGCATACCTCGGCGATAATCCCGTACTGGATGTGTCGATGAAAACGGAAGGACTGTCTGCCGTGGACGCTCACAGGTTCGCGGAGAATCTCTGGTTTGATCAAGTGATTGCCCATGGAGACTACTGGGCCGCCGATGCAGCAGCATTTCGTCCCGGCTTGCCGAATCGCATAGTGGTCGGGCAACGCAGCGTACCACCGCCTCGTCTCTTCGCTTCTTTCTACCCTGGTAATTCAGGCGAGCCAGGTCGTTACGTTGGTAGAGGCATTCCAATATTATCGGTTGGAAGAGAAGAAGGCATGATTGCAGACAGTGCACCAAGCGACATTGCATTTGTAAGTCTGCTCAACTCTGCTACAGAGTCAATCTATATCTCTGCACAAGCAATGAGCCATGCTCCAATTAGTGGTCGTAATTGGCTGGAGACCTTTTTGAATGGATTAGCAGAAGCACTGAAGAGAGGTGTAACGATTGCACTTTTTTTGTCAAATCCTGCGTCCGGAGCATACGAAGGTGATTCACCTGTAGATGTTCTAGGTCAAATTCAAGCACGTATCACTGGAAGAACTAACACCGAGATAAACTCACTTATGCGGAACATTGCAGTGCGATCACTACCATCGAGCACGACCTGGGGTCTGGCTAATCAGTATGGCATCTCAAATCACGCGAAAGTCATCTTAGTCGACAAAAAGGCCTTCAGCATCGGATCGCAGAACTACTATCCGTCCACGCCGGCGACTATGTCAGAGTTCAGCTACATTGTCGAAGACACGACAGCCGCTCAGCTTTTATACGACACGTACATGAGCAAGATGGAAGCTTGGGCACTACCGTCGCCAACGCCACTCTCACTCCCTGATCTTACGAGCTACGTAGTGACCATCACGAACATTTGGTGCCAGCAGACTTCGGCAGGGCCTGGTGAAGATCAGATTTATCTGGAGCGAGCTGGTAGCCGGATCTGGCCGCAAAACTCCTGGTACGAAACCTTCACGCCTCTACGCTCTAGCGTCGTCTCCGGTGTGGATCTGCCAGCGGTACGCACGATCGACAACCCCCAATTTGTGAGACTTATGGAGTGGGATTACATTGCAGACGACATATTGACTCAAGTCTCTTTCCATCCGAATCAAGTCCTCAGCTGCAAAACGGGCGCCGAAGAATTGAAAAGCAAGAAGCTCTCAGATTTGGTACCAGAAGTGATATATCGGACCTATGGAGATATGAGAGACGATAGGGCTGTTTACACCCTAGCTTTCAAGTTCTCGAAGGTTCCTCAACCTAATCCTTCGTAAGCGGCTCATAAAACTTACCACCCAATGAATTGAAATTGCATGTCGGCATATCTCCCAGTTTGATGATTCGATTTCGAGGGATGTACCAGCAAATTTGTATCTCTCAGGCATAATTCGGTTTCCGGTGTATGTGGACATAATCAATGTACATCACCCAATTTCGGCTACCCCATTGCGAGGATTCTTCATCGATTCTCATTCCCTGTAGGTCTCTCAATCTCAAATGTTCTGCAAGAAGACCGTTAAAGAGGACACAACTGGTTTGTGATTGGCCAAATCTTCGCTTGGGTCGCACTCAACAGACACAACATAACCGTCTCTTTCGACTTTCGCACATCCATATAAACACAGAGTGGTCCATCATCCTGAGCACGAATCTCTCTGACGACATAATCGTGGGCAATGTCTAGTGTCGTTGACATAATCTTCTTCGTCTTTCCTGAGTCGCCCTGCCTCTTGTTATATTCTCAGCGACATAATCGTCTACATCCATACTGAAATATGTCAATGTTCCTCAGGTGCTGGAGTCGCTTCTGTCATGGATGCTTGATTTCTGCTACTCGAGGTCATCTGTTGTACTACCGCGGAGTTTGACCAGCTGAACGTGTGTCTTGGTATGACCTTGGCATCATGGCTAACTACGACGTTCAGCTTCGAAAGAAATGTCCCTCTCAGAGAACACGGCGAGTGGACTAGTGACGACTAGTGCAACATCCAGATTGTGTATGGCTTAGAGAGATAACATTTCATCTTCTTTCTAGGAATAGCGTGAGCAATCTGGAATACATTCATTTGTTCGGTCATTTCTACAGATCAAGATTCGATAACACATGATGAGGTATTATAGTTGCGGATGGAACACTAACGCCATTTTAGAAAGCAAAGGGATATGGACTGCACCTAAGACACCGACTGATAAGACTTCTTGATCTTTGACAGAGATTCCACAAGACTTACTAGTTGACGAATCCAGCCTGCTTGCCACACCACCAAATGATCTGTGCAGCCGCAGGGCAACCTGTGAACAATGGTAGAAGTCCGTAGCCACTTCCCCAAGCGAATTCACCTCGACCGCACCATTCATCGCCACTGACAAGTGCACCACTCAAGGGCCCTGCGATGCCCAAATCATTTCCCGGCCGCAAGAAGCGTGACCACCGTACTGGTCTCGACACCTGGACACTTGTGCCTCAGAGGCTCGGTGACACCTGCCCACATTGACGCAAACTTACCGGCAAAAACACCATAAAGCATAGCGAAGATGTACAACATGGGTGCATAGATCGCAAAACCCCAGAACAAGAAGACTGTGATCAGAATACCAATGATGCAGATGTTCACGCCGATTGTGACGTGATAGCGATCCACGAACCAACCTGCGATAATCGAGCCTATCATGGTCGATACATTGGTTAGCGAAACAGCGACAGTGCCGGCGATTGGTCTCAGTCCAATACCTCGAGCGAAAGAGGGCATGTAGTATGTCGGTAGAAAGTAGCCTAGTCCTTGGATTACATTGCCAGTCAGGAAAATTCAGAACGCCGCGTCTTTGAGGAAGCCGATCTCGATTTTCTGCGGGCCGGTAGACGCATGCTGGATAGGTAGTCGGCCTTTCAGAAAGCACATGGCGGGCGCAGCGATCCCCGCACTGCCCCGCCAAACCTTGTCTTGTCCTGTGTTCCCACGTGCTCGTTCTATAGGTTGCCGTTCCGCGGTGATCCTTCTGCTCTGAGACTATCGTCGTCTAAAGTGGCGCAGTGCTCTTAAGAATAAAGAATACAAGCCTTGATAAGCATCACCAAGCCTTGACAAGGCCGGATGCTTAGCTTTATATATTCCCGACCCCGTCCTCATTGCCCTACTCTACCCCAAGTCGCATTCTCCTTTGTTCGTTAGCGAATATGTCGGAATCGTTGCCTGTCTACAGTGCAGACCCTAGGTCCGATTCCGAGGAACAAGCAGCTGATCCTCCACAATATCTACGACGAACAGCGTCACAAGAAGCTGCAAATCTCAAAGCGCTGAAGGCATGGGCAGAGAAAAGAGACATGATGAACGGCGGCGCTTACATGGAGATCTTCCACATTGGCGGCAAGACCGTGACTAATGGTCACATTGTCGACCCAGGTTCCACATCACATGCATCAACCAGCGACTTCGACAGCTGGCCATCAGCTGCACAGGAAAAAGAGGCGCTTGACCGGCGCAATCAGACCTCAAGCCAAGACGATGCTAGTCCATCGCATCAAGATAATGACAGCCGTCCAGGAGTTGGAAAACGTATCTCAGGTTTCTTGAAAAGAATCAGCCCCGCGGAGCGAGCACAGCAGAAAGCCATGGCCATGACTGCCGAAGAGGAAGCGGCGGATGCGAAGAAATATCCCATGTCTGAAGGCACGTATGGGTGGGAAGACTATGATCCCAAGAAGTAATGAGCGCGTATTGCAAGCACCAAGCGATTCGGAAGGTGCGGCACGCTCGTCATTTTGCGGAATTTCTGCGCGCATCGCGTCGTCTTTGTCGATCACAATTGACACCTTCTCCTGTCCATTTCTTCCTTCTGTAGAACACCATCAATGAACAAGCAGTGATTTATCTGCATGTACCACAATCAAACATGGGTGCAACAGATCCTCTATATAGCAGCCGTAAATCAGCTCTATTCGTGCGACCGCATACGCGGCCCTCTAACATTCAACGCAGTCCACTTTGTGACTCGCCGAGAACATGGTTCTCGATAAAATACCTTGTGCACGCGTCCTGTTTAGAACCTCCTCTAGCATCGTACGCCCCGATCCCGGATACGTGGATGACGATCATCGAAGCCTCCACTTTTCGAGAACTCCTTATAACCTCTGCAGAGCGCTTGGATCAACTCAGAGATACTGTAACACACACTCGCCGCGAAGCTATCCGTCAGATCGACTCTACAGTCCTGCTACCTGGATATCGTGCTGACGAGTATAGACCGGTCGAGAGCGCGGAAGATAGACAGCGGGACGACGCCGTGCTCACAGAATTATTGCGGAGCCTGACACAAGCGCTACGTTGCTGGCACGTCGATTCGGCTGGTGATGGCAAATGCGGTTCTCGAGCAGGTGGCATCAGATCTGTCGTACGAGCTTACTCGAATAGCGATATTGGCAACATGGAGGATCCGTTCGAGAACCAAAAACAAATTGAGTCTGGAGGGGGTGACGACATCGGCGCTTCGATGTTCCAATCGAGCCATCTGCACCTCGATGGAGAGTTGCCAGAAGTGGCTGTTGTTTCTAGGCTTGAGGTGCATGGGCGCAATTACCTAATCAATGGTGACCTGAGGTGCGATCCAGGACCCATCTTCGGAGAGGCGGCGGCGCGCTTGATCAGATGCCTACCACGATCGCGGCGGGCATTCCTCCAGTTGAGTGACGAGGAAAGCAGGGACATGGCACTGCGCGAGACGTAAAGAGAGAGTGAGATGTATGTAGCTTATTTATGTTCTGTCACTAACCGCCTTCCAAGACTTCGCCCGAGCTCTGACCGATACATCGTCGTCGTCGCTCCAACATCTCAAATTGAGCTATTCTGGCTTAATGCCTGATAACCAAGACAACCAGCCGCCTCGAGTCCCATCAATCGGAGGTCGCGATCTGCTTAGCGCAAAGATGCGCGCCCTCCCACAGCGACCGTTGACCTTGGACTTGATCGGCATTTTCAGTGATGACCTGTTCAGCCATGAGTTCAGCTGGCCACGGCTACAACGCCTTTAAATCTGGGCTTTCCTGTGCACCCCGCCCGGTGACTGGGTGATCGAAAAGGACCCGGAAGATTCCGAAAGTGAAGTCTTTGCTGAACCATACGAGTACCTATCGGATTATATGTACGACCCAGAATTGCCCGCACGTATTCACTGTCCCAATTACCCTTGTCGCACTTTACCCCGGCGGGACCCGATCGATGGACTGTTTCCCGCCGCTGGAAATGCCGCCGCCATGATGCCAAACTTGCAGTCCCTAATCGTACTTAGCGAACCGAGCATCCTGGACTTTGAATACTCTTCTGATGGCTACATCGCGGGTTCTGTAGAGTAGCAGACACTATCTCCGTATCGACCCGACCCATCGACAAATCGGCCTTCCGGTGAGGTCATCAAAGCTGGGAGAGATGCAGTTCATACGAGACAAGGAGACCTTCAAATTTCTATCAAGGGTGCGAAATTGTCTACTCAGCATGTCTGAGCACCACCGCCGGTTCCCTTCGCGTAAGCACCATTGCCATCGCCAAGACACTCAGCTGCAACATTTGTCAGTGTTTCACTCATCGAGATCGATCAAAGTCGACAACTCACCAACAGTAACCATTTTGAGGTTGTTCTCTTTGGCCCACTTGATCAATCTCGGGACCAGATCTCTCACTGTATTTGCATAAGTCTCATGCAACAGCGAGATATGGCCAAAGCCATCAGGGGTCTTTGGTCCTGCACTTCTGAATCTCTGCTCACTGGCAGAAACACTCAGGCCATTCCAGTCCTGCGAGTCCACGCTATCGGTGATCATCTTATAGCCAAGATTTCTCATTGCAGTGGGAACGTTGCCTCCAGTTTTGAGGTAGGGAGGACGCATGTAGGTCGGCTTCACACCAATGATGTTAACGAATGCAGTCTCGAGCTTCTGCATCTCAGTGGTGAGTTGAGCTACACTCATGGTGTCGAGAGTTTGGGGGTGTGTCCAGGTGTGAGAGGCGACTTGGTGGCCACTACTGTATGCGGCTTTGACGGCGGCTGCTCTGTTGTATATACAGCCGTACAAAGTGCCGGTGAAGAAGAAAGTGGCCTTTGCTCCTGCGGCGTTGAGGGTGTTGATGAGTTCCTGGGTGTAGGCGCCGGGTCCATCATCGAAGGCGAGAGCGAAGACGCCGGGTTTGGAGCATTTGCTGTAGACTACTCCGGCTGCTGGGCTGCTCTGTCTGGACTCGACCAGGGACTCAGGAATCACTGACGCAGTGGCCATGCTGCTGAGAGCAAGCACAACAGGAAGAAGGGAGTTGAAATGCATTTTGATTGCCGGAGTCTGATGTTCGTGACTCCTCTCGACAGGGTTTTTGCAATGCTTATATCAGGTTCAAGTCATGTCCGAGCTCTACATCTCGCCTAATCTTGATACAAACTATGTACTGTACCGACGCGTATTTAGTGTCAAATAGATGCTTCCGCACGTTCTCCGCATTCTTATAGCCTAATCTTCATACCAAGACTGTCAACAAAGTTTCGGACTGCTCTTGGCGTTTCATCTCGACCATAAGCGAGTGGTATAGCGCGGTCTGGAATTCATACCAAGACAATTGGTTGCTTGGCAGTCTATCACACGCTTTATACTCCGCAGCATGAATGCATGCTTCTAATTTTGCCTATAGAAAGTCTTTTGCCTGAATGTACTACAGGCGAAGTTTGGCAAATCTTCGTAACCTCTCGGTTGCAAGTCAGTGAGCACGTCAAAGACTATTCTCGCAAGCCTCAGACTCCCAAGTCACATAATGAGCCAGTCTTCATGGTTCCATATCTCTACTTGCCAAGGCTGGTGTGGCGAGTATCTTGAGCCAATAATAGAATGGAGCAATGATCGGAATACATCAGGTATACATTAGTTATCAATACTGTTATACATGAATCATAAGTGTAAAACAATATCAGTGACACTCCAGTCCATAGCTATAGCCGCTCTGGCTTTCATCAGTCATATCTCACAGTCCAACAGTTCCATTCTCCCCAATTCCATCTCTCAGTCTCCATGCTATTCTCTCTCCATCACGAAGATCCACCTCGGTGATCTAGGGGATAGCCTTTCCAGCATTTTCAAGAGTCTTCTCCTCGTAGGCGCCAATCTGGGCCCCAGCGTTGGTGGCATCATCAGTCAGTTGACCATCGAGAGTATCTCCGTTGCTCTTCTCTATATCGGCAAGATCGTTCAACTTGGCAGCAGACAAAACATTGGCGAGTCCATTGGCGATCTTGTCGCCCTGACGCTTAATTTTGGGGATGGCCTTGCCAATGCTTTCGAGAGTTTGCTCTTCAGAGTTGCCGATCTGGGCACCAGCCTGAGAAGCACCATCGGTGAGTTGGCCATCAACACTGTCACCGACATTCTTCTCGATGTCGGCGACGGGGCCGAGGTGAGCTGCGTTGAGGACGTCGGCGGCTCCGTTGGCGATCTTGTCGAGTTGACGCTTGGGCTTAGGTGGACCCTTGGGTGCGGGAGCGGGAGCAGGTGCAGCGCCGCTTCCACCAGTGTTGGTGGTAGTTCCCGAAGAGGAGCCACTAATCAGAGCGGCTGTGTTGTCTGTAGAGAAATGATCAGGCAATGCTCAAGGTGTATGGAGTAGTGTAACGAACCCTCAGCGTTCTTGACACCATAACCAATGCCATTGTCGGTGCTGCTAAGGATGGAAGAGCAAGCATTGCCCTCACCAGCCAACTGACGACGACTGACACTGCTAATGAGGTTCGCGGTGTTGTCTGCGTAAAGCGAATTAGCTGTGATCTTCCACGAAGCGAAGAAGACACTAATTACCAAGGGCATTCTCAACACCGTAACCGACGCCATTGTCGGTGCTGCTCAAGAGGGAGCTACAAGCATTGCCTTCACCAGCAAGCTGAGGAATGGGGATCGCAACAATGCTGACGGCTTGAAGAGCAGCCAAGATGAGAATGGACTTGTTGATGGAAGGCATCTCGGTCTAGATCACGAAGTGATGAAGAGTGATGAAGTTGAGACAGAGAGAATGGAGTCTGCTATTGGAGTTGCTGATGTACCTGTTAGATGATGTTGAATGTTCGGGGCTCCAGTGTAGTATTTATGTTGTTCTCTTCCTTACCACAGAAAGTCCTGCAACCCAAATCTGTCTGCAGTATAGCATCATGGTGGATCCTCGGGATTCCGCGTCTTCGAAAGACTCGACTACAATGACTCTGTTCTCATTGTGCGTTGACTGCTTACGGACTCGTATCCTGTAGATCATCCAGTCATTTGACTTTTGAGACTTGGTGTTACTTCTCAGCAGCTCGGCCGAAAGTCTATATCGCACCTCATCATCACCAAGCCTGAAGATCCCGTCTACTCTGGGACCCTCTGGAAGGTTATGCGGCTGGGATTATCTATAGTGACCGTGTATGATCGTGAAGCCTACGAGCGGTGTCCGCCAGGACTTGCCATGCCATTGGGGCTGAGCTGTATAGTCGGCCTACTGTTGGCGCGTCATTGCGAAGCGCATGCGGCTCGCCGTGGATTACCGTGAAGAGCCTCTCTTGAACACCGTTGCTCAGGATACTCAGCGAGAATCTGGGAGCCCCAGCCGCTCTCACTCGGTATGTAAGGCGATGAAGATAGTGTAAGGCCAGGCTATACACATCCATTGATGTCAGAGCACCACGACTACTCTTGAAGAGTAGTTCAATGAGACTCGTGTCTGACACATAAAAAGAAGTCCCTGCAGGATTTCAGAGGGTCATCTGCAAGAGCCTGACTTGCAGGCACCTTCGCCGCACACCGAAGGATGCGACGAGGGACAGGAACCATCCCGAGCAGCTGAGGCTGCAGGCTGACGACAGTCTGAGCGTTAAGGGTCTGGTGTAGTCCCTTCTCGAGATCGCGCTAGGGACTTGACTGTGCTTATCTCAAATATCTGAAAGCTTGGGAGGGTAGCCAAGGGTACGACGAGTGCGGTCAAGCATGCTCAAGCAAAGTGGAGATGTGCTTGGCATTACGATGGAGGCGTTTCCGGTGGCTTGAGGATCCCTTTCCGGGGCTTATTATTCCTTCGGGCAGAGCGACCTGGACAACACAATACTGATTAACCCCAGGTCCGCGGAGGGCGGTCGTTCGAAAGAGTGCAGCGCAGGCCGTGTGTGAAATTGCGAATGTCGTTATCAGGAACTGCTCTCGATCCTTTAGAGCCAATTCCTTGGGCCGATGACGACTTGCGATTATTCCCTGCCTCATACCGTCTGCTAATGAACCCAACATCACCAATGCGACTTTGTCGATGCTCAAAGTACCCTTTCGTCTCTCAATCCTTCCGCCCAGAATCGCAGTGTTGATCGGCTTCCAATACCTACTGTCGCTGGACCACTATGCACCTTTCGGAAATAATGCCAATGCCAACATACCACTTTGTACCTCAGGCTCTGCGACATAATCGGTTGGGATCGATATAATGCGAGTTGCATATTCAATACACCCTAGATGACGCATATTCTCACGCAGATTCGGAGGATTTCATGCCCGCATCCGCAATGTCACAGCTTCCGTCCGCAGATCAATCATATCGTCCCTTGAGTAGCACATTACTTCCGATGACCCTGATTATCGGCAACAGGGACTAAGATATCAGTATCTTCGCTCAGACGTCAAGATGGAGATTCAGGACCAAGTCTAGGCTGCGATTTACATTCTTCAATCGAGTTGCGTCACTAATTGTTTATCGATACATTGGGTTGAACACTGTAGGGCAATGTCGACTTCACGTGTATTGTCGATCAGCCACAATGGACACAAACCATGAACGGCGGCACACAGTGATCGGCAAACAAGTCCGGTTCAACTTGCACTTCGACAGCTGGTAAGCGTAAATAGAGATTGCATTGCTGTAATCCATTACTACGTCATTCATACATCTCTACAACTGGTCCTGCCACTTGAATGCAGGCTTGAAACCAATCTCCTTCTTTGCCTTTTCAATCGACAGCAGAGTATCATTGGGCCCAGAAGTAGTATTGTACTTGACACCTGGGAAAGCCTTCTTGACGAGCTCGTCATTCGATTGTCTCATGCAGGTGTCCTCTGCAGCGATCAAGTACTGATGATGACCCTTTGTCTTGCTGTCCAAAGACTTCGAAACCGCCTGACCACCATCTCTGGCGTCAATGTAACCCCAGCAGTTCCAGTAACGCTTCATAGGGTCATCCTGCCATGCCTCGAAGGTCTTGTATTCTTCCGGCAGCATGACGTTGCTGAATCTCAATGAGATGATCTTGACTTCGGGGTCCCAGCGGGCGTACTGTTCAGCCATGGTTTCGCCGACCAGTTTTGACAGTGAGTAGGCTGACTCTGGTTTTCTTTCGTGCTCTTCTGTGATGGGCAGGGACTCGGGCATGTGGGGGTCGAAGGGGATGCCGATGAGGGTTTCTGAGGATGCGAGGACGACGTTCTTGATCTTGAGCTTGCGGCAGGCTTCGAGGACGTTGTAGGTGCTCATTGTGTTGGTGCGGAATTGTCTTGAGCTGTTGGTCTGTCCGGGGGAGGGGATGGCTGCCAAGTGGACGACGGCGTCAATACCGCTGTATGCCATGTCCTGTATGAGTTGTCAGTACTGGTCAAGGTCGCAGTGTTTGTCAGCACATACAGTTGTCAAGAAGGTCTCCAACACAGCACCCATGTCCTCGAGATCGATCTCGACGAGACGGTATGCGCCACCGAGACCAGACTTGCCATCCTCACTGATACCAGGGGGGCGACGAGTGTCGACTGAGATGACCTCCCAGCCCTCATCAGCGAGATATCTGACTGTTGAGCGACCGAGCTTGCCACTACCACCAGTGACAATGACTCTGCGCTTGTTCTCTCCTCTCTTCGCCTCGCCAAGAGCGAGCTTGTCTGTGAATGATGCTTGAGGACTCATGTTGTGAATTGATTCGAATATGATAAATCGCGACAATGAGAAAAACAGGAGAGACTTGCGACACAATATAACCACTTGAGAAAAAGATCATCTCCGGCAAGAAGGCCGCACGGCTGATGTCATTGCACTGCTGTATTCCTCAGCCGCAGCTTCGTCCGCCCAGGTATTCGGTAGATGGGTTCGGTATAGCTCACGGCGAGCCAATCATGTTGGAAGAGTGGCATACATTTTGTGGGGAGAGCTCCGATTATCCACATCTATGACCCGCATCTCCACATCTTGTCGACTTTAACCGCAAAGAACTTGGCAAGAGCTTCTTTGACAGGTCGTCCACGTTGTTGGATCTCGAAGTCCTTCACACCGTCCGACTTGGGTGTTTACCCCAGGCAGATATCTAGCATCGATTCAGAGGCCAAAAACAGCGGTCTCCCTGGAGTGCAATGCCATGCGTGTTCGCGACAGACCGTGTTTCAGTACTGAGTGACCCTCCAGCAAGATGTACAAAAGTAGGGCTCACAAGAATGGCATCCCTATTTAGGAAGGAGAAAGGAACGTTGCTAGACAAGCACAGACCGCGTTCGTCGCTCATCGCTCCTGCACTCTTCTTTCACCATCTTCACAAAAACATGTGACACGGCACTTCGAACAAAGGCTGTAGGGCTAGAAAGGCGAGAACTCCGAGACCTCTTTTGGGTAATCCGTGTCGCGAAAGCGAGAGCAAGGAAGATCGTGTCGCTCGCATTCGAAAGCTTGTCTAAAGATGTGTGGATGTCGTCGAGTTTTCAGCTTCTGATGCTGATCAACCACAATGGCAGTCCACCCTTACGAGTACCGTAGATCATTTTCGAAAGCAGTCAAATGTTTTGCTATTGCTGTCCAAAAATAAAAGAATCTTCCAAGTCATAGCCTCGACCAAGCATTCATCTCTTGTATACATGAGCACCCTGCCCTCATCGTTCGTGTCGCTTTTCCAGGAGTCAACAAGACCTATAGATTCATTATTGATACCATGAACGGCAAATGGTTGCCAGCAAGCTTATCTCATTGCTTCAAGTGCAATGTGGAAAGTTTGCATAGCAAGGTGCAGTTTGAGTCGGCCCTGCTAGACGACATTTCCAGTCCCTTCCTCTGGTGACACGCACTTTGCTTCAAAAAACTGCCCTGCGCAAGATCACGAAACTTAGCCACTTGAACGGAACGTCGTGGGCTTAGCGGAGCAACATCTGAAAGTGTGGGAGAAAACATTAATTTTCGATCTGTCATGTATCATCTATAAATCTATCATGTCGAGTTGAATCGACTTTCATAACCGCTTTAAAGCAACCAATCAATAAACTTTTCCCATTTCGTCACTGGCTCCTTCTCATTGACTGCGCCGCGTGGGTCAAAGCGGCCAGAGACCAGATCAATCTCTGATGCTCTTGCGATACGTGTGCGCTTTACAATTTTCCAGACAATGTATGGGATGATGTAGATTGCGATACCGATGTAAGAAGCGATGAAGGATCCGGTGCTCCAGTTGCCCTTGAGGAAGACGCTGAAACCAGAGAAAAGGGTGATGATGCCACTGCCGATTGCGCCGACGTAGGCGGCAAGAGGTTGGAGGCGACCCTTCATGGGGAGGGTGTTGCGGTCGATGCCTTGAGCAACACAGGCGTGATGGTAGCGGATGTAGCAGATACAGAGGGTCATCCATGCGAGTAGACCAGCGACAGTGCTGAGGTTGAGCAACCAGGTGAAAGCTTGAGAAGCACCACCAGAGCCGAGAGAGAGGTAGGCAAGAGGACCAAAGGCGAAAGATGCGAGAACAGACCAGTAAGGAACACCTTGACGGTTGACCTTGGCGAAGAACTGGGGCATTTGACGGTCTGCGGCGAGTGCGACAAGCATACGAGAACCGATGTAGCAGTAGCTGTTTCCAGCTGACCAGGCAGAGACCAAGATACAAGCGTTGACGATCGATGGTAGAACTGAGATCCCGGAGTTCTTGATAGCAATAACCCAAGGAGAAGAGTTGGCGTTACCAGTACCAGAAACGAGGTTAGGATCGTTGGAAGGTACAATCATTCCGATGAGGAGCGTACCCAAGACATAGAAGAACAGGATACGGTAGGTGACGCGGTGGACAGCCTTAGGAATAGCCTTGTGGGGGTTCATTGTTTCGGCTGCGGCGACAATAACAGTTTCTACACCGATGTAGGAGAAACTCGCGTTGATGAAAGCAGAAAAGAATGCTAGGAAGTTGCCTTTGCTGCCGGTGATACCGTTGTAATTTGTGAAGGGGCCAGTGGGTGCATGCCAGTAGCGGAACCCGATGGACTTTCCATCGGGAGCACCACCCGAAGTGATGACGATGGAAACGATGACCAGACCCAAGAAGCAAAGGATCTTGATGGATGCGGTGATAACTTCAGCTTCACCAAAGAAGCGAACGTTCATCAAATTAATTGCAAGAATGGCAACGAGACCGACTGTGATGACTACAGCAGGGGTTATGTCCGTCCAGTAAGAGACCACGACAGCGGCAGCAGAGACTTCGGAAGCAATGGCGATAGTGTAGCAGTATCCATATGAGATAGCAAGAGTAAATCCAAGAGCAGGGTCAACAAAACGGGTAGCAAAATGAGGGAAAGATCCAGCAGTGGGGAACTAGGCTATGTTAGATTTCTGCAATGGGATTCTTTGTTTCATCATCACTTACCAGAGTAGCGATTTCACCAACTGACTCCATGACACACCACAAGATCAGACCGACGACGGAATAGGCGAGCAAAAGACCAAGAGGACCAGCACTTGCAAGAGCACTTCCAGTTCCGACGAAAAGACCCGTTCCAATACCACCACCGAAACCGATGAATGTGACGTGTCGTGCTTTCAGTCTTCGGTGAGTTTTGCCGACACCACCAACACCATATACAGCATCATGATCTCCAGATCCAGAAACAAAGACCTCCTCTGAGTTGGACTTGTAGATCGACTTGTCATCTCCATTTGAAGGTCCAGCAACATCTGCCCCGTGCTCGAAAGTCATGATTGCAGGAAAAGAATCTGGGGTGAGTCTGGAGACAACTCCAATTGACTGACTCAAGTCGAGGGAGTGGTAAAACTGTTGGCGTTTGGGGAAGATGGACAAGACAGAGAAAAAAATGATCAGAAGTTGGTCATAGAATCTCTTTTAAGCATCTTGAAGAAAAATTTCTTCCTCAGTCGTGCTCAACGCCTGGAGAGCACGCAATGTCGCAAATCACCAGATTTAGAGTTTTCGCAAAGCGTTTCCAGAACATGTTCCGCCTTCCGGGGGCGAAGCTTCTTTTCGCGCCGAGATCAAGGAATGGGTGCTTGGTTAGGGCAACAATATCCTGCACCTCTGCTTCGATGTCGCGTGACTTGTTGCCTGTTTAAGCACAATCAAGATATGGTATGCAGACCTGGGAACAACATGCAGGGAAAGCGGTCCGGCACGACGACATGAGACCCTCGATCGCAAGCACAAAAGATCGTCCTTGATTTTGTTCGAGACCTTCAGGTTCCGGAGACCACCGATGGCAAGCTGGGGAAAACGCTCGCTCATCTCAACGAATTTTTGTGTCATCGAGTCAGTGCAACACTGCGACGCGTACGATCAATGCTGGACATGTTGAAATGCTGTCGCTGATACTCGGAGGACATGAATTCAACCGGCGGCCATGGGATGTGGAGGTCGTGAGTTGTTGTAGGCGCGTGGCCTAGGGATGATGCACTTGGGGAAATAACGCAGTGGGTTCGCGACCAGTGTCAAGCTGCGCGTCGAGCACGAGCAAGACAGGGAGAGCTGGCAATCATCTGCAGTCAGTTCACGAAGGCACGCTGAAATCACGCTTCGCGGTCCACCATCTCGAACGAGCTACGTCGAACGCGGCTGCGAGCAACAGCAAGTGTAGGATGACTTGGTGAGGAGTAAGTTGAGGAGATGACAAAATAAACAGGTGGTGAAAGTAGGTAGGTCAGGGTCATGCCTAACCTCCCAGAAGTGGTCCGTTCACCGGCGATGCCCTTCCAGCCACCTCACTCCCACCTCCCTGTTTCGAGCTACAGCGATAAGCCTTATCTGTTCCCGCGACTCCCTCCTACACTTGGAACAACCAAAACAACAGGGCTTCTGCATCGATCTCCAGCAAACGTCTTCCAGCTGTCAGGCTGCATTCTCAGCACCCCACGACCTCTGAATCTTGCATCCACGCAGCACGTAAAATGTCGAGCTCTCAGGAGATTATAATCCCGCGGCCAGGCGACACAAACACGAAACCTCAGGCGCCGATCCCAGGATCCACAGAGGAAGAGTTTACATCAACATTCGGCTCTCTACTCCCTCCCGCTCAGTACCTGGAGGCTGCGAATGGAAAAGTGGCATATTATACCTATTCCCCCGCTCAACCCTCATCTCCAACCTCCCGCATCCTCTTCCTCCACGGCGTCCAAACCCCCTCTCTCGGTCTCCAACCCCTAGCAGAATCCCTCCACTCCATCTTCCCAACTACAGAATTTGTCCTCCTCGATCTGTACGGCCATGGTCTATCCTCTACTCCTTTGATCCCCCACACACCATCACTTTTCCACGGTTTAATCGACGACCTTTTGACACATTTATCCTGGCCCCACTGTCATGTCCTAGGCTACTCCTTTGGCGCCGCAACAGCAATTTCTTATATATCATCCTCTCCCACCCGCTGTGCAAAAGTGAAAAGTTTGACATTAATCGCACCAGCCGGTCTTTGGAAACCTCAGCCCTTTTTCCCCCAGAAATTCGAGAGTGGGGATTACGCAGAATCTCGCGATTATATTCTAAATCTACTTGAAGGTGGTGCTCTCATCGTCCCCTCTGACTGGAGTACCCGAGTACAAAAGGGGGAAATCGTCGCCGAAAAGATCAGAGAATGGCAAATGCATCACCATCCAGGTCACACGGCTTCTGTAATCGCTATTGTGAGGGATGGAGGTGTCATGGGACAAGAAGATGCTTTTATCTTCGCTGTAAACAGCAAAGTTCCTATATCAGCGGTATTGGGAGAAAGCGATGATGTAGTGTTGGAAGCTGATTTGAGGGCTGTTGGGGTGGGGAACGTGGTTATTGTAAAGGGGGCAGGACATGCTGTTGTGAGGGAAAATGTTGGGGAGGTTTGTGCTGCGGTGAGGGGTTTTTGGGGGGATTTGGGGGTGTAAGAAGAAGGGGGAGGGGTGCTGTGTGGATGGGCCAATCAGGAGTCATGTCCACAAAAGGTCTTGTACCTGTCTATTCACTGCATACAACAAAAGCGCTCCTTAGTATAACTCACTTGTGTATACACCTTTAGCAGCAAACAACTTTATCAATATGACAGAATAAACCAAAAAGAAGTGCGAATTTATACATAAGCTACGATAATCCTTCCCGCCCAACATTCGCTATGCAAGAAAAAGGAAAAAGAAGCCACAGAGTCTAGAGCAAGAAAGCAGCAGCACCAAACAATGCAGCAAGACCGCCCTGTACACCAGCTCTACCAGCAGCACCAGTATAGGCAGAAACAGTCGAAGAGGCAGTTCTGCTTGCTGTGCCATTGACCACAGCACCAACACTGCTAGTAATAGATGCTCTAGCAGAAGTAACACTAGCAATCATACTCGTGACAGGCACAGCAATCAAGCTCGTAACGCCAGACACAACGCGAGTAGAGGTACCGTACTCAGCGCCCTCAACACCTGTACATCTGCCCGCGAAGCAAGAGTTGTAACTGCACTGCTCGTTGGAGGTGCAAGTAGCGTTGTAAGGACCACAAACCATACCGTTCGCAAACTCCTGGTAAGCAGAGGAAACCGTGCACTCGGCGCCATTCATGCACTGAGAAGTGGCATTACAGCTCTTGCCAAGCGGGATCAAAGACCCGGCAGCCGTAGAGGCGGATCCAGCAGCTGTAGAAGTAGAGGAAGGCTTGTTGGCAAGGTAAGAAGCCTCAGGCAAGAAACCATTGCAAAGACCGTTTTGGCAAGTGTTGGTGGCGCACTGAGAGTCAGAGGAGCATTCAGAGTTGAACTTGCCGCATGACTTGATTTGCCATGCTGTGCTGGCGAAACATTCAGCGCCGCCGGCACATTGCTCGGTGGTGGCGCATTGGGCACCCAAAGGCAGAGATCCGGCGGCTGCGACGACGGTAGAGCTAGGAGCGGGCATGATACCTCCAGCAGTAGAGATGGGCATGATAGACATCATAGGTTCCGAGCTCGTTGAGGAAGGCTGGGCAAGGTAAGCCGAAGAAGCAAGGAAGCCATTGCAAAGACCGTTGTTGCAAGTGTTTGTTGCGCATTGAGAGTCGTTATCACAAGCGGCGTTGTATTTGCCACACGAAGTGATTTGCATAAAGTTAGAGGCAAAGCATTGAGCTCCACCGGCACACTGTTCAGTACGCGCGCACTCTGCTCCTAGAGGAAGAGTGCCTGGGTCTGCGACAACAGTCGATGAAGGAGCAGGTTGAGCTCCTTGAGCATTGACAACAGCAACCGCTGCGGCGACAGCGAAAAGCGAGGAACGCATCGTGTCGGGTATATCTGAGATGTAGATGGGGCTTGTCGGTTGTCAAGAAGGTGATGGACGGTAGATGGCGAGAGATTGATAATGTTGTAAAAAAGATGCTGATGGGAAAGAGTTAATTGAAAGAGGACTTGCATACACATTTATAAACTCAAGGTCCACCTATCGCCCCCGCCCGTGATCGTACAACCATAATCATGGTTTGAGAGTCAAGAGGCTGGTTACGGATGGTCAGAGGCCGGTGCAGAAGAAAGTCGACCCCGCAGCGTCATAAAGATACTGTTTTTAGAATAACGTTGATGTTCCAAGCCACATCCGCTCGTGTTGATCTTGGTCGAGGCTCTTGGCATCAAAGCCAGAGAGCCTCGGCGCTGTGACTCGGCCGGGTATAGCTGGATAGCTCGATACCACGTCGATGATCAGTTCGTGATGCTTGATCTCATGCAAGATTGTTCGTGCTTTTTCCGTGTTGAGGGCTATATGTAGCTTCGCTTTTCGTGCTTGAGAATTCGCTTGGATAACATTCCTTCTATGTACTCGTATCCATGCCGCTTGTAGTATCATCATTGTCGTACAGTCCCTGCATGTCGTCTCTTGCCCATAGCTTGACGGTACGGTCGTAGCTTGAACTGACGATCCACTTGGCGTCGCTGGTTACATCTGTGGAGAGCACATGACCAGAATGGCCACTCAGACTCTTGCACAGTGCCCAATCGTCGGCAGAGAAGATCTTGACGTTTCTGTCGAAACCCGAACTGACAAAGAAAGTGCCGCTGTTTTGGGGGGCAAAGTCTTGGGTGTCGTTGTGTCTGTTGAGGGCCTTTCCGCTCAACGGACTGTCCGTACCCTTGAACCAGCGAAGATCAGTGACACCGCCCTTGTGAGCACCTATCGAAGCAGTCTCTTTCATAGCGCGAATATCCCAGCACTTTGCGAAACCGTCTCCTGAACCAGTCATGACGCGGTAACCATCAGGACTCCAATCAAGACCGTAAATGGGGGCAATGTGACTTTCGAGATACAAGACACGACGCCCACTTCGCAGGTCCCACAGGCAAGCAATACTGTCTAGTCCAGCACTAGCAAGAAGAGAACCGTCTGTGTTGAAAGCGACAGTGTATGCCTCGTGCGAGTGACCTTCTTGGAGAAGCAGTTCTGTAGTCGTCTCGACGTCCCAAAGTCTCCAGGTTGTGTCGTATGATGCAGAAGCCAAGTACTTGCCAGAAGGGTGGAACTCGGTACGGCAGACTCTGCCCGTGTGGCCCGAAAGTGTCGAGATGGGCGTGTCTTGATTCAGCGACCAGAGATGGATGTTGCCCTCACCACCACCGGAGGCCATGTTCAGGCTGCCCTCTGACACAGTCGTGCCATCGAGAGTTGAGCCAGGGAACCAAGAGATACCGCTGACCTGCGCCGTGTGACCGCGGAACACACCCTTCTCTTCCAAGTTCGGCACGTCCAACAGCTTGATGGAACCACCCCAGTTTCCAGCAGCAACCATCTTTCCATTTGGCGAGAATCGGGCCATGCTGACTGGTCTTTCTCCTGCGATTTGGGAACCAAACAACTCGAAGCCTGACAGCCTGTCTTTGACGTGATTGCGGTGGTCGACATGTCGTTGTAGCGGAATGGCCGACTCGAGTCGTTGGAAGTGCACGCGCTGTTGTGTCCTGGGCAGAGAGAAGCGCGCAATTTCTTTTCTCGCCTCAACCAACTCGTCGACGCCTTCTGTGTAAAATTCCTGCTCTTCCTCGTCTTCTGCCTCGTCATGCACGTCCATGGCGACATGTTCGCCTGTGGACTCTTGTTTGGCGTACAGCAACTCTCGCAAGCGATCCCTTCGATCTTCTGGTCGCTCTCCGAATAGCGTGATGGGCTCTCCGATCTCTCGTAACCTTGCGCGGACTCTGACATCGTCTGTCGGTACGGCGATGGCGTTGGCCTTTCGCTTGCGGTTGAATTGTGCAATCACATCGGCGGCTTTTTCTTGACCACCTCCAGCTGATGGCATGTAATAATCCGTATCGAGCGGGACATTGGAGAGGTCATATGTCATGTCGGCATCCTGAATTAGAGTCTGAGTCAGTACTGGTCGATAGCTGGAAATGCTTGTGAAGGTGCGCAGATGGCTGTCAGAATTGGGGAAACTTACCTCAGCCTCCTCCTCGACATAGGCTTGCCGTGACGGGTGTATTGACATGATGGCGGTGGGTTGTGATGTTATGCGCAAGTCTTGGACTTTCTCGTAAGAGCAAGCATCAGCAGGCCAAAGAAGTGACTGCGGCAGTTGCCATCCCCGGATTTTCCAGACTCGAGTCAGTCGCGGCATGACGTGCGGAGCCGAGGGAAAGTTTTGGGAAGGAACGTCTTTGGAGCAATCTCAATCCGGTCCATGTTGTTGTTGCCTGTTTCTGCCTTGTTGCTGCTCCTTCTCCATCTGTCCTTCCAGCTCAAATATGCTATAGACGCCCAAAGACTCATGTCCACAACAATGTCCCTCCGTCGAACTCTTCTCCGCCCGCGACTGCCTTCAAAGGGCCGACCTTTTGCTTCTTCCTCACCAATCAGGGCCCAATCGACCCATGCCCCATTCACATACCGCCTCGGTGCCTCTAGTAGTGGCAAGTCGAGTCCTGTAGCTCCTCCAAGCGACAACAATGTCTTTCCTCAATCACTGCTGGACCGCGACGATCCCTATTTCAACTCTATGGACAAGTTCTCTGGAGAAGATGCCTTCTTCATGGCCAAAATAGCCCGCAGCGACAGACATGTTGTCTTTGGCCTCGCCGACGGAGTAGGAGGCTGGAGAGACTCAGGCATTGATCCTGGGAGATTCTCGCATGGCCTTTGCAGATACATGGCGCAAAAGACACACCGGCCGGACGCGGAAGCAGATCTGAAGCCTCGCAACCTGTTGCAATTCGGTTATGAAAAAGTCATGAGTGACAGGAGTGTCCAAGCTGGAGGCTGCACTGCCTGCATTGGTGCCATTGAGCCCTCGGGCGCTCTAGAAGTCGCAAAGTGAGTTGCTTGATCATGCGCCATGTAATGTTGTTGACCACTCTCAGCCTCGGAGACTCTGGCTTCCTCATCCTCGCGCCGGGCAAAGTCTCGTTCATGTCCCCTGCACAAACACACGCCTTCAACACGCCATACCAATTGAGTAAGCTCACTCCACGCATGCAAGCTCAGAACCGCATCTTCGGCAATACTGGCCAAATCTCAGAGACACCTGCTCAGTCAGACGTTACGACGCATTCCCTCCATCACGGTGAGCTCGTCATCTTCGCAACAGACGGTGTCTTGGACAACCTATCAGGCATGGACATTCTCAACATTGTACAACCCATCATGGAGAAGCGTGGCTACTGGTCTGCCGCGGAAGGTGTCGAGTCAAAGGGAGCAATCATCAAGGCTGACAAGCTGCGAGACCCGAAAGAATCTGGAAACCTCTCCAACCTCCCCTCAGAGTTGGCGTACTCCATTATGAGAAACGCGAAAATTGCTGGCATCGACACTCGTAGAGATGGCCCCTTCGCAAAGGAGGTTCACAAGCACTTCCCGAACGAAGAATACCACGGTGGAAAGCCTGACGATATCGCCGTCATTGTTGCGCTGGCCGTTCAAGATGGTGCTCTCAAGGCAAAGCTTTGATTGTTTGCTACATATACTGATCTCTGCATGGTACTGGCGTTGGAGGCGTCTCCGTTTTGGTTGTTTTGGAGTCGAGAGGCGTCTGGGGAATCTTTTTCTAGGCAAGCTACTTGCTTGCGGCCACTCCTCTATGTATCGCTATACCTTGACGCAGCTTCGTACGAATTAGATACACTACTCGCTAGAGGCATTCGCCAGACCGAATACGAAATGTAACCTCTCATCACGCTGTCTTGCGTCGCTGATCTCGCTATCAGCGTTCGCTTGTCGTACACGCTTCCGGCGCTGGCTCATCATCTCCACACGCATGCCACTGTGGACGGGTGAGAGCGACGGAACTTGGCTTGAGACGCACTCAATCAATATGATTTGATACCAAAACAAGATAACGTTACCAATAAGCCATAGAGGGAAACAGAGAACCTCAATAGAGGTGTCCAACATATGGTCAAGGTGACCACTGCCGCAGCGTGTGGATGCCAAGACTTTCGGACTTGCGCTTTCTTCTCCGGTCAAACTAATTGCTCGACATCAAAACTACCAGACAGGAGATACTCGAACACCAAAACACTGCTCGGATTATCCAGCTCATCGAAAACCTACTGGAACCATCTAAACTGGATCAAGGTTCTCCCTGCATCTTGCGGCGACATTGAACATTCTTGTGGAAAAAAGAAACCTCACTCTCTCTCTCTCTCTCTCTCCCTCTACGCGGGACTTTGAAAGCCATCTCCAAAAACTCATCGCAACAACGCGAATTTGAGAGACAAGACTGGAAACAATACAAAAGGATCACGTCTTTGAGCAAAGAAAATTTCCCCGCCTTGTGATACCGGATCATGCTGGACATTGGAAAAGAAACCACTCTTCCAGCGCCAAAATGTTATTTTAGCAGCACAACACTTCCCTCTTACCTTGACCCCGCTCAACAACCTACGAAAAAGGCGCCATTCAATCTATTGCATAGCGCGCCCTACTACAACACTCTGACTTTCCTATCACCGACTTCTTCGACACTGACGTCAACTCTCTCTGGTCTAGCAACGAGATATGCAAAATTACAGTTAACGTTACTGGATCTTCTGACAGGAGACTTGTTCAACAAACACATCAAGACAGGGAATGTGTTGTTGTACTCAACACCCCTCCATCTCTCAACTTCCTCATCTTCAGCAACTTTCACCCTGATAGATGGTATTCTCACCATTCTTTGCGATAAAGCAAGCTATGAACGAGCAGGACTCCAAGGCACGTCCATCCCAGACCCTCACGCCAGAAAACACGGACAATCAAAATACAAGACCGAAATGAACCTCCGCCTTCCCTCCATGCTGGCAGGGAAAAAGGGGTTTGAGAGATTGGTAAGAGCGGCAAGAGATGTCTTTACGGGTGAAATTAGCTGGTTATTCTACGACAAGTCTACTTTTGGCGTTGATGCAGAAGATGACAGTCTTGGTGTAAGTTCACACGTCGAAAATGTTGTACCCGAGACGATGGATATGGAGAATGTCTGCACTCCTCACTGGCCAAAAGACATGGGCAAGAAAGCGCAAGATGACGTTATGGAGGTGTTGGAATGGCTGACTCTCGCCGCTATATCTTCTCCTCGTATACAACAAGCAGATGTGGTAGATGAGATTATTTCCCGCTATGAGCCGCCTGAGGAGTCTTCACCACAGAATATCACGAAAACCTCCTTTACAGGCTTCTTGCCAACGAGATTCGTGGCGGATGCTTTTGCCAAAGCTGTTATTACATCACAAGGAGAGTGGTTTGCGGTCTTGGTGCAAGGGTTTGGAGGAAATGGCGAGCAAGGCAAGAAATTTGTAGTGTTGAAGACGGAGGATGGGAGGGCGTCGAGTTGGGATGTCGAGGGTTGATGGGTGTTCAGTAAAGTAAGCAGAAGAAATGTACGAGAGCGGCAGCAACGGAAGGGGATTATAATAGCATGTCTTGACGAAGGGAGCGAGGGGTAACGATTATCATAAGCTCGCTGACATGAAATGTGACAACATTCAACAAGATCAGACGAGCCTTCTGGCAAGATCAATCAAGGTGTTTCTTGACAATCTCCGAAGTCCGTGTATATGTACCATGTACCATGTAGAAAGAGTGATTAGTGATGGGAAACATGATGAGCTCCAAGCTCCAGACGGAGGTGAAGACCGCAGTGGTCCGTGCACATTCGAGTCAATGAAGGCGGACGGATTCCCCGGCCAAAAACAAATCTGCTCCTTCCACTTGCGCAAACAAAACGCCGTCACTCACAACAAGACAACACAAGACAACACACACATGATGGGATCCACACCGGCAACAGCGGCAAGCGCACAGCCGCCCGTCACAATCGTCTGCGTCGGCATGGCAGGCAGCGGCAAAACGACCTTCATGCAACGCATCAACTCACACCTCCACTCGAAACAAACACCACCCTATGTCGTGAACCTGGATCCTGCAGTGCGCAAAGTGCCCTTTGACTCCAACATCGACATTAGAGATAGCGTAAACTACCGCGAAGTCATGAAGCAATACAACCTGGGCCCCAACGGCGGCATCCTCACATCTCTAAACCTGTTTGCGACAAAAATCGATCAAGTGCTGGGCATTCTGGAAAAGAGGTGTTTACCGGAGATGCAAGAGAAGGGGCAAGAGCACAAAGTGCCCAAACATGTCTTGATCGATACACCGGGCCAGATTGAAGTCTTTGTGTGGTCGGCGAGTGGAAGTATTTTGCTGTCTTCGCTGGCTTCGTCGTTTCCAACTGTTTTGGCCTATGTCATTGATACACCGCGCACCACTGCCTCGACATCAACTTTCATGTCAAACATGCTCTATGCAATCTCCATCATGTACAAGACACGCCTGCCCATGATCCTCGTCTTCAACAAAAACGACGTCAAGAGCGAAGAAGAAGCCATCGACTGGATGCGCGATTTCGAATGCTTCCAAGAAGCCCTGCGCAAGGAAGAAGAGGAGGAGGCTGAATCTGGCACTGGAGGCAGTGGATACATGGGCAGCTTGCTCAACAGCATGAGTCTTGTGCTGGAGGAATTCTACAATGGTCTTGCTGTGGTGGGTGTGAGCAGTATGACAGGCGCGGGCATTGACGCTTTCTTCGAAGCCGTGGAAGAGAAGAGAGAAGAGTTCAACAAAGACTACAAAGCCGATCTCGACCGCAGAAGAGTCGCCCGCCATCAAGAAAAAGAAGCAAATCGTGAAAAGGAAGTCGCCAGAATGATGAAGGACATGCGTGTAGGAGGAAGCAATAAGACACGCACACCAAAGGAAGAACCCGAAACTGTCTCAGAAGCCGAAGAGGAAGACGAAGACAACCAAGGCTTGGTGGAGCGAGACGAGGATGAAGACGTCAGTCAGGAGGGCTTGCAAAAGAGATACCAAGAAGCCTTGACAACAGGCCACATGTCCGGCGAAGACCTAAGTTTCGCAAAATACGTCCAAGCTGCCGGTATGCAGAAGAAGTAGAGAGTTGGCTTTTGATAATTTTGCCCCCCTTGCTACTTGTTTAACAATAAACAATTGACGATTTACGATGCACCCCCTTCCCTTTCACTCCCCCATTCTCAGAAGAAAAATCTTGAGACGACGCCAAAAAACCACCCGTCTCTTTCTATACTCGGATATTCAGGCTTTATCCGGTATGATTTTTAGTAATATCTTGAAATAACGTGGCCATCACAAAACACAACAAAGGGGTTTCCGAAGCTGGGGATTCTTTTCATAGCATGATTTGAAGATTTGAAAAAAAACTACAAGAACGTTTCAATCGTGTGGGCCAATTGCCGGTGTTAAGCGTGCAGTAATAAAGTTTGCGAGTACTTGCCACAAGCGCGAGTCTTAGTTAATGTGTAGGTGTTTGTTTCTTATGCTTGAAGCAAATGTGTAGGAGGGATGAAGGGGGAGGAGGAGTAGAGTCAGAGGTTTATAATATCGATGGAGAGGTACTCCATTCTATGATAAGGCTTAAAACCGAGGTGGAATTCTTTCTCTTACCCCATATTAGCAAAAATTGTACGTCTAGAAACAAAATATAATAGAGAGTATTAGCGTTAAATTCTTCTTGCTCCTGCCCGTTGCTCAACTTGATCGGTGGACAACTGTAATGGAATATGCTGATCTCCGTGTATCTAGATGACTAGTCTTATCATGCCTCTTCCGCAATCCATCAATTTACTCTTGGGGATGTACGGTACTCTCATGGTTGACATGTAGAAGGGCAGCTTTGATATCGTAGCCTTGGAAAGAATTGCTCAAGCTGGCGTCGAAGCTACGAATTATGGTTAACCACATCTCGATGAGCATAATGTCAATTCTAGTCACTATACAAACTCATTGACGGACAGCAAGAAGCCTCCCTTTTCCTCGGTGAGATAGACCGAACTCCAGAAAGCAAGTGTTCAGATAACTATAGAATAGGCCATGACCTACGACGACAGTTCTGTTCTGTCATCAGACATTCCGGCTTTACAACCGAGCTTTGGAAATCTTCCACCTCCCGATCTTGTCCGAGCTCTACGTATAGCGCCTTCTGCATCACAATTGCGGACAGGACATGGAGAGAAGCCAATGGGGTCGCCAGACTCTCAGTCTCTCGTGATGGAAATTTTGTCAAAAACGTCATTGCTCTTATACTTATTAAGCCACCGAAAATGAGTGAGATAGCAAGATACTCAAATGATATAAAGACCCGTGAGGCCCGCTTACTCGCCTGTCTCCGAGCTGTGCCTTCACTAGAGGTTGAAAGTTTGATCGAGAGTAAAAGCAAATGCACTGACCTCTACCTAGTCTGCTTGTAGTACTTTACGTAGATGACCAGGCAGAAGTTGGAAGAATCGTGACGATTTATGGTTGACTCCAGGGTAGATCCCTTGAGTTGGTTGCCGAGCAACTGAGAGCTGACGACCGCATCGAGGGGTGTGGAATGTTCTGATAGTTGGTTGACAAGACCATAGTGTATTAACATCTATCCAAGCAGGCTTCAGAATCCATTAGATTATATGCAATATCATGCTTTTCTCTCGGCCCACCTTCACGCAGATGCATTGACTAGACACTCCGGCTTGCTCGGGTTTCTTGCTCTTCCAACACTCAGTCCTCTTTGTCTAGCCACATACATGACTCTCTCAGGATAGTTGCTGATGATAGCATCAACGCCATCATCAAGCAATTTGCTAATCGTAACTTCGGCATCCACAGTCCATGGGATGACCTGCATGTCCAACGCGTGAGCTCTGTCCACGATATCCTTGGTGGTGAATGGAACGTAAAGAGGGCTGTTGACAGTAGCATCACTCGAGTTACCAGTACCGTGATTTGGCGAGAGGATCGATGAGCCGATAGAACGTGCTGCGGCTACCCAGTCACCGTTGAAAGAGTCGAGGTCGACACCACCCAGCCAGGGGTAAACACTGTTTTCCAGCCAGGGGTAGGTCTTGTTAGTCTCGTCAGGCACGACTGTCGTCTCATCGAGCAAAGCCACGATAGGCACTTCGGGGTATGCGGAGTGGATGCCGATGAGAGTGCGCCAATCGAAGGACTGGATGGAAGTGCGAGACTCAAAGCCGTGCTTTTGGAGAATCGGGACAAGATCAGTAATGTATGTGTCTACTGAAAGAGTCTCATTTGGTGCTGTAGGTGAGAGCTTTGTTTCGAGGTTGATTGTCACCCCCTTGTCGCCGTAGCAGTTTACCAGCTCCAAGACTTCTTCCAGAGTTGCGATTGTGGTGCCAGGGTGGACTTTAGTCTGTGAGCTTGTGGTCCTGCATTCGAAGTCAAGTGTCACCTACGTTCTTGCTGAGGATGAGCCGCAAGTTGAAGCGAGCAATCAAGTGTTTTGACTTGTGCAAGTGTCAAGTTGGCAATGTACTGGCCAACATACTCTCCCGTGCACTTGGTAGGATAGATCCAATGCTATTACAGCGGTCAGCCAAAGCATCGTCGAAGTGCTCAGGCGAAGCTCTTACATCATGCCAGATCACTGGGACACCATCACTCGTAAACACAGTATCCATCTCGAGCACATCAACGCCAACCTCCTGCATTACTTTCAGCTACAATTCTTGCTGTAGAGCATCATTCGCAGACATACCATAGCGTGGGCAAAAGCCTGTGATTTTGAGATCAGTCATCATGATTCAATGCAGTACTTGCTCTTAGGACTCACCCAAAGAGATTCCTCATCTCTCATACCCAAGCCACCGCGGTGACCTTGGACCTCTATCCTCCCAGTCTTATCAAGATAAGGAATGGTAAATGGCATTGCATTGACAGCATTGATAACCGTAAGACCAGCAACAAGAGCGAATGAAGGCGACATAGTGAGGACGACTCAACCAGGATGACGAAGACAGTAAGTACGGAGCGGAGGTGAGAGACAATGTCGACATATCGAGAGATAGGGCATGATACTTATACCTGATCACAGATAACTTGTCTCGGCTACACCTCAGACCGGACATCCGCACGTGGAGGAAACGATACGCTTGTTGGATGTGTGAGTTCGCTTGGCAGAGTAAGCCATGCAGCTCAAGCCGGATTGATGATCCTTATACCAGCAAAGAGGCCGGCATCACACATGAACGGTTCTCTCAATCGGATGTCCTAAGCGAGCGCGACAGACAGTCGTGCATGGAGTTTCTGAATTCATTTGTTTGGATGGCTGTGAGAGGAGCGCGAAAGAGTTGTTCTTCCGTGGTTGTTGACAGGAAGTAGAAGTGTTTTGTCGATGACGTGCAGCCTTGACTTGACAGAGTTCGCCAAGGAGAGATCTACAAGGTCAACCATGCTGCCAAGAGACCTTACAAGCGGCCGCTCTTTTTTCCCGCAGCATGAGAGCTCCGATCGGTGATGGGTGTTGTGGACAATGATTTCTAAATTCGCTTTTGTATTTGTTACATCAGACAACTCGAGACAACTTCCTCCCTCGACTGAAAAGCCTCGTGCGCAAATACTCCTTCCTCGCACGTCTATACTAATTCTTGCAAACGTTCAACTTAGCGACAGAAGGATCATGGTCTGAGATCTGCTCATCTCTGGTGACCCAGGTGTTAATGTGTACATGCTCGTACTGCGCCTTTGGCTTTAAAGCCTGGCTGATGTACATGTGGTCAAGTTCCTGGCTATTCATGTCGAACAGATAGGTGTATCTCTCGAGAGCTGGGATGTTGGCAGCCTCATCGAGATCGCGTAGATTCGAGACTGCGAGGAAGTTCTCGAGGGGCTGTACGAAAGCAAACTCATTAAAATCACCAGCGACGATGATGTTAGCCTTCTTGTCTTCTGCGAGAATATCTGCAACGAAGTCCTGATCGTTGTTAGTATAATGTTGGGGAAATGTTCTAAGAAAGACTCACAGCAGTCAACTGCATCTGTTCTTGACGATCCTCAACACCTCCATTGACTGGAGGACGAGCATCTCCTTCAATTGAGGAAGAACCTCCCTTGCTTCCGAAGTGAACATTGATAGTGAAAAATGAGTTCTTGCCATCCAAAGTCTCGAATGCGGCGACCAACGGCTTACGACTGGCTGTCCAAGCAGGATTGAGAGGATCGATACGTCCAGGGTTGTACTTGAGTTCCGGACCAGGAAGGACTTCATTCGCATCTGTGCTTGAGCCAAAGTTTGGTTTCCTCAACTGCAAAACATCGGGGTTGTAGAGATAAGCAGTACGAATATTGCCACCGGGAGCACCACCGTCTTTGTCGTCAACTGGGTCAATCTCAACAAACTCATACTCGGGTCCACCAATGCTGGCAATAGCTGAGATCAAAGTGCTGAGAGTCAAATTTGCGGTCACTACAGCATCGTTGGTCTCTCCGTTGTTGTCTTGAATCTCCTGGACGAAGACGAGATTGGGGCTGCGGAGATAGTTGACAATATGGTCAGAGATGTTGACAAGGTGGTCAGAGCCTGCCCACAGGTTCTCAACGTTGTAAGAGCCCACAGTCAGGCCGCTACAGTCGCCATTGGATACAAGGCTAGTGGCTGGTGGAAGTACAGGCTCGACACCCTTGGTGATTTTTAGCGCAGTCAGAGGCAGAATGGTGTAGTAGCCGAAGGAGTAGCTGACGACTCCAGTAATATCACCGAGTGTGTCTCCGACTTTGGTGATCACTGGGTTCTTTGAGCCATCAAGCGGCGAGCCAATGATGATGGCCTCGGGATTGGCATCTGTAACTCGTTAGCCTCAGGTCATATCGCTCACGAATCCACTCAACACACCTTTGTCGACAGTTGTCAAACCGCCACGCTCGTTCAAACCAGTCACCTTCCAGTCACCCACAACCCACGTATCGCCATAGTTGTTAGGCTTTGTCAGTGCGTGAGCACCTTTCACAGTGACAAGCTCGCCACTGAGACTTTCCCAGAAGTCCATACCATAATTACGGGGGATCAATGTAGGGTTGGAGACTGAGATCAAGCTGACATTGTTGGGCACACCAAAGACGTCACCATTATCCAGTGCGGAGAAGGCTTTGTTGGGAGGGCTCAAGGTATCTCTGCCAATGACAAGAGGGCTTGTAGCACTGCCAGACGAGACTTTTCGTACCAGCTTGGGGTTGATGATCTCCGTCAAGTAGACATATGCTTTGGTTGATCTGTACTCTGTCACAGTGCCGTTGAGCTCGATGATGTCTCCCACTGTAATGTTCTTGCCGAAGTTGCGGTCAAAGACATAGACAGACTCCGAGGTCCTGTCGTCCTTGTCGGGGATCGTTGAACGTATCCAGATACCGCTTGGTCCTTTGGCAGTAACGAGGCCATTGACGTTGGTCACGTTTTTGCCGTTGTATGGCGACAAGTATTTGTTGCCATTGATCTGGCTGATGGTTTCAGCAGACACAATTTGTCCGCTAATTGAAGCAGCAGTCAAGAGCTGTAGGTAGGTACTACTAATCTTCATGATGATGATGTAGAAAGGAAGTGATTGTGTGTGAGTTCCGGAGCCATGCTGGTCGCATGTAGCTTTGTGATATACCTTCCATGGTCTTGACTTACTTGACTGTGCCCTGACGGCGACCTCCTATGACCGCGGCTGATAAAAGCGAGTCGATATGCACAGTCAACACGTTGTCAGGTACGGCCATTGTTGATTGGATTGTTCCTGGGCAAGCGCGAGAAGCTAGGAAAGATGGCGGGAGATCTTTCGAGCGCGGCGAGACTTGGCAGTACTTGGCATGGATTACCGACGACCTCTTATCTCTGCACCGTGTCGGAGGTCGCCTTGGATAATTGGTTATCTCCCTTCTTGCCTGGTCTTGTCCTAAGAAGCGCCAAGTTCATGCCATATGCTTGTATGAATGCTCTGCGATTCTAGCCTCAGCACGGAATATCATCACAATCATCCGCACATAACTTAGCCGATGGACCGAGGCAAGGAAAACTTACAGATGAGGCAGGTGAGACTTTCGAGACGAAAAGCACACGCCCGGATATCGCCTATCATCACGAGTCGAAAATGTCAAGAAGACATGAAGATCTTGATACGATTCGCATTGTTCCCCAGACCACCGACTTCAATATTTGACGCGAAAATCGTCGACATACCCACTTATCAGATGCTTGACAAGCTTGGCTGACCGTCCCATGTCGTCGCTGATTCACTACACAAGCTGTTCATTGACAAGCACCTGAGTGGCAGTTGCCTTCACCACCTAGAGATGAGCATTAGCGACAGGACTCCTTTTCCAAGCATTGTGTCGTAACTCACAGTACGTTTCACCATCACCGGATCAGACTCGCTTCGCCACAATAGTACTAAAAGGAGAACTTGACATATCGAGAGACGAATCCATCCTGCTCGCAGATCTCAAGCACCGCAACTTTACACCCATCATTAAGCGTGATAGCGTCGTCAACAAGAAGAGGAAACGTGGTGCCAAAGACGTCGGAGACATACTGTCAGGCCACGAACATCTGTTTTAATATGACCATCTCATCTATGACCAAAGAAGCCAATGGAAGAGCTCGAATCGACAATCGGCAGCAAGAAGACCGAGCTAATCTCTCTCAGACAACAACACAATACCAGAAGTGTGGGAGAAAAGACTTGCAAGCTTTTCGAAACAGTTTGGGACGAGAAGCTTCGGCAGGATCGAACTCTCGATCGCAGAATCCCCACATGTAAGAGATGCGGTGGTCTTGGTTGTGAAATTGCAAGCGCGTCAGATCCTTCTTGATCACAACGACCTAGTTTTTATGGCGACAATAGTATCGCCTTTCCGTCTGATATCTAACCATCAAAATTGGCTGGTAGTGAATTCATGCTGTATTGTGTTCTCTCGCGATAGAGCAAGAGCGCGGTCAATGCCAAAAAATTGCTTCCAACTACAGAACTCGTGCATGCCCCATCCTCGATGGCAGAGATTCCGGCCAGTTATGCCAATACACTTGTTATTCCTTCAAACCGGCTGGGAGCAAAAAAGCGCCCACAAGTCTTTGCAGTTTAATTGATGTATCAAAAAGTCTTCATTTGTGGTCTTTAAACCTCAAAGGGCTTCCCATGTTGTCTGTCAACATTTGGATCCAAAGTTTTTATGAGGGTATGGATGCATGACTGTAATTGATAATAACGTGGTCCATTGAAATGGGAGTGGTGATTTACTTTGTTACCATTATCTGCCAAAAGTCTATCCCAAATGCTCTTGGAGACCGGTATACTTGCAAGTCTCACAACATCACTTCCTCTTTGAATTAACGACTACCAGATGAAGGGCAGCGTACTTTGATCTCGCTGAATTGACTGTCATCGTAGCAGGTTACTGCCTCAAACATGATCGTTCCAACTCGAGGGCAAGCTCGAGGAGAAGACGAAGCGAACCGGGTCGGTGACACTTTTGGCCGGGCTCCTTTGCTCCATCCCTCGTTCTCCACATATTCTTCTTGTTTATCGAGGGCGAGAGTGAAGGAGCAAGATTTACGCGTTGGTTTCATCGATCCCGTCCTTCTTCCTTCTCCTACCTCCCCTCATCGCAGCACCCATGTGACTTGGTGAGAATATCACAGACAGTTCATCGTTTGGAGGGATCCAACTCACGTCAGGATCGACTCGGGGATGGTGGAAATGAGAGGTGCAGGAAGGTTGTAGAATGTCTATCTATGCCTTTACGGGTGATGTTGAGTGGCTGGCTTCTAATGGATAAGCCAGCTCGAGGGATTAGTATCATTGTCAAGTTCGGTCAGACCTGGACTTCTCATACACTGTGATACAACTCATCAGTGGAGCCATGATGGACGGTGAGGACGATCGGACGAATGTGCGGCAGATGAAAATATCAGCTTTGGTTCGTATGCTCAATGTGAAGCTTCCAATTTTGTTCGAGAACCAAGTCTCTTCCTTTGATCTTCCTCTTCCAAGCTGCCCAAGATGCTTCCCAATCTCAGACGTACGCCTACTGAGGCGCAACCATAGGCGGCTCGGCCTTATTCTTCTTCTTCTTATCCTCGACCAACTCCACGTTATCCTCCGGCACCTGCTCATACTTGTCACACAACCACTCCAAAATATCCTCGCTCAAATCTCCCTGCACCGTAATAACTTCTCCCACACCTCCCGGCATTTTGGTAGCAGAACTTCCAGTTGCAAATTTCTTACCCAACTCTTTTGCTACTTTTTTGATGTCGAGGCCGAAAGCTTCCAAGCCAGAGACCTCGGTGACGTGTTTGCGCTTGTTGCGTTCTACACGTTTGATTGTGATTTTGGAGGTGGCGAGTTCTTCGGCGCGGCGGGCTTCGGCGGCGGTGGCTTTTGCTTCTTTCTTTTTTGCGTCTTTTTCGGCGCGTTTTTGTGCGTCGACGGAGAGGGTGGAGAGGTTGGCTGCTACGGCGTCTGTTTGAGTATACAGATGTCAGCTGTTGTAATCACAGAGCAGAGGGGCTGCAGAGGTGTGGTAGAGTGGAACTAGTGTCAAAGGCGGTGAGCAGAGGCAAGACGGACCTTCAGAGTAGAGCTTGGAGTGGAGGTCAGGGTGGTTGGAGTCGAGCCATTCTTCGCACTTCTTTGTTGTGCCACCGAATTCACAGTACTGTGTGGTGATACTCCGTCAGTCTCCTTGCTCTTGCGGTACTGTGTTCGTCGGCGCGCTGCCTAACTCACTTCTGGGGGAAGACTGCAGACTGTGATGAGAAGGTCAGTCAAGGTTTAAAACATCAGTTTGATGAACACTCACCTCCGCAGTATACGACCTGTCTAGGGGGAAGGGTTGCTGTCTCTGACATGATTGTGATGATGTTTTGTATCGTGTTGTATCAAAGTGAAGCGCTCTTGGAGGGGCACAACGTCAGTCTGGACATGTCACCGCGGGGTCTCGCGGCCTTGGCAAGATCTTCTCCGCAAATGTCACCTCATCTCCTGCTTCGTTCCTTCCTCCTCGTCGTACTCGTACATCCATCATATCAGGAGGCTAGAGCTGCTATGTGTTTGTAAAAGTGTTCATGTCTCATTCTCGTGATCAAGCTGCATAGCTAGCTAGGTATGTAGGGTTTTCCGGAGTTTCTTCCATCTTTTCAACCATAATTCCAGGTCGAAATCATCCATAACAGTACAGAAGCAATTCTCATCGCAATTGCGGATCAAAGCGAGCGTCATATTTCAGAGGCGCTTCCTTGTGCAATGCTTGCTGCGGACTGGAAAACGATAGTCACATCGAGTCCCAAGTCCTGTTGATACATCGGAGTTTATCAAACATCAACACCCTTGCAGACGACACCCTTGTGCCATTCATACTGCATCTTGCGAGCGACCTCATTGGCCGACTCATGGCTGACCAGAGCACTGACAAGATAAAAGGCAGCATCGAGACCAGTCGAAATGCCACCGCTGGTGATGACACGGAGACCACCAAGCTTGAGCTGAGCACGTCTAGCGTTGCTCTCACGACGAGTGTTGCTCTGCTTGAAAGAGAAGCTGCCCTTGCGAGCGTTGCTAGCACGATGACCCGAGTGTGAGTCGGAGCGACGGCGGATGTAGGGGTTCTCCTCCTCTTCGTTGATGTCGAAGCGGAGATTGTTGACGACATAGCGCTCCTCCATGACATCGAAGCGCTCAGACATGTCGCGATGAGAGACGCTCTGGTTGAGGTTCTCCATCTTGATCATGTAGTCGGGGTGAGTGGTGGCTGACAATCCAGAAAGGATGCCAGTCTCGGCCACAAAGAGGGAGCCGGTGCAGACCGACATGAGAGTTCTCTCTCTCATGGGGTTCTTGGTCTGGATGTCGGCATAAGCCTTGATCAGAGCCATGGGCTCGGTACCCTTGTTCTTGCCGAAGTAGGGGATGCTGAGCACGTTGTCGGTGCCTCCACCGGGAACGATGACAACGTCGTAGTTGGAAAGGTGCTTGTGAGCCTCGCGGAAGGTCATATCGGTTTTGAACGAGACGCCTTGGGCAGAGGTGACATACTCGGAGTCACCGACGAAAGTGACTTCGAAAGCCTTGCTTTCTGTGATATTACGAGTCAGTCTTCTGACATATGTGCAGCTTTGCACAAGAGCACGTGATGCGCAGATCATGCATGGAACATGACTTACCAGGATCATTGGGATCGTGACGAGCGTGGCTGAGAACTTCAAGAGGACCGATGAAGTCGAGGGCGTCAAGGCCTGAGTGGAGAGTGAACAGGACCTTGACGGGCTCGGGCATGCTGCCATCACCGTCCTCTGCGATTGCACTCATCGAATCGGTATTGTAATGTGAGAGTTGGGAAAAGTAATTGAAGATTGGTTTGAGACTCTGATGAGCTCGATGGAAGAAAAAGAAAGAGGTGGAAGAGGAGGAGCTGCTCTGGCTTTTGTAGTGAAGAGCAGGGGAGCTTAGCTAGGGCAGCTACCTCCATTGGCTCAGGTGAGCTGACCCATCACGCACCTTCCCAGGTACCTGCGACTGCCCTCTTCCCCATACTTTTACCCCGCACTTGGATCTACGTACCAGAGGATGGCAACGGAAGGCGTGCAGTAGCGGGTAAACCTTGAATGGGAGCTCTGAAACGTCTGATTGGAAGTGTGACCATTCCCACATGATTCAAATCAAGCAACAAATACTTCTACTGGCGACAAGAAACCATGACAACGACTCTCGTCCTTTGAACAGTCCAATTGCACCATGATAACAAGTGGGATGCTGTGAGCAAGACGAGTCTCCTGACAAGTTCCGTGATGATCCCCAGAAGGAAAAGCCAGGGAAAGCTACCCCACGCTGGGCATGACATGTTTTGGGTTTAGCTGATTACGTCTGGTGTCATGCGACACATGCTTGCAAGAGGCATAGCTTCGGAAAAGAAGGATACAGGCCCAGGTACGTACGCAGCCACCGGTCTTGCGGGATTAAAGAGCCTGAGGTTTCGGAGCTCAGGACTCACGTGCAGGGAAGCTCGATGGCATGGGAAGTTGAATTGATTGAGCCTCAATGGCATTATTGACTAGATGACAGGGAGCATTCCAACGTATAGAGTTTCAATGCCATCTCAGTGCTTTCCTTCCAGCGCGTCGAAAGACTGCAAGCTATGTATGGCTCTCTCGTAGGTCCACATGGTAATGGCACTGGCGGGAGCAGCTTTGAACAGTCCAACGGTCAAGCCTCTGTACAGACTTCGCGCTCCTTCTTTGGCCACGATTGAGGTCAAGGTGCGAACGACACCAGTATCGTAGGCAGGAATGTTCTTGTGCACATACTTTGCTCGTGTGGGACCTTGAACCTGCAATCTCTTTCTGACCGTGTCAAGTGGGAAGACGACGGTCTTTGACATCATGCTAGCTAGCACACCTGCTATGGCATCGCCAGAACCGAGCGAGTGCAGAGGCATCGACACGCCGGCAAAGGCGGGTTTCAGTGACTCATAGAAAGCGAAGAATAGACCCATGTATGGCACAATCTGGCCAATGCCAGCACCCAAGCCTCGAAAGAAGCCTTTTGGTCCTTCGTTCTTTGCGATATCGCGAATGGAGGAGCGAAGGGAAGTGTAGACACGATCGTTGCCCTGGGCAGCGAAGCGCGTGCGAAGGAGGTCGAGCGGGTATGTGGCTGTAGTGGCAGCGGTGCCTGCAACAGCCCCAGCAACGAAGCTGACAGCAGTACCAGGCAGTTTATAGTTTGGAGTGAGATCTTCTATGGCCTGAGTCGCAGAGCGATATGCCAGAAATTGAATGCCACCATACGCCAGGTACATGCCTTCAGCAGGCACATTGCCTTTCCATAGACCGGTCAAACCTTCTTCGCGAAGGATGGTCTTGAGGGTGAAGATGGTGCCCTTGTAGACGGGACCCTTATGGGCTTGGTTGGCGTATGATAGCGGATCGGAGAGAGAGTGACTCTGCAGTTGCAGACGGATCTTGACGACGTCCAAAGGCGCGATGCAGAATCTGGCGCAAACATCAGCGACGGCCTTGAGGGCAAGCAAAAGTGTGGGGACGTCGAGCATACCTCGAAACAAGACCGGCTATGGCACCAGCGGCAACGACCTGCATGCGAGAGCCCTCATCTCGGAGCTGCTCGACTTTGTTCTCAGACATGCATCTGCCGGTGACAAGGAAAGCGCGATCAGCTTGAGACCGAGTCTGCAGTAAACAGCCGAGGAAGAGAGAGCGCAGGAAAGCTTGGACGCTGCCTCTGGCCCGTCAAGAATCTCCACAACGCGCTCGCGACTCCACGAATGCTGTCCTGAACTCCACGTGCTTTCATTTTGAAGTGAACGAGAAAGTAATGAGTGCAGCGGTGCGACCTGGCGCTGCTGTCTTACGCAGAGCAAGCCATGCTCATACGGCACCATGTATCGCCCGACGATGGCAGACAAACGCCGCAAAGTCCGTGAGCTACGACGACTTGCTCGAAAAGATGGACAGGCAATACTTGCAAAAGACGCCTCGATCTAAGCCGTCACGGGACCGAGAAGCACCGTCGCAAGACATCTCTCAGTCTGCATCTGACACGACACCTCGACCAGCCAGCGGCCCTGTCAGATTCAGACCGACAGATCGTAGCAATGTCCAATCGCAACGCAATCCGCATCTGTCCAGAAGAACAACAGCCAGACCTCCGAGAAAGCATACCCCGATCGAGGAGAAGCCTCGTCGCATACCACCACCGATCTTCAAGCCGACTCCAGGACTAGTCACTGAGCCACGTAGACCAACCGATCCCACTACTCGAAGTGTTGGGAGTCCGTCGGAAGCGCCAGATCCGCCGCAAGACTCGCAATCGGAACTGCTGACGGAGCAACCCGCTGTGGAACAAAGCTCAGATCCCACAGCCACTTTCACCCTCTCATACGAGGCATTGAAGAGGAAGTCATCCGGGAAAGCTGCCTTCAGATCGCTTCCTCGGCATGTCGATTCGATACCGAAAGTTCAAGCTCAAACCGAATCATCTGCTGAGACAACAGATGAAACGACTGGATTGAAGACTCCCTCGAATCCCCTGGAAGCTGTTACCATCACAAAATCGAGGTATGACAAAGTTGGCAAAGTGTTTGATAACATTTTCCTACGGGACTCCTGCGCATGTGCCAAATGTGTAGATACATCCACGCGTCAGAAACGCTTCGACTCTGCCGACATCCCCACGAACATAAGAATTAGATCTTTGCAATACGAGGGCGACAGTGTAGTGATCACTTGGAAACACGACGTCTCCGGTTACGGCCCAGACCACCAGACTCGCCTGTCCAGAAATGCAATCACGCGTAGTCCACATGGACCCCTCACTACTATGTATACCAGCGGGAAGTCGTCATGGCATCGTCAAAGCTTCGAAGCTCGCGCCGAGGACTTCGACTACAACGAATACATGTCGGATGAGAAGGTGGTCTCCGATCTCTTGCGCCAACTTCACACTCACGGTCTGGTGTTCATCAAGAACGTTCCCGAGGCAGAGTCTTCGGTGATTGAGACAGCGAATCGCATTGGACCGCTGAAAAACACCTTCTACGGTGACACGTGGGATGTGCGTAGTGTCTCGAACGCGAAGAATGTTGCTTACACAGATGTGCACCTCGGCTTCCATATGGATCTTCTTTACATGCAGCAGCCCCCAAGACTGCAACTCCTCCACTGCCTCCGTGCATCGACAGAAGGCGGTGTCTCTCTGTTCAGCGATTCCTATCGCGCCATGGATCAGCTCCACAAGATGAATTACGACGGCTTCCGAACTCTCGTCGAGACGCCGGTCAACTTCCATTACGATAATGACAGTCACCATTATTTCCGTCAACGACGCACTTTCCAACTGCAGGACGGTACACCTTTACCCCACAAGGATATGCAAAGAGTGTGGAATCTCTTCGAAGCAGTCAATTGGGCACCTCCTTTCCAGGCGCCCTTCTGTCACAAGACCGATGGCGACGTTCATTTCGCCGAGAGCATACGAGCATGGCATCAAGCCGCACAGCTCTTCAGAGACTTGACAGAGATGGAAGCCAACGTTTACAGGCGGCAGATGGCCCCAGGTGAGTGCGTCATCTTCGATAATCGCCGTGTTCTGCATGCCAGGACTGCATTCGCCGGAGGTGAGAGGTGGCTCAGAGGCGCTTACCTCGACGACGATCCGTATCTGAGTAAGATGCGAGTGCTGGAGAGAACGCATGGCGGTTCTTCGAGGAAACCCCGAGCGAGAGCAGCGCCCGGTGCATAGATGCGTGACAGGGTGTCCATAACATTGTATATACTTGTCAGCTGAACGGGGCGATGTATAGTAAGTAGCTATTGGTGAAGCGAAACGTGCACAATCTACATCTTCTGTCCTTTGCCAACCAATGTGATTCGCGTCTCTTCTCAAGCTCACTTCTCATGGAAATTGGCTCCCTCACAGGTGCGACTATTCCACCCCGAAAGACACTCTGTCGTCTCATGATCACGTCGTTTGTCCGCGAGCAGGGTGACAGAAGTGACGCTAGGAGAGGTGCCAAGCCTCGATCACTATCGATAAGAGCAAAACGCCGACCGACCGACAGACTTTCTCAAAAGTTTGCCTTTGCAGCAAGGCAACTTCATCGTCGCATAAACACCCGCAAGAAGAGAAAATCACAAACCTCCGCAATCATGTTGAGACAAATGTGCGCATGACCCTTCAGTCGCTTCCCTCGCGCGGAGACTCGATGACACCCCCCAACTCGCAAGTACTGACTCTTGTCTTCGTCACAGCAAACCCAAGAATGCGCGAAGCAAGCGCGCTCTGGAGAAGAAAGCGCCCCAACTCCACGAGAACCCCAAAATGACCCTCTTCCTTCGCTACACATCATGCTCCGAGATTGTCCAACTAGCCATGGGCGACCTGCACAGTCTAAAACGGCCCATGGCTCAAAAATTCACAAAGAAAAACGACATTCACCCCTTTGAAGATCCTTCATCGCTGGAATTCTTTGCCGAGAAGAATGATTGCTCTCTGATGGTCTTTGGCAGTCACTCGAAGAAGCGCCCTCATACTGTTACTTTTTGCCGCATGTTTGACTTTAAGGTCTTGGAGATGTTGGAGTTGCATGTCGATCCCGAGACTTTCAGGACGATTTCTCAGTTCAAGAGTGCAAAGGCTAGGGTGGGCTTGAAGCCTTTGGTGTCGTTTTCGGGGACTGCGTTTGATGCTCCCGTCGCAAACAACTATACCCTGGCCAAATCCCTGCTTTTGGACTTCTTCAAGGGAGAGGATACGAATAATGTGGATGTGGAGGGTTTGCAATACATGGTTCACATTTCCGTTGCCGAGGAAGAGGATGCTCAACCTGCGCCAAAGATTCAACTTCGCACATATATGATCTCGACAAAGAAGTCTGGACAATCGCTTCCTCGTGTCGAGGTCGAGGAGATGGGCCCGAGGATTGATTTCCGCATCGGTAGAGTCAAGGAAGCTGATGTGGATATGATGAAGGCTGCCATGAAGAAGCCCAAGGGTCTTGAGGTATGTTTTTCGCTGCTACTTACACTCTCTTTTCTTCTTTCCGGCATCCTTTTTTACTAATACACTCGTGTGTACAGGCAAGAAGCAAGAAGAACATCGAAACCGACATCATCGGTGACAAGGTCGGACGCATCCATCTCGGCAAGCAAGACCTCAACGACATGCAGACAAGAAAGATGAAGGGTCTCAAGAGAAACAGAGACGATGACACCGAGGGCGGTCCCGTCGTCTCTGATGACGAGGGTGAGGACGTCGAGTTTGACGGTGGTGTCGAGATCAAGAAGATCCGCGTCTAAGCTACCTACTTGCTGTCCACCATTTGAGTGGAAGAAAGCATGAACAGAGGAGACTAGCATGTGTGTCTTGATACACACACGCACACCGCAAGGAAGAAGAAAAAGTACTTGTCGCATTTTTTTTTTTTCGAGCGTGGAGTTTCGGATCATCACCAATTGTTCATTCGGGGTTCTACTGCCTTTCGTTTGGTAGAAAGTAGGGCAAAAAAGAAATCCACAAAATTTGCAAAGATATTCATGTTGCCTGTGTCAAGTGTTTGAGCTGATCAGTTCTTCGAGTATCTCGAGTGCTTCTTGCAGCATGGCAAAGCATGGGTGAGGCGATTCTCTGTCCTTGTTTTGATATGTGAGCTTTCTCTCGTTGTTGCGTCTCTCTGTATGAATGTCTATGAGCTTTCTCCTTTTTCCTTTGTATACAACAAAACGCCAATCCGAGTCATTCCTGTTATGCTTTTTCTTTCTTTCTCTTCCTCGAAGGCAAATCTTCTTCAAACAAGTCTCCTTCTCTTGCTCACAATCTATGCAGCAGCCTTTGCAGCAGGAGCAGCCTCTTCGACACTTCCCTTCTTCTCGATGGCTTCCGCCGGCTTGGCATCAACATCAGGGTTGTTCTGCACCATACGCTGCAGAGAGTCAGCAGTTTCAGCAAGCAGTTGTTCAACAGCAAAGGTGTTTTTTCTGTCGGGCAATATGCTTGATGAAAGCATAGAGTCTATGGGAGGGGTTGAAGTGTTTTCTTCAGAAGCTTGCAAGGGGTTTGATGTGTTGTCAGAGGTTTCGACGGATTTGAGAGCGAGGAGTTGGGCAGGGGTGAGGGATTTGAAGTAGCGGGCCATGGCTGTGCATACCAGGAGGTTGCGGAGGAGAATCATAATGGTGACTTTGCCGACCGCGGGGACGTAGATCGAGGCGTGTTCTTTTACTTCTGGCGTGAAGTTCTGTTGGTAGTGAGAGATGCATGTCAGTGATGCTGCTCGTCTTTCCGACCGTCTTCCCAAGGACCGAGTTGTACTCACCTTCTCGCTCGAAAAGTTGATGCAGACTGCACCGTCTCTGATCTTCTCGACGGGCACCTTGAACTTGTCGCCGGGCACACCACTGATGACGACGTCACTGATAGCAAGGCAGTCGTCCATTGTCATGTCGGGCTTCTCTTCCACGACGTGTTGCTGGGCGCGAAGACCCTGACCTCTGCTGAATCTTTGTACACCGGTAACATCGACCGAGTAGACCTCTGCACCGTCGTTTGCCAACAGTGCAGCCAGCGGTCTACCCACGACCTCACTTCTGTTGATGACAGTGATTCTTCTGCCCCACAATCTCTTTCCATAGTCCAAGATGGTGTTGTAAATGTTGAGATATTCGAGGATCTTGATCATGGCCAGCGGTGTGCATGGCAGGATGGACTTTTGCGTGTTGTGAGGAGGGTCGAGGAAACGGATGTTTTGGTACATGTTGTTGATGAGCTTGGGTGACAGACCCTCGACATCCTTGTGCATGTCGACAACGTATTGGAGGGTGCGGTCGCGCGAGCTGTTGAAGACGGGGTAGTAGACGAGAATACCATCTACGGCATCATCAGTGTTGGCATCGCGGATGGCCTCTTCGAGCTCTTCACGCTCGCACTCGCGCAGGGTGAATGCAAAGCCACTGTGAGGTGGGAAGATGTCATGTTAGCCAGCCTTCTCCTGTTCCCCTGGGAGGGAGAGACGGGAAGAAGAGAGCGCTCACTTGTCGATACATGTCTTGCCAGTCCAGTCGGCGTACATGCGCGCCGCCGGGTCCTTGTTTGCCAGAAAGCCGACGAGATGAGGCTTGCGATCCAATTTAGCCAGTCCCTCGGCCACCTCCGCCTGGAGCTTCTTTGCGATGTTGGCCGCAAGGACGACCTTGCACGAAGTGGGGTTGACGCTCATATTGCTGAGGATCGAATTTCCGTTTGGAGAAATCAATTGCCTGTGATCGCGGGTTGAATGCGACTCTTGTAGCTGTTGAAGCCTTGCGACTATTGATATTGCAGTAGAAATGTGCAAACAAAGAAAGAACTCACAATGTGCCTGCCCTATTCAAATCTTTCCCTATGTCTTCCGAGTCACACTCCCCCACCAAACTGTGCATCACCTAAAAAAATGTTTCGGCATTGCAACTGTCCAATCAGAGAGCTGTTTCATTGAGGTCAGAGGTGGCACGGACCGCCGCCGAACAAAACATAACGCACGTCATTGCGTAACAGGCCCGCGTCTCGAAATTCGTCTATCAAAGAGACAGATCACTTGCGACTTCAATGGTGGCGGGTTGAAACATTGACAGTGACACCATAAAACTATCATGTCCGACATACAACTCTACCTGGTCGAGGCCGATAAGAACAAAGACGAGGCTAGAAGGCTGGCCGCTCAATCCGCACAAGCTCTTGCCTCTGGTGAACTCAAGCTTGTCCAACTTATCGAGAATGCCGGCGAATACATCAACCACGAGGATGCTTCCTTGCGAGTCAAGGCGCTTGCATATTTAGCTGATGTTCTGGAACAAGTTGCTCCAAAGGTTCTAAAAGGTCAACAGCGTAATCTCCTATGCGGCTTCATTCTCACAAGAGTCACCGATGATAGCGAAGGAACTGGACATTGCGCCAGAACGCTTATAGCACTGGAGAAGCTGGGTAAATGGGACTCGGCGACTGCTGCGAACATCGCCAATACGTGGGTCTTGTCAAGCCGATTGAGCAGCGAACATCATGGCTAATACAGGTATAGCTTTGTGAGCGACTCTCAGACTCTGAGGGATCACAAGTTGCAAAGCGAACGTTTCACAATCCTCCAGCTTCTGGATCTATTGTTGAGGAACTACCGAAAAGCGCTCAAGGATCTACACAACGATGACCACGATTTCCTGGCCAGATTCATCACCTACTTTGACGGAGAGAAGGACCCTAGAAACCTGATGATTGTCTTCTCCATCTTGCAGGTACCGATGACCGAGTGGGATCTCGGTCCGCATGCCCAAGACCTCTTCGATTCAGTCTTCAATTACTTCCCTATCACATTCAAGCCTCCACCAGGCGACCCATACGGTATCACTGCGCAGGATCTCAAGGACCGTCTGCAGGGCTGTATCTCGGCCACGTCAGACTTCGCTCCCTACTCCTTCACCGCACTTCTCGACAAACTTGATTCTAGTTCTATCAACACCAAGCGAGATGTCCTGGCCGCGCTTAGGGGATGTGTCAACAACTATGAACCTGCTACCATTTCTTTGTACTCTGTGACCCTTTGGGACTCGCTCAAGTTTGAGATTTTGAACGTCGAAGAAGAGGATCTGGCCCAGGAGGCTCTTGCTACGCTTGCTGCAATCGCCAACCAGTTGAGCCAGCTCCAGGAGGGTGCGCTTACAGCTTATCTCAAACCAGTCATCAAAGAGTGTAACGAACATCTCGAGGATGCGCCTACCAAGCAATCCCAAGCCGCGGCTCGCATCATCAACAGCATTGCAAAGACTTCTCCCGAGCTCGCCAACACACTGACCAAGGCCGTCCTTCCTCATCTATTCGAGCTTTTCCAGTCGTCAGAGTCAATTGCCAAGAGACGTGGACTGATCGAGGTCCTGAACTCTTTGATTAGCGCGACAAAGGATGTCTCGGATCAGTGGAAGATCTATAACGCGGAAGGTGTCCTCGTGGCAGATCGTGCTGATGAAAGTGCCTTGCGCGACTGGAGCACAGAAGCTTTGGAAGCAATGCTTAGAGCTGTTGTGAACGCTCCCAAATCTGAAATATCCTTCCGTCTATTTGCTATTGCAGGTCTCATCGGTATGGTCAAGATCCCCAAGCTATTGTCCGATGGGGACGTCGCACGCATTATCGAATCGTTCACGGACATTATCATCCAAGAACGCTCCGCCGCAAACTCAGAAGTAGAGGCAGCGGCCATTAGCGGTTTGGCTGTAACTGCTCATCACAGCCCCATAGTTACCTCAGAAAAGGCTTTACCCACCTTCCTTGCCGAACTACCGGATAATCCTACTCTCGGTACTGGATACGAAAAGGTCCTCGAAGCTTTCACAAAGCTCAGCACAGAAACACAAGTCTTCGATACAATCGTCTTGCGCTTGAAGAATAAGCTACAAGCTGCTCTACATCAAGGAGCAAACATCACTTACATCCACGCACTCCTTATGGCCATTCTTTTCGCTTTCTCCAATGGCTCTCCCGGTACTGAGAATGGAGTTATCAAGTTCTCGTACTTCTCAGACATTGTAAAGCCCCTTCTAGACCAAGCTCTCGGTCTTTCAGGAACCGATGCTCGCTCGTTGAGCGATCACACAAGTACTGATATCATCGGCCGTATCAGCAACATCATTCTCAAATCACACTCAACGCATGTGCAGAACCAGGTGCTGGCGGAGTATGAGTCCTCTTTTAGCTCATTCGGAAAGGACACATCCGATGCTTACTCGAAGGCCGCCGTCATCGCTTCACTACATCTCAACGCTGCTTTCCAACGGGAGGCTCTGAGTCCTGAGTCAGCTACGAACCTACTCGGAGCTTTGGCTCGTACCGCAAACAACGAATTCACGTTGCCAAACGTGCAATTGTCGGCACTTCGACAAACTGCTTTGGTGGTGAACAAATTCATTCCTCCAGCTGATCTAGAGAAGTCTCTGATCAGCACTTCTACGGACGTAGGATCTCTGCTCGGTCAAAATCGCTCTGCCGAATCAATCATTCTGGCCTTCTCTGTTGTGAAAGGTCTATTAATACAAGGCAAGAGCAACAAATCCACAACAGCTTATCTTCAAAGTCTGTTGGAATTGTTGTCGGATGCCACATTCGGAAGCGTGGCAGCTCGTGGCTTCGTTACGATCCTCGCTCCTGACGACATTTTGTGCAAGGAAAACCACTGCTATGTGTCTGGCCTTTACAAACAGAAAACCTTCAATCAAACAGTACCGGCCATCTCGGAAGCGACCAAGTCTGCTGACTCGGCCGTAAAGCCAAACTACCTCGTCGCTCTATCGGGCATACTCAGATGGTTGCCTTACACGATCATTGAGAACTCTTCGTCAACCCTCGTGTTGTTGCTGTTGCAATCGCTGGATCTGCAAGACCGAGCCCATCAAGATGTTAAATCCTCAACATTAGTCTCAGTAGAGACTATCATCACGCAGAACGCATCAGCCCTCTTCGAGCACGCCTCGTCGCTGATCTCGCGTCTGCTTGCATGCACAGGGTCTTTAGACAACACGCCGCAGGTTCGCAAGGCTGCACTGCGCTGCTTGACACTTCTTCCAACTCAATTCAAGCGCGAGGCTGTAGTGCCGTACAGGCGACAGGTGGTTAAGCGGTTGATGGGCTGTCTTGACGATGGCAAGCGCGCTGTGCGTACAGAAGCTGTCCGATGCAGGACTGCTTGGCTCAGCCTTGACCAGGAGGATTCGGACGAGGAGTAGAAGTCTCAGCCAAGGTGGTTGATGGCGCCCCCCTCATCGTGGGGTGCGCTAGTCAGAGTTATGTGGTCTGTTGTCTTATACCTAGTTTCGCTCCACCACAAAATTTTCGTCAAATGTTGATAGAGTATAGACTTTTCGATTCGCAATCTGTCAAGACGTTTGTTTGCTCGGAGTGAACTCTGACATTAGCGGTGACCCGTGATTGGTAGAATTGGACGAGTGAGGTTATTCCAGGGTAATACTAGGTTTGAGCTTGCGTCTATTGACCCCATGGGCCCTTTTCCTCCTTCGAGACTGGAGGAGTGGTCCAAGCAAGACATACTACTCCCCCAACTGAATGTGAGTTGTTTTTCCAAGGCTTTCTTGACCAATAGACTGCATCTGCTCCACTGTTTCGCGCGTATGCTTCTTGTCATGCCATGTTGGAAAGTATCTCTCCCGGTTGCGACTTCCTGCTATCGCGATTCACCTGCTTTGAACGTGATCTGAGAATGGCAAGGGGATGCTAGCCTCGACATACTCGCATGTATCACCGTCCTTGTCGAATAGCTTCTCGTCGACCTTGTCGATCTTGTCTCGATCATTGCTGGGCTGAAACAGGGCTCCATTCTTTTCGCTTTTGGCATGTGTGTTTGCACATGATCTTTATGCTGGCTGGGTATGGTGAGGGGGGGACATATATATCGAGGAAGGCAAGCTTCTGATGGTTTCATCCTCAAAGTCAGCTCACCAATTGGCTCTTTCCTCTGGGCATAACTCATATCGTGACGAAATCAGTATATCGACATACACAATTTGAGAGTCACCGCTCTACAATCATCACCATCCAAGATGGCAGCCTCAGTGTCCAACTCTACTTCACAAACATCTCATAACGATACGACATCATCTCGTCATCGTCGTTCGACGATATCTCTACACTCAAAACCTGGACTCGGTCTCATTCGAACTATTTCTCGCGATTTGATCACTGGGTGGCACACCACCACCGCTCTCCAAAAAGAACCTTTGGATACCTTGACTCCCTCGACTGCACCGACAGGGATCTACAAACCTCGTCACGCAGCACGAGACGCCATGAAGAGCTGCCCTCTAATCCCTCCCACCACCCCCACCAACCAAGAAACCTCCCAGATGGATCCAAGAGCAAGTTTCTCATCCTTTGAAAACGCTCAAGCACGCGAACTCGACCTCCGCACACGTCAAGATAGTGTAACACCCTCCTCGCCCACAAAACCACTCGCCCGCGTCCCAGCAGGTCTGATTCCCGACCACTCCTTTGATACCTGGACAGCAACTTGGGAAACCGCCTACGACGCCACCCATTTCGCCAACCCTCCCTCTCCCTCTCCTGGCATCACACGCAGTTTCACAGTCCCTGCTCTAAGCTCCAAAAAGCCCACTCGTCCGCCTCTCACAGGCCGTCTCTCCGTCACAGATGCAGAGATTAAGAAATTTGTCTTTGGAGATCGAGAGGATAGGAAAAGGGGGTTTAGGGGGCCTGAGGAGTTTTTGGTGCCAGAGAAGGAGAGGAGGGGGAGTGAGGTGCCGAGTCTGGTGAGAAGCGAGGGGAGTTGTGGGAGCGGGGGATTGGAAAATCTGGAGGAGGGGAGCGAAGAGGAGGGGGAGGGAAAGGTGGAGGTTGAGCTGGAGTTGGATGAGAAGAGGAAGGGGAGGGTGTTCGTTAGGGACGCTGAGGTCTTTTCAGAGGGGGACGTGCTTGTGGCGTAGGACGACAAAAGAATGGATTCGCATGACAAACTTAACTCTAGTCCTCAGACTCACGGCCTACGGCTTGATCGTGCCTTGAAAGATGTGAATTTCATGGCTTGAAAGGGACGCAATGTCTGTTATATGTTCGAAATGTGGTTGACCAATGAAGCTTGAAACGCATGCGATCGCATCTATATCTATCCCGAAAGGCCGTAAAATCTAAGCTGGTGAGTAGCTAATCTGCCATTACCCTCTGATGACACTCTCAATCAATTTGGCTGCCCTCAGGGTATCTTCATCGTGGTAGTGCTTTCCGACAAGCTGCAGTGTGATTGGCACGCCATCGAATAGCTCAGGATCATCTAACACCGTTAGCATCGTGTTCCCACACGGACTTTGAATGTACTTACAAGCTTCGTATTCCTCCTTGTCTTTCTCGTTTAGTGGCGAGTATCCTTCCTCAACCACATCAATATCCTTATCAGCATCCATACCAGTCGGGAACACCACAGCAGGCTGATCAAGAATATTCCACAAACTCGTGTAACCCCAGTACTTGGCACCGTGCTGCTTGACACCCACACCCACATAAGCAGGACACAAAATGACATCGACACCTCTCTCTTTCATCAGAGCATGATACTCGCGTCTATACGTCTCTCGCATGACATTCAAGTCCCAGTTCTCCGAGATTGAGATGGCTTTGCTGTAATTGAGGGCATGTTGGGTGAGCGGGAGCATGGGCTCGCCGGATGCGGCGAGAGCGTCTTCGATGCGTTTTCCGCCGTCTGGGAAGTAGAGGGCTGAGACGATGTCCCAGGCGTGATCGTGTTTGTAGTTTTGCCAATCGACGCATCTGACTCCGGCGGCTTGGAGCTTGGACTTGGCGGTCTTGAGGGCGCGCAAGATTGGAGGATGAGGTGTAACGATACCGTCAGTCATCATGATACCGACGGTGATGTTCCTGGGGGTGTCCAACTCTCCCTTCCAAGGGATGGGTGCCAAGGTTGTGTCGATGTCATGAGGATCTTGGTCGATCAATGACTTTTGGAAGAGCCAGAGGTCGTCGATACTTTGACCAAGTGGACCGATCACGCCTTTGATACTTTCTTGTCCACCCAGCACGCCATGGAGACCCAAAGTGGGGTTACGCAGAGTGGTTGGTCGAAGTCCGTAAGAATTATTGAAAGCAGCAGGGGCACGAATGCTACCACCAATATCCGTGCCAACGCCGAGGACAGCACACTTGAAGCCCATACTGGCACCTTCTCCTCCTGAAGAACCACCAGGAGATAGCTTGAGGTGATAAGGATTCAGTGTTGTGCCGGTGATGTTGTTCTCGCAGTCAAGATGCATCAAAGATTGTGGCTGATTGGTTCGCACTGTAAAGACTGCACCTGCCTTCTTGAGCAGTTTGATCAGAAGTGCATCCTCCTTGGCTACATTATCGATCTGATTCACGAATCCAGCATGGGTGATCTTGCCGCCATAAGACACATGTTCCTTCACACTCACGGGGACGCCGTGAAGTGGACCAAAGAGTTTGCCAGTAGTTTCGAAGTGCTCGTCGAGAGCTTTTGCTGACTCCAAGGCTTCATCTGTGAGAAACTCGGTTACAAAGTTGAGCTGTCCTGTGTCAGGTCATATTATCAGGAAGGCTCTTGGATGGAAGACATACAAGTTGCTGGCCGATCGTAGCTCGTTTCAGAAACGCAGTTATGACTTGCTCTACTTTCCATTCACCAGATTGATATTTGCTCAATAGACCAGCAGCGTTCTGCTCGGTCATTTCAAGCTCCTCAGCAGAAAGAATGCCACATGTCCGTGGGATCTGAGTAACGTTGTGTTGTTGTTTCGTCGGAAGCTTATCTTCAGGCAGGAGCCACTGCTTGGGGATAGACTTCTCGAGAATATCACGACAGATTTGTGCCTTTCTTTCCCAATCTTTTGCTGCAGGCATGTTGTATGATGTTTCAATGATACTTTGTGATTGAAACTTGCTTAATGATCTTGCTCGAGTGCTAGAAGAGGAGAAAGAAAAGGATACTTGGAAAGATAGGTGACTATCAGCTACAAAGCTGCCTATCCAGAATAGGCAAGTTGATGCGGATGGTGCGGCCGACAACCTTGTCCCACTGGCTCCCTGTACGAGTATCGCTGCCAGATAGCCGTCCCATGATAGGCCTTCGTACGGCCAACTCTACCGCCAGGCCGTGTTCTGATAGAAAGAAGATAAGAGTGTTGATCGAATGTGGAGACGGCGGAGAGCTTCAGGATCGGATAAGACCTGGGTCTTGGCGTCGGCCGATCGACTTTTTGCGGTGGCTTTCCGCCAGGAAAGAGCGCCCCTTGTTGAACAATTGGAGATCATGAGACTGCGAGTCAAGTAGCGATAGCCGTTATCTGATTACAGGCGCACAATCGCTTGGCAGCGGCTGAATGTCGAGGTAGGCCTATCTCGAAAAGAGATACAATAGTGAAGTCTATCTGCTGCGTTCAGGCATGATAGGCATTGTTGCAGCTAAGTCGTTCTCCTGAAGTGAATACGTGCAACATGAAAAGGTCGACGGTTTCCTCGTTGTCTTCATTTCCAAGCATTGCTTGATTTTGACGAATCAAAATGTCTAGCAATATCCACGACGACCACATCGCGCCTGGCACTGTCAGGTTGATCGATGCTAACGGAGAACTCAACGTCAGGCACTCCGAAGGTCATGGCGATATTGTGCTTGTGCCGACACCTTCTGGTAGACTTCGTTGCTTCGCCGCTCTATAGGACTGTTGGCTCACTTCAGCACAGACGACCCAGAGGATCCTCTAAACTGGACGAAAAAGCGAAAGTTGTTGCAGACCGCCTGCATGGTCATGTATACTGTCATGATGGTCTTTCCATCAGCAGCTGTGAGTCAAAGTCCGAGGCTAAGGGTGTAATCGACGCTGACCGATGTCAGGTATACTCGGTCGCCAAGCCAATCTCTACGTCTACCGGTATCAGTATAACCACAATCAACAGAGGTACCGGAATCATGTTCTTGTTCTACGGCTGGTCGACAATCGTATGGCAAGCACTCGCTTTGCAGTATGGCAAACGACCTGTCTATCTTGTCTCAGCTGCAGCCTCAGTTGTGATCATGGCAGTCGCACCAATGTGCCGAACTTCCGGTACATATTTGGCTATCAGAATCATACAGGTGAGAAGGTCTGTCTGTCTGACCGGCGGTCGTCGTACTGATCAGCGCAGGGTTTCTTCGGAGGACCAGTCGAAAGTCTGTGTGAGATTAGTATGACCGATATCGTAAGTGTGATTGACATCATAGTCGCACAAGTCACGACAATTGACAAGCTTCTGCTGTAGTGGTTTGCACACGAGCGACCGTTGTACATCGCCCTCTACGGTGTCTCTTTGGGCGCATCTGGCAAGCTAGCTCCAGTGTTTAGTGCGTTCATCAACAGTGGGATGGGCTGGGAATGGACATTGGTGAGCCTCCACAATATTTTGACTGCTCGAGCAGTATTTGCGACGTAATCCTGACGACACAATACAGTGGTGGTGTGCCATAGGTATTGGCATTGCTTTCGTTTTTTGTCTCCTGTTCATGGAGGAGACGAACTACGACAGGGTCCCAACACACTCGGCATCACCTAGCTCCCAAGCTAGCCTGGAAGCTGTGGACGAGCCAATCTTATCCTCCGAGAAGACCGTCGCCAAGGATGGTGTCACAGTTGGTAATCCTACCTCTCTGGACGACAAGAAAGGTCTCGAAGCTCAACATCCCATCGACGTAGCAGCTGCAGAGGTCGGACAGGTCGCGTATCCCCGAAAGACCTACTGGCAGAAGCTCAGCGTCATTGACAAGAAACGTCCAAACCGCATGCTTGATATTATGTGGGCACCATTCAAGTTTTTCACCTTCCCAGTATGACTATGTTCTACCTCCGGAAGAGATGATCATGCTAACTTTAAAAAAAAGGTAGTGGTCTGGGCTGGTTTGCAGTACGGATTACAAGGGTGAGTCTTCAATGAACTCCAAGGTCTTGCCTCTGAAAATGGTATACTGACGCTCCTAAGACTTGTGTGGCCTGGCGTGTTGAATGCTACTGCTAGCGTCACATACACCAACAGCTTCTATCATTTTTCCAGCGATGCAGTCGGATTCGCCTACTTCGCGGCCGTCGTGGGCATGATCCTGGGGTCCCTTTGGGTCACTCTTGCAGGCCCATGGCTTGTCATAAAGCTAGCTCGCAGAAGAGGAGGTGTCTCTGAGCCAGAAGACATTTTGTGGCTGTTCACCGCTTCCTTCGTCGTTGTACCGTTCGCACTTATCCTGTGGGGTGTCGGATCTCAAGCGCACATCCATTGGTTTGGTCTGGTCTTTGCTCAAGCTATCCTGGCCATCGCCAGTACACTCTGTCTTTCGACAGCTATTCAGTACGCGACAAGCGCCTATCGGGATTTGAGTGGCGAGCTGATTACCACCATCATTCTCATTCGCAACACATTGAGGTACGTACCGGTACTTGACACAGTACTTGATACATGTCGACATGAGGCTGACAGAGGCTCAAGTTTCGCCATCAATTATGGCATCAATCCTTGGATTGAAGGTATGGGAACGCGTAACACATTCATCATGGCTGCGGTGATAGCCTTTATACTCAACGGCACCATGTTTTTGATGATTCCCTACGGACGTCGGTTGCGCGAACACAGCGCTAGAAGGTATTGGACTTATGTTGAGCAAGCAAGAGCCAAAGGATTAGGTCATTAGAGGTTCCGTAGCTCGATCATGCGATCCAGCGCTGAGCGCACTCAATCGCGTCTTTTTTTTTTCAGATCTCGATTCGAGGTTTGTTCTGAGGCTCGTTCCGATGTGACAAGGTGAGATTTATGTACATACTGCATGGCGGCTTACACAACAAAGCTGTGTACATGGCATGGAGGGGACGCGATCCGAAGAATATCGGGTTTCAAAAGTGCATAACGGCGGATCCAGCCCCGGCATGACGAGGGGCATGCGAGGAGGGAACTGTTTACCGAGGTGTTCGCGTCGCGGCGTTCACAGGGTCCATGCCGATCATCACAAAAGCTATCAAGCTCCAAGCTTCCCGTGACACCACCCACCTTCTGACGCCACTATGCAAGACTATTCGCCTATCTCGGTCTTGGATGAGCAATCGGTTGAATCACAGGCCTTGCCATGCACCACAACAGAAGTAGCACACACCCCGAGGGGCGAGACAAAGGACTTGAGCTGACGAGTACGCCCTGTTGATCATCTGGACTCAACTGAACCCCTCTCTATCAGCCACCATTAACATGAACTCTAAAAAGATAGTGGATTCGGATAGCGATCGGAAAGTACTTCTGCCTCGACCTCTGTGCTCTATAAATTGTGAGCCATGGCGCTGCTTAGGCTCCTCGGCTCTTGGTCCAGTTTATGTCTTTGCAAAACGCCAGATTGAAAAAGCATACATTGCTCTGAAGACACCACAAATAAGTAGTCGACACTGGGGTATCGAATCACTACAATAGCTTTTCCAGCTTCCAATCCCAGCGGTCATGAAACTCGACCAAATCATGTTCGGCACGAATACAACCGCCAAACCTACAATCATCTTTGTGACTGGAGCCTGGCACAAGCCTCAGCTCTATGCACCGCTCTTGGATGGTCTAAAGAAGACCCGCTTCCCTGTCGTGGCACCTGCCCTTCCCTCGGTTGGCGGGACTTGCGAGAACTTCAATGAAGACGTCAATGTCATCCGCAAAGCCATCGCCGACGAAGTCTCTCAAGGCAATGAGGTCGTCGTCCTCATGCACTCCTACGGCGGCGTAGTGGGAAGTGCAGCAGCCCAAGGATATTCAAAACAAGAACTTCGCAGTGGAGGCGGTGTAATCCGCATGATTTACCTCACGGCATTCGCCCTGGATGTCGGTCTCAGTCTTATGGATGGCCTGAATAACAATCCACTCCCCTGGTGGCGATCCCCTAACGACAAGCAATGGCAAGCCGTCAATACTTCTCAAGTCTTTTACAACGATGTCGATCCTGAGATAGCAGATCCATTGGAAGCACAACTGGATCTACAAGCCAAAGGTGTTTTCGAGAGCAAACAAACTTATGCAGCTTGGAAGTACATTGACTCCACCTATATCGTTTGCGAGCAAGACAATGCGATCCCTAAGCAGGCGCAGGTGCACATGGCGAATCAACCTGGAGGCAAATTCACGATCGAGTACTTGGATGCTGGACACTCGCCTTTCTTGAGCATTCCCATGCAGACCGTAGACACCATTCGCAAAGCAATCTGGGAGCCCGTCTAAACGACTTATGAGAGCATGTACCCTTATGAAACATGGACGAACCGAGGAAGGTGTAACTACGCAATGTATTCAGCATATTCTATGATTACCAGATTTCAACCTAACACTGTATCACGTCTGGCCGATTATCTCTCAAACATATCGTTTATCACCAACGCGCTGAACTATGACGTATGTTTGTGCCACTTTTGACTTTGGATATTCAAGGTGGCTGGAAGAACAGGGTGATACCCTTTACAATGCTTTCCAAGGTCGACGACGATGTTGCAGCAGCACCACGCTATCTACAATACCATACACTATATATAGATGATCTTTACGTATATCTGTAGACTTATCATGATTTTTGTCCTCACATGAGCTTCTTTCGCTGCGCTATGCACGGAATGAATGTTTTAGTGCTCGAGATCTGGAAGCTGTTGACGAGTCAGGTTGACGTGAAGACAATTCAAAGAAGAAGCAGAGATAAACACTATCTTGGTCGTTATAAGACTGGAAGTGATCGGATCTGTACGGACCTATCCAAAATACCTCTTAATGCACCCCTGTAGCACACGCAGCGTGGCAGTGGAAGCACAGTGCTAGACCGAGACATTATTCAAGCAAGACAGGGTGACATGCTACAGCAACTATGATGTCATAGATTTTTCGGTTTGGTTTTGTATCAGGGCCGAGCGACAACTCTCCATCTCTTGAGTAGCGACTTGAGGTCATCGTTATACGGAACGACTGCTACCTTGATCGCGTATAATAGACACAATGAGGATTTTCGATGAGAAGCTCAGGCCAAATGTTGACAACAGAAGTCGTAACAGCCTCATTTTACAGACAACCTTGTAAATCGAAAAGCTCAGAGACGTGATCATCATCTATCAAATCTCAAAGCAGTTGCATCGAGATGATCTGTCACATGCAGCTCATTCATGGCTTTAGTCCAGCTCTTTCCTCATCACACCCATGCAAAAACCTTGTTTATTTGACAACCACAAATCCAACACCACTTCTTGCCTTCAACGCCGCCTTTTTCAACTCCTGCTCCTCGACATCCGTCCACTTGACAGTCAATTCATCCCACTTCATAGTCTGAAAATCGCGTTTATACTGTTGTTGCATAGATTGCAATCTACGCATGTCCGTGGGATCGCCGCCGCCGGAGTAAACGATAAACGCTGTTTTCGGGGGTAGAGAGTCATAGATGGCCTTTACAGATGCTGTGGTGCGGGTAACGGCGTCGGCTAGTGCTTGAGTGGAGAGACCGTCCGTAGAAACGTTGTTTTCGGCTAGTGTGTTGGCGAGGCGGGCGGCGGCGTCTGTGGATGTTGTGCGTGTCCACCAGCCGCGGAGGGCTTCGAGTTCGCGGAGGCGTGCCCATACGAAGTCGACGCCGTTGGTGGGGATGTGTTGGCCTGGTGCGTCTGCTTCCTCGGTGGACTCGGGGCCGGAGAGTACGCGTTGGACACCTGCAACTACATCGGCGTCGCTCTCGCAGGACACTGTGCAGGTAGCTGCAGCGCCGAAACCGCGCTTCGGGTCTCCCCAGTCGACGACAGCACCGGTGCGGCCAGTCTTCTCTTGTTCGGGCTCCTCCAGCATACCGCCTTCGTCTTTATCTTCTTCTTGACCAGCACGGCTGAGACGCTTGAAAATGCTTTCACTGGTTGCTTCTGAGGTTCCCCACATTTTGCCCTTCTCGCACTTTTGCTTAACAAGATCAAGACAGGCTTTTGCGTCTTCAACACTGTCGTGGCCTTGAGGCCCGCGGTTCTGAATCTCGCGGGATAGGTACTTCTGAGTGAGCCATTTGAGAGAAGACTTTTGAGGAGGTCCCTTGGGGTGAGGGTAGATAAGAGTGGTGTCGACAATGAAGGGGAAAGACATGCGAAGGGCGCGAAGATCGGAGTCCAGGGAGTGACCTAGGAGGATTGTGCGAGGTGTGAGGACAGATTTTAGCTTTTCCTGTAGCTCGGCGAGAGTCTGTGTGACACCCTCCATCATTTCCTTGGTAATACCAGAGTATTGAGTCAGGTAGTCTGTCACGGTGCCTGGAGGCTTGACAAGCTCGTCGAGGACAACATTGCCATCCCAGTCAATAAATGACACGCGAGCGAGAGCAAATCTCTCTTCTGATGTGGTGATCATTTCGCAATCGACTGTCAGAACGTTGCGACCCTGTAGAATGCTACCCTGCTCAATTTCCTCGGATGGCACAATGCCCTCGTCGAGTGATGAAATGGCAGGCAAATCAATCCAGCCGTCCTCTTCTGACTGACAGTACTTGTGACGTCTCGCCTTCTCGGCCTCACGCTCGACATCCGTGCGCAAGTACGCAGGATGGATGGCGTAACCATTGTCCGACAAGTCTTCTCTTGTAGCCAAAAACTCTGTGATGGGAGTTCTCTGGTTTTGCCATCTGGGGCCTTCTCTTGGAGGCTTGGGGCCCTTGATCTTTTTCTCGTCCTTTGCTTTGGGCAGAGGCGACGTCAACAAAGCCGCTAGGGGCGAGTGCATGCGATTGAACTCTCCTGGCGTTTTGACTGGCCAAATGTGAGGGAACATCTCTGCGAAGGGTTGTAGCGGTGCGGGCAGCTTGGGCGATACGAGCTTAACGGGGTAGTAGTCATCGGGAGATATGGCAATTTTCAGCTTCTTCGAGGGAGGAGAGTTTGATTCGGACAGGGATTCTGTCTTTTGCTCGACGGGCTTTGCGGTGCTTTCTTGACCGGGATCGAGGTTGATGTTGGCATTGAACATGTCGGCTTCCAGTCCTGGGGCCATCAAGCATACCACGCGCTCAATGTCCTTCTTGTGGCGAACGCTGATCCATTGAGGGCCGCTGCCATCAGACAGCAGGTACAAGACCAGGTTCTGAAGGTCCTGGATCTTGACGAATGATTGGAGGCGTGCATTTGGCGCATGTGTGATCTGAGGATAGTTTTGGTGGATGCTCTTCTTATGGCGCTTGGAACTACGATCAACAGTAGTCCATTCGCCACCATCGTCGTTGGCATCTTGTGTCGCGGCAGGCGAGGCGGCTTTCGAGTCGAGGTCGCTGTCGCCATTGAGACGCGATAATGTGGCGCCCATGCCGAGCAGTTCCCTACCTTCTTGCTGGTCAAGCTTGCGCTTTTGACCGCGACTGTGGCTATCTCCTCCTGACATGATTGAGATCTGCCACGAGTAGGGTTGATTTCAGAGTGGTGACGTCGAGGTGGTATGGTTTTTTGAGAAATGCGACACCCTCGCGACAGCTTCGACAGGCAGATCTAGATCTCGGATCTAACCGAAACGCCCGGCATGCTCTTGCCGACAACGCCGCCGCAGCCCTTCAGCTCTTGAGGTACCTAGGAACGCATAGCTCTATATCAAGGCAGATGTATCACATAGTTCAGATGTTGTTTGTGGAGCCTTGAGACGATCTTCCTGATCTCGGTTGCTGTTGGAGACCCAGCTATTGCAACGATGGTGGTGTATCAAAGTCAATCGCATGTCGGGGACTCGTGCTTGGCACGTGCTTCTGGCGTCAGTGCGCAAATCAGTTCCATCATCGTTCTCGAATTCAACAATCGCATTGTTTGTTGCAAGATTTCATGTCTCAGCATAACCCATGAGGATTCTACCGCCCAACTGGGAAGGGCTTCACCCCGCTTACCCCAGCAAACCTGCTCCCTTCAATGAGTCTGCCTTGACCAAGGCGCCCTTTTGGGCTGGTGGCTGCGGTGCCCTTGCCGCCGGTCTCGCACTGCTCACAAAACGTCCGCCTGCTCAAGGTCTCAAGATTGCCGCCTGGACCACCATCATCTTTGGCACTGCTTCCGTTGGCGTCGAACGCTATGCCGGTCGCCTCATCGCCAGGCCCTACCTCGAGAGCAAGGGTGTCGAGATTCCAAAGTCAAAGATCATTGATCGTCCTTTCGAAATTGATGCCGACAACTACATCCTGGCCGGTGGTCTCATCGGTCTTGGCTTTGCTGCCTCTGTACGCAAGCCATGGAACTCCGTCGGCTGGCAGCGTTGGCTGGGTGCTTTCAGCTGTGGCTCTTTTGCTGGCGCATCCTTCAACCAGATCTACCACTACGATACTTCCGCTTCCCTTGCCGAAACCATCGCGAGGCAACAGACTCTGCGCAACATGTGGATGGAAGATGTAAAGCGTTTCATCGAGAACAAGGCTATCAAAGACTCTGGTCGCAATCCCGAGGACCTCAAACAACCTGGAATGACCACAATGGCCGATATGCTCAAGAATGTTGGAGATGCTCAGAACTCCATGGTCAAGGAGATGCACGCGGCTGCTGCACTGGCTGCTCAGAACGCTCAAGAGGAGGATGTTGACGAACAAGACCCGCAACCACACTTCAGTGAGATGCGCGAAGGAGAGCGCGTTTTCTTTCCAGAGCCAAATTACAAGTGGCAGCCAGGCTCAGACGCTGTCCAACAGATCGAGTCGCATATCCAAAAGCTGAAGGAGCGAAGGTCTCGTCTTGCCGGAGAGGCATCCATGCTGTTCTACGAACTCGCTTCCAAGCAAAACGACCTATATCTCACTGACAAGGAAGACTTTGAGAGAGAGCAGCGTCGTGTCGATGCCGAACTAATGGGTCATCTACACACTCAGACCTACATCGAGATTTCGCGCCTCGATTGGTGCATTGCCGACTCTCAAAAAACAAGGCTTCAGCTCAAGGCTTTGGAGAATGGCCAACAATGGCTGCCTCAAAAGCCTGAGAGCCAATTGAAGCTCCATCACGCTCGTCGCCTACTGGATGACTTTGATCACGAGAACGAAGTTGCGCGCGCTGAGATGGACATGCTCGCCCAGCAAGCCGTTGACGCTCTACGGGATCCAGGACTTGGCGCCATCGACATGACTACCGGTAAAGTGGTCGAGGACCCTCACTCCCAAATCAAGAAAGACCTCGAGGAGCTCAAGAGAGTTCAAAAGGAATCTACCATGATCCGCGAGGCTATTGCAAAGCTCAGAACAGAGATGGGCATCGAGAAGAAGGACGACTAGTCTTGCTGTAAATAGAAATCACCAATGATGCTGTGTATTCTGCGACTTGACTCGTCGGTCCATCTTGCCCTATTCATACATGTACCGAGTCGGCGTACCGCTGATCGATTCTGCAACTTTAATTCTCCATGTACGAGGCCGCTGAACATATACTTACTTGCTAAACACATTCAGTAATACTTGCGACCGGTATACATGTGCTTGCTCAGCCCAGGGCCACTGAATACGAATAATCTCAAGGCCGTCATAGGTAGTATCTGCTCGTGAGATTGCTCACAAGGCAGACACAATGTGCACACTGCGACGTGGCCAGAACAAGGCAGACTCGGCTGCATGTCACAGCCAGAGTACACCCGCTGCTCCTTTGTCACATTGTCCTCCAAGGCTGAGCCCTGTGGTAACTACCTCAGATCCAACATGTATCTCATCGGAGGATTTATGACCCGAGTGGACGGAACAGCGATTGTGAAAGGCTCGGTTGCAGTAGTGTAGTCTAGTCAATCTCGATACGCAACAACTCGTACTTTTGCACAGATCTCAAGAAACTGTTCGTATCAACACTATGGGAAATTACTCTTGGATAGCTGAAAATTCGTGCTATCCATTCAGACTCAGCCTTCCATATCAGACTCCGAAATCTCATTGTAGAGATACGAATGCGAAAGAGCATACGAAAGTACGAAGCCCCAAGCTGTCAAATGTCAAAAAGAGCCGCACTAGTCACAGGCGGACCCCATGAAACGGCCTTACCTTGGCCGACATCATTTAGACTCTGATCGGTGCTGAACCGGCTCTGCAGCCTAGTTTCTCGCAAGCAATGCCATTTTGCGCATGTTCCGATGGAAGATCGTCACCCGTTTGTATGGCAGCACACCACATCGGCGGGCTTGACAATTTATAGGCTGATAGAAAAGCAGGCAAGTGCCAGATTGTCAAATGTAGGTTGAGCCGCTGTGCTTCTTGCTTCTCCATCTTTTGGGGCCTTTACATCAGGAAACACCATCGACTTAGTGTCACTCTCTTTCACTCTCATCGAAGGGCGCTCGCACTTTTCCATAACCGGATCTCACCGGCATCTGTTTTCACGGAAAAAAGGCGTGCAAGTAAAGGAAGAAACAACAACAATGGCTATTGGAAGTACTGGCTGTGTGGCCTACGATCCAAGGCAACGATCAGCTTATGGATATGTGCCTTCTCTCGCTGCTGGCATTGTCTATTGTGTACTCTTTGGACTCTCTGGGCTTGCGCACACTTTCCAGGCTATTAGGACACGGGCACTCTGGAATCTGGTCTTTGCTATTGGATGTTTGAGTGAGTTTGATATTTCCTTCCTTCAGAATCTCGAAGAGCTGCTTTGCCCATTTCCTTGGTCGTATACGGTTTCCAAGGACGTGGGACTGCAAGAGAGGTTACATCGACGAGTGGTCCTGAATGGGGTCACTCGGCCTGCATAATTTGCTTCTCTGCAGGAAGCTCAACAATCATGCTGCTTCTCATCCTACGCATCTGCAACCACAAGATCAGATCATTATGCTAACTCGACCTCAACAGCCGAAGTTCTAGGCTGGGCTGCTCGCTCCTGGTCGAACCAATGCCCCTACAACGCAAACGCCTTCCTGATGCAAATCTGCACCTTGATTATCGGTATGCCTCCCCCCCCCCCTCCCCCCCTCCTCACTCCCATTTACTCTCTCCTTATCCTAACATCCTAAAAGCACCCACATTCTTCACAGCAGGCATCTACGTAATCCTCGGCCGCATGATCGCAATCGCCGGCCCCGGAGTCTCCCCCATCGGACCAACCTGGTACCTCTGGATCTTCTGCACCATCGACGTAATCTCCCTCGTCGTCCAAGCCATCGGTGGTGGATCTGCCGCTGTGGCATTCAACGCCGAACCACCCGGCAACACCAAAATCGGCACCGACATCATGGTAGCGGGTATTGATTTCCAACTCGCTTCCGTAATAATCTTTAGCGTTCTCTTCTTTCTCTTTCTCTACAGAGCTGGTGTGAAGAGAAGTATTCCGGCGTTTAGAGATGATGGGGATATGAAGTTGTTGGTGGCGGTGACGAGTCTTGCGATTTTGCTGATTGTCATGAGGAGCATTTATCGTACTGTTGAGTTGGCTGGTGGATGGACGGGTAGGGTTATTGAGACTGAGAGGTACTTTGTTGCGTTGGATGGTGCGCCGATGGCTGCGTTGGTTATCGCTTACAACATTCTTCATCCTGGAGTTTTGATCAACCGGATCATCGCTCGCAACGGCATTCAGATGGCAGAGAAGCCGAGAAAGAGAAGAGGAAAGAAGGAGCATGAGCAGCCAATCTCGGAGGACTCTTCTGCTTGAAGAAGCAGCCGAGGACGAAAGCGCAATACGATACACACGAACCTTTTTGCTCTTCTCTCTCGAAAGCAAAAGCGATACCCCAATTCTTTGGCTCTGATTTTCTTTCATAATTACATTTTTTCTTTTTACTGTTCTCGCAGAAAAACAACTCAACTTCACCTTCCTCTCTTCGTTCTCTTATCCTTCCTTTGAAAACAGTCAAAGATCTGACCAAGTCCAAGAGCACAGATTCCCATGCCACCTTTTCTCCTTACATCAAAAGTCTAACCTCAACACCCTTCCTCTGCCCATATAGCAACCCTCCATCCCTTATCCAATGAAACAAACAACTCCCACACCCAGCACCAACACCAAAAGGATTAACTTCCACCAACTCTACCCTCCCACTTGCTTTGACCACAACATCAAAGCTAAAACCCCAATACCTCAACTCCTGTCTAATATCCTCATTTACCGCTTCCAAAATCTGACCCAGTAAAGTCGAAGAAGCATGTACAACAATCTCCACTGTATCTCTAGCTTGAAACCTCTGCACAGGAAAAGGTGTATGCCAAAGATACTGCGAGATTGCCACAACCCTCTGGTTCCCTTGCACGGTGCGAGACACAGGAGCCACAAAACAGCGGCACTCCACCCCTTTTGCAATTTCTTCATCCCCAAACATGCAGATATACCTGCACAAGTCGCCGGTGAGCAATCTGATTTTTCAAAATCCCCTCTTGCGCGATTTCGAAGTAATCAAACATTTCGCAAACTCCTCTGCATCTTTTATCGGGAATTTGATAGAGGAGGAATCTTTGGGTGAGCAGTCGTTTAGTCTTGTGAACCATTTTTGTTGTTGTTTGTTTTCAAACATGGTCTTGGAGAGGTGGGTGGATAGTAGATCTTCGACATCTGCGAGATTAGCGGGATTGATGTTTCCAGTAATCAAGTAAGAGGTTTGAAGATCTAATATCGAGGCTGCGAGATAGTGGGAAAGGAAAATGGCGTAATGGTCTGATTCTGCGATGTTTTGGGATCTTTGGATCAAAGTGGCATAGTGGGAGAAGGAGTAGATGTTGCGAGGAGGTGTTGTCAGTGGCATGTTTAGTCCTAGCATTTGTCGAAGACTGGCGATTTCTTCTTCTGTTGCCTGAGGAAGGTGGTGGTGTTAGCATAATGTATCGGCGTGATGGGATGACTAGGTTTCTTGGTGAATTACTTACAGAGACAGAATTGTATAGTCTAGGCGAACAGTCAGATGTCAGAGTCGAGGAGTTCAAGATGGTGATGGTGAGGTCATCCGCGCAAGTAACCGTAAGTGGAAGATCCATGCCGCAAGACTGTTTCAATAGAGGCAAATCGAAATGGGTAGATTTTTGTCGAAAGAGAATGGAAAATATCGTTCAGAGATCAAGACATGAGAAAGCGCGAAATCACTGCAAGTCAAGCGTAGGTAGCAGACCCAATCTCCCTCAAGAACTGACTCACTATTGAAATGCCACGGATCGACCACGTGCTCATTGCAACAGAGTGAAGGGAGTCCGAGGGAAGAGTACTTGAAAGAAAGATAGGAAGATAGATTTGCTCCCTATCTGAGTCTATAAAATTGGTATCCTGCAAAGAAGAGAAACTTCGTCTACATGCGACAAGCAGCGTACACCTGCAACGCTTGTGGAAGATGGCCAATCATGATCCTGTAACTCCCGCTATGATCATAACCAAAGCATCGAATACGTGGAGAAAGACAGCGCTCAATCGTCAGCCTCGAGCATACTCAAAACATCAATCTCGGTCTTGATGATCCTCTCGAATTCTTCCCTGCCCATACCCACGCTTCTGGCAAGGCGGAACATGCTCTTCATCTCAGTGCTGATGAATTGTTTCACGCCGACTTCTGCTCTTGTCATGTCCTCTGCCCCACGCTCCAGCTTGTCGACACTGCTTGCCGGACTGGTGGGTCGTGGTGCCTCCAACGCTGCCTTTTCCCGTTGTAGTGTCGCCGAGAATTCACTGTTCTCTGAAGCGTACATGGGTGGAGCTGGGTTGGTGTTTGGCTCTCCTGCAGGTGTTGCGATGGATCTCTTCTCGCTCAATTCACCGCCACGTAGGGTGGAGTCTGCAGTCTCCGGGTGCTCTTCGTCAGGATCATGGTCGTCGAGTGCTGGTTGGACCTCAGCGGCATAACGGGCAAAGTACTCGAGTTCGTCATTTGTGGGGCCGAGATTCGAGGCTGTGGTGGAGGTGGGAGCAGGACTCGCACGTTTGGCAGGAGTACGGGCGGGAGTTCTGTTGTTGGGAGTTCGGTCGTAGCTGGCCCAGTAGTCATCATCATCATCGTCGTCGTCCTGAGCAGTCGCTTGTTGAGGGATAATTGTTGAAGGGGCGTTGGGGTGCGACTTGGACTCGAAGACGTCGTTTGCGGCGTCGATGCTGTCGGTCCACTGGACAATATCGTCGCTGAGATCTTCAATTGCGCGCAGTTCAGCTAACCTCCAACCAGTTGTTCCCCCGACTTGACCACCTTCTGCGTCGTTCTCACACCACACGTATACCGGCAGCAGGCCAAACTCCTCGACCTGCAAGCAGGATTGTAGCGTTTCTTCATCCACTCTCTTGTATCCGATCTTGTCAATGTCCTCCAGCTCCAGCTCTCCAGACACAGGGTGGGCTTCCAATTGCAGGTTCTCGATTTTGGCGCCGAGTTTTGAGGAGCGAGAGGACGACCAGGAGAGCAGGTTCAACCAACCGCCTTGGCCTGAGGAAGTGTTGCCCGCCAGAAGATTAACTCGTTGGCGGAGGATGGGCGACAGGAGCGGGAGCAGTGCTGGCGGTGGCCGCGGCGACATGAAGGCCGTGGGGAGACATGCCAGAAGTGGTGGGAACAGAGTCCGTGGCTCGGGAGGTGTGATGATGGTAGACATGGTTTGCCTAGTGTTGAGGTTTTGGTGACGGAGAGGATGCTTGAAGGAGCAAAAGAGGTACGGGTTGCGAGGGCAATAACAATACTTTCTTCTCCCGAGGATCAGCGGTCATTGACTGTTGCAGTGCTGCACGCCGTCTTTGGTCCGGTGGTCCGAGAGAGTTGCGGCGCTGCGGCTTGCATGTGCTGCGACTGACCGTCAGCCTGACCAAACTCTCTCCACAATCTTGCCCCACTTCCCGACAAGGAAAGACCTACTCCGACACTTGCCGCCCACGACCCTTCTCCACCACCACAAACTCTGCCTCTTGTCAATACCATGAAAGCACCTTGAAGTCTAAACATCGCCGCTAATCACAAGCCGAGTGTCTGTAATGTTTCTGTTTCTCTTTCTATTTCTGTTTCTGACTTGCATTCAGCCATAGAAGCGGGTATATGTAAAAACGGTTGCATCCCTCGCCAAAGAATCAGTACAACGAGGCACATCTATGTGAAAAGGCTCAAGCTATGCATCAAGGAAGGTGCCAATCGCAGTGTAGGTGCCTCTCAACTCCAAGCTACCAAATCTGTCCCTCCCTTGTCCATCCATCCTTCTATCGTGGCCAGAGTTTTTAGTTCGAGCTCAATCGTCCAGTCAAGACCAGATTGACCAGTTTGATCAGAATGTTACACAGTAAATACGCCGACATGAGCGGTGCAAATAACTGCAATGGCTCCCAAGCAGACTTTGGCCTGACTTCTGTCTCAATGTACTGGCAGTGTTTCTTCTCTTCTTCTGGCTTGTCGACGGCATGCACAGCAGCAGGATCAGCAGGGAATCTTCCATGCTCGAGGTAATACTCTAGCAAATCATCCTTTTCCCTCCATCTATCCAGTAGCCAGGATTCCGTCTCTTCTTTGGAGTGGAGAGGAATGTCGGCAATGGCGAAGCGACGCCAATGCATGTTTACTGATTTGGGCGCGCGGCCTTGGAAGTAGACTGAGCGTAGAGTGTAGAGTTGACCACCGTAGGAGCCCCGAGGAACACCTTCATAGGCGATTGTGCAATCGTAGAGCCAGTCTACTCCATTCTTCAACTCTTCCAGACAGAAATGCAGGCCAGTGCTGCGTGGCAGGAGCTGATGCTTCATATCCGGGATGCCGGACTTTTCACTCCATCTCGCGGATGAGTTGCGCGTGTTTGGACTCAGATTTGTGCCTTCTGGGAAAAGGAGTAGCCATGCGGGGTCCAGGCCAGTCTTGTCTTTCCTGCCCGTCATGGGGCCTGTATGTCTGGTGGACAGCTTTTGCAAGCGATGCTTCAGACGCGGTTGATCTTTTGCCCATTTCCTGCTCATAAAGATGAAGTTGTAGAACATCATTCCTGGCCCAATCATGGGTATGTATTTCAAGCTCTCTTTCAGGATAATGTAGATGTGGCCATGACAAGCTGCTGTATAGCTGACCCACCACAGATAGGTCCAATCGGTGTAGATCTGGTGGTTTGCGATCAAGACCATGCGCTCTGGGAAGTCGCATTCGAGACGGCCGTCGGGGAATTGCTTCAGCTGGCCGCTGACAGAGGCGTCGCCGGAGATGCGGATGACGGTGGGAGCGAAGAGATATGTGCCGGTGATGAGGACGAGGGCAAAGTACTGCTTGCACACAGCTTGCCATGCGTAAAAGTAGTCTTTGTTGTAAAAGTAGAGGGGGGCGCCGAGCAGTTGTGCAGAGTGGATGCCCAAGGCAGCAATGAAGAAGAAGACTACAAAGCACGCGATGCGGAAGTATTGCATAGCAGGACCATGCTTGACTGGACCGGCCGGATGGTTGTCCTCTTTCAGATAGTCTTTGGTGGATGTGATGGGAATCTCTGCTTCCACGGCAGCGGTGGGATTCGGTATAGGACGCTGGCGGATGCCCTCGGTGTTGATGCGCGACATGTCTCTGGGTGCGACAGTGGGCGGGTACGACTATGACACACGGCAAGCAGCAGGAGCTTGCATTGAGAGGGCGATGGACGATAAGAATGCTGCGTGGCAGGGTGGAACAAAGGTCGTCGTCTGATCAGGCACGACTGGCAAATGTTGTCGCATGCGTCATTCACATGCCCCGCCATCCGCCAGCCTTCAACCTTTGCCAGTCATGCGCCATGGCGTTGCACCAACCAACATGGAAGAATGACACGGCCGTGTTTGCCTCTGCTGCGACATGTCGCCAGAAGATGCTTTTCCCACTCTACCGTCCGCCGTGAGCTACGCGACATAGCTGCTCTGCCAGACCGCATCCGTCCCTCGTATCAAGGTATCATACCACCACTGTACAGACACTCACGTGCTGGGACACCATAGCCTCTAACAACATCATAGAGACAAAACACCAGGATCTGCTATCGCTGCAATGGCCTCAGCCACCGCGCAATGTTTTGATCGTGCACAAAAGCGGCTCCCCCGTCGTCGATGAAGCCGTCCACGAATACGCAAACCACATCCACTCGGCCTACCCAGACGTCTCCCTCGTCTTCGAGCCGCACGTCGCAAAAGCCCTACACACAGACTTTTCCTTCCCCATCTACACTACCCTGGGCGCTTCGAACCATGCTCGTCTCCAGGACAAGATCGATCTGACTTCCACCCTCGGCGGCGACGGCACAATCCTCCACGCCTCCTCCCTCTTCGCAAACGCCCAAAATGTGCCTCCCATCCTATCCTTCAGCATGGGCACCCTAGGCTTCCTGGGAGAGTGGAAGTTTTCAGACTACAAACGTGCTTTGCGTGAAGTATACATGTCAGGCGCAACAGCAGGCTATGGTAGCTCCCTCCTAGAAACAGAGTCTGGGGCAGCAAAAGATGTCTTTTCGGGCTGGAGTTCTGTTCGCGGCATGTCAATGGGTCCATCGCGCTCCTCTCGCGTTTTGTTACGGAACAGATTGAAAGTGGGCATCTTTGCTGAAGATGGCAGACCCATCACCCATGCGGATCCTTCAGCGCCAATGTCTTCGTCCGACTGCGAGAACAACGACTGCGACGTTTTTGCCATGAACGAGGTCTTACTCCATAGAGGTCGCACTCCGCATCTCAGTATCATCAACATCTACGTTGGCGGCCGCTTTCTCACAGAAGCAGTAGCAGATGGCCTCCTCATCAGTACACCTACAGGTTCCACCGCCTACTCTTTGTCTTCCGGCGGCAGTATAGTCCACCCCCTCGTCTCCTCCCTCCTTCTCACCCCCATCTGCCCTCGCAGTCTTTCTTTCCGGCCCTTGGTCCTCCCCTCAAACACACCCATAACTCTACGCTTATCACCCAAGAACCGCTCAGACGAGATCGAGCTCTCGGTCGATGGTGTCCGACGGGAAAGAGGCCTTACAAGAGGCATGGAAGTCAGAGTTGTAGGCGAAGAAGTTAGAAGTGAAGAAAGGACTTGGGGTGGTGGTGGTGTGCCTAGTATTGTCAGGACTGGCGGTAGTAATGGAGCTGATGGGCATGATCATTGGGTTGGTGGTTTAAATGGGCTCTTGAAGTTTAATTTCCCTTTCGGCGAGGGTGAGGAGTAGAGAGTGTGGTTCAGATAAGAGGTACCATGCCAGAGCGGCTCTCTCGCCATTGTAGCGTTGTATGTGCGCCTTTTTTCCTCTTCCTTTGCACCTGTCTACTAAGGTACCTTGTTCTGCTTTCTTTCTGCGACTCGCAATTGACCAATTGACGTCATGGTCAACATTTGTCTCAAGACAGGGTCATTTCAAGGACTTGAACAACAACAACAACACGACCCTAAACCTCACATATCTACCCTTACTCCACAACTGGGTCTTTACAAATCCTCACCGCATTATCAAAAATCCGTCGTCATGGGATTATACACATGGATATCGTAACACCTGATTGCATTTTGGCTACATGCGGATCCAAGCATATCGCTTGTGGGGTGGTTTCAATCTGCTGATCTTGACACCACAAAGGTAGAGACAGAGAGAGAGTGCAAGGGGATTGCGCATGCTAGACAGGGGTCAAGGTATCAAAAGCTCGCAGGAAAGAGAGCAGCGACCTGGACCAAAAACTTGATCTTTTTTGATTTGGGCCAACTTTTGATTTCCATACGCTCAAATGACGAATGAGAAGATCCTGCTGGAGGCGGACGTTTTTCATGTGGTGTTTGTTGATGGAGAGATGGAAGTGGTGGGGTTCTTGGCTTTCATTGCTTCCATCACTTGAAGGAAGGGACAAGCCTGGGTTCGGTTTATAAAGGAAATTGCTGGTTAGGGGAGATATGAATCTGCTGTTGATGTCAACCGGCAGACATGACAGCATATTTGACAGAACGGGGATTGGAAAACCGAGGTTGATGAGATACTCGGATTTCATATTCGCTCGCTCGAAGAGACTTGAAAGTTCGAATTTGGTTCATCCAGGCAGCCCTGGTTGAATGATAGGAGATTGTGGAGAGGTAATAGTCTCGTACTGAACAATCAAACGAAGCACCCTACTCCTCGAGTGACCTACCCATCTTGTGTGCCTTTGTGCCTGTGAGCAGCGAGATCGACGTCGTCGTCGTCGACATCCTTCTGAAAATGGGGTCATGTCCCAGACGATTTCTATTTGTTCCGTTGATTACAGCATGGGCTTGCGGCCATGATGAGGCAATGTTGCGGGTCTCAGATGATGACTGGGATGTGACAGGGAATGGCCCACCCGCCTCTATGAGCTTGTCGTCAACCTCCGAGAAGCTTGTTTGGTTCTACTCCACCAGGGAACTGGACAGCAGACGATAATGTTTGAACAAATAGATCTTGTGAGCCGACCACGTTGTTCCGAGAATCTTTTATTGACGGTCAGCAGTTCTGATGCTGTATTCAGTTCAATTAGGCCTAGTCAAAGTGACTTCGAATGACGGTGTTTTGCAAGGGTGAAGGGAGGCACATGTGGTGCACTGAGCGGTAAGATGGAGCAATGACGTAGCATCATTGTTTGTACCTTCTCAATTGTTGTGCATCTCAGTAGACTGAAACAAATCTATACGCAGGGACTGGATGTTATTTAGTGAAGCTCGAAGCTTCGTGAGGTCAGCTCTTGTGATCATTGGTTCTGTTGCTTCAAGCATGAGCATGGCTATAGGGAACGAACCGCTTCGACGGGATGAGATAAAGTCTGTTGCTTGCGGCGACGAGATGAGGAGACCAATCGCTTCAAGCACAAAAGCACGACTTAACTTCTCGCACCTTGCATCAGATAGTATGCAACACACCTCATCTTTGGCGCAAGCGAGGTCAAAATTCCACAAAAACAACGACATGTAGAGTCATCAATGCGACGGCCGGTGACGAAGTGCAGTCGAAACAAGCGCCACCAAGCAAGACCACATACATTACCGCTTTCCTGCCGCTTACCGCGCCTCTACCGCCACCAACAGCAACTCCAAACGCGGGCATTGCTTGTCTCTCTCCGCCAAGGATCGGTCCAAGAGACGGTACACTGGTAGAAAGATAAGGTTCCCGGATCTCTTGTCAATCAATCGTCGAGCCTTGTGTTGATGGTTACGCATGGCCAAGTGTTGTAGGTTGCTTTGCTCCGGAGGCTTGTCCTTCCAAGCTTAACAGCAGGTGGGCGGTTCTGGGCTTGCTATTGGCTTTTGGGAACAACGTCTGCAGTGTGACATGTGAGATCTTGCTACATGACGATGAGGTCGCATCCTTCGAACAAGTACTCAAGACGTCATAATACCTATCATCACATAGGTTGTGACAGGTATCGTCTGTCGTGGAAGCGGGAGCAAGGGATGCCCAAAGGCTCTGGACTCGACACTCGCATGTGGAGGAGTTGCTTCCTCCTCGAACGCCTCGAACCGGCAGATGACTCGAGCGCTCCTCGAAACGCTCGGCATCTCATACGCTCAACTTTCTCGACCCATGTCTGCGTTTCTCGTGCAATCAAGCCATGTCAGAACTCGTCTGCCGCGAGAGCATGCCGCTCGTATGCATCTCAAGCCGATACTGCCGGCACGACACCAAAGGATCGATTGTGTTCCAACACAAATGAGATTGCATCGAGCTCTTTGCCGCGCACACCGCGAGCACGTGGGCTATTCATGGGCTCATGTGTAGGTTCTCGGACCGTTCCAAGTGGGCACACTTTACCTCCAACAAGATAGTGCATCCTCCAAACCCAGAAGTTGCTCGTATGAGCACAACAAGTCTGCGACATGCGAAATGAAGGTCGATGAGCACAAGCAGCGCTATTGTTAATATCTGCGTCCTTGTGGGTTTCGATCTCGTAGCTCTGCAAGTTGAACCCGAGGGAGGATGTCACTCAAGATCCAGGGTTGACTTGCCGAGCATCAACTCATTCCCCCTCAATCACACTAGGGAGCCCCCGGGATTATCATATATTAGGCGGAGCTGACCGAGCGTTTTTCCTCGATGCGTTCGTCTTTATGGCCTTGACAGACAACATCCGGAGTTTAAAACGAAGTTCGATAGGCTGATTGAATGACGAAGACGGCATGATGTAGATGCCGCGACGAGAGATACAAAACCATTCCGGGAACAAGGGCATGAACGGTCCAAATTGATGAACTCGTTGGCGGTTGTCTCGAAGCAAAAAAAAAAGAACAAGGGATGATGTCTCCAGACGAGTGATCGGCGACGCATCAGACCCCACGCCACATGCAGGGCCGAGAAGTATTACCCGCAGGCCTGGAAGCCTTCCCGACCAAGGACTCGAGCACGTTGTCAGAACAACGCCTTCTCATTGGTCGAATTCGACCTCTCTTCTTCCATCTCGAAAACGAATTTATCAACTCAATTGGCAGTTGAGGCTTGCGGCTGGCGCTGCTGTCGTCCTTGTCTTCGTCATTGGCAAAGCTTTTTTGTGTCAGTTGGAAACGCTTGTCTACAGCTTGTTATTTCCAGAAAGAAGCATGCGCAGGCGAGTTGTGGTCGAGTGTGAGAGAGAAGTCGGAGTCGAGCGGTGACATAGGGCCGACAATTTTACTGAGCTTCGATTTTCCATTTTGCCGTTAAGATTCAACGCGATCGCCCCACGACCGCTTTGATGCCCGGATTTTTTGCGATGTTCGCTGGGTTGTTTGGCGCTTGTTCGGCCCATGAACAGGCGCTTTGTCCAGCTCAAGTTGGCAAGTGCTCGCGTGCCATCCAACGGTAGGCGAGGATTTTGGTGAAGAGAAAAAAAATTGGAGCTCGGGTTGAGGGTGCTTGGACATTCATCCGCGGGCTGCGTGGGCCTGACTGTCTGACATGTCTGAGCAGCTTTCCATACAAATGTAGATCCCCGCCGTACTTCCTCTCTCTTCTCCAACCACTCACGTTCCGTTGTGTTGCACGTTGTCTGTCGAGGGTTCCGTCTATTCCGGTACCTCCTCCAGTTCATACCCACCTTCCCTGTCTTCAAATACGGCATCGTGCATCCTACTCCAGTCGATTCTCCTACAAGCACCTCGTGCAGCTGTCCGTCCCTGCAACGACTCGACTGATAACACCCTCAGTTCCCGCAAAAGAAAGTCTCCCGCCGACACATCCGTCATCGCTCGCCATCTTCTAGCTCGAACCATATCTTATTAAGGGAAGCTGTTCACGCTTCACCTACTTTTACCACACACACATCACACATCTGCAGTCCTTCATCCAAGGACTTAGCAGCGACACCATGTCTTCATTACGCGACTATGGTCTTGCGGCCCCTCATGGACCCAACATGGATAGCCATCACGTTGCGACCGAGCAGCTCTACGCCATGAGCCAGAACGAACAGGGTGTCTTCCAAACCATCCTCAAGCCCGACGACAGCTACGATGAGCACGGCACATACTGGGCTGATATGCCTATCATGAAAAGAATTGCCTTTGTTAACAAGGTCAACAACGCAGAAGCAAAGCATGAGGCATCCGCAACATGGGCCATGATCAAGAAGGACCCTCTCAGCCCTATCGGCTACTACGTGCGCAACATGGTAATTCCTGGTATGGGTCTCCTTCTCGAAGGTTATGTTCTTTTCTCCATCGGCAACATCAAGCCTCTCCTTCAAGCCGCCTTCCCAGCTTGCTGGAAAAAAGAGACTGTCTGTGATGGCACTTGGATCGCCGCTCTTGATTACTTGGAGATTGTGGGTATCATCGTCGGCCAGATCCTTGTTGGTGTCATTGGTGACTGGCTAGGTCGTCGCTGGGGTTTGATCCAGGACGCCGTCATCATGTTCGTGGGTCTTCTCATGCTTACTGCTTCTTGGGGTGTCACTCTCAATGGCTGGGTTATCTGCTACGTCTGGTCTCTCTTCTTCTACGGTGTCGGTGTCGGTGGTGAATATCCCATGACAGCCACATCCGGTATGGAGAACGCTGTCGGAGCGGGAAAGGTCTCAACTAAGGAAGATCGTCTTCACCGTGGTCGCAAGGTCACTTCGGCCTTCCTGATGCAAGGTTGGGGACAGTTCCTCAACCAGGTCATCCTGATCATTCTCCTGCTGATTTTCCACGGATCTGGTAATCCTCCATACTCAAAGGTCTCCACCCAGTGGACCTACCGCGTCTCTTTCGCCATTCCCGCTGTTGGTACCCTCTGGCTTGTCTACTTCCGTACTTACAAGATGCGCTCTGCCTCAAAGGCGCTCGCCGCTGCAAAGAAGAAGTCCAACGTTACTGGCTACGACACTCAGTCTCTCAAGCTGACTCTTTCTCACTTCGGACCTCGTTTGATCGCAACTGCTGGTGGATGGTTTGCGAACGATGTCTTCTTCTACGGTAACAAGCTCTTCCAAGCCGAATTCATTGCTGTCCTGCTTCCCGGTAACAAGTCTGTCATGGTTGGCTGGCTCTACAATTTGGTCAACGTCGGTGTTTCGCTCTGCGGTTACTACCTAGCTTCTTTCTTGATTGACAACAAGCTCTACGGTCGTAAGTGGATGCAGATCATTGGTTTCTTGCTTGACTTCATCCTCTTCGTCGTTCCGGCTTTCAATTTCGAGTACTACACCAGTACTTCGGGAGTCCACGCTTTCCAGGCCATGTACTTCCTGTCATCCTTCTTCAACCAGTTCGGTCCTAACTCGGTTTCCTTCCTTGTTGCCGCCGAGGTATTCCCCACTCCTATCCGTGCTACCGCCCACGGCTTCAGTGCCGCTGTCGGTAAGATGGGTGCTCTGCTTGCTGCTGTGCTCTACAACTACATCGATACACAGACCAAATTCTACGTTGTTCCCTGGTTTGGTCTCGCCGGTGCTGTCATCACCTGGCTGTTCCTCCCCGATACCACCGGTCTTGATCTCAAGGAGCAGGAGCGTCGCTGGGCTTTCATCCGTCTTGGTAAGGGTGACGAGTACCGTGGTGTCGCCATCCACCCCAAGCACTTGTCAGTATGGGAGCGCTTCCGCGGTGTCGGCAAGAATTACGACGCCGAACTCGACTACCAACAGCGTGTCGAAGAGATGCGTCACGAGTGGGAAGAGAGCATGGCATCCAAGGTCGCCGAGAAGGAAAGCAACATGGACCCTGAAGTCATGGACGACGAGGACTGGCACAGCGACATCTCCAGCTTCTTCCACCGCACGAAGGATGGTCCTCGTGGCGCTCAATCTCCTCTGATCTCGCCCATGGTTCGCGGCAATGAGAAGCAGACTGCTTTGCCATCACCCATGATGCGCGGTATGGAGAAGAGAAGCCCCATGCCCAGCCCCATGATCCGCGGCCACGTCAAGGAAGAAGACGAGTCAGATGAGGCCTTGAACGAAAAGAAGTAGACTCCTCACTCTCTGCTCACTTCTTTTGACAATACATTACTTGGCGATTTAGCGACATGTTTTCCTTGGGTTTCCAGACGATTAGAAAAATTAGGGTCGGCGTTTTTTTTTCTTACTCTTCTTTCTTGGTTCGAAGAAGATACCTCATTCTATTTCTTTGTACATTGTGAGATTGAGGCTATGATTATGACTTTTGTAGTTGGCAAGATTTATATATCATTTCATGACTCTCTTATGAGCATGCTGTTTCTTCAAGACATGTTTGCCTCTTCTCCTACTTGCTTGTGTTTGTACACAAAGAATGCATTTGAGTGTTACGAAGCAGATCAAGCCTACTGCATGCATTTCCCAGAAAGAAGAACAACAGAACATTCACAACACCCAGTACAACAGAAGGTGGGACAGAAAAGTGGATTCTCGCAAGACAAATATATGAGTCCCTCATATCTACAGAGCAAATCTCGTCCTAACCTTTTCATCACCAGCCTTCCACTCCCACTCCTGTCCACTCCTCCTCTGAATTCCCTTGTCGATTCTCCTCAGTTTGAGTGTAAATCTCGGTCCCAGCTCTTGTAATCCAGCTCTAATATCCTCTACACCTTCCACTAGCTTTCCATCCGGACCCACGATACTCTTTTCGGTGGCACGCTTATCTCTGAATACATATCTGTGTCTGCGGACGAAAATATAATCGCGCTGATTGTGCAGGGTGACGACTTGACGACCCTGGATTTGAGGTTGAGGGGGGAAAATTTGGCGGAAAAGGTGGGCGGTTAGCAGACCAAGGGGGGTACGGAAGTTGTTGAGGATGAGTTCTGGATCGTGGGAGGTTGGGTTTCCGTGGCCGGGGAGTTTGGCACCTTCGACCCAGTTGTTTATGGAAAAGTGGAACATGGGGCCGTGGGGCAGGTGGACGATATCTAATCCCTTTGGCTTTTTCTGATCTTCGTTTAGGATGACTACGTGGGTGTAGTTCCTGTTGCTTGCGAAGGAGGAGATCTCCGAGACGGAGTATTTGTGGGCGTGGAAGTGGGCGGTGCGTTTGATGTAGACGGAGTTTGGGAAGAGGGATGTGAGGAGAGCGGCTTCTTCGTGGAGGAACGAGTTGATGCTTGTTGTGACGAGCACCTTGGGGTCTCTTCCTGTGTTTTCGAAGAGAGAGGGGAATTTGGAAGCAAGGCCTTCGGGGGTGAGGGACAGATTCGTGGCGGCTGTTGACAGTGTTGGTGAGGGTGCGCGTGTCTTCTTTGCGGCGGCCTCTTCGTCCTTCTTGAGCTGTTTTGCTGCTTTGGCGTCTTCGTCCAGTTCTTCGTCTTCCTCGTCAAAGTCGACCATAGAGTCTACATCGCTGTCTTTCTCTTCCTCCTCTTCCTCTGCACCATCCTCCTCTTCCTCACCATCCTCAACCTTCCTCCTCTTGATAGCGTTCAAATCCACACTCAATCCCAATCGATCATCTTCTTCTCCAGCACCAGCAGTATCCCAAGTTCTCTTGCGATCAATCGTCTGAGGAATGTTCTTTGCTCTGCGCGCTTCTCTCAAAGCAGGATTCTTGTCTTCCGTACGACGGCGGCGGAGTCTGTCATCGCGCTTTTCGTTTTCTTTGGCGCGCTTGACTTTGACGTGTTGTTCTTTGCGCTTGATCTTGTTGCCGATCTTGTTGGGGTTGCGGGACACCATGTTGGCAAACGGTGTGCGTGGACAGATGCGGTGGTGCTAATAGTGGGAGCTGTTTTGGTGCAGCAAATAAAAAATCTTGGAGACCCCGGCAGAAATCTGGGAAGGTGTTACGGGCCGGATGAGTCTCGCTATTGAGCATGAGAACGCCAAGCCACTGATGCTCAATCGTTCGAAAGAGTCCAGTCACGTAGCTTGGGTAAAGTGGTATATCATTCTATCATGAGGCTACCATTTACTCATGATAAGTGGGAGGCTCTCGACGAGATTGTATGACTCTTGACATGAATTGTGCATCTCGACAGCTAGATCAATAGTCAGATCAACGAATGCAGCTGTCGACGCCGCACAACAAAGCTCAGACCATCTACACTTTTTCGCGGTCACCGCAATCGATGAGCAAGCCGACGACATATTCGCGGTTGAAGACTCACCTTTATTATCGCCAGTTCCACAGGCTGTTTTATGTTCAAATACCTCTGCCAGGTTACCAATAGGCGTATTATCTCTTCTCCAGCAGGGCAATCATTAGCCTTTTCTACATCTTCCATCAAATCACGCGCCGTCGTACAGATACGCAAAAAGGATATACCAACAATGTCGACCGATTACGTTACCCAGAAGGGTCAGGCCTTTGACAGAGGTGCCTTCGAGTCACTTTTGCGCCGCAAGGTCTTCTTGTGGCAGAGTTTCGAGCCTTATGGTTCGGTCAAGGTATGTGTTTCTGCATCACATCAGATCATCATTATGGCTCTTGCGGGATATGAAATGAGTGATCGGACTTGAGCAATTCTGATTTGCTGTGCAAACAGGGTCTTTTCGACTACGGCCCTCCTCTTGAGCAGCTCGAATCTCAGGTCATTCAGATCTGGCGTGATCACTTCATCCGCTCAGAGAAGATGATGGCACTCAAGTGCTCTATGCTTACTCCTTATGAAGTCCTGAAGACTTCCGGTCATGTGTAAGTGCTCTTACCAACTTTCATAGTGACCATATTCATTAATGCGTTCATAGTGACCGTTTCGCCGATTTCATGTGTACGATGTCTAACCACATGTCTGCGTTGTGGAGTATACTAATATTGTGGCATAGGCAAGGACCCCAAGACCGGTGAAATTCTTCGTTCAGACCACTTGATTGGGGATGTCCTCGAACAACGTCTAAAATCAGACAGGGAGGCTCGCGGTGAGAAGATCGAGGAGAAGGAAGAGGACCCCAAGAAAAAGAAGAAGCAGTCAAAGGCTGCCAAGGGTGCCGTCAAGCTTGATGATGCTGTCCGCAAGGAGTATGAGCACGTTCTTGCCATGCTTGATGACTTCACTGGTGAGGGCATGGGCGAGCTGATCAAGAAGTACGACATCCGCAACCCTTCATCTGGCAACGAGGTGGAGCCCCCTGTTTCGGTCAACCTCATGTTCCAGACTCAAATTGGTGCTTCTTCTAACTCCCCTGCTTTCCTGAGGCCTGAGACTGCTCAGGGTCAGTTCCTGTCTTTCCAAAAGCTTCTCGAGTACAGTGATGGCCAGCTTCCTTTCGCCTCTGCTTCCATTGGTTACTCCTTCAGAAATGAGGTACGCGCGGCAACGCCTGAGTTCGAGAGTATCAACAATTACTGATCTATCCTAGCTTTCTCCTCGCGCTGGTCTCCTCCGTGTCAGAGAGTTCTTGATGGCCGAGATCGAGCACTTCGTCGACCCCGAGGGCGGCAAAGCTCACCCCAAGTTCCACACTGTTGCTGATATCAAGCTCCCTCTTCTCAGCCGTAACACCCAGACTTCCGGTAGCACCAAGCCCGAGATGGTCGCTATTGGCGAGGCCGTCAAGACTAAGCTGGTCGACAATGAGACTCTTGGTTACTTCCTTGTCCGCATCTACCAGTTCATGGAGAAGATCGGTATCGACATGAACAAGCTCCGTTTCCGTCAACACATGGAGAACGAGATGGCTCATTACGCTTCCGACTGCTGGGACTGTGAGCTGCTTAACAGCTACGGCTGGACCGAGTGTGTCGGCTGCGCCGATCGCTCTGCTTACGACTTGTCTGTCCACGAGAAGGCCACCGGCACAAACCTCCGAGCCCGTGAACAGCTCAAGAACCCCAAAACCATCGAGGAGTGGGTTCCCGTCATTGACAAGAAGAAGGCTGGCCCCAAGTTCAAGAAGGACGCCAAGGCTATCGAGAACGCTCTCGACGCTCTTTCCCAAGAGATGAAGGAGAAGCTCCAGATCACCATGGAGTCAGAGGGCAAGGCCGAGGTCCCCGTCGAGGAGATCGCCGCCGGCAAGGTCGAGATTGACACCTCAATCGTCAGATTCGAGAAGCAGAAGAAGACCATCACCTTCCGCGAGTTCGTGCCCAACGTTATTGAGCCTTCCTTTGGTATTGGCCGCATTCTCTACTCCCTCATGGAGCACTGCTACTGGACTCGTGAGAACGATGAGGCTCGCTCCGTTCTCTCCTTCTCTCCCGTTATCGCTCCCATCAAGGTTCTTGTCTGCCCTCTCCAGAAGGACCCCAAGTTCGCTCCTCTCATCGCCAAGCTCGAGGAGGCCCTCGATAACAAGTCCATCTCATTCAAGATTGACCAGACTGGTGTCAGTATCGGAAAGCGCTACTCACGTAACGATGAGCTCGGTATTCCATTCGGCATCACCATCGATTACGAGGCTCTTGACGATGGTACTCTTACTCTCAGAGACCGTGACTCAACTAAGCAGGTCCGCGCTAGCCAGGCTGACATCATCAAGGCTGTTAGCCGTATGGTGAAGGGCAAGGAGACCTGGGCTGACGTCGTCGCCCGTCTTCCTGCATTCGAGGGCCAGGAGAAGGAGGCCGCCGAGTAAACGGCGTCCCGCATGATCTAGAGACATCGCCCAGGTGTCCAAACGGTGCAGGATGACTTAAATATGGCCCACGTTTATCAGAGCATTATGTCAGTCGTGATCTACATAGATCAACAAAAGATGAAAAATTCAAATTCATATCACAAGCCTAGGTGTAAGTGGTGCATATTTTCTTACCGTGCCGCATTGTCGGCCAATCTCTATTGCTTGGCTTGCGTTCAACCTTCGTTACACATAAAGATGTGAGGTACACTTTCCTCACCAAAACTCCCAGTCCTCGTTTCCCAGTTTATTCCAACTATATTTGGTGGATTATGCCAGCGCTCCTTCTCTAAAAATGCACATTCCTTGAAATCAGCACGTGGCTTTGTGAAACATGCGATTGCATCACCTCGACGATTGAGCGTTTGTACTCGGCTGCGACCTGACATCTGGTTTGGCTTCCTCCACCTCTACTCTGCTACAGATTGTAAGAGTATATTTGGACACACCAAGACTTTGATATCGCTCGAATTCCGATTGGATCCGCTAAGACTCACCAATGGAAGATCCACGCTATTGAGGCAGCAAAGGGATACTCAGGCTTCAGCAAGAATCGCTACGTCGTCTTTATTACAAACAGTTTCCGCCAGCTTCCAACACACCGCACTGGAGCTTCCCACATGGCCCAAATACTTGAAGATATCTGGATCTATGCATTGGCAACCACCTCACCTGCTGCGATTGAATTGGCGGGGACGTTCGGCATCCAAGTGATTACTTTCTGGTTACCGTCGCTTCTGCTGCTCAGCATAGACCATTACACACCTTCTTTCTCGTTACGCCATAAGATCCAGGCAAGATCGAGCGTAAGACCTGGCCAGGTCCGTCATTGCGTCAAGGTCGTGGCTTCTAACCAGCTCCTTATGGTTGTAGCCAAGATCTCGGAGCTCTTCGTCTTACGAATTTGTGGCTACACATCATTCTATCGCTTCGACCAAGACCTGCCATCTCCATTTGAGCTCGCAAGAGACCTGATCATATGCGTCCTTGGCTGTGAGATCATGTTTTACTACTCACATAGATTGCTTCATGTGAGGTCTTTCTATCAATGGATACACAACCAACACCACCAATTCAAAGCCCCTATCGCTCTATCCGCCCAGTACGCACATCCGCTGGAATACCTCTTTTCCACCGTCTTGCCGTTTTGGCTTCCCACGCAGCTTCTGGGCTGCCACATAGTCACCTGCCTTGTGTTTTGGTCAGCAGCTACTGTAGAGACCGTCATGGCACATAGTGGTTACGACTTCTTCGGCATCCTATCCAAGAAGCATGACTTGCATCACGAGAAGAACAGAGTCAACTTCGGCACACTTGGCTTCCTCGACTGGCTGCATGGCACAGGCGCGTGAACAGAACGCTCCCGTCGATCACCAAGAGCAAGATCATCACATCAAAAAGAGCAAAAAACCAGGGTGTTGCGAAGCCCGCTGTCCTGGGGAAAACCCTTGAAAGAAGGCACCGCTTACTTTCGACAACGGAGTGGATCGAACCCGACGCTCACAAATGCTACCTACCGAAGAAAGAGGTCTTTCCATTACCAGGTGTACGGCACAACCGCTGCACCACACAAGGACCCCACATGATGAGAGTTGCAATTCGAAGGGCTAAATGGGGGAGAATTGGAGAGTGAGTGAGAGTTGACTTGGCTACCTCTCCAAGATCTCAACACATTCATGCGATCTCCTTCGTGTCACTATGGTAGTCTTGACTTCGTATCCTCCCCAGCTGTACAGTCTTTACAGCAGGCGCAGATCAACCTCGCGTCTTTGTCCAAGTATCGCAAACATAAACAGTCTACAGCACCGCGCTTCACTGGCGCCGAGTACCACAACATCAACACCACCTGTCTCATCACTTCCACATCAACCAAACTTCTACGATAGCTACGCGCAGTAATTCTGCGATATTGCCAGCGGTCATACGTATCGATGCTTCCGGCACTCCCGCCAAACGCGCCGCACGCACAGCCGATAACAGGAGTTTTTCGAGGCATTCCTGAGGAACAGTGTCTTTATTCAGCGCCTTTGTCAGCAACACCACCTTGTTATATTTCTAGATGCGGTCCGTCCTTACGCCGACATAACTGCACGTGTCAGACACATCGGAATCGAGGTCGCCTCCTCGATACTCCATTACTACGATGACAGCTTTTACAGCGCCCACCATATTCTAAACCCAAAACTATCAGCTCTGGTATTACGGCGCGCCAAGCAGCTCAGATCCTACATGGAATACTATGGCATCCCATCTCGTCGCTTCTCTGTGGCCTTGACCTACGACTTTGATCTCATGGATGAGACTTCTTGGACGGTCTCGCAGTATTTACAGCAAGATGTCTTCAACCTGTTCTTGTTCTTTATGACCCAGGTCGTAATCCGCCTAGACTGCAGAGTGGAATCGATGGGTCACTTCGATCGGGTGTTCAAGATCAACGAATGTCGATTGCGCAATTACCTAGACCAGCGCATCTATGAACTCAGCCAGTACAACCACATGACTGAAGCTGTCGACCAAGCTGAAGAAGAAAATCACACGGACTATGTTGATGACGAGCCAGACTGGGAAGATGATGAACTAGACTGGGACGAAGAGATACAGTTGTTTCGCCGAGCCAGAAGTATGGTCCCAAAGATAGTCTCAGACATCAGAGGATATCACATGGCTCTGGTGAAGCAAGTGACTGAGTTTTGGCAGGAGCAGGATGAGTTTGAGAAGTACTGTCTGGGCGACTTCTTCGCTCTGGCCGAGGATTGGACGAAGTGATGGTCGGGAAGTATTCCTCTCAAGGTTGTTATCAGGATTGTAAGTAGTCATCTCGAGGAAATGCCAATGTTCCATTTTCGGTTCATCTTTGCTGGCTAAGTCATCGTCACTTCGCGAATCAGCATGTCTTTTGGTAGATGTGGATGCCGCTACCTGTTGGGGTGAAGGTTGGGCAGCAAAAGGGAACCAGGCGCTCCTTCCTGAACATTATTCCCGCGCTCTGTTTGCTACTCGGATCTTGTTTGCACCAGACACCGCTACCTTCTGCACCGTTTCGCCGATAATGACCCCTGACTCCAAGACTCGTATCAATCACATCCAGTCTGCTGTTCATTCATCGGCATTAAGAACCCAGACCCACCTCTGTCCCGGCAGGTCTTTCGCATCGGTCCGATCACATTTTACGATTCATCTTACTCTTGACTGTATAGCTTGGAGTAAAGCTGCAATGAGGATCTTGAGGTGGAGACACTATGTATTTTATCTCTGACTTATCCCACGGCTAAAAATGCGCAGCGAATCCATTCGACCGCTTTGGCTCGACTCGAATCGACTCCACCATGAACGACCACGGGCTCGGCACTTTCCCGATTCTCCAAAGAGTGATCCTTATAGATATGGGACCCGCTGCTCGGAAGAACTTCTTGCGAGCTATTCACCAACAGACTCGCGCACAACTTCATCAAGAGTTTCTCGAAGCATGCGTTCGTAATAATCAGATCTGGTTTCGTTCCTTCAGCGATGAGAAGAACAACTTATTCGATCTGCACAAAAATGTACTAGAGCTTTGCCATGCTCATCAAATTTATGGCACGTCTTGGAGAGAGGCTTCGTTCTTTATGCCGAATTCATGACATTCACAACCACTGGCGTCCGTATTTCAAGCTTGAGTGAGACCGGTCAAGCTATCGGCCCAGTGCAAGCGGTTGTGCGAGGTATTTGCTTTCTGGACCATTCTGCTCACGTTATCTGTCTCAGCAATCTGGAACCACAAACATACATATGTCGAAAATGCCCTTATACTTCCTGCTCAACCACTAATAGCATTAAGCTAGCATAGCCTTGCTTTTCCTCAAGATGGCTGATATGGTAAGGCCGCGCCCGTCGCCTAAGGTCTGCACGCTCAGCTGACAGTGTCCATAGTCTTTGGCTTTATTGCTCATGTCTGGGCCCGCCTTAAGCAATCTGATGGCACACCCAGTCGCTATGCACACGCTTGGCCAGCTTGGAAAACTCTCTTCGGAAGTCAGAGACATCATCTACAGCATCTGGTGTCGCTCCCTCCTAGGCCCTCCAAAGAACACTCCTCCCACGAACGTCGCCGAGCGCACACTCAGATACTGCGCCTTGAGACACACCAACAAGCAGCTCTTTACAGAGTATCCCTGTCCATTCCAGTGATAGATATGAGAGCTTTCCGCGGCAAGCGGTCAAATGAAATATCCTACAACTCTGCTCACGCAATTGATATCATGGCAGTTTACAGTTGGACTTCGCTATGGGATCATGGCCCTGTCGATCCTCCAGATCACCCTTTGACCTCTTTAGCCAAGGAAGCAAAACTTCCGAATGGTACAGCATCTTTTATGCTAGGCGCCATGTCTGACTCGTGGGGGCGGCACCCCTCTAGCAATCCGCCTCAATCCCGTCCTTCTGAAGCCACACCGATAACCCAACGCGAGCAAAACCTAGCAGCACTAAGACTACTACCAGAAGGATGGTAGTTGTAAAAGTAGTGGTTATACACCTCGATCTTGGGCGAGCGGCCGACAGCGGTCTGTTTGGGCTGTTGGGAGATGAATTCATGCAAGTGGTAGACGCCGCTCTGCCGTTGGCTTTGCGGCTGTATGAGTTAGCGGAGTGGTGCAAACGTAGAGCATCCATCGTCGCATCCGCCGTCGCATCTGCTCAGGATTTCACTGAAATGTCTATAAATGTCATGGATGCCATGGTGAAGCGTCAGGCGTTCGAGAAACTTCTCGACCATGAGATAGGCAAGCGTCTGCAGCCGGCGATCATGTTTAGGCTGCGTACGGAATCGTGTAATCACATCAACACACCCGTGTAGCCATCGCTAAATCTACTCAAGAGTGCGTGATTACTATACGTCCAGTACAGAAGTTTTGAGTCTTGGATTCAGTGGACAGATGTGCGATGGCAATGACTGTGGCGATCAATTTGGCTGGTCTAATACCTCTGGCATCATAGCAGACACATGGAAGGAGGTCGTGAAAGAGAGTTGTGAGCATCAAAAGGTTTTAGGATACGAACAAATGGGAAGGAGCTGTGTGAGAAGCTCAGAGATATGTTGGAAGAGCCGGGGAGTTGGGTACATGGGGAGGAGTACTTACAGGGGAGGCCTGATTCGATGGATGCGCCGTATCTTGGATATACACTAAAGAGGTTATGGTCAGTCATCTTGCAGTGCTCAGAGGAGCGCATTGCGGCCTTCTGTCCTACGTTGTTGAGCGGAATCAGAATTGGTGGGTCAAAGGCTGGTTGTCGATGTTTGGAAATTTGATGAGCTTGCGAAAATGGTTCCAGGATATATTACAGTGTTGGCTAAATTGTACATGATATTTTGTAGGTGAGAAACGAATAATCATAACTAGGTCGAAGCCTTAGACGACTTCGTAGCGGTAATCGCTCTCGTCTTCCTTGATCTTCTTGACATTTTGAAGTCGTTGTCCGGTGGTAGGAACCGGCTTCTTCAGACGTAATGCCCAAAGAAGCATACCCTCAGCTGGTAGCAGAAGCATCCATATTCTGTTGATGAAGAAGGCGAGAGATGTCGTGAAGAGCGCTACCACGGCGTCCAGGTAGTAATGGTTGGCAGTCGCCACAATAACCGACAAGACCAACAAAGGGTAGCAAAGACCAGCCAAAAGCCACAGACATCTTCCAAAAGTCGATTGCTGAATAGCCTTATTCTCAGAACGCCAGTGAATGCCAGAGTGGTAGATGAAGGTGCATCCGATGACGAAAGCGTAGGTGAAGTGGAGACTAGGCATGGCTGCGAGTTGGTTGACGTTCTTACCGCCGACCCAAACACTCTCAGCGTTGTCTTGACGAACAGTGTCGTGGAAGCCAAATGATTCCGGCAACAGACGCGGCGGCATGCAAGGGTAGAAACAGAAGACGAAGAAAGCAGCGAAATTGCCGAGAGTCATGGTACGTCTAGCAACAGCGAAAGTTGCATGGTCAGGAGCGGCATAGTAATACCAGGAGAGGAAACTGTCGTTCGTTAGCAAATTAAACCATTTCATCTTAGTCCAAATCAGACGCACGTGACAGTTCCAGGAATATGCACCAGCGAGTAAATGCGGTTAAAAAATGTCAAAATGAGCGGATGTCCAGTGGTAAAAAAGGTCTGGAAGTCCACCTCCTTGATAGGGAAAAAGATTGAAAACATCGAGGCATGTTCAAAGTCGAGAATGCTGATTCCATGTTCTTGCGCGAGCTCCGTGACACCGTCCTTAGTAGCATATAGAGAAGCAGCAATGGCCTTTGTGAAACTGTATGCCGCGTAGTTGAGAGCCCAGTAAAACATTTCAATCAAGAAGGGAAACTTTTGCAAGACTCTGCTATGCAAATTGTTGCCAAATCTAGAGGTATCCGGGATGGTGAATTCCTTGCCAAAGCAGCTGCGTTTCTGGAGTCGATTTGTCGCGTGACCTTCCTCGTCAGAGAGCATAGACGTTCCTTCACTGGTTGGTGACAGGGTCCCGGATCGAGTATTGAGATCTCCATGCAAGATGCTGTAGTTTTTACGGCGATTGATGATCAAAGACCCAATCATGACCGAAACAACAAACTTGAGAATATCGTCAGTATACCGTCGCATCTCCTTCCGGCGATCAATCCACTCACGACTGGCTCGGCCCATTTGTGCGACGCAAATTGCGCACCTCCCAAGTTCACATCTCCCTTGTCTGCCATGACTGTCCGACAATATCCTCCTGGTCAAGTAATGAATGTGAAGGAGGAAAAACGAAATCCAGTTGTTGTGGTAGAATGAGAAGCTTTGAAGCCAAAGCCAAGTTTAGGGGTATTGCCGGCAGCTGACGGACGGACGCTCGGTTGGGCTTTACTTCCGAGGCCGTTGCCTTCGTTAAATTCGACCTATCACAGTGCAATGCAGCACAAAGGTAAATCTGGATTCTTGCTGTTGGCTTTGCTTTCTTTGTCGGGAATATTGCTCGTGTGACTCCGAGCAATGAAGTTACGCTGGAGGATTCCCGCTGATGTGAAAAAGGCAATCGGTGTCGCTTGGACAAACACGCTCGCTTCTCTACAAGGCTGCCATGATGACTTTATATCCTTGACTGCAGGTGTTGAAGGATTGCAGACAGTAGTACCAAATCTTTTGACCCTGTTCCTTGCCCTTGCCCAGTGTCGAAGATGAAACACAGCCTCTCAACGACCCCGACTCGTTCAGCTCTTGCGGGGTCGTGGCGACCTCACATTCTCAGGCGTCCGAGAGCAAAGGTCTCGTTCATGCAACTCGCAAGCATTTATTTGATGCTCCAGTCTAACAAGATCCAATAAGAAAAGACATGCAATGCTATGTTCTAAAACCCCATGTCGCAGAAATACATTCGTCGCATGCTCTTGGCATGTGCTTCTTCTCATCCAATCTTAAGCACACACCGCTAGTAGGGCCAGGCATGATTCAATACGAGATACGGTCAGCAGCGTATCGCTCTTGTCCATATTACAGCCTTGCATCCTTCTCCATCTTCAATCGTGCCCATGCTTGAGTACCTCCAAATTGCGAATTAGCTATCAGCCTGTAAGTCTGCATGAAAAGCCAGTCGGCCGCGCGTCCCAGTGTCGTTGTTTTGCGCAGCTGGTGGCTGTGCTTACAAGCGATAGTCTCCGATCAACATGGCGACATACGCCAAGAAGGATTTCGAGATTTCGATTGTTACACCTAGAGGATCGCTTCCAAGCTCGTCTGGAACGCCGACTCGACGGTGCTAATTCTGATTATGCGGGAGATCGTCCCATCAACTCCACGGTAAGGATTCGAAGGATTGCCAGATCGCCTTGCGAACCACTTGGCAGAGATCCTGCGATTCTCCGAGGGGAACAATGGAGCAGGTTCGGTGCCGAGCGGCTACGTTGCATACCTTCGAATTGTTGTCTCTCAGATACTCAGCGAACTGTTTGCCCTTTACGAGTTTACCAAAGCCTTTCGCTTAACAACATCAGATTCATCCACCATGTCAACCGTCCACGTACCTACTGGCTACCAATATGAAGTCAAAGCAGCACGGCAACAACATCGCCATATCATCGAGATCATAACCCCATACATACCGACCATAACTCTGGCAATCCTCTCCCTAAATCTGCTTCAATGGCATCATAAATCCTGGACATACCGCATCAGCGACATGATAGCCTATTTCACATGTCTAAACCTCTGGTCTAATTCCCACCCTCTACTATCTCTATGCCTCGCGGCAGGCTACACGACATGGGTCTCTCTCCCCGGCTCCTTCGATTCCCTCACTCTACCTTCCTACGATAAATTTCTAAACACATTAAACTTTACACTTCCATCCACCGAAGAAAAGAAGACACTGAGAGAGAACAAGGAAGAAAAATGCATAATATGCTGGGACCAAGAAACCCCTCTAGCATCTCTACCTTGCGATCACAAATCCTGCTCGCCATGCCTCTTTTCCATGGAGTCTCGGCATCAAACCTCTTGCCCTTTATGTTCTTGTCCACTCTTTTCCTCTCACGATCACATGACACTGTTTTTCAATAAATTCACTTTGACTTGCCAATCCTTGAATCTTGTTCTTCAACTTCTCATCACCTATGACGAATTCCAACATTTGAGGATTCGAAATATGATGCTGCAAGTTTTCGTCTTGGCTGCTTTGGGATGGATGGGAGGGACTTATATCCCGTTGATTAAAAGAGCAGGGAGTAATTGGTGGAGGCCGTGTGCTGAGTGTAAAAGTGGCAAGGGCAGGGGGTTGAACATGATGTGGTTTTCATTTGCGAGTAGTGTTTTTGTTTTGGGACAGACTTTGTATTTGAACCGGGGACTGCTCAACTGAGAGAGGCCGGGAGGCATAGTAATTGGGGTATGGGGAGCTATTATGTTTGTACATTTGCCGTACTACAGGTCATACGACGAGCAAGCATGGATAGATGACAGGTCAAGGAGAGTAAAGGTATTCGCAATTCTGCACTTTCTATACAGGAAAGAAACAAAGGACCAAGACCAAGAAACAAGAAGAGGCTATGAGGAGGATGGAGGAAGAACAAAAAGACATTTTTCAGGCGCCAAGACAAGACAGCACCTAAGCAGAACAAAAGTGGTATCGCAAAGAATAAGAAAGGGAGAATGAAGAAGAAAAGGAAAACACCAGGGAAAGAATGAGCAAAAACTCCACGCCCTCCGCTTGCGCCACGAAGACTCCCAAGATAGCCGTAAACCATGATTTCCGAACATACGAGAAGAAGATACCAAAGTGTGGTCATCCAACGACGCCATCCCGCTCAACCATTTCGCGGATCTTTGACATGAAGCTGGCTGGGTATTGCTTGACTTCATCGGGTGAAGGTATGCCACGCTTGGGATCCTTGCATCGCTCAACAACTTTGTCAATGATCTGTGCAAGCAAGTCCTCACTCATGGCGACGGCATTACCGACGTCAGGATACAGCCAAGAATCCGAGAGACTGAGCAGTTGCTTGACAGTGGGCCGAGCGTGCAGATCGCGTTGCAGGCATCTTCGCAGAGTACCTTTCAAAGCAGAAGGCACCGTGACACCACCAACACCCTTGTCAGGGAATTCAATGACAACCTTGGAGTTTGTGATAGCCATAATACGACTGATCTGGTTGGCGATGTGAGCGAAAGGAGGACGACCATAGACCATCTGATACAAGATACAGCCAAGAGACCAGACATCCGAAGGCTTGCCGATCTTCATCAGCCTACTGCCATTGTTCGAAGTGCGTTCGCTACCAGGTGTGGGTGCATTTGTGTCCAGAATACTCTCTGGTGACATATAGTTGGGTGTTCCGATATGCGAGTCGCGATGAACATTGACAGTATGGGCGATATCGATAGCATTCGCGATGCCGAAGTCGATCAACTTGAGTTTGCCTTGGACAGAGAGGAAATTTGCGGGTTTGAGATCCGAATGAACAATATCGTAGTCGTGGACTGCCTGAACACATTCAAGCATCTCCTTCCAGTAGAATCGAGTCAAAACGGGGTCGAACTTTGGGTCAGTGCCATTGAGCTGAATTGTCAAGATTCGGTTCAAGTCTTGATCACCCTTCTCCATGAGAACACTGAGAACCTGCTTCTCGTTGTCCAGCTCCCAGTCGAAAAGTCGGATGACGCGCTCGACATCTGCAAGCTTTGTGAGAAGATCAATCTCGCCCTTGAAGCCACGCATGGCAGATTCATCACAATCCTCGAGCTTGACTTTTTTCAAGGCAAATAACTTGTAGTTCTCAGCCATGACACAATAGACATCACTGCTGCCACCTTTTCCAACCTTGTTCATCTGTGTAAATAGCTTGCCATTGATGAGAATATGTTGGCGTCTCTTCTTGCTCTTTGTGGTGCTCGCTCCGGCGGTTTTTGTTGCAGCATCCAAGACGCTCATCTTTGGCGGCGGAGGAGGAGCTGGTCGGACAGGAGTGTTCTTGCTAATTGTCGTAAGAGCTCGGCGAGGCGATTGATGCGAAGGTACAGACATTGGCGTCTCTTCCACAGTTTCAGACTTGACATGTAGTGCGAGCTTCTCTGGCTTTCCAAGATATTTGAAATCATGGTGTCTGTCGCGCTTAAAAGTTGGAGGAGGAATATTCTCCTGATCTTCCATCGCATCTTGCTGGGACCTCGAAGCCGGGCGCATTTGTCGTTGATACTCGGGTGCAGGGCGTACGGCCATATTGTCATTACTAGGTCTTCTCGGCGCAAGAACATCTCCAGGATTTGATTTTGCGAAAGAGTCGCTACGATCTCGTTTGTGGGGCTCAACACTGGGTCTTCTTGCTGGACGTTCCATACTAGGGACTCGAGTGGAGGCTCGGGATGTAACCCTGTGGTGATCAATACTTGTGTCGCGCTTTGGTGGGGCAGAAATATCGCGGCTGTGGTTGCGAGAGCGTGCAAAGTCGTGTCTTGACACGGCAGCAGACTCGGCATTTGCGCTGTCTGCTCTGCTCGTCCGGCCAGCTGAATATGCTGGTTCTTCGTCGCGTTCTGGTTGTGACTGAGATTCTGACAAGGGAGCACTACCGTCGTTGGGGCTCACGTTGTCATCACTCTCGCGCCTACGGAAACCTCTTCTTACTGGAGCACCTCTTAGAAAAGCGCCGGGGGCTCTTTTGACGCGTATAGAGCCGGGATGTGCTGATGACTCCGCGGACGCGTGACGAGTCTTGTTGAGAGTGGACGGCGGCATGTGTCTTGTTGAAGCATCATATTGCGAAGCTCCAAAGCTTTGTGACGGGTCGTGATCGATTGGGTCGAGGGCGGGCGAAGGGTTGCTGGTGGACCTGCTGGCCGAGGAGCGAGTCGAGCGTGAGGCTGGTGCTGGGGTAACGAACTCGAGGGCGGGCGTGGTCGCTCTGCTCGACGCGTATCTATCTGCATGACGGGATGAGGATGCACTCCTCTTGCTGACGGAAACAATACGCGGTGATGTTGCAGCCTGGCTATGTGTGGGCGAAGGCTTGCGCACAATTCTGAGTTGCGGCGCTCTGCTAGGCGTTTCGTAGTCGCGTGCGCCGTCTTGTTTTGGAGAGGATTGTCCGAGCCCTTCCTCAGACTCGAGCAAAGCCCGCGTAAGGGCGCTGAACTTCATTGGCGGCGGAATCTCATCGTCGGACGAGTCGCCTACATCAATGCGCTGCATCATGGGCGCGTCGGCAGCGAAGCCCTGTGCTGGGTTGAATACTGATAGTGGAGAACCGTGGCGGTAATAGGGGCGCGTAGTGGTGCTCATCGAAGCAATGTGTGAGGGAGATAGTGGTTGTTATGGCTGTTAGAAGGTCGTGGTTGGCTGAGGTCGAGGGAGTAGTCCAATGAAGGTAATGTGCTGTGGAGGAGATGGTGGTTAATTAGAGGGAGCCCAGGGTCGGATGCGCGCCATCAATTGGGGGCTGAATGCTGAATAGTACTACTGTTGCAAAGTTGCTATCGTCGGAAAGTCATGTTTTGGATCTTGTCGTCGCGATTATCGAAGAGGAAACCAAGGTGCACCCGGAAGTCGCAATGCTTCATCCCGGCCATGTCTGTTGACCCGACAACGTCTGCCAAGTCCTGTCAACATAAACTCAGGCCCCGTCATCCTCGACAATCTCTGTGTAGGCATCAGTACATGTTTGTAACAAGAAGAAACAGTTCTTCCACATATGTACCAGTGGTACCGCATCTGTCTGATGCGGCCATCATACTCACTAGCATCATCAAAGCTCAGAGCAGAAGCTAGATCCAAGTGTTGTGAAGAGCAGGGTCGTCCCAATCACCACCTCGAAATCCAAACTCGAGGTAAAATGCCGTGTTCACCGTTCATCTACTCATGGAACTGCCGTAGACCGCTCAAATCAATTGCTTCCCCCTACCCAAGATGTTCTCAAATGCCCGGGGCCTTGGACTGAAGACAACTAAAGATAGCTCGGTAGGGCCGGCAAGCTGGCGGTGACGTGGGCGGGGCAGTGTCGGCGTCTGACAAGCATGTCGACCGAGTTGCTCAAACCGACGTGACTTTTGTTCTCATCACAATACTCAGATACACACAAAATGGCACCTCCAGCAATCATCGCACCTTCAATCCTCTCGGCCGACTTTGGCGCTCTGGGCAAGGCATGCTCAGACACCATCGGTCATGGCGCTGACTGGCTCCACGTCGATATTATGGACGGTCACTTTGTGCCCAACATGACCTTTGGCGCTCCCGTTGTTACCATGATCCGTCCTCATGTCGAAAAGCCTACCGAGTCCTTTGGCAAGGGTACTTTCGACTGCCATATGATGATCGCCGAGGTCAGTCCTATCCTATCGAAGACGACTTCTTTGGAAGCAAAAGACTGATTGTCGTTAGTAGCCCAAGAAGTGGGTCAAGGAGTTCAAGAACGCAGGTTGCGATCTGTACTGCTTCCACTACGAAGCTGCTGTCGATTCCACCGCCGCCGAGGAACCTTCAGCCACGTCGGAGAAGAAGACTAGCCCGAAAGAGCTCATCAAATACATCCACGACCAAGGTCTGAGAGCTGGAATTGCTCTCAAGCCCGGTACTCCCGTCGATGTTCTTTACGATATTCTGGACAGCAAGACTCAGGACGAGGTTCCCGATGTACGCACGAGTCAGCTCCCGAGAAGGACAAGAAGCTAATACAATACAGATGGTTCTTATCATGACCGTCGAGCCCGGCTTCGGTGGCCAGAAGTTCATGCCCGAAATGATGCCCAAGGTCGAGGCCCTCCGCAAGCGCTACCCCGAGCTTAACATCGAGGTCGACGGTGGTCTGTCCGAGAAGACTATTGATGTCGCTGCCGATGCCGGCGCAAATGTCATTGTCGCTGGATCAGCTGTCTTCGGTGCCAAAGATCCCTCAGAGGTCATCGCCAAGCTAAGAGAAGCCATTGAGAAGAGAAGATGACTATCTGCAAAAATTTGATACAAGATTAGGCTGAGTTGGAAGCAATAATAGACTTGTTGAGACATACGATATACACGACTTCTTTCCATCGACACCCAGCGCTGACCGAGAACTAAGCAGAACAAACAATCTCGTCAGGCGTGCTTTTCCTGACCTCTGCCCCTGTTGTTCCTCCTACATGTTTGGCTAAACCCCCTCTCAGGAGCCCATCCCCCCTCCCGAACCTGAACACAATCATGACACTATTCAAGAACGACATCCCTACTTCTCGATGCTGTTGCTATGTCTGCCGCCGTCAACTCGAAATGGCATGGTCACGAGACCGAAGCAGGCCTGACGCTCGACCACGCAAACCACCTCAACCAAGCTCACTTCCAACTACCCCTTATATACAACTAATTTCATTCCCTCCTTGTCCCCAGCCAAGCAAGGGTCCCGCTCCTACCCGACTGGAGTGTGTTTGACCCACTTGGCTGGCGTGGGCATTCGCCAACCTCCGTCCCATCGACCGTGCACGAGTTCAAGCCTCGTGATGGTCGAATACTTCCGCACTCACCACGGATAATAAGAGAACGCGGGGGCTGCCGGTTTCTTTCCAACCTTACCCAGCCGGGTGGGGTGGTTTCTTTTGCTGTTGTGAAAGCCTGTGAGAGTTTTGTATTTGCTTGTTTCTTTTCGTTGCTATTGCTCCAGATTCCAGATTCTCGATTTTGAGACATGGGTACCCAAAAGAGTACACCACGACTGACATCACGATCCAATTAATCAGGGAAGCAAAGTAGTATAAAACATGTTTGTTTCTACCAATTTGGACAAAGAATCTACAGCACCTGAACGGCAACACTGGGAATATCCCTTGTGGGCAGCTACGACATGTTTTTTCGGGCATTTAGAGAAGCCTTTTGAACAGGGCAGAGGGTCGAGAAACACTACGGGTCGATGAAGCTACTTAAGTGACGGTGTAGAAGGGTCGAGAAACGACATGGGTTGACGGAGCCTAGTGGGCGAGGGCGCAGAGAGTCGAGAAACGCCATGGGTCGATGAGGCCTGTGGTAGTGGACGGATACCATGGCTTACTCGTTGGACAAACCCGGGACGCGCGATGCGACAGCGACCCGTGGCGCTTCGTTCGTTCTGCATCCCTCGTCCAGACCGCATCAATGGCACCCACAGTGCTAAGCACATGACAAGTAAAACATCTGCAATGTAGACCAGTCAACGCTGACGAGATCAACTTCACATTTCGACATCGCTCTCAGGTATCGGGTCAGGCTTGACCAAATATGTTTATGAACACCTTCAGGTCATTCTGACGGCGGATAGATTGGATGGAAGAAGCAAAAAGTACAAAAGAATATGTCGCAGCCGTGAATCGAACACGGGGCTCGTGCATGGCAAGCACGAATTTTACCACTAAACCACTGCGACTGAAATATGAAACGCTCTTCGGCAGTGAGCTGTATAATACTCCGACGACCAATAATGCCTCATCCGACGCCATACAGACCCCGGATCTCTTACATGGCTTTTTCTTCGCAATCTCGTAAGGATCTTTTATATCGCTCCAGTCAATTTGTTGACCTCTCAGCTCTTTACACATATTCATCTTGCATATGCATAAGATCAGCCACCCAACAGTCTTGCTCAATCATCGAGCTGCCGTCCAGATCTACTCGTGTGAGATACCAAGCTGAAGAGCAATTACTGTGCTTCAACTGATATGGCTGCAATCATCTCGGTAGTATACAGAAGCAGAAATTCAGGTCCGTATCACACAGGTTATTTGTGTGCTTCTTGTCCTCTCCTTTCCGTGTCTGGAGTGCAGATATTGATGAGAGGAATATGGACCTGGTGACTCTCGTGTCGGCCGCTGTAGTCGTGGAATTCTCCTTGCGATACCTGGCCACATGCTGATCGCGGAACCCTTCATCCGGAGTACATTCGACCATGCGAGGCCGTCGGCGTAGTGTCTAGATATCTAGAGAGCTACTTGTGCACATGAACTTGGGAGCGATCGATGTCTAGAACCAATGTCTGTTGATGGTTGCAGCTAGGTATATACACTTCTGTCTCACGTGTCGATCACGAATCGATCTCTGGCAAACTGTACAAGAGTGAGAGAGTACATCTCTGTCTGATGCTCATATTTCTCTTTCATAGCTTGAGGATGCCGCGGATCAATTTGACTGAGGTCGTTCCTCACTCACTATCAAAGCTGGTCCCCGTCAAAGAATGTTCATATTCTCGAAAGGCATATCATGCTACCCATACACGATTCGAGGAGGATATGATGCGACGTAAATCGAATCCCTTGACAGTCTTCAGCAAGTCGAAATCCGAGGAGGGAAAGTACACAGGTCGGCGACCCTCGTTTATCTGACTTGTACAATTTCCCTACTATAAGATCCTTGGACTCTCGCAGCTGCAGGCTAAATACGTCGATGAAGCTTAAGGATCATAGACCCAAGAAAAGCTTCATCTGGTTCAATGGCGATTATCAATAGGCAACGTTCGTCTCATACACAAATCTCAAGCCGTGAGTGACTGATAAAAAGAAAATAGCAGCTGATATAGCTTCGTTCGGAGTATACTTGACGTCTTTGACATGCGATTCATCGTTTCACGCCGTATCATTCGCCGGACTGTATGCGGAGCCGTAATCTATGTGGCACAATCTATTATGGCTGACCCTTAGAGTACGAAATAAGGAGAAGAGTATGCGCATAGGCGTGATTATGGGCTTTTGATCTGGCAGGTAATATAGAGCAGCTCTGACGAAGCATTGCAGCTTAGTAAATTCTCCATGACTAGAAGTTCAGTGATATATCTTCTGACGGATCATGCTTCAAGAGCCGATCTGTGACATGAAGACCATGTCTCGATGTCATATCGTAATTAGTTGGAAGCTAAGTGACGATTGATATCACGTCATATATACTCTGATCATGGATGACATCAGCTTGAGATATCCGGAGAATTTCCTCGCCATAGGGAGAGCTTCAAAGCTGCAGCTCATGTGCTTTCTCGAGTGCTATGTTATGTTAAGTCATGTTCGGTGCAGTTGTTGTTCTTTTCTCTTAAGATCCTAGGATAAGTCTTTTGTGACCTTCTAGTAGGTCATAAGAAAGATGCAGACTTGTCTAATGATACTTTCTGACTCTGAGAAGCCCAGATCTCTAGGGTCTTACGAGTGTCGAAACAAGCTTCACGGCGCGCAGTCACCCATGGAAAAATAGTGAAATTACTCTGAGCGGTTTCTATTCCTAGGATAGTGGTATCCTCGTCTTCATCATCGTGGTCGCCTTCAACTCCAACGCTAGGTGATTATTCTTGTACCGTGACACCCATCTCGCTATCATCAGAATCTAAGCTGCAGGGACTGAGAATTGGAGGAAGAATTTGAAGTTTGTGGCGGTGGTGTAGCCTCCGACCTATAGATTCCCCATGTCAGCGAAACATACGAGGAAATAAGAAAAGGCAGATAGAAAAGGACTTACCCAAGAACAATAGTGATCAAACTTCAAAACACAACGATCCAGCATCCTGGAATGATGTGTACGAATAGGTTTATAGTGCTCACAGCGCCTGCACCAAAGCGGTTCTCCATCCTCATCGCACTCGCAAAACATTTGATCGTGAAAAGTCTCCAGAAAAGGTGCTGGGTAGACTTTTCTTGGTAGACCGTGAACTTTTTCGAATGATGGGCTGGCTTGGATCTCGGGATCGATGTAAGTGTTGTTGGCGAGGATGCCTAGATCGACGTAGGCGTGGTATAGACACTTGAAGAAGGAAGATGTCATGAGGAGGAGGAAGAGGCAGAAGAAGATCAAGACTTGTGGTTGGTCCGATGGGGGAGAGATTCAGTTGTCGACTTTTATAGGATGTCAGCATATTTTCATCTGCACTTGGTCGTCGGTCATCAATATAGGGAAATGACATACCACATAGCAATACAATCACGACATAAGTGATATAAGCTACAATACCAACGAGAATCGGAGGCAATATGCCTGCTCCAATCTGAATGGCGAACATGATCTGAGCAGAATAGTGGTAGAATGCCAAGGTCAAGACACCAGGCCTTGGGCGTTGGTCTTCAATAAACCTCTCTCATCACGGCTGGACAACGACATCATTGCGAAGCGAGGACATCAATACCACATGCCGTCAGAAGGCTGTGCGATCACTCAACAGCCTCTTTCTCGATATCTGGAGACGTCCTGAACTTGGTGTATCGAAAAGCCAGTGTAGTGGATATCAAGAGCCATCCAAACGAGGCTCCGCAGACGACTCTACCAACCACACATATCAGTGTCTGCATAGATAGAGACTCGTCAACAGCCTATTCCCGTGGGTGAGGCTCGTAGAACCCTGATAAGCCACCATGTTTGCTGATCCGCACGTGGGAACAAGTGACGTGGCTGGAACAGAGTTCCGGCTGTCACTCCGCGTATCAAGACAACGAACGTCATGAGCTCGAAAAGTCGCAAATTTCGAAAGCGACTTCTTCTTTTGGTATACCGGACCATACCCACCACGTTGGGTAAAATCTGGGGGAGGCTTAGACATGCTCTTGTCAAGAGTCATTTCCGGCGAGCCGCGATATCGTTTGTCGAATGATTTGTGCTACGTGCGCCCAGAGAATTGTCCTGGTGAGGGATCTTGCAGTGCTCCTGCGAGAATGTTCAATGTCGTCTTGTGGATCTGGTTATTCTTTCATGCTGGCGTCTTGTCGTTTGAAACCGTAGACCGGCCAGGAGATTCTACCCAAGAATCTTGTCAATGGCTCTTTTCACAGTTTCTTCCCTGAACTCCGGGTGGTCAACCGCACAGACGGCATCAACGACAATGCCTATCATTCCGTCAGCATGACACACCATTGGTAGAATCCATAGGCCAAACCTACCATCAATCAACTTCTCAACATTAACAATCTCCCTCCCTTTAATCACACAGCAATCTCGTGCCTCATCGAACCAGACACCTTTTTCGAACAGATACGCTGCGACTTCCACAGCACTCCACCACCCGTTCCGCTCTGACAGCTTCGTGAAGACACTTCGATCGTTCCTCCTCTGCACCATCTCCTCTACCCTCATCTTGACCTCGTATACAGGGTGTATGGCATAGTACGTTGCAAAGACTCGCCGCAAGACAGGATCATCGATGTCGCGGTTCTGGAGTAGATAGTAGGCTTTTGCGATTGTGGGGATGCAAATGCGGTAAGCGAGCGCGTGTTGGTTCTGCGAGATGCCGAGTCCTGTGAGATCACCAGTGATTTCGTGTGCCGAGAGTAATGGTTGGTAGGGTTGGATTGAGAGACCCTGGAATGTTGGGCCGGAGAAAGATTGGATGTTTGTTGATGGTGAAGGGCTCTGATGATAGGGCAATTGGCGTTGTAGTGGATATTCGGTGTTGAAGTGAGGCATGATGGACATTGGCGATAAATGTTCATTTTCAGGAGCTGGTGTCGGTAATGTCGCTGGTGGTGTTTGTGTGGCCGAGTCCTCACGTTGGCTGTGCTTCGATTTCTTTTTTATTACCTTGCCTTCAGTTTCTTGAGTATCTTTAATACCTCCCTCATCATCAATTAATCTCTTGAATTCTCCCATACTCTCGCCAATGCCTCTTGCCAGCATTTCCCCGTCATTGCTCTTGATACCATCCAGATACTTTAGTACCTTATCATTCAATCCCACAAAACAAGCACTGAGGTTTGTGATTGTTCCTTCTAACTCAAGAATCTGTTGCGATAGAGTGGCTATCGTATCTTCCTTTCTTTGGCGGTATGCTCGTTGTGCTTTACATGATTGCTGTCTTCTGTGTTGTGCCGCCGCAGAATCCAAAGCGGAAATCGGTGGCTTGGCTTTGTATTTGCGAGGCGGTTTAGTGGCTGCAGGCATTTTCTCCTGATCAGATCTCAAGGATCATTGAGCTGTTAGTGATGAGAATGAAATGTGTGGAATAGCGACGGTGGAGATTGTTTGTTGAACAGATGGTCGGGAGGTGTTACTAAGACCCCGTAAACTCTAATTTTGTATGGCGTAATTGGAGCTCCGCGAGCTTTGGTCATGAGGCTCGTTAAGGCAATTGTTTGTACATCGACTCGCTGCCACATAGTCGATTGATAGTCTGATGATCCAGTAGTTGACTCATCAAAGGGGTTGCACAGGGATGGTTGGAGGCATCCATCGCAAAGCATCGGTATCCGTGTCGAAGCCTCGGATGATGACTCTTTCCTGGAAATGCTTGAGGGATCACATGGCAGCACAGAATGTCCTAACTTACGATTGCCCGTATATGACTATGCATCTTGAACACATGCCGAAAAGTCCTCTCACACGTGAGCAGCTTCTAGAGAGAAATTGCCTTAGCAAATGTGGAAGTTATAGTCCACGACAGGGTTGACCAAACGACGTGGTTGTCACGGTAAAAGATACCGTCAACCAATTTCAACACTATGAACTATGGAAGAATGTGGCTGCCCAAGACTCTCGTACCAAGATTCTCATACCGAGATCTCGACAAACCGGTTGTGCAGGCCAGAGAATTGAATCCACGCTTCGGGCTCTCGAAACCCCCCAAGTGGTCAATCTGCGGAAGATACGCAATAAACACCTAGTCGTCCATGAGCAAAGTGAACGGCAAAGACAGATGAGATTTGTCAGAACCAATCAGTACTCGAGCTCATGTAGAAGAATAAAGTGAGCAAAAGGTCCTGCTACCTGACGCAATTAAACCCTATCACCCGGCATGGTAGAGAATTGAAGACTTGTGTCCCGATCCTGAAGACATGTCCACGGCACCGTAAATTGCATATGTCAGATGTGAGGTAATAGGTACGCGAAGCGCAACTGCCGGCATCGATACTGATCGGGTGTGTATGACGAGGCTCGTGATGCTGCAAGACGCATGTCGAAGCCAAAAAACGAGGCGGAAGCCTGCATGACTGCAGAGCGCTGCATGGGCTGTACATACCATATATCCGGACAACAAGAGCCAATCTATGAAACCAGGCGCCAGACAGAGGCTGAATCTGGTATGCTATCTCCCGTCGACTGCCGCGACATCGACACCCACAAAGACGGGTTCAGATCCGATTGTGTCTCGGCAGCTGACCTCGATCTGGTCAAAAGATTGGCAGGAGTCATGATTGGATGGATGAAGAAGGATGGATAGTACGTGTTGTATCGTGGGTATTGGAAAAAGGGAAAAGGAAGCAAGGAAAAGGTAAAGCCTGAATGACTTGTTTTTTGTCCTGTGAAAAAGTACGAGTAAGCTCGTCTAGGCCGGACGCCTGATGCATGCAATATCCAAGCAAAGTCCCCAACGCCAGAAATGCAGAGAAGCAGGAGTGAATCATGGTAAATGACGAAGCAAAGGAGGCAGAAAAATGCATGACAAGAGAAAAGAGACAGCGATCAAGAATCTTCCATCTTGACATCTTCGTAGCCGTCCTCATCATCGTCATCATCGTCGTCGTCGTCATCGTCATCATCTTCCTCTTCGACCTCGTTTGCAACTTCTTCCTTGACGTTTTGAGGATCGACGGAGCTCTCGTACTCAGGATTGAGCTTGTAGTTCATGGCAAACTTACCACTGCGCATGAGAGTGGCAATCTTCTCAACATTCTGCTTGATGAAAGCCTCTGGCTGATGCAGGCGCTGCTTGAGAGCCTTGAGCGACCAGTAACGGTATTGCTTGAAGCAGTCTGTGAGGAGATCGAAGAGTTCTTCTTGACTGACACGGACGGCCTTTTCTTGTTGCTTCTTGATGGGCTTCTTTGCTTGGCTGGCCTTGATGAAGCTGCCGAAAGCGTTGTTGGCGGCGGCGGTCGAGTGGATTTGGACGTCGGCGCCGGATTCGAAGCGAGTGGTGCGTTTGGGTTGGAACATTTCCATGAAGCGTTGATCAGTCAGACGGCGGTATTCATCGTTCTCGACGGCAGTGACTGCCATTTCAGCCTTGACGAAGCCTTCGAGAGCCGTTTGTTCTGTCATAGTCAGTAAAATGGTATGATTGGAGCAATTGAAGCGGCATACTTGGAATGGACGAAGTATATGGCTTGTTGGATTTGTTCACTTTGAAGTTGTCCCTTCTGATATCCTTTCTGACACGATTCGGGTTCCAGGCCTTGAATCCAGGTTGGTCGCGCTCCGAGAAGATGATGGTGTTGTTGTATTGGTCTCGCGAAGACGACAGGTCATAGAGTTTGGGCACATTCTTATGCTGGGGCAGGTCGTGAAGCCTCATTTGAATCCTTTGCGAACCGTCGGGCTTAGGTTTGTGATAGACGCGCACCTTTCCTAGCTCGATCTCTTCGTCCTCGCCCAGGTCAGCCCAGGCGGTCCAGAGCCATTTGGGTAATTTGCAGAGCCAGGCTTGCTGCTCTTCTTCAGATGCCGGCATATGACACTCGCCCGTGTCTTCGTATTCGTCGACGTCCATCTCCGACTTGATGTGTTCCGGCTTGATGTATGCGCCATCTTCCGTCTTGATCCCGTTGGACGACATGGTGTGAGAATGGGCGACGACGAGGAAGGAGCAAAGAGCGTTGCGCTCACTGTGGCCGTCACTCATTCCAATCGATTGTGACGCACAGACCTTCTTGTATCCCCGGATTTGTGAAAGTGACGTGTGCGAGCTCCGTCAATCAATCAACAGTCGCACCTTCCTCGACTCTTACATTCCTGTCGCACCTTCCTCACAGCTTCTATCCTCCTGTCCTTGCTTATCTACACATCGACACACACCCAAACATGGCAACCGCAGGAACGCTGGCGTCATCCCAAGTGACTGAGGCCCTTCTCGCACTCGAAGATGCTCAAGCAAGCAAGAAGGCCCAAGGCTACAACGAATTGCTCGACACGATCCTCACGACCTCCACGCCCGACCAACTGCCCAGCAACCTGATCGCATTCGTTCAATCCGTCCTCGGAGATTCTGTCGGCATTGTCACATCACGCCCCCTCCTCGCTTCCTTCGTCAACAAGCTCGCCTCTCTCCCTGATGCCGACGTCAAGATCGCAGTGGGCACCGAAGCCATCGAGGCTCTCGCCCCCAAAGTCGTCTCCTACGAAGAGCAAGACAGCGCCATCAAATTGATGTTAGCCGACAGTCACGAGCAGAACGATGACTTTACTTCATCTGCAAAGGTGCTCCAGCAAATCACATTGGATTCATCCCAACGCCACGTAACCGACGACGACAAGGCAAAGATCTGGATCCGCATCACTCGTTGCTATCTCGAAGAAGACGATCCGACAAATGCTCTCTCCTACCTCAACAGAGTCAAGAATGTCATCTACAATGTCCAAGACCAGCCCACAAAACTTCAATTCCAACTCTCTCAAGCCCGCATCTCCGACTCACAGCGTAACTTCCTTGACGCATCAAACAGCTACCTGAACCTCTCGCTAGAATCTCTCATCGACGAAGACGAACGCCTCCATGCCCTTTCAGCCGCCATCATTTGTGCCGTGCTCGCCCCTGCTGGTCCGAAACGCGCACGCCAACTTGCCCGCCTATACAAGGACGACCGCACACCTCAATGCGATGAGTTTTCAATTCTTGAGAAGATCTTCCTAGATCGTGTTCTCTCGCCCGAAGAAGTAAGAGCCTTTGCTGAAAAGCTGCAACCACACCAAATGGCAAAGACTGCTGATGGCAGCACTGTGCTTGACAAGGCCGTTCTGGAACACAACTTGCTCGGCGTCTCACGTCTCTACTCCAACATTCCTGTCACAAATCTCGGCGCCATGTTGGGTGTTGATGCAGACCGTGCTGAAGCTTATGCCGCACAGATGATTGAGCAAGGTCGTCTCTCCGGCTACATTGACCAGATCGACGGACTCATCCACTTTAGCAATGAGGCGACCAATGGTGAAGGATTCAAGTCAGGTGTTCCCAGTATCGGTACAAGAGAGTTGAGAATGTGGGATGCCAACGTCCAGGGATTGGCTGAAGAGGTGGAACGTGTCACTACAATGATTCAAACCACACACCCCGAATTCTACGAGCTGAAGATGGGTGCTTGAGCCTGGAGAATTGGCTTTCGAGCAGGCTCAATTCACGGTACATGAAACATTGCATTTGAGGTGCTGGGAGATTCCATGGAGTAAGGGCATAAGCGTGCAATACATCGGTGTTTTTCTAATTGCTTTTCTTTTCTTTTCCATCTCATTGTTCAGGGACAAGCAAGAAATTGTGAGTAGATGCCTACAAGGTCATATCATTGCCTTGCTGAACTTAAAAACATCAAATCCACGTCTTTCAGTCTACGTTGCGTACTACGAGCTGTCAAGGTCGATCGACACAGCCACTCTCAACACTATATGCGACATAAAGCCCGTATTCAAGAAGTCTGAAAACATATATCACACAGAGCGGAGAGTGGCTCCTATTCTTAGCATGCAGGATGCCGTCGTCATGCCAAGTGCACAGGCTTCCAGGCACCAGCATGAGAAATCATCCACTCCAAGGCAACACAATTTGCATCCTTCCCAGGCACCAGAGGACGCTGGACTCAATCTATCCGCGGACAACGTAGCATCAGTAGATCTCTAGAAAGAGACTGGTATAAAGATATCGCAATGACAGTCTTCTGACTTGAATATACCCACTTCCAATCCATTACTTCCAAAGACAACATTCGACTACGGGACTAGAACAAATCATGAAGACTACTTCTTTCCTCGCTGCTTCTGCCATCGCTACTGCTAGTCTGGCCAATGCAGCTATCAATCTGACCTACACGCCAGAGCAAATCGGCGATATCAATGGCGTATTCCAGCACTCCCAGATCAGAGTCTTTTGGTCCACTGATGAAGAATACGTTTGTTTTCCCTCTACCCACACTTTCCCCTCAAGATACTTTCCACAAGGATGAAGTAAACAGCGCGTTTACTGACGAAGGAGCAATATTCAGGATCTCGGTCTGAACCTCATAAAGCAACAAAATGATAATAAGCATTGGCCATTGGATTACTCCTATGTGCGTACAGATTGGATGAAGTTGCGTCTCCCTGCTGGAAACGGATCGTATATCTTTTGGGACATTCCAAAGGTTGACGAGAAAGGGTGAGTGTTCTTTCTTTCTTGTTTTTGCCGTCTTTCTCCACTGCAACTGTTCACTTTATTTGCCATGATGAGGGAGAACTTTTGGACTAATGTGCTTGGGGGAAACAGATCTTATGCCTTTCTTATGGAGGGAACTCATGGGGACACTGGTAACAGCCGTGGAGAAGTCGTTGCAAAGGGGATGAGTGAGTGGTTTAGTATCACCAAAGCTCCTGCGCCCAAGAAGCCCGAGTTGAAGATCTGAGGGTTGCGGCAGTGGGGCATCTCACAGTATTTGTCTCGTACAACCCTTGACATGAAGTCTTTTCGTCATATACGTAAACCATGCCAAAATTCCGACTACCTGATTTCCCTCAATAACAATGACCTCTTGCCATCACTTTTCTCCACCCTCATACATCTCCATCACAATTCCTCACCTTTTCCATAAACCCCTCCCTATCCTCCCTCCACAACCTCGCAGCTTCCTCATTCCCCACACAACCCTCCTCAACATTCGGCTCCCCAAGCATAACCTGCAAAGAAATCAACAAAACCCTGATTGTAAATGCAGGACTCCAATTCCGCGCTTGAAATTCTGCTAGCCACACTTCCCCGTTTGCTTCAATGTTTGGGTGGAAGATTGGAGTTGTAAAGGTCATTGTGGGGGGATGACGGGGGTAGGTGTCTGGTAAATTGATGTTAAGGTGGAAGGTTTGAGAGGGGTATGCGGAGGTGGCAGGGGCGGTGATGATTGCTGTCCAGGAGAATAGTGAGGATTCTGATGGGCATGCTGTGTAGTTGTTTAGATGTTGCTCGGATTGGAGGTTCTTGTGCTCGGAGATTATGCGTTTGAGTGTTTGTTGGGCCATGTTTTTTGGTTTCTTAATTATGAGACTCTTTGAGGTAAAAGTCAGCGATGGAGAAACTGAGTTTCTTCTAGAGGGGATTGTGGTGATGCACGTATACTTGAGGTGTTCGAGAGATGGTGATATGAGTCAGAAGAGGGGTCCAGCAGGCAGCAATGTGACGAGTCTTACGCAACCATACTCTTAAAAACACAGACGACAACAGAGACACTAGTGAGTCTTATAACTTGATGCGGATCCATCAGAAGGATGTCTTGATAGAGACAGTAGATTGAAGCCATGCAAGAGGCCTTGCTACATACATCGGACATTCCCTCGTAAGAAGCAGTCAGTTGCAAGAGAAGGGTCGTGAGACAAGTGCTTGCCACTCATAAATTCGTCGCTGCCGTTACACCTTCATCCCATTCTGCGTATGTGTGAAAAGAGAAAGCTGTAGAGATCAGAGAAAGAAGGAAGACAGGAAAATATGAGAGACAGAGTAAGCAAAGGTAGGGCGAGGGTCGTAATTAGGTCGTCATTACATTCGTGGTCGTAGCCTCGTAGGTACTTTATCAAACATGTCGTGTTTCGTGTGTTTCGTGTATATAGGGGTGTTCGTAGTCGTAGTGTGGTAATCGTAGCAAGTCTCTCCTTGTCTTGTATGCAGTCCATCAAGTCGTCGAGGTCGTTTGATCCATCCGTCATGTCCATGAATCATTCATACAAAGGAAAGAAGAAGAGTCCATATACAGAGGGAACCTCATCGGTCATCGACTATCAACATCATCGTCGCTTGTGGCATCTGTTCGTCCATCTTTCTGTCGTCTTGTCATGAGATCCCATATGTCATTACTCATTCATCAGATCATTTGCTTCCAGCTTGTCGGTAACAGCCTTTTTGAAGGCTCTGACCACGTCTTCTGGCACAGTCTCCCAAAGCAGTGATCTTGTGTAGACCTCAGCCTTACTCGGTCCCCTGGCCTCTTTCATGCGCGACAATGTCTCCGCGAGATCTGGCCGCATACTGTGAGTCGCTGGTGCTGAGACAACGGTGTCCATGTGTTGGTATGTGGTCAACGCGTTGTACTGTTCTGGCGTCATTGCGAAAACCTGTTCCGCTTCCTGAGCCGCAGTGGGAGACGTCAAATGCTTGTGCAAGTCTTGCATATTGTTGTGCTGCGGCCAAATATTGTCTGCCACCCGAGGGTAGTGATGTGAAGGCGTGAGATCAGGGAGGAAACGTGACACCTCTTTGGGGTTGTCTTTGAGCAAATTATTCAAGACTTCCGTGCTTGCTGCTCTGACTTCCTCGGGCATCTTGGGAATAAGTCCGGCTTGCGCGGTATCTCTCGAGGCTGGCGATGATCTCGACGCAACGAAGGCTCCACATAGCAACAGCATGAACAAGATACTCGAAGCGACTGGTTGCTCTGTGCCTAGCCTTGTTGCGATTTCTTGCTGTTGTTGTTTGACAGGCTGAATTGTCGCAAAGGATTCAGCGGTATCGCCAAGGTAGTCAACATTCTCAGCTCCCTGTACGCTGATGAACCTATCCCATGGCTGGTCTTCTATGGCCAAATGATCCATCTCCAAATTGAAGTCAGTGAAGCCAGTAGAGCTCGGCGCTGCACTCATCGCTGGCGCAGCAGGACTCGTGGCCTCAAATTGCTCGCGATACCAATTTATCTGTCCTCGCAGATGCGCAGTCTCCTTCGTGTGGCTGCAAATCAAGTCTTCCTTCTCCATCTGCATTGTTTGGATCCTAGAATGAGCTTTGTTGTGTTCAGATATGAAGAACTGCTTTTGACTCTCTGCTGTCTCGACTTGCAGGCGTAGTTGATCTATCTGCTGATGCAAGGACAGAAGCTTGGTCTCAAGATGCTTCTCCTTTTGCTCGAGGTTTTCAGTGTGCTTCTTCTTTCGTTGTCGAGATGCGAGTCTGTCGTGGATATCAGTATGATGATTTGTTCTTCAGATTGGGGATGTACTCACGCCGCTTCTCTGTTCCTGAGAAGCCTCTTCTGCGCTTTTAGCTGTTTCATCTCGTCTTCATCAGTACAACCCTCGATCAAGTCGTCGATATTCTCAAGAGTGATCTCCGACGGTATGGGAATCTTTGCATTCTTCTTCCGTATACTGTCACGATGCTCACGTCTGAGTATAGGCTGATGTCGAGGCTTGATCGGCTTGACGTCTGCTGACTTCAAGGGTTTGTTTGGTCCGGTCATGTCCATCCAGTCGGCGTGTGCTGGCGGTGACGACGAAGCTTGTGGCGGACTCGACACATGACGAGTCTGAGAGAATGGATGCGGAGTGAACGTGGCTCGCTCTGAGGGAAGACTACCTGGGAAAGGCGAGTTCTCGTACTTGGCTCCTGCATACCCTTCGAAGCCTGACGTGTCCACAGAGCCAGTCGGCGACATCATCCAGCCCTGGGATGTAGTAGAGTAGACTTGGGTGTGGTCATGTTGAGCATATCCACTGTTGTCGCCTTGGTAGACATGTGAGGTATTGTAACCAGCGGTGGGATATATCTGCTTGTGATCCCAAGTCGGAGCGTCATTCTGAGCGCCGGAATTCGTTGCGACGGAGTCTTTGCGAAAATTTTGACTCAATGAGTTTGCCTGCATCATCGCAGCATTGTTGATCGGTTGATCTGCGCCAGGTTTTGTTTCTTGATAGTACTTGGAGGGTTGATTTGATTGTTGAGGCGTGTCGTAATTCAGGTGATTGGCATTTAAGTCGTAACCAAAAGGGTGAGGATGTGAAGAGTGGAAAGCCATGGCGGGTCGTGCTGTTAATATCCGCTGCAGAGGCGAATCCTATTCAGGGAAGAGGCGGTGTAGGTCGAGGCTGAGGTATGATGATGTTAAAGTTGAGACAGCAATACCAAGCGAAAATAGTGGGCATATGTATTTGTCTGTAGTGTTGTCCGAGGGTCGTAAAGTATTTATCGTGTGTTTCGTCAAGAAGAATGAGCGTGCTTTCATAAGAATATTATCATGTGGTGAACGACCGAGTCAAAAGGGTAGAGGGGTTATCAGCATAGGAAGGGCAGGTTGAATAAGTAGCTATGCACAAGCACGACAAGGCAGTCATGACCTGATCCGTGTGTGCTATGCTTGTTGCTCTGCTGCCCCACGTAACCAGGAAATCCACAATACTCGAGAAGAGCGCATGCGAATGAATAGGAAGCGAAAGGAGCCTGCCCTCAAGGGTCGGGAGTTCAAGAGATCAGTAGTGTCGTGCAGAATTGAGGGCGCGCACCGATACGGGAGCATGCCGGTTCGTGCGATTGCAACAACAACAATGATACTACCTTACCTGGCCGAACCGCCGTACCCATCGAGGAAGTCTCTTTCCCCTTCCAAGAACGTGACACGGCACGCGGGATGCGATAAACTTGTGACTGCTTGTAGACGAAGTCTCACACACGCATTCAGGCCGCGGCGCAAGTGTCATCCATAGGCATAACAAACCCTACCCTCACAAGATCACGGAGACATTCGAGTAATGTGGGCATGCGTAGTACGCCTCGTGAGTCGGGCATGTATGCATGAGAAGAGGCGGTGCGGGCTGTGTATTGATTGGTCGGAGAGAATTCGCAGCAAGTCAGAGCGACCAGCCACCCCATGCCTGCTGAAACCGAAAAGCAAGGCCCTCAACCGAGATCACGAGTTTCTAAAGCATTCGATAGGTCAGACTCGCATCTTTGTCTACCTTTTCGAGGATTTCTTTCCGCCGCAGGATTTTGGCTAGAACCGCGACATGTCTGGGCGTGCTGAGACAGAAGCCAAATTAACAATGTGGGCTTCGGCTTCTGAGATATGTGCAGGCAGCAGCCACCTGCATATCTGCCATGAGCACGGGGATTGTGCTGTCTTGACGCAAGACTTTTGCTGCACGTCTAGAGGATGTCCAAAGTTCACCACCTGACCCTCAGACGGCGGCTGCTGTTTGACAATCCAGTTTAGCATCTCCTTTAGCCGCGCAGGGTAAGCGAGCATGTTGGGCAGTAAAGATCGTGTCAGGTTCCAGTCCTCACATTCAACCGCGCCGGATGCAAGGAGAAAGGACCCGCTCCGAATCAGACAAGGCCTTCTTCCCGCTCGGAGTTCCCGAGTGTGTATCGCTGCTCCAGCCACACGATCTATGCGAACATCTTCGGGTGAGTACAGGCTTCTTTGCATGCTATGGGGACTGGTGTAGAACTTGAGACGGCATGTCGTCGTCACACATTGTTTTGAAAAGACAAAACGGGAAAACCGTTGTATGATTTCGTGATTCGCCGATGAGAGCCGCCCTTCCCTGCCCTTCCCGAGCCCGCTCCGCCCGCAACCTTGAATATCGCTCCAAAAACAGTGACTTCACCCCTTGTCCCTGTCAATGCTGACAACAGGAAGATCCTCTCAAACCTGGATCGTTGTTCAGCCTCCTTCGCTTACCATCCTTCAATCATCTCTTGATGCCCAAAATCGACCCCAGATGACTCGACTTTCTTATCACGAAGCAGATTCCCCGAACCTCCGCATGACCTGAGACAACCAATCGCTATGTCACTTCCATGCTGTGTTTTGGGTAGCAACAAAATGATTGGATATCTGCGAAACGATTTTCTTTTCTCTAGAAACTCAGGCAACTTCTTCTTTGGTGCAACAGGTGGGCTCGATATGTGGTAAGCTAAGAGACCGGATTAAATCATTGGAGACTGGAAATTAGATTACCCTCCCAAACCTATATCTGAAATCCTCCGATGTTTGTTCATTTTCATTGCTGCACTTTTCTGACTCTGGCCACGCGGTACGGGACGGGATCAGGCAAGTATTGTTGGGCTCTTACTGCCAACTGGCTAGCCATCATTATTAAATGATGTTGTGGACTTTGCACTCAGATGATGAAGCACATGAGCAAGGTTGCACATTCAACATCACGATACCCCCACCCACGGGTCCCGTACGACCGAGCTGTCAAAATTGACAAACAAGTAAGAAGACACTCGCGCATCGTGATACCGATGACACCAGTTTCCGCGGTGGCTTTGCTTTGGAACACCAAACTTCCGTCTAAGCTGGATGCTCGCTCTACCAAGATTTGGGCAGTCCTGAAAGGTGAACAGATGTAACACCGACATATCAGTCTTAACGAACACCAGAGATACAAGCGAAAGCGGATGATTACAGGAGCACCTTCGTGTCGCATCTGCATAGAGAACTCAGATAGGCTGGGGGGACATCAACCGCCGGACAGCAGCATAACTCATGTCACGGCTCTCGACATGGTTTTGACAGTTGACAGTCTGGTAACACGAGAGGTGGAGGACGCGGTACTGCTTACTATATGTGATTCTGGAAGCATCACAAAACACGGATATCGACATCTGGGTGATTGCAAGCCCGCGACACTACGACGGAGTATGGCGCCCTTCATCTGTGGTCCCGACATGACTGTGCGGGATTAGCCACTGGATTGTTGTTAGTCTTTAGCACGTGACGTGCAGACAGCCCAGGTCGATCAGTGAGACTTGCGGATAACACTTCTGGTTGATGAACTGACTGACATCGTCATGGCTTGTTGCTTTGTTTGGCATGCGTAACAAACTATTGCTTCCAAGATCAGGTCTGGGCGTGACTGCACTGGTAGGTCTGGCGTCTCCTCAGCTCGCATATCGCATATTGTCAACGACTTCTTGCAGCCACCGTTCGCTTGCTCTTCTAATTCATGTATGTGGCCGGTTGATCCAGTTACTATATCATTCTGCGAAAGTTGTGAATGAGATGCGAACTCGAGGCTAGTGCCCGTTGACAAGACGACACATGAGCGAGGAGCGCTTGGTCAAGATTGCAGCGGATCTTGATACAGAATGATACGAGGAGCACTCTAATGTTGACTCTCACCTCGTCCGCTCTGTACGGGAGTCTCACTGATATCCTCGAGGCTCTGCTGCTCGAGGAAAAGTCGAGCCAGGCTAAGACGACTTACAGTCTTGAGCACACGGTCCCCAATTGTGTCCCGCTGGGTTTACCGTTATTACGACAAGGATACTCGTTGGCAAATGATCGCCCTTTGTTCATGTCGATGTTGGTGTTGAAGATGACGATAACAAAGATGAGACTTCCGATTTTGCCACCGGCAAGTTCTTTTTCGAGTAGAAGGATGCGAATTCCATGTTGTCGGGATTTGCGCAGGATCGAAGATGATTTATGGATATCAAGACGTGTTCCGGGCCCTATCAGCAGTCCCAGATCATTGCCGGGTCAGCATGCTGGTAAATTCCGCTACACTCTCACAAATACGCACGCTTATCAGCGTCAACCCGCTATCTCCACGGAAAGCTGTACCCATGACGTTGGTGTTTGAATAAACAAAGTCAAGTTGCATACGGGCAGCGAATTGGGTTCAACAAACACGAATGAGCTGAAGATATCGCCGAACATGTCGCTACCATCTCTTCTCGAGCTTTGTCTCGTCTCGACTCGTCTCACTTGGCGACAGTTTACCAAGACTTGAAAACGCGAATATGAGCTCACACGCCATCTTGAAAGAGGATGAAAGTCAGCACTTCTCGCCGTACAGAGCGGACGGAAAGCTGGTACGCATTTGCGACGATTTGGGCTCAAGGACCGATGTGCTGATACTTTACAGTATGGCTTCGTCTGTATTGTGACGGGCGCAACACAGGCAATTGGCAAGGCCATTGTTCACGAGTTGGCTGGTGATTCAAGTCGTCTACGCCGATGCCAGTGACCAAGACTAACAGCTTTTGAACAGCCCACGGCGCCGCTTGCATCTACGCTTGCTCCGACTTGCCCTCGGATCCATACCAAGAACTCGCCGACGAGGTCAACGCACTATGGCCAAACACAAAGGTCATTGGCTACCCATACGGATTGAAAGAGGAGGATACTCTGACCCTCATTGATGATGTCTTGAATTCATGGGGTCGGTGAGTACGATGCTACATCGCCCGGAGAACAGTCTCTGACTCTACCTCCTACAGTCTCGACGTCTTTGTTACATCCTCCGGTCTCCTAGGCCCTGCCTCGATCGCCCAAACCGCACCCGCAGATCTCTACAAGACCTTTGAGACCAACAGCATGGCCCCTTTCTTCGCATTGAAGTACGCACCCCCCGCAATGGCAAAAACAACACCCAAGGGCAACTACCCAAACGCCGCTCCAAAGGACGTGGCATATGGCAGCATTATCGTCGTCAGCAGTGTCGCCAGCACCTACGGCGGCTGCTGGGGTCCCGCCTTCACAATGTCCTCTCACGCCGCCCTCGGAGTAGTGCACTCAGGTGTCGCAGTGCTCAAAGGCAGCAATGTGCGCATCAACGCCATCAGCCCTGGTCAAATTGACGTGGGTGTTAGTTTGCAAGGCATGGATATGAGGGGGATGAGCAATCAATTGCCACCATCGGATTTGCAGAGTGAAGAAGTTAGGAGGAAGATTATAGGATTGGAGAGGGCGGGGACTGCTAAGGAGGTTGCGAGGGTGGCGGGCTTTCTGGCGAGTGGATTTAGTAGCTATGTTACTGGAGCCAATATGGTGGTTGATGGTGGAGCTTCGGTTATGAATCCGCTTACTGTGCCTATCTAGAGTATGGTATCTATGTTATAAAAACATCCGATAGCGATTACACTTATAGCACAGGGAATCTGGTTACATCACTGCAATTAATTCCTTCTTATCTTGATCAAACAGCCTGGATCTGTATAACATTCCGCCAAGCAAAAGTGGACGAACGCGGAGTTCACCGATGGACTTTGTGACCTTGCCCGCAATTGTCCTTTGACCAAATCGTTCTTACCCTCCTTTCCTCCCTTCTCCTCTTCCTCTTTCGACATGTCAGCTCCATCTGTACCTAATAAGCCCCAGCATTCTCGTCGTGATACGGCGTTGATTCATGGTCTTTCGACCTCGGAGGTCCAGGCCTTGTCCGAGGCTTGCATTGAAGCCAAGGGTAGAGCTTACTGTAAGTTTAGATGAACTATTTCCTTTTCTCGCCAATATAGTCCTGCAGTGAAAGAGTAAAAAGAAAGAGTGGACCAATTGCTTCAGATGGAACATGCTCACAATTCCGAAAGAGAAAACAATCAGCCCTTTTCAACTCGAAAATCATGTTTATCAGTCCATGATCATGATACTGACCTTTGCCCTCCCAAATAGGCCCTTACTCCAAGTTCAGAGTCGGAGCTTCTCTGCTCCTAACCTCTGGCCAAATCATCCGTGGCGCAAACGTTGAAAACGCAGCATACCCCGTCGGAACCTGCGCCGAGCGAACAGCTTTAGGCACCGCCGTCGTAGAGGGAGCTCGACGAGGAGACATCCGCGCTCTTGCGGTGGCTACAGATATTTCGCCGCCGGCTAGTCCTTGTGGAATGTGTAGACAGTATATCAGGGAGTTTTGCGAAGTAAGTGTGAAAAGAGAGGATGAGGGACAAGAGAATGCTTGCTGACAGGGAGTAGCCTAGTATGCCGGTTTTGATGTATGACAAGGATGGAAAGAGTACGGTGCTTACGTTGGAGCAGCTTTTGCCCATGAGCTTTGGGCCGGAGAGCTTGCCTATGCATTGAGTGTGGTTTGAGCATGAAGTGTTTGGAGTGGCTGTCTGTGACAGCGAAAGGCGGCATCAACCTTGGGAAAGGCATCGCATCATGTCAACTTGGGCTTGAAATAATAGCTTTTGTATCTTTATACAATCTTACTCGGATCATATCATAGAATGAGGGGGTATCATTTGTTCTATACATTATGTTCCATGCTTTCATCCCTGCGATTCTAATGAATCATGACGACAGGCTTGCCGGGCTCAAAAGCATCCACACACTCCCTGATGTTAACCCAATACCTCAACTTGACAGCCTCTTCTTTGGCAGCCTCCATGTCATCATTCTTGAATGCCTCTTCAAGCACACCCACACTACCAGCTACCCTCCTCTCGTTCAATTCCCTCAAGGGCTGCAACTCCTCCTCCGTAGCAGCCTCCTCAATGACCTCCCTAGTCTCCAGCACCTCCATCAGTAACTCAGGATCCTCCACCTTCGCCGTCTCGTCACCCGCAACATCAATGCCCCTCATCTCTAGCAGGTATTGTGCCCGTAACAAAGGGTTCTGCAGAGTCTTGTACGCCTCATTGATCCTTGAACTCAGAGCCTCGGCTTGTCGTTTCTTTTCTTGCGGTGCGAGATCGGGGTGGGCTTTTGCTTGCAGTTGGAGGAATTCTTTGCGCAAGAGGGCGAGGTCGATGGTGAATGGTCCTTTCGGTGGAAGAGCGTCAGGACCAAAGGAGGGAAAGAGGTCGTAGTGAGTTTGGGGGAGAAGAGTTTCGCGGGCTGTGACGTTTGGTAGGTCGTGACGAGGTGTCGATGTTGAGAGTGTGCGTGAGGTTGTGGGACTGAGAGTGCGGAAGGTGAGCGGTGTTGAGGCGAGTAAGGTTGTGCGTAGGGCGAGGACCGCGCTGTTGCGGGAAATGTGTGACAGCGTTGCGCGCATATTGTAGTATCGTATGATCCTGAGTAAATATTGTATGATTGTGAAGGAAGGAGCATTCAAAGTGTTTGGTCGCCCTCGAAAAACAGCCTTGACATCATCCGGGGCCTTCCATTCTCGGCTAGCGTCATCGTTGCGCGCCGGAAATCTTTCTTTGTTTCCGGACGCTCTGTTTTGCCTTTCACGTGCATTCATCGACAACACTTCCATCTTTGACAGTCATTCTCATCAATTTCTGGTCATCTTTCGAGAAAGGCATTGCAGCCTTTATTCTTGGTCACCCACCTGGACTATGGAATTTGGATCTGTCACCCCAGGACTAAGTAGTGTTAATGGAGCTGCTTGCGCATGCTTCTGCACCGAGCTCACGCAAAGATGACGAGCGCTTTAAGCGCCAGGCAACAGCATATTCGTCCTTCCAGCCCTCGAACGTAGTATCTGTACAACAGAGCCAGTATGGTTTTGCCTTGCCGCCGTCTTCGGTTCCATCAGTAACTCACTTCGACTCACCTGTCTACATGGAAAATACTCAGGACGCCTGGACAGCCTTGGACTCTCAGCTCTTTGCACCATCCGACCAGTCAGTCGCGCGGAGCGAGCTCGAGAGTGACGAAGATGGCCATATAGATGGCACTGCCCTAGCACTGCCAGTCGACTCTTCACACCCGCCCCGTGCTGCTCGTGATGTTCTGCCGCCAGATGATTCCGCCGTGTTCAAGGTCCCCGTCGCAAGAGTCCCGACGTCGAGATCACTTTTGTCACAACCAGGGTCTAGAATTCGGGAGACAGGTCAATATGTGCCGACTCCTTCCAGACATCTTCAGATCAACGAGCACGCAACTCCAAGCTATCTGGATGGGCTTTCTACAGTTAGCCCTCTCGAGACGCCTTCGCGTCGAATAGCATTTCTAAGAACGGCGAAACTCCCTCCGCGACAAGATGACTTCTCGTCTCCAAGTGACGACATTCCGTCGCAGCTACCGAGTACTTACTCAATCAGTGATATCAACTCTGACCTTGTGCACAGTGATCAGCCAGATGGTCCGCCAAGTTCTGCTTGGGGGAGCCTCCCACGAGGTATTGCAGCCCAACAGTGGAATGGAGTCATCGAAGAGGAGTCGCCGCTTAAGGGTCTAAGATCTGTAGGTAAGCGTCGCGCGCAGAGGTCTTCGCCTCTGAAGCAAACTCAGTCTCTCGAGTCTCCGAGAGCAAACATGTCTGCTCATGTTCGACCACTCCATTCCTCAGCCCCTACTGGACACGAGGATATCTCGTCAGCTTCCCTGGATCGTGCAGTGGTGCCACGCCAGCGCCAACAGACTGAACCTCCGCGAGCGACATTCTCGTCATCATTCGAGCTACGCTTTTCCTCAGCTCCGCAAGCTGTCGGGACGCAACCCGGTGCCCAAGACGACGAGATCCCGTCATCTTTGGACAAACAAGATGGCTTGTCACAACATCCTCTGCGATCATCGTTTGACTTACGCTTTTCCTCGGCGCCCCAAGCTCAGGGAACGCAGCCGAGCGATGTTGAAGATTCTGCTGTTCCGGCAATGCTCAGGCGACAGTCTTTGAGCGAGCTCATGCCAACTTCCTTCGATTCTCAGTTCTCGTCGAGTCCTGAAGCTCAAGGAACGCAAAATAACTCTGGTAACGAGACTGCTGTTCCACAAGCTTTGAGGCAACACACCCTGGATCAGCTCCCACCGACCTCATTCGAGTCGCGATTCTCATCGAGCCCAGATGCTCTTGGTACACCTTTTGTCGAGAAGGACAGGCGTAGAGAAGACACTGCTGAAGCGTCGTCGTCACCGGGCACGAAGATCAACTTGTTTCAGCCACGACTCAATCTTCTTGCAGCAAAGCCAAGACTGTCTATGTCTCTGGCCATGCAAAAAGATATCCCTAAACTCCAGCATTACACCAAAAGTGCTGTTGGTCCTACGAGGTCGAGTCCTTGGCAGCCGATATCCTCTGCCTCTGAGACAGGCTCTGCTTTTCAAGATAGAGCTCAGTCAGCGAGCGCCGTCGACGTCTCAACACTCCTACACAACGGACGCGTCGAAAAACGCTCTGGCCTCTCCGCCGGAATCCTGGAGACAGCGCTTGCAGCTAAGCGACGCAAGTTCGCTTCCCTATCAACCCCAAAGACCAAACCAAATACCCAAGAACGCGAACTGTTCAAGACACTGTCCCTACAGATCCGCCCTCCGCCACCACCTACTGGCTCCAAACACTTCATTACACACATCACACCACAACTTGAAGCACAATTCTGGGATACCGCCGAGCTGCAAGGAAAGTATAAACCATTCCTTACTCGGCCTCTCCGGACTAGTGAAAGGGGATACTGGCAATTTGACACCAGAGCTTGGAATGCACAGATACAAATCAAATTCTGGAAATTCTTGCAATCCAATATTGGAAGTGGGATTAGTGGGTGGGGAGTCTGGTGCTTGCGAGAACATGAAGGAAAAGTGAGTGTGGAAGAGGGGACAGAGCTGGGAATGGTCAAGGTGTTTTGTTGGGGAGAAGTCGTTGGACATATCTGGCTTCTCTGTTATGTCGCTAGTCAGGCGAAACTTAAGCATGTGGAAAGTAAGTGGTTTGATGCTGATGAAGATGTTGTGGTTATGGTTTAGAATTCTTGGGTAGCAGTTTGGGATGTGAATGAAGGTCTTGGAAGGCCCACATCTTTTGATCTTGAAGTTGTCTCCCAGAAACACTTGGTAGTCTAAGGATCGACTTTTCCTCATGCTTGCTCCATCCTCCCAAACTGTGCGATGATTTGAAATTCTCTCTCGGCTTAGTATATCATTTCAGTAGCGACAGATGATAATTCACTGTGTTTCCTTGCAGATACTAGGAAGAGGAGCGTACATAAGTATCGTTGTGTGCGTTCAAACTATCCATTTAATCAGACTTCACACCATTGTAGAGCACAACGACCAACTCGGTGTAGATGCGAATGTCTCGGCAGATGTCGTTATAAACATCAGTGTTCTGTGAGACAAATCTTATGACTAGGTATAGAGTATGATACTTGTACTGGATTTTTGCTATCAAAAGTCTCCGTCCCATCGTTTTAGTATGCCTCTTTCGTCTTTCAGCGTTATCCATAGGTACTTGAGTAAAAGTAGCCTTCCTCACACGAGATGTGCTTACTACCTCCATCTCGGATGGATTGGCGACGGCATGGAGTTTCAACGCACAACTCCCTCGATTTCCGTCGCTTCAAGACAACCTAGCAAGGAACTCACAAAATCATCTGGCAAGGTGCCCGCAAACTCACACGACGACCTCATTGTATTTATTGGTGATGACTTGGCATTCGATGGCGAGTCGCAAGAGCTCACTGTGCCACCAGAATCTAGCCACGTCTCTTTTGCAAAATTGGACGAAATGCATCACAGATGAGGGCCCACCAACAAAGCAGAGAACTCGCGCTCTTCGAGATTCAAGGTCTCATACCTGAAGGCTTTGACCATGACTTCACGAGCCTAGGCCGGCGATCAAGGCAACCAGGTCCATGAATCTGAAGTGTTTGACCAGAACTACTAGCTCAGCAGTCATTGATTGGAGAACTATGAATGCTAGCAGACATCAGCCATGACCAGCAGGTATACAGACCTGCTGTCTTGCTTGATGTATCCCCGTGAGATGCACAGCCAAATTTTTTTGATGCGAAGCCGTCTGACGACAGTAGTTGCGCGAGTAGGAGTCGTGTCTCCCGATCGCAAAGTCACGGGGCTGAACGAAGCTCGTGGCAGAAAAGCATAGTGAGTCGAAGGACGAGCGTCTTATGCAAAAAGAAGATATCGACCGCCGAGAAGGGCCCGGGGTATGGTGTTTTGTGAGCGACTCACGTGGTTGGCGTGAATTGTAATACCCAGGCGCGATTATGCTCAGCCGTCAAAACTTGAGGCGATGCTTGTCATCTGTACCACGGAAATGGTACCAAGAGTCCTTCAACAATAGCTCAGAACATGAAAGCTTTGCCAGAGACAGGTTGCATTGTGGTCCAGAAATCCGTACTGATGTCCCCAGCCAACCACAAGTCTCTCAGAAACCCTTCCATGATCTTGATGGAGCCGAAAGATAGATAGTCGCCAGCAATCTCCAGCGAGCTCAAGACTGTCTGCTGAGCATCGGGAGTTATGCAATGAGTACCAATCATCAAGCATGGGAAAAGTAGACAATGTGCGAGTTTGCCGATAAGTGGCGCTTGCTGGAGTGCGTATATGCCTTCTTGTACGCTCTCTTGCACCAAAAGATCGGAGATGTTGAGATTGCATAAGGCACGGTACATGTATATACGCGCGCTGGCTCGGTAGGCAGAGCAGAAGACTGTCAAAGCGTCGAGCGACTGACAGCCGTTTGGTGATGAGGCTGGTGTTGCTAGGCTTTCGAGCCGAGATTCTGTTCTGCCTAGCGTGAGTTGAATCTCTAGTAACTCTCTGATCGGAGCAGGAAAGCCTGTGGACCTTACGTCGTGGCCGAGTTGCGCTAGTTGAGCAAGTAATGCCATTATGTCGACGAAAGCGTGGTCGTCCTTGATACCAGACCACCAGGCCTCACTGTCTGCAAGTTGAAGCCATATATCAGGGCCGAGATGTGGCGTTTCACCACCCAAGATCGCATATGTCAGATCCATAGTTGCATAGACAGAGAGAAAGAGCGACATGGGACCAGATTTGACAGACGACACCTCCATCATATGATTACCATATTGAAGGATAGCTCGACCACCACGAAGATGGAACGCTGCTGCGAGCCCATCTTCCTGCGGCTCTATGATACCATCTAGCATGCAGAGCAATACACTGGATGGAAACGTGATAGCGTGTGATAAGTTGAAGGAATCTTGAAGTCGTGTTCGTAGTGAGCGTATAGCCGTCAATCTTGCTTGCTTGATCTGTGACAACGTCTCCTCCTGAACGCCATGATTCCTGAAAAGGCGATGTGCATTTGCGACAGCAATGACTGCTTGATGTATTGACGAGTCAGTGATAAGCCATGCTGGATCGACTTCAGGTCCGTCATCCATCAAACTGAACCTTGGTAAGACTTCTTTTGCAAAGTACAACACTTGCCAATCATCGGGTGTTGATGGTGATTTGAGCCGCGGCGGCGGCGGTGAAGGTGTTTTGACTGGCAACCAGTTCTGACCTGCGAAGCGCCCTCGTGCTGCAACTCCATTCGCCCACTTGTAACGCGTGCCATACTCGCATTTGGTCCCGGCAGCTTCACATCGCGTGCATACTGGCTTCTTCACGTCGCAAAGCACTCGACGATCTTTGCATCGCCAGCATGAGCCTTCGGAGATTCTGATACGCTTGGGCGGCATGCCTTCTGCTGATACGATCCTCCGTTATGTGAGCAGGTACTTGGCGACAGTCATGATGTCCTCAGAAGCTCCCGAGACTCTGGGGCATGAAGTCGCTTTAGGTCGAAGGATACCTCGCAGGATCAGAACGCGTGGGTGCATGCTCGACATACGAGGACAGCTAGTGATTTACATGCCGAGCCGTTGCGAGAGAGCTTATCGACGAGCCCTGGGAATACGGCATTGGACAATCACACGAATGTATCGTGTAAACTTTTCTAACAATCAAATTGTCTCGTTAGACCAATTGCGAGCGAGTACAGGAAAAGTGAATAAGTCCAGCTGCCGGACGCCTATCAACACGCTTCGACCAATCGATCATCAGCCCGGAAAGCTTGTCTTGGCAGACTAGGCCCAGAGTAGGTATTGTTTTGACCACGCCTCTTCCTCCGTTTCAGTTCTACGCACACGTTCGGCACAAGATCTTTGCGACAGTCATGCAATCAAGTTCAATGACCAAGACATAGAGGAAGCAGATACATTTATCAGACTGGCGCGCTTACTCCAGCTGAATCGTTGCGGCGAATGGCTGGTAATCCTCTTCTCCTTTCCATTGATCTTCATACAAAGATTCGCCCATCTGAGATGCATCCATACCGACCATGACGTCCCTGTGGCCAAACGATTAGTTGTGCCTCATATACCGCAGAGGAAAACTTACTTGTCTACCGCCAGGACCTCCCAGCCTGGGACGCAGTCAATCAGAGCGATCAACATATACGAGACACTGAATGCCCAAGTGAATCCGATCAAGGCCTCTACAACCTGAACACCGAGCTGTCTCACATTACCGTCAAAGAAGACACCGCCAACAACCTCAGTCACCCCGTCAAGAGCAGCGACTTCCTTCTGCGCGAACAGTCCAGTCGCAATAGTACCGACGAACCCTCCTATGCAGTGAGTAGCAAAGGTATCGCCATTGTCGACCCACTTCCATCGTCTTGCGACATCAGTAAACTTGATTCGCAAAGCCTGTCTTGAGATGACAGCTCCAGCGATACCGAAGAAGAACGCGGTGGCCATGTCAATGAAACCTGCAGAAGGCGTAATCATAACAAGACCGGAGATTGCACCCAAGAATGTCGAATCCAACGACCACTTTCCAGTTTCGTAGTACGTCATGAAAGCCCAAGTCATTGCACCTGATGCAGCACACAAATTCGTCACACACATCGCCATGATGGACTTGAAGTTAAAGGCCAGTGTGGTGCCAGCGTCAAAGGCAAGCCATGAGCCCCAGATGGTGACTAGAGCAAGCAGTTGGCTTAACGTGTTGTGCGGCTTGTGTAGGGCAAGATGAGCCGGTGTTCTTGCCGCTGACTTGCGAGAGCGGAAGAGTGGGTATGAGAGATAGATGCTGAGAGCTGTTGCTGTAGCTCCTGAACAGATATGCACAGGAGTGCCGCCTGCAAAGTCAAGGACGCCAAGTTCACCCAGGAAGCCACCACCCCATACCATATGGGCCAAAGGGCAGTATACAAATGTGGCCCAAAGCTGTGACTGTCATCAGCACCTTGCGGTAAACACGCCAGACCGCGGTACTTACAAAGATGAAAGGAATCAGTGGCAACAACCTTCCCCTCTCACAAGCCCCTCCCACAGCAATAGCACAAACCGTCGCACAGAAAATCAACTGAAACTCACTAAACAAGATGGCCGGGATCGTCCCCACAGGCTCCGCAAGCACATCCATATGCATGAAATGTTTCAAATCGCCAATGAATGCATTGCCTTCTCCATAAGCCAGAGAGTATCCGACCAACCACCATTGAATTGTGCAGACTGAGACGGAGAGGAGAGCGGGCATAAAGGAAGCTAGACCACTGCGACGAGTGGAATAGCCAGAGTAGCCGAGTCCGACGGCGGGGATGATGGGCCAGCAGAAGACGCTGCAGATTAGGATGAAGGCGGAGTCAGTTTTATCGCAGGCCTCCCAGGCTGTGAGGACTTCTGTGGCAGAGATCATGATGTAAGAAGCGATATGGTGAACTCCTTGTAGCCGGATTCAAAAGCGGAAAGCTACTGTTTAGAGGCTCTCTCTGGTAGTCCTACCTTGATGTATTTATGTGCCTCTGAGATATGAAGATAAGAGAATGTGTGGGGTCGAGATAGCGATAAGCGTTGGTGGTCAGAAAGTTATCCTTTTTAGGTATTCATTCTGGCCGGGGTAGGTGTGGTCGTTTCAGCTTCCTGATCGTCGTCAAATGGGAATGTAGAGACTGCCATCACGCTTACAAAACTCTGTCGTTGACCCCTGATTTTCTATTCGACTAGAAGACATGAATACCTTCACAAGTCTAGATCCGAGGATCCAGCATCCGGATCAAGATCATCGTCATCATCTGCCATACCAACATCATTCATCTGTATCCTCATTCTTCTATCTTCCAACTCCAACACCTCTAGCGACGGAGCATTGACAAGTTTCTCAAGTGTTTCCTCAACCTCAGCCCTGGAACCACTCAATCCAAGATTCCATTCTTCAGGCAGAATCAGCGGGCGATAGTCACCCTCTTTCCGGTCAGGTCTGGCTTGGCTTAGATTCTCGATGTCAAGTTGCGTCAGAAAGCGACAATTCTTCTTGATGTTGGAGAAGAGGTCGCTCCAATTACCGTCGCGTAAACAGGTGTGAGCAATGCGGATACTGGTTAGTGTGTCGGCGTGCATCTCCATCACTTGCACTATGGTGTCATATGACAGTGGCGCATACTCAATCCATAGCGCTGTTAGTTTGGCTGACTTGACTGACTCCAGGATCGCATCGGATACTGCGAACTGATTGTTGGTCAAGAGTTTAAGTTGTTGTTGTGGTGAGAACCAATCATCGCGATTGAGGTCATCACAGCCTTGTCGATAAGTGAAGTTCTCCAGAGCGTTAGCGTAAGAAAGAATGTGCGCAGTAGATTTCGTGCCAGCTGCGTCAAATGTGTTGTTGAAATCGAGAGCCACACTCTTCAGGCTGGCTAGAAGTTCAAGACCCTCTGATCGCATGGTGTGTGTATCGTACCCACGCTCTTCTGGATCAATTGAGAGAGCATCAACAGTCAACTCGAGCTCGGCGAACTGCATCTTTGTGCGAAAAATAGCTTCCAGACAAGGCTCCATTGTCGACTTGAAGCAAAGCTCCGGCTCTCCATGAAAGTGATTATACCTGTCCAAGAACAAGGTCACCGGATCCCACCGTGGTACCTCAAAGTCTGAGATATCCAAGATGATGGGCGTTTGATAAGTGCGCAGTGCAGCAAAGGCGCGAGAGAGTATACTGACTGCATCTCCCGAGACTTCAAGCTCATACTCCTTGGAAGATCTGTTCATCGCATCTTGCATTTTCGCCTTCGCTCTCTTGACTTGAGCTGATGTTGGCGGAGGAATGCGCCGTTGCATATCTTCGACTCTTTCGATCAGTGCTCGCATCTCGCGAGGATGGACGCGACCGGAAGACAGATGGACTTTGCGAACATGCGGACCAAACTGAGGATGTGCACAAATCTCTGCTAGCTTCTCCAGACTACGACGGGTCATGAGAGAGCAGAGATTGAACATGTACTCCTTTGCCAGATGTGTGGTTGCAATTGCGGATATCCTTTTCGTGGACAATCGGAGAGCCTTGAGCTCTTTCTTGTTGAGATGATCACATATCCCGTCAATGACTTCTCCTGGTAATGTATCCAGTTGTAGTGTAAATTGACTTGACATGGCTGACACAATGCTGTGATTATGTCGTGGCTTGATTCGGTGGGCGGCCTCGATATCCTTCCCGGCAACACTGGACAGAGGCGGCGACGTCTCTCAAACGATATGCAGTAGTTTCAGCTCATTCAGCGACGGTAGCTCTATGAAGCAGCGGCAAGAGCTACATGTTGGAATCCAATGTTTGCTTGGTAATCGCAATATTTCGAGGTTGAAAGCTTTTCGCGCATTGACCGTTTACGAAGCAGGGTCGCCCAAAACGACACGGTGAAAGTAGAACGCAGACTCAGACATGGTGATTTGATATCTGACTACACAAACTCCTTTATCACTTGGATTCTGATGTCAGTCGTAAACACTCGGAATAACGCCTAGATTAGCACATGAATCTTATCGGCTCAAGTTGCATATGCAAATTACTCGATATCTCCCCAAGGCAACTTGTGTCGGATTGCGAGGTAGTAGAGAACAACTTGTACCGATCTTTTCCTCCATCCAAGCATAGCAGCGAAGCATTTTACAGATGTCTCTCAATATCCTAGAGGAACATGGTCTTTATATCATCATTTCCAGTCGAAAATCACCCCCAGAAAAGGACAATCTCCACCGGGGCCTCTTCTTCCATCTCAATACCAAGATAGGGTGTACGAAGTATCACATCACAGGCAGGAGTGGCGCTTGGCTCGCGGATCACGGCAACACGCGCGGCGTATTCAAAAGTTTTCTCCTGATCGGTCTGTGTCAGATTGTCAGGATTCCCGCTACTCACAAGGGCCATGTCGATGCGATTCTACGAACCTACGACCGAGAACCCAACCAGCTTCCGGACCTGAATTGCAGAACCTGGATATTTCATGTTTTGAACCTTTTTGCAGGCTGAACATGAGGGTCATGTGCTCCTAAAATGCAGCAGTCTCACCGACTTGGAGGAAGAGCTACTCACGTGGGGTAATGAGAATGCACACAGTGCTGACTTGAATCAACAACCACGACCTGTCATCGGGTCAAAAGTCTGTGGACTCTAGTGGTTGTCCTTCGGAGTTTGAGAGGACAGATCGAATGGACTTGGTCGTGAAGAACCACAGCGCGATACGCGGTCACTCGTTGATCGACTTGTTTCTTTTTTCTCGGTCTCTAGTCTTGGGGTTGTCATGGGGAGGCATCAGTCCATCCTGCAATGGACTGAAATCTGGAAATAGTCGTGGAACAAGTCTTTACCACGAGTAGAAGTCAGCCGTGAGCTCAGTGAGTGCTCTCTCAGCATCCATATAAGCCAGATATTCGTCACCGCCCAGCTTCCAAAACAAACTCGTACCACCAAAAGTCTTCCGGCGCAGACCTTATAGCAGTGGTAAACTCCCAATAGTCTGGATACCAACCCGCAGACTCCCAGTCAATAATGCCTGATACACGACCATTATGCACCATGATATTGTGGTGTTTGAGGTCTCCATGGGTATAGACGATGCGGTGCTTGTCCGAGAAGAGCCTTTCCACTCTTCGTTTCAGGCTTTCGAATTCTTCCAACGTGTGCCACATGTCTGGCCCGGCAGGATAAAGTAGGTAATCGTTCATCGACTGCTCGGACTCAAAAGGACCCATTTTATGGTATGGCACGCGAACACTCCTGATAGCTTTTCCGGATGATGAACATATACACTTCTCACCCCAAGGACTCTTCCATCTGCGTATGGATCCGAGGTAGGCTTGCATCTCACTTAGAATGGTGTCTCTCTCTGTGGAGCTGAGACTTTCATACACTTGGCCTAGCTCTTGTCCTGGCAATCGCGTCATCATTATCGACATAGGAGCGTGAGGCGAGTCGGGGTGATTGCCGTAACACAAAATTCGAGGCACGGGTATGCCAGCTTTTCGAGCGGCTTTCATGGCCAATACTTCCTCTAGGAGCGTTCCGTCTGACCATTTCAGGATGAGACCAAAAGGGAGTTGCATGATTTGGTTACAGAATGCGATCCCGTACCAGCGGCAATAGAACCACGAAAGGCTCACCAAGCGTTCGTGAACGATTCCCCAAAACCGCTGTATGGCTTTGGGAGATGCTCGGGGAAGTGGCTGCATGTGGAGATCGTGTGAGACTTTGTAAGTGTATGGCCAGGTGAAAGAGGGCGAAAAGATATTCCACATCGCTACGTCGTTGGCAAAGTAAAGCGTCGTAAAAGGCAGTCCGATATTCTCTGACTGTGACGGTCCGAGCAGTGTCGAACAAGAGACAGGGAGTCGCGCAAGAGACATGAAGTTGCCAGCTGGGCATATGCTGTGTTTGTCGTTGGCTCGCGCATAGTGATCTAAGCGCCAAATATGTCACGTTTGTTGCTATTGCGTCAGACGTCACAACATCACGTTCTTGCTTAAAGAGGTACCATAAATCTCAAAGCCGGGAATCCCAGTTAAAAATTGACTGGCAGTGTGTCAATATCATCATGTATGTCCAGGGTCGGACAATAGTGCCGTAGAGTGCTCAACGTGCACGGCCCTCGTCGGGCAACTCTAAGCGCTTAAGTTTACACCATCGCTAAGAGACAATGGCAAGGCCAGGAGGGGCTCGCGAAGTGGCTCGTGGTTAAATATACGATGAACGAGCAAGAACTTGCAACACCAGACATGTAATTGTTGGATTTGCCTGAATTGGCTACAATACAGAATATAAGCGCCGCGTCTCCGAAAACGCACCTCAAGAAGAACCCACGATACAATGTCAATTTCGACAGGAAGACGGGGACAAGTAGAAACACCAAACACCAAATACCAAATACAACCGGGCTCAGACCGAATGAGCTACCCATACCATGTGTGTATACCGTTTTGTCCAAACATATGCCCGAGACGCCCCATTAATCAATTTCATGTCATCCTCAATGCGCGGGTATTTCCAGATGGCTTCTTTGTAGAGCTCTTACCAACTCATCCTCGGTGAATGGTGTATGGTCGTGAGCAAACGCTGCTTGTTGTTGCGCTTGTGAAGGCGTTGATGTAGGTGCTTCTGTTGTTTGTGCGAGCGGTGAAGCCTTGACGGGAGCTCTCGATCGATATTCGCCGGTTTGACGTCTCGAATAGACAGGTCGGTGCGGTTTGTCTTCTCTTGACTGGACTCGTGAGAGACCGACTAAACAACGATATTAGCAACAGCTCCGCCATGATCGTATATCCAAGTACGCACCGTTGGTCACGTCGTCATCACCCTCATTCTCCATCTCAGTCGACAGCGCAGGCGCAAGAGCAGCATGTCTTTCTCGTGGAACTTCTAGACTTTCCCGACCGCTCTTGACTCCTCCAGAAACACTATTCCTCCTGCTCATACTCATACTGTTTCTCCGACTCAAACTGCTTCTGCCTCCAAAACTCTTTCTGCTGATCAGACTCGCTCGTCGACTCGGCATTCTCGTCCCCATAGGACTGTATTCGCTCATGAAACTCTTCCTCCTCCAAGCCGAGGCAAAACTGAACGACTCGAGTTTTTCTTTGTGTTCTTTCTTGACGGGTGCGCGGTACTTTGCACGTGGCATTGGTTCGCCGGGTTTATACACATTCGATGGCCATCGTTCTCGACCTTTGCCAGAATCTGTTGTGGATGACTTGTGGAGTGACGAATTTGGAGAGGCTTTTCGCAGAGCCTTCTTTATCCTCTCGCGAAATGCCATGGTCGAGGCAATCGGCGTGGGTCGCGGATGAGGCCGGCTCGAAGATGGCGGTATAGGTGGCCGAGGTGATCAACGTGCCACTCGCGTGGTAACAATGTGGAAGGACCAGTCTCCTCGTGCTCAGAGCGTGGGACTCGGGACCCCCGTCTGTTATGAATGCCGTAAAGTCCGTGAAGCAACGGTCGGTTTGTAGCGGCTAATTTATGATTATGACGTGCGGCCCGTTGGATCGGCTTTGTCGTTGGTGGACAATGAAAGGATTCAGTAGTAGATTGAGGGCGTGCCACTGAATGGAGAATGAGTCCATATGGATGTGGATATGGAATAGTAGAAAGACAGGAAACTAGCAGTTGACAACGCAGGAAACAAGAAAGAGTTGTCTCAGGTTACGGGTGTGGTTGTGGAGGACTGCCTCTCCCCACTCTTTCGACACAGTGCACGGTTCTCAAAAGGCCCTGGCCGAGAACTGCCGTCAGACTCAGCTCGGCCTTACTCGGTGTAACTCGTGTGAGGAAAGAAAAAGTGCGGAGAGGCCTGGAGAAAGAGGCTTGCGTGACAGGAGTTTGATGAGGGTCATCGTTTGGTCGTGAGACTTGGTCTGCAAGCAAAAGGTGATCTGCTAGAATGATTGACACGCCGGTGACGATGTCGACGATCGATATGCAAAAGAAGCATCTTCGAAGCCCATGCGTCCGGGGGAGGTCTCACTGCGAGGCCTGATGCCTGAGGGCCCATGCGGACATGCATGGCAGGTCTTTTGCTTGGTTGAGGAAGAGGTATACAAAGGAAATAGCGACCTAGCTTCCTTGTTTTGAGTTTGTCACCTCGACAAAGGATGGCATCCTGTGCGGAAGATGAGGCGTTTCCTACTGCTCAACGTGGAACTGCATATACGAAAGGCGCCCCATATTCAACGAATGTGAAGGATGCAGTCGGCGAGAGAAGACGACATGTTGGAGAATGGCGACGGGCAACGGTGTTCTCGCCTGGGGCTACCTGCATGGCTGTCATGGCGTCTGGAATGCTGCACCGTGTCAATGAGACTGTGTGGTGTTGGCAACATGAAGGAAACGACATGTCGAAGCTACAGACAACCGAGTCGGTCAAGCCACCGACGCCGCACGATAGGTCTGTACCCCGCTGTCGACGCGGCGGACGATCGCCGCGTCACTGAATACTTGCTTCGGTCTCGCGTCAACCTGGGCCAGAAGCGTGGTGGGAGGCAGGAAAGGCGTTCATTCGAGCCACAGACACGGCATGTGTTGCAATCAAGCTTCTCGTGTGCAAGCGGACTGGTCGCGAGGTTGGTCGTGCAGAGCCCAAGACCCGTTTTTTTGCACCAAAGTGCCTTGAAGTGATGTGTCCCAAACGATGTTCTGGCGCAAAGAAGCTTCATGTACGTCACCGCATGCCATGACTTCCTGTTTAAAGCAAACGTTCGACCTGCCACTTTGCAACTTTGAAACATAGATACATTGCCCATTTCAATTCAGTTATAATCAGGACAACCCAAATCACACTTGACGACACACGAACACAACGCATCTCCCACTTACGACACGAATATCACGAAGACAACATGGACAAGCTCAAGAAGATCTTGTAGGTGTCCCGGCAGACTCGGATGTGGTATGACTTCCAATGCTGATAAGTTTCTACAGCTCTCCTGGCCACGAGAATGACGAGGCCGTCTTGTACAATCACCCCAAGACCATCAGCCCGTCTGGCGCGAGAGAGAGTCCCCTCCAGGGAGAGCACCACACCAGCTCAAGCACAAAGGACACAGACCTCAGACACAATGTCCTCGACCCTCAGAGCAACACCAGCAGACCTCCCATCTCTGACAATGTTAGCACAGCAAGTATCAGATCAGGTGTTGTTGGCGCCGGTCAGGAGCCTCGCGGTGTAGAGGGCAGCGGTTTCACAGACTATGGCTCCTCCACTGGCGGTCTATCGGCAGCACAGCAGACGCTCCCCGTCAGAAGCGCCTCCCCTGTAGGTCAAAACCGTCCCAGACCTACACAAATGGAAACTGCGGATCCCAGAGGGTTTGTCACCAGCTCACACGCACACAAGGGTCTTGGTCACAACTACAACGGTGACCCCTGCCCAGAAGGTGATGAGCCATTTGTACCAGGTTACCCTCACCACCAGCAAGGTCCTCACAGCACAGACATTGCCAACGCCCTCGACCCCCACGTGCCTGGTGGCTTCCCTTCAGACGACGGTCTTGAAACACAAGAACGCAGAAGAGATGGTGGCCTGAGCACCACAGCGTCCGCTAGCAGCCATCACCTTGGCAGAGATTCTGCTCTCGGAGCAGGCGCCGGAGCTGCCGCTGTCGGTAGCTACGAGGCTCTCGAGCACCGTGGTCACTCCTCCACTTCGCAGACAGGCGCATACGACAACACCAGCTCGACTGGCATGTCTTCTTCGACTACAAACCGCTCGTTCCCTCTCAGCAGTCACCCCACTACTAGTACATCCGAGACTCCAAGGGACAGTCACCTGGGCAGAGATGCTGCTCTCGTCGGAGGTGGACTCGGCGCCGCTGGACTCGGAGCACACGAGGCCGGATCCCATAGGCCTTCCCATGAGATCGAAGGCTACGAAGACCAGCGCTTCGATCCTTCTGTTGCCTCTGGCGACAAGGCCACCCGCATCCCCAACCTGATGTACGGTACTTCCGACAAGTCTACCCACTCAGGACAGACCGACTCCACCAACTATGGTAGAGATGCTGCCTTGGCAGGAGGTGCTGGTGTTGCTGGTTCCCAGTTGTCGGGCTACAACCACGGTGGTCGCACCGAGACTGATCCTGCTTCCAAGACCATTGGCCCTCACAAGAGCAACCTCATGAACATTGTCGACCCCCGCGTTCAGCCTGAGCCTGAGAAGATGAAGGACAGAACTACCGCAGGTCCTCACCAGAGCGACATGATGAACCGCGCTGACCCTCGTGTCGATTCTGACCTGTCTAAGCAGGGCAACCACCATGCCAGAGACGCAGCCTTGGCCGGTGGAGCTGGCGCTGCTGGAGTCGGCGCCTACGAGTATGGCCAGCGCCACGGTAGCACTACTAAGAGCGTTGGCAGCTCCTCTTTCGCTCCTGGCTCAACCGTTACTGCCGCTGTCGCGGACCCTAACCATGACCCAATCCTCGAGCAGCAGAGACATGAACGTGAACGCGCTCTCGCAGCTGCCATGGGTAGCGGCTCAGGAGCCGGCGGTGTTGGCGCCTACGAGCAGGGCGTGCCTCACAGCAGCACTGGTCACAGCACCATTGAATCTCCCTTCGCTTCTAGATCTACCAACCGGGCTGACGTCGTTGGCTCTAACACTAATGCCTCTTACGCACAGCAGGAGCCTCACCACGGGCGTGATGCCGCCATCCTTGGTGGTGCAGGAGCTGCTGGCGCTGGCGCTTACGAATACAACAAGCACCGTGATACAGGCACTAGCGAGAGCATTGGAAGCTCGGCTTTCGATCCTCGCTCCACGAACACTGCCAACTACGTCGACCCTAACCATGACCCCATCCTTGAGCAGCAGAGACAGGAGCGCGAACGCGCTCTTGCTGCTGCTATGGTTGCCGGTGGTGCCGGCACTGTCGGTGCAGGTGCATACGAACACAACAAGCACCATGGCAGCAGCGCTGCTGGTAGCAACGTTGGCACTTCATCATTCGATCCTCGTTCCACAAACACAAGCAACGTTGTCGACCCCAGCACTGATCCAACCCTCGCTCAGCGGAACCAGGGCCACCACTACGGCCGCGACGCCGCCGTGGTAGGAGGTACTGGAGCCGCAGGAGCAGGTGCCTACGAGTACGCAAAGCACCATGGCAGTGCCGCTGACAACAACCTCGGTACCTCAACCCTCGCCCCTGGCACGACCGCCGTGGCAGGTGTTGCAGACCCGAACCACGACCCTCTGCTTGCTCAGCAAAGAGAGGAGCGTTCCCACTTTAGTCGTGACGCTGCAGTTGCTGGAGGAGCTGGAGCAGCTGGCTACACTGCCGCCGAGGCACTCAACCCCAAGGAGCAGGAAAAGCTTCTCAAGCACCAACAAAAGGAGCGCGAACACGAGCTGCACAAACAAGAGAAGGCCCTCGCCAAGGACCGCGAGCATCAGCAGAAGAGCCTCGCTGCCGCTTCTCAGCACTCGCACGAGAAGGAAGCCAAGCAGCACAAGCATGACCTCGAAAAGGCCGAGAAGCAACGTGAAAAGGAAGCCGACCGTTCGGAAAAGGAAGCCGAAAAGGCGACCAGAGAGAACGAGCATCCCGACAAGAAGAAGCACGGTCTCCTTGGCTTCCTCCACCGCGACAAGAAGCACGAACCTGAAGAGGACCTTCGCCAACAGGGCCGCCTCCAAGAAGCCGACATTGCAGCCCACGAACGTCATCAGCGCGAATTGGAAGCCGCCGCCGCTCGTGGCTCTGTCCCTGTTGCAGGCGCGAGATTCGAGCCTTCGCTTGATGAGCAAAGAGCGGACTACTCTGGCGTTGATCAATACTCTGGCATTGAGGAAAAGGGACATCAGACTGTCTCTACGGGTGGAGATGGCAGACACAGATTGCACAAGGATCCTCCTGCCAGCGTACTCAAGGAGCGTGGTCTGGATAGTGATCAGGCTTCTTATGGCAGTGGAAGCCGTGGTCTCTAACTTGAGGCCTGAGATGTTGGGGCAATATGGGGGATGGAGGGATGATGACTTTGCTTGTTTCTGGTACGAGGGCAACGATTAGCACGGATGCTTTTTCGCTTTAGTTCACTCTTGCCATGTGGGTTTTCGTAGTCGTTTTCTAATCACAAATGTTCTGTTTCTTATAAACAACTTATGTTTCGCTTTTTGGCAGCTTTGTTCTGGCAGCCTGTTGTGATTAATAGGACTTGTTCTTTTGGTATCATCAAGTCTCAGCAAATCGTCACGTAATATTGCCCATTTACCTGACTCCTCCATTGTAATTTAGCACGTCAACAATCGCTTCAGTATTGGTTTCTTGCCCATTCGTGGTACGTCATGTCTCTGCTTGATCACTGTGTTGCAAGGGGTACATGGTAGTGGAGATGTGTGGTATGTCGAAGCTCCATCCGCGTCAACTCACCAAAAATAGTTTTTTTTTTTTTGAAGATTATGAGGGCATTTGAACTTTTTTTTTTGGTGATTTATTTTCGAGCCAGAGATATCTAGAAGCTCGAGACCACCACTTGAGCTAGTTATTGTGATGATTTCTATGTTGATGGCGTGGTGGTAGAAGGATATTGATGAGAAGAAAGCCAGGGTGGTGGTCTCGACGAGAAAATCTTGGCCGCAAAAAAAAGCCAAACCTGGTTTGGACGACACCTTTCCGATGCCCTTTCTCGCGTATCAACCGTCTCGCCAGCGCACGCCTGTATTTATTGAAACTGGTGCAAGGTATTCTTTGAAGAAGCTCGCACGATATCCTTACGGCCAGGGCGCGAAGAATACCGCCCCTGTCTGTACTTCTTATGCCCCCATGCAAAAGCTCGTTTTTCTGTTTCAATCGTTTTGCGCGTCATGTTTGGATTTTGATGCCAAAGGTTTTGCTCAGATAGCAGGAGCGGCGTCTTCGCCCTCTTCGGCTTGGACGAAAGGGTTTGGGATTTCTTCACTGCCGTCGAGGGGGGAGATGAGGACGAGGAGGGTGCCGCGTGCGACTAGGAGACCGAGAGGTCGGGAGGAGGTGTTGCCTTCGTCGTCTGGTAATTTGTGGTGTCAGTTTTCTGATGCAAGGGGGATGATGGTGTGTGAGAAGCGTATTGAGAGCAGGGAGAGGTGGGCAAGATGGGGGATTGATGGTGATCTTACCTCTTGTGATTTCCTTGACGTCGTCGAGGACGAGGTTCATGAGTTGGTCGTAGCCTTTGAGTGTACCGGTGACTGTGTTCGCCAATCATGTCAGCACTGCGTCCTGTGTCTATTCATTCATACAACCATCACCCTCCAATAGTCCATCTCTTCCTCATCCAAGGCTCTTCGTCATCCTCAATCCTTCTCACTGCGCCAAACAAACTCACCTTCTCTACCACCACTGAACTTGACCTGAATTTCCTTATCCATGTACTTGTTCAAATCCAGAATGTTCTCCTTCTTCGGGCGCGGTGTCTCTTCGTTTTGGTTGTGAGATGGATTGTTGTTGTTGTTGCCGCCACGACCACCACCACGACCACCGCGGTTTCCTCCTCTGTTGTTGCCGCCGCGATGGCCGCCGCGGAATTGACCTCGTTCTGACATTTTCGTCTGTGATGTGCGGGTTGAGTAGTTGTGGAGGTGGAGGTTTGGTGTATTCTGACGTAGAGTCGGAGCTTGCGGCGGGGTGGTGAGCTATCGGTGGTGCGCACAGACTAGTCGCTTGGCAGATAATGGTTGGTATGCCAGTTAGATGTTACCATAATAAATTACCGGAGTCCATCAACAATAGCAACGTTTGACATCGGTTGCCATCCCTGCTACTGAATGAGCCCCATCGGTGCGAGGTCGCGCTTTCCGCTCCGCGATGATGTAAAAGGTGGTGGTGACTTGCGGCTATTTTTTGTGGGTGCGTCGTCGATGCCGTGATAGCCTGATTACGATTTTGGAGGCGTTCAAGTAGAGGGACGATGTTCAACTGTAGAGCTTCTTGTTTAGGCTGCTTGAGATTGAGTTTACGAATAGTTGTTTGGCTATCAGTAATTCTTATTCCCGTGTTCGCAATGCTTCATGCACCAGTTCAGGATATATGCTGTTCAATTCATGTACAGCAAGAGTGATGCTCCTAGGATGCCAGCTGAAGACCACGACAGTACATCTCTGCAGCATATAACGAGACTGAACGGGCACGATTGGATGATAGCATATGTAAATACAGAAGATGGTCAACCACAGAAGGGACGATCAGAGTTCACTGCAATAGCCGGGCACCTTCCTTGTATGGATGGTAGCCCCTCGAGGCGTTTCTTCCACACCGCTCCGCCGGGAGATAGGTAGCGTAGTGGGACAGGAGGAGACGCGTCCGCTGACGAATCCACCTGCACTCTTAGAGCATGACGGTCCAGAACTAGGTCGACGGTTTACACTGCCGAGGGAGATGGCCGACCCAAATGTGCCAAGGCCCAGTCAGAGGCTTTGGAATAGGAAGGGTGATTGAGTATTGGCAGCATTGGCGGCAGCGACACCGAACAAGCTCACGAAGCGACAAAGCCGTGCGAGTCTGTTTCTTCGAACAACGCTGCGATAGCTGGATCAGTATCGATTTCCCAAACTTGAAAAAAGAACCGGCCAGCGTCCACCGCTGCCTCCTCCCACCGCTCCGCGCTGACAATGTCCGAAGCCGCCGACTCCCGCGGCCTGGGTATGTCATGGCCTGTACACCTGATACACCTCTTGCTAATGTCGCATAGCCAATCCTGCTGCAAAGCGCAAGCGAAGTCCGTCGCTGGCACTACACCAGGCATTCGGAAATGGTCAACAGAACAAGGCGCCAAAGACTGGCAACGTGAGCAGCCAGCTCCAGATCAACTACATTGCGCGACAATGCATCGATGACCTTCCCTTCATCTCAAAGGAGGACACTCTTCCTGCTTTGCTCGACGTCTTGTCTTCGTACACACAAGTCCTCGATCGTCACGAATCACTGGCTAGTAACCTCGGAGCTCGACCTCTCGGACCCATCCTGATTAAGCGCTTCGAACGCTGCTTCGATGCGCCTCCTCGAGTAATTGCTTCGCACTCGCACGCTCGCGACTCGGACCTGCCCCAAGTCACCTGGTTGGACGTCGTGCACTTTGCAAAGGCGCATCCCTCGCAGTTCACCTTGTCCACCTTCAGCGAAGGTCGCCGCGTGTGCCAGTTCTACTACCCTCAGAAGCAAGTGCGCGTACAGATCTCGGAAGAGGACTTTGTCTTCATCAACAGTGGAAGATGTCAGGACCTGGTCCCACCGCTTCCCATCTGGGAGGACGAGGAGAAAGAGGTGGCCACATGCGAGATTGTCGAAAAGGCGCTGCGAGACTTGACTGCCGCTGCGGATAATGTCGCTGCTCGCACCCGTCAACTGACGCATAGACTGAAGGGTAGAAGGATGGCCATTCTCGAACGTAGGTCAGCTGAGGAGTCGCACAACCAAGAAGCACAGCAGCAAGCGCTGCAGCCTTCTTTTATCTCGGTCAACAACAACCAGCAGCAGCCTGTCATGCACCAGCCTCATCAGACTCAACAACAACAGCCCCCGACGTCTCCTGAGAAGACCGACCCTGCTCTGCATATCCGCAACGACCTCCTGAAGCACTTCCAATCGCTGCCCAAGCCACAGCCAGACAATCGTCGAGTTTCTTCTGTTCAACAGCAACCACACTCCCCACCCTTCCAGACTCCGCCAAACTTCAATCAACAACCGCGAACCAATCTGGATCCAGCCTCTACTTCTGTCTCGCCTGTCCCTACCACCGTCGCCGCCCTCGCTGCCGCCGCCGCAGCCCAAGCCTCGAGCTACACACGCGAAGAGTCACCACAATCCTCTCAGCCACGCCACAACTTCTCGAAACCTCTGCCTCCAGCCCAAGAAGTCTCGCAACCCTACCGCACAATCTGTCAAGCCCACATGGAGAGTCTTCCCCGCGGCTCTCGTGTCATGCCACCGTGCGATCGCTGCAGACGTCTGAAAATGGATTGTCTCAAGAATCTCTCGTCCTGCGGTGGATGTACCAAGAAACACGCACGCTGCCACTGGAAGCAAGTTTCGCGCGAAGAAGTCCAAGGACTCGAAGGCTTTGAAGAAGCAGAAAGAGTAGCCAACGAATACGCAAATGGTACTAGACGCTTCAGCAGCGAGTATGCAGCCAGCGACACTAGTATGGATGTCGATGTCAGAAGTCCATTTGATTATTCTAGTCACACTGCGGCTTCTACACCTGGAAACCTACAGGCTTTTGCGAGACAAGGGGCTGCGTATCCTGAAGTCCAGCAGCAGAGTGGTTACCCTCAACCGCCGAGTCTACAACAACAGCAGGGGAATGGATATGAGGAGTATCGTCCAGCAGCTAGTGTGCAGAGAAACCCCTTCCCCGAGGACTTTACACAACAAGCACCACAATCTCAGCCTCTGCAGCAACCGCCTCAGCAACAGACTCAAACACAACAACAACAAGATCGAACGATGGATCTCCTTCGCGTGCTCGGAAACCACAATAACAGCATCACTTCATCCACATCCACACCTGACCAACAGCAACAGCAACAGCATCAACAGCAACAAACACAGCAAAACAGAAACAATGGCGCTTTTCGCACTTCTTTTACTCCAGCCAATGAACCTGCCACTCTTCCTCAATCCATCACTCAAACCCCCACAGGACAGGAAAATGGCGAAGTGCAAAGAGTTTAGGATTCTCGGGCTGGCTAAAAGAGGGAAGAAGGACGAGGACGAGGTGTATCAAGAGAGGCATCGTCGCAGGACCAGAAGATCAAGGGGAGTGTTTCCGGCATCTCTTGAATTGGAAGGGGAAGGTGAGAGCAGACGAATGACTTTGAAATACGAGGTTTGGAGATATTATGCTGGAACTACGCGTTCAAGGATCGAAATAAGAGAAGGGCTTTCGTTGGGCATATGGAAGCTTACTATGGTTCTCGGTCTTGGTTCTTTTATGGTTCTTTGATTCTTCATCCTGCGAGCGGAAAGTTTTGGATACAGCAAGACGTTCACAGGACGAAAAGCTTTGCAGATAGAGATGACAAGACTCGTTGATATCGAGTAGCCCAGGATCGAAAGACAAGAAGGCAGACAACTTGTAATCAGGAAACACTTTTACTTTTCCATTCCATCCAAGTCCCTCCCACATCCTTGATACCCGGAACAAGTCTCGTCAATCAAATACCATACTCTCCTCCCCTTCTTCTTCCTCTGCCCCTACCTCTCCCATCTCCTTCCCACCCACCCCTCCTCTCCTTCTAAACCCCTCCAGATCAAAAACCCTCCACCCCTTCCCCCCTTCCTCAACAACAACACAATTTCTCCTCCCTACTCTCCCATTCCCCACCAAACCCCTCGGAACCCATCCCTTTTCAAATCTCTGCGCTATACACCCTGTATCCTCCAATTCCTTCATACTCTGCCATTGCTTTTTGATTTCCGTCTTCGACGTGGAGCAGCGATAGGGTAAACAAAGTAAATAATCCCTTTCCTCGCAGTGGAAAATACAGAGAAAAGTTTCTTCATCCAGGAATTTTGCATTCGAGATTTTTGCATCTGAAGAAAATGGTAGTAAGATTTGTCCGCAGCCGAAAGTTCCTTGTTCGGTATTGTTGGGTCTTGTCGTCTGGTGCCAGAGTGCTAGTTCTGGCACCTGGTCATTCGAGGAAAGGAGGGGTATACCGAGGATGTAGGTTTGGAAGGTGTGGGGAGAGGTTTCTAGCATGAGGATATCTAGATGAGGGTGGAGGGAAGAGGCTGTGGGTGTTGAGCAGGGGATATCAAGGGTTTGTGGTTTGGAGGATTGTTGCCAGAGGGTTATGTGTTGATGAGCAAATTTACACATGGCGCTGAGACGGAAACTCCATGCATGCAAGGAGAGTAGTTTCTCGATCTCGCTGTCTATATCTCCAGTTCTTGAGGCGTGAATGCAGTTGATGAGGTTTGTGGCTGTGAGGTTTTGTGAAGCGTCCATTTCAGGTGTGAGCAACACGATAGGCTTGAGCCTACTTTTTGTCAATCCACCTTCGAGATATGCAAGTGTGTTGGACAAGTCTAGCTGAGGCGTCTCTCGCTCTGCCATATCTTTTGCACTTAGCGAGTCTGGGTCTGCAGCTGCGAGATCGATCTGATGTCTCAACCATTTTGAGAAAGCGCGAAATTGGCGTTGTTCAGTACCCAAGATCTGTACTGCTTCGTGGACGAGAAGTTGAAGAGATGATAGGGTTGACAGAATGGATGTGAATGCCTCTGGTGGCACATTGAAGTGGGGTGTATCCGAGTAATATCTTGCCAGGCCTCGTAAATTTGTTGCTACGACTGCGCTTCGTTCGAGGACTGGGAGCAGGTTTGTATGCAGAATCTTGGACAACTCAGTATACAGGGTCGTCATTGCGTGGTCCCATCTCTTGTGACCGCGCTCTGCCAATTCGTCTCGTAGCCATTCAAGGATAGTCGGTGTAAAGTTTCCAGTCATGGCAAGGTGATACAAGTTATCCTCCAGCAGACCTTCGCCTTTCTCTTCTAGTGTCTCGTTGACGTTCTCCATGAACCTTGATGGCAAGTTTGTGTGGGTGGTCCAGTCACTCTTAGCTGATACGATACTACATGAGATGTAGCCGCAAAGATCACGGAGTTGTGCCGTTCGAGAGACGATCAAGTGAAGATGTGATCCGCCGGATGACATTAGCGGTATGTCAAACAGACTCAGATGTAGGTTCTTGTAGACTTTTGCAAAGTCGTCCGAAGCTTGTCCATCCTCAATCTCTGCTCGTAGGAGAGCATGTTGTTTCGACCGGGGGTGTGAACTGTACATGAGTGGTACGAGCGAATGCGGTGTCTCGTCGTCCTCTTTCATAGGCCACTCAAAGTTCGAGCCCGGGTAATCAGGCGTGTAGTTGACCTCGAGGATGTCATCGACAGTAACGCGATTTCTACCGCCAGCATGTCCAACAAACATGACATCGGCAGCCAAACGATCCTTTCTCTGCATAGAGTCGAAATAGTCGTCCAACGCAGCTTGTGTCGCAAACATGTCATATCTCCCGCTTGCAGTATGTCGCGTGGGAATCGGACTAAGACGTGGTAGTATAGACTCAACATCCAGGAAAGCCAATTGACGAGGCAGATCTTTCAAGAGAGCCTCTTGTCCCTGTGTCTCCAGATCGTCGTCATCTTCACCATACGAAGGCATGTCACCAGGGGTCAAACCAAGACGAGTCCACAGGTCATCCAGCACTGATTGATCCAGTCCAGATTTCGGAGACTTCTTCGGTGCCACGACCTCTCTGGTCAATGCGGTGCCCCAGCCCAGACAGGTGATTTGACCTCGATCAGTCTTTGTTTTCGGATTTGCAGCATCTATGCTGAAAGGATCATCACCACCATGACGAATGATCTTTCCACTCTCTCCAGACACGATATCCACAAATCCAGTGTTGAGAGCTACAGCCAGGCATTTTCCTACTTTCATCAGAAATCTTCTGATCAGACTTAGTATTGCGAGAACGAACCATCACGTATCCACTCGAGACCGACAATGGTCGTGGAAGGACTTTTCCTCTTGACGACGAATGCGCGCTGACCGCCGATACGATAAACTTCAATCACTTCATCTCGAGTGACGACCGCAAGCAGGTCTGTCCGGGGACAGTAGGCGAGGAGATGAGGATTGATGGTGTATGACAGGATCTTTTCTGATTGTAACGGCAGGCAAGGCTCCTCGGCCATCTTGTTAAATTTGTTATGAATTTGGAACCATGGGCGTGCAGAAGGAAAATGGTCATGAACAGTATGGAATTCTACCTCTCTAGCTGCTGGCGATGAATGGTTGTTTACTTCGAGACGTCAATGTCTTGGCGCTCAAAAGTGGCAGTTCAGTTCAAGGGTCGCGATGCACAGCAAGATGGCCGGGGTCAAATGGAGGACTCAATCTCATGAAGATCAAAGATATTCAAAAGATGCTGGGGTAGTAACCAATACTCGTTTGCTTTTCATGACATATCTAATTACGCCCGACCAATCTAAAGACCTTAAACCACCATGTATCCGTCCGCAACCGACTTGACATCCTTTGAGAAAGAGATGTCCTGGCCCAAGTTCAACAATGTTACGGATGAGACCTGGGAGGTCATTAGTATGCGATAGTAGAAATGTGCTCGGTTCGTTACTTACGTCGACTTCAACATATGGTCTCGTCTTGGCAAAGCGGATGTTCATGGGGAAGAACTCGGCCTCGCTTTCGGCTTGTGCCTCGAACTCGAAGCTGCCAGTAGCGTTGGTGTCATCTACATCGCCAATGGTCCAGTCAACACTGTCGCCAGAAACTTCGTAGACAGCATCGAAGCTGGAGACTGAAGGTTCGCTGGTTTGGTAGGGTATCGAGACAGTCACGTCGTTGAGGGCATCTCCACCGGTAAGCTCGTATTCCAAAGTGATGTTGTATGTGCCAGAGCCAGTTTCGTTCACCCAAGCAGTAAAGGTAATTGGAGGATCGCTGATATCTTCAGCCTTTGCAGCCAGTCTCCAGCGCATGACGCCGATCGAATTGTTTGCGGGGAAGCCTTTTGAAGTGTCTGTGAGTTGGATGATTTTGTCATTCTTGAAAGTGGCCTTGTCGACCTTAGGATGCGAATTTAGTTGCGCGCCACGAGTGTCACCCAGAGCAAGAGCAAGCTGGACTTGTGTGAGAGAAGGGTCGGTGATGCGGAGTTGGAGGTCGCCCTTGACTTCAAAGGACTCGAGAGAACCCTCTCGGCTAAGCTTTGCTGAGACGGTCTCGGCGACTGTGATGTGAAGACCTTCGCGATCGGAAGAAACGGCGGGAGCGGCGGCTTGGACAGGGGCGCTGGCAGCAGGTGCAGCGGGAATCAGAGGAGCCTCTGCTTCGGGACCGAGATCGCCACGGACCTGCTCGAACATTGACGTTGTCTTTGTCTTCTTTCCGAGCTGCATGCCCTTGCTTCGGGAGGGGAGACCCTTCTGGAAGGACTTGTTCTTCTCGGCGTTGTATGAATCGTAGGTATCGGTGACGGCGGGTTGGGTGGGCGGAGGCGTGTAGGTGGGATATGAAGGAGCACTGGGCATGTTGGCGCGACCGGAACGAGTGGCTTCCTTGCGCTGCATCTCCAGTTGCTTTGCCTTTCTCTTGCGCTCCTCTGTGGCTTCGAGTTCCTTGTTCTAGGCGGGAAGGTCAGTATGCGACGATAGACAGTGTGAGATGGGCAGCATACCCTTGAGATGATGTCCTGGATACGCTCCTCGTGCGACTCCATGTCGAGGAAGGTCTTGATCTGGCTCAGGGTGAGGTTCTCGCGGTAGCCCAGAGTAACCAGCTCATCGAAAGCGCTCAACAGCTCAAAAGCATTGCGCAGAATCTCCCTCTCATCCAAACTTCTGCAGATGCTAGTAACAACCTGGGCGAAGAGGTGCAGCGAGTCGATGTCCTGGAGAATGTTTGATTGACGGTTTGTGATGAGGACCATGTATAGCTCGTCCAGGGGTTGGTACACGAAGCGGACATTGTCCTGCTCGACGGTTGTGTGCTGAGTGCCGCTGTCGGCGAGCTTGGGGAAAGAAGCAAGAAGACCCTCGATTCTGGATCGCTGCATCTCACGGAATTGACGTGAGAGGACGGCCTTGCCGCCGCGCGTGCAGATGGACGCTGCCAGAACAACCTACACCATTGCGTTAGCCACGACTCTGCTCCATCGCATGAACCAAGACTGTCAATATACCATTATGTCGGCAGAGAAATTATGATCGGCGTGTAGAGAAGGACTTGGTGTAAAGAGCGACGGAGTTGTGGTATAGCTCGATGTTATTCGGACCTTAGTTGTCCTCTCCTAAACTTCCCCACGCTTTCTGTCTCCTGCCTGGCCATTCGTCGTCGCTTTGCCAAGGAAAATCCCGCCGGCGTCGCCAAGCCCTCGCAGCCATCTCCGTCGCCGACGCGCACATGCAATTGCAGCCTGCTGGCCGTTTCCGTCATCCGCAACTTCTGCTGCCCGACTTCTTTCCTTCCCTCACCAACACCGCTAAACGCGACGATCGACACTTGCACAGCTATATACACTGTTCACGTCGATATAAGCATATAATCGCGTCTCATATCCAAATTGTCCAACAACTCCCACAAGCTTTCACTCTACACGCGCATCCGCATGTGCATTTGTGTGGCAAGCCGCTAGCCTCGTTCCACCAATCTCACAACACCCCGGTCATTCCTTTGTCCTCTGCGCACAACACGAACCCCCTTGCCGACTTTCCACTTTTAACTACACCAACCCTCAGCCGTCATGGCCACCGCTCTCCAACCCTCCTTTAGTCTACAACAGCCTGAGGATTCCATGGAGATCTCCTCCGAGTATGGCAACATGGACGCCGACATCGACATTGACCTCGACGCCCCCGACGCCGCCGACACAAACATGATGTCTTTCCAACAAGACGATCACCAAATGCAGGAAGATCCAAAATCTGATCGTCCGGACGACGATCTTATGATCGATGACTCTAACCTCGAAGACACGGACCGAATGATGCAAGACGATGCCCTGCCTCCTCAGGAACAAGATGAGGAGCTGCTAGACTTCAGTGAAGACGAGGAAGATGTCCCCATGAACCCTGCAGAACCCCCTCAACCCGAACCCCAGCATGCGCCTCAGCCTGAAGCGCCCATTGAGCAGACTGCCATTCAAGAGGAGCTCATCGAGCAAGTTCGGTCAGAAACTGCAACTGAGCTTCTGACCCAGGGTGTCCAACCCGTCGACAGCGTGGACACCGAAATAGCCCCCGCTCAACTACATCCCCAAGTTGAGGCACCGCAACCCGTGACCGACTCAACCGTGACCAGCCATGAGCCTAGCGACCCCAACCAAGTATCTCTCGATCAGACCGCCCAGTCAGAGGCCCAGTCCCAGGTCCAGAAAGAAGCGCAACCAGTGATCGTCACAGCTTCCGCTGAGCAGGACGACACATATGTGCAACAATCCGTCGTCGAGTCTACTGAAACTCTAAGTGCATCTAACGATAGCCTCGATCAAAGCGTACAAGCTGCTCCCCAGGTCCTCAACGAAGAGAAACACCAAGCAGAAGGTAACGATAACAACGAGACAAGCCTCACTCAAGAAGACGATGATCAATCTGTCCAACGCACTTTAACCCGTCAAGAAACCGATCTCTCGAACTATACTGTTCCTGATGACTACTCTCGCGAGAGACAAGTCAACTCCCCCACCGTGACTGGGCTGCACCCAACTATTGTTGAGTATCAGGAGAATGAGATCTACCTCTTCCCCTCGAGGGACCCTGCTGTACCCGAGCAATATCTATTGCAGAATGAGAACCTTGTGACTACCAGTCTTGGTGACTTGCTTCAAGCTTGTCGCACTGCACTTGCCGATAACATTGGCGAAGATGAAGAGCTGGTCTTGGGTGTTGAGGAGTTGGATCTCTTTGTGAGCGAAGTAAGTTTTGGCTTCCCGAATTCATCTTTGTTACATATGCTAACATCGTGGTTCAGGATTCAACACCCGCCTTTTCTACCAGCTTTTCTGAGCTACTAGACATGTATCTGCAGTTGCACAAGTTTGACGGCAACGATAACCCTCCCCCTTTCCGTGTGTCTTTGTCCACCAAAACTAGATTCAGTAATCGTCTGGCTTCGATCACTCAGGCCATCTCTGAAGGCAAGGGCTTTTCACAGCTTCCCTTCTTACAGTATTACGATTACGACGTACCTACCGAATTGCCTGATGAGGACTTTGACGATGACTTCAATGAGATCATCAAGTCTGATGAACAGCAGCAACTGACCGACGAGGGTGCTTCCGCCGTTGAGAGCGTACAAAGCGCTGTTGATGATCAGCACGTTGCCGAGAAAACCTCAGCTCCAACTGAAGAGCTTCAAACTGGAACAACCGACCCTGCCCAGGAGGGTGAGTATGAAGAAGAAGCATCTGCTCAAGCTGAAATGCCTACCGATGCTGTCGACCAGTCCGAGTACAATCACGATGAGACCCAGTACTTTGACGCGCAAGGCGATGAGTCTGAACTGGTTGGTGAGAGCCATGGTGGTCAAGAATCATCTGACGAAGCCGGAGTCCAATCCAAGATTTCGAATACGCAAGCCGTCGCTGAGGACAGCACTCATATTGACGGTGTTATTGTCGAAGAGACTGCCGACGCCGAACACGTGTCTGAGCACGGTGATGCAGAAGAGTTTGAGCAGCAAGACGAAAAACAGCAAGAGTATGAAGAGAATGGCGAGCAGCACGTGTTCGGCCAGGGCGAATTCTTTGACGAGAACTACGATTACCAAGACGGTGAAGTAAACGAAGATGATAACACGCACGCCGCTGGAGAAGAAGCGTTTGGTGATGAGCATGATCAGGCAGAGCAGGATATCGATGCTTCTGTTGTCGAGCAGACTGCTGCTGCCTCTGCGTCGGTCGAGATTGCTCACGAAAGCGAGTCCGAGACCGGCCACGAAGACGCACAAGACGCTGTGCACGACGAAGACAAAGATGATGCTGATCAGCCCGCCGCATCTGGCGCTGGCACCGAAAACAAGAGTGCTGCAGTATATGAAGCTGCCAATGAAGATGCTGCCAAGCGTCACTCACCTGCAGTCGAGGATGATGACTATGACGAGATCAACTTTGACGATGAGGACGGCTATGATGATGACGGCGCCGAACTCGCGCCCACACTTACAAACACCTCGAGCAAGGCTTCTCCAGGAGGCAAGCGCTCATTCTCTGAGCTTGATCAAGTGGATGATGAGCAAGACAGCAAGAAGGCACGCGCATCATGAGCAAGACCCATCTCAACATGGGTCGCGATACCATCGTACAATACTCGGAAGCATAACTTGCTTAGCGTTTGAGACACTTCCTGGATGAAGTGCACTACAGTCTCAAGGCAAGACGGAAAGTCGACGTCACCCGATCTTCTTACCACCCATACACATCCCTTCGCCTTTGTTTTACAGCATTGCAACGAAACGAAGGAATATTTGCTAATCACTAGGGCCGAAGCGGAATACTAATCATGTCTAATACAGGTCACAAGCCAGGTAAGGAAAAAGGTCATTGCCTTATCTCAAATCTCCCGCATTCATGGATGTAATGGCGAAGAAGAAAGAGACAAAAAGCATGGGCGTCATTTCACGGGAGTTCTGGTTTTGGGTTGAAAAAGAGTGAGGTTCATCGCATGGCCTGAACCTTTGTGGCTGGTTTTCATTTGCGATTTGCGGAAAAGGATACCCCCTTCCCCTGTGCTATAAGTCTGCATTGTTGTTGCTTCCTTCCCTTTCTTTATCCCCTGAGCATCCTTCAGCGCATTCCAAAGTAGCAGAATGCAGACATCTTGAGCTCTACATCATCCTCTTCCAGGCTCTCATGCTGTCATGTCCGAATGGTGAAGCACATGTTTAACATCCCATATATGCATTATCCAATGCCAATGAGAAAACCGACTCTCGCAAATGCTTTGGGTACAAGGTCCCCAGGACATTGAAGAGTCTCTCTTTTAATCCTCCTTCCTCTTCTCCTCACCCTCACCAACACCATCCAAGAAATCCCTACAAGTCTGCACAATAACCTGATGATCCTGCTGCTGCTTCAATCCACTAACCACAATAACCGCCACCACACCCTCCACCCCCTTGACTCTAACCGGGAACCCACCCCCATGAATAGCATACTCCTTTGCCCTCTCCTGCAAGGAATATTTCTCGGCAAAAGCCTTTTCATCGCCCTGGAATTTGTTGTGCATATACCAAGTGCTGCAACCGAAACGGAGCACAGTTGCAGATTTTCTGGCGACCCAAAAGGTATTGTCAGGGGTGATGCCGGGAGATACAGCGGTGTAGAATAGAGGGGTGGTGTTTGCGAGGGTTATGGAGATTACAGAGGGAGAGGCGTAGGTGGAAAGGCGGGAGCGGAGGAGGTTGCCGAGGACCCAGGCGTCTGTTGTTGTGAAGGAGGGGAAGAGGATTGAAGAGTCGATTTGGGAGATTGCTGATAGGTCGGTTGGGGGGTTTGTGAGGGGGTAGGGCGTTGTGTCCGTCATTGTTGCTTCTTTTGTTGGGTGGTCGTGTGTGTGTATAGTTTGTAAAGGTTTTGAGTTTCTTAGTGAATTTGAGGTTAAAGGGAATGTTAGAGGTAGAGCGGTGGATGTTTAGAGGCTGGGAGAGTTGTGGGATTGAAGACGAATGGGATTGAGGTGGGCAGGTATGGAGGATTGACGAATGCGGGCATATGCCATGTGGCGCTGTCGTTCACCGCCTTGGGGCTTGCGGGGCAGAATCTCTTACCTCCGAAGATGTGATAGCCAACGCGGAGGGTCTGCTTATGCAACGCGAACAGACATCCAAGTTGAGGACCGCCTAGAGTCGACCTGTGATTTTTAAGGGTATACTTGGCGACATCTAGAGATCGATCGAAATGCTGTAGTGTATTCTCTCTCCACGAAGATCAGAGTGCAGGAACATTTCTGCCTCGGACTCCATCGGTCGCTGGAGCTGCTTAAAGAAGCCCGTGCGTTCGATAGCGCATTCCCCGAAGCTCGAAGCCATGGATTTTTTCTGAGCGTCCGCGACTTTTGTAACCAATTGACATTTGCGCCTCATACAACAATAACACGGCAATAATGGCACCCATGGACGACGACTTCGTCTTCACAATCTCGGACAACGAGGATGGTTTCGCCGACGAGCTCGAGGAAACTGTAGAGCCCACACCCGTATCGAACAAAAAGCGCAAGCGCGACTCGGATATCGCTGCTACCAAAAAGGACAAGAAGAGCAAGAAGCAGAAGAAAAAGGCACAACAACAACAACAACAACCTGAATCCGAGGATGAGCAGGAACAAGCTATCGATGAGGATCTGGACCCGGAGTTTGAGTTTCAACTTGGAGACGGTACGACGGCGAATATGGACGACTTTGACGGCTGGACCGCACACAATGCGCAAAAGAATGCTGGCAAGCGCCTTGTTGATATCGACGACATTATCGCCAAGCGAAGGCAGGATCAAAAGACTGACGGCGACGCTGCGGCTGGAGATGCTGAAGAGGAGGATGAGTTTGCTGGTCTGAGTGATGGCGAGGATGAGACTCTGGCTGAGGATGCCTTCGGTATGGGTGCTGCTCCCGGTGTCGAGATCAATTCTGAAGATGAAGAGGAGGATGAAGACGAGGACAAGGGAAGTGATGCCGAGAGTGACAGTGGAGCTGGAGACGACTCTGAGGACGAGTCTGTCGCTGAGCATGTCCCTCACCCTGACGACGAGGAGTCAGATGCTGAAGATGCCGAAGAAAAAGAGGACGCTGCAGAGGAGGAGAAACGCATTGCTTTCTTCGCTCCCGAATCGAACATGGACGGCGAGAAGGATCCCTCAGCCAAGCCCGTGGGTTCATTCCAGGAGCTCAATCTGTCACGTCCCATCATCAAGGGCTTGTCATCTGTCGGTTTCGCCGCCCCTACACCCATTCAACACAAGGCTATTCCTGTTGCTCTTCTTGGAAAGGATGTCGTCGGAGGTGCCGTTACTGGATCCGGTAAAACTGCCGCCTTCATCATCCCCATCCTCGAACGCCTGCTCTACCGCCCGAAGAAGGTCGCCACTACTCGCGTTGCCATTCTCATGCCTACTCGTGAATTGGCTCTCCAATGTTACAATGTCGCCGTCAAGCTCGCCAGTTTCACAGACATCACCTTTGGTCAAGCTATTGGTGGCATGAGCTCGCGCGAGCAAGAGGCAGCTCTCAAGCAACGCCCTGATGTTGTCATTGCCACTCCCGGTCGTTTCATCGACTTCATGCGTAACTCTTCCGCCTTCCAAGTCGACACCATTGAGATTCTCGTTCTCGATGAAGCCGACAGAATGCTCGAAGACGGTTTCGCAGACGAGTTGAACGAGATTTTGACAACCATTCCCAAGTCAAGACAGACTATGCTTTTCTCCGCTACCATGACATCCAGCATCGACAACTTGATTCGTGTTGGTCTGAACCGCCCAGTGCGTCTCATGGTAGACAGCAAGCGTCAAACTGTCGCTGGTCTCACCCAAGAGTTTGTCCGTCTACGCCCAGGCAGAGAAGACAAGCGTATCGGCTACCTCCTCCACCTCGTCCACGAATCCTTCAGCACAAAAACAATCATCTTCTTCCGCCAAAAGAAAGAAGCTCATCGCGTCCGTGTAATCTTCGGTCTCCTCGGTCTCAAAGCGGCCGAACTCCACGGCAACATGTCGCAAGAACAACGTATCCTCGCCATCGAAGCCTTCAGAGCCGGCACCGCACACTTCCTCCTCGCCACCGATGTCGCCTCTCGTGGTCTGGATATCAAGAACGTGGATGCCGTCATCAACTACGAAGCGCCCCAGACCCAAGAAATCTACCTCCACAGAGTCGGTCGTACGGCCAGAGCAGGCAGACAAGGTAAAGCGTGCACACTAGCCGCAGAACCCGACCGCAAAGTCGTCAAAGCCGCTGTGAAGACGGCTCGCGGTCAAGGCGCCATCATCAAATCCCGCATCATCGATCCCAAAGTCGCAGATGACTGGTCCCGCAAAGTGGACCTTTTGGCCGTCGAGATTGAAGACGTATTGCGTGAAGAAAAAGAAGAAAAAGTTCTCGCAACTACGGAAATGCAAATGAGACGTACGGAAAACATCATGACACATGAAGACGAAATCCTCTCCCGACCGAAAAAGACATGGTTCGAGAGCGAAAAGGACAAACGGGCCGCCAAAATCAGAGGAAAAGAAGAATTGAACGGTGTGATGACTGCAGGCGCCAAACTCAAGGGCGACCGTAAGAAGTTGTCCAACAAGCAAAAGAAGAAATTGGAGGACAAAGACGAGAGAATGGAGGGTGGAGGTTGGAAAAAGGGAAAAGCGGAGAGAGATGGCAAAGGTGCACTCGAGAAACCTACAAAGGGTAAAGGAGGTAAGAGACCTGGTGGTGGCAAGGGGCCGAGGAAATCAATGTAGAAATATTTGTGTGTCTTCTGTCAAAGGGGATGTAAAAGAGGGTTTTAATTCCCCATGGCTTGTTGACAAAGTTTTTATAGCTCTCATGTTTCCATTTTCCCATTGTTGACGTACGTTCTTCCAGTTCCTTGTGTTGCAGTGGGTTTGGGTCTAGACTTTTATCTTTTAGATATCAGCCTGAAGTCCAAGTCGAACATCATCCCTGAATCCTCTCCTTCGTCTTGTTTGGAAAGATTCAAAAAATAAATTACTTCTTCATTTCGTCACAAGCTCCAGGCGAGATCTGAGCACGGCTCGCTTGGAGTCAAGATATGGATATCGTTACGAGTTTCCTCGAGTTTGCTTTTTTGTGGTTTCCCTTCGTGGTCGGGTTTGTCAATCTCTGCCCTCGAGTGCTCGACGAAAGGAACAGTAGATTCGAGGAACGAGATTCTGCTATCGAGAGGAATGCTATGTCTGAGAAAATGGGACAATACCTCGCGGAGAGCTGTTGCGTTCCTGTCTTCCACAGACAGGTTCCTGAATCGGGAAGGTTTGCATTTTCACTCTGCCGGAAGTTTGCTGTTTGTGACGCTGGCTGCTGTCATGGTAGTGCTTGTAGAAGCCGTAGACTCATCCTTGCAACCGAACCAACCCTTTGTCGAGCATACAGCTTTCGTATTAGACCTTTGATGTTGCGGTCGTTCCAGTCGTTGTCGTCTCATCCCGACAACCCCACCATGCTGGCGTAAGACATGTGGGAGTGCTAGTAGTAGTAGTAGTAGCAGTTCGTGACGTTGAGATGGCTAGGGTCGTAGAGCTACTGGTTGCAGTCCTTGTCTGATTACCCTCAAAGTAAGTCCACTCGCCACAATCCGAGCAATCGAGGTCCCGTTTGCAGGTTGGAGTTGAGTTGTATCTCTCGATAACATCCTTGATCACGACACCTATTCTGTGGTTGGTGATAGACACACCCCAGCCGAGATCACCAACAGTGTCATAGGTGCAGTTGTAACCCGTATGGCACTTGCTCTCGAATGCGTAACCTGCGAGCGTGCAAGCCGAATCGAATTCATTGCAGCTGCCAACATACACTGGATCGGCAGTGTGGCCAAAATGATAGATGCCCGAGTGATGTTGAACTCCTTGGCTTCCGATACGGTGGCCAGGCGGTGTAGGCAGACCGAGCCGATGGGCAGCAAGGGCATCTGGAAAAGCCTCGTAGGTAAGTGTTGGAAGACCAAAGGTTTGTCCAAGAAGCGCAGACACAACGCCGCCAAGAGAGTGTCCCGTCAGCCATATATCTGCATTCGGATATAATGCTGTGACGTTATGGTAAAGGTGTCGAGCCGCGTGATAATAGTTGCTCTTCTTTCGGAGACTCTGAACAAGACAAGTCGAGTCGCAGGTAAGTGTCGATGTCTGGCAATCACAAACCTTCTTCCAGGCATATTGACCACCTTGACCACAACAGCAACTTCCGAACAAATTATCATTGAGGAGGTCATGATCCGTAGTCTCGGTACCGTCGAAGAAGGCTAGAGAAGTGCCCTTGAGGCCAATGATCACAGTCTTGTTCTCAGTGTCGGCAAAGATATGGCCGCGCAATCCATCGGTCTCCCATCCGAAGTCTTCGGTGTAGTTGAAACCTCCACCAACATCGACCCAGTCGCCCTTGCGAGGCAGAGTGACGTATGCATTTGCAGCCATGTGAGCAAAAGCTAGAACAGTCTCCTTGTCAGTAACATTAGGGCCAGGGATCTTGTCAACCGTCCAGGCTTCTGGTGAAAATGACAAGGCTTCTCCCTGGAGTTCTCCTGCTTTCAGTATGCCATCGACAACATGCTGCCGACGGTCGGAGAGGCGTTGGATGGTTAGAGCATTTGATCGAACATGAAACGATGACTGTATAGGGATTGGCTCTCCGTCACTCTCATATGCGAGTACCGTATTAGGTCTGATGTCGATCCGGCGGTGAAGACTGGGATAGCGATGAGAGCCTTTATGGTAGATATGTCTCAATGTCTACAAATGAAGGGTCAGTCTGATCTGAAGGAGTCGATGACAGTCTGAAGCGAAACATACAAACTCGTGCTCTCCTCCGTAGCTGTAGTCATCTGTAGGCAGAAACGGTAGTTGGATGTTAGCTCGATTGCTTTCCGGGGTGGCGATTGTGAGCTTGCAAGTGTATAGCCACAGAATCGACAAGACCACCACGGGACTGACTTTAGAACGCATTGCTGATCTTTTCTATATTGGGCAGGCAAGACGGATAGTAAGTATGTCTCCGTACAGCAAGCTGGATGTTGTGAGAGATTCTGCGGGTGGTGGTGGTATGCGGAACAACCTGCTTAGTAAGCCACAGTGCCAACGTCCCGAAGCGTTACCAAGCCTCTCGCGGCATCACGTTCAGCGTATAGCCAGGTCAGCGCACCACAGTGGGATTGGCGCTATCACTGGACCGGCTGTTGGTCAAGTTCTACCACATCTTGACACTAGGTTCCTTCATGTTACTGCATGATTTTCGTAGCAGAACCATGTCCCCAAAGGACAAAGTCATCTGTGTTTGGACCTGCCAAACTTCTTACTCCACCCCAAATAACTCATTGACACTGAACATGTACGGCCAGGCTCTCAAGATGATACGGAGGGCATACTAAGGAATCACTGCCTTCATCATTACCCATGTGCCATGATGCTCGTGATCGATCAAGAGCGACTCCCTGACTTCTGTCGAGAGGCTAAGCAGACCCCCGTTGACGTAAGAACAGTTTAAGGGTCAAACAACCAGACAATCGTCGCTATCATGCATCGGTGTTGGGTTGGTCCTGTCGCGCTTTGTGTGTATGCTACCGCTTGTAATCCCTGCGCTTGCCACGCGCTTGCAAAAGAGAAGCGAGAAGATTGTTTATGTTGTTCTTGGAAGTCGTACGTGAGATGTCGGTATAATCGGCTGCCGACATCTGTTGCTTTTTGTGACAGGACTGGACGAGATTGGTCGAGATGTGGTTGCTGCATCGCCGCGGCATGATACAACAGGCCGTGGAATCTAGACACAGCCCAAGAACTTACGGAGTTCAGCCCGGCATGCAGTACACGGGTCAGACGTGCAGGTCGGTCGTAGTAAATATACGTCGAGCTGCTTACGAGCTGACATCAGGAAGGTCCGGGATCCAGACGTCACAATGTCTATCTCGGACCGAGTCGCTGGCAACTGTTTTCATCCTTAGTAGGATAGCGAAACCGACGCCTGGCGAGCGACCACAGCTCTGAGAATACTTCTTCGAAGTATGAGACAATTCGAGTGGTAAGTTGGGTAATGAGAGAAATCGGCATCGGCATGAGACTTGTGGCGGCAGATCGGAACCCCACTTGCTCATCCGCTGGTAATACTCAGCCGCATGAGTGAGGAGAGGACATTCGGAACTTCGAGGTAAGAATAGTAAGACGGTCGATGTCCCATCTTCTCATCATCTTTCCTTCTCCTAACTCATCGACCTCGAGCTGCTTTTTCTTTGAATCTGATCGACCTATAAAATTTGTGTAGTCGTGTTGAGCCTGATCCTGGTTGATGATGGTTGTCGCTCGTCAAGAGCCCGCATGGGTGGCGCGCAGCTCTTACTATGCGTCGCTCTACTCGGCCCAGCAAGCTTCGCCGACCGCCACTGAAAAGTTCGACAATGATGACGACCAGCAGCCGAATGATAGCAGTGGATTCAATGACAAAGCTGGATCTGTGTTCTCTGCAGCAACGGATCTCGCTTTCCGACCCACGACAGCGACATTGGAAGGAGGTGCGAAGACGATGACAAGTCTCTCGGACTCTAACGTTCAGTCGCTGACAAGCACCGGAGTCGTCTCATCAACAGCGGTAGACTCTGTAATGCAGTCTCTGACCACACCGAGCATGACGACCAGTATGACGTCGAATCAACCAGGAGGGCAGTCTGTTGGGGGTACATATGCCCCATCTGCCATTAACACTGCAAGCTCTTCCGGAACCAATGTGGCAAGCTTGACTCCCAGTCTCGACACGCAGCGAAAGGCTCATCACGGACCGAGCACTACCGTCATCGCAGGCGTTGTCATCCCGATAGTACTCTTACTGGCAAGTGGTCTTGTGGCATTGACTTGTCTGCGTAGACGACGAAGACGTGTAGCTGTCTTGTCTACTGACGGGATCGATACCACCGATAACATCGTCTCCATCAACGTAGCCAGGCCCATGGCAATGGTAGAGAAGGTTGCCGAGAAGAAGGTCAATGTGGGTAGTCCTTCGCCAAACTTGACGACGACCATGCTATCACCTATTGATGAGGCAATGGCAACGCCGCAGCACCCTCGGCCGATCATCACTTCGCCTCAGAATCCGACTTACTTCACTGGCTTGGACACCTTCTCGGTGCACTCTGCGGCGACATCGGAGGACCCTCCACCACCCTACAGAGCGCGGAGTATGCTCAGCCATACATCGTCTCAGCGGCGTCAACCCAGTATCACGACGACAGTAGCTGCTCTGGCGCCAGCCTCGCCGATATCACCTGCTCATCTTGCCTCGCCGTTTTCCGATGCCAATACGGTGGGTGTGAGCAGGTCACCTTCTCAGAGATCATTTGCAAGCACTCTATACTCAGAAACCGCTAGCGTGTACGAGGCACGAGCTGCAAGACGAAGTACAGGACCGGCAGAGTACACGATTAATCGAACATTGTCGACAGGGGATGATGTAAGGGTGAGGTCGCCGTTCGAGGATCCGGAGGATGCAAGTGACGCTGAGCGATCCAATGAGGATAGGAGTCGTTAACACCAGCGAGTCCTTGTCTACCCTTTGTGCGCACGTACATGGCTTGGTTGAGCACCGGCGTCTTTTGCCTCGATTTGTGAAAGGAAATCGGGCGATCTTGGATTCTCTTGAAAGCTTTTTGCACATTGATGATATATAGTATGTGTTATGACAACGTGGTCGTGATGAAGACTTTTTGCTATCATCGCGTGGGCAGAGACTTTCTAGGCGCGAACGCAACCTCTTCGGGGAGGCGGAATGAAGCACAAAACATTCTCTTCTTCGGCGCAACATCTCTGACATCGAAAATGCTGAGCTCTGGCGTCTGGGGTGTGACTTCGTATCCGATCTGTTCAGAGATTCTCTTGCAGATGTTGATACCTTCCTGCACGTTGTCGTCGCTCTTTGTGTCAAAGCAGTAGACGTGAACCATAGGCAACTTGAAGTCTGCGGGAAGCAGCTTCCTGTCTTCTTCAGTGTATAGGCCAATGAACGCCGGCAAAAACTCGATAGCGCTTGCAGGCAGATTCATAACGTAGTGCGAGAATGTCTTGGGCTGTTTGACGGTCTTCAAAACCTTGGGTGAGGCTCCGGTCGTCTTGGCTTCTGTACGAGATTGTTTTGCAAAGATCTGCACCTCGTGTTTTGTCTTCAGAAGCTTACGAGCGGCTTCCTTGATAAAGACATGACCGTCGTCGTTGAAAGGCTTCACGAACTGGCCGACTTTGTTGCGTGTGATGGCATCAAGCATGCTGGTATGACTGTCTGGATTGAGGTCGTTGGCCCAAACGAACACACCCTTCTTGCCTGCCGGGACCGCGAATGGCCCGATGCCGGCCATGACATCGCACACAGCCTCCCCTTTGCCGAAGGCATCGACAAGTCGCTGATGCTCTGTATTCAGTCTGCTGTTCCAGTACACCTTTGCGTAGTTGAATTTGAATGTGCAGTCGGCTTCACGGATCTCAACGTCCATGTCGTCAGGCCCGGCAAGGACTTCGTACTTGAAGGTACGATATTCGCTCTCCTCACCAACATCGTCGACCTTGTTTATAACGGTCCGCACACCAGGATTCTTGTCGATCAGCATCTCACCGATGATGTTCTTGTGAGGCATGTACTGATCGCGAAGATTCAGATGAGCAACGTGGCCAACGAGGGTGAAACCGGACGGAATCTCGTCGTGTTCCTCGCTCTGAGGAAGTACAGCACTGGCAATGTCCTCTATTTGGGATTAGTAAGTGTGCGATAGTGATTGAGCTCGAACGTACGATAGTCCCAGTAGTCGTAGTCCAGACTGATCTCGTATGGCACGACCTTGATCATGTTTGACTTTTCCATCTCCGAAACAGTTTTACTCCAAGGATAGTCGGCGCCTGAGAAACGATTAGATAATGTCGTGACAGAGCGAGAACCATGCATCCTCGCCTTTATCATCGATCTGCGGTCTAAGCAGGATACATTTCTTTCCAACTTTCGCTTCAGACTCCACAGGATCAGGTCTGACGATTTGATACCTTTCTAGGAGCAATGCATCCTTGGAGCGGAAAAGCTCGGCCCTGCATTTCGAAATAGTCTTGTTGTCGACGACGCGAGCTGCAGAGATTGGGATTTTCTTCTGGAAGAAGGAGCGATCCAAGACGCGCATGGCGCGGTTGACAGGTGGTCTGAACATATCCTCGGCCATTTGTTGTATTTTCAGTAGCAAGTGTGATATGTCCGGTGGTATATTATCAATGTCTTTCACATGCTTGGAGCAGATGAAATTGTTTGCAAGGTTTGTTCGTCTGGAGACAGAGCTGTGGCTGAGGTTGAAGCGTGGCTGAGTGACGCAGTGTGGCGTGTGGGGGAAGGTGCGTAGTGCTTGACTTGTTGCGCGTGGGTAATCAAATGAGCAGACAACCATCAACAATCTCGCCATGCCGTCCACCCTTTGGCGCAACCAATTCTTATCCTGGTCATAATCCCTACGCGACTCACTAATCTCATCACACCGCCAACATGGCGCTGGGCGGTGGAGGCAATATCAAGGTGGTGGTGAGAGTGCGCCCTTTCAACAGTAGAGGTAATTCCCCTATGCGTGCAGCCAACCGCTCCGACTCAGGACTGACCGTCTCGCTCACTAGAACTCGACCGTAAGGCACAATGCATTGTGCAGATGAAAGGCGAGCAGACGGTGCTCTCTCCACCGACAAATACAGCCAACAAGAACGTAAAGGCAGCAATTGACGGTTCAAAGACATTCGCTTTCGACAAGAGCTACTGGTCCTTCAACAAGAAAGACGCTAGCTATGCTGGACAAGACAATCTGTTTGACGACCTCGGAAAGCCGTTGCTGGACAACGCCTTTGGGGGTTACAACAATTGCATCTTCGCCTATGGCCAGACGGGTTCGGGAAAGTCCTACTCGATGATGGGCTACGGTCCGGAGGAGGGTGTCATCCCCAAGATTTGCAGAGCTATGTTTGAGCGTATCGAGGAAGCTCAACGAGACAGCAATCTGAACTGCACCGTCGAAGTGTCTTACCTCGAGATCTACAACGAGCGCGTCCGAGATCTGCTCAACCCTTCGACAAAGGGAAATCTCAGAGTCCGCGAACATCCCTCGACCGGTCCATACGTTGAAGACCTCGCCAAACTCGTCGTCCGATCCTTCGCTGAGATTGAGCATCTCATGGATGAGGGCAACAAAGCCCGTACTGTCGCTGCCACAAACATGAACGAAACCAGTAGTAGATCACACGCCGTCTTCACCCTCACATTGAGTCAGAAACGACATGACGCGGACACGGGCATGGACACAGAAAAGGCCGCCAAGATCTCGCTGGTCGATTTGGCTGGTTCGGAAAGAGCTCAGTCTACAGGCGCAACAGGCGCAAGACTCAAGGAAGGCGCCGAAATCAACAGATCTCTGTCTACACTTGGTCGTGTCATCGCCGCTTTGGCCGATCTCTCTAGTGCTAAGCCTGGCGCGAAGAAGAAAAACGCTTCCATGGTCCCCTATCGTGACTCGGTCCTCACATGGCTGTTGAAGGATTCCTTGGGCGGCAACAGTATGACTGCCATGATTGCTGCTATCTCACCCGCCGACATCAACTTCGATGAGACGCTTTCGACTCTTCGCTACGCAGATTCGGCCAAGCGCATCAAGAATCACGCTGTTGTGAATGAAGATGCCAATGCTCGCATGATAAGAGAATTGAAAGAGGAGCTTGCCCAATTGCGCTCAAAGTTGACAACTGGTAGTGGGGTAGGTGAAGGTGGCGCCATCGCGAGCGAGCAGTATCCGCCAGACACTCCTCTAGAGAAGCAAATGGTCTCCATCACACAGACCGATGGTTCTGTCAAGCAAGTTTCGAAGGCCGAAATTGTTGAGCAGCTGGATCAGTCCGAAAAACTTTACCAGGACTTGAACCAGACCTGGGAGCAGAAGCTACAAAAGACGGAGCTGATCCATAAAGAACGAGAAGCCGCCCTGGAAGAGCTTGGCATCAGTATTGAGAAAGGCTTCGTCGGTTTGTCAACGCCAAAGAAGATGCCACATCTTGTCAATTTGAGTGACGACCCGCTGCTAGCTGAGTGTCTAGTCTACAACCTTAAGCCTGGCACGACGACTGTTGGCAATGTGGATACAGCAAAGACAGCAGAAATCAGACTCAATGGTTCCAAGATCTTGCATGAGCACTGCACGTTCGAGAACGAGGATGACGTAGTCACTGTCGCCCCGAGGGAGAATGCGGCTGTTATGGTCAATGGTCAGCGTGTTGACCAGCCTAAGAGACTGCGTAGTGGCTACCGCATCATTTTGGGCGACTTTCACATCTTTCGTTTCAATCATCCACAGGAAGCTAGAGCGGAAAGGGCGGAAGCAGGAAGTCGACTGAAACAATCAATAACAGCGGATGAGATCGGTGACCCCTCATCACCCTCGCCTTCCGTCAGCCATAGTCACGATCGCTCGTGGAGCAATGTCAGTAGGCTGAATCCTGACTATGACATGGACTCACGAGGCAATTCACCAATGCCCATGCGCAGTCTGAGTGGTCGCGAAAATGACTACGATCTCGCGCGACGAGAGGCAGTATCGTCAATGCTCGGCTCAGATCAGAAGATTTCAGCTCTTACAGACGACGAGTTGGACAATCTATTTGACGACTTGCAGAAAGTCAGAGCTGTTAGAAGAGGTAGACCGGAAAGCCGGCTGTTTGACCTGAACGAGGATGATTCTGACTCGGTCAGCTCATTCCCTGTCCGAGAGAAATATTTGTCCAACGGGACGCTGGAAAACTTCTCGCTCGACACTGCTCTGACGATGCCGTCAACGCCGCAAGACGACGAAGAGGATGATACACTACGTGCAGCGAAGGAGGGCTTGCAGCGGGAACTCGAACGACAAAAGGAAGAATACCAGGCACAGATTCAGTCCGCTCAAGAAATGAACGTCGAGGTGGAGACAATACGTGCCGAAAAGACCAGAATGGAAGAAAACCTTAGAGCCGTCAAGGAAGACATGGAGAAACGACTCCAAGCACAAAAGGACGAATACGACCGCCAATTGAACGAGCTACGGAATACGACCGCGCCTCCTATTGATCGGAAAACCGGTCTGACGGAGAAGCAGCTCTCTCTTGTCAAGTCGTGTATTCAACACTGGCGTCAGCAAAGATACGTCGCTATGGCTGCTGCGCTTCTGCAGAACGCGGCAACTCTGAAGGAAGCCCAAGTCATGAGTCAGCAGATGGACAAGAACGTTGTCTTCCAGTTCACCGTTGCCGACGAGGGACACACCTATGGATCATCCTATGATTTGGTGTTGAGCGACATCACTGCTGACGATGACATGGCATTGCACAGTTCTCGCAAGCCTTGCACTGCCGTCCGAGTCATTGATTTTAAACACAACGTTGTATATCTGTGGTCATTACACAAGCTACGCGCTCGTGTGCGTTTGATGCGCCAGGTTTTCCAATACATGGATCGGCCAGAATATATTAAGCATTTCCGTCTGGACAATCCATTCTCGGAATCATGTCTACCACAGTACACCAGAATCGGAGATGCTGACATCTCCTTGGCTGCCGTGTTCGAGTGTCGAGTTCAAGATTTCACTCTCGATGTATACTCACCGTATACTAATACAATGGTTGGCATCGTCCGGTTGTCTCTCGAGCCGTCGTCAGCCGAGGCACCCTCGTCAACATTGAAGTTTAATGTGGTGATGCACGACTTTGTGGGCTTCTCGGAGCAAGAAGGAACCGAGGTGCATGCACAGCTCTTCTTCCCTGGTATATCTGAGGAGGATGGCGCATCCACAACGCAGATACTTTCAGACTTCGACGAGGGTCCAGTACGATTCGACAGCGTCCACAGTATGAGTCTTCCACTCGCAAGTCCACGCGACTCGTGTCTCAGAGTGTCAGTGTTTGCCAGAGTTACCGGCACTCACTTGGACAAGCTACTCAGCTGGGATGATATGCGCGATTCCGCAGCTCGGCCTCAACTCAAGCGCAACAACTCCCGGATAGCAGAGCATGAATACTACAACGAAGAAGGTCATGATGTCTTCGCGCGTATCCAGGTACTCGAAATTGGAGAAGACGGCTCCTATAAGCCTGTCGAGGTTATCCAGAGGAATATTATGGATCCTGGCGTTTATCAGCTTCACCAAGGACTCCAACGTCGACTTTCGCTCAACCTGATACATACATCAGGTAACATTCTTCCACTTCAGGATGTAACATCGTTGCGAATCGGCAACGTTCACCTAATAGATCCATCAGGCAAGGTGCCAGATCTAAGTTCACAGCAGAGTGACGTGACACTAACTCCTGCATCGCCTCCGGTGATTCGCACAAACTCTGATGGTACAACTAACATTCACATCATCACTCACTGGGACTCGAGCTCTCATGAATCCTTGCTACTCGACAGGCCAACAGCAGATGGCTACTGTGTCAAACTCTCCTTCGCTTGGACTATGGTGTCGCCCAAACTTGCAGAGCCGATAGAGTTCACTACAGATTTGGCTGTGCAGATGAGAGGACGGTCCTTCATGCGCCAAACATCACTGTTCTCGTCGCTTTTCAGTTCGTCACGTATTGTTCGTTCAACCAGCGGCACCTTCTCCGTCACGGTCAAGCCAATACCCTCTAAGCGGGCAGGCGATCTGTGGCGACTCAGCACATCAAACACGCACATCAAAGGCGAAGAGCTACTCCAAGGTTGGTCGCCTCGAGGAGTTTCATTGATACACGACTTTATCGACAGCCGATCGAGTAAGCGAAAGATGGCCGAGGTTGACGCCGCACGAGGTGCATTAAGCTCTCACAACCTCTCTCTGGACGCATCGGACAGAAGAGCGCCAGAGACGCCAGACGAGCGACAGAGTCACCTAGTGAAGAAGATACTTGCTCTGTGGAAGGCCGACCTAGCCATTGGCAAAAAGATTCTTACGGAAGAAAACACAGACTCGCCTCGCAAAGGCGCTGCATTTGCCTCTTCGATAAACGGCACAGGTATGCCTCTGTCACTTGCGACAGTCCATTTCATATCGAAGAATCCATCACTACTCAAATCGGGGTACCTCCTGACTCCTGATCCATCCGCCCGCACGCCTTCACGCTGGATCCGTCGCTACGTCGAGCTTCGTCAACCCTATTTGCATATCCACTCAGCCACTGCAACGGAACACGAAGAAATCGGTGCCATTAATCTAAGCTCTTCTCGCGTCGATGCAGCACCTCAAATCGCGAAGCTGTTGAGACGTGATGGAGGCACACTCACGGCTGTTGGTAGACACGGCGTCCCGGCAGTCGCGGCTCCGGAGAATGTGTTTGCCGTGTATGGGAGTACCAAAGCATGGGTATTTGCTGCAAGAACTGAGAGAGACAAGAGCGAATGGATCTTTGCGATTGACAGAAGCTATTTTGGCCCTGAAGGGTTTGAGGATGACGGGGACGAAGACGAAGGATACTGAACCAAGGGCAAGGTTGGATAGCAAGCTTGCCTCAGATTTTGAAACGGCGGCACTTGAAGTTGCAGGATGGCAATGTGTTGTTTGACTTTTGTACGAGATACCCTTTTTAGTTATTGTCTGCCTATAGCATGATGGTAACGGCTGCAGTCAACGTTTCTGCCTGGTGTAATGCGGGGCTTGCAAGGCACCCGAATTCCTTATCTCGCCTGCGCTATAACACGAAAAGAAATCACATCGCTTGACATATTGCGAGTGGCTTACTCCAGCCCTCTCTAGTTTTTGATTTCAATACCAAGTAAGCGACCGGCGCCCTGTCGCGACTTCAATCGTTACATCAACAAGAGACTCTGGCTTGGAAGCATCGAGCCTCAATTGCGCCTTCCTTAAGCCTCGGCTACCGCACAATGCCGTTCGATACAGGACAAGGCCATCTTTTCGACTTCAACCATGTCGACTTCGATTTCAATATACAATTCGAACAACTGTTCCTCTCGTTATTGCCTTCTGTTCTATTCATCGTTGCATCATCATGGCGAGCCCTTTCTCAGCTCCGGAAGCCTACACTAGTAGAGACATCACTCTTCCAATGGATCAAATTGGTACTTGACTATATATACAGCTCGCATCAATATCACCTACAGCTGACCAACGGGACTTATTTAGGGCGCCATTGGCGTATATCTATGTCTTGAGCTTGCACTCCTCGTATTAGCAGCCTCTTCTGGCTTCCAAGCTTCCAGCGTCTTCCTGGCGTCGTCGGTCCTCAAGGTCGTCTCGGGTTTGGCAATGATCGCGCTCAGTCTTGCCGACCATAACAAGAGCCCCAGACCATCCATTCTACTCGCCATCTATCTATCATTGACCCTTTTGCCCGATGCAACTCAAGCAAGGACCTTATTTCTATCCTCAGACAACAAGTCTGAGATCACATACAGCAGCATTTTCTGCACGGCTCTAGCTTCGAAGATTCTGATACTCTTCCTTGAAGCCAAGAAAAAGACTGACTGGCTAGACTGGGATAGGAAATTTCATAGCCCTGAAGAAGTTAGCAGTATTTTCTCTCTTGGAGTCTTTGCCTGGCTCAACAAGATGTTCCTTGATGGCTACCAGGGTATCTTGACAATAGACGACCTATATCCTCTTGACAGCGCTCTCAATGGGGAGACGACACATGGAAACTTCTCTACATATCTGGACTACTCCAAGATGAAGGATGAAAAGTATGGTCTCGCCAAGGTCCTGCTACGCATACTTAAAGGTCCATTTCTCCTCCCTGTGATCCCACGCCTAGCGCTTCTTGCGTTCACCTTCTGTCAGCCATTGTTCATCGAGAGTCTTCTGGACCATCTCTCGCAATCTGAGCTGGACGCAAATGTTGGCTATGGTTTTATTGGGGCCAGTGTACTTATCTACTCGGGTATTGCCATCTCGACGGCACTCTACTGGTACGCTGGGTCCTTAGTACTAGCAGAGCTTGGCTGATTCATGATACTAGGTACTCTTATCATCGAATGCGCGTCATGGTGAGGTCCATACTGGTCACAGAAATATATCTCAGGACCACACAGGCTCGTCTCGGCTCCTCCAAGGACAGCGCAGCAGTAACACTGATGAGTACTGACATGGAACGCATTGATCTTGGTTTCAGATCTTTGCACGAGACTTGGGCCTGTATGATCCAGGCCGCTCTCGCCAGTTGGTTATTGTATAAACAGATAGGCGTCCTCTTTGTCGCCCCAATAGGTGTCGTACTTGCCTCCTTCGCCGTACTCATGGTCTCCATGAAGTTCGCCGGTGACTCTCAACGATCCTGGATGGCTGGAGTCCAAAAGCGTGTTGGCTTGACAGCAACAGTTATTGGCAGCATGAAAACTCTGAAGCTATCAGGGCTTGCTGGCGCTGTGAGCGATTTTATTCAGGCATTACGCGTCGAGGAACTCGCTGCAGGCTCCCGTTTCCGCAAATTATCCATCGTCGCGGCAGTTCTTGGCTTCTTACCGCTCTTGATCAGCCCCCCCTTGACCTTTGCGTTCACACAAAGAACACTGAACGTATCGAGGATCTTCACCAGTCTCTCATATCTGACGCTCCTGACTTCCCCGTTGGCCATGATTTTCCAGGCAGTCCCTCAACTTCTGTCCGGTTTGGCCTGCTTAGGCCGAGTTCAGGCTTATCTGGAGTGCGAAACACGCGTGGACTTCCGTCGCATGAATGTTAGACAATTTCAGAGCCCCGAGAAGACAGCCAATAATCCCGAGGCCGCTTTCGACTTGCAATCTGATTCACAATGGGCCATCGTAGTCAGAGACGCAGCATTCGGCTGGGAAGTAGACAAGAACATTTTACAGCACGTAAGTGTGAACATCATGAAGTCAACTCTCACGATCGTGGTTGGGGCCGTTGGTACAGGAAAATCCACATTCTGTAAAGCACTACTCGGCGAGATTCCATATTTCGCTGGCGATATCACGCTAAACACTCATACCTCACACTTCGGAGTATGCGAGCAGACTGCGTTCCTCTCTAACGGCTCAGTCCGGGAGAATATCATCGGCTTTTCTCCTTACGACCATCAGCGATACGAAGAGGTCATTCATGCCACTGTGCTAGCTTTCGACATAGACACACTCCCACAGGGCGATGCGACAAACATTGGCTCGGACGGCATAACACTATCGGGAGGTCAGAGACAACGCGTTTCTCTCGCCCGAGCACTGTATCTCCACACAGATCTACTTGTACTTGACGACGTGTTCAGTGGACTAGACGCGGGCACCCAGGAAAAGGTCTTTGACCGAGTCTTTGGACCCTGCGGCCTTGTCCGTCGAAGGAGTACAACTGTCGTACTCTGTACGCACAGCATCAATCATTTACCAGTGGCAGATCATATCATAGCCTTAGGAGATGGCACTGTTGTGGAGCAAGGTGATTTCAGGAAACTCATGACCAACAATGGTTATGTCCAACGACTGCGCTTATGGGATGCTCCAAAGCATCAAATTTCAGCTGCAACATTTTCGACTGAACAAACGACGCGATCAAAGCCATCTCCTCTTTCTGAGCCGAATCTAAAATTGGTATCTTCGACGCCCAAGAATGATGCTTTACGACAAAGCGGCGATAAAACTGTGTACAAACACTACCTCAAAAGTATGGGATGGATTTTGGCATCGCTTGGAGTATTATCTTCAGCTCTTTGGGGCTTCTTCACAAATTTTCCAACAATTTGTTAGTTCTCGAGTCATCCGGACATGCTCTTGATCATCGTTGCTTACATCTAATCTCAGGGCTCACGTACTGGGCGAACGACGTTTACAAAACTGAACCTGACCACACTTGGGCATTCTATGCTGGCTTGTATGCATTCTTCCAAGTCTGCGGACTGCTCTCGCTCCTTACGCTCGGTCTCGTCATTATCATTGCCTCCGTGCAACGGGTAGGGGCAAGTATGCATAAAGATGCTCTGCAGACACTGGTCAGAGCACCATTGAGTTTCTTCACTAGTACAGACACAGGAATCGTCACGAATTTCTTCTCGCAGGATCTGAATTTGATCGACACAGAGTTGCCGAGTGCATTACTGAATTTTCTCTTTGCTGTGAGTGTCTCACGGCAACAAAACAACTCGTCTTTATACCAAACAAGAAATTCCCGAGTACTGACCTCTCCGTGTAGACTTTTTCGGCGATCGCTCAAGCAGCGATCATGCCCACCTCATCTCCATACATGGCCATCAGCTATCCATTCCTTGCTACACTGCTATACGTTGTGCAAAGATTCTACCTGAGAACTGCCAGGCAACTACGCTTGCTTGATCTAGAGGCCAAGAGCCCTCTTTAGTAAGTATCCTGATGATCTTATGGCTGTTTGACTACTGAGAACCCCGCTGTGCTGTGCTGACTATTCTGTTTTAAGTACACATTTTCTCGACACCGCAAAGGGGATAACCACAATAAGGGCATTCGGTACGTCGATCCTCTACGATGTGGGGACTGAATGTTAGTAGATAAAATACTGATGTTATCAACCACAGGCTTCCTCACTGAGGAAACCAACAAAAATTCGCGTCTGGTCAACGACAGTCTTCGTCCTGCCTATCTTCTTGTCATGGTTCAACAATGGCTTACTTTGGTGCTCGATGTTGTCGTCATGATCTTGGCTGCAGTACTGACTACCCTCGCTGTCCGACTTCACTCAAATTCTGGATTCACCGGTGCAGCTCTTGTCACCCTCATGAGCTTTGGAGACAGTATGTCAAGTATTGTCATCTTCTACACGAAACTGGAAACATCAATCGGAGCCATCTCTCGACTCAAAGTGTTCAGCGAAACTGTACAGCCCGAAGATAAGCTTGACGAGGATGTCGATCCTCCTGTTCAATGGCCACAATCTGGGCGGATATCTCTGAATGATGTGTCTGCTAGCTATGCGTGAGTATGGCCAATATTTCCAGTAGGTGCAGATGATTAACACTTCTGCAGTGGTACCGACGACTTGAGCGAAGGCAACTACACCTTAGCTTTGCAAAACATTACGCTCAATATCAGTCCAGGAGAAAAGGTCGCCATCTGCGGTCGTACTGGTAGCGGAAAGTCTAGCTTGATGGCACTCTTTCTCAAGCTCCTCGATGCCACTTCCAGCACTTCGGCCAATATCATCATCGATGACATCCCACTATACAGAATCAAAAGGCCATCGCTACGTCAACGCATACTGGCCGTACCACAAGAAGCTGTATTCCTTCCCGATGGCACGACTTTCATGGCAAATCTGGACCCTCTAAATGTTGCCACTATTGGAGATTGCCAGTCTGTACTCGAATCAGTTGGCTTGTGGAACTACGTTCTCGAGAAGGGCGGTCTGACCGCACCTCTGTCTGCAGGCACCCTAAGCGCTGGCCAACGCCAACTCCTCTCCCTCGCCCGAGTCCTCATCCGTAAGCGAGATCGCACAGTTCAGGGTGCCGAGGGCGGTATCTTACTTCTCGATGAGGTCAGCTCGAGTGTTGATCACACAACTGAGAGACTCATGCAAGAGATCATCGACGCTCAGTTTACGAAGTATACTGTTGTCGCTGTGAGTCATAGGCTGGATATGATTATGGACTTTGACAGGGTTGTTGTTATGGACAAGGGAGAGATTGTTGAAATTGGACAGCCGCGAACATTGGCAGAGCAGGAGAGTAGCAGATTCGGCGAGTTGGTGAGGGCGAGTGCGTAGGGTCGGTCTCCATACCGAGATGTAACAGATGCAAAAACTTTTGAACCCCACTTACAAATTACCCTGAGGCAAGGAATGTCTTTCCGGCAAAATAATGATGTAAGGGATTCACTTCTAACTTCATATATAAGTATGCTTGTTTTGCTTGTGAGAAGCTAGGAGAGTCAACGTCGACGTATCCGACATCGCGACGCGGGTCGATAAATCCGTAGGACCTGTTAGCACTCCGCATCTCGTAACAGACCGTGATTGACATAATAGGAAGCTGCGATAGTACGCGATGCATGAGAGACTAGTAGGGGTGGCAAGACAATACCCCGTGGAACGTATCGAGGTAAGAGCCAGGTTACTGGCTTGACAAAATGCATGCTGTCTCTCGTATCTCGTGAAAGTTAATGGGTAGGCGACATGAACTGCTGCAACGAGACGCAATACAAGAGAGCTAGTAGAGTGTATGGGAAGGTGTTGGCCGTTAGCGGGAAACGATGTATATACTTCGTAATAGAGTTCAAAAAAGATTTGAGCAGTCCAGGTTAATGGTCTTTTGTCAAAACCGGCCTCGCTAAGACTATCCGCAGGCTCTCTTGGACGTCTCTGAAGGCGTCTGATGTGGTTTTCTAGCGAATTGACCGAGTCAAAATTGTACTGAACTTCAAGCCAGGATTCATCTTCCTGCGCATCACAATGGCCGGTTAGTCTGAGATGTTCTAACCCTGTTGAGCATTGAAGTAGCTTTATCAACACAGACTTGTCAAATTGTCTGGCCCATCGTCATGGTCGGTCAAGGAAGCGGAGACGGACAACATAGATCGGCTTGCAGCAGAGTCCTGCGGCGCGTATCGACAGGCAGCACTTGAAGGGCCGCCCTTGCTTTTGTGCTAACTTGGACACGTACAATCGTTGTCCAGCAAAATTCACGATCGGTTAGCAGTGATTTGTTCGCGGTCAATTCAAAATCGCGACCCTTGTTACAATTGACTGGATGAAGCATAATACAGCACCATGTGAATAATTGTTTCTGGATCTGCATTTGCTTGATTTTAGTGAACGATGTCCGGTAGTTTGTATGTCTGGAATGGTTCTGAGATGTATAAGGAGGAGGTGTAAAGCAAGGAAGAATACAGTCGCGACTCGTGTCGGGTTCGTGTCAGTGACATCGTTCTGGCGTTCTGTCTGCCAAGACGTGATAACTCAGTCAGGGTTGTACGATTAACATGCTCTAGAAATACATATGTGCGCCGGAATAGCTAACGATAGCTAAAATCACGACTTTTAGACATCCTATATAGAGCTCAAGATATTGCTCCATGTATAGAGAATGTCCGGGATCGATCGTGGCTCTTTGCCACTATGCTATACTCGATTTCATATCTTTGAACAATTGTTTGAGAAGGACGGCTGAGACACGCTTCAGAAACAAGTCGGCCCTGGGCTCAGCGGCTACGTCTATTCTTTGCAATTTCCAAAACGGATCGTATAGTGGGGAGAACCTGAAGAAGGACATAAAGATCGCAGCACTCGACTCATTATTAGTAACGATGATGAAATGGCCACTGCCGACGCAAGATACGTTGCTTGACACAAAACCCGTGGCCTCTTGGCACTTCTCTAACGACTTTTGACCTTACCAGGTTGACTGAAGAAGCTCCGCCATCTAGATGATGAACAACTTGCAAAGTTGACTCAACACAGCCTACCGCGGAAAAGCCACCCGAGACATTCACGACTTGACGACCCGTACGACGCCAGGCTAGAAAGCTACTCCAGTCTCGACTCCCTGCGGTCGAGAATGAAATTGTTTCCCGCCGCGAGCCGCGATAATTCGATGTCAGAGAAGTGAAATATGCACAGCTTATAGGGCTCGGTGGTCTCTTCCCCGAACAGCGAGCGAAGGCTAAATCGTGAAGACTGGAGACCACCAGTACAAGCTTCATCCAGCTCTTGAATACGACTGCAAGCTTGACAATACGCCTTAGGCACGACAGGCGAAGAGCTTTGCACGTTTTCTACCTGTTTCTTCCTACCAGGAGACAACAAGAACTCCTACGACACTTGTCTCGCGCGAAATGCGTACAGTGTGATCTATAGGCTCTTCACGTATGTCATTCATCTGCAGAAATAGCGTTTTCCCGACCACCACATCGTACATAGCTACAAGCCACCACGTGTCAAATGATTACCAAACATGCGGTATGCACGATCCCATCGAAGCAGGCATCGCTACCGCATTTGCAAGGCTCAACAATGTTGCGGGCCTATTCAAACCTAGCTTTGACGTCCTCCACATCCCGATGTGCACGCCTCAGAGAACTCCACCTGCCGGTGCCAAGGCAGTGCTCTTGGCAGCGTAGAATTCTCCTCCCGCAGCCAAGAACGTTCACGTGTGTTAGCTCCCGCATGCTTACCGCCAGCCAGGTACTACTCCAGACATTGTTCGTGTCAGGACTCAGGAATAGAGAGCCTGACCGAAACCGCCCGGATCCCAAGAGTCCGTGTGATGATCTAGCAAGTTCTTGCTTGAGCTCCTTTGTGAGACACCGCGACAAGATTATGTCAACATTCCGCGTCAGACTAGCATGGGAATGAATGCAGGTACCGTGCATCTGAACAGTGGTGTTTTTTGATCAGAAGAGCCTGCGCTAGAAAAGGCCCAGAAGTTGAACGCCGTTGGATGAGTACCGAAACATCCCGTTCTATCCCTGCGGCAAGCGAGACGATTGTACCTAGAACGTCATGCCGACACTTTCCAGCGCCTCTGGCATGCCTTCGACACGGTACAGGCTAAGGTATGGACCAAACTCAGCTGTAGCACAATGATGGACATGGTGCTCCGATTAGACCCTGGAATATATATAATGCTCTGTGATTCCGCCATATTATCACTCTCATTTTCAACTCAGCCGTCTTTCCTCATTTGATACCTTCCATACCAGTATGAAGGCTACTTTCTTCACCGCAGGCCTCGTCGGTCTTGCTGCAGCCCTTCCTCAAGGAGCCGTACAAGAGTCCTCGAGTACTGTCGCTCAAACTTCTACCGTGTCTGTCAGCTCGCCTGAAGATGTCCCTCAAGCAACCAGTCTCGCCCAAGCAGCAGCAGTGAATGTCACCATCTCGGTCCAGGTCCCTTCCGAGATCCTCGACACCACCTCTTTGAACGCCGATAGCCCTGCTTTGCTCACCACCAAACCCGTGGAGAGCAGCGAATTCCTCTCTCCGGCCGATTTCCTCACTCAGGGCCTTTCCCTGGATGACATTCCCGCCGTCTCCGTAGACCCAACTACTTTGTCCAAGAGAGACTTCTTTGGTCTCTTCGGTTCTTCCATTTCCAGAGGACCTTTTGTCAACTTCCTCAAGGTTGCTGCACAGATCTTCGTCAAGGTCGAGAAGGTCATCGTCTTCTGGACCTGCCCTCAGTGGATCCGCCCAGTTCCCAATACTTTCCCTGGTTGGAGAAAGTACAAGTCCAACGGTGTCAACCTTGGTGGTTGGCTCGTATTGGAAAAGAACATCCAGCCAAGCTTCTTCAACGACAACGCACCCAGCGCTATCGATGAGGACAGCTTCTGCCAGACCCTGGGTTTGGCGAAGTGCGGCGCTCTGCTCGAGAACCGCTACAACACCTACATCACCACAAAGGACATTGATAACTTTGCAGCCTACGGTGTCAACACCCTCCGCATCCCCATTGGCTACTGGGCTTACATGCCTGCCATCGCTGGTGATCACTACTACACTGGTAGCCAGAAGCTGGCCATGCAAAAGATTGCTCAATACGCCATCACCAAGCACAACATGCATATCGTCGTCGACCTGCACGGTCTTCCTGGTGGTCAGAACGGTCTTGACAACCAGGGAAAGACTGGTCAGCTCACTTGGTGGAACAACCAGACTGCCTTTGACCTTTCCATCGAGATGGTCCGCAGAGCCACCGACGACATCCTTCGTCAGCCCAACAGCGGTAGCTACACCATCTCTTTGATCAACGAGCCTCTCCCTGCCCTTTACTACTTCGGCCAGACTCAGGACAGCATCGCCTACCTCAACAAGTACTACGTCGCTGCCCTCAAGGAGGTTCGCAAGAGGTCGAAGACTCTCCCCGTTGCTATCTCTGACGGCTTCATCGGTCCTCAGACCTGGGACCCATACTGGACTAACGTTGACCCTTACATCGTTATCGACACCCACATCTACTTTTTTGTTGGCGGATCATACTCTTACGACGCCGCGTATGGTGCCTGCTACCTCGCCAAGTCCTACCAGAACGCTTCTAACCCAACATTCATCGGCGAGTGGTCAATCCAAGCGACAGCAAGTCTCTCAGAGTGTACAAATGAAATGTTGTCATGCTGTGGTTTGACTTGGGCGAAAGGGTCGACGTGTGGAAAGCAAATTCTGAAAGTTCGAGATTTTTTTGGTCGGCATCAACGCCCTCTACGATATCTTACACACTCAAGCTGGCTTCCACGACGACTACCTGTTCGACTGACTCATCTTACATACCTGATTCATTACAGGAGTACCAGAACCCTGCTTTCAGAACTTCGCTAACTTTATCTACAGAATTTCAACCACCTTGGCGACAACACCCGCAGAGACTTCTACCGCAGTCAATTACAGGCCTACACCCAGTACCTGAGCGGAGGTATGTTCTGGAACGGTAAGCACGATGGCGATGCCATCGTCGGCGACGACGGCTCTGCTCAAAAGTACTACTGGTCTTGGCAACTCCTCGCCGCTGAGGGCATTGTTCCTCGTCCTGGTGACAAGCTCGAGTCTCTTTGCTAGATGTTGACTTGGCATTGAATCACTAAAAATGTTCTGATATGTTATGTAGTGATGTAAAAAGCTTATTAGAGTACCTTGTTCGATATTTCATCTCAACAGCCTGGCTTCTATCCTATTCTAGAAAATCAGAGTTCGACCCTCATTTCTCAGCGATAAGACAGAGGACAAGACCCGTACTTAACACGATGCCATCTCTGAACTTGTCAATTTTAACGATTGTCGAAGATCTAATTTCTGTAATTTCCGGGATTTCGAGAATACGAAGCCTCGAACCAGGATTGGCAAAGACGACAGACATTTTCGACGGCCTTTTGTACATGTGGATTTAATTTTCTACATGCGGCCATCAGCCAGCCCTAGAGTCATCCTCGACACAGATGATCGAGCGACCAATGGTTTGTGTTGTACTAACACCATTACTCGCCTAACCTTTTGAGGCAGACCTGAGGCATCATAAGTACCACAAATATCCTACGTCGCTCTTTCTTCTCTGCTTAGAGGATAGCAAGTTGATGTGTAAGACGACTAACGCAGGATCATGTTGGTCTATACTTATCTGAATAAGACGAGAAATTCTCCACCCACTAGTCATTGCATCTCCAGCAAGTACAAAAGATGTGCTTGCTCAATACTTGAAAGATATCGTATCCATTTTTTTGTCTATCTGCCGCAGTAACTTCAAAGTCTCCAACTTGTGCGCTTTGCCCACACAAACTCTTCCTAAAAATATCTCTGGCTTCCTGTTCATTGCAGGACACCTCTGCAATCCAGACTACATTCATGTCATACCTAATATCGTTCATCGATTACGTAGCACAGGTTGGAGTACAGATGAATGTGAGACTGCAGCGAAATGCAACAAGACATCCGAATGTCTCAGAAGCGCAAACACCGAGAGAGTGTGTAATCCAGCCCGTTGATGTAAGACTTAAACAGAGTATTACTTGAGCCAACGACTGTGTGCTGTTCCTCTTGGTGGCAGGAGACACTTTCACAGAACACCCATTATGGAACACAGGCGCATATATGCTCTTACTTCCAATCTCACTACCAGAACAAAGACCTGGTGATGGCTTGTTCTACTATAATGTCGCCATATGTTCTGCGCACCTCCTTCAATGCCAAGTTCAGGTTCGAGCTTGACATCCATTTGCTTTTATTTACTACCATTGCTATCATATGTGTCTGCTTCTTCCTCTGGTTTAAGAAGCCCATCAAGAACCTGACCGATGAGACGCCTGCTTCTGCTTTCGGGGGTTTGAGCGATCCCTCCGAACTCTGCCAGCACACCAATACACCGATCACGTCAGCTTCGACTTCTTCCAGCGTCTTGGACGAACTTCTCGACACCACCATCCCTGGCACAAGTCATCATTCATCTCGACGCTCCTTCTCTCCGACCAACGTTGAGGGAGTTATGATCTACTCACCCTCAAAGGCTATGGCAACGAACGACACTCTGATCTTCGTCGCCGACTTCCTCGAAGACCGCCTCGGGAACTTCGCTCATCCGGGAACCGACATTATGCTTGCAAAATTCCAACGCAAGCGCTCTACTATGGGCTCCCAAATCCCTCTATTTGGCAGAGAACACTCCGGCATAGCCACTCATGCTTTTGAGAAAGAGGCTTGGTACGGCGAGAGTTGCCCACTCGATGCCATGATCTGGTTACTCAAAAAGCGTCTCTCCGGTGTGGAGGACTCCAACATGGTGTTTTCAGGCTTTGAGGAGAAGAGGGAGAAGAGGGAGCAGAAAGAGACAAAAAGATTAGAGGAGCCAAAGGAGGATCTGCAGCAAGAGAAAGATTCTGAGCAGGAGAAGACAAATTGTGAAGGGGGCAAAGAGCAAAAGGAGCAGAGGGAGGAAGCTAAACCTGCTCCCTGTTCATTTGAGGGACGAGGAACACAGGATCGAGCGCTATGAAGTGGAAGCCACGACCCCAGTGCCTTCCAGGATTTAAGTGCACGGCAAGTTGACAAATATCAACGCAACACACGCGCTTGTCATATGCACCTTCCATCTCCTCAGACTTCAGATTCTCTATGTCAACGCCCGAAAATCATTTCATGGTCTTGGCGACATCATCGATGCGCTTCTTGAGCTCAACAACAGCTTCCTGCTGCACTTTGATCTCCTTGCTGATGTCTTTGAACTTCTTGTCCACCTACTCAATTTCCTTGCGCAGTTCTTCGGCTTCTTGGATGCGAGATCGTTCTTCGGGGCCTGCGATGTGTCAGTCTGGGAGGTAGATGTTTCGACATGCCATTGAAGCCTACGCAAGACGTCATATGGGTTGGTATGAGCGACTGCAATGTTCTTGTGCTCGGAGGACGTCATGGTTGCATGTTGTTACTGGGTGTCAGTCATTGCGATGTGGGATGGTATGGATCTGCCTGCCTCTTGAATGGAGGGATGGTCGCTCTGGAGTGAGGAGGGATTGTCTGGTATCTGATCTTTACTGGGCACTTCAATTTTGATGAGGTGAATCTTGGAAGTGTTGGACATTGAAACTAGCAACACGGAAGTTGGGTTTGATAAAGTGAGAGTCTAATCTCTGAGCACGGAAGCCGGTGGTCTGGCAGGCCAAAAGTCCATGTTTGGCGATAGCTGCAAATCTCGAGATGATCTGCTGAACATTGCGAGAGGACGTGAGACTGTCGATACCAGAGGCGAGGTCGGTGATTAGAAGGAACGGTAGGGCTGCACCGTTGTTGACAGCACGACGCACTGCAACAATAAAAGTGTACGACTGGAAAAGAGCAATCGAGATGATGATTAGAATCAGAGCCATGGAAAGCTCAAGATATGAGTCGAGAGGGTCCAGCATCGTGTGTGCGAGTGGTTGATTCGAGCGAAGTTGAATACTTGTAATGGAAAGAGCCCAGGTGACCAGGGAGGTTGGCTTGCATGATATAGCGTTTGTTCAACTCCAGGGATACTCCAGGTGTTGCCAAATATGTGAGAGTGAACGTGCTAGCTCGAGAGCGTGAAACATGTAGTGTTGTTTTGTCACACTCTGGAAGATCCATCAGATTTTGGTTGAGACATCAGTAGATGAGATGAATCTCAAATCCTTGATCAGTCAAGCGTGATATCTGTTTGGAGAAGAAAGAACTCGGAATATAAGTCGGAGGTTATTCTTGTGCATTGAGATGAAATAGTAGCCATCATCAGCATCATAGCTCTGCGGCGGTCTGGAATATAATATTACACATCAAGTAGAAGTACTGATGATTCAATGAGCTTCGGGAAACGGTAGAAAGAAAGGGTGGACCATGACTATGCGGTAGCGTTGTTTGTCTGTATTGAGAACCTAATCAATGCTGTGATACACTGGACGGCCAGTATCTTCTAGTACAATGCAAAGTCTACGTGTGTCATTGACCACCACCATCGTAGAAAGCAGTGGTAGTGGAGAGGCAGGTAGATTCGCGGGAAATGCGTGTCTCCGCACACTGCTACTCCATAAAGTCAGAGACGAGCTCAGACACAATTCTTCTGACTGCCCTTGAGAGGAGTAGGGGTGGTCCTTGACCGTAGATCCGCCAGTCATGGCAGAGTGATGAAGAGCGTTGGCGGCGTAGCGGAAAGTGTTGGAGACCATACGGTAGGCTCTCTGGACGCGAACAGAACTCCTGAGGTGGCCGAGCGCAGAGATAGCGTCGTCGAGTAGAAGGAAGGGGAAGGCAACGGCGTTGACAATGGTGCGGCGGATGGCAGTCATGATAGAGTTGGACTGCATGGTAGTGACCGAGAGTATGGAGATATCGAATAAAATTGTGAGTCTGACGAAGATGTCAAAAACCATGAAGAAGACCGAGGAAGCGATGCCCATGACGGTAGACATGTTGATGTGATTTGCGGCGAGTAGGAAGCGCCGATTCTGATGATGGGACTAGTAGTGAAGGGAGTCCAGATGTGAGCGAAGAGGGTGTCGAATGGTGGTGAAGGTTGCTGCGCCGTGTTTGATGTGACGGGCAATGTTGACGCGAAAGACGTCGAAAAGATTCCACAAAAGAAGTGTGCTTGCTGGAAAGCGCAAAGCCAGAAAAGACGTCTCTTCGCGGGCGGCTTTGGAATATCAATGATTTGACATCTTCCAACAAGTTTTTCCTTTCCACGGAAGCCCTGGAAGAGGAAGGTTTGGGGGGTGCAGTAGTGTCAGAGAACATTGGTCGTGCAAGTGACTCGGTGGAGACAGAAATTAGAGGCACGATGTACAATGAGTCGGAAAATTGATCGTGCGTGTCTTGTAAAGAAGATAGTGACGAAGTGAACGTCAAAGAATAGATAGCAAACGACGAATGAGCTACAAACCGACTTGTTGATCAATTGAAGACGTCGAGAAGCTTCCAATCATTCCTTGCAGTATAGCCATCGGAGGGCTAGCTCGTCGATGACTTCGCTCTCCCAGACTAACCTCCATCACATTGGCAAAGAAACCCTTCATCAGTGCTCACAAAACTTCTGAAGCATCATCAGGGTTCTTATCAGCTATGCTCAAATAGAGAGACTCATATGCAAAGAATATAAAAGCTGAGACGGAGAGGAAGGCTAGTGGAGAGATGCAGAAGATAATCGAGAACATGACTTTGTAGATCACAGAGGTACTTGGGAAACGGACCTCAAGGTGATTATCGGGCCCGTCGTTGAGCATAGTGAGGATATCGTCCACGAGGAGAGCTGGAAAGCTGAAGATCTTGATGGGCACAGGACGAACGGACGCTCTGGCGCGTCTGGAGCCGAAGATGTATAGAAGGATGATGAGAAGAAGGAGGTGGATAACGGAAGACATCGTTGGGTCTGGTATTGTGGTATTCGAGGGATGAGTGAAGGTGAGAATGGAGTTGGTTGTGATAACGACGAGGTGCGTGGAACCCTCTTTTTGGAGAATGTCACTCTCCATGGTAGAGCCAGCTTCGACGTTGCGCCTCGAAGAAAGATGAATACAACTAGGACGCAAGGGCTATTTCGAGGAACGCTGATAGCGAGTCAACATAGGTCTTACATCGATCAAGTCATGTTTCGAAGCAGTGAGCCTCACGACTAAGACCAATGAGAATGTCTCAAGCACCCGAGACGAGACCGATATTGAAGACGCCGAATATGAGGAAGGAGGAGAAATGACGAGCATCAACATAGAGAGAGCGACCAACTCCCGAACTGATTGTACAGAGAACGCGTTGTCAAGAAGACGTTCACAAAAAGTAAACAAACACTCCATATCCCGAGTCTATCACATGACGTGATATCCTCTGTCTAACACTATACACCGTCAGATCAGACCTCTTTCTCGTTGAAATGGCCCAATCGGTGAAGGTAAAATGACTACAGTTTAGTCGGACCTCCTAAACCATGTGGGCCCCCGATCAAAGGTCCTTGGTTCAATTCCAAGACTCATCTCTCTCTTTTTGCATTTTCCCAATCCAACCCTTTTTAATGGATACTTTCTTTCACTTATCTTGTCGACGACGCTGAAACTTGGTGTCCCTCAAATGTAGACTATTGAGAGAGCACATGGAAGTTCCTGCGAGGCTAGACTATGTTCGAGTCAAGCTTCCACCGTAGACGAACTGACTACCTCGTTCGATCCATCCGAAGAGGTGAGGGCTCAAGCCAAACCCGAACACATCATCGAGGCTTTCCGACGGCTTCAGAGACCCGACTCTAAAAGTCGCTACATGATTCGAGAATCTACTTAGCCTTATCATGGGTCGCCAAGTACGACAATCCGGTCAATACAGATTACTCTTCTGAGCCTGGTCATCATAGCCGTGTCTACGAACAAGTATTAGACGCTGATGTGCTTCCGTGTTATAGACGTTTCAAGATTGATTGATGGAAGCATAGGCTTTGGAGTGCTGCTTATTTACCTGAATACTACCTTTGATCTCACCTCTGCGGAAGCGTTTCATCATGATTACAATGTCTCTTTGTCATCTCAAGCTGTTGGTTCTCGTGAGCACGCATTTTCATCTCCGTTGAATCCCTGTACTGAGCCCCTGAAATTGACAGCTTGTCTTCTCATCCTAGTGCTAACACAGGAGAAGAGTATATGCTTAACACCTTGAAGGAGAGCTTGCTTGGTGAGATCGAGTACTTCGAAGACACTGCAGAGGATGGCGTTGATGGGGATTCCTGCGAAGGAGAGGAGAGTATGAGGGATCCAATTGTTTGGATGGTAGATTTCGAGGAGAAGGCGGTAGATAAGGATAGTGATGGCTTGGGAGATGACGAAGAGGGCGAGCAAGATGTCTAGTAGGATAGGGATGAGCAGACGCTCGACGATACTGCTTGAAAAATGAATGAGTGTCATTTCTGTGTCCGGTTTTGAGCATCGAGATGGTAGTAACGAGATTCGAAGATACCGGGTAAGGAGAAGATGCAAAAAAGCCAGATATCTTGGAACGAATTATCTATGCCTGGTATGGGATAGTGTAAGAAATCGGAAAAACGTGTTGTTGTGTTGCGGAAGGAGTGAGACCAAAAGTCATGTGTTACAAGACAACTGACATAATCTCTCCAGATCACCACGTCTCATCATCGAGTTGTCTGAGAGCGACATACGAGGAGATGACAAGATCGATAGTGACATCTGGACATGGGTCCAAGGTAATTTTACGTCCTACAGAGCCTATAATAGAGACTTGAGCTTTGCGCTGACTGTATACCTGATTCAAGAGGCGCGATCACGTACGCTCTGGACTCGATTCGATTAATCTATTGGAATGTGCTAATGACCAGAGGAAAATAATCACAAGCTATGCAAGAATCAACAAGGACTACTCTAGATGTTAGGTGATCGACATCCAATCAACACACAAGAACCTACTAGATAATTCCCAGGCATTCTTCAGTTCCAGCAAAAACAACACTCCAACTCCTCACCCAGCTTGACAAGCATCTCAAGCAGACTGAGTTCCACAACCAGCTCTCTTCTCTCCCGCTCAGCCTCTTGCAAAGCAACGACTACTCTCCTCGCAGCCTCAGCTTCTTCCTCGAAACCAACAGCGATAGTGTTGATAGAGTCATCGACGAACAGACTAGCTTTGTACCTTGCAATACTCAATTGCTGACAACACTTTGTGTGCTCGGTAGGTGTGCAACATTCCTCGTGCGCGGTGGAGCAAGCAAGAAGCCGTTCTTTGTGCAGCGCTATCATTTGTGAGATACAGGCAGGAAAATGCTTTGACAGCTCTGTGGGAGACGAGTCATCAACAAACGGAAAAGTGTCGATCTGAACTCGAGGGGGCTGTCATCGATGAACTCCACATCCATCTCTGCCTGGACAGTCTCACTGCTTATATCCGACAACAATCGTACCTTTGGCAATGGCTCATCGTCATCATCTTCCCCATCATCAGAAGGGTCTCCCCATCCCACATTTCCGATCTTCTTACCTCGACTTCAAAGTATTCCGGTTTTATCAAAAGCGACGCTGGGGGGTTGTGATTATGTGTCAAGTCAGCGCATACGCGACACCATATCCAACAGCAATCTAGCAGCTAGTCGAGATATACGAGTCTTGCACGAGTACAAAGATTGTCAAGACGATGTCCAGGGCAAGATTTGAGACGATAAGCATAGCCTCAGCATGTGTCTGAGCTGAAAGGAGCGACAATGAGTGTGTAGTGACAGGATATTTCTGGAAAGAATGTTGATGGGGTTTTTCGTCGTGTCGTAGATCGCACTCAACAGGAGTGTATGGAAGTGATAGAAGGTTCTTTCCCAGCAGGATAGGAGTGTTGTATCCAAGATACTGCGTCAGAGATCGAGATCCACACTCCACATCTACCCATGACGAAAGAGCAGAGAACAAAATATGCCGTCGATAGCAGCACGAATAGCGGAGACGATACCACTAGACACGAACGACCGAAATGACAGGATACATGAAAAGCAGAATCTGTAGGAAAGAGAGGTAAATGGAAAAGGATCGAAGTGATGATACGAGTGAGCTCGGGCATATTGGGTTCTTGGTGCGAGTGATTTAGAAGCAAGAATTTCGAAGAGTTGCAGAACGACGATACTTTTATGTATAGTCCATTATGATCAGCGTCATCACCAAGCCAAGCGCCTCGAAAGCTAAACGTCGTCAAGAATTCAGCATCGAGTCGAACGTCTTACCACCAAGATGAGACACTCTGTCTTTGCTGTTTTGGTTTTGGTCAGTGTGGAGAGTCACGACAAAGGAAGTAGCCAATGACTAACTTGTAGCTGAAGCGCATGAACACGCGTCTGATATTCCCCTCGTCACTATGTCGAGAAAGAAACAAATCAAGAAAGATAATGTCGCTATGGCAAGCTGGATCGAAATCCAGGATCGGCGACAGTACCTTGCCTGCTTCGCGGGTTTCTCGAGGAACTTGTCAGTCGAAGAAAAAGGTACAATATCTGCCCGAATGTTTCTTGTCCGCGTATCACACAGTATCGCGCATTGGAGCCTCTCGGTAATCCAAGTCCATTGTTCGCAATCGACAAAGTGTAACATGGATTTGGTCAGCACGAGACAAATGTCATCGGTGGTTGTAGAAAGAAGAAAAAGGCTCGAGTCAGAGATGCAAGAGTGACAAAACACGGTCTGGTATTCAACGAACAGCATTGGTAAAACAAGAAGAAGATTCCCAGATGAAGAAGAAAAAACAGAAAACAAACACAACTTCCATGCATGCAATCAAGTGTATCAGGGGTGGTGGTGAAGAAAACGATGAAGAACGCCGATGGAAGAGTAAGTAAAACACAACAAGGCCCGCTCGCAATTGTCAAGTTCATCGACAAACAACAATCCTTACATCAAAGACAACCTTCTAGATCCCAGCTTCTTGCTCATGATGTTGGAGGCCATTTTGTCCATTCAAATGACTCCAGTCACCCATGTCGCCTCCCTCGCCGTCTTCACCACCTTCATATGCCTCTTTAGCGATAGCACCACCGGCGTCAAGTTGTTGTTGCATGACGGCTTGGGCGGAGACAATTTCTGCTAGTCGCTTAAGACGTGGTGTTTGAAGCCATGAGGGTGTGTAGGTTTCTAAGGCGGTGATGACGCGAGGTTCGGCGATTTCGTAGGGGCCGCTGTCGTCCATATCAACGGCGGGAAGGAGGAGGACGTCAGTTTTCGGGTCGGTGACGCGGGAGGCGACGGCTTTCATGATTTCGCCATTAATGGGTTGTTCGTAGTCGGCTACGAGGTATTGGTTGAGAAGCTTTTGAATTTGATTAGGTGAGAGCCTGGAGAATCATTAGTACCTTATTCAGAGAGGATCAACTAGTGGAGAAACTTACATCCAGCAGATATCCTGGATAATCTCAATATCGTTGAGCGTCGCCTTCTTGAGCTGCAAAAGCTTGGTAGCTTGCATGAGATGCTCAAGCTGGAGGGTACCCTCAGGCATATCGTGACTCTTGCACCATTCCTCAATTCTGGTAATATTGTAGTTGATCTGCAGACCACGCTTCCATGACAGGAAGTTGCGGCGCATGAGAAGGTCATTGAAGGCGGTGACACCAACAAGACGGAGAAGCTCGGTGATAGTTTGGGTAATGATCGAATCTTCGAGGTAGAATGCCTTCATGGCCTTGAAGACGTTGTTGAGGAGAGAAAGGAGGTTGTCCATGCTGAAGGCAGGTGCATTGTTGGATTGGAGAAGCTTGCCAAGGAAACGGTTGCTTTCGTTGGTGACAAAGCCAGGAAGTGACTGAGACTCGATGATGGCTGGGACGATCATCTTATGCAACTTCTTCTTCAACACCTTCATCCAAGTGTGGTAGATGTTGAATTCAAGACTCTCCAAATCGTGCTTGACGATCTCGAGAAGGCGGTCATACTCAAAGTTGTCAGTCTTTTGTGCTTCATACCAGTCTTCGGCGAGGAAGACGAATGAGAGCATCTCGTGGACGTTTGAGAGCCAGAAAGCACCAGGGTTGACAGCCTCATCACCATCGTGCTGCATAACTTCTTGCTGGATGGACTGCATAACATTGGCGAGGAAGCGCTCCGACTCCTTGACAAAGCCGTTGTTCCACATTTCAGAAGTGACAAGGTTGATGAGGTAGGCAGGGAACAAAACTTCCTTGTCTGTAGGTGGAGGTGTAGATCCAGGCGAGGGAATCTTGAGGTTTTTAATGAGCCCCATGGAGACTTCATCGTTCAGGGATTCCTCGTTAGCAAGCAGATTCTCAAGCTCCATCTCAACGTTCTCCAAGTCAGGCTTGAAGGTAGATCCGGAAAGAGTTTGCTGGTGACCGCTGGTAGCACCAAAAGCCATCGACACTGGTCGAGGGTTAAAAGTGCCACTGAATCTGTCGGTGTTTGTGGGTTCGAAGCCAGCACTGCGACGCTTAGGTTTCTTGGATGAAGAAGAGACTAGGTTGATCAGACCGCTGGGCTGACCAGCAACACCATTGGTCATCTCGCCATTGACTGGCGCAGCACGCTTGGCGTGCTCCAGCTGATCTTGGAGCTCTGCCAGTTGCTGCCTTAATGACATCTTCTCGGTCTCTGAGACGGTGACGCTCTGCCTTGAGTTCTCCAACTCCTCGGTAGTAACACGAAGTGACTCGCGTAACGTCTTCTCCTCGTCTTGTAGTCTGCGCATGTTTGATGAAGACTCTTCGTAGTTGTGTTGGAGCTTGGCCATCTCTTCTTCGAGCTGACCGACCTTGGCAGCACTCATGCCAGCTTGATTGGCCTCTGCTTGGAGCTCTTTGGCTCTTTGTTCCAAACCTTGGGTACGGTTCTTCCAGGTATTGAGTTGACTCTCATAGTTCTGCACTTGATGCTTGAGAGCCTTGTTCTCGGTCCTGACGGCGCCGAGTGACTGGGTAAGCTCGACGACCTTATTCTCAAGCTTGTATGAGATTTGCTTGAGGTCTCTAGCCTCCTCACGCAGACCTTTGTACGCCTTGCGAGCCTGCTTACCTCTCCACAGTCCTTGCACAAGAGTGACTTTGTGTCTGTAGTCGGTCCACTCCTTACGCTGCTGTCCAGATCTCCAGGCACGCTGAATGGTTCTTGCAGCATTTCCTAGTCTCGTGTCCAAAATGTTCTTGCGGCAGAGATATCCCTTGGTCGCCGCTTCGAACTGGATGAGATTGTTGCGGATAAGTACGAAGTTCTTGCGGTCCTTCTGACCTCTCCACACCCGTTGGATTGTGGTGGCAGCTTTGGTCCGCCTCGCATCATCTGCATTGCGCCGTGCGAAGCATCCTCGCACAAGGGACTGAAACCCACGGACAGAGCCGATAGCTTCGAGGTAGCGACGGCGGTAGTATTTGGCGCGGAGGTTCTTCTGGATCATGATTGCAGCATCGTTGAGACGACTTGTCCTCAGGTTTTCGAGGAAAGCAAGCATGCCGGCACGGAAGAAGATCTTGGTTAGACCAAGCTGGTACTTGCTTGAGCCGTCGTTGGCAGAACCGCCAAGTGCCTGTGTCAAGATGGCGTTGGCCATGCCTCTGAGTTCTGAAGTCCATAACGTTGAGGGTACAAGCATGTAGTATCGTAGGGCGAACTCCTCGTAGGTCCATCTTGTAGGATAACCAGCACAACTGATCCTGACGGTTTCGAGAACACCGCAAGCACGCAATTGACTCAGAACCATAGGTCCCTCGAACTTCCAAGCCTCCTTGGCCTCGTTGGGCTTGATACAACGAATGTAGTGAACATCAGTGGAGTTGATGGTGCTCATGAGTTCTATCAAGGACGATTTGAAGATACCACCTAGGGTAGGCTTTCTTGCTGTGGCAGCACCAGGTCTCTTGCCAGCGGCAGCGACGGCAGAAGGCTTTGCCTGAGCAGCTGCAGTGTCGCGTTCACGCACAGCAGAAGCGGCCTCAAGTACTTCAGTAAGGAAAGAGTTGGTGGAAGCACGAAGAACCTCCATATGCTCATCGGGCACAGTATCTCTGTTCTTCTCGATGAAGCCCTCAGACTCGTATGCGACATCCACAGCGTAGTGGCAGACGGTGAAAGCCGACTTGCCGAAACGGGGCTTCTTGAAGAACTTTGACTTGCTGTCACCGAAGCTGGTATGGAGCTTGGTAACGAAAGACTCGTCGGAACCCATAGGTAGTCTTGATTCTTCGTCGAGCAAAGCGAGCACACCAAGCTTGCCTTCAATGAGATCAATACAAGGCTGGTTGTCGGAGAAATCGATGAACTTCCAGTCAATCTCCTCGCGAAGATACTCTTCCTGTTCGAGCTTGAAGACGTGCTGGTTAAACTCTTGTTGGAGCTTCTCGTTGGCATAGTTGATACAGAACTGTTCGAAAGAGTTCTTGGCGAAGTGCTCGAAACCATAGATATCCAAAACACCGATAAAGGAGGTGACGTTTTCGAGGACTTCGGGAGTTGCCAGACTGCTGTTGAGAATCTCGACAAGCCAGTCGAACAAGCTGGAGTAAATGTATTTGGCGACCGAGTCACGAACGACAGTGGCTTGTTGCTGAGTCAAGTTTGACGTGATCTTCTCACCTCTAGTGACAAGCTGTTTCTTGACGGTCCATTTGGCGAAGCTCTCGGCGTCGATTCCGAGAAGCTCGCAAGCCTTGACGACTGAAGCGTCGGAGGCAGAGAGCTGCGAGTCGGTACGTGTGGCTATAATCTTGATGTTTCCAATGTGCAATAGAGCGGCGAGAATTCTCCAGATGGAAGATTGCTGACTGGTCGAAACACCGATCCTGGTCAAGGCCTCTTTGGTGTCGCTGAACTCCTTTGCGTCGTCCATACCCTCTATTTGTGCGGCACTGCCCTGGTTCAGGTAGTCGAACTCTTCCACGGGTATTAAACCAAGCTCTTCCTTTTCAGCATCCGAAGCACCAGCCACGAGTTGGTAGAAGATGTGGTAGTTTCTCTCCTTGAGCGGTTGGAAAACCAGTCTCGAACGCTCGAGCAGGTATACCCTAATTCTCGCACCAATGATGTCCGTCTTCTTGTCAAACATGATCTCGATGTATTTTCCGAATCTTGATGAGTTGTCGTTGCGGGTTGTCTTTGCGTTTCCGAAGGCCTCCATGATAGGGTTAGTAGCCAGAATTTGCTCTTCGGTCTCGCTCATACTCTCGACGCGACCCTTTGAGCGAGAGCCAGGCTGGTCCGGTGATTCTCTTGTTGCAAAGTAGCGCATGATGTATTTAGCGGAGACGGTCTTTCCGGCACCAGACTCTCCCGAAACGACGATTGTCTGATTGCGACCATCTCGAAGCATGTCCCTGTGTCGTGTCAGTGTATGCGCGAGAGGCTGTTGGTGGAAGCACATACGCAAAAGCCTCCTCTGCTATAGCAAACAAATGCGGCGCTTGTGTCTGGCGCTGCTTGCCGGCGTAAATCTGGACCATTCCCGGAACATAGAGCGAGTCGACGCGGGCAAAGGGATTGGTAGCAATAAGGACAATGCCCGAGTACGTGTAGATCTCTTTCTGTGCATATCGTAGTTTGATGGCTTGTAATACTGTATGCCTGTGTCAGCGCTGTCGTGGGTCTATCGTCGCCTGGGTGAATCGTGTGGCATGTATACCTGCGGGCTCGTTCAGATGCGAAAGGTTGGTTAAATCATCACTGGCCTCCAACATTGTCGGGTTCATCAGCGGTGGTAGTTTTGCGTCTTTGCCCTCTGCAATGGCGGCCAGCGTCGTCTCCAAAGTTTTTGTCTGCATCAAGCCATCAGCGCCGAGTCCAGCGGTCGTTTGCTCGCAGGGTCGCATACCTCTCCATTGGCCAGCTGGAAAATGAGCGTAACCTTGTCTCCGTCGATGTTCTTCTGCTCGACCTCGGAGGCAACCCAGCCTTCGGTAACATCGGGCTGCCACGCCTTGGTGCCGACATCATACGTCGCTGCCATATTGGCTCGTGGGAGAGTGGTCGAGAGAAGGACAGGGAAATGTCGAGCGTGTCGCGGCGGTGAATAGTCGTGTCCGCAAGCAGATCAGGAGTGCTGCAACATTCAGAAACAAGCTTGAAAGAAAGACACGTCGACCCCGGCAACTCCTTCAACAGCAAAAAGATTAGGACTGTAGATAGGGTATTATGGGTGGAAGAGTTATGTTCGCCAGTTGTATTCTTTTGGCCAGAGGCTCGCTCTGCCGGCTCGCCGTCCACAACAAGTAATGTCCCGTGCACCCTCTCAGGGGTCCGCACGGGGCAAGCAACTGCCAGAGTGGCCCCGCAGAAGCATCCTGAAACCAAACCTTGTTGGCAGCTCCGTCTCTTGTACAAACATGTGCTACTTTTGATGCGTCTCTCGTGTCAGTCGCTGCAGACACAATTTAATCTTCAAAGACTAGAAAGCACTCGCAATCCACATCTCTCACGACAACCAGAGAGCCTCTCCATGATATGCATTCCAGTTAGATTTGTGATGAACATCGGATTGGCTTCGGGAGTGGTGCCGAAGCATCCACAGACCACCTTGGGCCTGAACAGCCTTGTAAGCATCATAGCATATATCCAGTGTTATGCTGTGTATCTCCGCACTATGTCAATCTTTCTTCCGTTCATTTGAGTGACTGGAGGTGAATTTATCCAGGGAAATTGCTTCTGAGCTCTAGGTCAGGGTGCTAAGCTAGACATCTTTCGCCGCCATCTCCCAATCACACAAAGAGAGTTCTTAGTATTATCATGACACCACGAACCTTAGTCTTAGCCATCTCCCATAAAGCAAGAGCTGCAAGCTGTCAAACGACGAAGCAAGCATAACATGGGCCAGCAGCGTACCAAAGATTTGTCTTGCGCCATTTCAAGCCGCTCTTGAGAGACCAGCGGTCGGCAAGCAGCCTTGAAAGCATCTTCACTGCCAACCGACTGCGGGCAATATTTATGAACTTGTTGAACTGTTTTCATTTTCCTCTCCAGGCCTCATGAGAGCCCTTCGCACTTGCGTCTATTAGTACAAGCTTTTGCGTCTACTTAATTTAATCAAAGAAACCAACAATTGTGCACGCGTTTTTTTCATTTCCCATATGCTCCCAGTCGTGATACTCCATGTTGAATGCCCTATTTTCTCTATACCCGTTTTTGTCAGCGGGTCTCTCGAGGCCGCTGTCATGTTTTGTGTCCATATCATGAGGTAGACAACGAAAGTCGAGGATCGAAAAAGGTCGAATCTAGTACAAGACTCTGGTTCTAACACGCGAGCCCAGGTCCTCGAGACTGTTGTAAAGGCTGGCAATATCTCTTTGGTTGACATTGCTAATGTCAGCCATGAGGTATGCCACGTCGCCTCTTGAGTCGGTCATTTGCTTGTCGACGTTGTGCTCGCCGAGGACTTCGTTGACACGTCTCAAGACGCCAGGGACGTTCTTGTGAATGTAAATGATACGGACGTGGTTGGGCTCGTCGGCGGTCAAACTGCGGAGGTTGACTTCGGGCATGTTGACGGCACCGACGGTGGAACCCTCGTTGACGTACTTGGCGAGTGCGTCGGCGACCTCGACACCAATGGCGCTCTGAGCCTCCTCGGTGCTACCACCGATGTGGGGAGTGAGGATCAAGTTCTTGAGGCTTCTGAGGTCTTCAGCCCAAGTGTTGAGCTCCTTGTTGAAGTAGTCACCGTTACCAGCGGGCTCGTTGGGGTAGACGTCGATGGCGGCACCAGCGATCTTTCCACTTCTCATGGCCTCGACAAGAGCGGGAATGTCGACAACGGTACCTCTTGAGGCGTTGATTAGGTAGCTACCCTTGCGCATGTAGCCGAATTGCTCGGTGCTGATCATGTTCTGGGTCTCGGGAATTTCAGGAACGTGGAGGGTGACAAAGTCAGCGCCCTCGAGGAGAGCCTTCAGGGTGGGCACCTGCTTGGCGGTACCCATGCTCATGAGGTTGACAACGTCGTAGTAAATGACGCTCATACCCATGGCCTCAGCCAGGACGGAGAGCTGGTTTCCGATGTGACCGTAGCCGACGATACCCAGAGTCTTTCCACGAACCTCCCAGCAGCCAGCAGAGACCTTGTTCCAGATACCCTTGTGAAGCTCCATGCTGCGGTCGGCCAATTGTCTGGCAAGGGCAATGATCTCGGAAATGACGAGCTCGGCGACGGAACGAGAGTTTGAGAAGGGTGAGTTGAAGACGGCAATACCAGCGTTGGCGGCAGCGGTGAGATCGACCTGGTTGGTACCAATGCAGAAGCAGCCAATGACGATGAGGTTCTTTGCGTGTTCAAGGACCTTTGCAGTCAACTTTGTCTTTGAGCGGATACCAATGACGTGGACATCCCTGGGGAGGACTGGTCAGCAACGACAGATGTATGCGCATCAAGCAGGACCTACTTGATCTTCTCAATGAGCTGATCCTCGGGCAGCGAGGACTTGAGAGCCTCGACCTGATAGCCCTGTTGTCTCAGAATGTCCTGGCCAGTGACGTTGATGTTCTCGAGCAGCAGGACCTTGACATCCTGGGTGTTGAAAGGCTTCAGCTGCTTGGTTGAAGAGGACTGAGAAGCGCGGTGACTGAAGCTGTTCGACGGCGAGGTGAAAGTGGCAGTAGGGCTGGTAGAGGGGTCGAAGCTGTTTGTGACAGCAGAAGCGCCGTCGCGGTTGCGAGTGGGGATGTTTTGTGCGGCAGACATGGTGTTATGAACAATTGACGAGCAGTCAGGGAAGAAGAAACCGAAATAGGGAAAATAAAGCCAGTAAAGATGTGAGATCAAAGGAAAACAAGATGGACAATTTTGAGAGGATCAAACAATGCCCGCCGCAGCGCTCTGAGTCAAGTCGCGCAACAAATTTATCGACTTCCCGATGACGGCGTTGTAATCGCGCCATCCCACCGATCCCTCGAGAGCCGCGCCAACATCTCCAGCCCTTTCCCCCAAATTGAAATCCACTGACAAAGCGACCCCCACAATTCTCACCTTTAACCGTCCATTGACTCATCGTCTCAGCTGTCGAATGAGTAATCTGTTCGACGCGTCGTGGGAATCAGTGTCGGACTCGGGAATGCGGTCAAAGTGATATACGAATATGATTGCTTCTCTTGTGAACATGTCTCGATTTCAGTGGTTGCTATTCTGAACAGTAAATTGAAACCCCATCACGATGACTGCCATGATGACCGTCTGTGATCCGAGAGTATGATTATCAGCTATATGGAAGGAGAAAAAAAAGAGGATGACACGTTGCCAATCAAGGTGGAAACGAAACGGAAAACAACGCTGCTTTGAAAAGGGGGGACATCGAGCTGCGTGAGAAGAGGGAATGATGCTGCGTCAAGGAGCGTGACTTTTTTTGCTCCGATCAATGCCGCGTCGGGTGTCGATGGGCTTGCTTGGGTAGGGAGAGCAGGCAATGTACATGGCCAGACCCGTGATCCGACGGCGGCCTTCAAGATCGGTGTGGTTTGGTAAACTGTCGTCGCCAGATGAACCAAGTCTAGTATGATGATGCAAAGGGAACCTTAGCACATCTCATCTAGCTCTGCTTGCACTCGGCAGTCTCCTGCTTGGGCTTTGAGCCGTCACCCTGGGGTCGTCGTTAGTTTCTTGCTGAATCTGGTGAATGCTTTAATATGAGCTTACCTCTTCGTCAGACTCCTCCTCGTCATCTTCCTCGTCGCGGTCGTAGTCCTCCTCGTCCTCGTCGTCCTCGTCTTCGAACTCGTCGTCATCGTCAAAGTCCTCGAAGCCCTGCTCGAATTGCAGAGCCTCGCCGGTGAACCAGTCAATGGCACGGGGAATGAGCTTCTCCTTGATGTCCTCACCGAGCTGGTAATCGAGCTCGAGCTTGGCCTCAATGTCGTCCTCAACATCCTCGTCCTCCTCGGTTGGGGGGCTGGCGGGGTTGAAGAAGTCGAAGAATGAGGGAGTGGGGATGGTCTTCTTGACAATGCGGGTCTGCTTGGTGTCTGGAGGATTTTTGTCAGTGATTGCTGATGATATTATGGCGGCGCTTGCAAACTCACTCTTGTTGCGCTGCTTCTTGCTCTCGACTCTAACAGTGAGGTCCTTGCCAGATTGCCAGTCGATCTTGTCACCCTCGGCGTGGTCGTAGATGAAGTCACCACCGTAGCCGTTCTCCTCTTGGTAGTAGTAGGTCTTGGTGATGGTCTTGTTGGTGAAGAACTCGTTCTCGGCGAACTCGAAAATGAGACGGAATCCCGGGCGCTCGAGGTACTCCATGCGAATATCGGTCAAGAACTTGAGGGCGCCCTCGTCACGGTCGGTGATGGTCTCGGCAAGGGACGAGTTCTTCATGGCGGAAAGCCAGAACTCGGGAATACCCTTGATGTCGGCGGCAGACTCATCGGCCTTGTCGGCCTCATCGTCCTCCTCATCCTCGTCATCCTCCTCTTCGTCCTCCTTGCCGGCCTCGACTTCCTGCTCGGTAGGCTCGGTGGAACCGCTGATGATCTTGGCACGCTTCTCGTAAAGAGGGGCGTACTTGGCGAAGAACTTCTTCTCAAGAGCAAGGACCTCCTCTTGGAACTCGGCCTCGAGCTTGGAGTGCTCCTTCTGGACACCCTTGAGACCAGCGACACGTCTGCGGACGGGGGCGGGCAGGGATTCGACGTAACCAGATGATCTGCCGACGAGGCCACTGAGCTTGTTCTGCATCATGGAGACGAGGGCGGGGTTGGCAGCGAATATTGAGGCGGCATCCTCTGCGCGACTTTGTTAGTAGATGCTGATGGAGGAGACCAGGCGAATGCGCGTACCTTCGTTGATGGTGGAGACACCGGGCTGTTGTGCGCGGGACGAGATGGGGGCCTTGTCGAGGGGAGTGTTTTGGGGGGTACTGCTATGGTCAGTGACTGCTTGATCGCTTCGAATCTTGACCATGATGATGATGGCAGTGCAAGTGATGAGCGTGCGTCGAGAAGTGAGGCTGCGCAGGCGGATGGATGTGTGTAGGGGATGGACACAGGCGCAAGGTGTTGTTGTTGTGTGTGTATGGGAGGTGGCGGACGGGTGGTTGAACTCACGGTGCAGGCTTGCTGCCCTTGTGGGGGATCATGTTGTCGCTCATGGTCTCGGATAAATCTGGTTGAAGAATGCGAGGACAAGGGTGGTGATGGGGTGGGAAGATGTGGTGCGGTGGTTGAGAGAAGCTTGACTCTTGAGGTTTTTGCAGGACGCGGGGGAGCAAAGCAAAGGCAAACAATCCACTCGCCATCCAGATCGCCCCCTTTACGACGTACGAAAGGTCCCGACGACGAAATTTTTCCACTCCTACCACCACTGTTGCTATGACTCGGCAGCACACGGCTTCTTGCTCATCCACGTACTCGACACTCTATCTGCCGTGAACAATTACTTCCATGCCATCCGCCTTGTCCCTACACATCCGTCGCCCCCTTCTTCCACGCTTCCACGCTTCCACGCATTGTCATGGTCTAGCCCCCAGTTTCTAGAAAGCCATCTTCGAAGCCACGCAAACTTGCAAGGCAACAACGGCCAAGAACTGCCAACATTTCATGCTAAGTCCTCTGTCTGCTGCATCCATCACTTGCACATCTTCCCCTGCTTGCCCGATGGTCTGATCTACTTCATAATCTCGACAAAGACTTCCGTCTGACAAGGTACGATGAAGCGATGGCATGTAGCGTGCTGTTGACTAATCCAGTTCGTGCTATGGTCCGCTGTAGACGTGTTACTCATGTCGTGCAAAAAGTGTTGATATTGCTGAAGACGCCTGCATTTTCAAAGTTCACCAATTTCCATGTGACGTGCCTGGCCCGCACGTGCAAACGAGTTGGCGCGCGGGACCTTGATTGCGACCTCACAAAGCAACGACCAAACCAAGAAATCAAAGAACGCGACTTTGCGAGACAAAATTGTCAGGTATTCATCAGGCGGAGGAAGGCGCGTCCTGTACAACATCGCGGGTCCATCACGCTTTAGCGCCCATTGAATCGGCTTCAACAGCATCTCATCACTTTACAAACATCCCCAACCACCGATCGATCTAATCAAGATGTCGCCTTGATCTGCTGATTCAAAGGTGCTGACGTGTTTCGCACTGCGCTAATTAGGTGCTTATCCTAGATAACGATGGATTGCCCTTTTCTCTGCGGCTTTCACACCCCTAATGGTGATGAAGCAGAATACCAAATAACGGCCCACATTGAACTGCAACATACCCTAGACTCAGAATTCACCGTCGAAGATCAGGATCTGAACTTTGCTCTCGTATTGCAAAGACAGGAAGAGCAAGTGCTTGCCAACACCAGAAATCGTAGCACTTCGATCAACTTCAATGCCGAGCAGTCTCAAACTGGAAAGAAGACGACCGCCGATTCTGCAGATGATGAGTTTCCTTACGCCGAATGTGCTGAGTGCGAAGACTTTGTCCACGTTGTCGAGTTCAACGAGCACATGAATGCACATTCATCTCTGAATTCTTCATCTGACGCCGCACCTGGCACATCGACCGGACCCGAGTACAATCATGGCTCGATAGGACAGCCATTGGTCCAAGGCTCAACCAAGATTTCTCGCCATGTTGACCAAGGGCCCCGATCTCCAGATAAGAGGGCTGCTAGGTCGTCAGTAGAGGAAACACCAAGAGGAAGAAGGCTTGGTGTAAGTTGTGATTGGTCGTCTTCTTGACTTCCATAGATGTCTACCCCCTCCACCCAGACAGACTGACACTGATCTTCGCAACAGAAACGAGAGCTCGGACCTTATGCTTTTGAGAAGAGGATGCCCGAGTACATGCTCAAACGACTTCGAATCGGCGAACCAGTGCGTAGAGCGAATCGAATTGGCAGAAAAGGCCAGCTTTGTGTAGAGCGCATCGTCGACAATGAGGTTCCTGGACTTATTCCAGTTATCGCACGCCTTTGCGAGACCTCTGCCGGCCTGAGACGGGCCTATCTCTGCCACCCTAGCGTTCAACATGTGTTCAAAGCACCCAAGCAGACCCACTTTTGCGGTTATCGAAACATACAAATGCTTGTGTCGTACATGCAAGCTGTGCAAGCAACAAATCACGATTGTTTTGGAAAGCAGATTCCTGGTGTTCTTCGGCTCCAAGAGATGATCGAGGAGGCCTGGGACACCAGTGCGTGTAGTCTTGCCAGACAGGAGACCGGAGGCATTCTTAACACCAGAAAGTGGATCGGCACCCCTGAGGTACGTGTTGAACATGCAGAGAGATGACAATGCTCACTCTTAGTGACAGGTTGCATCAATCTGCGAGCATCTGAACATCCCACATTCAGTGCACGCCTTCTCTCACACAAGAAGCAAAAGAGCCCACGAGCAACTCCTCGACTTTGCAGAAACATACTTTCTTCCTGGCGCAACCGAAGAACGAAGCAAAGTACAGAAGACCTGTCGTGCACCGATCTACTTCCAACAGCCAGGCCACTCTATGACGGTAGTAGGCTTTGAGCGCTCCAATAATGGTTCTCGCAGCCTGCTGGTCTTCGACCCATCCTTTGGACCATCAAATCAATTGAGAGACTTGCTCACGAAATCGCTGAACGCGGTCATTGCAGAATCGGTGGCTAGTCGGCTGCTCAGTAACTACAGACGTAGCACTACCCAGCTGGCGAAGTACGACGAGTTTGAAGTCCTTACGTAAGGCAATTTCGAAGCACGGCATAATGATGTATACTGATCATCGCCGTGCAGACTGGACGCAGCAACGTGAACGATCACACTGGAGCTCGTTTTCCAACTGGCAAAGAACCTTTTTCGAGAAGCTCAAGGATTCATGAACTGCTCGTCACGTGGGCTGCTCGGACGACGGCTGTTGGAGAAGTTACTGAAGTCACGCTCAAAGGCTACACACACCTATTAGTCCTAACCTGGCATCTCAGACACGCAGAAATTCTTATATTGCTCATAACTTCGCGTGAGTCCCATGGTCGCCAAACCCATCTCGCCGATACGAAAGGCGTCGACGCAAGATTCGCCGGAGGCTCTGTCACATGCGATGCAGCGACCAGCCCCTAAGCTCACTCGATATATGACTGTATCGTAAAACATCAATAGACGGTAGGTAGCTTTCTATCCTGTACTCATAGAATCGTTCGCTTCTTTCACCGCTCTTCCGGTGTGACAGTGCATGCGCTGTGAAATCTTGAGGCCGGAAGATATAGCCACCTCCATCCTGTCCGTTCATACTTTCTCTCCCGTCGGAACCGGCTCCATCTCCCACTCTCCTCTATGATGTACACAGAGCGACAAGGGCTGTGGAGAGGCATAGTCAACTTTAGATCAGAGCAAACATCCTTGGGAAGTCTACGAGACGGCTGATCACTTCTACTTCTACTCCCCCTTCATGACAAGGGTAGAGTGACAAAGGCTATGAAGAAGCAAAATTGGTTTCAGAACCGATGCCTAACTTCTGAGAGAGTGTCGCCTGTGGCAGCTATCTCTGTCAGATCTCCCTCTGCGCCATGACGAAGGAAGGACGATATGAGCTGTAGAAAGGCACAATCGTTGTTTGAGAACCTAGCGGTGGGTGCCGAGAACGGTCGTCTCATCGACTCTCCAAAGACGTTGGCTCAAATCTGGAATTCGATTGTGCATTTGCACAGCTACACGTTTGCAGACAACGACATATGGAGAGGACATTCGAGCTACAATGATCATCAAGGATATGGTTTGGAGAGGTAGAGTTGATGCAAGGCTTTCTTGTTGCATCTGCAAGACTAATCTGTAGTCTAAGTAAAAGAAGCGCTTCTTTCGCGCTCTTGGTGATAAGTGTACATCACGACCTCTTCTCACAGTATGCAAGAAAACAGGTCAGTCAAGGCAAGCAAAGACGAAGTTTAAACCTCAGTCTCATCAGCAGCCTCCTCATCATCAGTGACCTCCATCTTGACATCATCGCCCTTGCCAGCGCCGAGAGTGGCCTCCTCCTCTTCAGCATCAGAAGCAGGAGCGCTCTTGATCTTCTTGCCAACAGCCTCGTCTTCGTCCTCGTCCTCGGAGATAGCAGCGTAAGCCTTACGCTTTCCACCCTTCTTAACAGCAGCAGTAGCAGCTCTGGTCTTCTTGACAGCAGGCTTCTTGGCAACAGGCTCAGAGGCCTCGTCATCAGAATCCTCGGCCTTGACGGCCTCCTCGCTGTCCTCGTCGTCAGAGGAAACGTGCTTCTTCTTCATGGCGGTGCCCTTCTTGGTGACCTTGCTGGTAGTGGCAGCGGCTCTGGTGGAGGCGGCGGCGGTGGTGTTGATCTTCTTGCGACGGGTCTGGTTCCAGCGCGACTTGGCGATGGTATGATCCTTGTACTTCATCTCGACGGCGACGGCATCCCAGTCGGACTATAAAAGCAAAAGGTTAGCGTTTGTGCGCAAAGTCGATGGGTCAAAGTGTGAGAGAAGCAGGAGGGAAAGCGGATGGGTCAGTATTGCGTCCGAGATCAAAGGCAGAAAGTTAGAAAGAGCAGCAAGGCAGACTTCGACATTACGCGCGAAGTCGGTGACTCAGATCGTGGAAGGAGCATGAGGGACAGTGGTAAAGTCTGTGAAGTGTCCAAGACCGAAAGGGGAGGGAAGTGGAAAAGGAAGGGCCAACGCTGCGCACGTCATCGACGAGTAAGAGGGAACAGAGGATAGGACGGGGATGGCCAGTGTTGCGTGGGAAACTCAGGGTCGGAAGGGCCGAAAGATAAGAGGGAAAGCGGAAGGGTCATTGGTGCGTGTGCGAACAAGGACTGGAAGAGAAGGGAACTTGAAGGATAAGGCCAACGCTGCGCACGACGTCGACGAGCAAGAGGGGCATAAAAAGGCACGGTGGGGACGGCCAGCATTACGTGTAAGACTCATGCTGGAGGGGACGAGGTGTGAGAGGGAAGCGAAAAGGCCAGTGGTGCAGACGAGTACAAGGACTGGAATGGAAGAGAGACCGTAAGGAGGGGATTGACGCTGCGCACAACGTCGACGGTTGAGAGAGAGAGAACAAGGCGGTAAGAATGGGTAAAAGAAGATAGAAGCGGTAAGATCGTAAGGTTGGAACGCCATTTCTGCGTGCGAAGGAGTAGGCCAAAGCTGGGAAAAGGAAGGGATCCAGTTCGAATGTTGGGAAAAGGTGGAAGGATGGATGCAGCGCGCTGGCGAGTCCAAAGAAAATCTTCGGCGCGCACAACGAGAGAAGGCGCGGTTCTCGAATGCGCATATGGCCAGTACTTGTAGGATGCAGGATATACGTCCTGATGATTGATAGAAGCAGAATCGAGACTTACGTTGAGATCGCCCTTAAGGTTCTTCATGATGCTGATCAACAGCTTGGTCTCGCCAGCGGAAAAGGTGTTATCGGCGGCGTCAGACATGATAGCTGATGCGGATCGTAGTGTTTGTCGGTGAAAAGAGGTACGGAGTTGTTATGTTGGATGAAAGACGCGTGAATGTTTGCGAATGGCGATGAATTTGGAGGATGTTGGGTAAGAAGAGGTGGAGGCACAAAAATTAGGGCGCGAGATGTAGCAAAGCAAGATAACCGCAGGCGACGAATGTTGTTGTGAAGAATCTCGCGGAACTAGAACGTGAAGTGAGGAAACGCGTTTACTTCGTTGCAACTTTGCTTGCGCGCTGGCGATTTGTTAAGGATCCTGGAACGGGATGGAACGATTCCGCCAGGCGAACCTGTTTCCCTCTTTGATTTTGTTATTAAGAGGTCACTGAGATGGGATTAGTATAGCTGATTGATATCTAGCAGGATGTCCTTGGGCCTTTTGACACAAGACGATTGATAGAAATATGGCCGTCACTCCTGAGCACACATGACATGCCTAGAAGTGAACGTTCTCGAAAGCGAGGTTGTTGACCGTCAATCATCTTCAAGTCAGATAATTCATTGATCTACATGAATGACAAGTGTGGTTCATCTGACTCATTTTAAGTAGCTACAATGACAAAGAAGCGACACCGAACATATGTTCTTCGCCAGAGCTTCCATTGCGCGCCGCCAATAGCGTGAGAGTTCTGTAACGGAATACAACGATTCTTGGGAGGCGTATACGTAGCGGTCTGATATTGGCCCAGGTGAAGTTACAATTGACATAGGGTTAGTCCCTCTGGAACAATGAGTTAACCATCATTAGCCACGTTGGTGTCAGAAATCTTATAAGAAGACATAAGTGATGAGTGTGATTCTTTTGAGATGAATATTGATGATCGTGATAGGACAAGAGCAACGAGGACGTTCAGTATTCTGCCGTGAACAAGACTGAGGTAAGTCTACATAAAGATAGTAGAGAGTTATGTTATGCCTGAATTTGTGAAGTTTGCAATGTTCCTTAGGCAGTGTAGAAACAGAGATATAACACATAATTCCTTCTCTCTCGCCTTAGAGTACCCAACTTGTTTGGCCGAACGCGACATGTGTCGAACCTTTTGACCGTTGAAAAAAATCTCCTTCTCTTATGCAGCCGAACGAATGTCGTCCGAATCTGAGTCCTCTGTAGCGCCTTTCGATCAGAGAAACTTGGACCGACCCAAGGTTGACATGATCATGATTCAGGGTCGCGATGGCTCCAGGTGCCAAGGGTTCGGCATGAGGTCTTTTGTTAAAGGCAGTATTGTTCGTGACTTCGGCATTGGCCACTGTCTTCCTCGTGTACGGCTTCGGATCGGTAGCACCGGCACGAAGCGTCTTGCCTCCTTCTTCATTTTTTCTCTACAATTATCGACGAGACGTGCCAGAAGGTCGCGGCGGAACTGATGAGGCACTAAAGCGTAGCAACCAAAGGCATTTGGCGTCCACCCTTTACGGTAGCCTTCAAGTGAAGTGGGCTCCTTGAAGAGATGGGGAGACTCCAGGCTGACGGCGAAGACGACAGACGATCTGATGAGGATCGTCATCTTGGAGGGGGATAGATGCCAGCCAAGTCGAGGGCTTCCTTTTCGGCAGAGGATCTCGCTTCTGGCGCCAGTCGGTGGGTAGTAGATATCAAAGGTGCAGACGGTGACAGCACGAATGCGAAGCTCATGGCGAATACAAGGCTTGATCTCTTGGGCTTCATCGCAGTTGAGATTAAGGAGGATACCGATGACTCGGATCAGGCAGATCGTCTTGCAGATAGATGGCGTCGAAGGTGGGCGCTTTGTAGCCGAATCGCTTGGGCTTCTCACCATCGTCGTGAGTGGCTGTGAGGACTTTGAATATTGGTGACATCTTAGACTTGCGAGATTGAGCTCGAGAATGAGAACAGCGAAGACTGCCAAGGATGTGGATGTTTTGCTGTAACGAGTTGGGAATGACACTCAGGCGCGTGAAGATGCAGAAATTGAGCAGAATCAGGACTGCCGGTACAATCTCCCCGGTGATTGGATTGAGCTGGAACCAAAGTTTTGTAGAAGAGGAGTAGTCGGCCGGCGATCAGAAGCTCATTGATGTGATTCGTTTTGCCGGTAGCAAGAAGCAGTCGCGAGGGGACGTTGCCTTCTTGCCTGTTCCGAAAGTGTGGCGACGACGTATCCAGAGCAGGTGCGAATAGCTGCAGAGGCTGCGGCCAAAGGAAGATGCAGTTGATTGAGTGTCGATGCTTTCGATCAGATAGTATTCAATGCTGGTGTTTTTCATTTGCGCTTCGACGCCTGTGCTAAAATGGCAATTCCAGTCTTGGAAGCAGTCTTTAAACATGGTTTCTTCATTTCTCTCCTCCGTATCGGGTCTCCGGTGTTCGTGCTGGGCTGTAATACGAGCCTCTCGTTCATTCTCGATGTCCATTTCACGCCGATGATCACGCTGCCACCTCTCTCACCGCTACCATCGACTGAAGGTCAAGTGCCATATCCCAGCGGAAGCTCGTCTAGATATCACTGTTCTGAGTGAATCCAGCAATGGAAGCCTCCATCACATCGTCAACCACACGCTCAGCTGCAACGACAACTTCATCAACAAAATCTTCCTTAGCAGCCGGATTCTCCTCGCAGTCCTTAAGCTCGATACGTAACGCGAGTATTGGAGTAACGACCGGACTAAAGCCTCTCCTGATGTTCCTCTTGAGTGCACTGAGTATATCAAGGAGATCTACCTTCAGAACCAGGAAATGCTTGTCTTCGTCTTTTCCGAGGTGCATGACAAAGAGATCTTCAACATCGGGCAGATTGTCTTCGGAGTCGTTGCTGTCGTCCTTGCTAGTTGAGAATGATCTGAACAGAGCAATGTAGATAAGGCCGATGATGAATACAAGGAGAGTGCATGCTGCAGCGATACAACCAAGCAACAGAATACTTTCTTGGGGGCACGACAACAAGGTTATTCTCAGGCCCATAGCAATGCCCAGTATCAAAGGCATGATCTGATCGTGAGTTGTGAGCCCAGAAGGAATCTCGAAAACGAACTTTGCAGCTGCTTGGAGGACTCCGACGAGGCGAAGAGGGCCTGACTTGGAGGTGCCCGAAGCGGAGATGGAGGGTCTTGGTGCCTTCCTGATAACATCGAGGTGTGATAGTAAAGATGGGTGAGTTGATCATACGGTTTCTGAGTCCCGCATGAACCCTTGTTCGCCAGCTCCCCAGTGCGAATGGCTCCAGTGCGCAAGAAGTGGAAGGATGCAGCCAAGTAAAGGAGCAAGGAATGACCTTCTCGGGAATCGATCAGGTCCTGTGCGGCAGAGCCGAGGTCGTGAATCATGAGGAAAGGGAGAAAAACAATGTTGACGAAACCCTGACGAACCATTTTGGTGATGACGTCCGAGCAGAGAGCCAGAAGGAAGAAGACGAGGATATTAATGACATTGAAGACCACGAAAGTATGCGAGGAAGATTGAAGTTCCTCCAAGATAACAGTGTACAGCATCATTGGAGGAAATGTTGGGATGATGAGTTGAGAAGGGGAGGTTGAGAGGATTCAGATGATCAAGCAGATGATATGGCCCTTAATACGAAAAGTTTTGGGTACCTGAAAGCGTGTTACACGTCGATGTGAAAGTGTTGGATCAAGACATGACGCTTCATGTCTCAACAGGCTCCTTCTCCACGAGCAAGATCGCGGCGCCCCGTCATGAATTTGTGCTTATTGTCCCACCTTGGCCATGTGGTATGTTATAGCTCCCACTTTCCTCATGATGATGTAGGACGACAATGAGCTGTAAAAAGGCACAATCATTTTCTAGAAAGACAGAATCAGTGAAGAGAGTGTAAGAAGACGTCTCTCCCTACACATTACTGCTATCTATAAAAGGTATTATGCCTTTTTACAGCTAGAAGGGGCTATGAGGCTACAGCTAAAGTGGCGGGTACTTCCAGCTACAAAGGCACCCCCCCTAAGGTCTGCCCATTTGATTCTCCTTCTTTCTCGATTAATGCAAACACGTATATCAAACCCGAGGGATACGCATCTCCGACTCTTTACAACAGTAAACTCCTATACGCTGCCGTACGACCGCAGAAACACCTACAATAACAAGCGAAGGTCGAGCGACAACACTTGAGATTTCTCTGTCATCGACCCGGTTACGCTCTCGATCTCCCTACCCACCGGAGGGTAGACAAGAACGGCACAAAGACACACTTCTTAAGCTTGGTCGTAGCTCTAGCTGATAGGCCCAGAACTCCTGCTCGTGGTTGAAGAAAGGGAAGGAATGGGTAGAGAAAGTTTTTGGTAGTGTTTGGGAAGCAAACGACGATTGGAAAAACACGGTTGATGACTCTTTCTCATCACCGAATGCTGGCAAGTGGAGAGTTGTGGAAAGGCAGAGACATGTTTGTAGCAAGTCATGCAGAGATGAGAGAATGATGTATTGGATGGAGATATGAGCTGGTGTTATTGTGATTTTCAAGCTAGAGAAAATGAAAAGGTATGTTGAAGAAAGGGGAGATGTAAACCCGATCTGGCCCTTTGTGCAAGAACATGTTACTTAGAATTGTATGCATATTTCAAGGGAAGTCCTCCATGTATTCCTCAATGTCCTCCAAGGCTAGATTCACGTAATCATGAATGGCCTTGCAACGAATGCCTTCGCTAAGATCATCGATTACCTCCTTCATGGTATTGTGGTGGAGGGCAAAGTAACCGTTCTGCAACGCGGTGGCTTCGAAGCTGGCATGTACGAGCTCGGGCAACTTGACAGAGAGATCGTCTCGGAGTTTAATGAAATCAGCAAGTAGATTGACCATATTGTCGGGTCGTGGCACAGTGTTCCTGTTCATATGCGACACAAAGAGCTCTTCCATGTCAGGCAGATCATCATCTTGACTGGTGAAATTATCAGAAGAGGGAAGTGAAATACCCAAGCTCTCCTGGATCTCGATGTTTCTCCAGTAGTATCCAGTAGCATCATGGATGGAGTCAAAGACGTAGTCAGCGATGACAGGCACATGAAGTTCGATGTAATTACGGATCAACAAAGCGTTGTATATCAAGCAAGCAATACTAGGAAGATAGAAGAAGTGGACCTTGAATGCGAAGCAAAAGGAGCCATTGAGGCAAAGAGACGGCAAAGAGAGCCAGCTACAAAAGGCCCACACGCCTGTAGCCGTGAAGTATAGGTTCAGGAAGCCAGAGATGAGGTTGTTGATTCTCTGCTCATCCTTCATCAGATCTTGGATACGGTTGTTGGTCAGGACAGCAAGTTTGGCGATACAGTCTTGAGCAGACTTGATGCCAGTGCTGATATCTTGGAGAGCTGGACGGATGGTGGGACCCATAACGTTCTCGTTGAAGGCAGCCTTGAAGTAGGTGATATGAGGGCTGAAGTTGGAGATGGTTGTTTCCAACGAGGCGCGTAGATGCGTCATGAGAGTAAAGATGGCCGAGTCCAAGTAAGCCCTCAGATGAGCCAAGAAGCCAGCCCTGACAGGAACCGATGCAGAAAAAGTCTTACGAGCAATCTGGTGACAAACGGCGCGAAAGTCGTTGTTTGCGAGGAGGATACAAAGCATGAAGGCAATGAAGGAAAGAAAGAGAAACCAGAGAGCAAATGCACAAGAGACCATCAGAAACTGATGGGCATCACCAGAGGCTTCGGCATCAGGCATTGACAACCAAGAAATATGGTTTGAGAATTTGATCATGTTTGCTGCTGCAATTGTTCGTGGTGAAAGATGCGTAGACAGGCAGATGGGATGAAAGAGGGAAGTTGAAGTGGAAGTGCTGTGGAGGCTGCCTTTATCGTTGCAGCAGATAGATGGGCTGACTACGTGTTAGCTGATCTTAGATGGAGACGCGACAGTCGTTGAGGCATGATGTGTCTGTTAGCTGTCTTTGATCCAATCTAAATCAAGACATGAGGCAGGTACATCCCTGTTCTGGATTGGAATGCTAGGTCTCGAGCGTCTGTGTCGAAACTACGAGAGTTGAACGCGCATTCTCAAGCGGACAAGATGACATTCTGCACCACCTCGATCAACAAAGAGTTGTGTGCATGAGATCCAGGTCTCTAGATAAGATGCGGTGCTACAACTCTCTTTCACGGGAATATGAGGTTTCAACAAGGATTCAAAAGCAGGCCCATCTCACTCTGCATCGCTTCCGTTATATGCTTCGATGAAGAAGTGGGAACGAAATACCGATTTTTTGAGACAGCTGAGACACAGCTGTCTCATATACGCCAAACAAGGGTTGCCAGTACGTTCGTTTCCTGCGTCATGCTCCATTCCGTATCATCAGGTCAGTCAGCCCTTGCTCAAACGCGATTGTGCATCTTGACATGTTTTGATTCAATGAAGAAAACTAAGAACGAAGATCGTGATCTCCATCCAAGTGCATCGTGATAGCTCATTCGAGATCCATCTCGTTCTCGAAATCAAATAAGACAGTCTCTCCTCCAAACTCATCTTGTGGTTTCCTTGCTTCGAGCCTCTTGAGCTCAGCTTGATCGCGAGCAAGTATCTCGATGCGACCGGCAAGCTGCTCCAATGCCTCATTGTAGGCATCCAACGTGTTCTGGAGACTCTGATGACGGAGCCAGAATTCTTTCTCTGCACTGTCTGCAAAAGTACTGTAGCCTGCCGTCGGAAAAAGTAGAATATCATCATACCAGTCTCCTTCTGAGCTAACAGGAGATATCGGCGGAGGCGTTTGGAGGTGTATGTTGTTCCACTGAGGCTCGCTCTGCTGGATTCTTACCCCAGAAGCCTCAGACAGATCCTTCTCCAGGGTATCCAGGCTGCGGCAGACAGTAAGGATGAAGAGTTCGAGCGATAGGAGAAACAAGAGGACCAAAGCGAAAGGTAGTATAGAGACGAAGACCAGCTTCATGAGGAGGTAAATCAAGAGCGAACTGCTGAGAAGCATCATGTCTGTGGGCAGTCCTGTTGAGCTTAATTTGTGAGTATGAATGGAGGTGTCTTGTCCAAGAACTACACCTCGACATATATCGAGTCCTCGACGGCTATGAAAGTTCATCGAGATCGATGTCTCTACGATGTCTAAGACAAAGCATGCCATCGTTGGAGTTGGTGTGAGCAATGTCTTGAGACCGGAAGCCTTCACAAGACAATTCGGAACCAGCAGGCTTCCGGATTCTTCTATACTGGCCTCAGCGTCACAGGCCACCGTCGATGCCGAGACATTCTGAGCTCCAATCACGCGGCTCGAAACGCTCGACAGCTTGCTGCGGCGTTGTTATTCTCTTCACAGTCGACGCAGTCACAACTTCCTCAGTCACGCGAACAGATCCTCGAGATTCTTTCGCTCACCACTCCTCTCGCAAATCTTCTACTGCCTTCAAGTACACCAGCAAGGATGTCGTTCGTCTTCACCTCCTACTTCGATCGCTTCCCAAGCTTTGCCCACAATCCTCGTTGCAGCGTTCGCGACGAGTTCAACCGTCTCTCCAAGACCCAGAAGTGGGGCTTTGAGGAAAAGAACCGTCAGAGAGCCAAGTGCTACAATGAAGAACTCGAAGGCCACTTTGCCAGTCTCGGCATGGACACTCAGCTCGACCGCCTCAAGCATCTTTGTGTTGAGGTTGGCCTTGAGCCTCTAACCACTGTCAGCCAGTGCAAGAAGGTGAGAACGGTATTGCTCATTTGGTCGAACCGTTTTTCTGATAATGTAAATCCCAGGCCCTCAAGAAAGTTCACGTCAATCTTGTCGACCTGATGAACGCCCGCCGTACCGACAAGAAGGTCAAGCAGTTCGCCACTGTCAGAAAGCTGCGCAAGTACACCCTCGAGTCGGGAAAGGTTTATCCCAAGGAGGATGCCAAGTGTGATGTCGTCAAGGTTCTTCTCAAGAACATCTTCTTCCACTAGAGAGAATGATGGGTGGAAATGCTGTTGGATGAAATTTGATTTCGTCCTGGATAACGAAAGTCGAGAATGAAAAGTCCTTTTGCCTGTTATGAATTCCCGGGTCCACCGTTCTGTGAAGCTGTGATGATGCACACTTGATTTTAATTCGTGGCATTTTTCATCGCGAAGTCATACTAGTATCTTTACATAGCCGAGTCTTCAATGGCGAGAAGCACTTTGCATCTCGACAGCCAGCAAAACATCATCTCATGAAGCTGAGATACTGGAGCCAAGTCTGAACAAAAGCTGTCGTCTCCGTTGGCGAGGGACAGCAGAAGAGACACTGTTAAGAGGCATGAGAAAAGTGGTCGTGTACAGGCTCAGAGGAAGGGAAGAATGTTATAGAATTGGGCGCTCATGCTCTCACAGCTCATCAAGCAACCTATCCCATTTCGCAGCTTCCTTGACCTTTGCTTTCTCTTCTGCAGGATCGACGAGGTGTATACCAGGAGCAGTTTTGTTTTCCTCCAATCCCAGAGCTTCTCTCCACTCTGATGGCTTCTCGGTCACAGTAGCAAGAGTTCCTTTTCGCCACAAGACGATGACGAGGACGAAGACGATGAAGGCCGTCAAACCAGTTAGAGCAAGTGCCCAGGTGCGGTTATTCCTCTTGTTCACTTCTTGCTCCTTCTTCTCCCATTGCTCAAGGCGCAGACGACAGGATTCTAGGCGAGATTCATAAGCTTCAGCTCGTTCCTTGGCCTTGTGCAGTCGCTTGACCAATTGATGGATATTCTCGTCTTGCTGCGCCATATTCCCAAAAGCGTCAATCTGACCAGTGATGTCCTTGACCAGTGAATCAGATGTCGTGGCAAAGTCTTTTGCAGTGTCGTCGAGGCAGGAGTGCAGGTCTTGGAAGGATGCGATGGTGGCTTTGAGTAAGCCGACCTTTTGGAGTAAGGCGTAGTAGGTGTCGTCGAGCTTGCGGGTTGCTGTATGAGCATCGCGGGATATGGCATTCAAGGCGGCCGAGACGTGGTCTTGACGTCTCTCGCGTAGATGGCGTTCATGGGCGATGGTGTCGGTGGTGACGAGACGGCGGGGCGGGTGGTCGACGGCATATTCTACTTCGGGGGACCATTGTGGTTTTGGAGGCTCTTGTTCTTGATCATCATTTACACCATCTTTGTTGGCATCGGTCTTCTCGGGAGAGCGGTCGCGGCGGATCTTGTTGTGGTGGTGGTGGTGCTGTTGGGCTCGTCGCAGCGGGTTGTAGTTGTCAAACGAGAAAGGATGCTGTAGCTGAACAGCCGATGTGATTGTGTCGCGCGCGTGGTGATGACGATGCGGGCGACGATGGCTAGAGTGCTTCTTTTCTTTCGTGTCTGCCTTGTCCATGCTGACGTGCCATGGTAAAGTCTCGTTGTTGCTTTCAGAACATGGTGGTCGGTGGTCGATGGTCGATGGTCGCAATCTCCGCAATCTGGGCCTAAACTCCTGCCTCAAATACGTCACATGCAATTGTCTCAGCTTTTGGCTCCTTGTCGCCGCCCCAAGAATAAGAATAGGTGGACAGGTGACATGTTGGAAATCTTGTAACATTGTATGCGTTTATGCTCAGTCCACGCCAGAACGCCATGAATATACAGCCAGGGTATCTCTCAATGCTTGTGTGCCTTGCCCTCGTAGCGACTCCACCCCTCTCCTGCTACACTCCTCTATGACTTGAGGAGCTTGTTTCTCTTCTCTCTGCGCTTTAGTCTGTCGACTCTCTTCTGGTGCATCTTCTCGGCCATTTTCTCGTAACGCTCCTTCTCTTCCTTTGCCTCGCGCTTCTCCTTGATTGCTGCAATGCGTCTCTGCTGCCGTGTTAGTGCTTGTCTTTGGGACCCTATGTCGGACTTGTCGGACTTTGCGCTCTGCTTCCTTTTCTTCCTTCATCTCCTTTTCCTGTGCTTTCATGACGGCGATCGCTTGCTCCTTGACCTGGCGCTTTGCGTATGATGTCTGGCCGGCGGTAGGGCGGAAGGCCTTCTTGGTGTCTTGCCAGTGTTTGCCTATGACATTTGTCAGTAAAAGGTTATGCGGCAAGCGCTATTTCCGCTGATCCATCCGGGCGAAAAGTCGAGAATAAAAAGACGCATGCGTGATATAGGGGATGCGGCAAAAGACTCACCATTCTTACGCATGCCCGTCGTTTGCGGGATGGTAGCAATCGGTGTATCAGATGTGACGGTAGACATGCTTGTGGTGTACAGAATAATGGTCGATGAGAGAATACTTTTTTGGACGATGCAAATGCTCAGACGGGCAGCACCCCACAAAGTCTTGGCTCCTTCCTGAATCTCGACTCGACTCGTCTCGTTCGGGCGTTTGCTCCTGCCAGCCGAAGTCGCGGCTTCTCCACAAGTTTCGCGGAAGGAACGAGGCGGCGAGGCCCCAGCGCTAGACACATGAAAGACGCAACAGGCCAACCCTAGCCGCATTGCTCCAAAAACTCCACCCCTCCATCGCCAACATTTTTCAAGTCTTCGTATTTTTATTCTTGTTCTCTTCTCTTCAAATCGTACCACCCCAATCGATCCCCTGTGCACCTCGTCCCATTCCACATATCATGCTCCAACGATAGCATCGACAAACACCTCGTACATTTCCAATTCCCACCCTCGCTTCCTCGGAGAAAGCACTCAACGCTGATGGACGTCCGCGATGCACACCATGTCCTTCCTGCCGACTCGTTGGCCCAACGTATAGAGCCCACGCAAGCACAACAGCAAGCCATCACTGCCCTCAAGGACGTCGTCTTTGGTTCCTTTGCCGGCATGGCTGGAAAATACATCGAATACCCCTTCGACACTGTCAAGGTCCGACTACAATCTCAGCCCGACAACATGCCCCTACGCTATACCGGCCCTGTTGACTGCTTCCGCCAATCCTTCCGTCGTGACGGTCTGAAAGGCCTATACCGCGGTATCAGCGCTCCTCTGTTCGGAGCTGCCGTCGAGACCAGCAGTCTGTTCTTCAGCTATCAAGTTGCCCAGGACACTCTCAAAGCAAGCGTCTACAAGAACACCGACCCTCTACCGCTGCATGCCCTCCTGGGTTGCGGCGCCTTCTCTGGCGCTTTTGCCTCGCTGCTCCTCACCCCGATCGAGCTCATCAAGTGCAAGATGCAAGTCCCCGTCGAGACTTCGCCGGGTGTCTTTGCTCGTCCCAGGCCATACACCCTGATCTCCTCAGTATACCGCCATCATGGCATTGCTGGCTTTTGGCATGGTCAAATGGGCACCCTCATCCGCGAGATGGGTGGTTCAGCTGCCTGGTTCGGCGCATACGAGTCCCTTACTCTGGCCTTCAAGAACCTCCAGAAAGGAAAAAACCTCTCAGACACCTCCCTGCCTGTGTACCAGCAGATGATCGCTGGTGCTGCAGCAGGTATGAGCTACAACTTTCTCTTCTACCCCGCCGACACCATCAAGTCGCGTATGCAGACAGAAGCCGTCGGTGCTCTTCTCCCAGGCCACAAACGAAAGACCTTTGGCTCTGTCGCTCGCGCTCTCTGGAAACAACATGGTCTCAAGGGCTTGTACCGTGGCTGCGGTATCACCGTTGCTCGCTCTGCACCCAGCTCCGCCATCATCTTTTCCATTTACGAATATCTCAAGAAAACATTTGCATAATAATGGGTCTGCTTTTCATGTTTGGCGTAACGGTGCTTTCCTTTTTTTTTCCCATAGCGTGGTCTAGGTAGAAGGTGTTTGTTTAGAAGAAATGGCTATGCAAAAGTCGGTTTGATCTTGGATATAGAGCATCTTTTCTCGTTCTTCTTTTGCGATCAATTCTATACTATTATCCTCGCATGTCCTTCAGATCTTGTATGCTCTCATGACTAGGAAAATTGATTCTCGATATACTCGCATCTCAACAGAATGACGCTCTGTCCACTCCTAGCCCCGACGCTAACCACCAAATGACATTGGCTTCTCGATCAAGAAGAGCTCCACATTCATATCAAACCTGCAGCAAAGGAAAAGAAGAAGAAGAAAATTCTCCTTGTCGCAAGAGAAAGCGGTCGGTCATGACACGCTTTGACAACGCAGATACCTCCCACAGACAACATGCACTTTCCGCCTGCTGCTATGAGCGAAACCAATGGAGCATACGGGATATGGACATGGCAGCTTTACGCACGGAGCATTCTACCTCGATGGTTTTATGCCCGATTGTGCCCTTCTATTGTTTCCGACCTCGGCAGAAATTTTGACTAGCGCTGAAAAGATCTGATCTGATTGATAAGACGAAGGAGAAAGGAAAAAAACTCTCTCCAATCTGATAAGAAAATTTAGTCCTAGTGAGGTGCTTTTTTTAAGCATTTTTTTTTGTTCTCGTGCAGTTTGTTACAATTTTTCTCATGCACAAATTGTATACGAGTCCCTAAGGACCGATATAGACCGAAATTACCCCTTGGAGGTGCTCGAGTGATTTTCCATGAGGGTTAGGATAGAGAAGGGGAGCTCGAGGGTGTGATTGATTTTTGTTCTTCTCAAAAGTTGATTCTTGATGTACAAGGGGGGGGGGGGGGGGGGAAGAGAAGGGGAGGAAGAGATAAGACGGTAACGCTCGTGATGATAATCCAAACAAGCACAAAGGTATTCAAAAAAAAATTAAAAGGGAAAAAATTGCAACAATGCTGTGAATGGGCTATGAAAATGCTTTCCTGCCTTCCTTCCTGCCTGCCTTTCTTACTCTTCTCCCTCATGCGGAAACAGTGTCCTTTGTCTTCTCACCCCAAAAACAACTCCAAAAACCTAACCTTTCTCTCCATCTCCGCCAACTTGTCCTTTTCCTTGCCTTCGACTCCTCCCCTAACAATAGCACCGCACACCACAGCACTTAATCCTCTACTCACACCCTGTCTCCAAGCCTCTCTCCCTTCTTTAACCACGCCCTTCTTCCTCAAACCCTGCGGTATCCCCGCCCAAAACTCTGCACTAGGAGGTTTAGAGAGCAGAGAAGCATTATTGTGTTGAAACGCCGCCAACACTTCTGAAATACAGCGATCCAACATGCCAGTAATCAAGATGAAAGAAATCGAATGTGCAGGGGAAGAAGAGAGGATTTCTTGTGCCCATGTGCGTTGTTCCTCGGGGGTGCTCTGTTGTGCCGGTTTGAGCTTTTCTTGTTTTCGCAGGCCTTCATCTAACGTGGTCCAGAGAGCTGGTGTAACAATTCCTTCATGCATGGCGGAAAGGAAGAGTATCAGAAATTCAGCCACACTTTCCAATCTTTCCAGATGAGAAAGTGGTGGCAGCGTTGCTTCAAACGAGGCATCAGTATCCAAAGCTTCTGCGATATCAGCAAGTCGATTTGCCCTTTCCTTTTCATCTGTAAATGTCCATGAAGAAGGCGAAAATGGCCATCCAGCAATTTTTTCCCAAGGAGGTAGGGAAGAGTCGTCGTTTAACATTCCCCACTCGGCAGTAACACGTACGATCAATTCCTCTATCACCTCCGTCAGCCGGAACAGCTCGCGGGGCGCCGACCACTTTACCGGTGTTGTTTCGTCATCTACTACACTGCTTGAGGCTGAGGTGGTGCTTTTACTGCTATCCGGTTTCTGGCGCTGCAGTTTGCGAATACCGCCTTCAGGGATACGGATCAATTTGCTGATGGAGTGGCCGAGAGAGCTTTCGAGCCAGGTGCCACGCAGAGGGATGAAATGATCACGCCCGTTCTCAACGCGTAAGACCAGGATATCTTCGAGAGATTTGATGCTTTCGTTGAAGGCGCGTGCGAGACTGAGATCCATGATACGGAGTTCGAGTTCCACATTAAAGGCTTGACCGGGTTGAAGTGTTCGTTTACTGAGATCGGAGGATAATTTACCGTTTCCGTCGTCAATTTTGAGGGAGACCCAGATGGGTGCTATGCCAGGGTGTTGACCGGGTCCTACGGGTCGGTCGATGAAGTAGACGGTTGCGTCGACTTGGCCTGTGTTTGCTATGGTTAGGCTGCGGCGCTTGTGCATGGCATATCTAATTTCTGTGTGATGTCAGTACCGAAGGTCTTACTGTAAAAGTGTCTTTCACAAACCTCCAAACCACACTCCTTCGAATTTTAGTGGGTCTTCATCAGAAATGCCTTCTTCGGTGGAGTGCGGGCGATCAACCACAACTAAAGATTGATGGTGTTAGCAAGAAGGAAAGCCAGCGTGGGAGACCTTTCACAAACCTGTCACATTCGGCCGGCCTTCATTTTCTGCTCTGTCCAGTTCCCGCGCGACTTCCTGATGGATCTTCGACTTTAGCTCTGGCACTACTGCATCGTACTTGAACGAAAAGACGGCATCTAATGGCTTGTGGTCGGATGACAAGACTCGTTGATGCGCCACGTATGCCTCCAGACTGATCTCATCAGCAAAGCCTTCCTTGGTGATGACTGTTCCCTCAGGCACATCTTCGTATTCATCGTAAGAACCAGCTTCGTCTGCATCCTCATCAGGATCGTAATCGTATAACATCTCTTCATCTTTGCCTGCTTCATCCAGACCGCTATTCTTCATCTCTTCGTCCTTTTTTCTGGATTCTTCTTCTTCAGCAATCGTGCTCTCATAGGCAAGCATATCGCGTCGTGTTCTCCAGAGGATACGGTCACACCAGCTGGGAGCACGCCTCTTCTCGCTCGAATCAAAGACTCCAACACTTCCAGCATCATACTTGTAAGTCGGCAGGAATGTGATAGGTCCTTCTTGCCAGCCTTGGAAAGCCTTTCTCGCTTTTTGCTGTTGATGCAATTCGTCGTGAGGAAGGAGAGATGACAGTGTAGTGTGCAACGAAGCAGGATCGCTAGCCGGATCGAGCACATCCTCAGGATCAAAGTCCTCGTCTTCGCCCTCATCGTCGTCGCGTGATCTGACTGTTGAGACTTGTGATACGCCAGAGTCGGTGGACTTTCGGTTGTCCCTTCGTCGCTCAATAGAAGCCTGCTTGCGTACAATTTCTTGCTCAGCTTTTTTGCTTTGCTTCTTCGACAAGTCGTATTCATTACGAGTGTGGAGCATCAGCAAGCGACGGACATCTTCACCAGGAATGCCCTCAAGTCTGTAGTTGAGATCGCCGACAAAGAACGCAAAGTCTGCGTCGTCGATACCTTCACCAACATTTTGTGAAAGGCCCATAGAATCGTTGATGGGCTCGAACTTCGTGCGACTCATGACTTGTCCATAATCCCAGTTTCGACGCTCGACAGCACCCTTGTCTGTACCAGCAGCAAGGTGAGCGTTGACGAAAACAAGACGAGTGGTTTCTCCTAGTACAATCCTGGCAGTGACAGCACCCTTGTTGCCCATATAGCCCATGAGACCTGTGCCAACACTAGTAGTGCTGACCGATTTGATATCTGCAGCCACATCCTCAGAAGCATAGACGAGTAACAGCATACCTATAAGCTGTTGCTCTGCAATGAACTTGTAGCCTCTTGGAAGATGAGCCTCCATCTCACTTTTCCATCTCTGTGCCACCGAAGCATCCGTGAATGGTCGAAGAGCCTCTGCAGCAGAGTTGACATCCACGATCTCCTGTAGTCCAAGAAGGTAGAGTCCAATATCATCGCCGCCAGGCAATAATGATGGATCATTTTGCGGTAAGGTCGATTTCTTTTTCGCGTAGCGGGCTTCCTGGTCTTCCACACCTTCGCGGTCATCCAGTGAGCTCCGATTCTGCGCTACTGCATCATCGTGTGCTTCAGACTCATCATTGACACTGAGATCCGTCAACCCTTCGGCGATGCCTTTGCCATCAACAAACCAAGCAATATCTTTCTCGGCACCTTTGTAAGCAGCAGCATTCCAAGTTCCAACCTAAATCGCCATGAAAATCAGCACCTCCCACTTAAGAGCCATTACAAGATACATGCCTTGATCTTGATATGTTTCGGTCTCGTGTACTCAGATCTCCTGGAATAAACAGCTTGCGAAAGTGACTGTTGGTTCGAGGTAGGCGGTTGTATCGATTCTGGATATCCGCCTGGTAGTGAATTGACCACTTCTTGCATCAAGCTGCTAGAAGTGCTTGTAGGTCGCGATGATTTGGTACTCGACATCTCTGCTCATTTGATCGCGTGGGAAGGAAAGATCAAAGGATGCCCAGGCGTAAAGGATGCCGATGATCCTGCTCAATAAGGGAGAGAGAGAGAGAGAGAGCTCTTGGAATGTAGCTAAATGACAAGTAAAGGTTTTGGTCACTTTGTCACGACTCGTGTCTATTCTGGCAGGTGCAGTTCTTCTTTTCGAACCTCAAAGAGTCGCGAGGAAAAAGTCATGGACTCGCTAAACAATGATGTTTCCGCGAGGGTGGTCACTGGCGAGGTCATCCGCGAGGAGGCTGTGAGCCGCAAGATCGACCAAAAAGGCTTGGCCTAGATTTTCCTCTGTTCGCATGACGAGATGGCTCATTGTTGAGGGACCACTTTTTACCGATACACACCCATCTGCTGCGCCTCACTGGTGTGATGAAATGCAAAGGTCCAGATCATGGTAGAGAAATCGATCAGAATGACTTTGTCAAATACTGTCTAAATAATACATGATGCAGCTTTTTCCCGAACTTCTCCATGCCCCTCGCGAGAGCAAAAGCGAGGACAGGCATTTCTGGGGCAGAGTCCGCTGCGACCTTCCATTCTGCCTCCTCCAACGCCAAAATTATGATACGATATGATAGCAATAATTCCAGCAATGAAAGAACATAGCAAAAAGAACAGAGGCTCCAAAGTCTCAGCGCATTGCTGAATAAGAATAATGAACGTGCCGCCATGTCGGGCTTCATGAGGCCATACCGCCATCAACGTCGCCGTCAGCTATCGCAAGACGTTGTTTAAGCGTCTTCGCCTTCTTGCCAGAAGTCTTCTTCTTCTTCGATGGCGGACCGTCAGCGGCTGCAGGCACTGGAGTTGCTGCTCCAGAAGGTTTGTTGCTGTGGTCATCGTCGAATTTGCCCTCACCTGTAGCAGTTTTGTTAGCATTTGTAGTCAGACCAAAAACATCGAATGTGTACTCACCTTCATGGTACATGTCGTCCATACTGATTTCCTTTTTCTTGGTGGGAGCCTTCCTCTTCTTGGACTTGTTCGGCTCTTTCGCTTCTTGCTCAGCAAATTCGGCTTCTTTGCGCTCGATCTCAGCAGCTTGGTCATCATCAGCGAGCCATAGAGCGATGTCCTTGGTGCGATTTTCTCTGGTAGTGCGTCCGTTGAAGTCAACACCCTTGTCACCACTTGTAGCACCTGCGCCACCAGTAATGACCACACGTTGCACTTCTTCCTTCTGCAGAGCACGCTTGCGGATGCGCTCTTCGATCGTACCACGTGTGATAAGACGATAAACTGTGACTTGTCTTGTCTGACCCAGACGATGAGCACGATCCATGGCTTGTGAATCGATGGTAGGGTTCCAATCACTGTCGTAGAAGATGACAGTGTCAGCAGAGGTAAGGTTGATACCAAGACCACCAGCACGAGTACTGAGAAGGAAGACGAAGATCTCGGGTGTCGATTGGAAGGCCGCGACAGTGTCTCTACGGTCTTCCAGCTTTGTCGAACCGTCCAAACGGCAGTATTTGTAGTTGCGGTATGTAAGATACTCCTCCATCAAGTCGATCATACGTGTCATCTGGAAGTAGAGCAAGACACGATGACCACCCTCCTTAAGTTGTCTCAGAAGCTTGTCTAGTTGGGCCAACTTGCCGGAGTCTGTGACGAAGCGACGCATGCTCGGGACCTCGATTGTTGTGTATCCCTGCTTCTTGTTGATGGGCTCAGGTAGCATATTGACAATAGGATAATCAGATGGTGCGATCTTGTTTGACAAAAGTGCGTGTTCGGCCTCCAATGTGATAGGGTTGAGGGTGCTTCGCATGGGGGCATTGAAGAATGTGGTCTCCTTCTCCACGATAGAGTGCTGACTTGGGCACACAAGCTCAATCGGAGGTGCAGCTGCTGTTGGGAGACTGCAAGGCTCAATATCGCTGTAACCAGTCTGCTTCACTGCCAGTCGTGAGACGTTCATGAGGTTGCTCAAATAACCCTCGCCCGACACATCTGCGACCAAGCTTGGTTTTGAATGCTGAACCACATTGAGCATAGAGTGCGCAGGCACATAGCGCTCCCTGGCTTCGAGATAGTCGCCTTGTTGGAAGAAGGTACGGCGCTTCGACTGCCTTTCAAGCTCGACTGCACGATCGAAGATGCCGTTGTGGGCTGCTCGAGAAACCTCGCTAGCGGACTGGTCGACGAATCGCAACCATGAAAATGCTTCTGCACTCTTGGTGTTGTTCTTGACGTGCTCAGGGTTCCAAATGCTCATCTTATGCTTCAGCCATTTGTTCCTCCAGCCAGCATGCAAGTTATCGGGTCCAGCCAGATCAAGACGACCGCCTTCAGAGCCAAGCTGTTTTGGTAGCCAGTACTCTATTAGACTGCGAACCGAGTACGCTAGATTGACGAAGTTGCCCTCTCTGCTGAAAGAAGCTGTCTCTGCCCAGTATGAGACAGCAAGCGGCGAAGTGGTGTCTGCACGCTCAAACAAGTCGGGATGATTGCAGACCTTTCTGAATTGCATGACCAAGTTCATCAATGTTGCAGTATCCTGATCATCCCCGACAGCTGCCTTTTCAATGAGGTCCAAGATGCTGATCTTGTTTCGCAAGTTGGCATAAAGCGCTCGTTGACGGTATGTGAGATCGCAGTATACGTCCTTCTCCACCTTGTCGCCAAGTTCCTTCTGAACATGTTTCTTGACACGGCGCAACATGAAAGGCTTAAGGATCATGTGCAATCTCTTGAGCTGATCCTCGTTAAGCTTTGTATTGCTTTGCGCGTGACTCTCGATGTCCTTCGAGAACCAGTCACTGAACTCATCGTGCGAATCGAACAAACTAGGCATGATGAAATGCAGCAAAGCCCACAGCTCTTGCATGTTGTTCTGAATTGGTGTACCAGTCAGAAGTAGGCGATTACGGCAGTGGAATCCTAACAGAGCCTTCCATCTCGAACTGGAAGAAGACTTGATAGCTTGAGCTTCATCCAGAATCATGTATTGCCAGCGAATCTTTTGGAAGTAAGGCGTGTCTTGCACCACAAGCTGATACGATGTTACCAAGACGTGGAAAGACGATTCTCGGTTGTAAGTAATATGCTTGCGGTCCCAGAACTTGCGCAGGACCTTACGATCCTTTGCGTTACCCCAGTATGGCAGGACTTTGAGGGTAGGAACGAACTTGGCAATTTCCTGTTGCCAGTTGTGGAGTGTCGAGGCTGGAGCGATGACCAGGAAAGGTCCCCAAATGTTGTGGACTTCGGCCAGGTACGCCATGACTGAGATAGACTGGACTGTCTTTCCTAGACCCATTTCGTCGGCCAGGATACCGTTGATACCTTGCTCGTATAGGTTAACCAACCAGTTGAGACCCTTCAGTTGGTATTCCTTCAGCTGACATGTGAGCATGTTTGGTTGAGCGACGTCCATAGTTTGCAGACTGGTAGGATTTTGGAAGTTCATTTCGCCATCGTCGAACTGTGACATCTTGTTCTCTCCGTTTGGATCATTGAAAGCGCGCGCTCTGTCTTGTGCCTCCTGGACGGCGTTTTGAGCATTTGCCATAGCAGCCTGGCGCAAGGCAGTCTCATCCTCAGCATCGAAATCAAGATCCTCGAAGTTCGTAACCTTGGTGCTGAGGTCGGCGACACTGTCAGGGAGATCGATGGTATTGGCACTAGCAGGACCAGGCCTGATTGCTTGGTCCGAAACAGAGGCATCATTAGTAGAGTTTTCGACTTCGTCTGTCTTGACCTTCTTGCCGATGAAATGCGAGTACAGTTCTGTTTGAGAGATCAAGAAGTTCAGCTTTCTCTTTTGGCGATTTGCTTCGCGCTCGGCTTCGGCACGTTTGGCATTCTCCAACTCTTGCTTCTCGGCCATCTTGCGCTGGTCACGCTCGTCGCGCTCGTTACGCTTCCAGAAGGAGAGCATCTCACGCATAGCACGCTTGGCGCGAGCCTGTACATCTTTGGTGCTCTTGTTCGTGCGGAGTTGCCAACGACGTGCCTCTTTGGAGGCCAGCTGAGCCGTCTTGCGCATGTTTCCTTGCTTGACCTCGAGTGCTTGGAGTCTGGAGCGAGCAATTTTAGAGGCGCTGACAGATATGTCCTTCCAGGCTTCGCGATACAGCTGGTCATACGTCTTTTCTCCAGGCTCGATGTCTTCCATGGGTGTTCCTTCCATACCATCGCTAGAGGTACCGCGCAGACTTCGGAGTCGCAATTCTTCTCTCGGGGTGATCGGGGGCATATCCTCGCCGCGGTCCATGAGGGCTTGTGCTTGGGCGGCGCTGTCTTTCTCGGCTTGTTTCTGTGCCTTGCTCTTGCGTGGACGGTATCCTTTGGCGCCTTTCTTCGCTTTGGCATCTGTTGAAAGGTCGTCATTAGCTTGGAAAGACGACATGAAGCCCCCTTCGAGGTTGGGAGGCCCGGGCGAGTCTCCGAGGAGAGCTTTGCTGGGAAGGCGGCCATGTAGGAGGTCTTCGGTATTCCGTATCTTCTTACCATATTTCTGGACGTCCTTGAGCAGGCGCGATTTTTCGTCTTCATCCTCGAGGTCTTTGAGCTTCTCGATCGCTTCATCACGCTTGGCCGTCTCGTTGAGCAGTGTTCTCTCGCGCCGACGCTTTCGCTGCATGTCCTTCTTGCGTTCTTTTTCTTCTTCGGCGTCCTTGACGCGCACTTCCTCTTCGGCTTGCTTTTCGTGTGTCGCGATGAAGTGATCCTTGGCCAAGTTCGCGTTCGCATCGAACAGTTCGAGGTACATCTTGGTCGAAGCTTGTCTGCGTCTCTATGTATGGTTTGTCAGTGCGAGTACTGAGCAGTAAGAAAGGGACGACGAACCTTTCGCTTGCCCGTCTCCTTCTGTTCTATCTCGATCATACGCTTCGCAGATCTCAATTCCCATGCTTTCATAGGCCCTTCGAAGCCAGGCACGTCAAGATCGCTCATGTCGGCTCTTTCAATCTCGGTATAGGCTTCTTCCGTAGCTTCGATGGTAAGACCTGGAGGGCCGATGGGGTAATCCGAGACCATATGTGACTCAACCACAGGTGCGTCTCCGTTCCGTTCACGCTTGATATTACTGCTGCTGATGGTGGGAGGGACGACAGGGGCCACGGCGGTCGGGTAGGCATCAGGCATCGGCGCAGGATGGGGAGCGAGATATGGCTTGACAGGTTCGCGTGATCTCTCTGGTGAAAGGCGGGCCGGTGGAGCTGCTGCAGGGGCTGGAGGCGGCGGAGGTTCGGAAGGGCCGCTGTCAGATAAGAGATTGGACATGGACATGGGGTTGGCGGAACGAGCAGGAGGCTGTTCTGTGTCAGCGCATGTAGCGAGGTCGATGGTCGGTTGTAAACGAACGTTGGGTGTCTCTGCAGGTGCGGCGCTAGGGCGAGAGTGGTAGGTCGGCGATGAGGGAGGGAGTGGATGGCTCATCGGAGTCAGGGGAGGCAGCACAGGGCCGGGATGCGAAGATTGGCTAGTGCCTCGTGGACGTCCAGGTGTATCGTAGTGGTATCCGTTGCTCTCGCGGTGTCTGTCAGCAGATTCTGGGGCATGGCTCCGTCCCTGTTTAGTCGGTCAGCAAGAGAATCAGCAGATGAATCATTGCTGGTGGACGAACAGGTATTGAGTCGGACAAGGGATCGTAGTATGCAGATCGTTGAGCAGTCGGACTCTGATTTCGATGCATGGTCGGTGAGGATGGATGGCTGCGCTGATGTTGTGGAGAGTATGGTGGCCTTTCAGAACCCTGCATCTTGTCGCTGAGATTCAAGCTTGGGCGACAGCGGCCAGCAGCACTTTGTTATAGGCAAGTTTCAAGATGGCGCGACGGCATGAATTAATGACTGAAGGTTGGCGACCAAGCTAGAGAATATGGTGAGATGGACTTGGTTGGCGGCACGAGATGATGATGGCTCCAATTGGATCGCGCTGCTCCGAAGGGGGCAAAATGGCGTGTACCGGTTTGTGGTAGCTCGGTACAAGACGGCGACGTGTGGGATGGAGGATGCGGAGGTGCGACGACGACAGATGTGGATGGAGATGGATGGGAGAGGGAGATGAGTGTTATTGCGTCTTCATCAGCAGGTGGAAGCCAAGCGAACTGGCTGGTTGGGGTCTTCGTCTGCCATTACTGGACCGGGGACAGGCCAGGCAGGCTTTGTTCAAAGCCCCAAAGGTGTTGTCAACTCTGTTTCCCATTGCACCTAATTCCATGTTTTGCCAAGACTGCTATATACATGATTTATACTGGTAAGAGGTGTATGCACAAGACTCGGATTTGTCGATTTTGTTATCCTTTTCTCACCTCAGCCAAAGACACAGGTCGCTCGTTGCAAGAACAATTGCAAGTCTTGGGTGGCCTCGCATCCACATCTCTTCTCAGCCCGGCAGCCGCTCAAAGCGAAGCGCGATTCCGCGTCAAAACGGAAGTCGCTATCGAGAGTGTCGTGCTTGGCGCCTTCCAAAGACCCCTTCCTACTCGCTCCTTCCTCCCGACCTTGACTTTTTCTATATCGTGAATGTAAAAATGTGAACAGAGACTGTATAGGATCATGTCCTAAGCTGTCTCGATTCCTAATATTTGGTATAATCCGGTGGCCAGATGGCCAGATGGCCAGAACAGAAGCCATTTCGCGCGCGAGTGGTTCTTCCGCCAAAGGAATGCGGAGAGTCAAAGCTTCTTCCGCCAAAGATCTAATCTGATAACAGCCCCATCTGCATCTTTTCCTGTCTCCAAGAACTTTTTGCCCATCCGCAGCGCATTGTAATTATTCCATCCTCACATACCACAGCACAACAATGGCTTCCGTATACAAGTCTCTGTCAAAATCTGACAACCCCGCTTCCAAGGAGGATGCGCTGTCCACTGGTCCCAAGAACCGTCAAAGAGTGCTGATTCTGTCGTCGCGTGGTATCACATACCGGTATGCGCTTTTCTTTCCAGTACACCGATCGAGAAAGCAGCGCATGTACTGACTGTCTCATCATAGCCACCGTCATCTTCTCAACGACCTCTACTCCCTCCTCCCTCACAGCCGCAAGGACGCAAAACTAGACACAAAGTCAAAACTCTACCAACTCAACGAGCTAGCCGACCTCTACAACTGCAACAATGTCCTCTTCTTCGAAGCGCGCAAAGGCAAGGATCTCTACATCTGGATGTCCAAGCCCCCGAACGGTCCCACTGTGAAGTTCCACCTCCAAAACCTGCACACCATGGAAGAGCTCCACTTTACCGGAAACTGTCTCAAGGGCTCAAGACCAGTCCTGTCCTTTGACGCAACCTTTGACAACGCCCCTCACCTCAAGCTCATCAAGGAGCTGCTCACTCAGACTTTCGGTGTTCCCAAGGGCGCCAGAAAGACCAAGCCTTTCGTCGACCACGTCATGGCTTTCACAGTAGCAGACAACAAAGTCTGGACCCGCGTCTACCAAATCAACGAAACCGAAGCCGGCAAGACATCCGCCATCCCCGAACAAGGCCTCCCCATGCCCTCAGCCACCGAAGTCACAACAAGCGCAAAGGGCAAAAAGGACTCCGAGACAAAGCTCAACTTGGTCGAGATTGGTCCCCGTTTCGTCTTGACTCCCATCATTATCCAAGAAGGCAGTTTTGGTGGCCCGATCATCTATGAGAACAAGGAGTTCGTCTCGCCTAACCAGGTCAGACGCGAAGTCCGCGTTGCTCGTAGTGCCAAGTACAACAACCGTGCCGAAGCTACCATTGAGCGCAAGGCCAAGAAGGGAGATTTGGGTCTTACCACCTCTGGAGGCAGAACAAAGGAGATTGACGAGCTGGACGAGAAGATGTTGTTCGCATAAGGATGTCAAAGAAGGAGAGATCTGGCGAAGAGGGATACTTTTCAGCAATGCATGGCGTTCGAACTTGAGGACAAAAATTTGGCGTTCAACTTCTTTCTTTTGTGGAAACTTGGTATATAAAGAGTTTCTGATACCCAGTAGTCGGTAGAGCAATGAGTGCTGGATTACAGCATGTACCACAACTCTCTAACTCTCTCTGAACATCATCGATAGCCTATGAGATTCATGCAAGAGACTATGCATCATATGTCTAGACGTGTGTGGTCGACCAGGGAAACAGACAATACCGGACTCGACAGAGCTGCACAGGTTCATCGATCCGAGTGATTGTCTGCTCTGCTCTTCGATCCGAAATACACATGGTCGCTCTCGTGAAACCACATGTCCATCGTTCGATTCTTCCTTCTATCCAACCCTTGGAGGTCAATGGTGCACGCCCCCATCCAACATCGATGCTCAAAGATTAAAAGTGCAGGTTTTTTGAAGTCATGATATTACTCCCACCCATAACAGAGAGGAGAATGAAGAATCATAGAGCTAAAAACTCATGAAGAAAAGACCAGAGAGAGAGAGAGAGAGAGAAGTCCTTCAACTTCCTTACAAACGCCTGAGAAAAAACAACAAAAAGAGGACCAGCCATTGTGTGCGTGTGTGTGTAATCTGGCTCTCTCTTTCCTCCATTCTTCTATTCTGGTATTCCCTCCTGTCCCGAAAAGAAAAAAACGACATAAGAAAAACAATTGCGGGCTACCCTGACTCAAGTAGAGTCATAAAAGAGCGCGGATGATACGAAAATGATGCGCGCTGTCTCTTCTTGCCTTGCTGTGCGCAGGGGTCGAGGAGCGAAGACGCAGGGCGAGTGATAGCGCTATGCCATTGTCGCGCAGAGAAGTGTAGTGGGGTGTGCTTCAGGCACTCTCGGTCTTGGTCTCGGCGGTCTCTTCTTCGGGTTTTGAGGCGGCGGACTTTGCGAAGAGTGTGCGGGGCTTGACGGGGTTTCTGTGATTGAAGTTTTGTTAGCTTATGCTTCAGAGGAGAGAGGAGGTTTGTGAAGAGCGTGTGTGCATCAGAGAGAATTCCAGTGGTGAGGGCTCTCCATAGCTAGGATCCTGATGTATGAGGAGGCGAGACTCACGACTTGTTCATCTGTCTTTGCTTGAAACCCGAGAGCTTTTGACTGGCGGGGCTCATGATGGCGTCCGAGGGTGATACGTAGGCGTTGGTAGGGTTGCTATAACAGAGAATATGTCAGTCATTGCTCTTCTTCTTCATCTTGCCAGGCTTTTAGGCAGCAGACGTGAATTACACGATTGCGCAAAAGACAAGAAGATGTGGATGGAAGGACAGAACTCACCCCTCGTTCTCGCGCATCTTGTTCTCAAACAACTGGCGGTGCACATTCATCTTCTCGGACTTTGCGCCAGAGTTGGTGTTCTCGGCAGTGTTGAAAGGGTTGGAGGCCATTGTGTTTCGTGGTAGTATGTGTGTATTTGCGGAAAGAATCGATGCTGTATATATCCTGATTTGTGATAGGAGGCGATTGATGGGAGGCGATAGTAGTAGTAGTGTTGTTGTATGATGCGATGTGGGAGGAAGCGAAGAGTCGTGTTCGAAAGTGTCTTTCAGCTTTCGCTCAAGAGGTGCCTCTTTCGCGGGAAGAATGACATGTTTCCCCTCAAAAACTGCTTTGCGTTGCTGAAGCAACCGCTTTGCTGTCGACCCTCTTTTTCCTCGCCGCCGCGTGCTCTACTCTCGTCCGCCGTACCAATGACCATTAAAAGACCGCCTCCATGCCACGGTTGTAGTATTCTCCGAGGCAACCAAAGGACTAACCATGATTTGATACAAAGTGGTGATCACACGCCCATGGTTCGTAAGCCAACCTCTCGCAAACACAAGTAAACAACTGGCCGTGGCCGCAATCTTTGTCGTGAATGGTATATTTGTGCTTCGAGCTGTCAATTCACTCTTTATGAATACGTGATAGGTAATTTCACCAACTTTTCACCACAGTCCTCTGCCACCAGTCCAGAGCAGCTTTGTCGGCATGTTTTTGAAGCCAATTGCCCACCGTACTATCCCGTTCATCGTTCTAATTACGCATCTAGAGATGGATACCTAGCACTGCTCTCACAAACTTGTAGTCTTCGACATCTGAGCACAAAATAGCTTCGTTCAGATGCTCCCTAATTGTCGCTACGTATCTGGATAGTCCGTCGTTCATGGGGCTGTACCATCTTCATGCACCTTGCTCTAATGTCCGAGTCCAGGCCAAAGTGATGAGAGACTATATCCATCGGAGGGTCAGGCCATCCCATGCTCTTTGATGCAATCTTGACATCGAGCTCTATAGGCCTTGTCGCAATCGCCATGTTCTCAGCGCCCTCGATTGGTGACCCTGGCCAAATAGTGCGACACACCCTGTCCCTGTCTGTCAAGGATGGAACACCCTCGTTCTCGAAAAGGGACCACGTTACTTGCCATCAAGAAGCAGCCTTCCTCTCAGTAACAGCGGTGTGACCTTGCAAAATCGCCCAGATACACATCCTCAATACAAGCGGCAGTTCCAAGCGCATCCGAATCACATCTCCAAGAACCAGGCTTCAGAGACAACCCATGTCACATCCTCACTCCTCACTCACGCAGTCCATGGCAATCCTGAAATTTCAATATTTCAATTTATCTAGAGTGCGGGAAGTGGAAGTCATGTCTCATAGCATAGATTGTTGTCTTGAACCACTATGGCAAAACTTGCAGCCTGAGGCCGACCCGTCGAATACCACACCCTGGTCTTTTGCGATATAGAGTTACGTCCATCACATCCTTGTCCTTCTTGGTGTGGCAACCTCAGCCTCGCTTGGCCATTCGTATGCCGTGTTTCGATCTTGCTTTCGCACGAAACCGAACGCCTCTATCTTCCTTCCAATCGTCTGATAAACTCCATACCACATTTCGAGCTTCATCAAAGAATCCGCACATCCTTGACAAAGCCTCGTAGAGCGCGTAAAAAGTGGGAGTGCGGTAATCGATGCATGTTTTTGACTTGTGCCGCACATCGCTGTTGACAGTCACGATCGTCGTAAGTTTCAAAAAGCTTCGTTTGACACGTCCCAGCCTTTGATCTTTTTTGCGTTCAAGAAGTCGAACAGAGTCAAAAGGATGAAAGCTGAAAAGCTGGAACCTCCTCCGCCCTTTTGCGCCTTTAAGATGAACAGATTCTTGTCTTGGTTGGCCGTTGTGATCTCTTCCCGCTAAAACATTTCCCTTGGCAAGGTTTCTCGCCGTGTGGCCTATTTCTGCCAACTTTTATCGGAACATGGGATGCAGCCATCGTGATCTGGGACTCTAATTATCTATCTTGGTGTGGAGTTGAAGCAGCGACTCGGGAAGGATGCGAAGCCTATTTCTCGCATCGAGATGGGGTTAGGATTTGTTCGCTTAAGTTATCTATCTGTACGCGAATTTGGGCGCCTGTCATGCGTCGCAGCACGTGGAAACTGCAACGTAGCCTACCAGTTTTGATTGAAAAGATGTACAAGTAAGAAAGGTAGGTAGAAAGGAAGGAGGCTCGGGGACACGGATGTTTTGAAGAGGAATGGGGTCAAGACTTCTTGTTTTCCCCTCTCCAGCATCTGATTAGGATAAGATCGGTAAAGGTCCTCTGGGTTTTGGGGCTGGACTGTGAAGTCTGTAGTATTCCCGCCAAGGATATCACGGTCAGCTCTTTTGGAGACTTGGGTTTTGGATGAACAGAATCATGAGTAGGATCTTCCACTACTGTTGAGAAGGACACGATAGCCATCATGGTGGTTACCTGATGACTCTGGCATGGGATCAGCAGAGAGCTCTCCACAAACCAATTCGTTGGAGACAAGTCTCGACCATGACCTTATTCAGAATTCATCTGTGTATCTGCATACCGTTGACACGGCAGAGAGGAGGATCACGCAACCGTCATGTATCTGTTCCTAACCATTGCGCCATGTCTGACAAGCTGCACGAAGGAGCGAGTCGATGGAGGAGCAAAGTCGTTGTGGATTTTTCGATCTTCAACGGTTTGTACGCGGCGCTTCTCAGACGTTTATTACGTGCGCAGATGTTCGGCAGGGCAGGTGAGAAAGACTATTGGACAGGAGTATGGCGGAATGGAGCTGATGGGCTTATGACCTTTATCAGCTCCTTCTTGCGAGAGTTGTTGCGAGGAGCCAGAGTTCACCTCAGGTGTCCAGTCTAAGATCGTGTCTCATAGATAGGGAAGGAAATGGCAATCATCGAAGATCCCCCATTGGACACGCAAGCTTCACATGCCTTTTGATGTGCAAGGATTGCGAGCTTGCTGCTCTTGGAGCTTCTGATCCTGCTCAACTGACAGGACAGATGAATAGCTGCACGTTATATGCACTCTTTTGCTGCAAAGACACAACATACGCGACAAGAAGTACTGCAACTAGCTGTGTCTCTCATGAGCCGTCTTGCCGATTCACGCGGCCTTACTAGCTTAAGGTAAAGAGTGTAGTGCCGTGTGTGGGGTTTTGGTCGTCGTGATTCAAACAACAATCAACGGCCGACACGAGCCGTGTTGTGAAGCTCTCTGCCTTCTGCCTTCTGCCCTATGCTCTGCTTCTTAGCAAGCGGTGACGTTTGTGAGCGCCGTACTCAACCGATGCCAATGTTCTCTGACAAGGCCGGCGCCGCGAAAGAGTGCTGTTCTCTTTCATCTCTGCTCGTGCCGGTCCCTGATCTACAGACGCGACCCCGTCATTCCACTAAAATCCTGCCCAGCAGCGAGTTACGTAGCACGGATGTTCTGTAAATTTCTGTATCTTGGAATGGTAAGATGCTGATCATCACAAGGAACCCCCCTGTACCGTATGGACCTTCGAGTCATGAGCTAGCTTCTTGAATCACGAAGGTTGAAGGGCTGCAATCCTCTAAAGGGGAACAAGATTGCAATATCAGATCATCTACGATGGAGTCTCGACCCTTGAGCATCTTGCCAATCAACTCGACGTGGATTGTACAGGGAAGAAAAGTCAATTGATTCGAATCCACCCTCGTTCATGAGTATGCTTCCGTGAATGGTCCTTTCTCGGCCGGGAAAGCTATCTATTGAAATTGGCTATTGCAATATCCCCGTCGGAGAGCAACGACACTTGCATCATTGCCGAAGCGACCACTTTACTTCATCGCTGATGACAACATGCGATGGAGCAAGACAGCTCTGGGTCAAGGCACATTTGGGTGCCATCTTCGTGTTCATCAAACAGCGCTTCACAAGAAGAGGAAGGTTGTTGTGTTTCGTGTGTCACACACCCTCCAAAACTTCCTCACGACCGCAACGAGATCATCGCAATGTCCTTGTTGCTTTCGGTGTCCACTCCGTGGTACATTCCATTTTGCCTTTTGCAAGTGTACAGCCACATAACCACTCTTCTCTTCGAGTCAAGCCCACGTCCTCGGCAGGTGCGATTCAGCTCATTGCAATCTCACAAGAACCGACCGAGAAAGCGTAGTCAAAAAGGTACTTTCCACATTTGCTACCGTACCTCGATGTAGAGACGTGTGTGGCAGTGTGCAGCTCCAGCCCTAAAATAGTCGCAACGTCACTGCATGGACGGCTTGCAGAAGCCTGGCAGAAGCTCCAAACCCTCCGCATCGATCGCTTGAAACTGATTATGCAACACGCGGAGGGACAGACAGCGGAAGTCGCATGTAGAGTGATTCTCATGTTTGACGCATGTGTGCATAAAGTGCTGAAGAAAAAGTGCTGAGAACAATCATCTTGAGGAAGAAATAAGGACTACTTGGCATCGAGCGGGAGGTATTCCGTTGTAGGGTGTGCAGTAACCTTTTGGTGCAAGGATCATGATGGTAAAACTAGTCATACAATTCACCTCTCGTAAGAGGATCGTTTGGATATCTACAAGTGTACAAGAAACAGAGGAAACATGATGAAGGCCGCTCAAATGGACACAAACGAAAAACACGAGTCCATCCAAACTCCCAGCCTATAAGCGCTTCCAGAAACGTCAAAAAAGCCCGATGAAAGCAGATCTATAACACCCGTTGCAAAAGCATGCCGAAAGAAACTGCCAGTTTCGGCCGCATCGTGATAAAAAGCCGCTAAGTAGGAAATAATCGATATTCGTAAACGTCATACTGGTGTGGATGAAATGAATAGGTGGTTGGAAGGATCATCGTAGCGCGCCGTTTGCGGCTATACGCGATCAGAAGGATGCGCGATGGTCCTGAGGCATCATATAGACGGGCGAGTTGAACGATGGCTGTTCTGGCATCGATGATGGCACGCCCATATTGAGGTGATCCATGCCGTTGGACATGCTGTAACCGCTGGAAGCTGAGCTGGCGCTTGCGTAGCTGCTACGCCTGTCGTCAAGGTCCTCATCTTCGTACTTGAGGCCAAGGCCGGTAGTGCTGATGCGACGGTCCTTGCCTCTGCCTTTGATACCCTTGTTGCAGTTCTTGTAAAGGCTAGTGAAGTATTCCCACATGACCTTCTCCCAAGAGCTGACATGATCGCCTTCGTGTAGGTTCTCGAAAGTCTGGCGGAGTCTGCGGATGGTCTCTTGGTGGAACTTGTTCTGATGACTCTTGAGGTTACCGAGTTGAGTGAACTGCTTGTTGCAGTCGTCAAGACGGCATGTGAAGGGCTTTGCTGCTGTGTGTACAATCTTGTGTGCTCTTACGTTGCCACGTTGAGCGAATGTCTTGCCGCAAAGCTCGCAGCTGTATGGACGTTCGCCGGTATGACGACGCTCATGTGTCTTGAGGTTTCCGAGTTGTGAGAAGCGCTGGCCACAGCTGGGTTCCTTGCAGACGAAAGGCTTGACACCAGTGTGTGCTCGTGTGTGGATTTCGAGGTGTGTCTTCTGGTAGAATGACTTGTTGCAGTCCGGAATTGAACATTGGTACCTCTTTCTGGGTTTGGGTGGGCTTGAAGCTTCTGCGTACTGTTCCCGAGGGATTGGCTTGGCGTACATTAGCTAACATGCACAAGATCAGACGACGAGAAAAGACTAACCTTGGTCGTTTGCTCTGCTCCGTTGGTGACTTTCGACTGGATGGCCTTCATCAATGCATCAATGTCGGTAGAAGAGGCCGTGATTGGGATGTCGTCGGATCCGACTGAGCTCGAGGTGTCGGCTTGCATAGAGGAGTACGCGGGCGTGTTGAAGAAGACTTGGTTGTGGAGAACAGGAGACTGCTCGTCCTCGGACTTGATCAAAGGAGGACAGCTTTCAATGCTTGACTGACTCTCGCTTCTCATATGTGACATGTTGACTGGAGGTTGTTGCATTGCCATGTGATCGTAGGTCTGCCATTGAGGGATGGATTCGAGAGGCACAACCTGCATGCTTCCATTATATGAGTTGGCCATGTTGAAATTCGTAAATGAGTGATCCATAGGCATTGTGTTGTGATACGCCATGGCGTTGGGCACCATGCTAGGCTGTGAGTATGCGTTCATGTCCATCATCACGTCCATCTCGGACCCCGTTTGAATTGGAATGAAGTGAGAGGTTGGCATCTGATGTTGGCCTTGTTGTGCCATTGGATTCTTGAGACCCATGTCGTAAGATGGCATATATGATACCATGCTAGGATTGAACTGGGGGTTGCTAACGCGGCGACGACCCAGTAAGCTGCCAGCAGTTGTTTGGGGAAGTACAGCTGCCATGATGCAGTTGCTCTGGTTGAGATGATGATATAGAAGAGTTGTGTTGATGGTAATGTGAGTAGACTGCGAGGCTGAAAGAAGCTTTCTTCTGGATCAACTAGAAGAAAGTGGGCGTAGGTGTGGATGTGGATGTAGACGAGAGAAGGAAAAAGAAGAAATGGGATGGTATAACAGTCAAAAAGAAACAGACATGGGAGACTTCTAACGTAATGGGTACAATTAGAGACTGGAGCGGGAGCAAAGGTACAATTGAAGACCTGGCTATCGGATTTGGCAGTTTATACAGCGCCAAAAACGTGGGATGGACAGGCGCATGACGAAAGGGTGGTGGGTACCAGGAAACCACTCAAGACGGGCAACACACACGACGAGCCGCATAGCTGGCTGGTGTCGATGCGGAGGAAGAGCTGCAGTCTGAGTAGATCGAGATGTTAGCGGCAGAAGTTAGCAAAAGCCCGGTGTCTGGCGGGGAACGATGGGGGGGATGATGTCAGGGTGACCGATCTGCACGACCGACCAATCGCATCCGGCCCTATCGAAACAGACACGCAGGCGAGCAAGGGCAGGAAAGAAACAGCAACCAAGACGGCAGAGGAGCTTCCTAGCTTATCGCGGCTAGACGGTGCCCGCCTACCTGTTACCACTGTTCCGGGTGCTGGGCGGACGTCGTGCGTTTTGCGGTTTTCGCGGTTGAGTACCATCATATTGAGCAGCCGCTAATGCTGCCTCCGATCGCATTCCGGGCCAGACAGGCACTCTCATCGTCGTTTGCGCGCGCGCGCGCGCGATGAGAGGTGTATCATCGACTGGAAACAAAGGGATGGCGGGTCGCGGTCGAAACATCGACGATGGACCATCCCGATAAGTGTCCCGTTTCTTGATGGATCACGTTGTCTTACACACACCCTATGACACAGCTCTGCTCCCGAGTACATCTTGCAGAACTGGGGTGCAGATGGGCTCCACCTGCCAGAGCCTCAGCAAAGTACCCACACAAGTACGAGTAGCGGACAACTTGGCTCACCAGTCCAACCTCATTTCCCGTTCGGACTTTTTCTAATTTGTTCCACAGCAGTGATAGCACCGAAGATCTCATCCATATGATTTTCTCGATCGATGTGAAACGACAATCATCAATTACAGACGACGACGCTTGAATGGTGACCAGCTGCATGAAACGAAGCAGCATGCCACGCGATGAGTCGGCTCCCCGTGTCGCGAGTGGCATCGGTGGCTTGTCCAGTCGCATGAACTTCCTGTACCTCAACCGAAATCCCTTGGGATCAGAACATCGTACCCGTATGACTCTCCAAGATCTAACGATCAATATCGACAGCTAGGGGGAATAAGCTTGCCTCTCATTCGACACGCTCCTCTGAAGTTGCGCCGCAGCATTAACTTTGATCTAGAGAACCATCCCCGAAGCATCCTACTCTCCTCTCGACTGTGTCATGCGTGTCCTGTGATTCTTTTGTAGCAAGCTGTTGCAAGTTGGCCATACCTTGCCAGACGTATGCTCGGTTCCGTTCGAGTATCAAGTATCTGAACACTGGCTTTCACCTCGAGTCAAGCATGATACTTTCAGCCTCAAGTCACTCCGTACAGTATCACCTCGCTTATCCGGGACATATGCAGGCCGTATCAAGCTCTTTTGGTAAATCCGATCTTGCAGAGTAGGCTTTGGGAAGCTTTCCCATCGACTGATCGGGCGCATTCTGATCATTTAGGATCATTGAAAGCTACAGCGACCCGCTAAAGCTGTAACGTCACTTCTACGGCATCGGTACGAGTTGAAGGCGTGAGCAATACCTTATCCGGAAACTGCAAGGGCATGCTGATCATACAGCACGTTACAAGTGGAGCTGTCAACTACACCTTATTCTTCGATCCAGTCGCTGAGGTCACATTTATCGCCACTTCGTGCTCAATCTTAGGATGAGCCATCAACGCGCAGGGCTCTCGGCATACAACGACATGAACTTATGTGCATATGATTGAACTCGTCTTATCATGCTGTTGTGTGACGCACACTCGGACAACGATACCTGCCATTCATGATGATCCATGTGCACTACGACCGCTGCCGTCACTGTTGTGTCAAGGCACAGCCGCCAAAGTATCTTGTCACATCCCGGAGCTATCATCGCATTGCACATCGCCAGCTTGGTCGGGACTCTACAAACATTCTGCGTGATCCGCATGGAGGTTCAGCGAACAGATTTGTCGACATGGGACAAAAGGCGGAGATCCGAGGCCGGAAGTGTGAGGGATGAACCGGGTGATGTCTACTCATCGACCGCACCAAGATGACCGCACTCGCCTGGGCACTAGCTCAATATACGCGAAGGTTAGCACCCAGGCATGGTTTGTATACAATGGTGGATGGGGGCAACACAATTTCTGCTGACCACAGCTCTACCCACGTAGTCTGCGCGTCAGTACATTGGAGCGTGAATGTGAGAGGCAGGGGACTGCAACGCTCTACAAACATCACACTTCAAGCTGGACACGTCCGACAACCCCGCCGGCCGCAGCCCCGCTCGAGTTGTGGTATCTCCATCGATTTTTACTGACCAGGCAGAAGCGTGTACGTCTATCTAGACAACGTTTGGCCATCCTGGTTGGAGAGGTCAGCATTCGGCATGGCAAGTGTGGTCGGTCAATGTGGGACTCCTCCGTGACCATGCTTGAAAGCAAGAAAGCAGGCATATATCACACATGTGACTTATCAAGAGTTCCAGCGCAACAACGCAAACAAAGCGGCAAAGATCGTTTGCAAGTGTGCTGTCGACGAGAGCTGAGTTCATACGGGCGTAGGTAAAGCGTTTGTGGGATCAGAAGGACACCCATGTCAAGCTTTATATGCTGCTGACGTTACACGTCCACAGTTGCTCTCCATAGCCAATGTGGTACATGCCCAATCTTGAGCCACTCTACGAGTCCCATACCAAGATTGCGGCTTACACGTACCTTTTTCTTCAAGATAAGCGCCAAGAGCGTAGTTTAACTTGTACCCCAGAAGCGCCCCAGCCAGAAACGAGACTTCCAGCAAAACTTTGCGGAGGCGGAGGCGATTCCGAAGCAAGGTGCAAAGTGGTGTCACAGAAAGTCTTCGCCTCATGGTAGTTGAATTCCTGGAAGATACATGCAACACGGAGTCGGGTACCGCCACTTACCGCTGCCCCCTTCGCGAGGTGTGAGCTGAACAGGAACGAAGTCCTTTGGATCCTTGCGCAAGACAGCCAGTGGTGTCAGCCATTACTTCTCCACCAGCAGACTGCGGACTTCTTGGCTGCATACCTCAACAACACGCATGTTTGCTCATCATGCATCCCCCCGCCACGGTACTGGTCACTTTTCGCCATGTGATACGCGAGATCGTCTAGCTGACACATCAAGATGGTCTTCGTAGGCCGATATCGAAAATCCGATCACAGAGGGATCAAACACCATCTCCTCGACAATCCAATTTTCGACCGCGAAAAAAGTGAAACGTGACAATAGCACATGTCAGACTCCAGTCCTGTGGCAGGCTTACTCTGAGTCGGGGAGCCTGTCAAAACATCGGATGATGCCTGGCTCAACGGCCAATCGCAGCCGTCCTGATGGCAGCCGGGGCAAAGACTAATCACTTTCAGTCGAAAGGTGTTCGGAACCCCAAATTTGGCGATATCGAAATCCCTCGCCGTCTGTTCAATCAGCTCAGCGGGCGCCAGAGTCGCATGTGTCTCGAATTGGTCTCGCTGCGTATCATGTTGAGGGATCCCGCTCAATGGTCTACCAACTGCCTAGCAGCTTTTGTCTGTCGCCCTCGTTCCATGGAGAATGTTGTTCGTGGGTCAAGCTCCAGCCTGATCTTCTGAGATGTTCAACCTGAAGTGTAGGCAAACCGCGCGTCCTTGTAGTAGTCCCAGTCAGGTTTCAGCTCTACGGTGTCGCAGTTTCCTACTTTTGCCATGAACATTGTCTTGTCTCATTTCTGGTCGCTACTTCCTCCATAGTTTAGTAGCTTGTGCCGTAATAAAGCCATATGCTCCTGCCTACAACCTACACAGCTTGTATGGGGAGAAAATTGCAATATCCCATCTTTCTTGCTCGTTGCTTCCTTCTGCTACGTAGTATCCTTTGCTTGCATTTTACTCGAATACTGTTTTCTTGCGTGCATGTACAAAATCTCCTGCAGAAACGGTTGACGTGCGATGCTCCCAATGCTCTGGTCAACCCTCTGTTAACGAGTAGTTCTCGTTGCGCACTTTCGCATAGCTGCAGTCAGCTACTCCACCGTTATATAGATGGTTCGTTAGATTGGTTTATTTTTGCTCAGCATATATCTGTCTCAAGTGTCGTGGTGGTTGCTCTGGGCGTGTCTGATACCATCATTCGAATGATTGATTCTCAAGATGATATATTTGGCATTTCTGACCACACAAGAAAGCTGTAAAGTACAAACTCGTGCAGTGACTAGGGGACACGAGCAGGTATATCATGTCCATAAATCAAGGGATTAAGATGGCTGTAGATTGCTATATCGCTGCCGAAGGGTCAAAACCCATCGCTGAGGGTATGACCCTGTCTCAAAGTCCCCTCGAAAATTGACACGAAAAAACATCGCATGTGTCAAGATGGCTCTATCCGCTCCTATAAGACAAAAGTACGCTGAAATAAGCAGGTGGAAGTACTTAAATCAATCAAGAAAGAGAAAGAGATGCAACAGACCGGCTGAACCAAGCCGTCAACGCGGTCGCTCCTGCCCATGCACAGTCTCACCATCCCCATGAACTCCTTTACTGCTTATCGTTCTGAGCATAGATGAAGTTGGCACCTAAGTCACGTTAGCATTAGAGACCACAACACCATCCAGTGCTCATCAACTCGAAGGATCACAGCAAATTCTCCAGATAGATGTTCACTCAAACCCAGAAGCAAGAGAACAAACCGCAGATAAGAACTTACCAATGACTTTCAATCCATTCTCCATTGCATATGCACGAACGCCGCTCCTCTTACCATCATAACCCCAATGTCTCCTCTCTTCCGGTACTGTAAGCTCCAAACTCTCCGTGGTTCCGTTCTTCGCAATCATTACCACAAACACATATCGATGCTTCCCAGTGCCCTCAGGAGGTCCAGGAGGCTTGTACTCCACCAAATCCTTGACTCTGCCTGATTTGGCAGTGAACAGCCAATGACATATTTGACTCCACTTCGGGTCTTCATGGGAAGGAGCGTCAGGATCAGTGAGTGCAAGAACCAGTTGAGTGTTGAAAGGGAGATATGCTGAGGGAATCGTGTTTATGTATACATCAGGAGAGTGTTGGAGGTGAGAGGGTGGAATGGTGTTGCCAAGATTTGTTCGCTCAGAAGAAGACCAGTTTACGGATAGAGAGATCAAGGGCGAGAAGGCGTTGAGGACATCTGGGATGATATCTGCATGGCGGAGACTATTGATGAAATCAGTCGGACTCAGTGATGAATGATGGTATAGATTGTTTACGCTGAGAGTATGACGTTGGGGTCTTTCTCCACTGGTAGCGAAGTGAGTACTTCCTGTTCTGGGAGTGCAAAGCTCACAACACGCTCTGCCAGTGCTGACAGTATGAAGTAGCGAGTCAGCATATTCAACAACGTTTTGATCACCGATGCGTTCGTTGTCAATTAGTAAGTTGAGGTGAAAGACAGAAGAGTTTCTGTTTATCGCCTTGGGCGCTTGCCGATGTCATGATCAACATGCATACAGCTTTCCCCGCACTTGACATGTCTTGGATGTCTGAGAAGACACAAGGAAGCATCCCACAATGGGAAGGAGCGAACGTGAGGGTATACTCGTACACACAGGCGAACGCCGATGGGAGAATTGGAAGGTGAAGTAAGGCTCCAGAGCCATTTGGGTTGTGTTCATATCATGCTATTGTACATATTATACTTTTGTGTGGTCGTAAAATCTTTCCCTTGTACGCTGCAGCAACCAGGCTGCAGCACTTATGCAATGGTCGTGTATGCAAAAGAAACAGAGTCATAGTTGTCAACACTAACTCCTTACGAGCGAGTGTTCTCAGTGGCGATGGATTGAGCCTGGGCGGCAACGCCACCCTTCTCGGTGTGACCGTGGGCACGCTGCTCACGGCTGTGGAGAAGGTTGGCATCGTCCTGGGTGATCTGGGAAGGGTCCTTGGAGCCGACCTGGCTGACGGCCTGCTCAAGGTTGCGCTCCTTTGTGAGGGTGGACTGCTCTGTGGGATTCAGAGGGCCAGTCTTGGGGGCGGTGCCCTTCTCGTTGGCGGCGGCGAGACGCTGAGCATCGGCGGAGACACTGTCCTTGGGAGGCTGAGCCTGACCGGTGGCGCGAGCCTCACGAGACTTGAGGTAGTTGGCATCGTCGGCGGTGATGGAGCTGGGGTCCTGTTGCATCTTGCTGAGGACGTCCTGAGCGGCAGTCTCAAAATTCTGTTTTGTGTCAGTAGTCGTTACGCGCACAGGAAAATGCTGAACCTACCTGAGCCTTGCCGACCTGGCTCTGCATCTGAGCAGACTCGGAGCCCTTGACGGGACCGTTCTCCTCCTTGGCGACGGCCGAAATATCTTGAGATGAGGGGGCCTGAGCAGACATGGTGGTTCTTGCGTGGAATTGACGGGTAAAGAGAGATGATGGTCTTGAAGTGGTGTTGATGAAACGGAAAGGGGTCTTAATGGATTGAATGGACATGATGAAAGTAGGAAAGGCCGTCGTGCTTGCTTGTGTGTTCTTTTATATGTTAGGGACGAAATGCGATCTGAATACTTCTTTGCTACAATTTCCATTTACGACGAGTCAATGGAGACAATATATAGGTATGTGATTGCAACATGACGCGTGCTAGAAGGACAGGATGAATATTTCCCCAGGAAAATAGAGGATGGTGACGCCGAAGAGCCTCTCACGATCGAGCTAAGAGCCGCTGCCGATCGAGATCTCACCTATTTCTCTGCAATCATCACCTGTTTTCGATATTTTCTTCACCTCAAGTCATCATTGACATGCCAAAAGCGTGAGAGGAATAGGCAAGTAGCGGGCGGAGAGAACGTAATCTCAATTGGCTATGTGTGCGAACTGCATATACAATAGGTAAAGATCCGGTTGTCTCGTTCATACTTTTTTCCAACTCCTCGGGTCAAGTCATAACCTCATGCTGTGGTAGAAAGATGTTGTGATAAAGAGAAAGGAAAAATGTCGTTCGGACGACCCTAATTCTTTTTTTTGTCAATCATTTTCGAAAATCTCTCCCCTAGAATACATTTGCGAAAAAACAAACGCCAGCAATGATGCGTCGCGCTTAAATGGAATGACAGCAATAAACGAACGCAAAAGAGACAGGAAGGAAGATGGGGTGTTTGTCGTCCAAGGCTAGCCTTCAAGAAAGGGTTGACATCCAGTGTAGTAAACACGCTCAGGTCGGAATCGTGGCAGAATGTTCTCACCTGCAATCCCGCGAGGCATGGTCTCGGTCATCGAAGTCGTGAGGTCCCTGAATCGTTGCCTCAGGGATTCAAAGTTGATTTTGAGATGTTTGCCAGGCCTTTGTTGTTGCTCCAGGGAGTCTGATGACCTTTGACGACGCTCTATGCAAGTGGTCATGTCAGAATTTGTGATTTGTGACGACTGTAAGTAGCACGTACCTCGCTTGGATTGCTAATTCTGAGTGCCGCACTTGGGGCATCTCTTTCCAGGAATGACCCAATAACCACATTTGCACTGACGGCCCTGTACCTTTGTTCAGTTGTCAGATCTTTATTGAATTAAGTAGTAACTAACGCTTATGTCTCTTACTGGGGCGGGCATCGTTTCGAAGTCCGGAACACATGCACGAGGTCCCATCTCTTGCCAGTCATCATGCTCGATGACAAGATCGGGCAGCTGGTTGACTTGGTCACGCTGGTGAATCTGACTGGTGTGGATGGGCATGGTGCCGAAAGAAGCTGATGTTCTTTGAAGAGAGAAGAGACGTTCGAGAATGGGGAACAGAGTTGGACCGATCTGCTGACTGGAGGGTAGAGGACTGGATGCCGGTGTTGCTGATGGATGGAAAATACTTCAGACTGAGGAAGGCACCCTCCTTATATACCCCCCGGTGCAACACTCATGGCCTGACTTGACCTCTGTGATAGGCTTTTTCTCGACTGATAAAGCATCTCGCATAGCATAACCCTGCAGCGTTTCGTACTCACATCCGCAAAAAGTCGACTGAGAGCACAAGTCTATCAACTTCGAGTTCGAAGCGGGTCCGGCTTCTTGCTCAAGTGCCATACTGTACCATCGGATTCTCAGTACATAGAGACGAGTAACAAATTTTAGATGAAGAGAGACGAATATGTGTGCAAGCGGCGGTTGAGAGAAGAGAGAAACCCAAAACAGATTACTTCACGGCTAACCACCTGCGAAACCTCCGGGGGTCGAAAGTGCGACGAGTAATCCCACACGTAACTGCATCGGAGCTCACGCTAGACCACACATTGACAGCCATTACGCACCACGTACCTTGACATTCTTGGTTAGTGGGGAAGTCAGTAGGCAAGGGCAGCCTCGAAGCCTCGAGAGATCTTCTCATCGTGCAGCTTCTGACTGTGAGGTCTTACAAATCCTGGTTTTGGTCGTCCAGGAACAGATCCTGTCCAGCCCGACAGTGTGGTACGCCCGTCACCGCGTCCGCCCCGTGCCTTCCGTCACATGCCACAACTCGGATCTTAACATCTCCCCAAAGTGCTTCCGCTCGAAAGAGATATGGCCAACTCAGAAAGTGCGAGAATATGATCAGATTTAGTGCCATGCTAATTGCCGACTCGCTGTGTTGAGGACTGACATATCAGAGCATCAATGCGCTGCAGATTCCCAGAGGTCTGTTTCTTCAGAATCAGGACCCGGATTCGGCAACTTCTGAGACTCGAGTCATGGCACCAAGCATGGTATAGCTTCTTGCTGATGAGTTGCTCAAGGGCCGTGGTATGCTCTTCACCGACTGTGCTGTGCGCAGTCGAAGAAAAAAATGATCAGTCAACTCTGTATTTCTCAGTGAAGCTCCCCTTCCTGTTCCTCGCCCGAAGTTTGGGCGGCACAAGGGAAAGGCAAATCATTGTTGTCTAGTCCGAATCTCCTCTTCCATATTCACCAATCTATGCGAAAGAAGCGCCTCTGGAAGCCTGCATCGAATGTATGCTTGCTTGTGGCATGCGAAAGGCTGCACGTTGTGCAATTGATAGTCGTATGCCGGCAATTCATTCCGTCTCGTTCATTATCCGTGCGTGCCATTTAGATTGTGCTCCCACTCGTGCCCCGATGGATCGGTACCGCCAACTCGGGTCTGGCTTCGTAAGATACGCCAATATCTGGGTCGCTCTTTGCGATCTGTCACGGCGTTCGCATATGACATCTGCACTACGAAACATGTCATGCCACGTCGAGCTCAGACTCTCAGTATTACTGGTATGGCGCAGCCAACTCCAACAAGAAGTCGGTCTAACATTGCGCGGGTCGTGTGTCACTAAATGCCGGAGGACGAACGGTATACAAATTTGATGCAGCGACAGAACAATATCCATGGATGATGACTTACGTTGTGCAATCCTATGCACAAACCCTACGGGAAATGGCGTCTTGCATTGATGAGATATCGAGTTGGCACGAGCGGTTCTGGTACTGTGTCGGAAGACTACAGTCAGAAAGTGTGAACAGTATTCCGACTCTTCTCGACCAGGAGTCAATATAGATGGATCGTCTGTGACTTTACTCAATATCGAGTCTCTTGCTTATGCGTACAAGCAGCATCCCGTTGGTCTGCTGACCTTCGCAGTCATACAGATGTATCTTCCTGATGCCCGTCTGCAATCTGGACAGTCTGAAACATGCCCATGCCACCAGGTTATCGCGACTGAAGGTGTCATCATCCATGACTTTGAATCTGTCAATTGATGTATGTCAGCAAATGTGTTAAAGGAGCAATAAACATTTGGAAACGAGATCAGTCAGGTGTGACAGTGCGGGAATGCATCGAAGAACCTGGCCGACGGGTTCGTGAGTCTAGTGTGGCGTCCGGTACCACGCAGCTGGTGAACCCAACTGCCCGGATATTACTACCACGAGCAAGCCGATTGAGAACGCATGCAACCGTCGAGCGTGTGCACTCCTCGAATAGTGAAGCATCTGAGCGTTTCGGGCAATGCTGCATATCTTCGCCAAAACGCACAGCGATCTCGATCAACGGCTATCTCGGGGAACAAAGTTGCGGTGAAGAATAGATACGATCAAGACGGCTTCGAGCAGTGCTGAATGTGGGACATGTCTTTTTCAAAAGACATGCGCAGGAAGTCACGTACCTCAAGAATGTTAGCTCTTCGGCTACACCATCAACTCTGAACTGGAGCATTTGGCGCTTGAAGTCCGGAGACCTGCCAGGAGTTCCAAGCTCACTTGCCGCCTTAATCTGTCCTTCTTTCGTTGTGCCTCCCTCAGGGAGCGATCCGTTAGTAAGCTCTTCCATATCCTCAATATGCAGCTCGGAACGCACGTAGAGATGGAACTTTCTGTCAGCCGGACCAATTTCTTGACCAGCAAGCAGTTCGATCGACAAGTCGAGTTTACCTCGATCGAGTGCCGCAATTTGAGATTGAGCTTTGTGGAAGCTTCGGTAGCCTTCAGGCTTGAGTACCCAACCTCCCGTGGCGTGAAACATCGCTTGATTGAGCATAGTTGCTGCGTTGATATATTGCCAGTTGAGGGCGACAATCTGCGCACCCATCCGCCAGAAAGGTGCAGGGTCCAAGTTGCTCGAGGATACACGCATACCTTTAGGGTAGACCCTCATCAAGAAACGCTGACACGTCATTAGCTGGTCCTATAATTTGCAACTCATTCCATGATCTACCTTGTTGTGTCTAAACAGTGCCGAATGATCACGCTTGTGTACGTCGATGATCTTGGACTCGGACAACGAGAATATGTGGTTGGGAAGCTTGGCCTCAGGCTGGTCGAAGTCTTTGAAATGACAGCCACGAGTGTAGACGCCCATTGAAGCGAGTGCAGAAATGATGTGACTCTTTTTGGCTGGCGTCTCCTGAGACTCATCCTCTGACCCCGACTCAGGGTCTGCATTGCTTGACACCACGACCGGGCCTGTACCCTTTGCTGCTTCTGGAGCAGTGTACTTAACCTTAATGAGTATCTTCTTGCGCAAGGACTCTAAACTTGGAAGAGATGTCTCATGACCAGTCACAGCATTCAGATCGACCAAGTATGCTGCCCATGACTCCTTCATGATATCGACTATGATTTTTTGCTGAGCGGGACAGGCATGAACCTCGAGACTGACGATCAAGGGGAGATCACTGTGAGTCGGTGAGTGGATGAGTAGTCGTATGTACGAGACGTCTCAAATACCTTGCTGTGAATGCATAGTCCCGTATGGTAGCGCAGACGGCTCTGAAGGATATCTCCTTGGTTGCTGTATGTCCGTGAAGAACGCGTGGCTCGGTCTTGGACACAGTTCTGCGAAGGCCCGCTTGTCCTACACTCTCATGCTCGGGTGAAGTGGAAGCAGCCACTGGTTTCTCCTTCGATTGAGGCTCAGCCTTGGCCTTCGACAGGCCGATCTTGTCTTTGAATTTCCTGCTCAACTTCTTGATCCCGCCTTCATTCTCGGCATCACTGTCACTATCGGCTGATGAGTCCGAAGTCTCGGAATCCGAATCGTCTCCGTCCCAGACATCGATCTCGACGCAGCGGCAGCCTCGTTCCAAGACTTTCTGGTATGCCTTTGTGCTAGCCTTACCGTAAAGTTGATTGCCCCACAGGTATGTGTTGTGGCTGCTCGAGATGAAGTAGTCTGATATGGGATGAGTAGCATCCAGGGCAACGGATGTCATCGCATTACTCTCATCCGAGCCAAGATATTTTAGAAGTCGACGAGAAGTTTGATCATTACTTGCAGAACCAGGAAAATCGAGGTTGTCACCCTGAATGTTGTCCAGCTGCGCAAACTCGGCAGTGAACTCCTTGACATAGTCCAGGATGGCTGGGGACCAGGCTTGCGGGTTCGTGATGTTCATATCGTAGTTTGTAAGTGGAGGAAGCTCAGGGTCGTGGTGACACTCGCGTAAGTGATGCAGTAGGGTGGTAGATAGCAAAGAATGGTAATCGCATGCAGGGTAGAAAAATCGCGGAAACGATGGCTCGAAAGCTTAAGCTGTCATGAGAGCAAACGCACTAAGATTGTCATGTCGTGATGAGCGTACGTGGTACTTCCTTCCATATGAACTCCTGTTTGAACTCATGCTGAAACAGGTTGGACACATGGTCAAAGCTGCTGACTTGTAAGGGTCTCGACTGCCAAGACTCGGGAAGCGTGTTCATCATGGTTTGTCACTCGTCGCCAGAGGAGGTCAACATTCCAACTTCTCTTGTACCAGCGACTGGATTCGACAATGGCGCAGAAGTCGAGGAAAGAAGCAGAAGCGGAGGTCAGAGGATGGGGATTCAACCACGTATTTACCTGGACTGATGGACCGTAAGCCTGACCCCGACGTTGAATCGGAGGCACGACTGACCTGTCATCAGTAACGCCCATTATCCGCCTCACACCCATGCCGGTATCACTACACATCTCGTCTTGAAGGGGAGCCTCACTCTCAGTTATCCTGATGATACAAACCCAAAGAAAGAGCAATGTAATGTTGGCGATAGATTCGACGTCGATGCCAACAAGCGCCATGAAGTTTGGATAGGCCCTGAGGGCTGCACCTATGTCATTGGAGAGTGATAGTACAAAGCAGCTCATTGTTTGGAACAAGACAAGAGAGGAGCCGCTGGCGTCCGAGTCTGCCTTCAATCTCTCTGCGATGTTTGACCTTGGTCGCGATCGTCACTTGCGAAGCATGATTGCTGTTTCCACAGCAACGATCTGGACCCCCCAGATTGACCACAGGAGGGAGGGACCAAGCAATGCGTACAGACCTGCTTCTGATCGCTCGTTATGTCCCAAAGCTCGCGCCGCTGCCACTTGATCAATTAAACTCATGTCGAAGCAGAGGCGCAAAGTATGAAGCATAGGAGTCCTATGCTTCATGCTTCCTTCGTAAGCCTGAATCTCGAGCCGGACCGATGTCAAGATGTCACTCAAGATGTTCAGACAAGCAATCTCCACAGTCAAAGCACAAACTATACGCAAAATTTGTCAATCCGGACGTCAGGAAGGGGTCAGTCTGAGCAGCTGTTCCAAATGACAAAAGTTTGTTGCCACATGTGTTTGCAAAAGTCAGGAAGATAACCTGCTGGGAGGAAAGGACTGTCCGAATTCGTTCATTTAGACGAGAGATAGCTATAGGTTGCTGATGCACATTGCTCAGTGGCTGCCTGCTTCAATAGTATGGTTGGTGGCTGTCTACAATGATCGTGTGGCTTGTTGCGCATTCTTCAGTTATAGAGACTGGTTTGTTCAGAAAATATCAACCATATTCAGCTCAACAGTTTGAAGATACAGGCTATGTCCGCGGCAGACAGATTCTGCTGCAAAGCCCACAACTTTACTGAAATGTTTATCGAAGCAACAATATCTTGTTCGCTTTTGGACAGTATTCGAAATACTGTCTCACAGCCACGATATATCTTATAGAGATAGGCTTCACTACAAGTGGAGCGAAACGGCGGCTTATTATTCGGCCCGCACTGCTTAAAAGCAGTAGCGCCTCCATAGCACCGTGATAGTCACGAAACCTCTCGAAAGTAGATCATTTGTACGTTCTTGTCTATCCTTACAGCCTTGTTGATTGTCTCGCTCATGGTGATGATGCAGTGTTCTAGACAAAAGAGCCGAGATCTTGCATCCAGAGCGAGTTTCATAGTGCTCGACGGAGAAGTAAGCCGTGATGAGATTGCATGCTATTTATGCTTACCGTTGACACCGATGCCAGTACAACACAGTTCAAGGACAAGAACTCTGACACAAGGCTCAAAAGCTTTGCAATCTCAGAAGAATTCTCTCGGAAGGTTTGGAAGCATGCTAGGTATCGGTGTGCTGTTAGAGCTTTTAAGGTCCGACCTGCTCAATCTGTAGAAGACCAGACAAGAAAGACACTGGTAGCTCTAGATTGTGACAGATCTTTCATGGTATCGCAATGCGGCCGTACACGTGGGCCTCAGATCTTGCCTAGACAAACTTCTGTCTCCCAGAGTCTTGTAAGATCCAACACGTGAGTGTCGCCATGAAGGCTGGCCGAACTGATCCGTCTTCGGATGTGAACTCGATAACAACCCGTTGCAACGGTCCTCTCCTTCGAGCGGAGGATGCTGCGCGCTCTTGCAACAATGCCCTGTACCCTGAAGCTTGAAATAGGGAAGGATCTGAGACTTATGACGACGCAATATTGCGAATGTCTGAGAATCCTATCCGAATTCATCCATGTAGATGGAGTCTTCCAAACGGCGCACAACAGCGTGAAGAATGGGAGGGAGGTAGGATGCGAGCCGCAACGAATAGCGCCATGGAACATCAGCATCAGGTAATGAAGGTCACCAAGGACAGTACAGATTTAGATCAGGAGAGATTTCTCGGGAGATACTTCAGTAGGTTGAGGATGTCTACCGAGACCCAGAAACAAGATATTGATTGGCGGGAGCTACATGCATGATCAGCAATGACTCAATTCTCAGACGATGACTTCTGTCCATAGGCTACACGGGCATGATATGAGTCCGGACCTAAACCACATGAGGGACAACGCATCGGTTACGCTCAGCTTGCACGCTGAAGATGTATCGTGAGCTCTGGTGCATTCTGCTCACCACCTTCCTAGAACGTATAGAAGTTCGTACACGCCTAGATGTATGCGAAGGGAGGCGGGCTGAAACACAGGGTGTACTGCAACGTCTTCTCCTGTATCGCGATATCTTCTGCAACAGCAAATGAGGCGGCAGTTGTGAGCGAATGTCTGGGGGAGGAGCCAAGGGGGTGGTCAACGGTGGGGAAGCGCCTGCAAACTCGTTGCCAAAACTTGCGATCGGTTCCACCCGAGGAGGCCAAAATCTATGTCTGCTGCAACCCTGCCCTTTCTTGGAAAATTCGCCTGCAACGGTTTCCCTCACACCCTCTTCGCTCTTGCTCGTGAACCTGGGATTTGGCAACGGCTTTTTCATTTGTTCGCTCGATAGTTGGCCGTTGGCAATTCGTATGCCTGCGGGCACAACTGGGTCACGTCGTCACTGACTCCTAGTTCGTAGCCCAGCAGAGCCGTGTGATCTGATTCGACATCTACAGGACTCAATACGACGACTAGGAGAATGGCGAAAGATGCCACGGCCTGTTTGCGCAGTCGATAGCGCAGATCGCCTCGTGTGCACTCCCAGAAGTGGAGTCATGTTTTTGAGTTGTGTGATTCTAGGCATCCGACGCCGGGTCAACTAGGAGAACCTCAGCGATGTTCAGTCGTTTCATGACCGTTAGTGGGATTTCCTAATAGTACAACGACATATGTCTGATAGACATGTTCCACATCCAACGCCCAGCCTGTGCTCCGAGATACTCTCTCACGGGCTTGCTGGATTTCAACGCTCAAGAAACCGGCAAGCCAGATGGATCGGGCGTTTTCTTGCACGTTGTGCTTTGATATAAGTAAGGGCATACATCCTCGATGGTCTTGTTCAGCAGCGCTCGTTCTATCATCTTCGCATCTAGTTGTTCGACCATCTTACGATTCCATTCCACCACAAACAGATCAGCATTCCGACATTCAACGACCACTAATACATAATCTCGAGTAACATTCCTCACGACACATTCAAGATGAGCGTCACTGTACTTGCCCCTACTCCTGCTCTTCCTCCTGTCACAAGAGCATCGATGTGGGAGAAGATGTTCGGCACTTTCAAGATGGGCAAAGAAGTCGTGTCCAAGGAACCCTCTGACATGCTCAGCCCTACCATCTCTATCCAGAAGACCAGAATGGCTTCCACCTCTACCGCTATTGAGCAGAAGAGCAATCTCTACAACCGCAAGCCATCCGCAGTCTCAAACAGAATGGCCAAGGATTCTCGCAGCTTCTCCGAGGGCTCTCCCTCTAAGAACCGCGCGTTCAGCATCTCCAGCCGTCGCTCATCCAAGAACAGCGTCAGAAGCTGGTTCAAGAGTGCCAACCCTGACACTGATGCCGGTGTTCCTGCTGTTCCCACTATGGACCGCAAGTTCTCTCAGTTCTCCATGTTCAGCAGTCACAACCCTGATGTTGAGGTTAACGGAGCTTCTCCCACTGTTTCACCTACCACTTCTCGCCGCCCCAGCTATGTTCCTCGCAACGCTGCTTCTAGCTTCCTTCGCACCACTACTCCTTTGAGTTCTGACGAGAAGGCTGAGGTCTCCCGCAGATCCAGCGTAGCTGACCAGCCTCTCCCTGCCTCCAACATCTCTATCAGAGCCAAGTCTATTGCTTCTCCCAGAACCAACAAGCCTGCTCCTCTCCTTTTCACCACCCCTGCCCTCAGCGGCCTTCACAGCATGGAGGGTGTCTGCGAGATTGACGACTCCGCCAGCCTCATCTCTCCTCGTGGCGGTACCTTCTCTCATGACTCTGCTCCTCACTCACCAGCCGACACCATCATGGAAGAGCCAAACTTCGAAGCCCAGATCGACTCTGCAAAGGCCAGTCCTGAGCTCAACCCTGTCAAGAATGCAACCACAGTCTCAGCCGCCGAGTTGATATGCTAAGCGTATCTCATCTTCTCGTCTTTTCTGCAACCAAAAAGATCTTTCTTTCTCTCTTCGTATCTCGGAAGCATTATAGACTGGTTCATCTCATGGCGCGAAGGGTTACTGCTGGACTCCAGCCTTTCTCGACCTATCATCAACAACACTAATCGATGCTCGCTTGCGAGCAGACAGACATGTTTCTTTTCTATTTCTTATTCCTCATCAATTTCTTATGTTCAACATTCCTCATGGAAGGCAAGGGTGCTTCGCACAAGGACAAGAATGTTCATCATGAAGTGGCGTTTATCATTTCCAAAGATCAATCTTTTAATCATTGTATCTACCAATTTCTCCATCTACCTGTAAACAAGAAGCATTTCAAACAAGCCTCTCGCACATAAACATCACTGTGATATCTCCATCTCCATGCTCTCTTCACATCATTCGTCATTGTTGTCCCCAAGCCACGCACACCAAATTTCCCTCCCCTCAGCTCTGTTGTTGTGGGAAATAAACATTCCACAGCTGAACATCCGTCAAAACGTTTTCTCTCACATCAGAATTTGAGATTCCGACGTGCGCAAGCGCCTCTTTCATCATGCACCGTTGGGCGAAAAAATCGCACGTCAGCAGACCACATGGCAGAACGATACGCGTTTGGCAAATCGATTTAGCCTTTTGCACAATGACCATTGTTGTCGTTTTAATTTTTGTCTCTGATGTTTGATGGAAGATTTTTATACACAGTCAATGCAATGCTGGCTTTTCTTTCTTTTTAGCTTTCGTTCCTCTGCGCGACGACCATTGCGTACAAGAAGGTGTATGTTTTGTTGACTCCATCATTCTAGACTTTTCCCTTTCGTGCTTCTTTTGCTATCTTTCTTATCACTTCTAGCTCCTTGCATCTTGCGCTCCAGAAACCTCTTCACTTTTGACTTTTGCGTTCTGCCATCGTGCATATCACCATGGTTTCCTCACAAACCTTGCCCGCAGATTTCCTTTCGCCCCACGAGGCGAGACTAAAGTATAAATGTTGCCAAAAAAAAACGGAGGGGGAGGTGGAAATGCAGAGACGTTTGTAGGGGAGATGGCGAACGCTGGATGTGAACCGCAGTGGGGTAATCGGGATCGAGGGGAAAGAAGGTGATTTAACTGTGTATGGACGATTGGGTAGGGCTGTGCAGTCGATTGCGATAGCGTGATTCGTATGGGAATAATATGGTGCCGTGGGATGCGTGAAAGGGGGCCGGCATGGAAGTGGTGTAATGATGGGGACATGGAGGTGTGGTATGCCGTCTTTCAATTCATGCAGGCTGCAGTAGCCACTGTGCCTTCTGGAGGTGTGATGACTGCATGTACAGGTCTCGGGGATGTAGGAACCCGATTAACAGGCTCTTGTGGCTTGATGGTGCTTGTGAGTGCTGCATGGCAATGTTCTTCTGCAACGACGTTGTCAGGCCTCTAGACTGTGGAGGACTAAGAATATGCCACGCCACGTTCGGCGGATGGATCGCGGGATGGGACTTCGTGGGAGCGATGGGATTAAGCATGGAAGTGTGACTTCTGGATTGGGATCCCTGAAGGCTATTCATGGGAGCACCACAGCCGTCGGGACTATCGAGCCGGAGCTGGTATGGTCACAACCCTGACTCTCACTGGGATGCATCCCTTCTGCAAGTCGTCGATAGTCCGTGACAACATCCAGTGTACAATCTTTAGCGTGTTGCGAACGACCAGAACATATGTCACGTTGATATCAACATCGTCAACAGAGTCTTTGGGTGAGAGATACAAGCACGTATATTGAGGATATATAGACCATGATATACTCCAAACCAGCTTGACATTGTGCCAGTTTCCAAGCGAACGAACGTAGACGGAAACCTATTTCTGAGACCTTTGTGGTGAACTGCAATCTCAAAGTAAGCATTCATACTCGGAAAGAGTTGCGATGTGATAGACAGGATTGATGTAGGAATTATTGTCATATATCTGGTGCCGTTTCACCATGAATGCACCGGTCAAGGTGCGTAAGAAAGCCATGCATGTGTAAAGCGTATAATCATCCGAAGGGGGAGGAGCGAAAGGAAGAGAGGAGGAAAGGTGCTTACCCTATCATTGGGCGAGAGACTGGTCGTCCTTGCGTCTAAGAGCACCAGTCTCTCAGTTGAGTGTCGGCGGAGGATGAGCACCGTCTAGACATGGAACAAGAGCCGTGTGTCGAGTTCTTGATGGCTGTCAAGATGTTGCTGTGAAGTTTGTCGCATCTTCGTGAGAGCAAAAATATTTATTGCAATGCCAAGCGGCTTTTGATGTGGCCCGAGCGCACGGCATCACAGGCGCAATTAAACATCGTCAGCACCAAATGTATACCAAGGCCGTCGCAAGCACAGATAGCTCACCATGGCAGTCTCAAGAACGCTAGCTCTCAAGCTCATGGAGGTATGCTAACCTTGTGATGCTCTCTCGAATACGGCAGCAAAGTCACCAAGTCACAAGCCTCTGACACGATCAATCGCAGACACAATGCGCCATCTTCAACACGACCTTCAACCCTCAGGGCTTCCGCACTGGTAACAGTGTCCTACGCCAACGTCTTCGCGGTCCTGCAATGGCTGCATACTACCCTCGTCGCGTCGCTACCTTCACCGATCTGCAAAAGGCATACCCTGGATTCGAGACCTTTGACGACTACGAGGAAGACAGAGTCGAGAACGTCCAGATCTCAAAGTCCAGAGGCAAGGGTGCACCCAAGAAGAAGAGGACAGCTGCCGGTAAGTGCTCACGACAGAGAGGAGGAAAGAGGAAGAGATCAAGAATGGCAAACCAGAAGACGAGGTTGAGAAAAAGGCAGAGCAAGAGATGGGAAAGCGACGCCGTACCAATGAGAGAACAAGAGAGACAGAAGAACGAGGGACCGTGCTGCACATTGAGGAACATTCGCTGACATTTATGATTCGCAGAATCAAAGAAGTTCGGCAAGAAGAAGAGGTAAACGACTCGCACGAGGTTGCCTCCATGCATCACCCTTCACACTCACCCTCGAGTCGGAGAACCTGTACAAAAACAAATCTCACATCGGAGAAGGAGGCAGCGAAAAAAGCATGGGATCACACCTTCTGCTGCATCACGAAGGGCGTTCTGGGAGTCATGGGAAATCGACTCTATACATGTCGAAAGGAGAAGAGCCTGGCAAGACTCGAAATGTACAAACTATGTTCCGCAATATTACAAGATCAAGACCGAAACACACTCTCTTTCTGCCTGTGTTGATGCTCAAGCTTCGCCTCTTGCTGCCTGTCAGTGGTACCAAGACGAAGCGCGATATGGCAATATCGATTCATCATCGGGAGGTACTCTGGAACTCCGGCAACTGACCACACAATCCTTGAAGCCTAAGCGATATACATGACCGAGCCCTGGTAAGCACGATCAACCGACCATTCCTGCCGCCAACACATGTCAATTGAACCATGTTCACAGTGGTTCCCGTGACTGCCGAGCTCCGTGTCATTCCCCATTAATTCTTCCCTCATCTTGATGTTCCGAAGGATACTCGCAAGGACAGCACGGGAACACTATTTCTTGTTTGGCAGATACACACTACGAGTAATCTCGCTGCCTGATCATATCTCAATCACGACTTGGTGCCTTGCCAATCTTTCCCGTAAACAGAAAGAGCTTGAAATCTGGGTGCCTTGTGAGAGTGTTTCTGATGCAGCACAGCAAATAATCCGGGTGCCTTCTCCATGCAAGCCACAACCGGCTAACCCACAAACTGTCCATCTTCATCATCCATGCCGTACCAATCATCAACACCTCCATTGACGAATCAGCGCGTAGAGATCTTTGATGCCTGAGTCACCTCTGCAATTGTTCAGCCTTGATCTCGATATTCCGAAAGTAAAGACAGTTGCCGGTATGCGAGATATACTTTATGGTTTAGAAGATGCAGCCATTGACGAATCAGAAGCCAGGAAGTTTTGGTGCCTGAGTCACCGAGTAGCTATCTGATGCAGAAGCCTGAATTGCTCAATTCTGTAGCCTGAGATCTCATAGGTTGACGCCACATCGCCGACCTTGTTATTGGTGCATAGCAAAAGATGACGAAGAGAATCGGCCAACAAAACACGTTTTGGGGGGTGTTTTGTGGCTGGCTGTGCGGTGTCTGATTTGGTGTGGAGAGGTAAGCTTGGTATTGGTTGGAAGGACGAGGTGAGTGGTTTTCGGACACCCTGAAAGCTTGACTTGTTTTTGCATGTATTGCGTGGTTTATGTTGCGGCCTTGTGAGGGTCGGGTTAGGCAGAGATGGTTGTCGTAAGTCGGAGAGGTGTATAAGTATCTTGGTCTTTCCTCATCAATGCTAAAGTCAATTCGTCACCACTACATCAATATCACAGAAGCATACTGAGCATTCATACATTGATCACTCACAATCGTCTCATACATACTTTCCTCACCATACCTGAGACACCATCACTTCACAACGTCAAGATATTACAACTCAAAATGTCTTCACCAAATCAATACAACCTTTCAGATCCAACATCCGTCTACCACATTTCCCAGACCAGCAGAAACGACCCAAAGAACCCTCGTCACGCAGCCCTCTCCTCTGCCTTCCCCGAGCAATTCTTCGCCAAAAAGACATCATCAATTAGTCCACCCATCCCCACCTCACCAACCACAAGCCCGACCACTCAAAAACCAACAATGGAGCAATCACGACAAGAAGCCCTGGAAGAAATGTATCCAGTCCAACACTTTGGCAAACGCAGCACTTCTCCCTCCACCACATCAACAGAAAAGCAATTGCATCGTAGCCCATCTGTATACAGTACCTCCTCAACCCTCACAGCCACCTCTGCCTTTTCCACCACCAGCACAGCAACAACAATCGCTGCTCCCCCAGCGCCCAAAGATACTCCCATCGATCTCTTCGACTATCAAGTCGCCGGTTACCTCTCCATGCCCATAAGTCACAAAGATCAACCCTACCGCAAGCACTCTGCATCTGCATCGTCAACATCCTCATCTTCCTCCTTGTGGACAAGAGCAAAAGGAAAATTGCAAAGAAAACCCAGTTCCAATGCTTCGGAAGACGAAGACGAGAAAATGACAAAGACGGAGAAGAAGCAACAGAGGGAAAGAGAATACGCAGCTTTGGGTTTGGATGAAAAAGTAAAGTTTGGTGCAAAGGGGGGTATGAATATTGTTGGTTGAGAAAAAGCTGTGCATTTCCTTCTTTTTGCCTCGTCGACTCAACTGCTGGTTTGCTGTATTTTCTTTGGTTTCTAGGGCTGTGGTATGGGCGTTTCTCTGGTAACACTTGCTCTTTTTTACTTTGTGGTTTCATGACAAACCTTGGAAACAAGTAAGCGTGGAAATATTGCCTTCTTCTTTTTCCCACAGAGCGCGAAGATATCGATGAGAAGATATTACAATGCAAAAAGAATGATACTTTTCTGATCCAATTTTTTTTTCAATTCACTTGCGCACACTTTCAATGTCTGGTGTGTGTTTTTAAGAAGCATCGTCTTCTTCTTCTTCTTCATCAAACATGTATTTGTATCCCGGGTGAGCATGACGTTCATGGCAAATCATGACGCCCTCCAGTCTTGGAGAACGGACAACATTTTAAGACGAGTGATGCAGCAGAGCGAGGTCAAAGATACGAAAGACATAAAACTTACTGTCGGACATTTGGAAAAACGACAAAGAGGGTTGGAAACCAAACAACTCATACAGGATTGAGAAAACTCGACATGACAAAAGTGACTCCAAAAGGGAATGTCAAGATCCGTCTCCTCTATGCAAGCAAAAAAGATCTTCAAAATCTTCAAAACCGCTAATAACGCAACAAGAAAAAGTTGAAAAATCATCCCAAACCTCTATTCTATCCTTTTTCTATATCCCTTCTCATGTTCATTTCCTTTCAATGGAATCTCTTCATCTCGAAATCCTCACTATCTCCAGGATGCAATTGCGCCGGCCCGTCAAGCCCCGCCGTCTCAGCCGTATGGCCAGTCCTAGGTCTTTCCTGACTCTTTCTGACTACGTTGCTTTCATTGGTACGTGTTCGCCAAGCAGCTCCAGACACGAGACCAGTGCGAGGGTCGATGGTACTGGGAGCATTGCTATTGGCGCCACCAGGAGAGTCTTCGGGGATGTCGGCCATGCCCTTTTCCATCATTGCTTGTTCGTCAATTGTGTTTCCGCGGGCGCGGCCGAAGAAGCGGTTACGATGTGTGACGCGAGAGGTCGTGGAAGCGTCTGTGGATCGGCGTGCCAGACGGCCAGGCCCAATGTCGCGGGAAGTAGAGCGGCCAGTATCAGTGCTGCGATGTGTGTCGTTTGACTTTCTGTTACGATAGTCGGGGGATGGCGAGGTTACACTGATGGGTAAACGAGGCTTGCGTTGTTCATCCTCAAAGACATCTCCAGAATAGTTGTTGGCGGCTTCGGCACTCATGCCTAGGGAGAAATCGACACGCTTGCCCATCTGAGCCAGAGTCTCGTGACGACGGGCAGTAGAGCCATTGCGGAGAATTGAGCCAGCGCGTGCGCGGCCACCAATGGGGCCTTCTGCGGGAGTGACAAATGGTGGGTCTTGGTTCTCGCCTTCTTGCCAGCCAGTTGGGTTGTCAGGGTGACCATTGCGACCCATGCCAGGAGTTGCTTGATGAGGGATGTTTTGCATGTATACAGGGAAAGACTCCTTCTGACCAGGGAAGCGCATACGAGGACCTTCGATACCACACTCCTGCATGGTGACCATAAGAGCGCAGATGAACTTGTTTCTGCGAGCGAGACGAAGACCTTCGTTTTGCCAATTGGACTTGTAAAAGAAAACGACGTTGAGAGTAAGAGAGTGGACCTCGGTGACTGAGCGGAGTTCAGTAAGAATGTTGCCTTGGTATTCGCGGTTTTCCTGCTTGACGAAGTCGAGGAGACGGTTGCGCAGACTTTCGATCTGTTCCAGAGTAGTACCAAACTTAATGACGACAGGGACGGCTTCAGCGAGACCACCAGAACGACGCTGATTAAGAATGAAAAGAGTGTTGAGGTAACTGTTAGGTGCCTGCACCACGTGTCCCTCCATCTTCTTGAATTCAGTGTACAGCAGAGCAATTTCCTTGACGAAATAATCATCACCAGTCAGAGTGGCACCGGTGTTTCCGTAGATGGTCACACGGTCACCGACGTCGAAAGGATGCTTGACGAAGACGAAAATGATGGACTGCAGAATTTCAGTTGCAGTCGCCGAGAACAGCCATGAGAGACCAAGGACGGTGGAACCAGCAGAAGTCAACACGCCAGCAGCGGAGGTCGAGATAAGCGAGATGAAGACCAAAATGGTGATGACGGCGACAAGGAACATGAACATGTCATCCAGCTTACCAACGACCGAGTCGAGATCCTTCAACGAAGCAGTGATAGACTTGCGCTCACGGCCGATCTCGACACAAACCGCTTCCAGCTCTTCCATAGAGATATCACCGTTCATGTCCTTGTCGAACATGGAGAAAGCAGCTTCGGCCTCTTCGTCGTTGTCAAAGGCGTTCTTCAGATCGTCGTTGTAAACAGTCTCAGTCTCGGGTCTGGCGAAAGTGCGGTACAAGCGACGTGCAAGAACCTGACTGCCGTTGGTGGAACCCAAAAGCGTCAAGACGACTTGGTGAGGGTGAGTGCTCTGTGCAACAGACTTTCCTGTAAAGTCACCTGCCATCTTTCCAGCGACGTCACCAACCTTGTTGAAAATCTCCTTGGTTTGCTTGTGGGCTTCTTGAAGGTAGCGACCAGGAGTACGGGCGCCAGAATCTACGCCAGAAGGTGCCTCGAACTCGGAATCCTCCATGGCGATTTTTGCTTTGGAGAAGGTGTAAAGTTTGACCAGACTGCCAATCTGGAACTTGTTCAACTCGATACGATCGGCGTAGGTGCGCAAGTGGAAACTGATGGCGATAAGTTGGATGATAATCTTCTCGACAAAGTTGAGAATCATGCCGACGAAAATTGCCACCAGGACTTTGTTCATCGTGCCCATCCACGGTTGTGTTGCTTTGCTCTTGTTGGCCTGGTGGTTCTTCATGGTGGGCAAGAAGGAAACCTCGACACCGAGCCACCAGAAGAATAGAGTTGCTGGAAGCTCGAGTTGCTTGCCCATGTCACGCCATTTCTTGCTGTTGTTGGTGAAGATTGTAGAGAAAAGACCGATCGGGTAGGGAAGGCATTTGGCAAGGAGCTAGTCATGTTAGCGAGTGCAAGAGTCGTAATGTCTGCAAGTGAACTTACTCTACCAGCCCACAATGTGAGCCAGACAATCTCAAGCCAGATCATGAACCACATAAGTTCGACACCTCCAACAACAGCCTTAGTCGCAGGGCTGACAAACGCGCCGATCAACAGCGGGATGAGCAGAATCAATACGATGGGCAGAATATATGTAAGATAGCGAATCAAGAAACTCGAGTGATGGATCCTCTTGATCAACTTGGAAAAGTTGCCGACAGGGTCCTGAGGGGGTTTGTACATAGCGGTCTGTTCATGGATAGGATTCGTAGCAATGTCGAATTCGTCAATGTCGTCCCTTCTGGAGCGTTGACGGCCCATGTGTGATGCACCGTCTCTTGTCTGAACGTCGGCATCGTGCGACACTTGTCTTTCAATCTTGAGTAACTCCAGGTCATCATCAAGTCTGTTGGCCATTTCGCGATTCTGTGATGGCGAAGTCATGTCGTGCATTCGAGGGTGGTAGTGGGGGTCGTTGGCTGTGTCGACGGTAAGATGGCTACCCATACGGTGCATTCGTGGATCGACAGGTCCATCATCTTCCTCGTCACGGAAGCGGTGATGACTGTGTTGGCTGTGTTCATCTCTATGCTCTCTGTGGTCTCTGTGGTCTCCAACAACTGTGCCTTCTTCATCCGAGTTTCGCTCGTGGTGAGGATTCACATTGTATCCAGGGAGGTGATATGATGGTTGTTGATATGTAGGCTCCGGCCTCTCATCGTTTGGTGTCGACATGTTGTGTATCCTCTCCTTTGGCAAAATATTCAAAACAGTAGTGTTAGAGCCTTGCCAGGCAGTTAAAAGTCCGCTTCATGCAATGACGTCTGTGGTTGTTGACTTTTGGCTTTGTTGCGAAACGTGCGTCTTCCCACGCAAGTCTCGGCCGGATCACGGAAGGCCCGAACTATGTCGATACGGATATGGAAACGACTGAAGAATGCTTTGAACAACGAGTGTAGACCCTGCTCAAGTGGTGGTGAATGATGCCAGAGAGAAAAGGGAAAAGGACGGGAAAAGCGAGTAAGCAGAGAGAGTCGTTGGACTAATCAATCAGATCAGCATGGATCCAGGAACAAGGAACCAGCCAGCCAGCGAATTGATAATTAAAAAAGATGTGCAGAATGCAGACATGAGACGGGGTCCCGACCAAGCGATTGGCGATTATTGCCAGACAAAGCTGTGCTCACTGCTTGATGGGTACGGTGGAAAAGCATTGGGACTGCCAAGCCATTCAACTTGCATCATCTCCAACCGCCAGGTGGAACCCAGCATCCCCTGGTGCGCGTTCTTTCGCTGATGTTTGTGTATGATCTTTTCTATTTACGGTACACATCGCGAATGGGGGGTGAAGGTGGGACAGCAGGCAGATTACTCCCACTCCGCAAGCTCCAAAAAAGCAATAGAACATCTGCTGCGCCTTCTTCGCAATCTTTTCTAGAAAGCACTTTTTCTGTTGATGAGAGAGTCACACATGTAACTATTTTCCTTTCTCCAATCCGTACCTTACATATTCACATGTCGTGTTTCGTGCTCAACAGAAAAAAGGCACTTTTCTCTCTACCTGCCGCAAAAAGGCTGAAACGGTTGCTTTTCAACTCCTGTCGCAAAGACTTTGTGGCTTGCCTTTCTGGTGCGGCTCCACTGCCCTGCAGTTGAGAAAGAGAAGGGAGAGAGGCTCGGCTGCACAGGGATCCGTTCAGGGCCCTTGCCGCGCCCGCGTCTGATCATCGCGAGCTTCGAGGATTCACTGGCAATGCTGATTCGACCAGACCTCTTGTAGTGGAGAAAACAATGGCGACAGCGGCGTCGCGGATCACATAGGCTCGCGAGCCCATCTCGCCGCGGATCGACTGCTACTCTCATCAGGGCAAGAAAGGTGTTTGGTGTGTGTGCATAAAAAGATAGCAAGAGTCGGTGTACATGACTGGCTCAATTGTACACTTTATCCTACGCGCTGACTTTCAACATCGAGCAGCATGTGAGAGCCTTGCTCGGGCCCGACATATTTGGTGCTGCCTTATCTTCCGCTGTGACATCCTCTCCCCATCCCTCCAAACAAGCCCTCAACACGAAACTTGTGCCTAAAAAGCTCCGAGGAAATTTCGCACAGTAAAGCGATCTAGACACTTCGATGCTGGAGCACAAAGACTTCTTGATGGCCTGAGGCCTAGAGACTCATGGACATAAGAGGCACAGAGGCTTGTTTTCCGCGTGTCGCGACTTGGCTCTTTTATTACTACATCAGATAAATTGCTATTGGACCAGTGATCGACATATGTTTTGGATAACATGATGAGGCTGTGCTGTCATTCGAGACCAAAGGCGAAGGATTCCAAAGGAGATTAGATTGATAGGAGATCCCCCATGGGAGCTCTCGCATGTGATTTCGAGTCTGGAGAGCTGGTGCAACAATAAGCGATACAGTAAGCAAATGGTGACACGACGGTCGGGATGTCACTTCAATCCATTCAGGTTCGAGATAAGCTGTGCACACTATTGCCAGGCCAATAAAAGTCGAGTCAGGTACTCACGTTAACGCTTTGGAAGTGTTCCTGCAGCAATTCACAGCTTACTACTGCAGTGTCAAGTGTCACATGTAAACAGAATACGCCAGGAAGTAATGATTGGTTGAAGAGAACAAAAGACCTGCATTTGTTCCTGCATTTTTGTAATTCGTTGTGTTTGTTGTGGTAAGCGAGAAAAAGAAGAGAAGCTAAAGAAGACAAAACATCTAGGGGTATCTCGTGATACATAAGCACATGGTTCTTTGAAAGCAAAAAGAACCCCTGCTGCTATTGTGTGCTTTCCATGATTGAAGCAAAGACGCCGGTTGTGAAGATGGTGGTTCCCCTCTGTCGCTGAAAGAAAGACAACAACGCTTCCATGTGTATTTGCTGCAATCGTCCCATAACCATCATTAGGATAAGAAAAAGCGAGAGAATCTGTCGTGAGCGAAGGACGAGTAGTTGTATGCTGTCCATGTATTCACTTCAGAGGGCCGTACACGAGTTCGGACTCCAGGAAGGCCTGGCTGTCGGTGACAAAGCCCATGTTGGTGGCGATGTTGTAGTCGCAAACTGCCTGAGCGTTGAGTCCGGTCATGGTGGCTGCGCAGTCGCCAATGAGAATGCAGTCCCTGTTTGGCAAGTTCGTGTTAGTTTGGTTGTGCGCGGATTTTCCGAGGGAGTTTTGAGCAAGAAAGGTTTGCTGACGTACCATCCCCAGTTGTATGCGTCGGTAACGGTGCCCAGCAAGCACTGGTCGGTGTTGACGCCGGCGAACAGCAGCGTCTTCTTTCCGCTCTGGCGAAGCCATTTGTTCATTGGCAGGTCCGGGTTCCACATGCCACTCATACGGGCCTTGTCGAAGCGGACGTCCTCTGTAGTCATGACCTTCTTGAGAGGCTCGTAGATGTCGGCGTTCCAGGTGCCGCTGAAGAGGCAGCGCTCGGTGTTGCCCTTGTCATCCTTGACGTTGGCGCCCAATCCGACGTGCCAGCCGTGGCCCTTGTCCGCGGCCAAGTTTCTGTTGAAACCTCTTGTGACAGCTGCAGGCATGACTTTGAGATCGTAGTCGGAGATGCCCCAGTTCAGCCAGCAGCGCTGGATGCCCAAATCCTTGCACTTGTCAATGACCTTCATCATGGGATCGATCGTGGCGATGCCGCTGGTGTGGTCGTGGTACATGGGGTGGACGAAGAAGTTCTGCATGTCGATGATGACAAGCACGGTCGAGGCGGGGTCGATTGCGCATCCTCTGTGGAAGCAGCGAGTTAGCCTTGTTGTCCGTGAAGGGCGATGGGATGGAGGACTCTAGGGCAGTTCAAACCCACTTATGGTTGCGGATACCATCGTCAGCGTCGATGATTAGCTTGCGCTTGGAGCCACGCGAGAGGTCGAAGCGCTTGGAAGGGATGTGGTAGAACCATTGGTCGTCTCCACCGAAGGCGACATGCTCGTCGAGGTTGTGTTCGACGGGCGGATCGTTGATCGTGTGAGCAAGCTCGTTGATTTGTTCGATTTCAATTGCGCTTGGTGCCATGTAGTCGGCCGAGTGTGGGCCGTTCGTAGAGTGTAGGAAGGGAATTTTGAAGGTTGTTTGGTTGTTTGGGCTGTGCGGAAGAGGTGTTGAGTGGTGAGAGTGTTTCGACTTGCGGCAAAGGAGCGTATTGTGATGTGTGGTGAAGGAGGGAGATAGTGAAAAGCAACAAGCGATAAGAGACAAAAAGATAAGGGCCAAAGCTCGTCTCAACGTCGACAGTCAGTCCAGAATTCTGTTCCCGAGTGGCCGGTGAAAAGTCAAGAGGAAGCCAAGCGCCCTTCGGAAATCACGGTGCAAGGGCAAATTCGGAACAAAGAGATCTGGTTCGGTGGAGAAAGGAGATAATTGATGTGTAAGAGACGAGGTGGCCATTATTTGGACACCGCGTGAGGCAGCTGTCTCGCACCCTGGATGCCTGTCTTCCTTACCAAAGCCCGCACTCTGCCTCTTACCTGCTTGTCTAGTAGCGCAAGACAGAGTATGTTTGCTGTCGATTGACTCATGATGATGTCTTGATGCGTCTCGCCTTGTCTCGCGCAAGGCAAAAAGGGACAAGGCGGCAGATACGCAAGAAGCTCAAAGAAGGACGTCAATGAGTCGTCGAGGTGTGGTCGCGAAACTCGCCACTCTCTCGTTGCTGCAAGCCGTGGAAAATGTGGGGAAGCTCCATGTTTTTTTCCGCTCCAGGGTCTAATTCTTACGTTTTCAAGGGGTCTGGATGTTTGCATGATTTTGCTGCTTTTGCCAGCATCTAAGCCATGGCCAAAAAAGACTGCTACATGGCTACAAGGCACCCTTGGAATTGTGCATAGTAGACAGGAAATCGCATATATTCATGATGTCCGGAAATCGGACAGGGTCGTAACCATCAGTGAAGAGTTCTGTACACCCCTATCTCTACAATTACAGAAGCAGTATGACAATGAAGCAGAGGGAGACGATGCGCGAGAGCTGTTCAAAGAGAAAAGCAGAAGAAACATGAAAAGAAAAGTAGAGAATTTCTAAAAACAAGACATGCTCATTCTCATGCCCTCAGAAGAGTAAAGTAAAACCCACGGAAGACGTCCCCAATCATTTCATCCCCCATTCTTACAAAACCTCTCCGATAATCTTGGCAGCCTCCTTGTATGTCGATAGCAACTTTTCGCACTTTTCGCGCTCGCTCTTGATGGCGTCGTCTTCGTACAGTAATTCTCCAAACAAGTCTTCCTTGTACAATTCGCTGACCAGTCTGTTTTGAACAACGTCCTTTGAGTGATTGACGAGAAGATGCATGACGGCTTTGGGCACTTGGTCGGCAATGGTTTCTCGGACAATGTTGAAGTATGATGATATCAGACGACGGATCAATTCGGTTTCAAGAGCTTCTCGCTCGGTGAGTGCTGGACCTTCGTCTGCTAGCGGCTGTATCGATTCGTTAGCCACGAGTCCGTAATGCTGAGCTGTAGTACTTACGTAGCCGTTGTCGGCATCCTCAGAGTCGTACTCGCCAGGGACGGAAATGTGAGATGACATGGGCCGTTCGGGAAGCTTAGTGTCGCCTCGGCGAATGCTGCCTGCAAAGCTGGGCTCGATGTTTGAGCTGACATGCCTGCTGCCAGCGGGGAGGTTGGACGAAGACATGTTGCCTCCAGGGAAACCGTTTGACTGCGGCAGACCGCCTTCCTTGCCGAAGAAGTAGTTGAGGAAACTGTCTCTAGCAGTGCCTCCTGCTCCTGCGAATCTTGGTGGTGATCCTGATCTCGTACCATTTGTACCAGCCATACCAGCACGTCCAACAGCGGGTGACATGCTACGACTGGCCTTGCTGAGGTGGCTGCGAATAGGGAGAGTTGCTGCCTTTCCACCAGTAGCGGCTTCATTTTCCTGATCGTCCTCGGGCTCGCCGGCGCCATTAGCACCGTTCAAAGCCTTCATTCGCTTCTCATCCTTCTTTCTCTTCTCTTCTGCTGCGACCATTGCCTTCTCTTTCTCTTGCTTGTCGTTGATGACCGAGTTCATAGCAGCCGCTGCGCCGAGGAAATTGGGGTGATTGGTGTTGATGTATGCGCGCTGGATAGAGATGAGCGACTCGACGTAGTGCGAGCAAGGGCCTAATCTCTCTCTGAGCAGGTCCGAAACAACTTCGATCAGCTTGGCTTGTAAGCGAGGGTATCTTGACAGCTCGTATGAGCCGCAGCTGTGACAGATCTTGATCAACTCTTCGTAAACCAGCTCAACACAACGCTGACTGGGGATCTCAAGCAGCTTGATTTGAGGCTTCACCAGCAAGTCAAAAGCAAGTTCGGGTACGAAAAGACTGGGACGAGGACCGGTCGAGTTACGGATGGCGGTACGGATGTCGAGGACAGAAAGGTTAGTTGTTGGGTCAATAGTCTCCAGAGAGTTGCCGAAAACAGAGTTGAAGATGTAGTAAATCCTGGCACCACCGCAAAGCTCCTTTGTTGAGATCTCGGAGGACGTACCATCGATGGACGAGGTGAAGGAAGTAGCGAAGCGAGTCATGAGTTGCAGAACCAGCGAGCCGCGGTGTTCCTTGCCAGCAAATGCAACATCTCCGTAGCTGGCCAACTCTTGTTGAGTCTGACCCATCAGGGTGTTCAAACGAGCCTTGATGTCGGGCAGACGCTCGCGAATGTGACCCATCAGGGTAGTGTTGAGGCTCTTTGCCAGGTACTGGGTACCGCAGCGGGTGGCCATGTTGCGGTAGGCGGGATGTGTGCGGAAGAAGTCTCTCTCGGCCGAGAGAGCATCGGAGAGCGACTTGTTGCCCTGGATATCTTGCTGCGAGCGGTTGACGACTCCAATGAAGCCTAGCTTCAGGGGGTAGACACGACCAGAGAGAATGTCCATGGCGTTTGTTCCGTGGTCCATCAGATCCAGCTTTGTCAGGACACCAATCGTACGTCTGCCCATGGGGTCGACATGACGGGCCAGCTTGAGCGCTTCAGAGTTGACCAGGTCGACGTTGGCGGGAGAGACTGCGAGGATGATACTGTTGGGCTTTGCGATGTACTCGGTAATGAGATTGCGCGTCTGCTTCTCGATGTCGCCAGGTTGGTCGCCAATCGGCACCTGTCCGAGAGTCAGTTGAAGCTTTCAGCCAGAGATAGAAGAGGGCGCACCTTTGTAAGACCAGGCAGGTCGACCAAAGTCAGACTAAGAACATGGGGCGAGTAGATCTTCAGGTTGATGGGTTGGCGGTTGATACCCTTGTTGTTGCCGGCAATTCTGGCCGTCTCGTTCTCAATCTCCCTCTTAACCTCACCAAAGTCGTAGAAGCGACGGCCTGGGATGTGGTTGAACTCTCCCCATTCGTCTTGGCCAGCGACAGAGGCCGGAGTGTGTGGCACGTGGATCTCATCGCCTTCGGGGCTGTCGGCATTGCTGGGCACGTTGATGAGTTGGAGGATAAGAGGGCGACGTGTGACAATGCCGCTTCCTCGAGGAAGAAAGTCGCGGCCGACAATGTTCTCCAGTACCGACGACTTTCCTGACGATTGCGAACCTACAACAACCTGTCATCTGTCAGCTTGCCCTGCCGAGGTTCAGCGCAGTATGCATACAATCTGAGGCAAGTCCAGCGAGTCATTTCCAATCGTGTTGAAGACGAGGTCCTGAAGCTTGTTGACTACTCCGAGCAGGTCTTCACCGAGAGAGGCCATGTTTGTGGTATTGGTGTATGTTGTCCTGAACGAGGCCTTTGGTTTGAGAAAGCTTGTTTGTCCAGCCAGCCGAGTCGTGTGTTGGATGCCGCGTCGCAAAAGTCCCAGTCTATGTCCAAAGCTAAGATGCGAACGAGAGATATCCTATAGAGGGATGATGGAAATGGATCTAAGGTTCAGAAAAGCGACACTTTTCCGAGTCGAGGGGCTGATGTAGCTGTTTTTGCGACTCTGCCCGTTGTTCAGAAGCCAAACCAACTTTCCTCAACTCCACATGCTCCAAAAGCCCTTCGTCACTGTTCTTGGCACCTCCCGCAGCCAGCTGAACCATCTCCATCTTCCTCGATCCCCCGAACGACAGGCTGCCATTTCCCACGATCAAGGACAACGTGTCTGGTGATTACTCTGTATTGTTTATGAGTGCTATCTGCTATTACGCAAATGACGACTGTCCTTCGCCTGACTGCTCGGCTGCTCCACATGAATGTTGCTACCATCCATTTGATCATTCCCAAAGCAAGAAGCCTCTATACTGTACTGCCCTTCGAGATGTACTAGAGCCAGGACTCTCCTTCTTCTCATGACAAGACAAGCTGTGCTGGTCCAGCCAGAGTGCCAGTCGTGGTAAGTTCATGGTAAGTCAAGTCTCCGGAAGAAGCAGTCAGAGCGGCGTACACAACACCACCGAGTCCTTCTGGCAACTGTACAGTGCCTTGACCTTGCTGGCCAGTCTGAACTTCTTGATAGATCGGGTCGCTGGCATTGGTGTGAACAATAGCAAGGTAGAGATTCTGACCAGCAGCTCCGACAGGTGCAGAGAAGTTGTTGGCGCTCGGAGTCCAGCTGAAGTCAAGAGTACTGCCGGAAATACCATTGAAGCTCAGCGGTGGGAGCAGATCTATGGGAAGCTGCTGCGGGCAAGATGTTGTGTAATTTTGCGCCAGGTTGTATGCCCAGATGGAGCTCAGTGGCACGTCTTGGTTGGTGGGGAACGGAGATGCTCCCATCCCGTTTCTGATAATGGCATCATGACGAGCCTCGACCGAGAGAATCGAAGCTGCAACAGTCTGGAGCTCTGGTGAGAAGCCGGCCAAGCTGCCCAGATAGTAGCCTAGACTCAGAGAGGTGATTTGGTTTGCAAGAAGAACGAAGCTCGTGGGTGAATCGTATGATAGGCTGTAGCTGCATGCCTGAGGAGCCGGGATGCCGTTGGTCTCGAGAGTGGTCGAGATGAACTCTGTTTGGTTCTGCTGTTGCTACGATGCAGTGTCAATACCGAGTAGTATAGTGACTTAACGGTCGACTTGAACTTACTTCCGCAATGGCACAGACGTCCTGCTGAAAAGTTGCTGGGAATCCATCGGTGGCCCATTGCACATTGGTGAAGCCTTCGCAGCCCCCGGAGTACAGACTGAGCTCGAGATTCTCCAGGTAGCCGGCCAATTGTAGACCAATGATGTCGTTCTGTGAGAGAGCTCGTCTCTGTATAGGAATCGAGGCCGCAAAGCTGACAGCCAGGCTCAAATGCAGGAGAATAGATGGAAACATGCTGAGTGTGAGGATGCGATGGGTGTGAGATGCAAGTATGTGAATGAATCAAGGCAGAGAATAAAAGTGCTTTGAAAGAGTATGCAAAATGCTGATGTAGCTGACAATGAGCATTTAGGATGCGCTCTTCCCGTACTAATGGAGCATACCATCGAGAAGCACTTTCCACATCAGGGACAGGCCCCTCTTGGCGGGTCGTCTTTACATATGCTGACTAATTCGGCAAGTACATCTTGAGTTGTGCTACGAGGCTCTTTCGACCTACCGTCTTGTCGTCTGTCGCTTTGGAATGGTCAAGATGGAAAAACAAAAACTTTCGTCTATACCCGCTGAGAGAGGGCACAAGCCGCAAAAGCGCAGCCTATATTTTACAGAGTAGATGTAGATACACTTTGGAGAAGATCAACGAGAATGAAGTGAGACATGGCAGCCACAGATGTGATAGTCCGACACAGGCGGGCGGGAAGCTCGACATGGACAGAACGAAGATGCTAGCGCGACTGGAAGCGGTTATTTCTTCCTCCTGGCTCAGGTCGTGTCGATGATTCGGACGGCACGTGAGAGACGGTCATGTCGGGTCGAGGAGAAGATTGAAAACGCATTTTGTTGTCGAGATTAAAAAACAGGCATCCTCCTCGTGTGCTCGTAGTAAGGAGATATAGCCGGGTCTATGAGGGAGAATATGCAAGGTGAAGCGTCTATTGGACCGACTTGAGCCAAAGTTCCAGGTCGAACTTGGGGTCGCTGGGGTCGGAAACGACTGTATAGGAGTGTTAGCGGGTAACCAAAGAGGGTCGAGGTGGATGTGGTGACATACCACCGGACTTTGACTTGGGAGCGTTCTTCTCCTGGTACTTCTGACGGGCCTGGTTGATGAGAGACTGCTTGTGCTCGTAGACCTTTTGGTTCTCGCGGAGCTTGTCGGCAGCGGTGATGGCGGACTGGTGGTAGAAACCGTATGCGACACCGAGGCCGAGTGCTGACCAGCGGAGGACCTGTAAGAGAGACAATCAGTGTCGGGTCCTCGTGGAGAAAAGAAGTTGGGGCACGGGATCGCGTACGTTGGCACCGGAAGACATTGTGAGAGATGGGTGTGTGTAGAGGAGAGAGAAGCAGGAAGTTTTTGGACACGCGGGGCGACTGTAGAGACGGGTCGAGGATGGGCAATTGACGTGGTCGGGTCTCAGTGGTGTCGCTGCTGGTCGCGAAGAGAGCTGGCCATCGTTGACCGGCGCCAAGCCATTTCTTGCATCCCCGGCCTCTGCCTCCAACTCTATCGGCCTCTGCCAATCAACAATTGTAAACATTCGCTCCTACACTTCCACTCGCTCTCTTCCCTCGACTCACCCCTGTCAACCACACTTCTTGTCTCTTGTGCCAGGCTTCAGCTGTTCTGCGCCCAGCTGGTCTGTCGCAGCTCTCAGTCAACACCTAGGCCGCTCCTGGACATTCCAACAACTCACCGTCTAATCAGATCCAGCCATGTCTTCTTCGTCCTCGTCCTTGGAAGCCCGCAGGCAAGAGATTCTAGCCAAGCGTGAAAAACTCGCCGAGCTCAAGAGACAGCGTGCCATACGCCAAAGGGAATTTACATCAACGCGACAGAGTGGAGATGCAGCAGAGGTACGTTGAAGAAGGGCACATCAAGGTACGTCCAGCACTGACACACGCAGCTCATCTCTCCCTCGCCCTCGCGTGCTAACAGCCGCGCAGACCTGGACCAGCTCATCTCTACTCTAGTCGACCGTCCTGGCCGCTCCGCTCCTCGCGATCAAGACTCTCCCACCACCTCTACCAACATTGGCGCAAGCCGTCCCAGTTCCATCTCGCTCGATACCCCTTCCACCGCTGGAACTCCCGCTCCTCTCTCTGTCCCCAACCAGACTCTCTCCTTCACCGCCGTCTCAACACTTCTCAATCAGCCCTCAGACCCCAAGCCTGATGTCATTACCTATAGCAAGGGTGTCCAAACCAGCGAGCCTTGGTCGCCGCAACACAACCGTCAACTTTCCGACGATGACTCGAGTTACTCTCCCTCAAGGACGCGAAAACGCTTGGGCAGAAGAGAGCGGGAAAGAGATGAGGAGCTGAGACAGAACATTCGCAAGGAGATTGAGAACGAGTTGAAATCGCTGAAGCTGTCGGAAGATGCTGCTGCTACCAACGGCAAGGAAAACTTCCCTGCGCGCACCTTGACCCATGAAGAGTTGGGCGCCGTGACGGCTTCGGACGACTTCCTGGACTTCATCGATCGCTCTACAAAGGTCATCGAAAGAGCTCTGGACGAGGAGTACGATGTGCTGGCTGACTATGCTATGCGCGGTGCAAACGGTCTGGACGACGACGAAGAGGACGGCCCAACTCGTACCACCAGAGGCCGTCGTGTGCGAGAGTTGATGCAGTTTCAAGATGACCGCTGGACAAAACGCCGCATGATCAGCGACCTTGACTACTCTGTCAAATATCCCGAACTGTTGCTGGCCTCTTACACCAAGGCTTCAAACTCTTCGCAGAGTGCCCCTGGCTTGGCTTTGGTTTGGAACGCACACATGCCATCTCAACCTGAATACGTCTTCACCGCGACGAGCGACATTCTCACTGCACGCTTCTCTCCTTATCACCCTAGTCTTGTGCTAGGTGGCACATACTCTGGACAAGTCTGTCTATGGGACATTCGCCAACGTTCTCACGATGGTGCGCCAGTGCAACGCACACCCCTGGCCGGCGAAAAGGGAGGTCATGCCCATCCTATCTACAGTGTCGCAGTAGTCGGCACCCAGAATGCCAGCAGCATCGTCAGTATCAGTACCGATGGCACTACTTGCGCTTGGTCATTCGATATGCTATCAAAGCCCCAAGAATACCTTGAGCTCGCCTCGCCCGTTGGACGTAATCGCACAGAAGACATCGCTCCATCATGTATCAGTTTTCCCAAGGCGGATCCGACCTACTTCTTGGCCGGTACTGAAGAAGGTGCGATTGTGCCAGTCCACAGATACGACCGTGCTGGTGCAAAGGCTGGTGTCGACCCGCGTGTGTACTACACGGGCCATGCCGCGCCCGTCACAGGTCTTGACTTCCATCCTAGCAAAGGAAAGGTTGATCTCGGAGATCTTGCTATCAGTTCATCTCTCGATTGGAGTGTCAAGATCTGGCGTGTCAAGCCTCCGAGTACCGCTGTAACTACTGCCGGAGTCGGTACAGCTGCTGGCTCACCAGAGAAGCCTCTGCTAGAGATCATGCGTGAAGACGTCATCTACGATGTCAAATGGTCGCCGACCAAGCCAGGTGTCTTTGGTTGTGTTGATGGCGCAGGTAGATTGGAGATCTTTGATATCAATGTTGATGTGGAGGTGCCGGTTGCACGAACTCAGCCAAGCCACACCCAAGGGGACGTGTTTGGCGTGAAGAGCTTGAACAGGCTGGCTTGGGAACACAACGAAGGCAAGCGAGTTGCCGTGGGTGGCCTTGATGGCATTGCAACAGTCTTCGAAGTAGGCAGCGATCTCGGTGGACTGGAGGGAAACAACAAGGGTGAAGACTGGTTTGGTGTCAAGCGATTGATCTCGAGACTCGACAGGTCACGAGATGGTAATGATGGCCGATGATCTCGTACGCCATGTCGTCGTGTTCTGAGCCAGGGAGAATCTATCAAGAGCTACTTGTCTTCTGCCAATATGCATGACAGGCTGAATAGCCGAACTTGGCTGCTTCTTTCCCTCCTCTTTGCAATCTCCGCATCTTCTCAACCCCTGCAGCCTTTCCCGTACGTGACACAAATTCACACAATCACATCCAGAGCCCTGAAACTGTACGACTTTGTATTGCTTCTTTTGAGTAGGTGCCTTCTATATGCAGTGTCAATCCTCCGCAGTTCGGAGCCATGGCGCAGGTCAAAATTTTCTTTGCTGCAATATATGCAGTCATTCTCGAGATCGCGTGATTGTATGCAGGGTGGTTGGCAGATCAATAGTGCCATATGAAGGGGAACAGGTTTGTTGTTCGGTCGATCGCGAGGTGTTTTTATAAGAGGGGACTTGGTCGTAGCCAAACGTCGAGTTGCCTCTACAACGCTGTCCATATACAATAACAGGCAAGTGTTCCCGTCGTTCTTTCTACACTCGGAGTCAACTTCACCTGAGGCTTTCCTCGATTACGCGTCTTGTCTTTTACACTTCAAGCCAACATTACCCTTAAAGCGCCTGCGCAGTATCTATTGTTTATCGTCTGCACCTCAACCCTATTCATCTCTCTCAGAACAATCTACAATCGCCATGCACTTTTTCAAGAGTGCTGTTTTCGGTGCTGTTGCACTTGCAAGCCTTGTCCTCGCTCAAGCCCCACGTTTGTCGTTCACCAGAACACCTACCGAAATCACTGCAGGCCAGCCGGTCACAATCCAGTACACTGCCCAGGATCTCAGTCAGGTAAGAGGCGCCGTCCATCAAAGCCGTCAGACAAGTACTAACGAGGACCAGCCCGCAACAATCGTACTCAGAAAGGGCGACCCTTCTAATCTGTTGGATGTTTCGACTCTGACCAGTACGCGACCAAGTTCGATCGTGAGAGGAACTGATTATGCTGACAGCCTACAGACAACGCTCTAAATGGTAGCTACACCTGGATCCCTGCAAGATCTCTCCAGAACGCCAGCGACTACGCTCTTCAGATCGCCCAAGGCTACCAGATCAACTACTCGGGATTATTCACCATCACCGGAGGTAACGCCGCCGCAGTGTCCTCGGCAGGTTCTGCAAGCTCTTCATCTCAGGCCGCTGCATCGTCCTTGACTGCCTCTGCTGTGTCAAGCATCGAGTCTGTCATCGCGAGCTACAACTCGTCCTTGACCAACCTGACTGCAGTCGTGTCTATCCAGACCTCGCCTCCTACTCCCCCAGCCAATACCACAGCAGTCATTGTCGCACCTAGCGTTGGAACTGGCTCGCCTGTCATTCGTAACACGACTATTGTCTCGCCCACCTTGACCTCTTCATTAAGCGGATCAAGAAGCACCGTGACTTCCGTCGTGACTTCTAGCGCAGGGACATCAGGTCGTGCCTCGTCAACTTCGGCTGCAGCAAGCGCTTCAAGCACCGGCGCCGCAGCAACTCTGGCTCAAGCAAGCACTCCTGTTCTTGCGCTCTTTGGAGTGGCTGCCGTCTTCTTCTTCCAGTAGACACATACAAATCTCATCGCCAATCATGGAAACGATGACAGGGAATGGGGACCACGGAAACACCTTACGTACAAGTGTCTAATGCCTACATGCTTTGAGAGCATATTTACCACATTCAACTTGCCTCACTGATCCCCAACGAACATTCAGTAAGTTCTGGACCTGACGTAGTTACTAGATCGACATATGATCCGGCCTTCGAGGGCGCAGGCTATCCTTATGAAGCAACCGGTCAAACCCCATCACTCGACCTTCCAAGCCATCGACGTCGAAGGATTCATCACCTCCTGCTTCATGCGCAGCAGCAACACGTGAACAATGTCCTTCCCGCGGGCAGCGCGAACGTGCGGGATATAAGATTGCCCACACTCTATTTATGCTCCTGTTCCTGCAGCAGCCGGGCCGAAGGTCTGTGCAGCTGCTATCCTCTCGCCCAGATCGTTTGCGCCTGCACCCATGAATCAGTGACCTTTTCCCTTCTGCCTTAGCCGATGCACTGTCGCATGCGCTGTACCTGCTCGAGCTGAGATACATGCAGTGAGATCAAAGGTAAATGTTTGATGACTCCAAGCAGAGCTGTAAAGGTACAATATGTTTGTTTATCAAGCAACCAGGGGTCTCTTTGCCAAACACGCTTGCAGCCGTTTAGACAGAAGACTCAGCAACCTGACGGCGGGCGGACGATCATCGTTTCCCCAGAGCCGGAACATCGAAACATGATCAAATAATTTCCGCCGCCTTCCTTATGGCGATTAGAGGTCGCGAACCTTCTCACGCAAGAGGCACCCGGCTGGGCGTGATCTCGCTTGCCTCTTCCTCCTCATTCTGCTTTCCCATTCGGCCCAACGCCCGAGGAAATATAAGTTTGTTCCTGAGGTACCTCCACCTAGGCGTGGCGAAGCGAGTCAAAGAGGTATTGAGTTTTTGACAAACGCCGTGGCAACCGAGCACTGTGTGGACTGGAAAGGGAAAAAGAGACAAACGACAACTACAAATGGAAGTTTGGGCAAGCTCGACTAGCGCAGAGAGGCGCTTGTATGGTAGGAGACCTTGGGAGCATCCGCGCGCCGTCGTTGTATCAAACGGCGCCATGTTTAGATGGTGTGGGCTGTTCGCCTGCCTCTGCCCTGCTGCCTCCCTATTAGCTTCTGGGCTCTGATGGAGATGGTGGACCTTCGTCATCTTAAATAGAAATAAGGGCTTGCTCTACGGTTTCTGGTTCCTTCTCTTTTCTTCATCTCCTTCTTGCAACAGATACTACATCTTCTCGCTTGCATACCATTCTTTCCCAAGAAAACACACTCTTTACGAAGAATATCACAGACACACAACAGTATCAACATGCGTTTCTCAACTCAGACCCTCGTTGCCCTTTTGGCCTCTCCTCTCCTGGCCTTTGCCGCTAGCGAGAACAAGTTCACCAACTCCGACTACAACGGTATCACTGCTGGTCAGACTTTCAACATCAAGTGGGACCCTACCACCTCTGGCACTGTCTCCCTCATCCTCCGCTCCGGTGCCAGCAACAATCTGACTCCTGGAGTCTACGTTGCTCGTAAGTGTCTGCAGACAAATCAGTAGGTTATATTCATGGCTAACAAACATCACAGAGGGTATCTCCAACTCTGGCAGCTACAGCTGGTCTGTCCCCTCAGACATCACCCGTGGTTCCGACTACGCTCTCGAGATCGTCGACGACTCTAACACCTCCAACGTCAACTACACTCCCCAGTTTGTCGTTGACAGCACAAACACCGTCGCCTCGTCGACCTCATACATCAGCCAGTCAGCAAGTGCCTCTGCTTCTTCAGCCTCTGGCTCAGCTTCCTCAAGCGCTTCTTCCGCATCCAGATCTGCCTCTTCGTCGGCTGCATCCGCCTCTTCCTCCGCCTCGTCAGCATCTGGCTCGGCTTCCTCGAGCCTCTCGTCGGCTTCAAGATCGGCTTCTTCGTCGGCAGCTTCTGCCTCATCTTCCGCTGCTAGCCGCGCTTCCAGCGCTTCGAACTCAGTTGCTCCTACCTCCACTGGTGGTGCCATGGCTTCTGCCATCCCTTTCGGTCTCATGGCCCTTGGTGCCCTTGCTCTGTAAATGTCTGCATCGAATTGATGTAAGGCTGAAGAGTCTGGTGCTGCGAGAGCGTCGAGTCCGTCCTTGCTTCTAATACTATAATGATACCTTGTACCTAAAGTGTGTATCTTTGGGATTTCTTGTACGAATGTTTTGCGTGTTTTTGAGTTCGAGAAAAAGCTGTATATTGCCTAGAAGAAAATATATTGTTTCTACCTCACTATCCCCCTTTTATGCTTACTGATAATGAAAGTGGTGTCAGTCAATTCACCTTGTCTTGTATGCCCATGTGCTGTCGCCGAAACCAGGTCACAAGTCGGTGCCTAACCAGTCGCTCACTCGAAGCTTGCCCGAGCAGCTAATTCGGAACTCGATTCCCAAACACTAGCTTCGATCGTGAACGTTCGATATGGTTCATACCGATTGGGCTATCATCACTCTTTTACGACTGAGCTACACTTTGGCGAACGCAAGTGTTTGTGTCGTCGACTCGATCAGGCAAAAAGTGATCGAAAAGTGTCGTGGCAGGGTCATCCCCCAGTCGAGGAAGCTGGTAAACACCTCGGCACCGAGACACCTACATCATCACTGAGCAACTCCGAGATCAGCGAACTTGCATTCCTCTTCGCTTCTCCATTGCATCAGACGAAGTCACATACATCGACGCAGTGATGAATTTACTCGAGCTTCCGCGAGAGATACGCGATCACATCTACACGACCATTGTGGACCCAGAGGTCAACAGATACACCGACAAGCATGGAAACACAAAATACACCTACTGGCACACGAACCTCCTCAGCGTCAACAAGCAAATCTACCACGAAGCCCGCCGCATCTTCCTCGAGCAAAACAGCTTCATCAAAGTCACCACACCGTTTCCCGAGTCCAAAGAGCAAGTCCACGAGGATGGTGTTCCGATTGTCGCAAGCGATTTGCGCGCAGACAAGTGCACTCAACACAGCCTGTCTGTGTTGATAGCATTCCCACTGACGGGTATGCGCACAAAAGAGGACACTTTCATCATACACGTCGACGACTTGGTCAAGTTCTGCGACTCGTGGTATCACTCTGCGGCAGACTACCCGGAGTTGAACGAGAACTTGACGCTCAAGCTCACTTTGAGGGACCCGCTCTCCGGCACACCTCTCGACAGTACGCCGGCTGAAAAGAAGGTGCTCAAGTCAATGCAAGAAAGGCTGCTATATCCCTTTGGCAGAATCAAGAATCTCATGAGGGTCGACGTAACTGGCATCCCTTTGCCCGACGACACAGTCGTTGCGGAAATGAAGAGAGTAATGGCTATACCACTCGGCTCACCAGCACAACGTCTGATCCAAGCCACAGAGTACAAAGACGCAGGAAACGCAGCCCTGATGGCAGACCGACCATTGGAAGCGCTGGAACACTACCGCAAGGCCTGGGAAGCAATGTTCATCGTCGTCAACGGCCGCTCTCGCCGCGTCTATGGAGAAAGATACTTTGAGGTTCTTCTCAACACACCACCCTTTGAAAACAAGCACGGTAGTATGGTGCGGACTATTCTTCGAGTGCGTCTTGTTGCCAATTCTCTGCTCGCATACCTCAAACTCAAGGACTGGGAGACAGTCGTCCATATCGGCATGAGAACTATCAGTATCATGCGAAGAGGCGATGAGAATATCGAGCCCGAGGAAGAGGCTTGGGGAGGTGCCTGGACGGCTGGACCTGAGATGGGAAAGATCTACTATCGCACTGCTTTGGCCTTGAAGGAAATGGACGACAAATACGAAGCAAGAAGACTGTTGAAAGTCGCAGTCTTGTACTTGCCAAACGATCAAAGGGTTCACGAGTTGATTAGGGAGTGTGCGTTGAGGATTCTCTGAGCAAAGGCGGGCAGCAGATCTGGCTTTGGAGGAGTGCATATGGAGGCGCGAAAATAGGCCCGCAAAGGGCTGGACTCTACCACATTCAAACATGGTATGGACGGATGTAACAATCACGGCGGGGGGATCTTGGATGGAAGAAATTGCTCGAGATGCTGCAATTCAAGGGACAGCTTGAGGTTAGTTTCATAATGAAGTTACGAGGTTTCACACAATCCTTTGCTCAGGAAGTTCATCGGTATTAGAAGGGGTGAGCAGTAAGATGCTTATCGGGATAAACACTTGGCAGGGTGCGGCCCGAGTGGAATGCTAGCAAACGTCCCGGCTATCTTATGCAGCGCTCATATATCTGCGAGATGAGATGCTCCCTTTGTGTGCGGAACACTGTCACACATGTAGCTGCCTCGAGGCACTATACTTTCTCGAATTGCAGCGGTGTCATCGAGATGCTTCATTCTACTGAATTTGTCTGTACGCAACATGACTGTGCCTTTTTGTAGCTCGTCGTTGCTCTAATTTATTCATTGTGAAGAAGGAGGGGGGTGACAGTATTCTACACATGGGGAGGCCAGAAAGCACTCTGCAGTAGCATGGGACTGGAGAAAGACGACTTTCACTTACCAGGTCCTCTCACTGGATGGTGTTTGGTTCACAATCTTGTAAGCATAAGTAATGCTCAGTAGACATGGAGGGCCAGAATAAAGAAGGCGTAAATGGCGGTGTCGGATGAAAGAAATGCACCCCGTTCTCTAGCAAAGGTTCGGCGCGACAAGAAATCGGGAAATCGGAGTCCGTAGAAACTTCGTGGATTGTTGCAGCTCGAAGTCCCAACAGACGACTTGACCAGAAGTTGTCCGCCCATCCCCCTCTCGACCCTTTCCCTTCTCACAACCCTCCAGTCATGCTGTCCAGATTTGCGCCGAGGTCTTTCACCTCGTCGGTCAGACGTGCTGCCTTCCAGCCCATTCGTGTCGCTCCTCAAGTGCTGAGAACCGTCACCACCGACGCCGCCAGCGCCCACGCCGACAAGGAGGATGTCCCCAGCGTATGCAGCCCGAGATTGATGAGACAAAGCTGGTCAGCCGACTAATTGATGTTGCAGGAGGACGACAAGGCCTTCGAGGTCAAGCTCTCCGACGAGAGCTTCGAGACGTACGAGCTCGACCCTCCCTCGTTCACCCTCAAGACCACCAAGAAGGAGCTGAAGCAGATGTACTACGACATGGTCGCCATGCGCCGCATGGAGATGGCCGCCGACAGACTCTATAAGGAGAAGAAGATTCGTGGTTTCTGCCATCTGTCCACCGGTCAGGAGGCCGTCGCCGTCGGTATCGAGCACGGTATCACAAAGGAGGACTCTGTCATCACCGCCTACCGTTGCCACGGTTTCGCCATGATGCGTGGTGCTTCGGTCAAGTCCATCATTGGTGAGCTGCTCGGCAGAAGAGAGGGTATCGCCTACGGAAAGGGTGGTTCCATGCACATGTTCACCAAGGGCTTCTACGGCGGTAACGGTATCGTCGGTGCTCAGGTTCCCGTCGGTGCCGGTCTTGCCTTTGCCGACCAGTACCAGAACAAGAAGAACGTCTCCATCTCCCTCTACGGTGATGGCGCTTCCAACCAGGGTCAGGTCTTTGAGGCTTACAACATGGCCAAGCTGTGGAACCTTCCCGTCATCTTTGCTTGTGAGAGTGAGTACACTCCTGTTGCACTTATAGCTGTTCCTATCAGATCACTGACTATCGACTGCTAGACAACAAGTACGGTATGGGTACTGCTGCCAACCGCTCGTCTGCCATCACCGAGTACTACAAGCGTGGTCAGTACATCCCTGGTCTCAAGATCAACGGCATGGACGTCCTTGCCTGCAAGCAAGCCGTTGCTTTCGGTAAGCAGTGGGCCGCTGAGGGCAACGGTCCCCTCGTCTACGAGTTCGTCACCTACAGATACGGAGGTCACTCCATGTCCGACCCCGGTACCACCTACAGAGTAAGCTCTCCTCATTCCCGCCAATCTCTCCTTGCATCTTACTAACATTCTTCCTTTTCCAGACCCGCGAGGAGATTCAGCGCATGCGCAGCACCCAGGACCCCATCGCCGGCCTCAAGCAAAAGATCCTCGACTGGGAGGTCGCCACCGAGTCGGAGCTCAAGTCCATCGACAAGCAAGCACGCGAGAGCGTCGACGCCGAAGTCAAGGAGGCCGAGGCCATGCCCCCACCGGACGCCACCCCCAAGATTCTGTTCGAGGACATTTACGTCCGTGGCTCCGAGCCCGAGTTCCTTCGTGGCCGTATCCCCGAGGAGAACTTCTACTACGAGCAGGAGAAGAGCTCATAGAGAGTTTTCTCTGTTGGCTTAGACGGAAGGGAAGCAGGCTTGTAATATAAAGGAGTTTTGCTGGGTGAAGGAGGCCAAGAGAAGTGTTACGCGAGACGAGCATGTGGATTGGGCTTGGAATAGAGCCCTGTCATTCATTTCTGTCTTTGTGATATACACTCTCTCGATGCATTGCATTATTTTTTTTCCATTCAAATCGCCATCTCAAATACCATGAATCATTTTTTCTTGTTCACAAACAATACCTTGCATAGCCTAGCGACCTCACCTACACTATTATGGTCAATCTCAGACCTGAAAAGGTATACTCTTCCCGAAGTAATTATGAGTGATCAATGTAGAAGATATGCCAAATCGATATTGGTTCCAGCACCCGTGTCTTGCGTAGAGTGACACGATTGATAGACTGTTTTCTGACTTCACGGATGACAAACACGACGTGGTCCAGGGGTACTATCGATGTCTGAATAATGACATGTACACGGAGGAAGCCGTCTGTTCATGTTCATGTGTCGAGACAAGTCAGAAAGAGCTCATTCAACGAGAAGACGATGCATGCTGGAGAAGCGAAAGTGTATCGTGTGGGGGAACTTCGCAAGCTTTGACCAAGTATTGGCGGGACTCTCTCATTGCCCTCATGCGACACACACGCAACTGGACAAGTGGTGAATTATTACATTTCCGACCGCAACACACAAAAACACATACACAAAAATGGCAGCGACACTAGCCTCGCTGCTGGGCCAAGCGTCCATGACCGACCACGAACAAGTGCTCAGCGCTTGCGAAGCCACCCTCTCCCAATCGAAGAATGATGTTCAAGCTCAGCAGGTCAAGATTGTTGCGCTGTTGAATCTGGATCGCTTTCAAGATGCTGTCGCTACCGTGGAGGCTGGTGGGGAGGAGATTAAGAGGACGGCGCGATTGGAGTATGCTTATGCGCTGTACAAGAATGGACAAGCCGCAAAGGCTGCAGAGGTCGCTAGACAGGATGGCAGCGAGTCGGACAGGGGATTGAGACATGTCGAGGCGCAAGCTGTACGTCTACTGGAGTGGTAGGGAGAGTCTGCGGCTAACATTCAGGCAGAGCTACAGACACCAGGACTTTGAGCGCGCCTCCGAGCTATACCGTAACCTCTCAGCACAGAGAGGAGCAGTCAACAACGAGGACATGGACCTGCGCATCAACATGGGCGCCACATATGCACAACTCGAATGGGCAGGTCGTGTCTCAGCAGACGCACCGCAGAAGCCCGCAAGAGAGGACATGGAGGCTTTCGAGACGGCATACAACGCAGCTTGCCAGAGCATTGCGCGTGATGAGTTGGGTCAGGCCGAGGTTCTGCTGCGAAGAGCAAAGGAATTGTGCGAGGCTTCCGAGATGGAGCAGGAGGAAAAGGACGCTGAGATTGTGCCAATTTCCATCCAGCAGCTCTACGTTTTGATCCGCCAGGGCAGACTGGAAGATGCACAGGCTCTTGCTGCCACTATTGACTCCAAAAAGTGTGTAATCTTCTTTTGCCGAGGCCGAGATGGACTGGCTAACTCGTTTCGCAGTGTCCACGCCTTCCACGATTCGTCGACTCAATTCATCGCTCAAACGAACACAGCAGCCAGTTCGACAGAAAGCTCAAACCCCTACCTTACCCACCGCACTCTCTACAAGACTCCTTCGACCATCCTTCCGGACAGGCCTTTCACCTACCAAAGTGCTGCCATTCAACGCAACAACTACACACTCGACCTGCTGGCCCACAAGTACGACGGCATCATCAGATCGACCGCAAACCTCGCCGCGACCCCTACCCTCGACTCGGCAACAAACTCATTTTCCGCCTTTGGCGCCGCTGCCCACACTCGCAACCAAGCTGGAAAAGAAGCCTTGAAGACCGTCTTGCCAGTGCTGGAACGTAGACCAAACGACATTGGTCTATTGCTCGTGTGCATGCAACTCTACATCCACTCCTCGAACCCTGCCGCTGCAATCTCCCTCCTTGAGAACTTCTTCACCCGTCTATCTTCGTCATCCGAGCCCTCAGCACAAGATGTCCGTTACGCACCTGGTCTGATCGGTGTCCTGGTTTCTCTCTACACTTCGCGTGGTCAGACCAGCCACGCACGTTCAGAACTGGCAAAGGCTGCAAGATACTGGCGTCAGCACTCCAACCCTCCGATCTCGACAAGAGCATTGGGCCATCTCTACAAATCCGCCGGTGCATCATTGCTCAACTCCTCTGTTCCTGCTGACCAACAACTCGCCGCTGACCTCTTCACTTTCATGCACGAAAAGGACGCTTCAGACCGTTACGCAGCCGCCGGTCTCGTGGCAGCACTCGCCCGCGCCAACCCTTCAGCTATCACCGAGGAAAAGCTCTCTGCCCTCACACCCCTCGACCGTCTCATCTCCGGCATCGACGTCTCTGCTCTCGAAAACGCTGGTGTCGCGAAATCAACTCCTACACCCACTTCTACCTCGACGAAACGTGCAGCCCCTGACTCTGCACCCAAGCCAAAGACCAAGAAACTGAAAAAGAGCAAGACACCCAAAGATTTCGACCCTACCAAAAAGATGGATCCCGAGAGATGGCTGCCTATCAAAGATAGATCTTCGTATAGACCAAAGGGCAAAAAGGGTAAAGCCAAACAGGCAATGTTTATGCAAGGTGGTGCTGTAGCAGAGGATAGCGGTGCTGGATCTGGAGCTTCTACGCCCGCTCCTGCTGCTCAGCTTGTAGAGGGAAAGAGTAATGCGGCGAAGAATAAGAATAAGAAGAAGAAGGGTGGGAAGTGGTGAAGTCCGACTTGCCTACTGCTAAACTATCCCAGAAATATAGTCACGAGGGCCTTTTTTCTTTTTGTATAACATACTAGAAAAAGTACGACTATGAGGCTAGATCTTTTACCTGTTTCTAGATTATTCTTGGGGTCTTGCTCGCAAAGAGCTTGATCATTCTCTTGAGGGGGTTTTCTCTGCTGTCCTAGACCTTTGAATCCTCTCGCGTGTTTTCATATGCTGTTCCGAGATATCAATGACGGTTGGACTTGCTCGACGGCTCTGACTAGACACGTCGTCGAGAGAAACAAGAACATGTGACACCGAGGCTTCCCGACCGAGGCACCGTTTGTAATTGATATACAGCTGGGCGGGTTTTTCTTGGATTCTCTCAAAACGACTTCAGTTGCCTTTTTTTTTTCCCGCAAGGACTACCGCTTTTGGAAATTCCCATCTTCATTTCTCTTGGGCAATTTACATTCGTTTGACATGGACAACTCCACACAAAAGCGCCTTGAAGAATGGACTTTTAGTCTCTCGATGTGGTTCTATTTTCGCAAGCCTTACTACTCTGGTATATACGCTTGTACTTTGGCATTGATTTCTTGGTTGTAAAGCCATAGTTTTGACCTTGTTTAGATTTGAACAGGTAGGAGTAAAGGGATGTGATAAATACCACACCCGAGCCCCAAATGATCTCGAGAATGATGTTATCCTCCACCTTTTCCATCTTATTGCAAGCATGGACTCTCCCAAATCTCTGCAAGAGAATACTGCTTGTTTGAATTCTTACACCATCACGAAACTGGCTGCGAATGTTCATCTTTTGGAACCTCTGCACAAGCATACCTACAACAATGACAAGCACATCTACAACAACGAAAAGCACACCAAAGACTCAACACACCCAGACTTAGTAATCCTATGCACATGGATGTCCGCCGCACCCCGACACATAAAAAAATACATCCTCGGCCACCAAACCCTGCACCCCAACTCCACAATCCTAATCATCACGACCTCCGTCTTCGACATCCTCCTAGTCCCTTTGGCATTACAACGAAAACGCCTTGGTAGCTGTCTCTCTTACATAGAAACCTCTGCATCTGCAAAAGTAGTCCTTCATCTATTCTCAGGCGGAGGAGCACATACAGCCAGTCTACTCGCTGAAGAATACAGCACCACTTATGGTGTGCCATTACCCCTGCACACAATGATCCTAGACTCCTCACCAGGCACAAACGCCTACGCCCCCGCCTTTACCGCCTGTATCTCCGCCCTGCCAACCTCCCCCCTCCTCCGCATCTTCCTAACCCCATTAATCCACTGCTTGGTAGGAGTAGCATGGGTATTAGAGCATAAATTCGGAGTGCAAAGTGTAGTTACAAAAGCTAATGCTCGCTTGAATGATGGAAAGTTGGTGCAAAAGGGGAAAAAGAGATTGTATGTTTATTCAGAGGCTGATGGGATGGTGCTTTGGCGCGGGGTGGAGGTGCATGCAAATGAGGCCGAGGAGAAAGGGTGGAGGGTGCAGAGGATGAGGGTTAGAGATGCTGGACATGTTGCTATTATGGGGGTGGATCCTGTAGCGTATTGGGGTGCTGTTGGCGAGGCTTGTGGGTAGTGGCGGTGATGTGTTGTGTGATAAACAAGGAAATGTGCCCTTCAATGGTTGGTTTGGTGCAGGAGAGGGAACGTGTATACCAGAGAGCCCGAGTTACCATGTAAATTGTTTGACTATGCATATAGATGGGGTGCTCTTGTACGCATTGACAATCCCTTGATCTTGTCTGAGCCGTCGACATTGCCCGAGCCTCTGGGGTTTGCAATGACCGAGAAGCTCGAATTGGGAAGATGCCGTCGATGGTATGTCGTTAACTCATACCCAAGACACTAAGACGAGGCTTGGCTATGTAGACAAAGCAGCTGTGTAGCGAATGAGCTAGTGCTTGCGAATGTAATGCTTGACGATTGATGATAGATCCATGCGATTGAGAACAAGATCGCTGTATGAGACACAATTGGCTTGACTATTTGACTCTGCAACGAGATGTTTATCCTACGTTCTGCTAGTGCGATCATGTTGTATGTAGATGATGTGGACGACTTGATTGATCTTCATGTCCAGCTAACAGAACTGAACTCGTCGTCGTAGACAGAGCGTCATACCCATTGCTGGCCGGGCTACCCAGGGCTCGACCACCAGGAGAGTCCGTCATGACGAGTGTCACTTTGACTGGATATCTCGACAACGACGGCACATCGTTCGTCGAACCCCGTCGGACCGGGGTAAATAGGCTTGTACGAAGTGATAGAACCAGGACCGGAAAGCTGTGACCGCCACACACCAGCGTTTTCCGAACAGACTTATCCATAACTGGCCTGCTGCGGAGAACATCTCCTAGCAACATTCGACCCTCTCGCTGTTTCATGCCGCATCTCACGAACGAAGAGTACACTGTACGCCTTGCGCGTCAGGCCAGCATGATACTCATCAATCGCTGAAGGATCTTTCGAGGATAGTAGGTAAGCGTCTTTCGAAAGGACGTATGAGGCGTCAATTTGACCCAACGCATGACGCACGAAAGCATCGGACATCTCAGACTGCTCCATGGTCGACACGCTCCCAATCTTCTCAGTCTTCGACGAGTATTGTCAATGGGACATGCCAATCTTGTGCTTCGACTGGCAATCCATTATAGCCGGAGCAAATACGACAGAGTCTCATGCCTGGCCTGGTACATGACACTCAGTCGTGACACCCGTCCAGTCACCGGAGAGCGCTTTCTCCAGCCAAGGAACCTCAACAGGTACCACGTTGTCTCGCACATAGTTCAACAAAGACACGGAGCCTGGTGCGTCATCAAACACACCAACCACACCAGCTCGAGTAAGTCCCATTGCTGCAGCAATAGTGCGTTCGCAGGATGAGTCCAGAAGAACAAGGCGGGTCTGCTGCGATTTCTCCTTGTACTTCACCGACGGGGCGTAGCATAACAGCGGCAGATGCGCGTAGACCAGATTTTCCGGAGGCTTTGGGAGAAAAATGACGGCTAGGTGTCTTGCAAATGCTTGCTTCGACGCTCCGGTATCCTCATTTGCGGCGGAAGAAATCCCAGATTTTGAAGAAGCAGCCTCAAGCTCCAACTGGCGGCTCGTAGAGTTGAGTCCAACGGTAAGATAGTTCAGAATTACCGGCTCTAATGGTTCGGATGCTGCATTCAGCTCTATTGCCTTCTCGGATGACCTTTTGCGCTTTTTCGACTTTTTCCCCGAGGACTTTGGAGTATGAGCAGCTCGATGCCTTCCTATGGGCTCCAGAAGACTAAATGAGATGAGCAATCCTGGATGATTGACACTGTATGGCACAGTCTCACCTTCCTAGCAGCCCGAGGACGATCTCATTCTGGTCTTTGCTCAGCTCTGGTCTGTTGTGCGTTAGCTTTGCTTGATCGTATTCATCAGGAAGAAAGGGATATGCACATCAATGGACTCTTGACTGAGGTATCAGCCTTATATACAGGTCTCCCTGGCTTGACCTTGGTGCTTGCCATGTTCTGATGTTTGTGTCTGCAGGGTGAAGATGATCGATGCAAGTGGTTGGAAGAGCAAGCAGTGTCTGAGCTACAGCGGCAGGTGTAGCCGGGATCGGCTAGTACTGCCCTACCGTCGGGAAGATGACGTATTATCCGAGCCACTTTGCTAAAACGCGTCTGCTGGATGAGTGCTCAGTGAAGACGGACTCGCACCAGAGAGCTATTCTTGACAGATCCGTCTTATCAACTACGAGGGCACTGTTTGTCAGGCTTGCTGAGTCGAGTGCTTGTCGCAGAATCAACCAAGCCATTCTCTGAGGTGCAGGGAGCTTATTTCCCACGCGTCGTTCCGCGTTTGCTCTACGTTTGGAGCCCTCGTTGTGCCGGTGTTACAACGCCTCTCCCACGTCGATTTGATCTGCACTATCACAAAGCTTGATTCATACGGTCTTGAACGTCTCTCGACCACAAAGAACCTCATCCACAACAGATCAAGTATCCTCACTCATGACGGCCTGCGAACAGCATTCATAACTTGGTGATGATGGATCCGCCATCCGCCACGCCGACGCATTCTTCCAACAAAAGAGTTTCCCCTTCATTACTTCCCGACAGAGACCACGTCGTCGATGCCGACTCTTCTCACTCTCGCAAGCGACCTCGTTTGAGCCACGAGCTTGACACCCCACCAATTACTGGCGAAGAGTTCGCAACCCCATCTAGTCCACAGAGCAACTCCGCCGAAAGTCCACTCATCTTTGAGGTCCCACAAGAAGAACCGACAGACAAATCAGAAGTTGCCATCATCATGACCGTCGACGAACAAACCGACGTGGGAAATTTCACCACCTTTCCCTTCCGAGCTCCTGATCGCAGAACCTGCGAACTCGCTGCCGCCGGCCTTGCGCAACATTGTCAACGAGACACAGGTGCGTCTGATCATACTTCAAGCTTGAGCGCCGACTGACATCTTGAGTAGCTCCTAGTCTGGGTGCATTTCAACAGCTATCTGACTGGCTCGACAAACACCTGTCCGACACAGAGGCCGACTTCGAGGCGGCCTTACAACCCGATTCCACATCGACTGAGATCTTCGGATTGTACTCCGACCACACTGTATTCTGGAATGATGTATTGCGGTGTTTCCAAGGATTGTCTAGACGCACGTAAGTTATTCTTCTCCTTCTCCGGCCTCATCAGATTTAACCCAGCCATTAGATATCTCAACAATGCACAAGATTTCCGCGGCAGCACAGCATTCGCCTTCTTCGAGAAATTGCTGCAGAGTCTGCTACAGCTTGGCGAAAGGCTACTATACACCGACTTAGCTGTGTTGAAGCAGCGCGAAGCTCGCAGAGACTCGACCAGCTCGTCTGACCACACTGACCCGCCTAAGCATTATCTGCTGTTTCTCTTTTGGGCAGACACCTACATGGACGTTGTAGCCGGTTCAAAGGGTGGTCTCGAGCGCATGGCTTCGAGATTCGCCTTCAATGCCCCGTCTTTGCGCAAAGGATCTCTCCTCAAGTTTCAAGGTCGTGCGATGGATGCCATCATCACCATCTTTGAACAGATTGTGTCCAAACCAGATAGCATCGCTTCTCTTTTCGGTCTTGCTCATCCTTATATGATGATCTGTCTTGCAGTCATGCTTGACGACTCAACTCACGACAACACTTTGTTAAGTGATCTTCCACGCAAGCTGGCGCGACTATTCGAACTTGTCTGGACTCTGACCATCGACATAATGCCCAAGCAGCGCCTTGACGGGTACTCACAGAGTATCATCGAGCAATTGCAACCATTTCTGGAGCAGACTTTGCGCTATCTGTTTGCCAAGAAATGTCTCTCGGCTGCTACTGTCTACAGCATGACTATGGAACATGTCATGGAATATTCGATCTACCGAAGAGACTTACTTGGCCCAGCGGATGTCGATCAGACGGGCTCTGTAGACGACAGTAAGGTTCAGGATGATCTTTGCACAGACCTGAATGAAGAGGATCTCCTACACGTGGCACGTAACGCGTGTGACTTCGAATTTCTGAACGCGCTCATGCACAGCAGCAGTATGGAACTGCGCAATCGAGCTCTGGACCGATTCGGAGACTCAGCACGCAGGCTCTACTCAGACAAGGGGACACTGAGCTCAGATCAGCATGAACAGATCAAGCAGTTCATCAGAAAATTCATCCAGGCAAAGGACGTCCTAGGCTTTCTCTACGGATCCCAATCGCACGCCACCCTCATTGGTAGAACTGGCCCTATCCTTATGATCATGATTCAATCACAAAGGCTCACCAAGAGTGATGCCGACATCCTCTGGACTACGTCCATCAACACACAGCAACCGGACGAATCCCAGACTGCCATGCGTGTACTTCAAGGTCTCGTCCAACATATGCCTCTGTCTGTCAAGGAGTACTTCTGCAACAAATTCAGAGACCTCGACCTCTCTCGACTCACGGGAAGCACGGAAAGACTCCTCAGAACGTTCTTGACGAATCCTCTGAGAGATTCTGTCGGCCGTAATCTCAACTCGACACACATATGCATCTCCTTGTTGGATAAGATCGAAGATTCAGCGCTCTCCGTCAACAGGCAAAACTATCTCTTGGCTCAATTGGGAGACATGCTCCTCAGCATCCACTCTTCGGACGACGTCCAAGAGAACATCCGCCTCGTCGAGATCTGCGTGCAGCCCATCGTAGCATGCTCTACCAAGGCCACTGGCTATGTGCAAGCACTTTCCTGTCTTTTAAGACAGACTGGCTTCCCTCTTGAACCGTGTGAGATTCTCTCGCGGTTGTCATTCCGACTATGCGTAGAAGAACTCAAACACTTCCTGGGCCGAGCAAGAGAAGAAGCCACTCCACTTTCTGTCAATGCGTTACGCTGCCGCTTGGAACTCGCCTTTCGCATGCTGTCCATATCGAGCCCATCCGACGAAATTGTCGCTCTGGAGAAGGAAGTCTGGGACAACGTGCTCGGAAGTGGTGCATCGAGTTCAACCGTACGAGATGTCGGATGGAGATTCTTTGTCAATCTCTTTCGCAAGAACGACTCCCAACTCGAGGCATTTTATCAAAGATGTATCACTCAGTATCTACCCAAGCTCTCACCTGACTTTGCGAGTTACGAGATGATGCCGCTTTTCGAGCTCCAGGCCAAGAGACAGGAGTCGGATCCCACTGTATTGTTGCCACTAGGAGAGGTGCTGACCAGACTCGCGCTATCTGTATCGCAAGCAGATGTCGCAAATCGGTTCGGCGATATCCTGATGAATTCTTTATTCAAGGACAAGGCTTTGGAACACCCAGATCTAGCCGTCAGTGAACAGGTCATGGTAGTCAAGAAATGTGTCCTGAGAGTCAACCTTGGAGAGCCTTGGGGACTGCGGGCTTGCCATATGCTACTCGTCTTGCTGGGTCTCTCGAGAAAATTCCACATAACCCTCGAATCAGCCAAAGGGACGCCTTCTAGCGGAGCTTCGGACAAAGGCGCGGAGCTTTCTCAAGACGACATACAGATTCCAATTCGCGTCCTCAAGGGCAATGCGCAGCCACAAAGCAAAGTCGTCACCCTCAACAAGTCGGCCAGTTGTTCAGACTTGGATGCTGCCATTGTCTCAGAGACTGGATTTACGAAATACACTGTTGTTTCCCAAGGGAAGAAGATTGATTTCGCTGAATTACCAGAGAAGCCAATCGCTCAGCTGGGCCTCCCTGAGGGTAACGTCCTCGTTGTCCAAAAGTACAACACACTGGAAAACATCCAAGAAGATCTCAACCAGAGTGTGGAGAAGCCAGCCGTCGAAACGGAGATGCTGGCTCACCTGGATACCCTCTATGATGTGCTCGGCGGCTCTAGTCCGGCCGCACACTCAATGCTACAGATCCTGAGTGGCCTCGGCTTCCCTGGTCCCATCAGAGCCATGATCGCTTCCCCTAAGACGCCCTTTGAAAAGATCTTTCCTCCAGAACCATCACTGAGATTGCGTGCGTCAGTGGAGGTCATTGGCACTCAGTTGAGAGAACAGGTTGCGCTAGGCGTTGCTGACGAGACATTTCTGCTTAGAGGGGTTCACTTACTCATAGACCTCTTGCATCGCATTGATATCATTCGAAACGCTCCGGACGCTGTACGTACAGCGGATATCCTCTTCACATTGCTCAGAGAACGAACCCCTAGCGAGATCGCCGAGAAGTACTTTAAGGACGCTGTCAAGTTCACGCAGCGTATTTACTCGATGATTGAACAGTCCCAGCGCGACATCGCGCTGACTGGTCGCGATGGGTTCTCACAACTCGCGATCTGCGCACTATATAAATGTTTGTTGGAGAGCACGCTCTTACATCATTCCGTGTGCTCGGCATTCTTCGAAGCGCAAAACAGCGCCACTGTTCACTTGGATTTACTACTCACGAAGAGTAGCCGTGTTCGAGCTGCCATTCCCAGTATCATCATCAACACTGTCCAGGACGACAGAGCTTCACCACAGTTCAAGAAATTTCTTGCCAGAATGTTCATCGACCGTCTCATTCCAGCTGTCTTGATGCAACCGGAATCGTGCGACAATGGGTTCTTGGTCGGTCTTACAGTGATACGCGCCGATCAAAGTCTCCCTGAAGATGAAGCATTGTTGCGATCTATGATTGACGTTTTCTCAAAAGAGCTCCTTGAGCTGAAACACTTGGAGTGGTTCGGTGATTGCTATGCTGACACGAGGCTGCAAGGCTTGGTTTTGCTGCTCCGATTCTGCGTAAGCGCCCTCAAATCGCAAAGCAAGCCACTTGATCTTGGCAATCTTGCTTCACGGATATTCAAATCACTGCTCTTTCCCATTCTCAAACTCGACCAAGTAGTACAGCCTGTCATCACCTCGAGCATTCGTAGAGAAATATACGATCTGCTCCTGTCAATGTGCGATAATGGCCAAGCCGTAGAAGATCTTGCGAAAAGCTGCGAGACTTTAGCTGGCTACAGCACTGTCGATGAGGACTTCGTCTACCCTGGCCCCGAAAAATACATTCGTCAAGAAGGTAACTATGCCGGTCTGGCTAACCTTGGTCAGACGTGCTACTTCAACGCTCTGATGCAGCAGCTCTACATGAATGTTCAATTCCGTAAGTTCATCCTTGACACGCCAGTGGTCGAGTACAAGAAACAGATGGTGCTTGCAGAAATGAAGCTGGCATTTGCCTCGATGCAGGATAGTTATGATATTTTCTATCAACCCGACGCTCTGACGGAAGCCCTGGGCATCGATTCCTCGTTGCAAGACGACGCGCAGATCTTCTTCATGGGAATGATTGACAAACTCGAGGAAAGTATGCCCGATGAAGAGGCAAAGGCTACGTTGAAGCGTTTTTTCCATGGCGTCAACAAATCACAGACTGCGGGAAGCTGCGGACACGTTTCTGAGAGTACAGACGAGTACGTCAACCTGACTCTGGTGGTGAAAGGCAAAGAAAGTCTTGACGATAGTCTGGCAGAGTACACCAGTGGATCTGCTCTCGAAGGGAGCGACAAGTTCAGGTGCACCACCTGTGATTCAGGCGAAGGCCTCTCCGTCGATGCTGTCAGAAGAACTGGCTTAGAGCACATTCCCGACAATCTAGTATTAGGCTTGAGGAGGTTTCGCTATGAGACCTACGATGGAGGTCAAAAGGTCAACGACAGGTTTGGATTCCCTGAACGCATTGACATGAGCAAATACAAGCTTCATCGCCTCGCTGGTCACGAAGGCTCCCGCGAATCCGACGAGTTTCGACTGGTCGGTGTGGTAGTGCATCAGGGAATCTTGAACTTTGGTCATTATTGGTCATACGCCGCAGAACGTGGGTGCGCCGGCTCTGGACCCTTGCGCTGGTACAGATTTGAGGACAAACTCGTCAGACCGTCGAGCATCGAGGAAGTCGTGAATGAGACACGTGGTGGGTACGAGACTACAAGGACAGGCATCTTGGGCGGCATGAGCCAATCACTTCGGTCAGACAATGCGTTTGTTCTCTTCTACCAGCGTTCCTCGGCCATCACCCAATCGGCAAAATGTCTTGGTACCTTATCTCCCCATGCAGTGCAAGCCAAAGTCAGCTTGCCAGAAGAAATCGACACGAAGATTGTCAAGAACAACGAGCTGAAGATGTTGATTCAAAACATCTCTTCTCCGAGCCATCTCGAGTTCATTCATACTTTGGCTGGCAGACTCAAGACCCTTCAAAACATCGACGCTGTCCTCAACTTCAGGATTATGTCTATGCTCATGAAATACCTCACCCGTATCATTGCGAACTTCGCAAACGACTACGCTCCAGATTCCGTTGATCTTCACGTGGCTTTACTCAAGAAGACCGCATGTGAAGAGAGAAGCATCACGACATGGACTCTACAAACTTTAATCCCTCCGAGAGAGGGGAATAATATCTCCACAAGCCTTGTCTTGCATCGAAGACACAAGACTCGTGGTGCCATCGGTCAACTGTTGTTGGCTTGCTTGAGATATCTGCATGATTCTCATCCCCAGTACTATGGTCTGGAGAAAGGTCAGAATGGCAAAGTCATGGAAAACACCATTCTTGGCGTGATCGATGTTCGGAATCTTCTGTTCGATCGAAGTTATGCGACGTGGCGCGAGTACTTTGAGCTTGTGCGCGGAGTCGCCGAGCTGGGTCTCGAGGAAACCAATGTCTTGCTCGAACAGGGTGTTCTCGAGTGGTGTTTCGAGGTTCTCCTCCTCAATGGGGACACGGTTCTTCAGATGAAACACGCCGACGTTGTGCGATACAGCAACGACGGCCGTTGGTCGGTGAATTACCCTGCAATTGTCAATTGTATCCACGGCCTGCTATTTCGTTTCGTTGACCTTTGCGGATCAGCTGCCCCAAGCGATAGAGCTCGAGTGAATGATTCGCAGACGTTGTTGTTATTGACAGACTATGAGCAAAGCTTCCTGTCTAGACGCAGCGAAACAGGCTGCAACTTTCTTGTAGAGATATGTATGCAAGGACTGTCGCGCCCACGCGAATACAGTTGGCAGAGATGGCCGCCAACCAAGCTCACCGTGCTTCTCGCCAACGCTGAGAGAGTGCCGCCTCAAATCTATGACGACTCAGTCAAGGCTATGATCATCAATCTCTGCACTACTACCGCCTCTGATACGGTTGCAGAGTCGGTCTGCCTGTCCTTGCTCGACCGAAAGATGAAATCGGCTACCGAAGAGGACATATTCTTAGAGATGGGCAGAATCCTCACCCACCTGAAACCACCGGCAGCACCTGATTTGCGATGGATCTTGGCCCAGGTCTATAAGTTCCAACCATTAATGGTCATGCATCACCTTGCCGAGCTCACTTTCAAATTGCTAGTCTGCGATCTCCCAGGCGTCGAAGAGAACACCAGAGTTTGGTTGAAGAGCTGCGTTCTTCAGACTGGACTGACCAAGCCGTACGCACTGAACGATGTTTCGATGCTTCACCGCAAGGTTATGGCAATCAAGGATTTGTACAACATGTTGGCCCATGATTTAAACGCTGCCTTGAACAGGAACCAATTATGTATTGCATATAAGCACTCCATCGATGCATACAAGGACTGTAACTCGTACTTGCGTCAGATCTCGACGACGCTCGAGACAGAGCTGGAAGAGTGGCTGAAGAGTGACCCACCCGAGACCGAAGACGCAGCAGAGCTTGAGACGGCCGTTCAGACCCTGTGTGACAACATTGGCGACATCGACCGTCTCATAGACACTCATACAGACTTTGTCATCAATCTGCGCGATTGGCAGGGAGATGATTCGGACCCATACTCAAGTATGATTCAGGTTGACGATGGTGAGTCCTGACCTTTCTGACCGCAATATTCCTGAGAATAGAAGCTAACCAGAGATACAGAATCAGACAACGAGTTGGTGACCGACGAGTCGCTGAGTGAGGTGGCAGAGTTCGAAGATAGCTAGGTGCCACCAATGAATGTGCTATTCAAGCCTGATGGGCAGACACTTGTAGTATCAAGTAACGAAGAGCAAGAACAAAAACGAATGTACGATACACGACCAACGGTTAGGGAAAAAAGGAAAAGGCAAGATGAAAGCGCGGCGTTATACGGAGAGTTGTTTCAAGGCACTAGCGAAAGCGAGGATTTGCTGCATAGCGGGATCAAGGAAAATCAATACTGGGGTATCATGGGCGGCGTTTTTCTGGGTTTTTTTCTGCGCTCGCCTTTTTAATGACGATACTAGGCGGCGACTATGACTATTATGGGGAAAAAAAGGAGTTCTGGGATACCAAGATGGCGCAATCGCTATACAAGAGGTTGCTTTACTTCAACTAGACGGACATTGTCTTATGCTCGAGGCGCGAGATTAATGCTCATCTTTTGTTCTGTCACGTTGTTGTTTCTCCACCCTCTTCTGTATTAGAACGTTGAGCAGGTGAGTTTTTCTGAGAGACTCGAACGTGCCTTGTCACGGTGCAGCGACAAATCAAATGAAGGGAAGTCACCTCGAAGATATCAGATCATTGGAAGATAGAGATTTTGAAGACGACTCGATGTGTTGTAGACTCAAGATGACCGAATTCCTCTAGCAACAAGAATGTCTGGAAGTGTTGATCTTCGTGAAGTTACTGTGCTGCTGAGATGTCTAGGTGCTGGTGTGCTAGATTTGGCTAGCTCCAGCTTAGCCTGAACAAGTGGGAAAACTGCTGGCTGGGCGGTAGAAACAGGACGGGAAAGCCTGTGGATCAAGGAGGCCTGGATACAGATGCACTGACGTGGACTCGTTGGAAGCTGGCATTGGTGGCTGTGCCGACAAGAAGAGAAGAGGATGCTGCGATGATGCAACACGGCAACCCCAGAAAACTTCCTGATAAAGATCCCGATTATAAAAAAAGTCAGCCACTCATTTGATCTACACCACTGAATACTGAACAAGGTTTAGACGGATCTTCTACCGACATGAACCACACGGCCCAAGCCTAACAGGAAAGTTGTGATTCTAGTCTGCGATGCTCACTGAACGTTTGCCATGCCCTTCGCGTTAGTCATGGCGGTTGGAGCCTCATGGACTTGCAAGAAATTCCTACGAACAATTTGGGTAAACCAGGGCCGATTTCCACAGAGAAAATTGCAGAATGTTTGCAAAGGCTCAACCTATCATATGCTAGAACTCAGGACCAAGTGTGCTACAGCTTGTGGAAATATTTCAATCGAAGGCTCGAGCGAAGAGACAATAGGCTTGGTTACCTCTCCTGTGGTTGTGGTGTGTGCATAAGACTTATGAGGCGGTGCTTCACCATGCAACTCCGGGCACTATGCGGGTGAAGGGTAGGGGCGGTGCGGGGAGGCCTGTTCAACTTCTTGCTGTATCGAACCAGAATCGCCGTGAGTCGACGTACTGCCTGAGACGAATACTTAACATGTGTAGAGGACCGACTATATAATGAGGAAAATCCTCGCAAAGTAGCAAGCAGCTTTCCACATCTTTACATACTCTATCATTAGCTACCTTACCATCGAGCCATCCCTCAAATATGTCATTGTTCACCTATTGCAGCGACGAAACATATTCCCCAAAACGTCAGACAGGCTCCCAGAGAACTTTCTCAGCATCCCAAGTCTGACTCTGCCTCAGCCCTTATGGACCCCGCATTGATCCTCGGTATGATTCAGGCCGTGTTTGGCATACTTGTAGTCTGCATCGCCATTATTCAGCTATTTCATCAGCCAAGACGTTAAGCTCATGTGAGTGTTCTCTGCTACTCGAGCTGGAGACTTTCTCTTACGCTGCGACAGGACGTCGAACTACACGATTGGACACTTGCTCACAACCGTGGATGATATGAGCTTTTGCATCAACACATGAGAGCTGGATAAATCCTCCTGATCACTCTGGGGATACAACGGGGATAAAAAGAAGACGATGACATGCAAGATGACTGGCTTGGTAGTATGGAGGATCAGAAGTATGAGGTATTCACTCGGGTAGTGCTTTTGGTTGAATTGATTTTTCCGAGGACCGACTCGACAATCATGATCTATAACGCGACAGAATTCTATATCTGTACAACCAACGAATTAGCAAAGTTATCGAAACAACTGAGCAATGTTACAGAGCGGCACCATACCGAGATGTGTTGCGCACATAAACATCTGTCCAGCAGCCAACAACTACGCATCAGCCTCAAGAAATGAAAGCCGACAGAGGGACCGAGACTTTAAAGGCCCTCTGGAGTGATCGTAAGTTGTGGGGGCATGCGACCGGAACGAACCGATCAACTTTATCCTCTACACGCGGTGAGTTGAGACTACTGATAGCCACTGATCTCTAAGTGAGTATCACAAGGCTTATTAGAGCGTGCGTTGCCTCCACCGTGGGACGGTGGCCGAGGGAATTGCATGCACACAATCCGGATGATCGGAGGCGTGCTACAACACCAGGACTCATGTAGGCTGCGGCTTGATGTAACTCCTGATTTACTTCCTCGCCGAATGCTGGGAATTTGGCGGCTCCAGGGAGAAGAAGTACCCCCGCTCTCGAGCGTCTGTCCAATCGACCACTGAGAAGTCGCAATCGGAATCGCATGTCTTGATATATTCAAGTCGAGCGTCTCGGCTCCTAGGAGAGCTCAGCTTTGAAGCCGTGATACATCGAGATGGCAAATAGTGGCATGCATGTACCTGTCGTGTCAGCGAGCGAAGAGGCCGTTGATGCAGGAAGCCACGGTCCGATGCGGTGGTCGGCATGCGAGCTGTCTGTTGCAGATGCAAGAGCCGAGCCGGAGAACTCGTCGCTGACGCCTCTTATATGGAAAACGGCGCATACCCGCCGATCAATGCTCCTGGTCCTTCTCCTTATCCAGACGTCTTGAGAAGAAGTCAAGTCACGTCCTCTCAAGAAGAGCGAGGAGTCGTCAAAAGAAGTCGTCGTCAGAGGCTGAGGGACCGTGCTCCCGAGCTCTTCCCCAGCCAACCCCACCCCGACAACAACCTCGTCTTCTTCTGCACCAACAACAACTCGTCACCAATTTGAGAGCATCACTTCCAGTATCCACTTACGCCCATTGATCTGACTATATGAGACATCCCATTCGAGACATACGACATGGCCGCCGCGAACTTACCTCCCCCAGATTAGGACCTGCAGGGTGGACTATTGCCTTACGCTCGACACGTCTTGGCGAAACTGAGACAAGAGGTCGTTGATCTTGGATCAAAGAGGGATACTACAAGCGCTTTGATCGACCTGCAGATCCCGTACATCAGGGCCATACTCAAGCATGACATTAACGTTTCCCCCGACCATCCCAAGACGTTTGATCGGTCTATGGAGGAATTCTACAGAGAAGTGAACAACTGGAATGGGTCACCTCCGGAAGCTCGAGCTGCATATACAAACAATACCTTGTCTCCGAGACTGCGAGACGAGCAGGGGCAGCCTATCACGATGTTGTGCTACAGCATTGTATCGGACTGCACGGATTTGTGTATAGATGCGGCGCGTACGCCCGGGGTGGGACAAGTAGAAGTGAGTGTTGTCAACTTTATGCATAAGATGACATATTACTGACACATGATATAGCCTAATCTTCCGGAATTTCTCCATAATGACGTCTGGAGCAACAACTTTCACAGACGGAATCCAATATGCGGTGCGAGAATGCAACTTATCATCTGGGACAAACGCACAAACCAGATACTTTTAGCAGGTCAAGATTGGTTTGAAGAGGACTTCAAGTTTCCTCCTTGGATCAGAGACCCCTACGATGGTGAACCTCGAAGGATTCAAGCCACATGGCGACCAGTCTGGTGGTGCAAGACTTGTCCGTTGCAACTCCGTCCGGCAAGCAAAATCTCTCAGGCGCCCATCACGACCCATCTTCACAACGCTCATCGCTGAAGGCCAATCAGCAAGTACATCGGCCTGCTCTCAGATAAGAAGTCTCACGGAGAACACACCTCAGTCGCTAGTCCAATAAGGATGTTTTGGTGCTCAATTTCGGTATCGCGGCATTGTGCTTATGCCATTATGCAGGTACAGCATTGACTGCAAACTTAATCGCATTCTTTATCTTCCTTACCACGTGCTCACCCTGCAAGGTGACGCCATCACAGATCAAAGCATGAGACTTGGTACAGACCGAGGTTTCGAAATATTCTGGCACACACATTGTCATGGAAAAGAAGCTCCCACAGATTATCGCTGTCCTTTTTATTACTGCTAATTGTCTATCGTACATTTCCCAGTATGCACCCCGTATCATGCATATCTGCCACGCGTCTCTCGTAAAGTCTTTCATACATGCATCCTCTATACGTATCCCGTCTCTCTTTATCTCGTGCTGGTTTTTTCTGTGTGGGGTGTTCGTGGTTTGGTAGTCGTGGGCGGTCGTGGCGAGTGGTGGCTTGTTGTGGCATGCGGTCGTAACTGAGTCATGTAGTGTGTGATGGAAGTGTTGGAGAGTTGTTTAGTAGTATAACCTTTGAGTGGTGCTTGGGTAAACCGATGGTGGCCCCTACTTCCCTCTGTAGTTGTCCATGATCAGTATATCGTAGCTTCATCCACTCGACACCAACACATACCTAGAAGGTGCGGCCGCGTACAAGAAGACGCTGGGGGAAGTTATAGAGGGGTAGGAGAGGCATGCTGGCTCCCCCATCTGGTCCCTTCCTCAGACGAGCAGCGATCCAAGCATGCATCATGCGACAATGCCGAGGAAAGACATTGTAGACGAAGCCGGCCGTGGTGACGGCAAATGCCAGAGTGGCCACGATGAAGTTGGGCAAGTCGAAAGACATGTTAAGTTTGTAGGTTGAAGAGGGGGAAAGCCGTACTCGGAAACGTAGGAGTATGTTGGAAAAAGATTGGAAGGAGCTAATGAGCGTGATGAAGCGTGCTGAGAGTTGGCTTTCGTTGCTCAGTATGGTTGTGAGTAAAGATTGGAGAAGAAGGGGAATACAGAAGGCCAGAGGCTTCTTTTAACTGCTGAGCACTGGTTGAGTAACATGTGAAATTAGCTGGGAGCCCCTCGGGCCACTTGAAGTAGTGTCAGCTTTACCCAAATCTGGACGATCGCCCCTGGTTCTCGTGCCGCCCCCAGACATAACCTCTTGATTCTGATTGTTCTAGTGCCACGGTACAGCTGTCTGCTTGGTGGACCGATGCTACAGAGACATGACAAGAGCCATAGCAGAGACCTTGCCTGTCAATCTCGCGCGGTCGACCGGGAAATCCACTACGTATATTATTCAAGAAAGACTGCATCGTACAAGGCGCAGTCATAATCATACATCGAGTACCAGGTCGCAGATACTCTGATGTTGGGGTGTTATTGAAGTGCCCGAGTGCAGGTCTCGACGCTCACCCAGGTCCAGTTGCAGAGATACTCAAGGCAACGATTTACCGTCTGTTTTGGTACCTAGCTGTGTTTCTCTTAGATATCTGGAGCCGAGCTGCAGGCGTTCTGCGCGCGAGGAAGCGCAGGGCGCAAACCTACTTTTCGTCGTCACCCCAAAAATTACCCGCGTATTCGCCTATCTAAAAGAAAACCCCCGGAGTGAGCTGGCGAAACGTTTAATCGAAGAGCCGCGATAGACCTCGCGTTGATCATGGTTCGGGAAGGGGTCGTAACGATCCGCCTGCAACGACTCCTTGTGACAAGAAACGGCACCGAAAGACTAGTACCCACCACAGCTCCCGGACAGAACTTCGTTTCCTCTTGCATCTTCATACCCTCCAGCTGAAGAAGATTGCGCCGTGGCTGCCGCCCAACCATGTGCCTTGAGGCGTTGTGGATCGTCTGTGCATGACCTTGCAGCGCGTACGGAGAGCGGCTCGACCTGTTTTGCATGCACTAAATTGGGACTTCCATCCTTTATCAGTGTCCTGGATTGGACCTGGGGTCGGATGTGTCCTGCTGTGCCGCGTCTGCTCTCAAGAGTCGAAGCACGATCTAGCTGTAGGCTTTGGTTACATTTCCCTATGGTTCGTCATCAACAACAGGAGCGTACATCGCTCGCCGGGCTCTGAACACGACAGATTTGGATCACGTGCTTCTGACGACATGATGCAGCCATTGGCGGAGTTCAGCTCGGATCTGTCGATCGGAATTGCCGCATCCTAGTTTCGGGAATTTGGTACGCCATCGTCTAAGAAGCATCCGAAGATTTCAAGACTTTGATGAGCAATACGAGGTACTTTAGACGTTTGAAAAAATCATGGCCGACAAGTTTGCTCATGATCCCATTGAAACTCGTTGACCGTGGGTTTGTTGTGTGACCTTGACTGCGGCGCTTGACGAATGACCGCGATTGGACAGATTTCGTCGCGCTATCCCTAAGTCAGCGGTCACACTCAGAATTGCACCCCATCATCCAGAGCTGCTTACTTTTCTTCAGGTTTCCGTTGTTGGTGTCGTCTGTGTTCATGTCATCTTTCTTCTACACTGGAGTCGAATCTTGTGAAGCTTAACCACGGTTCTAGTTTGAAGTGTTCACACAACCATGCTACTCCAGGACAAACCAGGGATTGCTTCAGTGAGTATGGATGCCTGAAATGTACCATTCAGCAGCTCTTGCGGAGAAGAGCAACAGTCATAACCATCTGACTGTCAGCTCTCATAACTTGCTAACTTTCTGGCTCTGTCGCTGGGAAAGATACTCATTGAAACATCTCGCGACCCGCCGCTTCAAGCCATACCGCCATTGACCTTCACGATCTGGCCAGACACCCACCTGTTCTGCGTCAAGAATACGATCGCATCCGCAACTTCTTTAGGATCGCCAATACGATTGTGAGGACTGAAGCTTGCGATCTTGTCAAGCACAGCTTGAGGTCTGCCACTGTTGAGGAACATGTCTGTGGCAGTCGGTCCCGGAGCAACCGCATTGACGAAGACGCCCTTCGGACCAAGAGTCTTGGCTAGCACGCGCACCATCTGCTCAAGAGCTCCCTTGGTCATGTCGTACAAGATGTACTCCGGTGTCACAGTGCTGGCGTGGCACTGAGTCGTCGACAAGAGCACGATGTGTGACCCTGGAGGCATGTGTGGAGCTGCTTTCTGTGAATATGTAAGTGACGAAGAACAGTCTACAGGTCAATAATGTCCCACCTGGGCAAGGAAGTAAGGACCCTTGACGTTGATGGCGAAGAGAGAATCGAAGCCAGCCTCGGTAGTCTCGGAGATATCCTGCAAGCCCAGCTTGCCAGCGCTGCAGATCAAAGCATCGATTCGACCATATTTTGATACGACAGTATCAACCAAGGTATTGGTGTCTGATACAATACTAGCGTCAGCCTTCATGGCGACCGAGTTGGTCGCGCCAAGCTCTTCGACGAGGCCGGTGGCAGTAGCAGTGTTAGAGGAGTAGTTGATGACCACGAAGTAGTCCTTCGCAACTAGAGCCCGAGCAGTGGCAGCGCCGATGCCTTGGGAGCCGCCTGTAATCAGGGCGATTTTCTTGTCGGTGAGAGCCATTGGATAGCAAGTAAACCTGCGACGGACGAGTCAAGGATAGATTGGAGGTGAGTGAGGTCGGATTATTCTCGAAGAAGGGACCTGGACCCTGGTGGCAGTGAACCCACAGCAACGTGGTTTTCACACCTTTTTATACCTGAGCATGGCTATATCGCGCCTGCAGTTTCAGTCATATGTACCTCCTAAGGCTCGGAGTTACCCTCGCGTTTGCGAAGTAACCTCCGTGATTGAGGCCCACTGTGAGTCAATGGAGTGTGGCCCCACGTGCTAAGTCCGATGTGATTCACTGGCAGATTTGATCACATTCCATCACCACTAGGGGCCTGCTCGAAAATGTCCATGGTTGAGGGTCAAGGAAGGAGCTGTTCGCAGGCAGGTCGTCGGTGAAGTCACGGTTGAGCCTTGGCAAAACACGCGATGACGCGTGCGAGTTGCAACAAAGGCTTCTTGGTGTGTCGTGCACGCTTCAGACCCAGGTATTAGACATTATGATTATGGCTAGGTACATATCTACATGACAACAAAGAAACAGATCGCGGTCAATACGAAGGCATACGCCGACAGTGTGGTTTCGAGCGGCCAAGAACTATCCGAAGACGCGCGACTCATGTATGGTGATGGTGTAGGCGTGGATAAAGCTGGGGTGGTTGTTGCATTGTCAGTCACGTTTGTCGGAATGGATAAGTTGAACTTCTGGCAGACGTCATTGAACAGCAGCTCGAAAGCTAGGTACTTGTGTCAGCAAAGGCAGCACTGTGGGCCAGGCTAGACGCGTCGCGTACTCAGCAAATCTGCAGTGCCATTGGCACAGGTGGAATCATGTTGGACGCATGGCACGATGCTGTCGAGAATCGTCGTGTATCGTATACAATGGCAGTACTGATCTTCCGATGTACAGTTGCTCGCTTTGATGGCTTGTGTGTCGCACGCTCTTACGCAATTCGGAATGGATGAGTTCTGAGCACCAGTTTGCGAAAGGGCCAACCCTGACCAAAATGCTAGGAGTACAATAACAAGTCTCATCGACGACAACATGACAACTCTGTCAGGCAACAAGGATATAGCGAATGGATGCAAAAGTGCGAGAAAGTCTTTGAAACCAATGCCGATTCTTCATGCTATATGTGTTTCGGACATCGATCAGGAAATCCGGATATCTGCAGCTCGCTGCTCGATTTGGAAATGGAGAGACGGGTATGGCACCTGTGATTGGCCCTTCCAGGCCGTCTTCCAGCTTTTGTTGATTCTCACCCTGGTCGGAAGCTGATAGTGTCAGCACCTCAGCTGCATCTGGTGCCGACCTTGGTAAGAGGTTAGCTCTTGCCATATGCAAAGAGGAATGATGCACGCGTCAACTTCCCCACAGGTTCTCCAGATGTCAACGAAGCTTTCCAAATGGGATGACGTTAAATCAAGATCGTTGCTATCTACACAATTATGGCCGGTACATAAACGTTAGAGGTGACATCCCACCCAATCCTGACGCCTCGCTCGGAAAGAGAGATGTGAAGAATAAGTCGAGAACACGTGCATCTGGCTCTAACAACATCAGGCCCATACGACCTGGCGAGTGGTATCGACGTTGATGATCTGCGTGTATGCACCTCTCCACCCCATGTTTGCGGGACCGACATTACCGGCGTGGAACATCATATGCTTGCCATCGGCAGCGATAGCTTGGCCACCAGGAGCGAAGAGGCCATCAGTGCCAGTGACCATCATAGGGCCCCTCTTGACATAAGGTCCGTTGATGCTGTCAGCGAAAGCGTAGGTGACGTCGTAATTGGACGTTGCAAAGCAGTTGCTGCTGAAAAACAAGACGTATTTGCCATTCGCAGTGCGCATAAGTGAAGGTGCCTCGACCAGGGGCCCATCAAGTTCGCTGCGGTCCAGTAGCTTGACAGGGGTGCCAACCGGGGTGAACCCGTCGTCTGCTACCTTCTGGAGCATGATGGGTGTGTCAACGATGGGAGCATTTCCGTTATTGCAAACACCACCGTGTCCCACGGAATTGCCGTCAATCTTATACAGGACGTACTGTGTCCCGTCGATGTCCATGAAGTTGTCAGAATCAATCGCACCGCCTTCAGAAAGCGGACAAGCAAGAGGTGTCGCTTGCGGAGTGTACGGGCCTTGAGGCTGAGACGCCACAGCAGCACCCAAGCAATGCTTGCCTGGCTTGCCCTTCACAGCAGCTGAGTAGGTCATAACATACTGGCCTTGCTTGTTTTTGCTGACACTCGGTGCCCAGACAGCCGCGCCTTGGTTTCCAGCCTTAGGGTCTACCCAAGCACCGACTGTCGGCAAAGCATCTCCTCCAGTCACGGTCCAAGTGGTGAAGTCTGGTGAACGAGCAATCTGTACGTTGATAAGATTGCCGCCCACGGCAGCAATGGTCTTGTGGTTGTTACTCGCGAAAGCCCACCATTGGGTACCATCTTGCAGGAGATCAGGATCTGCAAAATCGACTGAGATGACTTGTGTTGGATCTGTGCTGCCAGTTGTCTTAATTGGAGCCGCACAAGCGAACGGCAGAAGTCCGAGTAATACTGGAGTAATGGTTGATGAGAGCATTGTGTTCTGAGCTAGATCTCGACTCGTCCGTATTTGGTCGACGTAATGGGAGGCAGGTGATGTCTACGGAGTCTGATATGGGTACAGATGTAAATTGAGAGTGATACGTATACTACCACGAGGAATCTCGCATCTTATATCAGATTCCTCGGCCGTGGTCAATGACTCCATGCGTGCAGCAGACTGCGAACCCACCTTGTGTCTATTCCGAGAAAGAGACAGATCTGCCCAGCGCAAACCTTACCACCAAGACAAACGTGCTCATTCGCGAATGCTTAGTGGATAATCAGCAGGACAGAGTGTAGTTGTCGGTCTTGTCCGCATACCACTTTTCCTAATATGTAGAAAGGCCATCATCAGGGCTCGGGCCAGGACGTTTTCTGCAAAGTCGTTCTCTCTGGGTTTGACCTTGTGGCAGTTTGAACCGAAAATAGAGCCTTTGAAAGAACATGTCTCCAGGGTATGGCGTAGGCACGTGGTGTGTGAGAGAATCGAGGCTCTGGAGGAGAAAGTCAAACTCGCCGAAGTATTCGAGTACACGACCGGCATAACGTTGTCCCGGCCCGCAAGAGCTCTATTTGTGGCAACGGGGAGCAGCGAAGAGCATGTGTCGCGTTGGCTCGACTCCTGCCAGCAAGAAATTGTAGGCTTCGGGATACAATGTCGCGATGGTCATAGTGATCAGATCAGCATGGCCCAATTAAAATCCACAACTGGTGCGCCTGCATGAAGTTATTGGATTTCTGCCGGTCCAGAGGAAGAGATAGACGAAAGCGTAATGTTGAGCCTGCAAAAACGTTAATACTTCAAGGACAAATGTGTCAAAAGTCATAGTAAGCCGAGACCACCAAACTCACTTACGCAATGTCTGGCCTGACAAACCGCTGGAAGGAATCCATAAAATCTACATGATGAGTCTTACTAAACCGTCGAATTGTGTAGATGGCAATCAGGTAGAAGATATCTCAGTGCTTCGTGCTTCCGTTCACCGCAAGCCAGTGCAACGCATGAGCGTAGCTCGGTGTCGCTCGGTGCAAAGGGTGGAGGCAGGCTTCATACAATGCCAAGTCTCGAGAGCCTGGACCCAGCAGCCGTCGCGTTGACATCTGCCGAGTCGGCCACGGGAGGGAACGACTCCCAGAGAAAGCTAGAATGGCACGCCATCATGGCAAGTTCTCGTCTGTTTCCTTGACAGCTTCTCGGAATAACCTTAGGGCATCTGCGAGAGCGCGACACGAGCGGTAGAGACTGCACTTTGGAAGCGAGACCGACACCTGGATATGGAAGGGCAGACCTAAACACCACCGACTGTCCCCGCACTAATATCGCACACATCATATGCGTTGGTGCCATGAGTCGCTCAACTCCGCCCATCGTTTTTTACAATCCTGGAGGTGTTCGCAAACGGCCTGCGAATCAGCCCCATCGTGTGGCCATCAGGTGGATTCAAGAATATCCAAACCAAGATCCTGCCGCATCCCGTGGAGAACCAAGCACGCGTGTCGTAGATGATGAGTCTGAAACGAACCGCGAGTCAAAGATATATCGAATCACCTCGACGGGCGACAGACAGTTGAGAGCTCCGCTGTTGAACGCCTACCTACTCGCGGATGCACCATTACGATTGTCGATCGGATCTCAACGCGACCCATTTTCCTCACTACCGGTACCTTGGAAGCCTCCATACGGCATCATCACAAGCTACTGTATGTTTCTCACTCTCATTATAGTCGGACCATCTCTGATCAATCACTAGTCAAGTATGCGATAGCACCAGCTATTGTAGCCGAGAGCTTTGAGCCAGAAGGCAAGACGCGGCAGGAAGCACTTGAGGACATTGAATGGCCAATGGCTTTATCTGTACAGACAAATGATCCTGCCTTGTTCTTTGCCGCCCTTGCCATGTCGTGTGTACATCTGCCAGAGACACACGAATTCAGTCCTCAGAGCAACTCTTTTTTCTTCCGTTGGCTATCGTCTAAGTGTGTTGAATATCTCAACAAATCTCTGTCGAATCCTTCTCGTGCATGCAGCGACGGCACTTTGATTGCAGTGACATTCATCTCATTTTGTGAGAGTATGGCTGGAAATCATCGCATTGCAGCGACAATTCATCAACCAGGTTTGAGGCAGATGGTCAACACTCGCGGCGGTCTAGATTCCATTGCAAAGGCATCGGCCATTGGCGAGAGAGTGACCAAAGCGATATCTGCTCTGGATATTGTTGTGGCTTCTAAATTTGGATGCACTCCAATATTCGAGGACTCATATGCCCTTGCCTTGCAAGATGTGGAGATGACCGACATCGTGTCCAGGATCAAAAAGACCGCCGAAGGGCGTCTCGATCCTGCTTCTCCGATACCTCGTACGGTGATATTGACACAGCGACTCAAGGATCATGACATTTTCCAATCACCTAGTGCGAGCAGTCCCGTCCCTTCAGAGGCCGCGACGGTGACTTCACGCAATTTCGACGAGATTTACGACGCCAGAGATCCATTCTGACTCGAGGCCCACGACTTCAAAGAACTGGTAGGCTCCCTCAGTCTATACCAACTGGTCATTAGGATGTGTACCATCAGAGGTACGCGTCCACCGCTTGACAGCCTCTCTCAATTGCTTGCAGATGCGGAAAAGCTGTTGAGGAAGGTGCGCAATGACAAGGAGTCTCAAGATCAACAGCAGTCTTAATTGAAGTCACGGCTGGACCATGGATTGATGCGAATGCGGTCTGATGCATCGCGGTCGCTCGACGATAGGCCATCTTGTCGCCTGATGTTCTATCTGGGGTATCGATGACCCCACTGCACCCCAGTCTATCTATACCAAGCCTGCCAAGAAGAGGCACCTAATCGCTACATCGGATAAACAACAATCGGCCACTCAGATCGCACCATGTGGGCACAAGATAAGCTGGTTATCCGAAGCACGCCACACGCTCCTGTCGAGAGCCTTGTTATATGCAAGATAATGATGTCGTACGCACGTCTGCCTATCTCACTTTGCCGGCAGCCCTGAATTTTGAGACTCAATGGCAATGTTCCAACTGGACTTTGATAGCGTTCAGAGTGCCTCGCAGCGGCCAACTAGAAGACAGTGGTAGGCCTATCGACCAGTCATATCTATACATCGGCCGAGTGTCAAATCGTCTCCACCTTGCCACCTGTCGTACATACTACGACTATCTGAGGTCATGCTAGCCTTGGCAAAACTATATATATTCAGAAGTTGCCTCGGGCCTCTTCAAAACAGCATCTGATACAAGCTGCAATACCGACCATCTAACTTCCCAGTCTGTCGACTGATCAAGTTCAGTCCGAGGACAAGAAGTCCTCCAGCGTTGAGATGGCATCATTGGAGAAACACAACTCCGTTGAAATAGGCGAAGTCTCGGAGATCAGCGAGGAAGATATTGGTTTGTTGAACCGACGAGTGTGCTCAGCTTCGGATGACTGATTGACTATCGTAGTTGCTGCTGAGGGCGAGTACACCGAAGTACAATTTAAGCAGCTTCGGAGAAAGATAGATCGATACTTGCTTCCTCTCATGTGGTTGTGTTACGGCATTCAGCAAACCGACAAGACTGCTCTCGGCACACAAGCAACTTTCGGACTCCGCGAAGATACTGGTCTCTATGGAACCCAATACAGCTGGCTTACTACCATATTCTGTGCGTTGGCCTATTTGCAAGCGATCTTGCATATTCTAACGTACGGCAGATTTGATCTACATGATTTTTGAATTTCCAAGCAATATCATCTTGCAACGCTACAAGATGGGCAAGATCTTGTCGTGCTACATGATCTGCTGGGGCGTTGTTGTGCTTTGCATTGGTTTCGGTGAGTAAACAATCATGCTTTTCTATTGACTGTGACTGATCTTTCCTAGCTCAAAACTTTACTCATTTGGTCGTTCTTCGTGCACTCCAAGGTCTCTTCGAGTGTTGTATCTCACCAGGCTTTATTTTGGTCGTCGGCAGTTGGTATAAGACAAGAGAACATGCTTCCAGATCCCTGGTCTTCCAATCTGCAAACGCAGGCTTTGGCATCATCTCGAGTTTGGCATTGTATGGTATCGGCAAGCGTGGCGCTCAAAATCCGGATTCTGAGCCTTGGAGATGGATGAGCTACTTCCTCGGTGCCATGACAATCTGTATTGGCATTCTGTGTCTCTTCCTACTCGGTACGCCCTCGGAGGTCAAGTGGCTCACACCGGAGGAGAAACGTATGGCCAATGCACGCATCGTAAGCAATAACACTGGCCACGACCGTACTGGTGTCAGAAAGTGGCAGTGGAAGCAAGTCAGAGAGTGCCTGATCGACCCTTGCTTCTGGTTTGCCGGCATCAATGCCTTCTTGAGCTCGTTGCCTAATGGCGGGCTCACCACGTTCGCTCACATTATTAACACCTCTTTCGGTTTCACCAATCTCGAGGTCATTCTCCTCGACATCCCTCGCAGCGCTTTCTCGGTTCTCTACTTCGTCGCCATTGGCCTCATCACCAGCAAGCGCTCGGGTCTGCGTCTATATTTCATGATTGTTTCAACCATCCCACCTTTTGTCGGCTTCCTCGGCATGGCATTCATCCCCAACAACCCTTCCATGAAGTGGACGAAATGGGGCATGTACTTTATGACAGTGCCCTACGTCATCTCGCTCTTCCTCGCCTGGTCTTTGATTCCCTCGAACACCGCCGGCCGTACAAAGCGAACCTTTACCTCCTCCTTCACCTTCGTCGGCTACTGTGTCGGCAACATGACCGGCTCGCAGATCTTCAAGGCCAAGGATGCGCCTTTTTACGTTCCGGGAGTCGTTGGTTGTGCTGTATGTTTTGGACTTGAGTTCGCGGTCTTAGTCTGCTGGAGGATTGTGTTGGTGCTGAGGAATAGGAGACTGGATAAGACTATCGCTTTGGACGGGCTGAGTGAAGAGGAAAGAACATTGAGAGCGAAGAAGATGGGAGAGGAGGACAAGACGGACTTTGAGAACCCTTATTTCCGATACACTCTGTAAGGGCCTGGCATGACTCTGGAACAGAAGGGAGTAGGAAGAGATTGTACATGGAGGTAGTTTCGATTGTATTGACGGCACTGTTCCTATTGATTCCGTGTATGAGGAATATGAACATGCGGCTATCTTCATATGCGAAATGCTATCAGAGCAGCATTGGTTTGACTTTACAATCTGGCCTGACGCTCACCAATGCCGACGTCCGCGAGATCTTTGACCTCATCACCAGGCCTGCCACTGTCAAGGTGCTTCCTGTTTCCATACTTCCACTCAGGCTTGAAATTTCCTTCTAGCGCATTTGCAATATATTTTCCGATGATGGGCAGCATCTTGAAGGCGTGTCCACTGTCCCCAGTCGCCAGTAACAATTCTCCGCCAGGATACTTTGGATGTGTATCAATCAGATAGTGAGCATCTGGCGAATCTGTGCACCAACACACTTTTGCTCCCTTGATTTCTCGACCTTCGAACTGTGGGATGACGGTGCTGATGAAGTTCTTGATGGCATCCATTGCCTCTTTCGGAATGCCATCCTGAGGGTATTCAGACGCGTATCGAGGGATGGAGTACTTATGCCCTTTTCCAGCTTCGTCGGTGTATGTTCCTTGTTTCCATTGATAGCCAGGAAATTCGTTGCAGATTTTAATGAGTCGACCCTCTGTGCTGGGTTCGAAGAAGAAGCCCAATTCGTGGTTCAGTACTACCGGCATGTCTTTGAACTGTGCAGCTTCTTCTTCCGTAAGCTCCAAGAGCCCGTATGTCCAGCATTTACTCCATAGTTGTGTTGATAATTCGGGAAGAAGAGCGGGAGATGCAGCACCGGTGGACAAGACATACTTTTCCGCTGCGTAGACGTCGCCAGATCTTACTTTAATACCAGTGACTCTATCACCGGAAGTCTCAAGAGCGACCATTTCTCCCGCAGCGCCAGAGATAAAGGTCACACCCATAGCCTTCGCCTCATCAGCGACCTTCTTGATCGCATTGGCCGCATGAGCCCATCCAGCCTGTTTGTTCCAAAGACCCTTCCAATTGTCTATATCTCTCGCATTCTTCAACTGCGGTACGTGTCTCGTGATCTCGTCTTTGCCAGCAACAAAATCGATATTGTGGGCTTGACCTTTGTTTTTGAGATTCTCATACGACTTCTGGAGGTGAGTTACTGCTTTTGGGTCGCCGAGTGTTGTCAAGATCCAGCCGGTTTCGTGGAATATGTCGGTGTACATTGGGTCTCGCCAGGCTTGGATCGCTTCAAGAGCCATTTCTGCGTAGAGAGGTTCATCATATTCTGTTCTGATGATCTTGTTCTGGGGGTTGTTAGGCAGAGTATTCATCGGAAATTAGCTGTCGGGTATGTTCCTCACGATGTCATAGCCAGCAGAGTCTAGACTGGGATATGGCCATTTGTCGATACAAGTAACGTTCGTATAGCCTCGCTTTGCCAAATGATATGCGGTGCTAGCTCCGAAAGTGCCGGTACCGATGATCAGGACCTTTTGGTCTTTCGATGTCATTTTGGGAATACAGATGAGACGTGGATGTAAAAAGGATGTTTTCGAGTGCCGGATCAGACGTTCTACCTATGTACAAACCTCATCGTCGCTCGTTCGCCCCAGTTTGATCGGCGCTGCGCTTGTACCTTCCCTCAACGCTGACGACACGGCTGAGTTTGATAACTCATTGAATACGGTCATAGAAGCCTGCTGATATCAGCCGACCCAGCGGCATTTGTACTGACGAGATTCAAGGGGATGTCCCAAGTCCCACATGTCTTTACGAGCATTCTTCTTGTCATGAATGGTGAAAGGTCGAAGAATCGGGGTTGAGCTGAAAGCGATCTCGGCGCGGAAGACGCCGTTATCGGAGCAATAAGCAGGTCTTGGAAACACGGCAGGATGAACTCCTGCCCGAGTTCTGTTTACAGGCGCACTCAATTAGTTCATGCCGAGATGATGATTAACCGTCACGTCTATATGATCATGGGCGATCGCGCATTCTGCTCCAAAGCTCGCGGGCTCGATCGATTCGCCATGACGAATATGACACAAGCTGACTGGTCGCCTTGAGGTCCTGTCGTTTCAAACCCCGGACGAACCAGTTCAACGGCGTGGACGCGACACCTGCAAATGTGCTGTACAATAGTTGACCAAAGTTTGCCTGTGTCTGTTGCGCCCTATTGATTCGTGACGCATTCTCCAAGGCTTCTCGAAACATCAACATGGATGCACAGATGCTTTCTGAGACTCTGTCGCCCTCACGCGGTCTTTGACATTGCCATCATTTCATCTGTCAAACCTGGTAGAAGAGGGTAAATCGGACCGGGGTTCAGACCTGACTGTATCTGGCGCAGATTGAGGACTTCTATCTTGGACGGCAAGCAAACAGGAAGGTGCTGCACGCAGACACGATGATGACATCCTGCGACTCAAGGGCAACTCCGTCTTGGTACGCTATTCATGTCAGGTACACAGTGCTTCAGGATAAGGATCAAGGGACATGAAGCTTGGCGGGAGACCTCGAATATCTTCCACGTTGATGAGGGCTAGTCTTTCCGCAGGGTCAGAGTGAAGTCCAGCATCTCGACTTCTGTACTGCTAACCTACTACATCACGGTCGACACACCAAGATCATGGCTTCGGACGCGTTGGAAGGCCAATGCCTTATCCTGTTTGCTGTAACCATGTTCTTTTGTATTTTCTGTTTCGTGATGGTCACGCTACGATGCTTCACGAGAATGTCAATCAAGGGCTTTGGATCTGACGACTGGCTTATGCTGATCGGCACGGTATTGAACTCTTATATGCTAAATACATTGGACTCTGCTGATTGCAATAGATTTTCGGCGTCTTGACCTTTATCACGGTTCTGTGCGGCTGCAAAGCAGGTCTGGGTCAGCGTGACTATGATTTGACAGAAGAAGACTACTCCAAGATCAAGCGTGTAAGACTGTCGAGAAATCATACTAAGGACCAGACTGACACATAGATAGGCTCTAATGACCTTCCAAGTGCTCTACTGCGCCAGTCTCATCTTCATCAAAAGCAGTATCTGTGTCGCTCTCATCCGCCTCGTTATCTCCCGACGCCTGCTATACACGCTGTATGCCATCCTGGCTCTTAGCGCTAGTTACGGCTTTGTCGCGATGATGACAGTCTTATTACAGTGCAGGCCATTGAAAGCTACTTGGGACCCGTCGGCAGGCACATGTTCGAATCAAGGCGTCATCGTCCGAATCTCATACTTTGTCACGGCGTGCTCGATTACGACTGACTTTGCTTGCGCGGTCATGCCGTTTGTCATCCTCTGGAATCTACAGATGAGCAAGAGACTAAAGTTCACTGTCGCTGCCATGCTGAGTCTCGGTTTTCTGTAAGTGACATACTTGTGCTTATTCAAGCAGAACTGACTACGATATAGAGCGAGCGCTGCCACCATTGTTCGCATCAAGTATCTGGACTCATACTTTGCCACACAGGACCTTGCTTGTCAGTGTCGCTTTGAGCGTACAATCAACTCCGGCTAACATTGTCTGCAGACAAAGTATCGAACGTCGTTTTGTGGTCCATCATCGAGACCGGCATCGCCATTATAGTCGGCTCCATCCCGTCCCTCAAACCACTCGTCAAGTCCATACCCTTCTTTGGCTCTCATCGTTCCCGCCTCGAGACGAAAAGTCTTACTCGGCTTGACGACTTCCAATCTTTCGCAATGCGATCTGCCGGTCCTCAAAATCACAAGACACACATATCTGGTGCAAGTGCGAAGGATCGTGACCCGGACGAAGAAGACAGCATGAAAGACAGCCTGATGAACGATCCGGGCATCATACTCGTCCGCTCCGAGATACAAGTTGAAGAGGGTTCGAGACCAAATACTGGATACAAGAGTTTCAAGAGTTTCACTTTCTGATCTGGGCATTCATCATGGTGTAGTGCACTGTATGGAAGGACCGGACTTTTACGCAATGGACTCGTTAGCTAGATCTTCTGCTTCGAATCCTCACCTTGGACACTCATGATGCACGAAAAAGAACATCGTTTAATCTTGCCATGTTCTCCGGACAACTCTCATTCATACCATGTCGCGCGCACATGACCGATCGAGCATCACCTCTAAGCCAAAAGGGGAACATCTTGTCAATGAGATCAAGGAAATCGCCACTCCCGGGAGACTTCTGCTCGTATACACTACTGCGCTTTGTAATCGTAGGAGAGCGCAGTGTGGAGTTCATCGCATCAGTTTGACTTGCAGACGGCCCCTGTGTGGGGGTTTGGGCATTCGAAGCCTGCTGCCTACACAACTCGCTCAAACAGCCAGAACTCCCGCCACCTGCGTCCTTTGTTGACCGCCATATTTATGAAGATTAGCGTCTCAGCCAGCAATAGCTACGGTGGTACAGTGGTAGTACGCCTGAATAGACCCACGTGGTATTTTCAGGAGATTCCAGGTTCGATTCCCGCTCATGGTCCTTGGTGTAGTGGGCGAAGTTGGATGTAAAACCCCCATTACGACCACTACACCCATTCTTCTTTTGCTGATTTGGCTCTGGCATCCAGCCATATCATAGACTACTTGATCATTGTTCTCACCTTGCCAAATGTCAACGTATCGCGCGATGACAGGCGAAATAGTGCCACAACGTGCTGTATCCTTCGTACTCTGTCCTACCTTCGGTGGAGCACCTTAAGCAAAGGCACAAACTTTTTCCCGAAAGGGGTATCACCTCGCAGGAGCACCAAACCCTTCGTCACAAAGTCCGAATTCAATCTCGGGCTCAGGCCAAATGCTTTGCTCTCCTGATCGTGCTCGTGCGTTGCGAAAAGTACCTTGCATTCAGACAGACAAAACCTTCCCTACACACCTTGAAGAGAGTAGTACATAATCCCATCAAGCCACGGGCTCAGAACCAACCTTCTCTCCTCCCGTACTCTCGTTATGCGAAAAAAAGACCTTGCATTGAGTCACGACACCAAACTTCTCTACCCACCTCGAAGAGAGCAGTATGAGTTTCCCTCAAAAAGCCACGGGCTCAATGACGGCACTCTACTCTCCTGCTCTCGCGCTCTGCGAAAAATCGCCCTGCGTCCAGTCTCGTACGACATCAGCTTTCTCTACATCTCGAATGAAAGATTGTCTAGTCTCCCCCCTAAATCGTGCGTTCGCCCGGATCGCTTCTCGATCGATGTGGCTATACAAATTAAGACTGAGCGTTTTTTTTTTTCGGCACGCGGATATGCATGAGGGATGTACTGGACAGCGTCTCAGCTCTTTTGCAATTCAAAGCTCGGCTCTTGGTGGGAAGAAGTTTGGGCGAGTTAGGAAAAGTGGGTTTTGTTGTGGTAGGTGGAGGGGAGGAGACGTGTGTTTTCATATGTGCTGGTTTGGGTTTGTGGTGGATATGGTGATTGTGGGTTTTTGGGTATCGTGGGGATGGGGAGGGACAAGAAGATGTGGTGGTGGTTTGGGGCAAAGGAAAGTCTTGTTTGTGAGGGAGAAACTAGAGAGTGTCGTCTCTTTTGTCTTTATCGAAAGCTTTTGTGTGTGGATGTTCGTTATTTGTCGTATCAATGTTCGCTTTTGCACCTATTTACATACAATCCTCAATGCTTTTTCCTTGTAAACCTTTTTAGCTGACGTTTCGATCAGTTGTCCCAAGATCATGATTAGAAAGATGTTTTCCAGATAATAGGGACGCTAACTATGTAAAGCAGGTAGTCTACGAGGAAAGCACTTTCACCAATGGTGCCATATTCGAAGGACAAGACTAGCGAACAAGGACAACGTAAAACTGGATCTTTGGAGGTCTCAAAGCCAGATCTCATCCTCATCAGATCAGTACAGTATAGAAACAGGCAGGTTAGTGACTCGTCAACTACGTACTTTAACCCATCGTCTTGTTGAAATCTAAGACAAAGAGACTTCCCCCTGGAAAAGAGTGACTCGACAGCGGGTTCATAAACCTGTCTTTACTTCTTACCTAGTGACTGCTGGAACCGATGGTCCTGGAGAAGACCACTTTAGAGCGGAGAACCATCTGGAAATCTTGGATCCAAGTATCCATGGTCTCATCAGTGTACCATGGACTTGATAGATTGATCCAAGCGTACCTTTATATAAGTTTATCGCCAGTTGAAGTCTTTCTCGACAAAAAAAAAGTGCGGCGAGCATAGCCCATCTTATTCTTACATTGGTCATGCTATTGGATAACAAGTCTGGCTTGCGTATATTTCATCTTGTGTCAAGTGTCTTCCATAGCGACAAGTCTACGGTCATAGACAAACGCATTCTCAACGAAGGGGAACGCTATCAACCACTATGTGTCCAGATCTTGGAAAGTCCATGGTCCCGGTGTCATCTCCACTAGTTTGGTAAGGAGACAAGACATTTCTCTTACCGTTGATCATAGCAAAAGTGGAAACTTGAAGTACTTGCTTTCAAAAGTATGGCCTAGACCAAGACCACGACATCTACTAATGCCGACATCGACCGTGCTGTACGTCGTGGGGATCTCATTGACCGACTTCTCTCATCTGTGCTAGAGATGTGGATGCCTCTTCTTCCGGACATCTTGCAAGAAAAACCGGTCAACAGTAACCAGAGCCCAGTAGGCAGCAACCATCACGTCAGGCATGGATAACTCGCCCTCGATACCATAGCTACGACCAAAATATCAAGACAACGGGGTCAGTAACTCATTCTTGTATCTCTGCTTCCATGACACACGCCTTGAGTAGTCTTATGGACTTACTGAGATTTTGAGACGAGATCAGAGATCTATGGACCTGTGGTTCTTCTTCCCCCTTCCATGGATTTGGCAACAAGGCCAAAAGCCAGGTAGGATTCGGCAAGGGACACAGCTGGGCAGCAAGGGGATTTTGGGACGGGGGCCCTCCATCTCGAGTGACGGGTAGTTTGATTGTGTTGAAATATCTTTGTCTCGTGCAAAGAATCATATATACCCTCGTTTCCATGACAAAAGCCGGGTATGCTCAGAGTTTTCAAAACTGGTTGCAGTCAAGACAAACCATAATACTCGATCTGAGCAAAACAGGTCTGGAAACATACACTTTCCGGCCATGACATGAAAACAAACAAGCCCACTTGCTCGATTGTGTGCTCTAGAGTAGATGCTGGCCTTACCGACATACTTCTACTTTGACCCGTAGAGAAAAGTACCCGGGATTTTTAGTCGTCAAAAGAAAACGCTGTATGGTCGAGATTTCTCACTGGGCCATGACTAGGCTCTAGAAATGGCGACTTATATGGGTGGACTACTATAATTGTGTTGGTCGCACTTGTCACGCGACTTACAAAGACATACATGATCATGGGCAGAAGGTTTGAACATAGTTTTTTTGATACTGTGTTTTATCAACCGTCTTTGACGGTAGCCTTCAGTCGCTCTAATACATACTCGCCGGCACGAATCGGTGGGTATCTTGAAGGGTTTTTATCGGAGATACAGCTTGGTAGTGTCTGCATTATGTCAGTAAGGGATGGGCTAAGCTTTCATACGGGTGACTCACTTCGACAAGTTGATCGTAGTTGATGCTGAAGAAGAAGGGAACGCTGTATCGTTCTTTTGTGGTTCTGTTCACAACACGGTGGATAGTGCTCTTGTAGACTCCATTTGTCCATCTCATCAGAAAATCGGCGACGTTTACGATGAATGCGCCTTCGACAGCTGTCGCTGGCGTCCAGACGTTATCTGGTGTCAAGATTTCTAGACCGTGGGTTGTGGATGAGAGAAGAAGGGTGAAGCATTCGTAGTCGGTGTGCGATCCAAGTCCGACTTGCTTGTCTGCTTCGTTGGGATCCAAGGGCTTGGGATCTTTTGAAGGAGGATAGTACAAGAGACGAGAGATACCGCCTGGATGCGTCATCATCTCATCGAAGTGGGTTTCCGGCAGGTCCAAGCTGAGGGCAAATAGTCTGAACAGGTGACGGGCGAGTTGGAGGACTTGACCGTAGTACTCTGCAATGTCTTGCTTGAAGCCAGGTATAGCCGAGTCGTCAGGCCAGACATTGCCGTTTTCGGTGCTGCCGTCAAGATCGCGGTATTTGCCATCACCGCCGGTAGGGTCAAGAGAAGCTTCATATCCCCAATTGAAGCCTTCCTTTGTTTCCGGTACAGCAGCGGTGGCCCAGTCATCGGGATTCACATAGGTGTAGTCCGAGGGTTCCCATCCACGCATCAACGCATTGTGCTTGACGTGTAGCTCGTCTTTCTGAGCAGGAGGCAGTTGCTTGAAGAAGTTGGAGGCCTGCTTCAGGACGCCTTGGCGAACGGATTCAGGAACATTGTGGCCAGTAATTTGGAAGAAGCCGCTGTTGGTGCAGGCATCACGGATTTGAGATGCTACGGCCTGTTTGTCCTCAAGAGTACCATCGAAGGTTGATGAGATGTCGATGACAGGAACATTGAAAGGTCGAGCTGGTCCGTCTGACTTGGTTGTGAGACGGTTGTTGAGATAGCTTTGAGCGGCTCGACGAGCTTCGTCCGAGGTTGTATTGTTGGATGCGACTGCAGCGGTCATTCTGACGATATTTGTAGATTCTGGTACTTTGCAAAGCTGGAACAAAAGTCTTAGCGAGCTGCCCGAAGGTTATATAAGTGTATCCGTCTCGGGAGCAGATAACGATAGGCGCAAGTCGGAAGTCAAACGATATGCCGGCGGCCGGGTCCTATCTTTTTAAGTTCACGACAATGGGAGTGCAGTCAGATTGGGGAAGTGTATGCGCGATGGACAAGTCAGAAATTGCGATTACGGTGTATTGCGAAGAGAGGCGGTCGGCGGGTTAGTCAAATGTATGATCAACAGGCGAGAGAGAAGTCGGTGCGGGGAAGAGCTTGGGCACCCTCGTGGGCAATCTAAGGACAACCTTCTGGGAGATCTATTTTTGTGGACATGACGAACATGATTTTCGCAGCATGGCTTGATCTTGCATGATGATCTAAAGTGGCCAGACATGAGTGAGGGAGCCGAAGTCACGAAAGGGGGTGGTTTGCATGGAGGAAAGAATAGGGGTCAGCGTAATCCTGATGGCCCAAGCTCAGGGACAGTTGCAATTGTGTGGTGAAGCTCGTCAAGTGTTGCGACAGGTGTTCTCTCAAAAGTCTCGACTTTCCCTCTCATCCCTCGAAACATCTACTCGTCTGCGTCGAGTGCGGGTCATGCTTTGGACCTGATCGAATTGAAGCTTATCTGTCCATCCTTGAATCTTTTGTCCATCATGTCTTCGGCGCCGAGCTCCAAGAAGGGAGCAGCGGCTAGCACCAAAAAGAAGGTCGATGTTGCTGTCGACCAAAGCACCGACTACCTGAACCAAGTCAAGAAGGAGACCAAGCAGGCTGTATCCAATGACTGGGACTACAAGCTGGCTCTTCTTGTCATCACCATCCTCGCCTTCGCAACCCGCTTCTACGCCATCACCCACCCCAACCAGGTCGTCTTTGATGAAGTCCACTTTGGAAAGGTATGAGAAGTCCACCTCTGCATCGAGCAGTCACGGAACAGCTACTAACACGCCCCAGTTCGCATCCTACTACCTCCAACGCACCTACTTCTTCGATGTCCACCCTCCGTTCGGCAAGCTCCTATTCGCTTTCGCTGGATGGCTCGTTGGCTACAATGGCGACTTTTTGTTTGAAAACATTGGCGACTCATACATCACCAACAAGGTTCCCTATGTCGCATACCGCGCCATGCCCGCAACCATGGGTGCCTTGACTGTCTCGGTCGTCTTCATGATCATGTGGGAGTCTGGCTACTCTCTGCCTGCTTGTGTTTTGGCCGCCGGTCTTGTTCTCTTCGACAACGCCCACATCGGTCAGACCAGACTCATTCTTCTCGATGCCACCCTGATTCTGTTCATGGCTCTGTCCGTCTTGAGTTACGTCCGTTTCTACAAGCTCCGCCATGTGCCCTTCAGTCGCAAGTGGTGGAAGTGGCTTCTTTTGACTGGTGTCTGCCTCAGCTGTGTCATCTCGACCAAGTACGTTGGTGCCTTCACCTTCTTCTCCATCGGTGTCCCCGTTGCCATTGATCTCTGGTCTCTCCTCGACATCAACCGCAGACAGGGCGCTCTCAGTCTGCCCGAGTTCGGCAAGCACTTGGCTGCTCGTGTCACTGGGCTGATTGTCATTCCCTTCTTGCTCTACCTGTTCTGGTTCCAAGTCCACTTTGCCATCCTCAGCCGTTCCGGTCCCGGTGACGACTTCATGAGCCCAGAGTTCCAGGAGACTCTTAGCGACAACATCATGACCCAGCAGTCTGTCAGCATCGACTACTACGACGCCATCAACATCCGCCACAAGGACACCAAGGTCTACCTCCACAGTCACCCCGACAAGTACCCTCTTCGTTACGACGATGGCCGTATCTCTTCCCAGGGACAGCAAGTCACCGGATACCCTCACAACGACACCAACAACCTCTGGCAGATCGTTCCCGGTACTGGCGCTATTCCTGAGGAGGTCGGCCACCGCGTTCACGTCGGCGATGTCGTCCGTCTTCGCCATCTCGTCACCGACTCCTGGCTCCTCACCCACGATGTTGCTTCTCCTTACTACCCAACCAACCAGGAGTTCACCGCTGTCGGCCACGACGAGGCCAACGGTGACCGTTTCAACGACACTCTCTTCGAGATCAGAGTCGATGGCGCAAAGGCTGGCACCGACTTCAAGACCATGTCTGTCCACTTCAAGCTCGTCCACGTCAATACAAAGGTCGCCATGTGGACCCACACTACTCCTCTGCCTGAGTGGGCATACAAGCAAGCTGAGATCAACGGAAATAAGAACGCTCTGCAAACCAGCAACATCTGGTACGCCGAGGATATTCCCGCTCTTCCCAAGGACTCTGAGCGCGCAAAGAAGGAGCCTCGCAAGGTCAAGCACGTGCCTTTCCTCAAGAAGTACTTTGAGCTCCAGCGCGCCATGTTCTACCACAACAATGCGCTCACCAGCAGCCACCCTTACGCCAGTGTTCCCATCCAGTGGCCTTTCCTTCTTCGTGGTGTCTCATTCTGGACCGACAACGAGACTCGCCAGCAGATCTACTTCCTTGGTAACCCCGTAGGATGGTGGTTGGCCAGCAGTCTGCTTGCTGTCTTTGCTGGTGTCCTCCTCGCCGACCAGCTCTCTCAGCGCCGTGGTGTTGATGCTCTTGATAAGCGTACGTCCATCCTAACTCTTACTTCCCAGAAGCAAGCTAACATTTTCACAGGCGCCCGCAACCGTCTTTACAACTCTACCGGTTTCTTCTTCCTCACCTGGGCCGCCCATTACATCCCCTTCTACATCATGGGTCGTCAACTCTTCCTCCACCACTATCTGCCCGCCCATCTCGCTTCCGCCCTCGTCACCGGCGCCCTTGTCGAATTTGTCTTCAACATCGACCCCGTCGACATTGACGACGTCACCTCTGGCAACGCCACTCTTACAAAGAACAAGAAGACTGCTGTGCAGCAAAACAAGCCTGTCCGTGAGCGTACGGGTCAGTCCAACTTGTTGGGCATGTGGGCCGCTACTGGCGGTATCCTCGCTGTCATTGTTTGGAGCTTCCTTTACTTTGCTCCTCTCACATACGGTCAGCCTGGCTTGACTGTCGAGCAAGTCCAAGCAAGAAAGTGGCTCAACTACGATTTGCACTTTGCCAAATAGAGTAGTATTTCGTACAGATACAGTGTTGGAGACTTGGCAAGCCTGTAGGGCGCACCTTTTCTGTAGGACTAGTTTTCTGTTTCTTCCCCTTTTCTTTCTGTCCACCCAAAAATCAAGATTTTCAGAATTTACGCCTCGCATCTTCTCTCCATGCGTGCAATGACGTATCAAACGATCATCATGAAGTCCAACATGACACCGCGAAGCGTGCTTACACTCCATTCTATACGTTCCAACGAAATAGGAGAAACTTGTCCAATCATAGTGTTGAAACGCAAATGAACATGCTGTAGCCAGAGATGACACCTTTAGATCTTTGTATGCGTGTCAAAGATCTCAGCGGGGTTGATTTCCAAGACAGTGGGCCACAGGCGATGGAATATGAGAGATTCAAGAGCCAGGTCATTGCTATGAAGGCTTCTTGCGCGGATTTGTTGGTTGTGCTGCCAGGAGGGTTAAGGAGGCGAGGAGGCGAGGAGGGCAGTGGCGATTATTAAAGGTTACCATGTTTAGAAGGTTTCCACCGATTGGAGTCCAGCGACGGCCGACTTTGTCGATGAAGAGCATACAGCAGAATTGGGCTAGGAGGGCGACAATGGCGTCGAAGCCTTGAAACATGAGTGTGTCGCTGCCGTTGATTCCGGTTCCGACCATACATGTCTGGACTTTTTGGGTGTCGGTTAGAGTATGTGACAAAGCATGCTGTAATGGAATTAAAATTTTACCCTGTAGTATTGAATGGCTGAGATACCGCTCATTTGCACGGAAGATTGGAAGTGATAATGCTGTGATTAAGCGACGGAAAAGCTCGATCTAGTCTTGAAGAGCTCGGCATATTGATTTTGCAGCATGTTCCTTTTCATACTCGACTGCCGTGGTGATGGCATCGTACTCTTCTTGGACGAAAGCGTCTTGGTCGTTTCCAGATGCGTGGAGCTTAGCCAACACTCGCAGCCCTTTCTCGCTTCGACCGTGATGGGTCAGCCAACGTGGCGACTCGGGGAAGAGGAGGATGAGCGAGATCAAGAATAAAGCAGGGAGAATCTGGAGACCAAGTCCTATCCTCCATTGTGCGCTGTCGTCGTCGTCCAAAGTTCTGAGAGGAGAGTAGGGAATCTATATTTACCGACAGACCTACCTTGATCAAGGGCTATCAGAACTACATCAATCCTCAGAGCCAATGACGCAGCAAGATCCTTCTACCGCAGCCCATCACTCGGTAGATTTTGAACGGACAACAAACACCTCAGGACTCTGCATGTAGTGCGGATAAAACAACAATTGACTAACATCACGCCAGGATGAACAAGTGGAGCCCCGGTGGCAATGGTCGCCAGAATTGTGCCCATGGAGAAATTGTTGGAGCTGCCCATGGAATGCAGAAATGATCGATTCATCAAAGACACTGATGGACACTGATGTTCACCTATCTTGGCGCGTGTAGATGGCTCACCTTGCTGTCGGCACGACTCTTGCTATCTGTTCATATCAGAGCAGTCGGATCTGTATATTTAGTAAAATTACACAGATTTGGCACGAATTTGCCAGCAGAATGGAACTCGCTGTCAGCAACACTCGCATCTCCGAAGCGTTTACGAGCAATCGACTTTGGTTGCCTCAATCAAATACCTCATGCATGTCCCAAGTCCCAGCACCTAGACAAACAGGATATCACTTAGCGTGACTCTGCAGAAGATCAGCAAGTCCTTTCCACCCACGGAACGGCCAGACGTTTACAGTGGAAGAAGCGCAGATTCGAAAGATAAACAAAATTGATGTTGAGCTATGCACCCTGCCCTCATCTTCTGGGATCTCATATTGATACATCCAGCCCTTGTCAGAGTGTGTAACGCTTGATGAAGAATCAAACAATCAACACGATATTGCTAAGCTTAGCTATGACCTGGCAGATGGCCTTGATGAACGGTCCTACACATCGAAATGGTCTTTGAACACCTTTCGAGCAAAACATTTGTGCCTGATATCCAATGTGTCACTGGGTGCATAACCAAGTTTTCCAAGCAGAATACGATCGAGAGGATACGATGCTGAAATCGTCCGCTCGATACAAGTATATTTGAAGAAAGTCCGTAGTGATTGATTAGAGGTGTACATTAGGTATCTATCGTGATTGCATGATATCGAAACATTGCTTCTAGCTCGAGAATGCCGGTCTGGCCGCGAGAGGCTCCTCGCTATCAGACGACATTGGCGACAGCGAATGGTTCTTCTCCGCCACCAAAGCTGACTCAGGAGACGCCTTGATCTGTCTTCCGCCTTTCTTTGACGTTCGAATAACCCAAGACGATGCTTCCCAATAGCCGCCGCGGAATACGAATCCAGGGTGGAAGACCGTAAGACAGATACAGGCGATGATGATCATGGGTCCCTCGAGAATATCGAATGGTATCTCTTCATTTGCGAGCTGGCCTCCGAATCCTTGACAGAGTTCAACTACGCGATAGATGCATCTGATCATGATGACAAGAGCTGCAATTGGCAAAGCTAGAAGATGTTTGTTAGCAAAATCCATGGTTCAAAAGCGAGTGTCAATTACCGAATTGGAACAGCTTGAAAGACTTCTTGGATCTGAAGTTCTCGAAATCAGGGTTGCGCTCGTCCTTGTTGCCTTTCTTGACTTTTCTGAGAAAGTCGGCGCTGAGCAAGATGAAGGTTGCAAGCGATACGGCTTGTAGGGCGAGACCAGCAATTAAGACATCAGTGCCGTTCTGACGCGCTACTGGTTTATCGGCGGTGGCAGTCAAGGCACCGCCTACTGCCTGGATACATAAGGAAAAGATGTCAATGCAAACAAAGACAAGCGAATATGTCTTCGGCCTCAGACGAGAGTATTGCTCGCCAAACACGATGACCACATGCCCGAGGGTGATGTAAATCGCAGCAGTAAGAAACGCTGGACCAAGACCAAGCGGAATGAAGTAGGCGAGGAAGATGTTCATGTCGAAGGGGTTCGAGCGAATAAGTATGCGACCGGTGTATCCGATAATCTCCAAGATGAGTCCTCCAAACATCGCAAAGCCGAACGCCCATGTCCGGTAGTATATAGCGATACCAAGTTGTGCGAGCATGAAGATGCCAAAGATGGTCAAGTAGGCCACGCTTACTCCAAGGTTGGGAGGGTAGTCGAGAAACCCTTGTTCGAAGCAACAAGTCTGCAATGTGCAGAGATCCATCTCGATGGACGCATTGCAAGCTACCATATTGAGAACGAATTGGCGTGATTCGTTCTGGTCGGATTTATGAAGCAGGAGAGTGAGTTGTGTGTCGAAGCAGAGGCTCAATGGTATGTGATAGTTGCATCTTGGGATATATCAGCAATACTTATAATCATGGGCGTCAACGTTAGATGACGCAGCAGAGATCCTTCGGTATAGACCCTGTAAAAGCAGAAATAGGTGGGCGGTCGAACAACATGCCGGCTCCTGATGCGAAAACAGCTGCGACAGGCGGCTCTGAATACGTTCGGAGGCTTATGGCCAATCCCTGCGTACCTACAAGGGAATAAAGGTAGGTAGCCATGTGGAAGCTAGACCGAATGTGGTCGGGACTGCGAGAAATGTTATAGGCGTGCTACGCCCAAAGGGGCCGCATCGCGAAGGCTGCGATCGCTGATGGCTTTTCCCCGAAGGATGCGACGTTTGTGCCTGGCACCGGTGCTGAGATGACAACGATCTGGTTGAAAGCCCGATTCGTGCCCAGAGTCTTGTAATCTGATAGAAAGTCACGCTGGGCACGTATGTCAGCGATCGTGTGAACTGCGCACATAAAATTGTTGACGTGGCAGGCCTTTGCGAGTTCAGGATCAGATGGTGGTCATCGGAACTTCCCCACGTGCAAAGCACTGTCATCTGTAGCTGCCTGGAGGCACAAAATGTCCTGGAATGGAAGCGGTGGCACCAAGATACATATTTCCGACGACTCTCTGGGTTAGATCGGTGAGAATAAAAATACGACTGTACCTTTCTACGACTCATTCTGGTTGTTGCGCTTCCCTGATCAACGAGAGTGGATGGGTGTGACAAAATTTAGCACACCGCGCGGACGGATTTCTACGTACCCGTGACGTCATTGACTTTCCCAAGATCTGGTATCATCAAATATATTCCCTCGTTTGTCACCTATCTCACACTCCAAAAGAAGTCACGCTCTTTCAGACTACTCCTGCCACGCCCAACTCCAGGATACGGCAACTATCATGCAGAGACAGCGGAGAGAGAGTCCGCGTTGCGAGACGGGCGGACGCACCGAATGTCAGCATGCGTCGCTCGTGGTCGAGTATTGAGATTGGACCTCCCTTGTGCTTTGATCACACCTTGAAGCAGTTCATGCACTGGCGAGAGCGATGTATGTCTAGAGTGATGCGTCAGATCCCGAGGGAGCTCGTCGGTTGTGTTGACCTCGCAGGACTCTGGCGTCCCTTGTGTCTTTCCTCGCTGGGAGGATAGTGATGACTTGCCCTGGGAGACTCAGTGACCCGGTACGTTGCTTTGCCATCACCCCAGGCTGCAACAGAGGCCTAGCCAGAAGCAGCGAAGGGGCGTTCTGGTTTATGACCCTGAGACCAATGCATGTTTCTAGCACAGTCAAATGGGATGATGGTTATATCACTTGAGGAGAATCTGATCGTCCCCGACAAGTCTTAGTCACAAGCAGGAAACTCATGGAGGATCTCAGGTCCACAGATCTACGGTAAGAAGTAAAGCCGTCCCATGAGAGTCAAGACGAGTACGATGATGATGGGAAGTCGTCGACAGGTACGTCCTAGGTGGTCAAGGAGTCACTGACCTGTCACTCACTCACTCATACTCTGTTACATCAGAAACACATATTCAGCTTGCGTGAGAAGTCACTTCGGTGTGATGAGGCATTGCCACACGGATAGTCCCTAAGAATGATGGTGCTTTCGATTGCACAAGATCTTTAGGATTGAGACCGACCCATAAACAATAACTTGGCGGAATGACTAGTGCAAGATCCAACTCTGAGGACACATCAGAAACTTGTGGGTGTTCAAGACTTTGGCACGACTAGCCCAATACTTGCTCTTTCCAAATCAGCAAAGTACGTCCCGAGATCCAGTACTATTTAAACTTCGCCTCCTCATTTTCTCCGCAACTCAGCAAGATGCACAAGTACCCTTGGCATTGGTCGAGACAAAATCCGCCGTCATGTAAGATGGACTCCACTCACACCGAGCGTTTGAAATGGAGCAAGACAAACTAATGCGTCGGGGAAGCGACGAGATGGGTCCATGGATCTGGGATCTGCAGACATGCTCTGTTGTCACACGTGGTCAAAGTTATTTGGCCGCTCACTTGAGAGCTCATAGTTGTGGAAAGGTTCATTGACCCGTCGTCGACCTCGATCGCTCTCTCCGTCGTGCAGGATGGCATCGTTTGCGTCGAAGTTTTGTATATGACCTCATTCTGTGCTAACAAGACATTATCTTTGCACACTACGACTCGGAAGCGTCGTCTTCGCGTTGGTGATTATGTAGGCTCCGATTGCTATCTGGTGAATACGGTTCTAAACACAATGTATCTCTATTGTGAAACGCTCATGCCATATGTGATTTAGATGCGCGCCTCGAAAGAATCAATCCTAGACCAGAAGTCACGACGAGAGTGACTAGTGATAATTAAAGGTCTCCGTGTTGTCGAGCCAGAAGTCGAGCAAGCCATATTTCAGAAAGGGCGTGTGTGGACACTATGTGGGAACGATCATAGAGAGGGTTAGAGGCCCCTTGCGCTTACTCCTTGCCCGGACGCCGAGAACGCAGGAGCGATGATTAAGCGAGCACTCTCACTTGATCAATATGACACGAAGTGGGACCGGAGCACTCGATAGAGGTTGCAAGAGCGAACGCTATGGTGTTGCGTTGAAATTGAGCATTACTTGCTTAGGCCTTGTTCGGTTCGTTTCAAGTAAAATATCAGAACAGCTTCGAGTCGTGTTTGGAACTAACTCAAGCGCCTATTAGTTAGAGAACGCATAGTCGTTCGGTTCGCACTGTTATTAGAAGGCCATATACACTAAGTTCTCGGGTCTTGGCCTTAAACCGAAGCAAAATAAAGCAAAATGATGGTCCGGACCAGCATTTTCATAAACACGACTTTGAAGGCACATTTTGGTGGAAGAGTCAATAAAATACTTAAAATCCTAAATTTTCGACTCGCCTTCATATTTGACTTGTTCTTGACCTTTTGAGTAGCGCACTTGGCAGGAATATACGACTTTATACATGCCAAACCATCTGAAGTGGTGCTGAAGGCCTTCCAAACCCGCGAACCGAACGAGGCCTTATACACCTCCGCTTGAAGCTACTCCGGCTTCTAGTCATTGACTGCTTTTCTCAGCCCATCTATGAGCCTCGACTGTGGTGCATCGATGTATCGCACCTCTAAAACTTCCTTCTCGAGCTTTTCGCTCCAGATCAACGAGACCACCAGATTCCAACTCCAATAACTCCCGGGCGCACCCACCATCCACCACTTGAAGATGTGTCGAACCACACTCCACAGGCTGCTCACACCATCAAGTTGTTTCTTCAGATTAGTGGCCGCGAAATAGACAGTCGGGACCCAATAGTACCATTTCCCCTGTCCAAAGCCTTTGAACCATTCCACATCCATTTTCTGAATGAGGTATTGTGTAACGACAACTTGCGCGACATCAGAAAGCACGAGACATGCATTGCTGATGGTCTCGTAGGTACTCCCATACCCCGTGAGCCAAAAAATCGGATTTGCAAACTGCCACGACGGAGAAACACCACCAGGATAACGAGCCACAAACGCCAGAATTTGTCGGACAACAGTAGTGATAAGGCAAGCCCAAGAAATGCATACCCTAATCTTATGCAACTTCTCACTGATGGCTTCTTTACCCTGGAATCTCGGTTGGCGAAACAGTACGATTTTGCAAATTGGACAGGTATTTTTGCCAGAGTCGATCCAGGCCAAGATGCATGTATTGCAGTAAACATGACCGCAAGCAAGTTTTGTGGGTTTTGTGCTTTCGTCGATTTCTTCCCAGCAAGTTGGACAATGTTCACCTAGTACTGGTGTTGGATCTTCCATAGGCTTCAAAGTCTCTAGATATGGTGTTTTCGTCGGCAAGAGTAGGATCTCCGGACCATGTTTTTCGGACGGGAATAAATGATGCCAGAAGATTGTGATCGTGAAAACTGCAGCGGCGTAAACTGGCCACTTGAATAACGGAGCCGCGAAACCAGTAGCCAGCGTCAAGGTCCAGAGAATTTGTCGCATGGTTGTAGGTGTCCTCGGATTATGGCAAGAAATGTAAGTTAGTTAGGCAAACAACTTGTTATACTTCTACGATAGAGTCTATATTAAGGTTGTGACGCCGAGGAACCAGCGGAAGGATGCGGGGCGTTTGTTGGCTCCTTCCAAGAATTCTGACAAGACAACGGAGAACGCTCGTCGAATTACATGACTCTGACGATGACAAAGGCAGCTCCCTTTTGTAAGGCGCAGTGCTTCTACTGATGCTTGTGATTGATCTGCCTCACGAGAGTGGTTCTGTCAAAACAGGTAGGACGAGGAATTATTTCCGGCGGTCATAATCATCCGCGCCGGATAGTGCGGCCATGGCGAAGCTCGAAATGCAGATCATTGTGACGACCGTCTAAACGTCAGTGAGTAAAGGTGCTGAGGAAAGCGCCGGTCGGATGGCACAGCTCAATTTGCTGTTACGGCAAGACTGACATAATTAGAAATATAATGTGAATGCTGTGAAAGGTATGTAATTGCTGTTATAATATGCTGCGTCGCGACAAAGGAGAGTAAAGATTTATGTCGTAGAATGGTCGTGATGTCAAATCGGCGACAAAGCGCCGAGATAAGAATGTCGAGATGACAGAACGGTATTGGAGTCCTTATAGGCACATGTTGTGATCTTGACGTGGCATGTACCCGATAGATCAGTCCGCATTGTGGGCAGTGGCTTGGGCGCTTGAGCCATGACTACGGGACTTTGCTCAGGTCAGGAGTCTCTGTCCTCGCGGAGCTTTTCACGAGAGGATTCTCGAGATCATAGCATCAGATTGTGAGATGAAGATCTCAACTGATGCTTGCAGAGCAGTTCGCTCGGTATATCTTCGCAACCTGGCATCAGCTACGCTCTGTGTTTGATATATTGAGCCGTGGGTAGCCATCAGCCGTTGCAGAGGAAAGCCAGCTTGTCCTCTATGACCCCGGAAATTCTATCCAGAAAGTGAAGACAGACCACTCAATCATACTGCTCATGCTGCTTGTGGAGGGCTTTTCGCATCTCAGTGTTACCAATACATCCAAAGCCGAATGCAGGCAAGATACGGAAGCATCTGACAATGGTAGTCGACAGCAGACCAGAACGGGTAGTATCGGCAATCCTCTGCATCCAAGGGATATGATGTTGCCTAGTGGTCAGGTCTAGTCCAAGCAAATGCAGCGGTGTCGCAATAATCTGCGTCAGAGCGGGCACAGATAGCTGGGAGATGGTCTGAGGGTGCAGTGCCAAGTTGTCCGGAATAGCCGTCGCTAGCCGAGGTGCAAGTGTAAATGACCCAAACAAGGTCAACGCGTCACGTACGAGCCAGACTGTTGTCGCTGATCGTGAGGGACGAAGTTTGGGCATGGGAACGGTTGCTGTCGCTGAGGCTGCTGCAGTGTTGGCGACACGAGATGGGATACGGGCAAACATTTGGGCAAAACGGACATCCTTCCACACGCCAAGAGGAACATTGACGAGAAAGGCGGAGGCTCCAACGATAGTGCCAACATGCTCTGGGGTAAGTCTTTCAGAGATGGTCTCTGCAACGTTTGCGACTCCGTATGTTCCAGCATAGAGAGACCAGACAATGCCGAACGGTAGTGAGAGCATGAATTGGCGGGGAGACTTTAGCAGAGACCATGCCTGGTGACGAAGACTTCGAAGTAGAGGTTGATTTGATGACGCTTTTTCAACAATTGCCCTGGACAAGAGCATTGAAATCAGCTTCGGGCGACTTGATCAAGGCAAAATGCTCTTGACTGACCTGTCAATGATGGTCACTGTGGGTGCTACCAAAGTGGCAGAGACGGCAGCTGCAGCAATATCGCCAGCCAACAATTCATATATTTTGGTGCTCCTGGTGAAAATGAAAGATGGCGGCTCTCTGTGTGCTTGGTGTTGCATGTCCATATTATCGAGTCCAGGTGGGATGTGAATGAGAGTGGGAAGGAAATGGATATTGTGATGAGAATGGCAGGTCAAACGGACTAAGAAGGAGTCGTTGACCTGTTATCTCACACGAGTCAAGGCATTTTTCTCCTGACACATCGGTTGATGTTTTATGATGCATCAGGGCGAGCTCGGTTTGTTGCGGCATTGTTTTTGTTGGAAATTAGAGCTGTGCACCGCTGCGAGCTGGGTTGCTGGGGTTGAGCTTTTCTAGGGGCTTGCTATTTATGGTTAGCCTTACCGTCTCTAATCTTATCAGATAGCAGATGCATTTTGGTCACACCGACGTTGTCCGAATCATCACCGTCGCGTCATTCACCCCTCTGAGCGTGTCCTCTTGTCTGTACGCGTCACGTACCTCACGATGAATACTCTGCTTATCTCCTTGACGCGAAACATTCGACCATACTTTTTGTCAAGAAGCATACGCACGCCTGACTGGCTAGGCTACTCCATATCCCCAGCCATCAGCCCAGCACGTCCACGCGCAACACCGACAGATGCGCAACATGAAAAACGCCGGACTCACCGTCAACGCTACGCCGAGGACGTCGCTTTCCGTGAGCATAGACGCGCACATCACGAGAACTAATCCATTTCATGGCAAGTCGTTAAGCAACGAAGAAGAAAAGACTTTATAAAGGAGCGACAATAGGGTATTATGACGACAAGATAGCAAAGCCAGCAAACAAACGCAAAAAATCAAGGAAAAGAAACAGCTTCAACCATGCTTTCAACAATCACCTTCACCATCATCTTTCTGCACGAGCATTTCCTACTTCCTGGCCAATCCCATCAGGCATCCAACACCACTTCCCATCTTCCCACCCTGCTCCAGCACACCGCAGACTTGCTCCAACATTTGCTGTTCGGACTCTGCACCTCCCATCTCTCGAGCCAGCTTGTAAACCCACTGTTCCCACATTCTGGCACCTAGCAAACCAGTCACTGGTGCTGCGGCAGAGGAACTACCGGTGAGAACGGGAGGGTAGAAGGAAGGCTCGCCATCGGGACCGAAGATGATGTTTCCATCCTTGTCACAGATGGGAACTTGATAGTGGGTTGCGCCTTTCGGACTAGAAGTCTCTGTGTTGGACATGGAAGTCTTGAAAGAAGCAGGTGATTGAGCGATGGGCGACTTGATGTCGCCGGGAACAGCCGGCAAAGATCTGGTTGGTGTCTTGCCAGCACTTTTACCCGCGTCAGTCCAAGTTGGAGAAACATCACCCATACCCAAGTACATCCACGTTCTTTCTGTGTCCTTGAAGCCAGCCTTGCCGAGTCTGGAGATGAAGTGCTTGGTAGGCTCACGTTCATATCCTCGACTTTGAAGTTTATGGCCGAACTCTGCATTCATGACCTGACCCCACGATCCAGCTGATACGTTGATGAGCAGCGCGTCGAGGAGGCAGAAGTCAAGGTATCCAGAAGGCTTCAGCACGCGGTGAAGCTCGGCGAGTGTGAGATTGATCTCGTCGGTCTTGAGAAGCGAGTGCAAGCTACGTGCTGATATGACATCGAAACTGTCATCGGCAAAAGGTAGAGCAAATGGTTTCTCCATCTGTACGCTGCAGTGGTTAGAAGGTGCATCGAGGATCTCATGCACGCCGAGGTAAGCAGTGCAGACTTTGGCGGAAGGGTAAGATGTCGCAATATGCCAGCCCCAATCGCAGTTCGGTCTGCCTCCAAAGTCGAGGATCTGAGGCGAGGAAAGGGAAGCGATGTGGATAGCAACGTCCTTGACGAGAAGTGATCCGCCTCGAATGTATGCGAGAGCCTCGAGCTCCCACATGGCGGGAGAAATTTGATCGAGTACCTGACGTTCACGCTCAACAGCTGCAATGACTTCTCTCCTTGCGTCATCTTCGGGACTAGGTGCAGGTAGCATGGTCGAGATAGGACGAGTTGAGGTAGGACGAGAGGTTTCTGAGATCTCGAAGTCGTTGTTGAGAGCTTTGCAATAGGTTGATGAGAAGTTGCGGCGCTGGATATGCGTATTCTCCAGGCGCATCTGGCGGTGAACAAAGGTGTCAATTGATCGGTGGCGTGCCATAATCGATTTGAACCCCTCAATGAAGATAGAACCCACGCTGTCGTCGGTAGGGAGGATGACCGTGTTTGCGGCAGTTGAGGTAGGTCCATAAATGGTCGAAACGCCTGTGCTTGTCGAAGGCCTCGGAGAATTGTGCTCAGCAGCGAATCGCACCGACTTCTTGGACGGGCTGCTAGCAGCAGATCCTGTGAGAGGCGAAGTCATCTCCGGCGTGGAAGGTGTGGCGGTGTCTTCGGTGACAATTTTGCGAAGCATGCTAAACTGATCATCTAGCCAATCTTTTGTGCGTTCAAAGTGCGCCAACGCTGATTGTTTTAGTTTCTCCTGATACACTTCGTTGTACTCGGAAGGCGGCTGACATACGTCGATGATTTCTGCAATATCGACACTCCGATCAATGGGTGAAAAAACGTCCTTGATTGCCGTTGGTGGTCCGCGACTCGATGGCGAAAGCGCAGTAACAATTGTTGTGCTTTGCTCACTTGACCAAGTTGCGCGCCACGGGACGCCGTAGAAGTTCTCGGCCACGCTTGTTGATGGCTCAGGTGTTCTGATTCTCCAAGTTTGCGCTGCGACTGGTGCAAGGGAAGAGAAAAAGCCGCCTGGAGATGGCACGCTCAGTGCAGAAATGGGATCCTGACTCTGCTGATCCTCACCATGGATAGATATGAGAGCAAAGTCAAGACGGACTGGAGTGCTTTTCACAATCTCTTTCATCTCATGAGCGGCTTCATCAGACACCTCGAGGACTGTCTCGACCACCTCAACCTCAGCCTCTTCCGGACTGAGCTGGTGTAATGTCTCGAATACATCAGGGTCAAGTTGGCATGGTGGCTCCCACTCATTGACGATCTCATCCCGGGAAGCGAGATCTGGAGTAGAAGGACAACTCGAGAGAGCAAGTTCTTCTGAGGTTAGACTTCCGTCCAAAGACGGTGTTGAGGTGCCACTGGGCAACCGCAGTCTTTGAGTCTGCCACACTGAGAATACCGAAGGAGATGCAAGCTTCGACGCAGGTGACAAGCCGATAGCGTGGGCCGATGTTGGCTTGTGGATAGACGGCCATTGACTGGGTGAGGGTATGACAAGAGAGGGGTACCTGCTACGTTCTTTTTCTCCGACGTGTTTCTTGACAGATGCGGAAAGCTTCAACGGTACCTCCTCGCCTTCGCTGTCGGTAAGATCATAGAGACTGTCGAATGTCGAGTTCGAGCCACGATGGCTCCACATGGACGAGACTACAGATGTGGCGTCTGTTGCAGGTGTGATCGTCGTTGCTGGTCCCCGTGGAGTAGGCATGTCATCAGGTAGTGGTGAGGTTATCAACAACTTCGAAGGGTAATGATATAAAGGTATGTTGACCTGGAGCTCATCTTCAATTAGGGTGACTCGAGCCTCCCTCCGAACCTGTAGAGGTGACTGATAGACTGTTGTCGGAAGAACGTATGTCGTCATTATTAGATATGTATCGTCTTCTCTTTTGCAACGCTGCTGATTTTCGACACCTGGTATAATCGTTGTTACTGTTATATATCAATGCTTGTTAATGGTCCGGCCAGCGGATGGAGAATTAGGGTAGTAAAAAGAAAGAAAGAAAACCGACAAAAAATCGCAAATTCAGGAAGGAATACACAAAACACAGACACTAACTGAGAAAAAGGTCTGGGAATGGGTCTCGCACTGCTTAAGTTACCTCGACTTGGCGCTTAATAGAGGCAGTGGGCCTATGTGGCTGCCGCAGACAATGTTTCGTATGCACTATGAGCAAGCAGCAAGAGTGTCGCATGCCTCCATCCGGGTTCCAAGAGATCGTTAGGCCTGGGTGTATGATGCCCGAGCATTTGACAAGGCCTTGTGGTTGGCTTCCGGAAAGAAGACTGCAGCAAACTGCAGCGTCTATTTGAAGTGGCTGTCGTGCTACAGACAGGCTATATGCCACTTGGTATACTACTCGCATAGCGCTACGATGTGATTGGCCAGATATATGCCGGGATACGCAGCGCTACATGGGCGCTTACAGGACAGACCACCGAGCACCGAATTGTCACACACACCTAGGCCTCTTTGCGACACTGAACAGCCTGGACAGCGCTTCAACGAACAGACGACTGATGCGTATCATCGGGAGTAAAATATCCACGATGTTATGGTCATCATAATCGCCTTTGGGAGACATTGAAAAAAGGGAAAAACAGGTCGGAAGGAAAGCTCGCCTCTCATTCCTTCCGGGCGTCGTGCCCCACGATCCTCACGATATTCTGTTCAACATTGAAGGTCAACGGCCCATCAACTTGTGAACCTTCATGCATCGAAACACGGACCATCCTGAAGAATTAAAGTTGCTAATCGGGATTCTCTATTGTGAATGAGTATGAACAGTCTGCATAACAACATTGATTTGAAAATGACTCACCATATTTTCCGCCATACAGCATCTTTGAACCAAGCCATGAATGCCTTGGGTGGACTGCTCTTACGAAGCTTCCTCTGCAGCTATCCTGTCCAGAGCGACCTTCTGAGGTCAAGGTTCGGATTGTATATCGATGGAGCAAGGGCCTCAATCAAGACTCTTCGTGGTTGGTTTCAGCAGATACTTCCTGGAGCGACTCGAAGATGATCAACGTCCGACCTCTGAAGTTACCGGAGCGGTTCAAACCTCTAAGGCGACAACAGTCATTGCGGCAGACTTGAAGCCATGTCCGCAAATGAGAGCAGGACCGGTCTTTTTTATGTCAAAGAGTGGATGACATGAACTGAGATCGTAACATGAAGCTGAACATTGGCCCGAATTGCCGCCACTCGGCCACTTGAATGTTTGAGCAGTCCCTGCTACAGATTCATCTGACAATGAAAGATCTACAAGGCTTTCTTGTCTTTCCGGGTCCCGCTGTGCATAAGGCACTGACACTTTGACCTCATGTATTTGCTCGCCATGTCGACTGAGTGGTATCAAAGCGGCCGCATAGATTCCTGCTCCATGTTTCCGAGTCTCCGAGCCTAGGGTGGTGACGTATCGTCGTCTTCTGGTTTTGTCTTGGCCGTTCCTGGTTCTCGTCCGGCGAGTGTGCCGCTCTTGTCTTGCTTCAGAACTGCATCGAGCTGTTCCAGATTACCACAACCCTTGAAGTCTCTCGGCAAACCTCCATCTGGCCTTTTCATGAAGCAGCTGTGACAATTGTAGGTGTCTCCAGATTTCCACCACAACTTTCGACCACCATTTCGTACGTAACCGCATCCTTGACAATACTGTTCCACCCTCTCGTGATACACCATTGGCTGATACGGTTGCCAGACTGCGAGTGTTCTAGACTCTGGCTTGCGGAGAACCCAGCGATATATCAGATACCTCTCTCTGACCAAGGGTGTTGCTCTTTCCGATCGCATTACTTCAAGGCGATGCTTCCTCCTTTCTGTATCGGAATGCCACCGATCCCGCTCCTTTTTGGTGACCAGTGCTCGCCTTTCGGGATCTGTGTAATAGTATTGGCGTTCATATGATCTTTTTCTCACACGCCAGTCTGGATCATTGACGTCTTCTCGCGCTCTCCGCTCGCGCTGATACTGTCTTGTAGCCTCTCGTTTCTCTTCCTCCCTTTCAGAGAAGTTGGCTGAGACGCCTTGATTCGTTTGCTCTTGCGCCTCCAGTGTTCTCGAAAGGGTCCAAGCAGAGCGGTAAGTGGAAAAGTGACGAGAACCATTTGGCATTGTTGATGATGACCTTGATGGCTGGCCAGAAAGCCTTCGAGTGTGCAAAGTCTGCGTCGCTTTGCTTTCGAGTTCTTCCTTTCGCGCGGCGATTTCCCTGATAGTGTTGCAGCCTTCGTAGCCTTCCGGCATGCCTCCTTCGCTGCCTTTCATGTAGCAGACGTGGCATGTGAAGCTCTCGGGATCCATCTTCCACCTAGAACAAGCAGTAAAATCAGCATTATCTCTATGCAAGAAATGACAAGCTTCCATGCTTCTGTCGCAGTCAGATAGCACTGCGTCTGACCAACCTCGCTGGGGAAGCATTTTACAGATACGACACATCCCGTCACGCTAAGGATGCTCTTTAAATCCGCAGGGCCCTCCCTCAAGGGGGTTGTGCAGCGAGATGGCTATCGTAATGTGAAGCAGATTCAGGATGCAGAGGCCAAGGTAGAAAGATGAAAAGCGTAGTCATATCGACTACTGCAGGGTACATACCATAGCCGAAGGCCTCCATATTTCTTCTTGCCGCACGAGTGACACCTGTGTTCCACCTTTTGGGGATACCAAATCGGTTGGTAAGGAGCGAAATCCACTTCTTCACGGAACCAAGTATATGCCTTGATCCACTCGTAGATCCGTTCTTTTAGCAAGTATGCGGGATCATTGGCCCTGCGCAATCTCGCCCGGTCCTTCGCATGTCGCTTTACCACTTCCCACCACTCTCTGTCGGCACGTATCTTGGATAGCATGTATCGTTGCCGTTGTCTGTTGGCAAATTCAGGATCCGTAGCATATCTGTGTCTGTTTGTGTTGCGTAGCCGTTCGGCAAATTCGTGGTCCGTAGCATATTTACGTCTTTGCCGTTCCAAATGCCTGTAGTACCGTTCAGGGCGAATCTTGACTGGAGAGTCGCTATCAGATGAGTCTATGTGCTGTCGAGCCTCTGGATTGGTTTTCCTATCAGAAAATGGACGTCGAATTGAAGTCGGAAATTGTGACACATGAGGTGTAGGATGAGGACCTCCAAGACGCGTGGATGATATCGGCCTCCATGTTATAGGAGACCCTAAAGTCAGCCGTCCGATTGTCTTGAGCAATAGGGTGACCATGGCCTCGAGCAATGGTTCCGGGGCAAACCAAACCGCGTTTTGCGACGATGCATGTACGTGGATTAGATATATCACGGAAATAAGCGACAAACAGGGCGATGATGGTGATAGCCGCGTCTGGGATTGTTGCCAAGCCTAGCCGGGCAAAACGGACTAATTAGCACACATTCCAGGGGTGGACAAAATTAATGCTAATTACACCCATTTCTCCATGACCACTCGGGTCAGCAAAAGCATCGGCTTTGTCAGTCAAAGTCCGAGGCCCTCTGTCATGCCCATCATAGTAGATGTAGAACAGACAAATACAGACTAAGTTCGTTTTTCCTTTCTTGTCTTTGCAATACAAAGTGGCACATGTTTCTTCGTCGCTCTTTGCCTTTCTCTACCGTTCTTTCCTCTTATAAGAAGCGTGCGTCGCCATCCTCATGAGACTGCTCATCCCCATCTTAATTTGTATTGCAGCTATCGCATACAACCAACGACAATACATCCTACCATACCTAGCTTCGAAGGACCTCGCTACAACTGCCACGACCAACACACAAACAACAAACACAACAATGCCTTCTGCTCAATCGACCTTCAAGGGCCTTCCTGTCATTCCGCCCAATGACCCCTCCCTTACCGCAACCACCACAACCCCACGCAAGATCCGCAAGGTCTTTGAAGCCATTGATCAAGCCGAAGGAGCTGGCGCAAGAGTCAGGAGATCAGTCGGAACCCGAGAATTGAAGAACTTCACCCCCTTCCTCATGCTCGTACGTTGCCCCTCTTTGCATAGACATCACAACAGGCAAGACGACCAGAAGCTAACATAGCTCTGCTTACAGGACCACTTCACCATTGCCCCCGGGGCCGGTTTCCCAGACCATCCCCACCGCGGCCAAGAAACAATAACCTACCTCCTCAGCGGCGCCGTCGACCACGAAGACTTTGCCGGAAACAAAGGCACAATCCACGCTGGTGACCTCCAATTCATGACCGCCGGCCGTGGCATCGTGCACGCGGAAATGCCCGCCCAAAACCCCGACGGCTCTGCAAACATTGGAATGCAACTCTGGGTAGACCTCCCCGAACAGTTGAAAGATTGCGAACCTCGTTACCGTGATTTACGCTCGAATGAGATTCCGGTTGCAAAGTCGGAGGATGGAAAGGTGGAGGTCAAGGTGATCAGTGGAAGGGCGTATGGGGTTGATTCGTTGCAGGAGTTGGCTTATACGCCTGTGTGGTTGTTGGATGTCAGGGTGCAGCCTGGTGGCACTTTCAACACTCCTTTGCCGCATAAGTGGAATGCTTTCATCTACACCTTGTCCTCGAGCATCAACCTCTCTTCTGGAACCGATTCTCGCACCATCCCGCAGTATCACAATGCTGTCTTGGAGCAAGAAGGCGATAGCATTGTTGCGAGCGTTCCAGCCACGGCGGACAAGGAGAGCAGATTCATTCTTGTCGCTGGTCTCCCTTTGAAGCAGGCGATTGTACAATACGGACCTTTCGTTCAGACGAGCACAGAGGGTATCTACAAGGCTATGGCTGATTACCAGGGCTACGCCAATGGCTTCGAGAGAGCCGAGAACTGGGAGAGCGAGATTGGAAAGAGTATGGTGCATTGAGAGGTCAATGGTCGAAGAGTTGGACGCATAAGTGGTGTTTTTGGTTCTATCTAGTTATCGTTATACACTCAAGCTGTACCGTTTCTTCATATTGTGGATTCCCAATAGGGCCGTTCTCGAGTCGTGAACTTCTCACCACTTTCGTGGTCAATCAAGCTATTAGTAAGACAAAAAGATCATTGTCGACATCAGGAAATATCACCCTGCTCAATCTTTCGTCCAAACTGTGCTTGAGACTTGGAAGCCTGTCAAAGTCCCGTGATCCTGTAGATGTCATGATCTTTCGACCGCAGCAGTGTCTGTGGAAGTCGGGGCTTGGATCAGAGTATCTCCAGGATGCTACTCTGAAGCAGGAGCAGAATCAGTCAAGACTCGTATAACGCGTGCTATAAGTTGTCCTTGGACGAAAAGCACATGACATGGACGTGAGGTATAGTATGATGATGAAAGTAAAGTATGTTTTTCGAGGGTTCCAGCATCACAATTCATTCAACCTCGCGCATCTTCCCACACCTCCTCAACAAAATTAGCAAACCTCGAGTCTCCCAGATTCAGATGTTCCAATGAATCAGCATGCCAATGTATCGCTCCGCCAATCATAATCGCCAGTTCTTCAGTCACAACTTCGGGCTGTACCGCATTCAAGATCAAGGTCTTGAGATTTGGAAATAGTGGTCCGTCGACTTTGACAAGGGTTTCGAGATTGCAAGCTGCATTGTAGAGATTGAGGTAGTCGAGCTTTGGACAGTTATAGCTGAGACTGACGAGGAATTCCATGGGGCAGGACACTAAACATGCTTCCAAGTCGAGATGGTGGATTGAGGGCAGGCTGGAGCAAAAGTAGTCGAATTCGGAGGGTGTGAAGCTGGTTGGGTGTAGGTGGCTATCGCTGCTAAAGACGAGGCTTTCGAGGTGTTGTAGTGATGTCAGGGCGAGCATATCGTCGACCGCGAAAGGGAGTTCTCCAGTGATTTGAACCACGAGTGTAGTCAAATTCTTCATCGAAGCCACGTTTCTAAGGAAGGAAGAGTCCGCTCCGTGGACGCTCAATGAGAGTTCCTGGACATTTGAAAAGAGACGTGCTGCGGTACTGACTGTACTAGTATCCGCATACAAGGTAAGATTGCGCAGAGCTTGGAACGGATGCGAGTTGTACAAGTTGACAAAGCTAAATATAACTGATGAAGCCGGGGGACTGATGAGCTGCATGATTCTGAGTTTCTGTAACTTGGAGAGTTGGAGAAGCGGATTCATCGAGATGAGACGGCCAAAATCATTGAAGCGCAGAGAGACCTCTTCGAGATTCTTGGATGCAGCGAACAGGTCAGATAATACCTGTACGGACAAATGAGTCCCTGGCGAAGCAAACAACACAGCTTTCAGATGTGGGCAGTTTCTCGTAACGTGAGCCACGAAGTCATCGTTGAGATAGTCTCCTTCATCATGCACGGTAAGCGTCTCGAGAGCAGGCTGGAGATACAATGCGATCGAGCCTGCCTGTTGATCGTGTATCTCGCAAGTAAGAGCCAGCTCAAGATTCTTCACCAGCGGGAAGTTGACGCCTTTGAAGGAAGTATGCATGCTGGCGGCACGTCGTTCGTTTATCTTCAGAATTCTCATCCTGGACGCGTAGTGTTGACGTCTGGACTGAGGGATACTAGTCAAGATACGGGTGATATCCTCATGGAAGGGATAAGATGGTTGACCCCAGAGGACGGACGTCGCAACCGCGAACCAAGTATGATTGACACAAGCAGCGATTGCTAGGCTCTCACCCTTGTGGTTGGATTCCTCGTGAAGAAACGTATCGAAAATCAACAACAGAAGATCCGGATCTTGGAGAACGCGCTGCATGGTAGTCAAGTTGTGATCTTTCGGAAAGGTCATGGCGATGGTAGAAGTGCATCAACGATAATCACAGCGGTGGATGACAGTATGCTGTATCTTTCCCTGGAGTGTGTCAAGAGATGACCAGTTCGTAAAGTAAGATGTGGTCAGATGAACAAGAATGAGTAGAGAGCATAGGAAATATCAAGCAGAAAGTGAAACGATCAAGAGAAGAATGGGGTGACAAAGAAGCACGCTCGCGCGGCGCACTTGAGCTACTCTGCCACCTTGATCAGCTCTTGCGATCCTCATCTAAGCGAGTCTGATCGGCAGGCAGACTGGGGTAGGAGCTCGTATCCTTCGCCATGTCAAACCAGCCAGTCGGTATCTCAGTCGGAGTCGCCGAAGCGCAGGATTATGTGGAGGTCGAGCTGGCGAAGATAAGCGACGTTGCCAGCAAAGTCACGATCTAGTATATCCTCTGACATAATTATGCACACTACATGATAGTGTGTTAGTCGCAGTGGTTTAGTGGTAAAATTCGTGCTTGCCATGCACGAGCCCCGTGTTCGATTCACGGCTGCGACAGCTTTTTGTCTTCTTGACATACATTCAAAGACAGCGATTTGTTTTTGCCGCTGTTGGCTAGAGCAAGCAGCACACGACTTTGAAGGTTTCATCGGATTCTCTGAGATAACAACTCCACTGAACAAACTGTCCACCCTCTTCCTAAACTCCTATGACAATCGAGAGCTGGAGAACAAGACCAGCTCGTTCACTCTCCACCTATTCTAAGATCAAGAACATCAACATTTGATCTGAGACTCAACTAAACAAACCCACCCCCATAATAGACACTAGCACTCCTAGCACCTACATTCTCATCCTCTCCTCTAGTCTCCCATCCAACCCCCACACCCCCCGAAGCCACAACAGCTTCCCCCATCGCAACCCCGAACTTTCCAAGCCTCTCCATCCCCCCATCCACAGCATGCTGCAAACTCCTAGCGCCAGAAAGTCTGCGAACCCTTTCCTTGACACTGACTTGTTGTGCTTTAATCGCTCCAGTAGTGATGGCTGTATTGATCTTATCGTTCAAATCAGCATGGAAGGAAGAGATTGACGATGGGGTGTCAAGTGCTGTGTATGTAGTCGCCGGTACCACTTTTGGCGGTGTGTGGGGGTAGATTTTCATTTCTGTTTCCTCGACACCAGAGACTTCGATACGGGGGGGTCGAGGTGGGTATGTTGAATCTTTGGTCAGAGTGGTTGGGTGGCGCTTCGTGTTTATGACGAGGGGAGGAGGGAGCAAGTGTGGTTTTGTGGTGCTGCGGCGGCGGTCTGTGAAGGAAGGGCAACCGAATTGTATGCCTTCGAGACTAGAGTCTGAGGAAGAGGAGAACCAGGATGTTGCTTGAGGACGTCTTGGTATGAATGCTGTAGACTGGAGGTCTCTTGCAGGTTCGGGCATGAGAAGGTGTGTTGATAGTGAGGCAGCAGCGGGTTTGAGGTCCAAGGAACTCTTGTTCTCATGGCTTCTGGATGCAAAAGTATGGAGGTGTAGAGAGCTGTGTGGAGGTGCTGAGATACCAGTGTGTCTGATCAAAGGTCTTGCATCCAGTCGTACCCCATCGACTGTCCTGGGCACTTGCAGCATTTCCGGAGCTTGGACCGCCGGTTCCTCCTTCTTCCAAGGATTGTCAGCAACTGCTTCTTCCAGAGAAATGTAAGTGTTTCGAGCCAGGTTCTGCTCAGGAGTCTTTGGCTCTGTCTGCGGCAACGTCTTCCACTGTTGTAAGTTCTTGTTCGCAACAGTCCTCTGCAATGGAATCCCGACCTCAAAATCCAAAGTCGAACCCGAATGGTCCGAATGCAGAAGTCCAGTCCTAGAGGTTGCAGAGGCGGTGTAGAAGCTACTTTCTTTTGACTCTGTCGGACTGACAGGCTCTGAATGTTTCCAAGACTTTTTGTCAGTAGCGGTGTTCTTGTGAGGAGAGAAATAGCGACCAAAGTCTTCAGCTTCGGTGACCTCTGCAGTAAACTCGGCAAGAGCAGCTGTTAGCCGTCGGTTCTCATCAGGGCTGGTGGCATCACTGTCACATCCAGTCTCGAACCCTGTGTCAAAACCAGTTTCGTCAAAGTCAAAGTCGGGCAACTTGCTATCACAACGACTGTGATTGCTACTTTTATCTTTGTAAACTATGTCCCGGTCTTTGTGTCCAGTGCTATTGTGTCCAGGACTCTTGTCAGGACTGGACTCGCGGGTCAAGGGGACACCTTCCTCCCATTCCGAAGGACTGTTGCTTTCATACTCGTCGTTGGAAGTTCCAGAGTCCAGCTTCGGAGGTGAGAGAAGACTGTCGATGCGAGTCTTGCGACATTTGTTGCGGAAGTTTTCGAACGCTGCCGAGAGCGAAGAGCGTCTTCTACCTTTGGCAGGCTCGGTCATAATGGGGGAAGAAGAACGCGTGACCTTCCTTGGAGGAAGAAAGAGAGAGAGAAGAAGGAGTGGACGCTCGCTCGCTGGGAAAAAGCGCTGCTAGATTTCAGGTACCCGCGGATGGTTGGAGGAAAGTACTGTCGCGTCTGCCGTGACCTGTCCTTATATGTCAAGCTCCATGGTCGCAGCTCATCGCTAGGTGGTAGCTGCGACCGACACCTCCGTTTGAGTTGGCAGATCGTAAAGCAGATCGCATCATCTGCCTCTTATCAGTAGATCTGAAGCATCATCGATGCTCAGCCAAGTCTTTTTCTCACAACGAAACAGACCTTACTATCAGCTGCCTTCGCAATTTAGCTCACACTTTGCCCTGGCGATCAACATATGATTCGTGGACGGTCTCAGGTCAGCGAGCAGCGACCGTATGCGCATGTTTGACGTGCACTTGACTTTGAGAGGCATACAGTGGATCAGGTGAGAGTGGTTGGATTGGTCTACATACCTCCGCAGTGGAGTACAAGAAATGAAGTCAATTTGGGTGGAGAGAGGAAACGTCGAACCTTGAGCAGTCTTTGGTTGTGGGAGCTTTCCCCGCCATGAAACCATGATCAATCCAACGCCTTGATAACGTCAAAAGAGAACAAGCAAAGCGTGTAGCAGAAGTGGCCTTCTCTTGTTTTATCTTCTCTTTTCTTCGGTGTGAACATCCTTTTTGGCCCCTTCTTGAGCTGTCCATCCAAATTATTATATAGCTTCGTGACCATCGTGAAAGCACAATCGCGTGCAAGTGTATGAAAAACAAAGGAAGAAAGGCTCAACACGGCAGAAGCGTGGAGTGGGAAAGATGATAAAAGGCAGAATCTTTGAAGTAATTCTAACCGATGATGTAAATGATGGCTCATTGCTGGAGCTCGGGGAAGAATTTCGCGTAAGGGTTCTCCTTATTTTCAGAAGTGTTGCTAACGTTGTTCGTTGCGAATAGTGATTGTTCATCGAATTGGGCTCCAAAACCGTAATCGTTGTTGGCAGGGAACAGAGCGTTGTTGTCGAAGTTCGAAGGAAGATACTGAGACATGTCAAAGTCGTCATTGTCCATGCCCATTTCCATGTCTAGGGTGGCATCACTGGCGATTCCCTGGGTTGTCATAGGCTGGGGGCCGGTGAGCATGGGATCCGCTCCGTTGACCATGAACTGAGGAGGAGAAAACAGCAAGCTTTGATCGCTGATGTAATTGCTCGGACCTGCTTGGTAACCTTGATCGAGCTTGAAACCAGTGTTGGTAGCATGAGGTGGACTATCCTCGGGTGTAGGAGGGTTGAATGCATCATCAAAGGATGTCTCACCTTGCATCAGCGCCGAGTTGGGTGCAGTGTTAGCAGAGGAAGAGTCGTGCGACAGACGACGATCATCTACAAGCGATGGTGTGTATAGAGGGTTGTTGACGACAGGAGTGAAAGCACTGGCCCAATCAAAGTTGAAGTGATCAACGAACTCCGGCTGGAAGTTCATGGTCATGAACTCAGGACTGTCGAAGGGGGTCATGATACCTGTGCCCATGGAAGGTACCGAGTACTCCTGAGGAGATGTGAGGGCAGTGGACTGATCACTCACGGTGTACTGTTCAGTGGGCATGTATGGGGTGTTGGACGCAGAGGCGGAGGCTGAGGAAGTTGAAGGTGAGGATGTACCTGCAACAACACCACCAATGAGCTTGATGGGCTGTTGCAGAGGCTCCTTCTGGCCAGGCTTTGCCTTGGTCTTTCCGTTCTTGACAGTAGTCTTTGAACGAATGTACTCCCAACCATGTGCCTTCTCCATGTGGGACTTGCAATTGCTCAGTCGCTTGGACTGGTATGGGCAATTGTTTACCGTTGACCAGTAGCAAGCGTACATGATGGGAGATTCGGCGTGTTTGTCATTGACGTGGCGCTCACATTCTTTCTCTGTGGGCCAGCCCTCGTCGTGGTACTTGCAGTCAGTGTGAGGACACTTCCAGGGACGCTCATGACTCTTCATGTGCTTTGTACGGTCGCAAGGACGGCGGAAGATTTTGTCACAACCGTCGAAGCCACAGTCGTACGTTTTGATAGGCTCGCCCTTTCTACGACGTGCCATGGACCTCTCAACGTCATCGTCCAAAGAGTCTGCCATGTTGGGACGCTTTGACGAGAGGACGGAGTCGTCTGCAGAAGACGAAAGGACAGCACCATTGAGAAGAGAGATCTCTTTACCAGCACGGTGGCGAACGAGTTGGGCAGGGGTGTTGTGAGTCACACCTCCCCGCAGTCTCAGGACTTCGTCACTAAGTCACATGTTAGCGTATAGTCTAAATTTGGTACCTTGGGAGAACTTACGAGGTAACATCCATCTCGTCGAGTTCTTCTCCGCGTTCCTTCTTTGCACGGGTTGATGCCACGATTTGAGCGTATCTGCGGATCTGACCGACCAAGTCAATAAAGTAGTTGTTGGAGTAAGGGCGATCCGACGGCGAGCAATGATCTGATTCGTGAACAATGTCGACAGTCGTGTGAAGGCAGTCGATGTAGGTTTCGCAAAAGTTGAGATAAGCAGAAGGAGAACGAGAGTAATCCTGAGAAATAGCACGAAAATAAGCAAGTGAGCGGGCAGAAAGGCCGCAGCGAATACTTACGGGAGCCAAGAAGATCAAGGTCTTCTCGAGGTCACGAAGAGTGGTGATTTCGCGAGAGCCGATGCGTCGAGGGACACCTCTGACAAGGGGGTGGAAATCCTTGAGAGCCTGTTGTCTGAGAATAGGCTTCACGATGTGCTTGTGGATCTGCTCACACGCGAACTCGCTTAGGTGTTCGTCTGCGTATGAGCTGGAAGTCGAAGAGGGGGATCTCTTCAGTGCGGAGCCTGATTTCAGGCAACGATTAGCGCTGCCTACAATGGGGACGAAAGGGAAGTGAACGACAATACCTTTGGACGAAGCCTTGGTTTTCTTGTTGTCGAATTCGTCAGAATCGGCGATGCTAGAACCCAGACCACTGTCATAAGCATTGTTGGGGCTATCACGACGTTCTTCAGCAATGTCTCCCAGTCCAGTGTTTCCGATAACGCAGCGGGGGTTGGGCAAGGCTTCAGGCTCGGCTAGCAGTTTTCCGAGAGCAGCAGCGGAGTTGTTGTCGGCAATGACTTGGTCGACCTTGGCGAGGAGGTCGGCAGCTCTTCTTTCTCCGGCACCGATGAGCAGGTCTTCGAGGGCTTTGGGACTTGTGACGGAGCGAGTAGTCATAGACCGGGCGGAAGCGTCGAGGGGATTGAAGAGTTCAGACTTGTTTGAGGATGGCGAGTGGAAGGTGGTTCCCTTTTGAATCGACAGGCCGACGAACGAGTCGATCAGGGCTGCAGTGGTTGAGGGACTGCCCTGACGGCGGCGGGGGTGGGTGGTGGTTTTGGAAGGCATGTTGGAAGGAAGCTGCAGCACAGCTAGGTGGACTGAGGACGTGTGTTGGCCGAGTCAAACAGGGCTAGGATGGAGTTGATTGGTCGCAAGACAAGGCCAGTGCGGGTGAGTCACGTCCGAATAGCTGCGACAGCTCTGAATGGTCGACCCAAGTCGGGCGCGGGTCAAAGACGACGGCAATGCGACTCCTAGCGTGGGCAGCAGGAGCTTGACCGGTGATGGCGGCGGTGTCGAGATGCGGACAAGTCGGGGATGGGGTCGAGAAGCGAGTATGGAGTAAAACAGACGTCGAAGGGTCGCGCGGAGAACGGACAGATGAATAGTTTGCAAGGCCAAGCAAGGATTACGATGTTTGAGCGAAGGCCACGTTGTGCAGGTGGAAAAAAGGTGCGGCAGCGGTCGTGGTGGTTCCTTGGTCCCTGAGGTCGTCGTATGCTGGATGGCTGCCTAAAGGTGAATCGTACTCCGCCTCGCCTTCCTTCCTCATGTAAGCACGCGTCCACGTGCACACTTTCTCACTAATCAACCTTTTCAAGATCAAGTCCCTTACACCATGTGGTTATCTTGTCCTCGCGAGTCAAGATATCGATTGTATTCACTACTATCATCAGTCACACGCCTGCCCACACTCGGTGTTCGCAGTCGCATCTCAACTCATCGTCAGGGTCCGTGGACCGCGGTCGCTCCAGACCGTTGTGCAAGGTCGGATCTCGGCAAAGACTAGCCACCGTCGGGCTGTGTTAAACTTCATCCTTCAGGAAAATGGTCTCTTCCATTGGTGTCGTCCTGCTTCCTTTGCGGGAGGATCAGGCATCGAGTTTCATGAGTCGCCCATGGACTTACTGAGCCATTGGAATGATCGACTGACTCTGCGCTGTGCAGCGAACCTATTTCGCGACACGGCAGTGTCACTTTAGCAGCCGTCTCTGCCGCGAGCCGTGCTGATTGACCGGTCGTAGGGCTGTAATCACATGTCGTCGTGGTTAAGATGCATGAGTTTGATTCGACAAAATTCATCGCTATAGTCGATGCTTTAGAGCCACGGATAGGTGGCATTCTCTAGTGATTTGACATCTGCGCTGTACAATACTGGCAAAACTGCTACCTGCCATCCCATGAAATCTTTCAAACTCTCTGGTAGCTTGAGGTTCTCTCGCTGCAAGACTTGATACAACAACTTCTCCAACATTGGCGAAAGAGTCAGTGTCTCTATCAGTAGGTTCGCTGCTCGAAGCGTTTCAACATCCTGACCTCCCTGCCTCTCACGGAACAAGACCTTCATCGCTTGCTTGGGCTGTGGGTACTCCAACGATGAGTAGGCGAGATTTGTCGAAAACACCCAAATTTCATATGGAAGATTTGGAAAGACGAATTTGCGAACTCCTTGTGTCTCGATTGCTTGGTTGAGGTAACAAGAAAACCAATGTGCTGCATCATACGAGCGCGTGATTTTATCTTGGGAAGACGACAAGGCGAGGTATGGCTTTTGTAGACGTATGCCTTCGCTCAGAGGATCGCGATGACCAAGTGCTGTGTCACAGGTCGAACAGTACACTTCGTGGATGTTATCACCATCTTCTGACGATCGGAACTAGGATACGAGTCAGTCTTGTGCTTACTCAAACGAGGCATATCTTAGCGACTGGAATGTGCCATCTTGATCTATCTTGACGTGACCCATTACTTTGGACCACGACGATGAAGAGTAGGGGCAGTCGAATGTCTACCAAACAAGTAACCCATTCAGCTGAGCCGAGGGTCTGCTTGTCCAGTCGACAATCGTTCTTGATCTTGGGTCTTTGTATCGAAGCGGTTTCTCATTGAAATGACACGGTGGTCACAGAACACTCCTTCTTGAGACCCGGAGCGAAGGAGAAAAATTGAGGGAAAAGAGTATGTGGCTTACCTCAACTGAGCAGTCCTCATCGGAGACTAAGAAGCTCATTACATCGACTAGGCCAACGCCAACCTGAGCAACCAGCTTGTTGCCTGCCGCATAACCTTTCTTAGCAGGCGCATCGTCAGTGGGCTCAGGTTCTTCAGGTTTGTGACAATGCCACAAATCCATCATCTCGGCCCATGCTTCAGAAGGTAGATCCTTCCAGATCTTGATCTTCTTGTCTGACAGGAGCGCGTCACAGCGTTTACAGTGTAAGCGAGTCTCTGGTCCAAGAGATGTAGCAGACCACAGATCTACATATGTATCCTCGGAAAATATGGGCTCTGCTGGTATGCGGTTGACACACTGTAGTTCTCCTGTGTCGGGAAGCTGCAGATGTTGAGTTCCCTGACCGGAGACTTTGGCTGGTAGGGTGATGCGAGAGGTTTGATCGGCATGCTCAAGGATAAGCTTTTTCCGGTCGCTCGATAACCATAACAATGTTGTGTCGTTCCTCGGAGTTAGGAGAACTGTGGTGATGGCTAGAGTTTTGATATTAGGCAGATACTCTGCATATATGTTGGCCATGTTGCTGCTGCCTGATGTGGGCAAAGGCTGGAAGGCGAATGACTGAGAGGCTGGAATCAGCCAGCTAGATATTGAAGACCGGACGAGGGCTTTGATCTAACAGTCTTCATGGTTACAGCGAAGTCGTGTCTAACTGATGAACCTCGCAGATGTTTGTGGACAAACGCAGTGACCCTTCACAATTCGGTGCCAGTCGCGCCAAGCAAATTGGACTTCGCTCGACCTACAAATTTCTTCACCATCAAACTTCTCTCCTTCTGCTCCACCACATCGACCTTGAAACATCAGGCTCGATTGCGTCTACGCAGAACTCACAATCCAGAGGTAAGCTGCACTCACATCTCAATCTAATTTCCTTTCCCTTCTCGAATGATGAAGTATTTTCGGATGTAAAAACATTTATTGTCTTGTCCGAGAGCGCAAAACCGTGTGGACATTTTCCGTTGCCTTCCTTCTGACTCTCACCACTATCTTCTCACTTGCATATCAGTCTCTATCAAAGTAGAGCAATGCTAACAAAGATAATCAGGCTTTCAACAATCTTCTTGCAGGTGTGGTTTTAGTGCAAGGCGACGAGGGGAGGGGGGGTAGACGCAAAGTGACAGCATATAGCTCAACATGGCAATATATAAATTCAACAGCTTACGAAGCTTTCAGACCCTCCTTGTCGTGTATTCCTTTCTGCTGTACTTGCTCTCGCTCACGGCGGGAACATCTCAACCAAAGCTGTCAAATCTCCCGTAGCAATTTCCCCGCGAAGCAGATCAACCGAGATGGCCGCTGTTCTCCTTCCATGTTCTGAATCTTGAAGGTGATCTTTACCTCATTCCAACTCAGCCAACACGACTACAATGGCCGCTCCAACTAGCAGCATCGGTCGCAAGACCACAGTGACCAAGAACCTGGGCCATGTGCTCGTCACCGGAGGATGCGGTGGACTGGGTACACAAATCATCAACCTCCTGCTCGAACGCGGCGCATGTAGCAAGCTCTCAGCTATGGACCTGCGCCCTGCCGCTGAACCCATCAGTGGATGCGAGTACCACTTCGGAGATCTCACCAATGAGGGCGCCATGCGCGAGCTGTTCGTCAAGGCGAAGCCCGACATTGTCATCCACACAGCCAGCCCCAAGTTCAACATGGCCAACGAGATTCTGTACAAGGTCAACGTCGACGGAACCAAGACACTCCTCCGTGTCGCCGCCGAGACTGGTGTCAAGGCCTTTGTCTACACCAGCAGCGCCAGTGTCATCAGCGACAACTCGACCGACCTGATCAATGCCGACGAGACCTACCCCCTTGTCACTGGCAAGGACCAACCCGAGTACTACACCAACACAAAGGTATGTATCCTGAAGATGCCCATGCCGTCCACCGACTGATCAACTCGACAGGCTCTTGCTGAGCAAGTCGTCCTCGGGTACAACCGCCCCGCCGCGAACCCTCGCTTCCTTACGTGCGCCCTTCGTCCCTCTGGCATCTTTGGTGTCAATGACCAGACCCTTCTTCCTCCTATGCTTGCCCCATACTACAAGGGTCAGACCAAGTTCCAGCTTGGCGAGAACACCAACCTCTTCGACTTCACCGAAGCTACCAATGTCGCTCACGCTCACCACTTGGCCGCCGCTGCTCTTTTGACCACCTTTGAGCGCGAGGAGCAAGGACAAATTGCTCCTCTGAGCCACGAGAAGGTGGATGGCGAGGCTTTCTTCATCACAAACGACTCTCCCATGTACTTCTGGGACTTCACCCGTACTGCCTGGATGAATCTGGGCGACACAACTAGACCCAACCAGATCTGGACCATCAACAAGGACTTTGGCTTGTTCATCGCAACCTTGTTTGAGTGGATCTTCTGGATCTTCCAGCTGGGTGTTCCCAACTTGACCAGACAAAAGGTCAAATTCAGCTGTATGACCAGATACTACAGCATTGAGAAGGCCAAGAGAAGACTGGGTTACAGACCTGTCGTCGGCGTCACTGAGGGTCTCAAGAGAGGCGTGGCAGATTGTGTTAGAAGAGGAGTGATACCCGGCAGCCCTGAGGAGGCGCAGCGTCTCAGCGCAGAGTCCAAGAAGGCACAGTAGTTGGATGATTGATGTTGACTGATGACTTCATGTAGATATATGTAAATCCATATGCAAAAGTTACCCCACAGACGCTCTACTAAAATGTGAGATAATTCTGCCTAATCAGGAAGGATGTTGTGTTTTAGGTAGAATTGGCGTCATATTTGTTTGTTTGTTCAGCAAAAAGGAAGCCAAGTGATGCAGGATTGAGCTGTCGCTTCCCCTCGTTGTTTCAACTTTCCGACAAACAGAAGACGGCAAGCTCTGACTCGCCTACTCGATTGGTCGACCCTTTCTTTTATCAATTGCCCTTGTTTTTGTTGTCAGACTCTTCAGCTTCTGCCCTCCTTTCAGCCAGCCCGACCTCTCGCCACGCACTGCCTGCCATGGCTGACACATACCTTGCTTTCTTGCGCTCGCCAACCGAGTCGGCTCTCGCACCTGATGCTGCTCTCCACTACATCACCACCACTACCTCGATCCACGAGTCCTCGGCCATCATCAGACATTTCCAAGCACAAGACAAGGTTGTCAAGAAGAAGTCGGAGAATATCTTGAGCTCTTTTGGCAGCTCGCAGAATGCTGTCGTTGAGACTGACACCACCTTCGAGTTCATCCGTGGAGGTGGCGCCATCCTTCCTCAAATGGATGACAACATGCTCGCCGATTCGGTCGCTACCCTCCCCATGGTAATTGCTCACCCTGCCACTATCAACTTGTCAACTCTAACACACATCAGGTGCACGTTGTTCAGTACGATGGCCAAGGCAAGATCAGCCAGATCAGACTCTACTGGGATCAATCGACTATGCTCAGACAGGTCGATGCCATCGGCAAGAGCGGCCGCAACTGGCCCATCCGTGACGGCACCAACCAGATCAAGACCATCAAGCAGAGCGTTAGCCACTCCGGCACCACCTCCGCGACCCTTCCCATGCGCCCCGTCTCCAACGACGTAAGCCAGTCCTCCCAGTCGCAAGCTGGCGGCCGCCAGAACGGTGACTTCCACGCTCGCCTCTTCGCTACGGGCGAGGGTCAAGAGCCTCGTGCCCAGACCAATGCCAACCCGGAATATGCTGTTCGTACCTCAGCCAAGCCTGCTCCTCGTCAGATGGACGAGATCTTTGCAAACGGTAGCTCTAACGAAGGTTACAAGCCCGAGGGTAAGCCCAAGTCCGGTTCTGGCAAAAACTTCCCCGACAACCGCCTTTTCGACGAGAACCAGCAGCCCGAGCGTATCCTGTCTCCCGAGAGCAAGAAGACCAATCCCGAAAAGTTCAACCATTTCGAATTCCCCAACGGCGAAGGTAGTGCCTCCGCCTCGGACATGTACAGAAACATGTCTACCAAGGACCCGAAACACACGAGCAACTGGGACTTCTCAGACTTCACCACTCCCGAGAAGCACAAGCCTAGACCCAACCCTGAGCAGGAGCGTCACATCGGTCCTGGTGTAGACGAGGTATGTCCCTTCTTTCCTGCGAATCTCTCAAGCCCTTCTAACGCAAGATAGGATCAAATCTCCCCCGAGAAGCGCCCCATCGTGCACGCCGCTCGTCCTGATGCAAACGCCCATTTCGAGATCTCTGACGACAGCCCTGCCGGTCCCAAGGCTCCCTTCAGCAACCACACCAATGTCGACAAGTCCAGACGTGGCGACGAGTACCAGCCCCACTTCAACATCGGTCAAGCAGACGCGCCCAAGAAGATCTACAAGACTGCAGGAAACGGCATGGGTGGCCGCGCTGGAGCTCCCACCCTGTGGGATGAGCCCGAGCCTCCTACTCCTGAAAAGGCCATCTACAAGACTTACGGCAACGGAATGGGTGGACGCAGAGACGGAGGCCTTTCATGGGACATCGGTGACGAAGGTGACAGCTCTAGACAACCTGCCATCTACAAGACACGAGGTGACGGCATGGGCGGACGTCGCGACAAGAACGCCACGACCGAGAACGACACCATCTCTGGCGCAAGAAGCTACGCTTCCAATGCACGCGCCCAGAACTACCACTCCTCGCAAAGAGACGACGAGTACGAGTTCTAGATTGACGAACATCTTGCATGAGCTTGAATGCCGGCGTAGTGGAGTCACGATATCATGAGACTTTAACTTTCTCAAAGGGGCATGGTTTTGTTTAGAGTAATATTGAGTTTCTTGACCTTGACACGAACAATGTAGACATGACTGTTTCTTATACCCATTGCGTTCTTGATGCACTGTGGTGGGATTTGAGTGCAAGCACACGTTGACGCGGCTGTGTTTATCGTGAATTGGAATGACGGTAACCCTCAGAAATTGATTTCTCATCTCGTGTGCGCAAAAGGCTCTCAACTACAGCGAATTATTGTCCATTACTCATGCCTATACTTGTGAGTACTTTCCACCATTCGCGAATGTCATAATAGGAGTTCATGGGTGTAAAAGATAGAAAAGCAGAGACCATAAATCGTAGATGAGGGTATCACCTTGATCTAAGCGGAGGTGTTCCGCAATACGGTCCGATACGACATGACGCACTTTCCAAGCAAGTTGGACCCCACGAGACATTGGCAGTCGCGACCGACGCGATTGCACAACGTACTGAAGCGACTGCCATCTTTGAAGGTAATTGCCTGATTTTGGAGGCTCGAGTAGTAGAAGAAAAGACATAATGCCATACCCATTCACGCTACCAACGACATCGTCGACACCTCTGGACGCCTTCATTGGCAGCCCAAGCCATCCTTCTCTCCCTCTCACAGCAACAACCCAACGATCAATCCTTCGCGACGCTCTCAAGAAGCACAAGCGACTACCGCCCGCACAACAAGCTGCTCATCTAGGAGTCGTTCAGGATGCCATCAATGGCTATCTTCCCTACATTCTGGGTATCGCGTCTGCGTTTACCTCAGGAAGGATTGGAGACGAGCCCGTTGTAGTTACAAACGTCAAGCAGTTACAGACAGAATGGCGACTTACCCTTTCGGCAACGCTACCTGGACGAGAACCACCTCGATCGCCTCTATCTGGTGTATGGAACGATGTCGCCTTTGTGCTGCAAACGTTGGCATACATCCAGGTCCAACAAGCCCGTTCGCAGCTTCAGATACTTTACTCCTCTAATATACCATCTCCCGAACGTCGCACGGCAGCCATTGGCTCAGCAATGAAGTACTTGCTTGAAGCAAACTCGGTCCACAACTACATTCTCAACCTTCATACCCAAGACCCTACCTCTGCACCGCTAGACACGGTGAACTCAACACAGGTCGCTCTGGCAGCTACAGCCCTGGCAGAGGCAACACTCATCACAGTATTGAAAGACGATCCTTATACCACCGCTGTCATCCAAGCGAGGAACAAGGACGATAAAGACTGGATGATCTCCGCCCCTTCTATCCCAAAGGTTCGGGCCCACCTCTTCGCAAGATTGTGTCTCTGTGCTTCTGACCATGCGCAAAGAGCCGCTGCATCTCTGGCTCCTGGCACAGGATCTCTGGACCCGTCATTACTCAACTACGTAGATGATCTCCGACGCACATCGCGCGCAAAGGCTGCGAGGTTTTTGGCTTGTGACGCTGAACTAGCCGGCAAAACAGGAGAAGCGATTGCATACCTTCGAGGTGCGAGAAAAGAGCTGGGACTTGCACCACTGGAACAAGATGCTAGCAAACGCAAAGGTTGGAAAGGGCTGAAGCAGACGTTCGCTGAGAAAAGGGAAGACCGGAAAGTGGAGAAAGGCTCTGACGATTGGGGTTTGGATGCTGGTAAGCTTGAAGAGGCAAGGGTGCTGGAGTGGTTGGAGGTAAAATGGGTCAAGATGAATGACACTGTGAGTCTAAGACCGACATGGTTCATCTGACGTATGAAGCTGACCATGAAACAGATAAATGTCCAGGCAATCCCGCCTAGCGAGCCACTCATGGCTGCTATGCCTTCTGGACGAGAATATCATACCCCGAAGCCTTACACACCGCCTCAGCTGGACGCATCTCTGCTTGCTCGTCTCCGCGCACCGCTTGACCCGCACCAACATGCCTTTGAGGGTGACGAGGAAGACAGCGGTGATGAAGGAGTCAGCAGAAATCCAGTCGTTGTTCCAGGAGCTTTCCCGGGTGCTGCGACTGGTGGAAGCGGGAATACCTATTATTGATATGCACCTTGACGCAGCAAATTGCCTGGGTGTTCAGCGCCTTGTGATGCTGCCTGCATGCGGCGCTCTGATGAAGGTACCGGATGACGTGATTCCGCAAGCGTCACATCTGCTCCCACCACTGGGGAGTAATATGACTCATTGCTTGACCTTGCATCGATTGGCCATGTTGCGCACCAGGTTTGTAGGCATACACAACTAAAGCTTGGGCTTCCTCCTCTTCCTTGAGGGTAACAAGAATGTGTTCTCCCAGTCACAGCCTCGTGGCGGAGCAACGGAAGCGGTCCCGAGGTTTCGTGCATATGTCATTCAACGATGTAGATAAGGATGGGACGGTACTCAACTCACGCAACCGATCTACTTTTTTACTTTTTTACTTTTTGTTTTGTTCTGGAAGGAACCTTTATATCCTCCATTTGCAGCACACATATCAGTATCGGACGACCAAAACCTCGACGACGAGAAGGCTTCCTACACCGGAAATCATGTGTGTCATCTACACAATAACAACTGCCCTTCCGGACGGCAGTTTAGGAGCTGAAAGGACCCCTTTCCACTGCGACAACTTCCGTGACAACGAGGTCTGCGATGACGCATTCGAGTGGACTCCTTCACTGCCGCCTTCCGTCGACCTCGCAGAATTGGGGTGGTGGAGTCGTTCATTGTCGTCTGGTTATTGTCGCGAGATGCCTGCCCCAGATTTCGACAGAATTCCACAGCATAGGGAGGAATCCCAGGTTCGTTATCACGCAGAGCTCAACTATGGTGAAGAGATTGACAAGGATATCACAGAGGTGAAAACACAGGCGCAGCGCCCTGCTCGACGTGATGCACCGGACTGGAGTCAGACGAGCTAGAGCGGGGTTCCAGCCGCTCTGCGTCAGCTCACGGTAGCTCTCGTTCGCATGGTTCAATCAGTTTGATATGAAGGGCTACGCGAATTTCGCACCATGATCCACGACATTGCAAGGTTTGACTACGAACCCGGCTGCGCTGCTGTGTGCCGAGCGGCCTATCGGCACGCAGTGCACCAGACTATGGTATCAGCACTACACTTTGGAGATGATGTTGTTGATTTTAAGCGCGACTAGGAAACACTTGCCAAGTGTGTAAGGATCTGTCGCATTCTTGAAGAGGAGAGCATGCATATGCTCAACAAGGCGAATTCCGCTACACACCATGAATTTCCGCATTCGGATCTGATGGCAGATACTACCCGCAAAGTATCGCTACACGCGTGGGAGATCACGGGCCTGATCAGTGCATTGATATCGAACAAAACCAACGCACCTTATTTTATTAGTCTGCTACGCGCTATCACAATCTCCGGCAGAGATGACCATTACGAAGCTACGACGTGCCTGGATCTCCTTGCAGCTCGTTAGGGCGATCTGAAATACCTAGCCATGGATGTCATATTTGCAGCTGCCACCCTCGCATCACCAGGTGGAATGTCGGACGACGAATACACCAAGTATCAATCACGCTCACTAGCATTGTATCCGTATGGACGCAACGCTCTCGATAGCGATGCGGTTGTGCATTTGTTCCCGAGTCATGTATGCTTGGTTGTTCGCAGTCGCGACCAACATAGAGTCAAGTAAATACGAGATATGATATGCTGGATGTGTATGACCCTACGCCTGGTCCATCATGCCCCGGGGCTCCAAAGCTCTCGATTGGCCATATTTGCCAATTCTGAGCCTGAGAACTTCGAGGTGGACGCTCTGGCCTACCTCCTCCGACCTTTGATCCATCTTGAATACGGCTGACTGCTGGCTACCGCTCTTTGCGAAGGGTATAGTCGCGGATGTTCCTTTGACGCGAGAACTCGACCTTCCAGGTATAGAAATGAGTTTCAATTTGATGACTTCATTGGCTGTGGTTGAGATCTACCATCATCTAGAAAAAGGCAGCGACACTGGAGGTCTAGTTCTTCTGGGATACTTCACCGCCTTGGTTCCGGTTTTCCTCCATCCATCAGGCGTCGTTCAATGGCACTTCGAATTTACCGAAAATGAGATTCTTCGACCGTTAGATCTGAAATCAACACAAGGTACGTGGGCTCTGCTCAATGACCATGCGCAGTTTTCTACACAACGTTGCATCATTGATATCCGGCCTCAAGTGAACATTATGCTCGGAGTTAAGGGCGCACGTTTGAACAAACAGGATAGCGGCTTGCGTCATTGTTCTACAGTATTGCGTCCGAAAGGCATCGAGGCAACAGCCGCGTTCGGACTTACAGGAGGACCTGTGCAAGCCATAGCTCAGGCTACCAGGACTCACGAGTACCAAGTGACTCTACAAAGATTCAAACCCTCGACAGCATATGGCTCTGGGTTATGATTTTCAGAATCACACTGGTTGGCTGGTACCCCAAATTAGTCTCCTGTTACACCTCTGTCATGCCTACTTCGCACGACTCAGCAATCTAAGGGCACAAGCAGATCCCATACCATGCGCTAGGCCCTCAACCGATGGTGCGTCCGTCGCAAGTGCTGCTTTCACTGGCGCCGGCGACGTTGTCATTAGCAAAGTTGGCGACCATGCGGAAGACCAACTCTTACTAAGGCAATTACTAGTCGCCCTCAACAGCAATCTCCAAGTCACCCGCGATACAAAACAGGCTCCTAAGAAGAAGCACGGGCTGACTAAAGAAATACACTTTTCGGAACTGCAGGATCAGATCCTTGAGCCAGGTGACGGCAGCGCCCTCAGAGTTTTGGCTCCGTCAGATTGTCCTTCGATCAAAGCATGGTCGGAAATCACGCAGAAAGTTGACGGCCTGCTTGTGTGTAGAAATCTCGACCAGGCAATTAAATTAGCCGGACCGTGTTGCTACCCGCGCACAACGACCACTCCTAGTCCGCAACCCAGCAACGGACAGCCCATTCCAGCTCCGTCATCTATGCAGACTTTCTGCTCGTCCTGCGTCAGGGTGCCGGAGGGACAAGGTTATCTGGTCGCTCACACTTGGTGTCTGCAGAATGTGCTCGGACGAACAAGCCCAGTACCTGGCAAGGATATGGCCACATGGATCCGAAATGGTAAGCCCTTCGACCCGATTCTGCATGATGCTAACGAGTCTATATGGGCGCATCCGGAGAAAGTGCTACAGTAATTTGACAAGCCCGGACAAGATTCCGCGGGCAAGGGTGTCGTGGTTGATACGGTCGGTTGAGCGGTCGTGTTTGGATAGTATGGAGAACTCTCTTTGAAAGAGTGGCTGAGTGAGCTTGTGCAAAAATCACAGCTTTAACTTGTACATTGGTCGAAATTACGCCGCAAAAAGATCTATCAAGTTCACGTCAACTCTCGTTCTTCTCCGAGTCTTGACCTCACTTCCACTCAACATCCTTGGCCGCCTCAGCAGCTTTTCCCTCGACTGGTGTGATTTCCTCGCCATCTGCACCACCAACTTCTTGGCCCATCAAGACATCACTTCCATCAACTTCGCGTCCCAACATCATGTGTTGTACATTAACCTTGGGCCCCTTGAACCATTTCCTTGCACTAACAACCCACCAGATCATGATCATCGTCATTGGCCCGCCATAAACCAAACACGTCCAGTTCATAGTTGCCTCTGTCAAGTTGCTACCAACCACAGACGGTAAACACAGAATCGGCACCATCAAGATGACAAAAGCAGATGCAATGACACCGATAGGTATGGAGAACTTTCCAAGGTTCCAAGGCCCAGGACGAAAGCGATTTCCGACGAAAAATACACGGATGAAGATTGGTGTTGTGAAAGCGACAAAAGCGGCAATGGCACCAATGGAGAACATGGCGCCTGCTGCAAGACTACCCCCGAAAATTAGGAGAAGCATGATGCAGCCTACGGAGGTGTTAAACCACACAGCATTGACCGGCGTTTTTGTGCGGCTGTTCACCTTCTTCCAGATGTTGCTAAATGGGAAACAATCATCTCTTGCATAGGCAAAAGTGACGCGAGAAGCTGCAATCATGCATCCTTGGCCCATGAAGAAGCCGGCGATGATGGTGAGAGCTAGGACGGCTAAGACAGTCTTCTGGGGTAGGACTTGGACGAGGTAGGCAGCGAAGGGTTGGCCTAGATCTGATTCAAGGGCGTCGGGGATGGAGACAACAGTATATGCCACAACCAGTTGTAAAAACCAGCCAAACGTGCCGCCGACGGCAGAGGTGAGGAAGATTGCTCTAGGGGAGGCGATGGCAGCATTACTACATTCTTCCGCCAGATGGAAAGGTGAGTCGTACCTGCCCTTTCTGTCAGCGATCCCTGCTTTCCTTGATCTTAAAAAAGGTAGAATGGACAACAAAAAACATACCCACTCATTGTCCAAATCACACCGATGAAACTCATCAAGATACTGACTCCAGAAGGGAAATCCGTTCCTGCGTAGATTTCACCCCAAACCTCTTTGCTCCCAGTAAATCTAGGCAAGCCCTGCTCTTCCCTGTTCGTTCCCGCCGGAATGAGAATCAGCACAACAACCAGTGCCACGATATTGAACGAGCTTCCGAAATTGTTGACTCTGGCGATGGTCTTGGTCGGTAAACTGGCCATACAAGCATGTATAATCATCAACAGCACCGTAAGTAGATATACCTGATAGTTCTGGGGTACAAAATCAGGATTGACAATGGAGGCGGCGGCTAGTGTCATGGCAGCGGTGCCGTAGTTCACAGAGGGGGCTCCAGTAATTTGACCCAACCAATTGGACCAGCCTGTTATCCATGCTGCGAGAGGTCCCCAGCCAGGAGGGGCCAGGACCGCACTGGAATAGTACAAGCCGCCACTAGTAGGCATCGAAGAGCAGAGTTCAGCCATGGAGGCTGCGACGGATTGAATGCCTATCATGGCGACCAACCAACCCCATGTCATGCCTTGGCTCTGTCAGCATCTCTTTGTCATACCGAGATTCCTCTCCCTTAGGCCTAAAACCAGTTTGAAATAGACAAGGGCAAAGGACAAAACTCACCAGCAGTACCAGCATACCCCATTCCATAATACAATGTACTAGCAAAACTAGGCAACAACCCCAACACCGCAAAACTGACACAAAAAGTCGTCCATAGGTTAAATTCGCGCTTGAATTCTGGTTTGTAGCCCAGGGCTGCTAGGGTTTCTTCATCTTGATTCCAGCTTTCTTTGGGGTCGTGGATGGGGACATCGCCGGCTGGTAGTACGGACGTCACAGCCGGTTCCCGGGTGATGCTTTTGCGTATCGAGGGGTTGGTACGTGACATGATGCGATTAAATATAGTGTGAGCAGGGAGAGTAGAAAAGAGGTCGAGGGGAGCAAGCCTATATGTTTATAGGATACCCTGCACTCGGAGAAATCTTAGATTGTCTTTTTTTTCTATACCACCAAAGTCACCAAAACTCTTTACAGATAAGCAAGTCGCCAGGGCATGAAAGTCAGTCGGCTTGTACTACATCAAACTAGGTAGCTTCATGCGAAGGCAAGACTTTCGATATCCAATCAGGTGCATGTGCATGCTCGGCCAGCAAGATAGGCGGACGGAAGGATTTCCGCGACAAGGCGTTTGGGGGAGCTGAGGACCTGGCGAGATAGCTAGCTACTACATAGAAGTACGTACGCAGTGGAGAGTTGTGGTCTGTTATCTTATCTGCGTGAGCTTATCCTGCCAATGGACGATCAATACACTTGACCGTGCGGGGTAATAGTTGCGACAAAGGCCGTTCAACTGTCAAGTCTAACACGCCGGGCGGGATGTCGAGCATGGTTGGAAATAATGCATAATCGACATCCTACATCTACAAAACTTCGTGCATCTTGGAGAGGAATACCTTCCCACAACTATCGTTACACGACTACACCTCCTCATCGCTCTCATCGCCTAGCAGTTCACCCTCATCAGCATCAACATGTGAATAATCACCTCTGCCTCTCGAGAAACTGCTGCGGCTGGTATAAGGTCTCGAGTATCCTCCACCTGAGCCACCACCGCCAAATCTCGAACTTGCCATACGGAAGAGTCCACCAACGACCATAGGCACAGCAGCGAGGAGGGCTACCATAGCCGACAGTGCGGCGACTGGATACTTGATCCATGGCTGTTCAGAATCAAAAGCGCCGTTGCCGTTGCCCATGATACCAGTGTCACCGAGTTGTATGCGGCCGAATTGACCATCGAAGTTGCGGTAAACCCAGAATCCAACTCCTGCAGCCGCAGCGATAGGAATGACAATGGCGAAGAAGAGACCAATACCGGAAATGCCATGTTTCTTCTCAAACTGCTTCTCGTGGTTGGGGCAAGGGTAGACCTCAGAGGTCTTGTCAAACTCTTTGCCGCCGTCACAGGTCGTGAGAGGAATGCGGCGGTAGCCCGTGGGTTCGTAGTACTCCTCAAGGTCAGGGTTTGCAGCGCAGTATTCGAGATGGTTGATGGGTTCAAGTCCAGGCACGAGAGCGCACGAGCCATCATTTTTACGCTCGTAGTTATAGTCACACTCGTAGTCTTGACGTGTGCAGGAGCAGTTCTGAGAAATGGCGTGCAGACGCTCGATGACAGGACCGTTGTAGCACTCCTTGTCGGCCTTCTTGCGGTGATACTGAGCAATGTGTCCAAATAGACAGTTGGAGTCTGAGAGAGGGTGCTTGGGCTCCCAGAGATAGTAGTCGCTGTCCGAAGCTTCGGGAGCATCTTCGTCAAGCTTACATTGACGGTCTGTGAGGCCGGTAAAGTCGAGATTGACTGTGACAAGGCCACCAGAGGAGCCTCCGTCTTTGCCCCAGAGAATGAAATTGCGGGATGTGTCTGAGGGGACAGTAGAAATGTGATCGACAAGGACTTTTTCATCGGTGAACTTGTGCGCAGTCCACTTTTGGCCTTCATTGGTGGTATAGAAGACAGTGTCGACAGGTGTTCCTTCTTGCACGATGACAATGATAGAGCCTTGGTCACCGTACTCCCACATGTATGTACCTTTGAAGACCTCTTCCCACTCAACACCACCATCACGCGTGATGAAAGTGTTGCCTTCTTTGTAAGGACCAAGATTAGGTCCGACGTTACCCACAGCCATCATCAGGCCAACGGCGGATGGTGAAGAATAGGTGTCGCGAGGATCCTTACGTTCGGTGTACCCATGAAGATGGAGAGAGCACTTCTCGAGATCGCCGTTGCACTCAATGTCTTTGTTGTCAGAGTCTTTCGTAGGAGGGGAAATGAGGCCCCATTCAGCACCGTCATTGTGAGTGATCATGGTTTTTAGCTTCTTGTGAGCACCGCCGTCGACTTCTTCAATGTTTGAGACAGTGTTGACGACGGCGACACCCTCTAGTCCTTGCATCTTCTCGAAGTCGACATATCCTGGTGTGTTGCGGTTGACTGCTCCGATACTCAGAACGTATGAAGTACCGTTGCTGTTCGACTTGACAATCGAGCCGTACTCCTGACCTTCTCTGTTGTTGACGGTGACATGTAAGAAGATTGCATGGGTCGAGCTGTCAAGGACAGTGTAAGCTTGTTGGTGAGGGACTTGGAAGTTCTTTGGGAATTTAGCGTTGGCAAAAGTCTGGCCATCGATACTAGTATCGACACGGAGAGTCTTCTCGTCCTTGTCTCTGAGGGCAACCACCATGAACTCAGACATGGTGGCAAAGCTGATGACATCTTCGAAATGGACCGTTTTGTGTTCGTACCAGTCATCACTAGAGATCAACTGCAGTGGCTTGGCCGGGTCTTCATCTTGATACTGCTCACAGAAGATCATGCTATCGCTGCCGCTGCGATCTTCTCTAGCGACGAATTGACACTTGCGAACAAAGCGAAGCAAGGTAGACCAGTCATCACCACCCTTCTTCGTAACGTGAGCAACCGAGTGACAATCTTCGCCGAAGCCCTTGCAATCCTTGCCTCCCGTCCAGATGAGCCAGTCTTTCTGGGTAGGGTGGAATGTCAAAATCTGGACTCGGTCCTGGTTGGGTTCTTCTGGCGCCTCGAAATGATGAAAATTCTTTCCGCGATTCTCCGAGTAGAACACCTTCTTCGAGGGTGTGATCAAGTAAACAGTATCCTGATTGTACTGATGAGGGTAGACTGAAACAATTTCCTCGTCGGGAAGTACTGCATCCCAAGTCTTACCACCATCGTGTGAGATGAACACCTCTCGCCTGTCAGTTCGCATGATGATTGTCTCATCGTTGCCGGAAGCGGAAGCAGCTCTTTCGAGGTAGTAGTACTCGGCAAACTTGGCGCCCTTGAACTTCTTGATCTCAGTGGAAATCTTTCCGGATGCTGGCTGCTTGGTGGTTTCTTTGCAAGGTCGCTTGAGAGGCTTGTCTTTGACAACACCATCTTTCTTGTCGCAAGTGTTGCCTGGAATCAGACGGTAGCCAGAGCTACCCTCGAACTCGTCATCGCCCTCCTTGCAGGCATCGGCGGGAGCTTTGAGAGGTCCGGCAGGGACACAAGTCTTGCCATCTTCGGATTTCTCGAAGTTGTAGTCGCATTCGTAGTCGGCATCAGTGCACTTACAGTTCTCATACTCTGGCTGCGGGTCCTTGAATTCGTTGTCAACGAAACAGTCGGCGTCGGCCTTGCGGCGGCGGAAGAATTGCTTGTGGCCCATGATACAGCTAGGCTTGCCATCTCCGTCAACACGTGCAGCCCACTTCTCGAAGTCGGACTCTTTGCACTTGTCTTCGTGTAGCTCATTGAAGTCGAGCGAGTACGTGAAATACTCGAGCTTGGAGCCACTGCCTCTAGAAGCCACAAGAATGAACTTGAGGCTGGTAGAATCGGGCACAGTCAAGAGAACGATAGGTCTGACCTTGTCATCGAGCTTGTAGGTCTCCCACTTTTTTCCGTGGTCGATACTCCACTTGATCTCCTTGGTGTCGGTATCTTCGACCGCAACAAGGATAGCACCTTGATCGCCCATCTCATAAAGATGAGGACCCTCCAGGGCAAGTCGCCAGGTAAGACCAGCATCGTCAGAGACAAAAGTGTCGCCTTCTTCGAAAGTCTTGAGGAACTTGCCGGTGTTTCCAACACCCATAACGATACCGGGAGCAGGGCTGCTAAAGACGCGTCCGATATTACGCTGACCAGTAACCGAGTGGAGATGTAGCTCCTCTTGGTTGACCTTCAGCTCGTGCCAATCTCTTCCATCATCGAAACTGATCTTTGATTTGACCTTTTTGATAGCAGAGAAATCCTTTTCCATCTCTTCCCAATTATCGACAACATTCACGAGCACAATACCTTGAATGTTTTGAATCTTCTCAAAGTCCACGTAGCCTTGGATGTTGCGATTAGTGTGGTCGATGTTCTTTGTGAAGTAAGTACCGTTAGAGTTACTAGTGAACAAGGCGCCCATGGGAGCGGACATGTCAGAAGCCATGAGATCGACCTGGATGCTGTAGTTTGTGGATTCGAGCAAGGTGTAGGCATTCTCTTCGAGTTTGTGGGTGCCGAATTCGGCGCGATGCCATGTCTGCGCATCGTCGGTGATGTACATGGCCAACTCGGATGTCCCTTCAGATTTTGCAGCAACAGCGATGTAGCCTTTTACAGCAGCGACATTGACAACACCGGGGACAGTGCGACCCTCGTACATGGTGGGTTCGACCTCTGACTCGTCGAAGAAGTCGTTAGAAATCAGGAGTCGGTTGTCCTTTTGCCATGTCGAGTATTTGCCTTCCACAGCACAGAGGACCTGATCTTTGTCCAGCTTGTTGTCGCCGGTGGTGAAGAGGTCGGTGGATCTTGCCCAGAGACATGTTACGGCCTTGTCATGCAATAGTTCGATGTCCTTGAAGCCGTTGAGGGTGTAGTATGCCTAGAAGGAAGTCAGACTGAGTGTGGGTGTCGCACGTTAAGCGAAGTCGTACCTTGGGAGTGCAGTCGCCCCAGATGGAACCATGGCAATCTACAGTGCTGATGATGATGCGGTCCGGGTCATCTGCGTGGAAACTCAAAGCACGTCCACGAGCAACCTCATACTTGGTTTTGAACTCGGTCCAGGAGTCTCCTCTATCTCTGGTGATCCAGTGTGTCTTGTCCTGTCCAATGGCAATGGCTGCCTCGGGGTCGAAAGGGTGAGCATAGACTGTATCAATCTGTCCTTCGCCAATCTCCTTGATCGCTTTCCATTCTACGCCAGCGTCGGTGGAGCGATATACAATTCCAGGCTTCACATCCGTGACTAGCATAGTGTCGCTATCGTCGAAATAGAAGATGTTGGCAGGCAGCGACTTGAAGCGTGTGGGCTCGATACTCGGCGCGTCCTTCTTGGCAGTGACTGCTGTTATGGACAGGGCCAGGCACAGTAGCCTCGTCCATGTCGCTAACCTCGTCCTCATGTTGCGTGTTGTCTTCAGGAGCTTCCAGGGAAAGCGCCAGCTGCACTCGATTAGCTGTTCGCGAATGACGACGCCTCACCCCCGTCTTGGCGCCCGACTTCCCATCCGCCGCCATCTCCGACCTTATCGCCGTGCTCGCATCAACGTGTCAACGTGTCAACGTGTTCGTCTCACGAGCACCACATATCCATACCTTGCTAATCGTCGTTGTAGCTATTGGCATGATCTTTGCGCAGCTGTATCCAACTCCATCGCCTTACGAATCACATAGTCTGGCTCATTACACCTGAATTCCTTCTCGGGAATCGACCCTGCTAAGTTCGATTACTGCAGATGGTACCAACACGACTTCGACACAAGGTAGGCAAGACTTGTCAGCTCGAGGTAATCCCACGATAACACAGGCCACATGGGAAATGTCTGCAAGATTCAGATCGAGTCAGTGTCCTATTGAGGTTTCCTGTCTCTTCACCAGATCGCCTCTTGATCTGGTGCTCAGATTCGAATGTTCTTCATGGTCAACGACACCACGCCGTGTGGACTGATCCTCCGGCGTACTCGGGCTGATCATGGTCATTGTTTGGGATGTACGGACTGCTCGCTGGGCTCTTGACTCCCGCCACTTGAACCTTGCCTACGTCTCGCCGAGCGCTGGCCGAGGACTACGAACACTCTGAAGTGGCCAAGCCATCCAATGAGCCTCTACCGCTGTTGGATTCAGGGCACATATACGCTGCGGTTGACGGTGCTCTCACAAGTCAGCAACCAGTTCACACATTGAACTTGATCATCAGACCTGCCGGGGTAGCTCAATCGGTAGAGCGTGTGGCTCTTATCTACTGTATAAGCACAACCTCAAGGTCGAGGGTTCGAGCCCCTCCTTCGGCTATTCCTATAACATTGTTGGCATTCTTTTTTGCGTGTTGTCGTGATTCCAGAAAGGCCATTTTTGGGGTATCTGAAAATGACGAAAAAGTTGAAGCCTGCCAAGATTTTGAAATTCTGGCGCGCACGGACACCCGGACACTTTTCATTTTTTATATCTCTCACTACTTCTTTCCTCTGCATTCTTATCATCCTAGTGATTGTGATTCTCTTACAAAGCTGAGAGCCGAGGGAAGCAAATGCGCTTTCTGTTAGACTTAGGGTTCCTTATTACAAACTGACACGTCTATGCCCTCTATATCAACATCGTCACCATAAAAAAGCCGCCCCGACAGTGGGCATATATGCTGGTAAGCAAACTCCTGAATGTGGTGTCCTCACCAGTGATTCGAGCGTAAGTCGTGTGTCGTTTGTTGTTCTGCGCGTTAGATATTACGCCCCGCGCGACACGACTCAATTATAGCATGCTAGGATATGATGTTGACCCAAGGGCATCGTATGCGGACCAGTATAAAACATCGGAACCATCAGCTTATACTGTCATACAGTCTAAGGTCTCAAGCGACGATGTATCAAACCAAGGCTCGAAAAAGACATTTCAGTTTTGAGTCTAGAAACAATGCTAATAGCCCCAATTGGTACGAATGTCCCTGACTACAGGCGAGAAACCCATCTTTGGAGAAACGTACTATACATCAGATTGTCAAAACGTCATCTTACAAATTCAATTCCCGTACACGTCCAAGTTTCGAGTTTGGCCTAACATGATACTCAAATTTCCTCAATGCTCGCATCATACGAACACACTGATCACGCTAAATCATTCCTTCTCGTCTCTTTCCTCAATTTCTCAGCCCAAATCCACCATCACCTGGGACAACCCCATCAACGTATCTAGCCATACCACTTTTCTTCAAATGCTCTCTCAATCTGTTACCGGGATCTCCACCAAGACTATCGAGACTAACAAAATCCACAAAGATTCCTTCAAGTCCCTGATCGCGAAACTGTTGGCGAAAAGACTGTGGCGTGAGACGGGGCAGATGTTTCATACTGTCAGGATACTGCACAGCCTTCAGACTTGGATGGAGTGGTTCCGGCTGAGTAGATGTTGGCTGAGGCTTGCGCGAGCCCGAGACGTCGTTGGTGGCAGAGTAGGACTTTGTCTGACCAAAAGCCGCTGGGAACGTCCTGCTGGAGATCATGGTTGACTGCTCCCGGTCGATGTTGTGGGACTTTGAAGCAGTCGTGTCCACGGCGCACGGACAGACCTTGACTTGGAGCGCATTTGAGAGTGGTGAGAGTTTCTTTAGACTGTCGCGCTTTCTACAATAGTTGGTGATGTTGTCCCCACGGGTCGAGCGGTCTACCAGCGTGAGAATCAGCAATCAGCTAAGGTATTTATCATACTCAAGATAAGAAGATGTACATACCTTGATTCATCCTCAAAGGCCGATTCTCGTACTTGACTTCTTGGCCGAGCATTCTGCTTATGAAGCACGCCTCATCCGGATCGGAAACAGTTCGTTTCGCTGTGCGAGTCTGTGCAACAGCGTTGGTCATTACCGCAATGGCTATCGGCGAATACATAATGTGCGCAGATGAAGAAATCTCAATTTTATGTGACGCAATGTTTTGTAGGACAGATCGGACAGATGTGAAGATTTGTATTTCCAGGATCAAGTGAACGTGCTATCGAAAGCAGTGTCTCACACTTTCTTCCATCTGAAGATACAGCCAAGCAATCGTTTTCTTGCTGTCTTCCTTGCAACCTCTTTCACGCTCTCTGCCACCTTTGTCTCGATGGTGATCGCATCCACGTTCCCAACATCTTGCAGTCCCTCAATCTCATCCACCTCAGCAATCTTCCAGCTTCTAAGGAGTAGTGCGCAAGCAGCCGCGCCCACGTACATGAATCCTGTGAACAGCTGCGCTCCAAGATATCCTCCATCAAAGGACACAATCTCTAGGCCGATGGGCTCAGAAAATGTACAGGGAATGACAAGGACCAGCCAACATATGTTCAGCGCCGAAGGGACATTACGCAGACCAACGACTTCAGCGGTGACGGGAGCGATGGTCGTCCAGAAGGTTCCTGCAACCGAGCCACCAAAGATTGCATAGAAGATCAGAAGTCCGAAGCTTTTTGCGTTTGTCCAGATGACAAGGACAAAGAGGCCAGACACAAATGTCATCAACGTAGCCATATTGATCCGACCAATGCTGTCACTGAAGTAGCCAATAGGCGGGCGACCGATTGCTTGTCCAAGATTGAAAATTGCTGAGACCGTAGAAGCCTGGGTAGCGGTAAGACCGACGCTACGTGCGAAGTTGGCCAGACTAAAGAGAAGAACCACATATGCCAACATGCTGAACCAGCCGTAGCCTGCGGCATATGTCAGTGAATTGAGCCATGATCAGAGGATGATAAGCGTACCTAGTAGTAAGAGATACTCCGTCCGCCTGAACAGCTGCATGTCGAATGCTAGTTGCGAAGATCCAATCGCCTTATTTCGATCCTTCACCAACATGGCGCAGACACCGTTTACTACGCAGGCTATGATACCCAAGACTCGGAAGGCCCAGGCTAGTCCAATGCTGGGGATCATGGCACCTGTCGCCAACGAGTAAACCAGACCACCAAGTCCAGATCCAGCAGTGGCGATACCGTTCGCCAAGCTTCTTTTTGTTGTAAACCACTGCGGTACGACACCAACGGATCCAACGAAGAGAAAGCCCATGCCAAAGCCAAAGCAAACACCTTGGCTGAGGAACAGCTGCCAAATCTGGCTCGCAAAACTCGCGCCAATCAAGCTCGCCGTCTCAAACGCCACCCCAGTAAAGAGTGTAGTTTTGGTTCCGAATTTGCGCGTAAAGATAGTAGCCACTGGTGAGACTAGTAATGCACATGCAATTGATAAAGAACCGACGAAAGCAAACTCAAGATAGGTGGCGCCAGGAAAGACATTGTTGGCCAGATAGTAGGCCAGAAAGACACCGTAGGATGAATTCAAGCCCCATGTGTGACCATTGATGATACAGACACATGCGACATTGACCCAGCCGTAGCCACCATTTGGTGCTGGTGGCGGTTCATTCGCGGGAACGACGTCGTTGGGTTGTTGCTCACTGTTCATCACAGCGGCGGGCGAAGACTTCTTCTCGTTAGGCACACTGCTTTCCGAAGCGCTCAAGTCGGCGTTGTTAGCCCATTCTTTGTCGACATTGTCGATGGAGTTGTTGTTGTGGTTCATCTGTAGCGATGTCGGAGGGCAGCTTGTCCTCGAATGCCAGGCATGCTACACCTCCCAATTGACGTTTATGAGCGTTAGGATGTGGCTATAGAATGGAGGCAGAATCGAGGGAAAAGACCATCGTTATATTGAATACTCAAGAAGATACATCGTGCCGTCTTGCCGTAATGTGTCATGGCAAGAAATTGGAGCGTCGACTTTCCAAAAGCGGAGGTGCAGATTGCGGGGGACAGATCTGCTCGGCTGCCGATTAACCGAACAAGGGGCACGTCACTTCACTCATTTCATCGACCTCATTTCTTCCTCTTGCTACTTGGACGTCTGATCACTTGCTATTGACAAACGCCTGATTCTGTCTTGCATCGACGAATTTTTTTGGGTTCCATGGTTTTCGAGTGTTATACCCGTTCTGACATCGGTCTGATAAAAGCTAGAAGCATTGTTGACGAAACCTCAGAGAACTTTGTTGATGAACATGGCTATGAACAGCACTTGATAACGTAGAAAGAGGTAATGATGGCATACGATTCCGACGACAAGGTGAACCCTGAAAGAAGGATCTCCATGCAAGTATGGATAAAACAACGAGACTTTAGTAGTGTATGAGGACACTTGAAAATACGAGCAAGTAGCAGACTCCTGTCTTCGTCTTTGACTTCCGAGGTAAGGGCAATCTCTCCTTTTGCTACCATATGTCTCGCGATCTCTTTCTTGGTCTGACAGCTGTCCAGCGCTATGTTTTGCCAAAGTCATGATTGCGCCTGACCGGAGCTTAAGAACAGCTTGTGGTAGTTTTCTTCCTTCTATCTTGTTCTATATGCCATGTCGTTCGATATAAGAGCCCCTCACTACCAGAGGTCATGCCACAAGTCTGTCACCGATCTTCTCGTGAGTCATCAAGCCACAGCTAATGTCGCAACAGTAAGCGAGGTTGCCTCCCTGAGCTATACTTCTCGAGCTGACATGGCTCCAGGCTTCAATTATCTCAGTGGAATCATACGTCAATCGCAGTAACACCATAATGACTACTTCACCGATCGTCAGTTCCAGCTTAGTATTCCCGTTGTAGTTTACAACCATCGATCTTCACTTGGGGTCCTAAGCTGGTCAGCTTTCAGAACATCCTCTCCTCGGACGTTACAAAATGACTGACCAAAATTTCAACCTTGAGTGAGTAGGATATTTGTTAGATCGACTGGTGTTGGAGTTCAGATGGCTCGATCGTTCCGCAAGTAACGTCGCTACTGCTGTCCAGGTACCACAAGTGCTCTATCAAGCATTGTCCTGACCCCGATGATACAAGCTTTAAGAACGAGTAGGATAATAGGCTTCTACAGTGGATGAAAGGGTACGAGGTTTTCCAGACAAAGAACTTGATCCAGTCCCTTGCGCAAAGCAATCTCTGGTTGAATAGGAAAGACACCATGGACTGTCGCTATGTATCGCTCGAGAAAGAATCTCGCTCTAGCGTCTGCTATAAGAACTATCGGCTCCGATGTTAGTGGAAGGTTGAGCCGGGATCCAAAGCAGATTCTTCTGTAGTCAAGGAAGTCCAATCCATCATTACCGTCTTGCGCACTGTGCGGCTCATCCAGGTCGATGTCAAACCCTTGCCAAAGTATTCAATACAAGTGTTGCTTGAAGCCAAAATTGGAGGATGATCCATAGTAGAGCTCGGATATCCCAGAAGAGATTTTTTGCGACGCGGTCACACCGAAGAAGAGGTCCTTCCAAACGTCGAGATCGGTCTCATTTTCTGTAAGAGAGAGCGGTCTGTCGTGTACATGCGTCTTCGCGCTCCTTGCAAGATTTGGTCGAATCTTGCTACGTAAGACGCAGTCCAGGTTTATCCGTTGGCATCTTGCGCAGGGAAAGGTACTATCTCATTTTAGCTTGGACTTCCGGCAGAATTCGAAGGCAATCTGGGACCGCATGCCGCGAGTCATAACTGTCGCGGTCACATCGATGTATGTGGGCTAATTAGGTATGCTGCGAGTATAGTCAATTGCGTCGACATCTATGTCCGTTCGTTCAAGACACTAGGAGATCAAGCTGTCACATAGAGTACGGCGGCGCCATATCGATTCCACCTAATTGAATGACCAGAATCGGACTGAGAAACCATGATTTCGTCTGGATATCGATCTAGCTACTGTACAGAAAGTGTGCTTTGGACCAAGAACTGATGAATAAAGACCACAGCATTGCTGTCTGTCATGGATGACTTCTTGACACGCCCATGTGCTTCACCTCTTTTCAGCATCCTCGCTCTCTCCAGATGGTTCAGCAAGCCAAGACTCTGCGTCGAAAAGGTGCCAGACGCTGTACTGCTCCTCCTTAATTTGCCAAAAGTCGGTCGCCATGTCAATCATCCTCTCGTGAATATCCATCAGCTCTGGAACATTGTCAAGCCAAAAGAATTCAACGATCGCCGCATGTAAGTCTTTAGCTACAAGCAAGTACTGATCTTGGGATGGACATAGCGAACGAATCACAGCAAGTGTGATAGCTTCATATTCTCTTAATCGAGCTCGCAACTTACTTCTCGTCTCGAGGAGTGCCTCAATAGAGGCCGTTCGGTCCGACGGCCATACAAGAAAGGGAATTTGTGATTGTGGGAATGAACGAAGAAGTCGTGTTGTTGTTGTGAAATGCAAGCCCTAGCGCTCTTTGCTACGGAAACATGAATTCAAGCGAAACATATGGAAGGAGCGATTCACGCGAATCACCTGCTACGCGGTCCGCAACCAAGTTCTCTCACTTTCATATAGTATTCCTTCCTCTGGAACACTTATTGGACTGCATCAATGTTCCAACCACTTCTCGCGCCTCGAAATTCTTCCCGTTTTGAACAACCGAATCATCAAGCCACCCTCAGGAAAATGCAGAAAGACAAAAGCCCGTTTATCTTACTCTTTGTCGCCCACTCCCCACGACTCTGCAGTTCTGGACAGATCATCTAGTCTGTATGGATCATCATATGCATTCCAGGACTCAGCAATCTTTCTGACGATAGCCAAATGTGACTCTCTCAAGTCAGCGATCCTCTGTGCCATGATACCCTCCGTCTCGGCAAACAGACTATGCATTTCCATACGACCAGGGTGACCTAGGTCAGAATTCTTGTCACGGAGTCTCGTGAACATGTCGTCTATGCTTTGTCTCAATTTTCCAAGCTCAGCATCCAGAAACGTGATGGATGCGGCTGGATCTGCCAAACAGATGTTGATCACCACAAGGTGTAGGGGAGAGTAGGAGGGCAGCCAGCGCTCAGGACCGCGAAGGAAAGGATATAATCTTGCATAGAACGGCATGGAGTTCTGCTCAGGTCTTCTGTGATCCAGCTGAATCGACATACTTCTGCTTGGGATGTTGTACTTGTCGTGAAGAAACCTGAGAGACTTGAGAGGTCTTGACAGCGCTAGGTTGATTCTGTGGGAAGAGTTGTACTGCAAGTCAAAGCTTTCAAATTTTGGGCCGTGATACACATATTTGATGCCTTTGATGAACGGAAGGAGATCCAATATGGTGTGATAAATGCCAGTAGAAGCACCGCAGAGTTTCAGTTGAGAGTCCATGTGCTTTATAGAGTCTCTGAGGCCACAGAAGCGATAACATGCATCTTCCAAGAGCTCCTGAGTCTTGACCACCACCTGGATGAATATGGACCAAAATCTCTTATTGACGGCGGGTCGATTTGATCTTCTCATGAAGTACATCAATCGTGTAGTTTCTACCGAGACATAGATATAGCGTATATCGTGTGGGCCTTTCACAATGACGTTTTGGATGATGCAACCATAAATAATGTCACGGATTCCTCGAGGCAGACTTTCGAAAGTCGGGGGATCTTGTCTGTCTGCCAGATAGAATTTTGGTGTGAGGAATGGGACAAGCTCTCGCGCTTTCTGCGTATCAGCCATTTGGTTATCGTCCGATGCGGACATCGGTGGTGGAGAGCTTCGTTGCTCGAAAGTGCAAGAAATACACCCAGGATTATCAACGAAGCCACCTTGCAGTTCAAAGAGATGTGAAAGTACTGGCTCCTGCAACTCTCGTAGGAGGATTAGGCTTATAAGCGTCGTCTCAAGGCTCTGAGGTAAGCAGCAGAAGCAAGACATCCGAATTCGAGACAAAGAGCACTATTATTGCTAGGACCTTGTCTTGATGTCGTTATTATTATCGACCACAAGAGAATCAGCTGGAAGAGTTGCGTGTGGCGTAGAGTTGATCTCCTCACGTGTTGAACACAGATCCCACGATCATAAGATTTCGCGGTGAGCGAGTCTAAAGCTGACAAAACGAGAGTAACAGAAGCATACTCTTATCGAAGGGCATTCAAATATGTCTCCCTCCTCTCTCCGACGTTTATTGAAAGGTCGAGAGAGCTGAGAGAGCTTCTTGGTCTAGCCAGACGTTGAACATCGGCAGATGTGACCTCAATATATCAAACGTCAGAGAGCTATCGTGCATCCGGGTACGGACAAGGCTCTCGATATTCCCTGTCACTATTCCTCCATCGACGAAATTCTAGTCGTTTTGTGTCGAGAGATCACGACCGAACGACTAAGCAGTCCGTTCGACTCGGCATTAACACACCAACATAAATAGTTCCCCAATTGCGATCCAACCGTAACTTTTTCTCTCCATCATCTTACTGGCTCGGTCAATCTGGTAAGCCTTTGATACTCTCCGCCTCGGTCTGGTATCTACCAAAAATAGCTGACATTGACGCAAAGGGCAAAGGGAAGCAAAGATGGTCAACAAAGTCTGCAAGCGCTGCTTCTTGGGCAAGATCCAGTGCGACAAGAATGCCCCTTGTTCAGCCTGCATCAAGGCAAAGGCCGACTGTACCTACGAACAAGTCAACGTCAACAACCGCATGGTAAGTTCAAGGCCTCTCGTCGACACCTTGTGCATCACCACGAAACCCTTCAGACTTACATCAAGGACGACACCCCCAGCAAGGCAATCGCTCCCACAGTCCTCCGCCTCCCAGTCCATCCTCTGAGTACCTTACCTGCTCCTCTCATGCCTGGTCCCTTCGGCAAACCTTTCCTGCCCTACAATCCCCGCGACATGTCCTTTCCCCCCATCACCTGGACACCAATCAACGCTCCTCTGGTCCCTCTTACACACTCCAGGCCTGCTCCCGTCCTCCTCAACGATATCCCTGCCACAGGACAGACCTACGGCAGAATCAGCACATCCGTCCCTCCTGGCGTCGAGTTTCCTGACTTCATCGACTTTATGATGGACTTCCCTGAGGGTAGATTCATGACCGGTCGTCCTGTGCTCACGGAAGAGGAGAGAGCTGAGATGAAGCGTCGCAAGATGCAGAGGGCTAATGAGAGCTCTAAGCTCTGAACTCGTACATCAAGGGCATTGGTGGAGATACAATGAAAAGACTCCAGGCAAACGACAATGAGGGTCATGTCCAATTGTCAACTTTCTCCTTCTTCAGCAAATGTTCTTTGTGGTTCTTCATTCGTGACCGTCTTCCATGATTTGTGTGACGTGTACATGCGGGGTGATAAGTCCGAGACAATGGCGGGCAGAAACCTGGTCATTGTTTGTATATAAATCCACAAGTCGTGCTTTGTGAGGCAGTCATCAAGAGTGATCATACATCTTGACTAGATTCAACACAGTTGCGAAACTTAGCACGAGCAAGCTGCAGTGTCAATGTAGCCAGACAGACATGGACCTACTCGTGGCCTCGAGGGTCACCCTACGATGATCAGCATGTATGCGAATACTTCGAAGAGGCAGTCGCAGAAAGGAGTCTGGCATGCAGTGTACGTACAATTGTGCATGTATACTGTCGGTAGAATTAATTCCGGCGCCAGGACTAGATTTGCTCAGCCTGTATATCAGAGACAGCGAAAGTCGGGAGAGTATGTGTGCGTAAAGCGTGGCTCGTATTGCTCTGGTATGAAGTCAATCGCTTATCGAAATGCTGGCGAGTCAAGACTCTCCGTTATAGCAAACGATGTTGTAAAATGATCACAACTTGACTATAGAAGCGACAGAGTCATGACTGTAGAGTTCATGCTTGAAACAGAATATGCAAGATCCACATTGGGACAAAGAACCCACGGAGTCGTATGAAGACGTGCTAACTTCGGTTAAATATCAAGGATTTGCGGTGTGTCGTCTTCTGTGAGCAGCTCTGTTGATGCTGAGACTTGAGTGACGCCGTCGCGTGTCTTTCCCTATGTTGACTGCCAGCTGTCGTACGTCGCACGCTCGGCCCACCGACTAAACAAGTAGGAAGGCGGTGGACAACTGCCTAGTCTCAGCGAGTGGAGGTTCTGGAGTTCAAGTAGTGCGACAGAAGTGATTGACATCATCAACGTTGTGGATTTTGGCTTGTCTACTGCTGCACGTCGCAGATGGGGTTGTGTGCGCTGCACGAACTTGTTTTGTCAAAGTGTTGCTTTGTGGATCCCCAGATCCCAGATCGGCAAAATTTGGCCAGATCGACAGCCTCCTTCCAGGAGTCGGCCTTCTCACCTTGTCTGACGTACAATACTCGACAGAGCCGTCGCAGGCCGAGCAATCTCGCGCGAAACTTGGAAAAGGCTATCATTTCCTCCACTCTCATCAAATAGGAAATGCACACGAGACAAAAGGATGAAAGGATTCAAGAGCGGCTGGATCAATTCCCAGCAACTCGGTTACAACTGAGATTTCATTCGCTGCTTAGATTGAGGTTATTTTGGCGTCAACTCTGCAAGCTCAGATCGTTGAATAAGCACAGCATTTTGTCGGGGAAGTTGTCCGCAGTACCCGCCTGCCAGACCTACTCGTATGTTCTAGGAATCTCCAGTGCTTCATGCTAAGGCTGAACATCGATGTGGACTGGGCGGATGAGTTTCATCACGAACCTTGTCATTTGATGAACAGATCTTCGAGGACCACTGAGCGGGTTACGCCAGACCATGTCGATGGGTTGACTCGGACACCATTGAATTGTGGCACTCTGGTTTTCAAGCCGGCTGCGGGCCGATGCAGTCTGCGGATGTAAGATATCGGGAGCGTTTTGGGTGTTGATATCGGAAGCCGCACATGGTACTCGGGCAACAAGCACACCACATCTCAACCTAAGTTCCTTCTATGCAACGGTTGACACTGTCAAGGCCATCAAACAACGGCGGCTGGCATGCAGGGCATGAAAGTGTGTGTACCTGTGACAGCTCCTGTCGCATGATAAGTGGCATCGAATGGACATGTGCCTTGCATTGTGAGCAATAACATTAAAGTTCGTGATGAAAGCTGAGAGCCGCGGCCGCTATTCCGCGATAGCCAAAAGTAGTGAGCTGCATGGGTAAAATTTGGTTCAGCCAGGTCGAACGAGTGCCTGCAGCGAAAGACGAGTACCGGACTAGAGATCTCGGACATGAATGCTGAATAGAAAAAGTCGCACGACATCAGGCACATGCAGGCTGCGTAACGCAGCATGAATTTCGATTCTTTTCTTGTCGTCTTGCATGTGTACGACGTTGAATATCTGGGGCAGCAATTCCTCAGAGACATAATTGTCAGAACGACAGCGCTTTGTCTGATAGACAGTGTTGGGGGGACGACTCATGGCGCCTGTGTTCTTTCTTTGACAATTGACACGGTTGACAGCGTCTGTTATCGAGAGGTAGTGTCAAGTAGTGTAGACTAAGCCGGGCCTCGAGTTTGAGACGATTGCGCGATGTCCAGCTGCTCGGAATCACCATCACGAAACCCGCAGGCATGCATAGCATCGGGACCCACCAGCCATTCAACGGTGCGTGTAATCTTAACACAGCAACCGCTCGGTTAGCTCTAGTCCTCTCTGCAACCCGACAACCAGGTCAGAAGCAGCCGGCAATCATCATTATGAAGCCATTGCTGAGCTGCGCCCGAGTCTACCATGCAATGAGCACAAGATCATCTCAGTTATGGTAACAGAGCAAGTCGCTGGCCAGAGAGTTTTTGTGCCCCTCGATGTTAAAGCTGCGACGGGCAAGGGCTGTCAGCTCCACCTCTGGCGCGACTCCACTCGTTTACTCGTGGCTTCCTTCTTTAAGGTTTGCGCAATTCTTTCGAGTGTGAAAAAAGTCCGCAGTCTCGCAGGGCCAATGCTTGGATGCCCCCTCTCGGGTTTCGCCTTGGCTTGGATAGTGCAAAGTAAACAAAAGCGCCGCGGTAACATCGATGCTTCTCACGACGCGAAGCCGGGGTCTGTGGTTGACGCCGATGTGCCTGGGGATGGGAGTTGGAAGTCGAGCGATCGGTTCAGTGCTCACGAGGCACGGCAACCCTCCATAGTGCCATGCGGCCGCCGGCTGCAGGAACACCTAGCGTGATGGACATTGATGAGGGTGGCTGACTGGGGGCCAGGTTTGTTTCCCTCTCCAGATTTAGCCTACCACTCGCGTCTCCTCTGTCCTCTGTCATCATTCGGCTGACGTTTCCTGGTCGTACGCGCTCCACACTGCTGTACATTTGCGCCGTGCAACCTAGCTTGCAGTCACAACATTGGCTTGCATTTTATTACTGGCCTTTTCTTCTTTCCTTCTCTCTCTCATTTCCCTACCGTCTATCTGTCAACCTTCGTGTTCCCATCTCGCGTCTGTCGCTCTCGAGTCCTGTCACGCTCTGCACTATCACGAGCATTCCAAGCAATACCTCGGCCTCGACTCCGCCCTCGACAACTCTTCGCAAACGTCCATCTGCTCCTGTGGTCATGAATCATCTCCCGGACTAAATGGCTCCAAAGTGGTTTTCGCAAAGCGATGACAGTTCCAATCAACAACCAGACGCCACGGCTTTCAACGTGACCGAACCGACTCCCAAGAAAGCCTCTCGTCTCTCAGCAACATTCAGCACCGATTCAAGACCGTGGAACTTTATGAGCTCTTCATCCGACCGCAGTTCATCATCTTCTAGGAAGCGACTGTCACTCTTCGGTGCCCGCAACTCCATTGCCTCATCAGCGGACATCTTCTTGTCAGGTCATTCTTCACCTCGAGATTCCGCTTTTGTACAATCTGGTCGGCCTGAGTTCTCCCCTCGTCCCGAGTCTCGCTTCAGTATCGATTCCAAATCGACGGCAGTTGCTGTACCGCCCACAGACAGCTGGCGGTCGTCTATCTTCTCTCGAAAACGCTCAGCCAAGTCGGAAAACAGCTCGGAAACAAAGGATGAACCTTTGATGCGATGGCTGCGAAGCGACAGTCGCTCGACAAGCTGGCGACGCGAGTCTACCGACCATGACAGGGAGCATGAGTCAGAACAAGCCTGTAAGTTGAGTGCACGGACGCTTTTGACATGTGAAGACTAACGCCTTTCGTCAAGTCTACCATACATTGAGGAAGAAGAATATCTCAGCACCCTTCAATTTTCAGCATGTCACGCACACGCAGCAAGAACAGCTGCCGCAACTAGCATCCGTGACCGACAGCGAACTTGTCTCCGAGTTTTGGGCCGCATCGGCCTTCCAAGCGCCTAGGAGCGAGCTTCGCGGAATCAAAGCAGATCCTGTTGATAGCAGCTACCGTGTTCGTACGAGCGAAAGAAGACCTTCTCTCACGTCGTCCGTTCGTTCCGAGTCCCATGCTCTCAAACATCGCGGCCTGAGTTACACTTCGTCCGTGCATGAGCTCGACAGCACTCCTCGCATATCTCAAGATGCCGAGTCTCCCATCGAGGAGAGGGCTCGTTCCTTGTCGCTCACTTCGAGATCACATAGTTTCTCTCGCCTGGATCTACCGTCTAGAGAGAGACTGGCTGCTCTGGGCGCCGAGCAGCAAAGGGAGCCTCCAATTATGGTTCATCCGGCTCTTCGCGGACAGATGGCTCCTCCTACTGTTGAGCGCACCTCTAGTCAACCCCAAATCTTCGAACTCCCTGGGACGAGTCTTGAATCGGTTCCCGAGGAGATGGAAGGTTGTGGACCCAGTCCAGCAAAACTCCCAAGAGCAAAGGCTATGCTGGATCTGTCACCTCTCGCATCTCCCAAGTTGTCCCCACGATCGTCGCCTTCTCTGAACTCCACTGCTCGTCAGAAGAACGGCTTAGTATTCACCCCATTTCCCATCGGCAATGCATTTGCCCAAGCACACGGGGGCTCAGGCGTAGATGTTCCAAGAACCTCTTCTGAGAGTCGGCTTTCTTTTAGTGTTGATGGAAACGTGCCCAGCTTGACTTCAGGTGAATCATGGGAAAACGATATCGACTTTTGCTACCTGGTAGAGGCCGAATCCTCTTGCGACTTTGACTGGGAGTCTGTAAAATCAAGTAGACAAGGTTCTGCCTCATCGGTGCGTAGAGACTCGACTACTAGCGTCTCCGTACAACGCGCCTCGTATAGCGACCCATCGCGTCGGACCAGCATCAAGTCTCAGCCTGATGTTGAGGCGCTCTTTGCCGATTTCGATGGAAACTCAACCTTTGTTAAGGAACAAAATCGACAAGACTCTCCTATGATGTCCGTTTCACGTGCCGACCTCAGTCCCATCTTGGAATCACCTGCGAAACTACCGACTACCAACAGCAGCTCGGAGGCCGTCAGCCCTACCAAGCCTACCCATACACGATCCATCTCGCTCGACGACAATATCAAACATGGCCACTCCTTGGACAGAAGTGCACGCTGGTCGATTGCATCTCCCCTGTGTTTGCCAGAGGACGCGAAGCAGCGCGGTATTACCTTCACTCACCCGGTGTACAAGTCGCGACCAGTCCGCATGTCGGTACCTGCATCTTTCGCTGCACCACCGCTGCCACCTCCGAGAACAGCACTTCCACCTTTACCTGCACAGCAACCAGCCAAACCTGCTTCTCCGCCTCTTTCGCCTACTTCGACGTGGCCTAGTTCGTTCCCAACGATGCGCAGACCCTCTTCTGCACAGGATCGAGCAATCCTTCAAGCTGCCGGACGCTTTGTCAGAAACGGGCGTGCGTCCAGCAGACCTACAACACCCAGCCGTCTTTCTCACGTTCAACACGCCTTCCGCGCCTCACCCGCCATGAGCTCTTCCAACATGCCGTCGAAGACAACGGTCACCGATTGCAACTACGGCGGAATCCTACCCACTCCGCCCATGTCTCCGCCCGAGCAACAACAGGGATTTCACAATTACCCAGCTTGGATCTGAGGACGCTACAGACTTATTCGCTCCTTCACCTTTCGTCTTGTTCTTTTCTTTTTCATTTTATAACGTTTATGATCAACGGCCTTCCTACGAACAATATATCAAAAGTCATATGGATATGATTTTGCTGGGTTTTAAGCGGATACCCAACCCAGAGTGGGGAGCAGCATGGGGGTGTTTGATATTTTCCATGGAAAGTGATGGGGAGAAGCATATGCATACAGGAGATACAGGAGTACCAATTACCTTTCTGACCACATACACAGCACCTGGTTGACAAAATGTGATCGATGTGTTAACAGATAAAATAATCATGACGTGGTCTGTGACGAGTATGGTTCAGAACTTTGTCCCGAGAGTATGCCACAGTTCTGTCAGGCCACCACATGGCGAAGAAGCACGTGGAGTTTAAACGTGCAGTAAACACAAGAGAGTTTGAATCTACCAAGACATGCTACGATATGTATCGAAGTGTTTCAGGCTCTTTGCAGTAAATGTATCGCATATCAGATTTAGATCAGGGTGTGCAAACAAACCAGAAAGACTTGGTTTGACAAGCAACAAGCTTCACGTTCGCAAAGCGTTACCACCGAGGAGAAGATTAGCGTCGAGTATAACAAGCGAATGAACGCGCAAGCCGTAGATGAAGTGGGCAATGTATGGAAGAGGATAGAAAGATTGGCATAAGTAAGATTAGATCTGGAAAGAAGATGGTCGAGGAGAAATGAGGTACGGGCAAGTTCAGGAGGTCTGTTGGCTGCCCCTCGTGAAATGTGGAGAGCGATTGGGCCTTAAGCCTTTCGGATGGCGCATCCCCAAAGCCCGTTTATTTACTTTAACCTTGTAGGAAGGTCCTGTTTCTTCCATCGCATCTCACCGCTTACCACTCTGCATACCTTGGACCGAGACATTATATCGAGCGCAGGACCACAGGTCCCTTGGATACAGGAACGGCATCGCGAAGAACATCGCTATCGTTGTACAGGTCTTAGCCGCCGGCGCGTGTAGCAAACCTCCAAACAGCCCCTCCGAGACAGGGCGCGCCAGTGATGGCTGTGCTGCTGGAACAGAGCTGGGTCAAGGTGCAGGAGAAGACATTTGGCAAATGGTATACAACAGTCACATGTGCACGTGTGAGAAGGCCGTGGAGCTGACCAACGTGTGCAAATCAGGCTCAACAGCAAGCTCCAGGTCCGCAATGTGCAGATCAAGGATCTGGTCACTGACTTGTCCGATGGTGTAAGTCTCGCACCTCGTACGCAAGTGGACGACAGACTGACAAGAGTGCGCAGGTCATGCTCATCCACCTCCTCGAGATCCTCTCCCAAGAATCACTGGGCCGTTATGCCTCCCGTCCGAAACTGCGAGTCCAGCGATTCGAGAACGTCAACCGAGCTCTAGACTTTATCAAAGGCCGGCGCATCCAATTAACAAACATCGGTGCAGAAGACATTGTCGACGGCAATCGCAAAATCATCCTCGGTCTCATCTGGACTCTGATTCTCCGCTTCACCATCAGCGACATCAACGAGGAGGGCCTGAGCGCAAAAGAAGGTCTACTCTTGTGGTGCCAAAGGAAGACGGCATGCTACGACGAGGTCGAGGTCCGAGACTTCTCGTCTAGCTGGAACAACGGTCTCGCTTTGTATGTGAAACCACCTTGACAACGCCTCGTCTGAAACAATACTAATCATCCATCTCAGCTGTGCGCTACTCGATATCCACCGTCCCGACCTCATCGACTATGACAAGCTCGACAAAAGCGACCACCGCGGGAACATGCAATTGGCCTTCGACATTGCTTCCAAGGAAATCGGCATCCCTGATCTTCTTGACGTCGACGACGTATGCGATGTTGCGAAGCCCGACGAGCGCTCACTCATGACATATATCGCTTACTGGTTCCACGCCTTCTCTGCCATGGAGCGTGTCGAGAATGCAGGAAGACGTGTTGAGAAATTCGTTTCCAACATGCAAGGAGCCTGGGAGATGCAGAACAGCTTTGAGCGCCGTATGAGGGAGCTCCTTCGCCAGATCGCCGACCAGCAGACACAATGGCAAGAGGCTACATTCGAAGGCTCTTACACCGATGCCAAGATGCAGAGCTCAGAGTTCATGGGATACAAACGCAACCAGAAAAGGAAGTGGGTGGCCGAGAAGAGTGACTTGGTTGGTCTGCTAGGGAACATCAAGACAAAACTCAGCACGTACCGCTTGCGACCATACGAGCCCCCACCGGAGCTCAGTCTGACTGCTCTCGAAGCAGCCTGGGCCAGACTGATGCAAGCCGAGAAGGAAAGGAGTAGGGTCATCAACGAGACTATTCGCGACATCAAAAACACCCTACGGAGGACTTTTGCCGACAAGGCAAATGACTTTGCTCTTGCTCTGCACACCTTGAGCGTGAGCATCTCTGGACTCGAGGGAGAGGTCGAAGATCAGAGAGAACATATCACCAAAATCTCTGAATCATTGCCGCCGCTTGACGAATACCTTACCATCATCGGACGCCTGGATGAGCAATGCGAAGAAGCGAACATTGAGGAAAACGACTTTACAACATATACATACGACGAGCTCGTCTACGAATTGGGCTTGGTCAAGTCGAGTGTGCAGAAGAAGCTGGCCTTTTTGGAGAATCAAATGGTGGCGCGCAGCATGACCAATCTCACGCCTATCCAACTGGAAGAGTTTGAGTCCGTGTTCAGACATTTCGATCGTGGCGGTAGTAACTCGCTGCAAGAGCTCGAGTTCTCTGCAGCGCTCGCGAGTTTGGGACTTGTATATGACGAGGACGAGATGCACGAACGATTCTTGGAAGTCAGCAACGGTCCGGGAGGAACGGTCAGCTTCGAACAGTTTATTCGCTTCATGGTCGAAGTGACCGAGGATCAATATACAGCGGAGCAAGTGTTTGAGAGTTTCCGCGAGGTTGCGGATGGCAAGGTAAGTCACATGCAACTAGTTTTCAGTCTAGCAAAGAAGACCACTGACAAACATTCTCCACAGCCCTATGTCACCGAACTCGACCTCAGACACTCGCTCATCCCAGACGAACTCATCGAAGACCTGGTCAAGACGATGCCACAGCACAGCGGACCCGACTTACAGGAAGATCGCGACCTGGAAAAGTACGACTACATCACATTCATGCAAAAGTACATGGGCGGAGCGAAAGCCGACTCCAATGGAGAGTAGAAAGGCATGCAGAAGCAGGAGAGACGAGATGCACGAATGCGGGAAATGACTGCATAAATGCAGACAGTTTTGTCACATACGAATGCATAACAGCGAAGGGAGTTTGATTGCGTGTGCGATGGGGGAACACTTTCGAAGAAGATATTGTTTTGCATAGCGAGTTCGTTCACAAGCAAGGCTGGTTTGAGTTTCGTGCAGGATACCAAGAGACACAAAGATCCCGAATGTATATTTTATTGCAGACATATGACTTCGAGCCCAACCGATGTGCTGTGGCTCAAAACGGGTTGATAACGTATCAAAGAGAGCATCTCGATTATCTCCAAACAAATGAATCAAGAGTGGAAGGTTGATGTGCTGGGCAGCGGGATAGGCGGAGTTTAAGCTTCGAACTGGCACAGAAAGCGTTTCACATGCGAATTGATATGGAGTATTTTGGCTATAGTTGAGCTTGGCGTATGTTTCACGGGGACGACTGATTTCCAAGTAAAGCACGGAAGCAGAGGTGTCGGCCAAATCAAGGACAAAGAAGTGCGGACTGGTCAAGCTAAGAGAAAAGAGGAAGGGTTTGTGATGAGGTGGGAGCTGCAGGACAATGGGAAAGCCACCGCGGTAGAGTTGGCCGTTCAGGGGCCGTTCGCGTGTGACGTTGTTTGAACGGAGAATGGAAAGATGGGAGAATAGAGAGCTGACTATGTACTGCATAGAAAGATCCAAGGTGAGGAGATGAGCTGTAGGTACTGCGATGTATGGAAAGAGGTCCAGACGAACATTCCATCACACGACAACAAAGTGGAATCAACATGCACATTGCAGGTTGCTGCAGAGGAGGCGCTTAAAGGCGGTGAGTGGTCGGTGCACGGATGGCATGGTCTCCAGGGACGGGGACGAAACGCAGTCAAGGCACGGCGCAGATGTGAGAGAGTGCGACAGCCCCTCGGTCTTTTGCACCACCTTTGCCAACCGTCGTCGACTCGCTCGTTCATCTCAACGTCTGCAGGTAGAAGAGTCGTCGTTGGCCTCCCCTTCTACAGCAAATCGCGGCGTCAGACATTTGTTTGCGCACCTTCACTATATCGCTGGCAGCACAGGGGCGCTCTCCACACTCTGCAGCTGCACTCACTCGTCAGAAGGCTCCCACGACGTTACACGACACAACCACGACAAGTTCGCGCATTCAACAATCCTCCCCGGTCTGGTCAACGGCTGCCAAACCTTGTGTCGCGCCACGTCGGAAGAAAAAGGTCGACTCTGTGCCTGAAGCGCTCGCACACAGCGACACACAATGTCGCAACCAAACGGGTATCCTCTCTCCGCTGTTGTCATAGATCGTCCAAGCACAATACTCACACATGGCCGGCAGAATCTACTCCGAGGGCTCCTTTATGAACCCAGGACCTGCCCCTCGTCCTCCCACCGACCGTCCCCGTCTCGCTCTCACCCCCAACGTCAACAATGTTGCCGGCAACATGAGCCAGATGAGCCTGCAATCGCCTGCTTTCAGCAGCTCCACATCTTCCCTACAACGCTCCATGACCGACTTTGGCTCCTCTCGCAATGAATCTTCCGCAGTCAAGTCTGGCTGGGCAAAGGTCAAGGAGGAAGGTGGCTTCATGAAGGGCGTCTTCTGGTCAGAGAAGTTCCTCGTGCTCAGAGAGAAGGCCCTCGACTTCCAAAAGAGCGACACTACACCGAAGATCTCCTTCTCCATCCCCCTCAAGGACGTGCTCAACATCACCAGATCCGAGACGATCCCTTACTCGTTCGAATTGACCAGAGGCACCCCCGGCAACGAGAAGATGGTCATCTGCAAGTTCGAGACAGACAACGATGTCTACGGCTGGATCGATGTCATCTACAACAAGAGTCCTACCATGGGCGGTGTCAGCCACCCCACCTCGTTCGCTCACCGCATCCACGTCGGCTTCGATCCCGTTACTGGCGGCTTCGTCGGCCTCCCCGTCGAATGGCAGAAGCTGCTTAACAGTTCAGCTCTCACACAGGACGACATGGCTAAGAACCCCCAGGCTGTTGTTGAGGCTCTCGAATTCTACACAAGCAAGCTCCAGAAGAGAGCAGAGGACCCCAAGCAATACCCCAGCCTGACCCCTACTCCCCCGGTCGACGCCTACGGCAACAAGCAGCTGGGCCACGGCAATGGAATCGCCCCACCGCGTCCTCAACCCCCAGCTGCCTACACCAGAAAAGAGAGCTACAGCTCCACCCGCAATGTCTCGCCCGCCAGTTCGCAGCCGTCACTTTCGCGCACTAACACGGCGCCGCAGTACGACCCCCGCGTCGAAGACGAACGTCGACGCAAGGATGATGAGAGACGCAGAATGCTCGAGAAGCAGCGTGCGTACGAAGACGCTCAGAGAAGAGAGGCACAAGAGCTGGCAGACTATAACGCTAGTCTACCCAAGCACAAGTTGCCCTTGGCTCAGCAAGAAGTTGGAGGTGGTGGCTATGCCAGCGACCGCGACGCAAGCCCTGCTTCCAGATACAACCCGTCCAGACCCGCTCCGCCTGCACCTTCTTCGTCTGGCCAAAAGGTCAACCCTGTCCGCCAATTGACTGCTCAGCGCCAGGCCCCACAGGCTCCAGCTGCCAATGGCTCCTCTTCCATCCCGAGACCCAGCCCCTCATCCCAGAGACAGCAATCACCTAACAGTCAAAGAAAGCCCAGCGGCCCGTCGGGTGCCCAGGGCATGCACATGCCTTCTGGCTCGTCGCAACAGAGAGAACATTCTCCTTCCGCTCCCAAGCCACTCAATGTCGCATCCAAGCAGCCTATGGGCGCACCTATGGATCCCATCAAGAAGGCTGAGATGGCTCTCACCGCGGCATCCCCCAAGAAGGAAGAGCCCAGAAAGGATGTACGCATGTCGAGCATGACCGATGCCCAGGTCATGGAGAAGCTGCGTGAGGTTGTCTCCAAGGAGCGTCCTCTGGACTCATACAACAAGCAGAAGAAGATTGGTCAAGGTGCTTCTGGTTCGGTCTACGTCGCTCGTATCCGCGAGTCTGCCACTTCGCCCACCGCTCGTCAACAGTTGCGTGAGAACGGCCCCAGAGCTCAGGTGGCCATCAAGCAGATGGATCTTCGCAACCAGCCTCGCAAGGAGTTGATTGTTAACGAAATTATTGTCATGAAGGACAGCAAGCACCCCAACATCGTCAACTTCCTCGACGCATTCTTGCAGGAAGAGAGCAACGAGCTCTGGGTCGTCATGGAGTTCATGGAGGGTGGTGCCCTTACCGATGTCATCGACAATAACCCCAGCATTTCCGAGCCGCAAATTGCTACCATCTGCTACGAAGTAAGTCCAGAAATCCTTCAGTCAACATGACCACGAGCTAACAACATTCTCAGACTTGTAAGGGTCTCATCCACCTTCACCAGCAGAACATCATCCACCGTGATATCAAATCAGACAATGTCTTGCTTAGTTCGCGAGGCAATGTCAAGATCACCGACTTTGGTTTCTGTGCCAAGTTGACCGAACAGCGCAGCAAGCGCGCCACTATGGTCGGAACTCCCTACTGGATGGCCCCCGAAGTTGTCAAGCAAAAGGAATACGGCAGCAAAGTCGACATCTGGTCCCTGGGTATCATGGCCATTGAGATGATCGAGTCCGAGCCCCCATACCTTAATGAGGAGCCTTTGAAGGCATTGTACTTGATCGCCACCAACGGCACACCACGTCTTAAGAAGCCCGAAGCCCTTAGCAAGGAGCTGAAGAGCTTCCTGAGCGTGTGCTTGTGTGTCGATGTCAAGTCTCGTGCAACCGCCGAGGAGCTTGGTAGACATGACTTCCTCAAGACTGGATGCAACCCCAACATGCTCGCCGAGCTGCTAAGATTCAGAAAGCAGTCCGGCCATTGAGCCCAATCATTTGCATCGAAATCTGCACATACTCATAGTACCTGAGCGCTGGTCATTTGCCTCTTTCGATCATATGCACATCATACCGTTCCGTAGTCGGAATTACCAGTGTACGCACTTGTGAGAAGACGACCGAGCGAAACATTGTCTGCAAGGAAGAAGACACACTACACGATCCGGAGATATGAATGACTAGAGGCGAAACCGCCCATAACGACCTTGATGATGAAGAGAGAGGGGAGATCTTTCATGTTTGCCTTACGTCCACATCGTCAAAAAGCATCTCTTGTTCTAGATCTTGCGAAAGAAGCGCGGAAGAGACGACTGCCTGTGTACCATTTTCCTTCATCACATTCTTAGCAGATTGTTGGATGCAGGATGGAGGGCTAAGTACTGTTTGTTCAACTTATCCTGGACTGCTTCTATGCTCTTCTCAGAATAAAGAGAATGGTCCGGAGGAGATTGGGAAAGAGAGCGTAGCTAGGACTCAGCTTGCCAAAGGAACGCTTCCATCTTAATTAGCCGGTGTTTGTAGAAGATGCTTTGGACAAGCAAGGTACCGAACAGATAGGTATCTCGGACTCTTAGAGCAGTTCTTAAAGCATCGAAACAATTATCTTCAAACCTGAAATGCCTTGGTCCAGCGTCAATCGAGTCTCGATGATGATACAAGTAGGCGAACAGCGCCAAGATTTCGACGGCCCACCGAAGTTTGCGCGGGATGTTGTCGACGCCGCCGACTTTTTCGCGGAGTGTCTCGATCACCCAGCAGATCAATCACAATCAAGATGGACTCTATTCTTGGTCTCGTACAGGCGCTGCCTGCTACCGACTCATGGGGCCCTACGGTCACCACCGACACACTGCGCGACGGTCTTCCGTACGCCCCCTTCTCCAAGGGCGACAAGCTTGGCCGCATGGCCGACTGGACCACCGAGGGCAAGGACCGTGAAGGCAGAGGAGGCAGACAACAATACGGCCGCAACTTCAGAGGTGAGAGGAGCTCAAAGACAGTAGCGCGGAAAGAAACAGCGAGATTGACAGGTTACAAACAGACCAGCCCTACGGCGCCGGCGCAGGACTCCAGACCGCTCTCAACATCGAAGGCCTCGGCGAGGAAGCCAGTTTCTCCATCGTCGACAACTCGCGCACTGCTGCTCGCCGCACTTTCGGCCGTGGCGGTGGTACCGTTTTCCGTGGACGTGGAGGTGCTCGTGGTGGCGCTGCTCAGCGTGGTGGCCGCGGTGGCACTTTCCAGCGCGTTGGTGGTGGCAGACCCGGACAACAGCAATACGACAACCGCTCACAGCGCGGAGGCCGTGGTGGCCGCAGAGGAGGCTGGAAGGACTGGGACAAGCCGCAACGCACTCGTGAGGCTTCGGTCCAGCCTCGCGACACCTGGAAGCTGCTCGAGGAGATTGACTTTAACCGTCTGATCAAGCTGAACCTGGAGACTGGAGAGGGCGAGGATGTCGAAGACTACGGATTCCTCTACTACTACGACCGCCAGTTCGACAAGCAGCCCGGTGCCCCCACCTCTGTCCGCAAGCTCAACGTTGTCGAGCGCGCAGCCTACAATGTCACCACTTCTCACGATCCCATTATCCAGGAGCTGGCCCAGAAGGACGCCGCTTCCATCTTCACCACCAGCGATATCCTGTCCATGTTGATGTGCGCTCCTCGCTCCGTCTACTCTTGGGATTTGATCATCACCAGACAGGGCAACAAGGTCTTCATCGACAAGCGTGAGGGCAGCAATGTCGACCGTGTCACCGTCAACGAGAACGCCGCCGATGCACCCCTCGAGACCTCCGAGGGCACCAAGGACACCATCAACAACGTTGGCGCCCTCATGGAGGAGGCCACCCACATCAACCACGTCTTCCCCATCCAGACCGTCACCGAGAGCCAAACGTCCAAGCGCGACATGGCCAACGAGCACCCTTTCTACAACCCCGAGGAGGAGACCGACCCCCCTGCCTCCAAGGCCTACAAGTACCGCAAGTTCGACCTTTCGCTCGAGGCCGACGAGCAGCCGCTACACATTATTGTCCGTACCGAGCTCGACGCCGTCGTCAAGAACGCCATCTCTGGCGAAGACCAATACCTCACCATCAAGGCTCTCAACGAGTTCGACAACAAGGCCATCGGTAGCGGCGGTGCTCTTGACTGGCGTACTAAGCTGGCATCCCAGCGTGGTGCCGTTGTTGCTACCGAAATGAAGAACAACAGCTGCAAGCTCGCTCGCTGGGCCACTCAGGCCATCCTCGCAAAGGCTGACCAGATGAAGATTGGGTAAGTTTTGGTCCAGAACTTCTGCTACAAACAACAAATGCTAACATGCGATCTAGTTTCGTTTCGCGTGTCAACCCCAAGACCGCCAACGACCACGTCATCCTTGGTGTCCTCGGCTACAAGCCCCGCGAGTTCGCTACCCAGATGAACTTGAATCTCAACAACGGCTGGGCCATTGTCCGCACTTTCGTCGACATGGTCATGTCGCAAGAAGAGCAGGAGGCCAAGTTCGTCCTTGTCAAGGACCCCAACAAGCCCACGATTCGCCTCTACAACGTCCCTCGCGACACCTTCGAGGAGGAAGACGAGATGGCCGGCATCGACGAGGAGTAAAAGCTGTATTCCTTGTCTTTATGAGGATGACTTTTTGTGAGAAATGGAAATATGCTGGGGGATAGACGGCGAAGGGCATGGTCCATTTTTTGTGTGTTCGTCGAAAGTACAGAAAAAGCGAATGTTACTCTTTTTACGACATGAATTTCTTCCTTCCTTTCCTTACTCTCAATAGGACATCACTTGATGTTAATTTGGACAATCTTAATATCCTGCTAGATCATGTTTCAAGGAGAGTCGAACCTTGGTACAAAGACTGGCGAGGTTGTTGAAAGCGGTCTGGTGTTCAGCTTGGCAAGCGCGACGTTGCGGGACGATCGTCATCGTTCATGTGAAAGGGAAAGGGCAAGGGCTGAAGGGCAGTCAATACAATAAGTCCACGTTTGCTGCCTCGTGCTGGCTCCAGACTTCCACATAATCACATCCACATATTGCTAGATCAAGATGGTATTCCAAAGCCACGGACCTGTCTCGTTCACAAAGACGACGTTGTCATACCCAGTGTATGCAGCCGAGTTTGACCCCTACAATCGTGGCTACCTCGTAGTTGGCGGAGGAGGTGGTCAAGGTCGCAGTGGTGTCGCAAACAAGATTGTAAGATATGCTTGGAGTCCGAGTCTCCTATTGTATATACTGATATATAGCAGACTCTACTGGACACGAGCAAACGCGCAACTCTGGATACGACGGCCGAAATCGAGCTCTCGAGCGAAGAAGATTCAATCACCTCATTGGCTACACTGGCTTCCAAGGATGGCCTCATCACCCTAGCTGGAATCAATTCATCCGAGGCGGATCAGAAGGCTGGAAAGAACGAGCACTTGCGCACCTTCGAGATCAAGTACCCAAAGAAGAAGCAGCCCTCGGACGAGAAGCAAGACACGGATACTGCAACAGCACAGGACGGCTCGATCTCGTTCGTTGGCAAGACAAGCATCTTCAAGCCAGCTACTGGGCCTAAGCCAGAAACATATCAGCGGGTGCTGCGACTCTCGCCTACATACAAGCGCGACTCACCGAACAGACGCATTGGAGCTGTTGCAACAGGACTGGCCAAGCAGTCCGAGATTGTCGTCTTCGATGCCACAAGAACGCCCACCACCGACTCTGATATCATTGCTCGCATCCCGCTACGCGACAATGCCGAGGCTGCAGATCTGGACATTACTGAGCTGGAAACAAATACCTTCTCAATCACCTGGGCCACCGATTATGATGTCTACGAGCAGACTGTCATGTACAACTTTGAAACCAAAAAGGCTTCCTTTTCTCCTCCAAACCCGCGTAAGGTCTACACCATGCCTTTGCGTCAAGATGCCACAAAACCGGCACGTCCCAAGTATCGTGCTATCAGATGGTTGGGTAACGAAGATGTCCTACTTTTGAGCAACCTGCCTGGTCGTTCTGGCGCAGAGTTGAGCATCGTCCACTTTTACCCGTCCGGTCCCGCGATGCAAGTCAAATTGAAGGGACTACCTGGCCACGTTAAGCAAGCTGTTGGTCTTGACGTCTGCAGTCTGGACTCGGACAAGGCTGGAAACAAGCAAGTTGTTGTGGCCGTTGCAAGTCACGACATCTCTATCCCTGTCTACACGCTCGACTACAATGCCAACACGCACACTTTTGGCAAGTTCAAGCGCTTCACCACTCTTCGCGATGTACATCCGCTACAAATGACCTGCCTACGCTTCTCGCCATTCCACAGCCCGGTTCGTGCTCCTGCACCCGAGCAGGATAAGAAGGGCAATCCGATACCCGCCAAGAATCCCGTTCATCCCGGTCCTCAGTACATCAAGCTATGCAGTACCAGTATGGGCAACACTGTTGTCGTAGACACTTTCGCTCTCCTCCCATCTCAGCCTGCAGACCGTCTAAGTCGTTATGTTCTTTTGCATCCTTCGGATGAGGTCCGTCAACGAACCACCTACGGCATTCTTATCGGTTTCGCAGTCTTGGTGTTTGCAGTGCTTCTCCAGTCAGTGTACTCAAGCGATCCTTTTGCACCCAGTTTCGCCGATATCATTCCTCTACCAGCATCATGGCAGAAGACCCTGGCACACCCAGCAGGCATTGCCGATAGTATGGGCCGCAAGGGCTGGGAGCCAATCGCCGATGCCGCCTCCACCGTTTCTTCCGCCGTCCCAGCGGCAGCATCCTCAATATCATCCGCCGTCCCCGAAGCAGCATCCGCCATCTCCTCGGCCATCCCCTCCGCCATAGCATCCCCCGGCACAAAAATCGCCGACTTGCTAGATATGCACTTTGCCCTCCCCGGCGGCTCTTCCAACGACCAAAAAGCCGTCATTGTGCGTGACCCTGGCCAAGGCAAAAGCCTCGCCGTTCACATGGGCGACAAACAAGCATACATGGCGCAAGACGAAAAAGCAAGACATTGGCATGAATTCAACGAGGAAGAGAAGAAAGTTTGGAAAAGTAGATTGGTGGAGGCTGGACATTGGACTGTTGAAGAAGGGGAAACTATCCTTAAAGGTGTTGTGTTTAGTAGTTGGGCGGGATTTGTGGGGAGGGTTGCTGGGGAGGTTATTAGAGAGCTTTGATTGGATTGAGGGAGGGGGGGAGTGCAGAAGGAGGGGGATTTTTGAGGTGGTGGAAAGGGGGGGGGGAGGTAAAGGTGATGGTGATGGTGTGGTGCTACTTATTTCCTAATCGCTATTCCTTGAGATGGAATTACTCTTATTCCTAGATCAGGTAGTCGTTTAACCGACAAGAAAGAGCTAAATACACGATTCCTTTTTTCCAACGTTTGGCTCCGAGCTATATGGAGAAAAGAGAAACGAGCGAAAATATCTTGATCCTAAAACGTTATCCTTCGTTCGTAACCCTTGTATACAGAGAAAGAGTTGGAGAAAAAGGCGTATTGAAATGGGCCTCTTTGCTAGGAAATATAAGGGTAGCAGACATTAGCTTTTTTTTTATTCTTGTAAGAGGATGCTAAGGGGGGGTTTTTTTTTTTTTTGGATATTGTGGCTTTTGGTGTTTGGGGAGATGAGGCAAGGAGGCAAGGAGGTAAGGAGGCAAGGAAGAAAGGAGGGGAAGAGGGAAGGATTCAGAGGCTACTCGAGAGGCTGTTTAGTTGGAGAGAAAGTTGTTGTAGGAATAGTTGTTGGAGGGTTGGGGTTTAGGGATGTAATGGTATGGGGATTTCGTAGGATCGTATAGTTAGAAACGTTTTCTTTTTTTGGTATTGAGGGGGGTGGGAGAAGGGTTTGGGTTTGATGCAAAATAAAATACAAAATCGAGGTCTTTTTCCTTTGTTTGATTTGGAGATTTGGCCGATTTACTTTTTGCAAGAAAGGGGTGGCTATTATTGTAGGAGATGGTTCTACTTGATATTAGAGTAGATTTTTCTTCTTTCCGTTTACGACAAGGGATACAAGTCGTGGAGAAGGCTGATAACGATGGATGTGATTTTCGCAATGATAGTTTCATATTAATATTATTTATACATTGTATCAAAACTCCCCAAGATTATATGCCTGACGTCGTACTTGTCGTGTCTAAAGTCTTGTGACGCCCATATCTATGTATCCCTCCATGTTCTTCTTGTCCTTTTGTTACACTGCCATATCTTTCTTCTCACTTTGCAGCAAAACGACTCTTTGCTCTCAATTGCTCTCCATAGAAGAACAAGATGAAAATGCCAGCAATACAAAGCGTAGTCAACCCTGCCAGAAGACTAACACCAGGTCCAACACCCAGATTAATAAACATGGGTCTCGAGAAAAGAATAGCCGCAGCCGCCAAAGTAGATCTCGCAGTATCGTTTCCAGCAAACAGACTCCCAGCATACGCCGGATACACCATGGGCAAATAAACAAAAACACATTGAAAGAGGATAAACACACCAATCATGTTAATCACAATACCCACACAACTCACAATCCAATGGATTTTCCCATCGCCTGTCCATGCAAAGATGAATAAGCCTATGGGGACGAGGAAACTGGAGAAGAGAGCGGGGATTAATCGACGTTCGGGGGATCCCATGCCGTGGGCACGGATTTCGGGTTCGACAATGTAGTAGAGGTAGGCGTAGTATGCTACAATGGAGATTACGACACCGACGGCGATGGAGAGGAAGACGAGACCGGTTTCTCCGGCGTTGAAACCATAGCGTTCCATGTAGACCAAGGGGAAGGATTCGAAAAAGGAGTAGAAGATTGCGTAGCAGAGGGCAATGTAGATATCGGCGTAAGCCTAGGAGGAGGACAGAAATTAGCACTGAGAATAAACAAGGGAGAATTTCTGGTCAAGGGAGTGCTTTGACTTACGATAGCAGGGTCCAGAGCAATGAGTTGAAGAGGTCTCCACAGAGCTTCCACAACCATATCCTTGAACGCGCGTTGAGCTTGATTAATCTCGGACTGCGCCTTTAGATTCTGGTTGCCGGTAAGTTTTCGGAGTCTTTGAGCACGACGCAATAAGATGGTCTCTGGGTATGTCTCGGGCAGGAAGAAGAAGAGTGTGAGCCACACGGGTCCAGCGAGCCAAAGCATTTCCCATAGAGACCATCGCCAGTTCATAGCTGCGACGCTGAATCCAGAGATGATGGGTCCGAGAGCAGGTCCAATGCAGGCTGCGGCTGCCCAACAGCAAAGGACATAAGGGAGCTTGATCAGTGAATACATGTCTTGGAGACTAGCTCCACCGGTAGCGAGGATGGGAGAGCCAAAGAAGCCCTGCAGGAATCGCAACACCAGTAATCCTGCAAAGTTGTCCACCAGAGCTGTTGGCAGACACAAAATAGTGAAAATAGCAAAGGTGATGATGTACGGTGGATTCCTGCCAATCGAGGGGATCTCAGACAAGGGCGAGAAGATCAGAGGCCCAATGCCGTAAGCGAAAACGAAGAGAGCGATACCGAGGGATGCAGCAGTCGCTGATACGCCAAAGACTCGCATGACACCCTCAGCCGATGGTGTATAGATGGCTGATCCAGTATATACAGCCGTGGTGTAGATACAAATCAGGGCAGTAACCATGCCTTTCTTCACATTGGACCAGTTCTGAGGATTGGCCGGATCTGCCGTAGTATACCAATCAACGAGAATGATACCGTCTGCAGTTCGAACTGGCTGTATCGGCTCAGAAGGATGTTGTGGTTCGGCTGCGGCAGCAAAAGCTTCTTCGAGATCTGCTCTAGTCTTCGAATGCTCCAAGGCGATCCGCGAGCCCACTCGCGACAAGGCAGATCTTGCAGTATTGGTCTTGCTCAAAGCATGATTACTGGCATCGGTTTCGGTTCGTGTGAGTCTGGGGTGGTCTGGTTCTGCCAGTTCTTTCTCCAGTGCATCTTTTATGGAGTTATTACTAGATAAGATTGATGGGACGCTTTGAAACAGTGAAGGTGTCGTCTTCTCGGTATCGGCGCTGGCGTAGTCGGGATAAACAAAACCTGGCTTCTCTTCTGGATACCGGAGGAATCTGTTCTTTGTAACATATCTGATGATTTGCCCAATGGGGGCGTCTCTAATGACTTCTGACATAGCAGTGTGCTCAGAGTATGTAAGGTGAAATAAAGAGTAGGTAACAGGTCCGAGTCTAGGTTTGGAGATGATCTGGTGGAACAGAGGAATGGAAATTACATGTACGGTAGCACATACATATACTCCAGTTCTACCTCCATACTTACAAAGCTGATGATTGCGTGCGAACTTGTTAAGTAAGCATGCCAAGCGACACGGAGTGTTTGATGTCTAAATTCATGGAGATTAGCAGCACCGGGGACTATCTGTCGTTTGGCAAAGTCATGATCCTTGTCGTTGGAAGTGGTGCTTGTGGAATATGTACCACACTGTGATTGGTCGAAGCTGGGGTTTGTCAGCCGCTTGTTCGAGCATGGCTGACAAACGTTGTCTTCAGTCTCTGCCTCAATACCGTCGAACGCGCATGATTGCAGACACCGCCCACGTTGACGGATGAATATTCATGCCGGTCTTACAAAGCTGTCAGACTCATTGTGGTCTTTAAGGCTGATCACCCAGAAGCTATGCTGATCCCTTGATTTTGGTTGGAGAGTGCCTGGAGACTAGATCTCATGCGTAGTCATAGTCATGGCCTCATGATATCGAGGAATTACTGAGTATTGTACCACAAGTAGTGGAGCATGAAGAGTCGGTGTTAGCACAATTGCGAAGACGAAGACTCGAATTGCTTGTAAATGTCGGACTCGACTCACGAGGCAGCTATGGGGGCTGCTGATTGACGATGGCTTCCATACCGCAAAGTCTTGGCTCGATCGACGGCACGGTAATCACACCAAGCGCTTCGACGAAACTCAAAATCTTGCTTCACTTCCACGCTACGACATCATTTCTGATCCGGTGACAAAGGGGCCTTCTAAATGTTACGATGCGCGGTATCAGGGAGAGCCTCGCGGAATTTACTATTCTCATACCGTAGTCATCATCAATGCTGTGAAAGCTTGATCGGTAAACAACGTTTTCAGACGCGGTCATTGAGCTTCCTGCCGTTTGCACCAAGCGAGGAAGTTGCTGCGAAAACAGCACCAGCAGATGACAGTCTCGATATACCTTCAGGAAACGCCAAAACAATTGATACGGCATCTGGATCCTCGGAGTTCCCACTAGAACAGCAGTCTGCAAGGGAGATCCCTTTGAGCAGCTCGACCAGCCTATCAACACATGGTACTGCACTCCCCAGATTAAACAAAAACCATGAAATCGGAAGCACTGGAATTCCAGGATCAGATCAACAGCTTATTCAACGAGGTTCCGACGAACAGAGGCTCAATGTGGAAGATGAACCGCCTGATTTCGACGAGGCGCCTTATGCCATAACTCTTCCTGACGACACCATTGTGATCTTTGCTCCGGGGCACCAAGTGGACGAGAATACGTTCAAAGCACTCCAGCAGTTCTGGCAAGAATTCCAAAAACTCAAGCTCTTCGCGGCGAAGGAAGGCGTCGCACTAGTCGTCACAAGGTACATTTCTTTTCAAAAAAAAAAAGAAAACTGCGATTATGACTGACACTTCCAGCACGACGCCGAGATGGATCCGGTTATGGATCTATGATTCCATTTCTCCTCCTTTAGCGGTACAGAGTATGCTCGCTGATATGAAAGTTTACAAGTGCAACATAAAATTAGACTCAAATCCTGCGGGATCGTCTTATAATCGCTTCACACACAAAGATCAGACGCATTTGGGGTGGCGTAAATTGAACTTCAGGGATAAACTCCTTCCAGCACTCTTCAATCAAACAGGTCTTGTGGACTGCTCTGGAAGTTTGCGAGCCATCGAGCCTACGGTTCATCCAATAGGTCAAGCATGGCAACAGATCTATTTCGAACTTCCTGCGGAACAGAGACCCGAAGAACTACTATACCTTTCTCTTCTTGATCCGCACAACTCACAGGCCCTGCAGATTACGCTGGCCGAGAAACTTGTAGCACATGACAAACACTTCGACGTCAAGAAGCATGCTGTGACACTGAGTCAGGAGCAGGAAGACGTCCTAGTAGACTCTTCCGACAGACTGGAAGCGAAATCAGGCCTCAGCGAAGAAGCGCATAACACCAACGACGAACCTACCGATCTTGGATCGAAGCTAGTTCCCTCTATATCGGTGACCTTGTTCGATGGGACCTTAATCATCCTCAGATCAAGCCTCGAGCATATACTGCAGCGAATTTCTCAATGGTGGACGCAGTTCCCTGACCGGTCTAATGGGGGCTCGTACAACCACCCTCTATTCATATTTGCTCGCTCCGGTCAATCCACGACTCACATCAGTATTAGAGTGATTGGCCAACAGGATTGGTTGACCGAGCCAATGATGCGGTATGGGTTGACTTATAGCATTACGGCCGAAGGATGTTTGCTTGAGAATCACGAGACACGGGAGACGCTCATACCAGATAAAATGTCTCCACAGATAAAGAGAAACTTGATTCGCAACACTCTATCACAGAGTCATAAGGCCCTCCAAAATCACATCGGAACAATGGACAGAGCAGGCGTCTTACAAAAAAGCGAGCATCCAACTATCCATCCTCTGTTGAGCGAGAGGGCTGCGACAGGTTCCTTTACCAACTCTGTAAGAAATTATGGTCTTAGGAGACAATCAAAGGTTGGACCCATACCAACAGAACCGTTATCTACGAGAGACAACGAGCGGGCGGAAGTCCAACTTCGACAAAACCGAGCACTCTCAATATACGAGCAAATTGCGACTACCATGAGATTAGCAGGTGCGGTTTACGAAGTCATTAAGATGTTCGACGACGAGATACAAAAAGGCCCGCCACAATTGGATCACAACTTCACTCCATTTGATGCAGTCGGAGCGAGCATTACCAGCATGTCAAACCCAGTATTCGAGACCCTCAAAGCTGGTGAGATCGACATTGAAGCCGTCCACGAAGCCATGACAAGGCTGAAGGCTCGATTTGATGGATCGGAAGAGAAGGCTGAAATTTTGTCCTCTCTGTGCAAGCGATGGAAGGCAGAGGTGCAAAAGAGGTACCCACCGCCAACAAGAAAAGTCTTGCCGCCGAGCGATATTGAAATCGCGTCACTACATGAAGATGTTTCCACAGAAAACTATTCTGTGGCGTCCGGCAAGCCGCTGATCAGGTATGGCCACTCTGTCGCTTACCAGAATAAGAATGATGGAAGGGGAGACGGCGAACAACCCCGATACCAAGCGAAAATTCCCAAAGGCGGCGATGAAGAATTCTCCATATTCGCCATGTGAGCAATCAAGAGTAATTTGATAGAGGCCGCAACGATATGTATATTGTTCACAGTATCATGACTGGCAAGGTAAATGCTGGCACTCATTGTAGTCAGGCCCACTTTCATATGCCAGCCATACACACATGCTCGAAGTACGATATTCAACCCCCCCGCGAGATGTATTTAACAGATATCAAGAGGGAGAATGGATGGCCCAAATAGCCTTCGCGATTCCTGTGACGTTACTGCCAGCGCACGATACAGTTGTTGAGAAACGAAGAGCAAGACGCTTATCAGATCATCTATTGATCCGGTTGGGAAAAGTGGGCCCGCGTTGCACGCACCCGCTGGGCATCGGTGTGCCCGTCCGTGTTCCTGCTCCCGATCCTAGACCCCTTACACTTGCAATGAAGACTCGCCCAAGTAGTGTTCAGAAGCTCAATGTGATCAACACTTGACTATTGCTCTTGCTCGCTTTCACAAAAGGGCAATTTGGGCAGTATGGTGAACACCCGTTGTGCCCGAGGCCAAGCGAAGCGGCGTTGATCACAGCCCGCCTACACGCGACCCATCCACCATCAGCGCGAAAAACTTGCGCCGGAAGCGTCAGAGCCACTGGTCAGAGTCCCGGCTTTCACTGCACCACGAAGCGGCTCTTTATGTCAATACCTCACTATCAGACGTTCTCGGAGGCGGATCTGGTCCGCAAGATTATCGCAGCTGGAGCTCTGTGGCTGCTGCCAAGGCAAGCGAAGGATTGAGTAGCTCGGGCCCGGTCCTCTGCAGAGCGGATCTGATAGGTTATCAAATCAGATCCGCTGGTCGGATCTAAGCATCTTGAGCAATGATAGGCGAAGGTGAGTGTGGCCTGCCCTTCCAGACGCTGTGGTTTGCATGGGCTGTACGGCTTGCCCTTGCCCTTTGTAACGGCTCCTGGTCTTCTTGGTAGCTGTTCGTGACTCGACACCGTACGGACCCAATCTTTCCTTTTTTTTCCTACATTGTGGCGTGTTGCAATGAGTTCTGGCACGCAGGATGTGGGTGAGTGGGGTCTGTCTTGTGGCATATAATATGCTGTTCATCCTCGTTATTTGAGTCCTTGCAAGTTAGATCGATCGACCTCAGCTCTGCGGTCCACTTCTCATCTTCATCATGAGACTCAGGATTCCCAACATCATCTCAAGGCACAATGAAGTGCCGGACGTGGCCGAAACTGCTACTGGTAGCGATGTCGAAGTCGCTGGTACCCAGCAGCTGAACGAGAAGGACGGTGTCCAGGCTCAAGTTTCGAGCAAGCCTGAGGAAGAGGCTGTCACTCCAGAGTTCCAGCACGGTGTACAAGCCGCGCAGGCTACCAATCAGGTCTGGACAAGGAACCATCTAATCGCAGCTTATATCATTATCTGGGTCATCAACTTCATCCAAGGCTTCGGCTCAGGCATCACTGGTATGATCTGTCAAGAGCTTTCCTGGAAGCAAGTGACTGATGTATGTTTCTCTAGGCACATTGACCCCTTACGTTACCAGCTCCTTCCAACAACACTCCTTGACCGCCACTACCAGCATCATCTCAAGCTTGATCAGTGGTCTGTGGAAGCTTCCTTATGCTAAGATCCTCGATGTCTGGGGGCGTCCTCAGGGCTTTGCATTGATGGTTGCATCTACTGTGCTTGGCTTTGTCATGATGGCTGGGTGTAATAACGTTACAACATACTGTGCTGCTCAAGTTTTCTATCAACTTGGATACAGCGCCATTGATTTTACCATCACCATTTTCGTTGCAGATACATCCTCGCTACGCAATCGTGCTGTCAGTCAGATCCTACCACTCTCATGGTCAATTACTAACTTGTCGTCTAGTGGTGGATCGCATATACTGCTTCGCCATGGCTGATAGTGACATGGTGCTATGGACCCGCGACCAACTCCGTGCTTGAGACCATCGGCTTCAGATGGGGCTTTGGTATCTGGGCAATCGTCTATCCCATCGTATGCGCTCCTCTCTTCTGGCTAATGTGGCACAACCTGAAGAAGGCCGAGAAAATGGGTCTCATTCCCAAGCAAGATAGCGGACGCACCTGGAAGGAGTCTGTCTACTACTACGCCATTCAGTTCGATGTCGTTGGTATCCTGCTCATCGCCACTGGTCTCTCACTCTTCCTGCTGTCCTTCAGCTTGTACTCGTACCAAGCCGAACAGTGGAAGTCACCCATGATTATATGCTTCCTAGTCTTTGGTATCATCCTCATGTTTACTTTTTCCTTCTGGGAAGCCAAGGTCGCTCCTGTCACCTTTATCCCTTGGCACTTGATGAAAGACCGCACTGTCATCTTTACCTTTGCCATGGTTGCTGCCATCTACAGTGGTTACAACATTTGGTATGACTACTTTTACAGTATGCTCATTGTGGTCTTCAACACCAATGTCAGAGATGCTACTTATATCCTCAACATCTATACTATCGGAGCCACGTTCTGGTGTCTGGTTGTCGGTGTTCTTATCCGGTATAATGGACGCCTGAAGTGGATTGCGCTATACTTTGGTGTACCTGTCAACCTCTTGGGAGTTGGTTTGTTGATAAAGTTCCGCCATCCAGACACCAATATCGGCTACATTGTCATGTGCCAGCTTTTCATCGCCTTCGGTTCGCTGCTCCATCAATGACTTGTTGACTATTATGCTAATTCTCTTCGAAAATATAGGTGGTGGCACTTTGGTCATCTGCGAACAAATGACCGTCATGGCAGTCAGCACCCAACAAAACATCCCCGCCATCCTCGCCTTTGAATTCATGATCGCCAACATCGGTTCCTCCATCGGTTCCGCCATCGCCGCCGCCATGTGGACCGGTCTCTTCCCCACAAACCTCGCCAAATATCTCCCCGCCTCTGCTCTTCCCGACTTGCAAACTATATACGGAGATTTGACAGTGCAAAGCTCTTATGCTATTGGTTCTCCCGAGAGGGATGGCATTAATAGGGCGTATGGCGAGACGCAGAAGTTGATGTGTGTGGCTAGTACTTGTATCTATGCTACTATTATTGTGTGGGTTTCGTTGTGGAGGGAGATTAATGTCAAGGGGATGAAGCAGACCAAGGGTATGACTATGTAAATCGATTAGACCTGGTATAGTCTTATAAGGATTGGAGAATTTGGTGGGTTGTCTAATACGTTTGGATACCGCCCTCCAGTCCAAAAAAAAAAAAATCTAATATCTGTGAGAATTTACAAAGCCCATATATACACCTCTCACGCTTGACTCTTTTCTCATCAAAACCTGCTGGCTTCATATTTTGTGGCACTGATTTACGCTCGGCTGCAAAAGCCGCACTCCATGGTGTTCCATCTCCAGGAGACACAGAATGTACCAAGAAGTCACTGATGAGATACCAGACATCGTGAGCGTGTACAGAATCAATCAAATACTGTAACGACTGAATTGCAAGATCAGTCCATCAAGGGCTTCAAGACACACCTCCAGATCGTGCCACGATGCCTGCATGAAGAGACAGTACGACTCTCCCAAAGACACCGCTGAGAAGGGCGGTAAGAACGAAAAGGAGAATATTCAAGAGGGAAGAGAATCGGCGCCTTTAGTGTGTTATCAGAGAAGAGTATCAAGTAAGAGGGGGAAAGAGCATGAGCAACGAAAGAGATGATTATTGAATTGGACGAGAAACCTTCATACAACGAGAAGCGCTATAAGCAGCTAGAAAGTGAAGATTAGAACCAATCATCTCCCATCATCACTCATCATATAACAAAGAAGCCAGGAAACAGCATTGTCATCAATTCCCCAATGCAAAATCTTACTCGACCTCCCATATGCAAACCATGCACGCAAACCCCCCAATCAAATACCATCCTCCTTACCAATCCTTGACGTCAAAAACGCCATTCTTCTCCCTATGAGCAATCCACCTATCAGCCCACCCCTTCATCCTCTCCCTCCCCTTAGCACTCCCCACATTAACCGTAGGAATAATCTTCTCCACCCTCAATGCAGTACAAAACATTGTCAACTCCCTAAAACTCGAATGCTCCGAATACGGCACCCCGAAACATTTGGCACGATTCGTAGAGCCTCGTTGTGGTGACAGGTCTTTGATGGAATAGGTCGATTTCCAAGAGGTAGAGTATAAAATGTTGGATACATTGGGAGTGTCGAGGCGGGAGGATGGGGGTTTGTAGTTCCAGCCAGAGGGTCGGAAGCCGATGCAGCGGTCAAAGTGGTCGGCGTAGCCTTGACGGTAGTCGTCGAGGGTGTCGGCGCGGATTTCAAAGATTGGCGTCATGTGGACCTGCGCTTCCCTCGGGTCTGTGGTGAGTAAGCCACTTAGTTCGGGATCTTCCAATGCGCGGCAGATTCGCTGTTTTCCTGCAGGAGCATATATTTTGGAGCCGAGGGCTTTGGCTATGCCGATGCAGATGCGTTCTTTGCCGATGGAGTAGGTGCCTACGACGACGAGGAGACGTGCTGCTTTTGTGCTGGTCAATTTTCCATTGTTGTGCAGTTTCAGTTCCGTGGCGTCTGAAGGCTCGGTTTTGACCTTGACATCGTCTTCGTCTTCTTCGGGCTTGATGGCTGATTGCGAGTCTTTTCGGACAAAGCTTGCCATGCCTGCACTTTCTGACTTGAGAGTGTCCAAGACCAGTGGATCGTCGTTGTAGCGTACGCACATGTCTGCGCAAGCTTTAATGACATGCTCTTGCTCTGGGAAAGCATACTTGGGATTCAAATAGGTTGTGTCGAGATAGCAGACATCAATCTTCTGCTCCTTGTTCTTTCCTGAGATGTGGTCTTGTACATCTGGTCGCAGCAGAGGATGTTGAAGATGCATACGGCATGCTCTGAAATCGCCACAATGCAGTATACGCTGCAGCTTTGGGTCGGGCCCTTTACTGAGTGGCTTCTCGAACAGATACAGTGATGAGCCTGGGCAATGATTTGCTGATATCATGGTCACCATGACACCAGGCGTACCTGGAACTTCTGTCGGGACCTCCCAATCTAGTGCAATGACGTATTCTGGATTGACTCGCAGCTGTTGTTTGACCAGATTTGCCGTGACCTTGCTGCAGTAGATCGGGCCATGAGTCCAGGTACTTGTCAAACCGACGTAGTGATCACTATGAAAATGGCTCAGGAAGTAAGCATTGCAACCAGCGACAGCGCCGTATCTGAAAGCATCCACTGCGATGTTGGTACCGGGTAAGATCTTGTAGAACGGACATGTGCGTGTATAACTTGGTTTTCCACGAGAAGCATTCTCGGCAGCGGCGGCATTCGCCCATGCCATGTCTTCAGATCGGCTAGTCATAAGCTTTGAGAATGCAGAGCTCGAAGAGTCGTGTCCTAGAGGTTGTGGTTGTGATGGTTTTGCTGGTCGAAGAGGCTTCTTGAATCGTGCTGGTGATAGAGCATGTTGGGCTGGTTTCTCCTTCTTCTCGGGCAAGGGTGTCGGGTTGCCATCGAGACAATTGTTGACATGTACGCCTGCGTCAGACTCTGCTATGCCAGCCAGACTGACACTGCAGATTGGACACGAAGGGGCATCTGCTTCCGGAGTCTTCATCTCGTCGTCTTGGAAACTATCGTCTTCACCTTCTTCAAGCTTGATCTGTTCTTGTTCCATCCACAGTCTCTCGACATATTCCTCGCCCTCGTCAAAAACATCATCTTCAAAGTCGTCAGTTGCCTCGAAGTCGCCAAAATTGTCTTGATCTGCTACTGACGCGGAAGTAGGTTGGTGGATCAACGATGGTGGTTGTTTGAGTTCTGTCTTGATGGTTGCAGGTTGATCTACCGGCTTTGTGTCATCCTGTTCGTCTTCGCTATCGGATTCTTCCATGAAGGGACCAGTTGCAGCCTTCATGAGGAATGCGGACTTTGTTTGCTCTACTGCTGTGGTGATTGGAGGCATGGGGTTCGTGTTGTCTACAGCATCAGTCGGCGACAGCTTCCGCCTCTTTACAGGACCATCTTCCTCGTTGAAGCGTGTCTCTTGCCCTTCCCCGACCTCGATTTCTTCGATTGTTTCCTTGGTTTTTGCCTGTGTCGATCCGAGATCTGCAACAAACAGGCCATCATCCTTCTTGAAAAAGGACAAGATACTGGCATTGGGTTTGCCTGGCGGTTTGGAGCTCTTTGCTGGTGTCGACTTCTTTGCATTGGCGCTTCCTTTCAGAGCTGTGGAAATCTTGGGTTGCTTGGAGCCGCTGGAGCTTCGGGGCGGCATGGTCCTGGTAGCCATGAGTGGCAATTGGGTCGTCGGTATAGCGGGTGGCGGCTGAGTGATGGAAGGAGTGATGGTCTTGTTTGATGGCGAGGGCGGTCTGCCTACGGATGGAAGTACATGTGTGCCTGGCGATACTGCTTTGTTTTCTCGTGGGTTTCGGAACATGTGTGTATGGCGTATTCAATTGCAGACTTGACAAAAGTCGACAATGACGCTGTACCGAGGCGGGCGTCCGGTCGTGTAAAAGCGCGTAGATTGCTTTCGCGACAGTGCCAAGACATGCGAGTCTATCAAAGGAAACCCCCACCAGGCGGCAGCAACAGCACAATGTGACAACAACACCAAGACGACAACACATCAAGGAGCAAATGTTCATACGATATGGTTCGTCGCATTCTGATCTATGTGGAAAGAACGACAAACCCCACTCTTATCACCAACGTTTCGCTTCCTTGATTCCGCAACCATGCTCCATGTTCGCCATTTGCACGACCCTTGACATCCGGAATCACTCGATCCTGGTCAAACAGGGTCGAGTATTACTACTAGGAGAGAAGACGAGAAAACGGCAAGAAGGAGGAGCTCTTGTAAACAACGCCGTGCTCCGAATGTAGGAGGCATATGACTTTAGAGTGCCGAAAAGACAAAGAGCTGGGACGTGCCGCGTCAGTCGTGCTCGGAGGGAGAGCGTCTCGTCAGGATACTCACATTGTTAGTCGCAGCAATGGCAATGCTGTCCTCGAACGGATGCCAGCTCATGTGCAATATCTTCTTGTTGAAATCAATTGCGTCGGCGTCCGTCTCCTTGCGCATTCTGCTCCCCTGGCCAGCTGGGCTGTTTGCTCGGCTGTTGCCCTTCTTGTCCTTGGCTCCATTCATCGGCGTGGGGATTCCAACCTTCTTGGCCTTGAACGCGCTCTTATCGGCTTGCAGTACCACTTCGGTGTCTTTGCCCGCTTCTGATGGATAAATCATGAAGTTGTTGTTGTAAGATCCTGTCATGACGTTCTTGGCATCTCCCGAGAAGACGACTTCGAACTTGTCGAAGATGCTGTCATTCTCATATGTATCACAAAGGCGTGGTCGGAGGTGTTCGTGGATGGGGATGGTCTTGACTGGTTGTCTTTCCATGTTCACATCCCAAATCTTGACAGTCAGGTAGTCGCGAGACAAGATGTAGCGACCGTCATGTGAGAAGCGAACATCCGAGATGGATGAAATGATTTCTGAGAAGAACGACCTGGATGAAGGATCTTCTTCTTGCTCGAATTCTGCCAGCTGTTAGTCTTGACTTGATTTCCTCGGTCCTTGATCAAGACTTACGCTTGGCATGAGAGTCGCAAAGAGCTCTCTCACGCATGTCAGCCAACTTGATGGTTCCTTTGCTGCTGGCATACATGAACCAATTGCAGCTAAGTGGGTGGAATTCTGCGGCGGTAATGACCTCGGTCAACTCCTCCATGTTTGCAGGCTTGATGTCCACAATGTTGAAGCTCTGATCTTGGATGTTGAGGTTCCACAGGTTGATGCGCAAGTCGTCACTGCTGATATATGTCTCGCCGTCGCTGTTGACAGAAATGCTATTGATGTGGTAAGCGTGGGCGTTGGCATACACACGACGGGGTACGGCGGCAATGACTGTGTCGTGGTGTGTCATGCGAGGGAAGGAGAGGTCGGCAGGTTGGCGGAAGTGTTTGTTGGGGCTTCTGACGGGACCGCCACCAACAGCACCGCCTGAGCCGGCAGGGGTCAGGTCTGTTGACAGATTGTTTTCGGCCACGACCTTGAGGGATTTTTCAAAGACCTTCCATAGCTTGATGGTCTTGTCGTTTGTCGACAGCAAGTAATGCGAGGCATTCTGTCTCCTACACCACTTGATCTTGTTGATCTTCTCTTCGATTTCAAGAGATTTGAGGTAGTCGAACTCGGGCTCATGTGATTGGAACTCGGTGTGGAATTTGTACTCGCATGTTTTTTTCTTGCCTGTGTCAGCACCTGAGGGCCTTTCGTCGGGGGCGGGGATGGTGGGTACCGTCTCATTACGTTCGAAAAGAACAACGCGGCCACCTTTGTCGCCAGTGGCCAGGTAGTTACCCGTCTGGTCGAACTCGACCGTTGAGATGATGTCGGCTGCGTTTGGTTAGCGGCGCTGCAGATGGAGGGGCAATCTATGCTCAACACACCTTCTGTGATGTCCTCGACGTCTCCCTTGTCACCAAAGCACCTGTACGTATCTCGTCAGCGTGGGGTTCCCTTATGAGGCGGAGTCGAGTCTCGATGGAGTGGCTGTCGGAAGCGGGCAGTGTTTTCTGTTGCAGCACGTGCGGGGTGGCAGCGGGCAAGCGCCAGTGCAGGACGAGCGTGTCGAAGAGGGAGGGGGAACGAGAGGAGTATAGAAGATCAAGACAGGGCAGGGCAGGAGTGACGGCAAGACTCACTGGGTGAACTTCCATGTCGGAGGCTGCTGCGAGTCTCCGTCCACCATGATTTCTGATGCTTCTAGAGCGGATGCGGGAGGGATGTCTGGGAATTGGCTGTGTAGCTGGGGCTAGAGAAGAAGCGATCGATGCTCCTGGCAAGACAGAGAGCGGAGTCTTGACAGAGGTTTGAAATGGTTGGATATTCAGTAGATGGATGGGTTGCAAGCTTCAGCTTCGGATGATGTCAGGTCGGCCAAGGCAGAGATGCAGCAGCTGTTGCGGACTGAGGGCGCAGCGCAGCGACGGGAGGGGCAGAGCGGCGAGAGTGGGTGAGTTGGCGGGGGTGTGTATCGACAAGAGGCGACGGAGGGGTGGATTGAAGGATGGTTTGTTGTTTGGTGACCGTGTCTGCGTGTATCGAAGGGGTTTGGACTGGCGCTGTGAATTGAATGAAGGGAGAGCGCTTTCGCTTTTCGCGGGGCAGACACAGCGCCGCTTTTGAGAAATCAAACGCCAAGCTTCAGCTTCTGTCTCTCGGTGCCTGTCTCTACCTTGCCTGTTCGCATCTACAAGATCCATCTGCTGCCTTACAAGTCGTTCCTACAGAGACTCTGCTCATACTACACACTCTGATGCTACAAGAGTTCTGTATACTTGTTGACAAGATCCACGCTTGTCATGCGCACACTGCTACCGTGCATGCACCATGTTCAGGCGACGAATCTCAGCTCTTTGTTCCCGATCCGTACTCATCGCTGTTTCAGACCAAAGCTAGGATTACACACACCGCGCAAAAGAAGCTTGACAGCATAGAGTCGTGCTTGTATCTCGATCTAGCTTCTACTTTGCTACAGCGCCAATCGCTCGAAACATTGTCATCTTTTTTGTCTAATTATGCTATACTATATACTGTCAAAGCTGGAGTGCTTAATTTGACTTACTCAATTACCTTGAATGGTTCTTAGTCTTCAAGCTCCTGCATGAATGCTGCTTTATTGCTGTCTTTGAGCTTCGCCGCATGACGCCTTCTAGACCGAGTCATCTCAGATCACATGTGGTGCTCAAGGTACGCGCCATAAAGAGGCGTCAAGAACTTTGTGAGTGCCTTACGAAACTAGATCCCCTCATATGTCCAAGCCCGGTCCAAGCCCATCGACTTGAGGTAGATCTAAGATGAACAAAGCTGTAATATGCAACGAAACCCACAGTCTGCCTAGGAAGTTGTCTCTTCCGTCGCCTTGCAGCTGTCCCATGGCACAATATTCTCTGATTCGAGCGATGTCGCAAAGGTGTATTGTTTCATCGACTGCCTCGTCAACCTACTGGTATGAGATATTGTTATGCCTTCCTACAATGCGTCGTCATTCTACTCTAATCAAAAGAGGGGTCACAGAAGAGGCGGCCACAAGGCTGGGTTCAAAGATCAAGTGTAAGCAGCATCGATGACCCCTACTTTGTTGCGGACTTTTGCCTTCGATATTACAACATCAGAGCTAGGCGGGTTGTAGCGTTCTTGCTGTAGTTGTTCCGAGTCTGCGCACGAGTGGAAGTGTCTCGCGCCGAAGCTTCCGTCTGTTGGTCCTTCCGCTTGTTATGGACAGTCTAGCCATCGTTGCTTCTCTGCAGCAATGCAATCACACTTTAACAATGTTTGGAACATGTGCAGCAATTGTGTTATAGAAAATCAAAGGACAAGGCAAGTAAATCGGCAAGTGTAGACAGAAGCCGGAAAGTGTCAGGCTCGAGTTACCGAGGATATGTTCGAATATGACTTATGGCTGGCTGTGATTGGCTGATCTACGTGTCGAATAGCTTTCCCGCGAGATCTTGGGTGCTCCTCCACGACGTTTGCCCCGTCCGCGGCCGAGCCCTCGAGTTATCCTTTGCCATCGCTGTCTCTTTCGACACCACTCTCCTCTCCACCCTTTGTTTGTCCTGTTGCCGTCTTAGTATCGGCTTTCTCTAAGTTCACAATCGCAAGCATGAGTTCATTCGGTTTGCGACAGGTCGCCGCCTCTTCAAGGGTGCGTTCAGCTCGAATTGAGACAGGCAAAATTGAGAACTAACGACAGCATTGCCAGTTCTCCCAAGGCCTTAGAAGACAGCAGGCCCGCGCCTTCTCACGCAGCGCCCCCGCCGCTCGCATCATCACCAACCAGCCCCTTCGCGCAAAGGAGGCCTCGCCTTTCCTCAGCAACAAGTACCCCGTCATTGATCACGAATACGATGCCCTGGTCGTTGGTGCTGGTGGCGCCGGTCTGAGAGCCGCCTTCGGTCTGGCCGAGGCTGGCTTCAACACCGCCTGTATCTCCAAGCTCTTCCCCACCAGATCGCACACCGTCGCCGCCCAGGGTGGTATCAACGCCGCTCTCGGAAAGTGAGTGACGACAAGATTCGCACACATCAAGAGTTGGGTACTAACACACTCAACAGCATGCACGAGGATGACTGGAGATGGCACATGTACGACACAGTCAAGGGTTCAGATTGGCTCGGTGACCAGGACGCCATCCACTACATGACCAGAGAGGCCCCCGCCTCGGTCATTGAGCTCGAGAACTACGGTTGCCCCTTCTCGCGTACCGACGACGGAAAGATGTCAGTATATCTTGGATCGAACCAGACAACACTGCAGTGCTGACATTCAACAGCTACCAGAGAGCTTTCGGTGGACAGTCCAAGGAGTTCGGCAAGGGTGGGCAGGCCTACAGATGCTGCGCCGCCGCTGACAGAACCGGACACGCCCTTCTTCACACCCTCTACGGCCAGTCTCTTGCCCACAACACAAACTACTTCATCGAGTACTTCGCCACCGATCTGATCATGGAGAACGGCGAGTGCAAGGGTGTCATTGCCTACAACCAGGAGGACGGAACCATTCACCGTTTCCGCGCCCAGAACACCGTCTTGGCCACTGGTGGTTACGGACGTGCTTACTTCTCTTGTACTTCGGCTCACACTTGCACTGGTGACGGTATGGCCATGGTTGCCCGTGCCGGTCTCCCCAACCAGGATCTGGAGTTCGTCCAGTTCCACCCTACTGGTATCTACGGCGCTGGATGTCTGATCACCGAGGGTTCTCGTGGTGAGGGTGGTTACCTCCTCAACTCCGAGGGTGAGCGCTTCATGGAGCGTTATGCCCCTACTGCCAAGGATCTTGCCTCTCGTGACGTTGTCTCGCGTTCCATGACTATGGAGATTCGCGAGGGTCGTGGTGTCGGTCCCGACAAGGACCACATCTACCTCCAGCTTTCTCACTTGCCTGCTGAGGTCCTCCACGAGCGTCTGCCCGGTATCTCCGAGACCGCCTCCATTTTCGCCGGTGTCGATGTCCGCAAGCAGCCCATTCCCGTTCTTCCCACTGTCCACTACAACATGGGTGGTATCCCCACCAAGTACACTGGTGAGGTCATCACTCAGGATGCCGAGGGTAACGACCAGGTCGTCAAGGGTCTCTTCGCCTGTGGTGAGGCCGCCTGTGTCTCCGTCCACGGTGCTAACCGTCTTGGTGCCAACTCGCTCCTCGACTTGGTTGTCTTTGGTCGTGCTGTTTCGCACACCATCCGTGACAACTTCACTCCCGGACAGAAGCTCGAGGAGATCCCCGCCGACTCTGGTGCCGAGGCCATCAACGTCATCGACCAAGTCCGCACCGCCGAGGGTCCCAAGTCCACCCACGAGGTCCGCCTCGCCATGCAGAAGGTCATGCAGACCGATGTCTCCGTTTTCCGTACCCAGGAGTCGCTCGACGAGGGTGTCAAGAAGATGCGCGACGTTGACCAGCAATTCTCCCAGGTCGGCACCAAGGACCGCAGCATGATCTGGAACTCCGACCTTGTCGAGACTCTTGAACTCCGTAACCTCCTTACTTGCGCCGTCCAGACCGCCGAGGCTGCCGCCAACAGAAAGGAGTCTCGTGGTGCTCACGCCCGTGAGGACTTCCCTGACCGTGACGACGAGAACTGGATGAAGCACTCCCTCACATGGCAAAAGAACCCTCACGGCAAGGTCGAACTCGGCTACCGCAAGGTCACCGGCACCACCCTCGACGAGGCTGAGTGCAAGGCTGTCCCTCCCTTCGCCAGAAAGTACTAAGCAATTCGTTGCAATCGCATGTGCTTTTTGATGAGTTTATTATACCAATAGATGGGAAGGAGATGTCAAAAGTCCACTTCCAAGGTGTGTGTGTGTGAAAGGGGTTTTAGCCCCCGGTTCTTGAGATGAGCGCAATAGCAAATCTCTCTCCTTGATCACCTACACACCATGATCGAGACAAGGAGTCCGAGGAGAATTGAAACGTTAACGGAGCGACGGGTATTGCTTCTTTCTTGTGTATGTAAAGCATTTTTGAATATTTCAACTTTTTTTCCCTTTTGATTCACAAGCATCGTCTTTCAAGTCGCCTCTTTCACTCGATGCATGTTTGTCTCGGTCTACTCTTCTCGCATCGAGATTTGATCGTGTTCACCTCTGTCCATCTGCTTTCTTGCTAGGGTCATGAGTTGCTTGGTCATTGCCTCTTTGTCATGTCATGTCACTTGATGCTTCCCTGCTGTATATTGCTTTCCCTGATATGCTTGAGCATGGCCCTCTTAGGTCCGTTTTGACATATGTTCACGTCCATCCATTTTCCACACTCCTTACGATCTTTAAAAAAGGGGATTGAGGTATACTGACGCTATTTCGAGTGATTGCAAGTTAGTTTTTTTTTTCGCAACGAGATGCTTAAAGCTAGCTGTATATGTTACATTAATATATCATAACATGTGCATGTTGTGCATTATCGATACATGACTTGTGTAGAGTTTTATAAACTTTCATTGTTGTGAAAATTCATGGATTTCGCGGATATTGAGATAGGGCGCAATATCTTAGTTAGGGCGGTATATATGTGTGTTTTCTATAAGAGGAATGTGGGTTTTGTAGATGTCTTAATTTGAATCAGGAGGGCGTGTATAGAGTCAGAGGTTGTGTGTCCGTCTCTTGAAACTCGAGGTCGAGGAAATGTGTTTTCGTAAAGTATACATTTGATATAACTTGGAAACGTAGCTGTAATTATATATAAGATCTAGATACTGCATAGTATAAGTCACAATTGATTAACACTGCAGTTAAAGACATGGTCGTCGAGATATAGTCGTCGATAGATCTCTTAGCATAGTTGAGGGGATGACCCTGGGACTCAGCTGGGTCAGGGTCACAACGGGCTGGATGTGACTTGTGTTGATGTTCGACTGCGAACACGGTCGAAAGCCCGTGAGAGACATGGAGCATCTCTTCGGGGATACGACCGGGTAGATATTATTTGACAGCGAATGACTTCGATTGCGCTGGACTTGTGCCTATGTGATCTGTAAACCGAGGGAGCAGAAGATCTATATTCTTCTCCTCTTGAGTTTCCCCTTGCTATTGAGAGGTAAATATGTCTATCGATACGTCTCGGGACGAGAGAGCTAGCTCTCATGCCTAGTGATTGAAGCCTCACTGCTTCTTTCCCTCCTTGAGCTCCCTCGCCTGCTTCTGATTCTTCTTCTGCAAAGGAATACGATAGCTAGTCTCCCATCCATAAAGTGCTCCAGCTCCAAACACCAATCCGGCACCCATACACATCATAGGACTTAGACTATGTCCAAACAGAATAGTCGAAGCCACAAAACTGACCAACTTTCTGACATTCAACACAATGGTAACAGTAACCGCAGAGGCCTGAGCAGAAAGCAAGTTCACACCCGTAATGCAAGCCAACTGTGTCAGGGAATTTAGAAGCAAGTAAGCGATTCCACGGGGCAGCTCAAGGCTTTGGAGAACTGGAAGACTGTTGGGGACGTCCAGGACAGGCGTTGCAGCGAGATTGGCGTATTGACGGCGCAGAGTGGCAGCGAGGGGGAGGAACATGGGTAGAGAGAGAAAGTGGCTGTAGAAGAGGTTCTCACGCCAGTGGGAGCCGTAGGTTGCGTAGGTGTCTTGGACGTAGACGCCCATATAGGCTGAGAGGATTTGGGCGGCGAGGAGGATGAGGAGGCCGGAGCCGAGATCTGTGCTGGATGCTTCGACGGATTTACCCTACGAATCACTGAATCAGTATGTTTCTGCAGTATAGACACACGCAACAAGCTTTAGGCCAGCAACTCACCTTGCTATCAGCATCGGCAAAAGCACTGATGAGTACACCGACAGTAAGAAGAACTACACTGCCAACCTGCAGCAAAGTGTAGCGCTTTCCCTGCAAAGCACCCGCCAACATCGTCGTCACACTGCCGAAACTTCTCAAGATGATATGGACAGGCACCGAGATGTTGAAGGCAAAGGCCCAGTTATTAAGCATGTTGACTGCGAAGAACATGAATGCAATGTAGCCCCATCTGCTCATAGGCACGGAGGGTGATCTGAGTGTCAGAGTTGGTGTGAGTTGAGAGAAGGAGGCGGCGAGGGCTGTGAAGACGAATTGAGCAAGGGTGATGAGAAGACCACTGTCTGGCTCAGTCCTGCGAAGAGGTTAGCATGGACGACCGTCCAGGTGTACCTGAATCATCAATTCGTTTCAGAGCACTCTGTCAGGTGACTGTCAGAAGCACAATACCAAAGAGAGGACCAAAGCGACCTTGTGGAGGGTCGGCTTGACGCAGGAATCCTCAATGGACGTATGCCATCTTCTCAAACTGGATTGCGCCTCCAGACAGCCACGCAGAGTCTCTCATGTGGAAGGAGATGACATTCGAGAAAGGCGTCTCATGCACATACTTGATAATTTTCTCCAGCGCAAAGACCTTTGTTGACCGGTCAGTATATGGTGTCCCTAAAGTTGTCGTTGGACTCACATTTGAGCAACATCCTCCAAAGATAAGGCCCACTGTGTTGAGCGATGCAAGAATAACAGACGCCATGTCGACTGCGTGAAGACTCTGTGAAGCGATGATTAGTCGACACACGGGAAGTAAATGAGACCGACGACAAGAATTCAAGAGCCAAGGTTGTGTTCATGCGGAACCAGCAGCTGGCTCTCATGTTGGATGAGAACCGCAAGTGAGATCATGGAAATGCATAGTCAATTTTCGAGATCAAGCAGATCGTTGGAGAGCGTTGATTGTGAGCACTCTCGCTGAGAAGCAAGCAGCGTCCAAAACATCTTGTGCATTGCTACACGAGTGACAATGCGCGAGAGGTGGCTGGGAAGGACGAAATGGGCTACGTCATAGTGAATTTTGATTTTGCTTACGGTGTATTTTGCTTCCCAAGATGATGCTTCCAGAAAAAGTGACAAGTATATGTCACAAGATTTGCTTAACCTCGTCGTGTTAAGAGTGAGCACAAAAAGTTGGTCGCAAATGTATGGAAGCCACTGACAAGGGACTGAGAACGACGTTGCGGGTGTCCCTGAATATCACCCGCTTAGCGAGAAGTGACTTGCAAATGTCATGGGAATGATATAAATGAATGCAACAACAGCAGACCGAACATGTTAAACTCAACAGAGTGAACGACAAAGCGCACGAGATTCACAGATACGGTAGATAGGTTGGGGTTCAGTTGCTCGATTGTGACTCAGTACTGATTATTGAACGTTTCACCATGGCACCGTGAAGTCTCCCTGAACCATCGCCCCTTTGACAGACCGTCAGACGCGAGGCCGAGCTAACCCGATACTGACCCGAGTCGTCCGGCGATAGCGGCCCTCCTCGAGGCGACGGTGACCCGTGTTTTGGTTGCGCTTGTCCCCAGCATCAACCGATGCTGTGACTTAGGTCAAGCTGGGATAGAGCGAGCGGTAGTTCTGGAGCAGGTAGGAGTCGCGAATGGCATCGCAAGTCTCCTGCAGAAGCTGACCGAGTGCTTCAGGAACAGCTTGAGCGAACTGTCTGCCCAAGAGCAGGTGGCGATCGCTGATGTCGACCAAGCGAGCACCGTACCAGCCGGTCTCGGGGAACTCGGCGCTCATGACAATGACCTCGATGGTTGATCTGTCAGGGAAGAGGGCAAAGCCGTTGGCTTATGGCAGATGTTAGTGAGTTAATCTGATTGTAGAAGCATGTCACGAGCACCGACCCAAGATTTGGTCGCGAATGCCAGAGATCTCAGCGAGATCAGAGGCGAATGTGTTTGTGGGCAGAACAGTGCCTTCGGGGGGTTCGTAGGTCATGATTGCGATGGTGTAGCGACGTGTGTTGACTGCGTCGTTGTACTTGAGGAAGATGTTGAGATGAATACAAGTCGAGAAGAGGCGCAAGAGCTGTGTACACAACTGAATTTGCGAGAGAACTGCAGCGCGCCACGGCGCTTGTTAATCGGCACGGCGACGAGCATACCCAAACACAAGCTGTCCTCGTTGGCAACTGAGCCGTTCGAGTGCCAATCGAGACGTTGTGAGCTCCGAGTGATTTGGCGCACAAGTCTACATAAGCACAGGCAGAAGAATGGAGGACGAAGCATAAAGGAAACCAGAACTTGATTGAAAAGGGGCATGATCATCTAAGGCTTTCCAGGCCGCTTGCTGTCTGGAACTGCATAGCCTTGATCTGAAAGCAGATATTCGTATGTTCAGAGCATGTTTGTTGCTCCGATGCTGACGTTATGGGGTATCTCGAGGGCCTTGGACAGAGTGCTGAGTCGGCTTATCCTTGTCTGGCCTTTGCAGATGCCTGGGCGGCTTCTGGAGAGTTGTCAGAGCTGTCCAGTATATTGAGCATACTGTGGTGTCCTACCTCTTCTGGTGGCATCCTCCAACAAGGGAGTGTCTACAGATGCGGCGGGCAGGTGGACGTATCTCACAACACTTCCTCTGATGAAGACATTCTTGACCGAGCTCTGTCGTGGGGCGCATTCAGTCAGCCCTTCTGTTCTTCCTCCTTTGAGAGCTTGGGTTGTTGACATACCATGTGGGGGTACTTGAGATCGTCCAGAACGGTAATGTCGTCGAGCTTGATGTTCAGGTATTGGTCGACGCTCTTCAGCGTTCCACGGATCGAGATGTCATTCTTGAGTTCTACCGTGACCTCTTTGGGGATCGTCAGACTTGCGCGTTCCAATGAACCCTTCTCTTTGCTTATTGGTACTGACCAGTGTTGACGAGTGTCTTGAAGAAACTATGCGCTCATGTCAGTCTCAAGTCGCAACATAATTTAGGATACAGGAGGCTTGCGCAGCGAGTGCGAGGCTCCCATCTACCACTGACTGCGCACCTCCAGAGACCACTCACCTGAAAAACAGCATCTTGTCGGATTGATGTGATTGTCGCGGTCCTGGTTTACTGGCGACAGCTTGAACGACTTGCGGCCGCTTCGAACGCTGATTGGTTCAGCATTACGTCACGTGTATCGATGCCAGCTCTACACTTTCACTCGTTGATGAACATCCCGGCGGTCATTCTGGACTACGGACTACTGATTCTCCAATGAAGCTACTTCGCACTGGGGCCTTGGCTCACAAGTACCAAGTATTACTACTCGCTCCTTAAGTGGATGGAAGAAGGAAGGTATGCAACTGTTTAGGCTTCGCTTGGCAGAAGATGACCGCATCCGTCGGGAAATAGACATGTTTCTCCTGCACCTCTTTATGCCATATAGCAACAGCTTGAAAGCATGCAAAACTCCAGTGTACAATCACCGATCTAGCATGCCGAAGCACCACAATTATATGCTTGGCCGATGAAGAATCGCGCGGACGGTGGCCCGGAGCATCCGCGATGCGGTGTCCCCAAGCTGAACGTCGAACTATGATGTCGTCAATATGGCGTAGATCAGACATTATCTCTTGAGGAAGCCCCAACCCCCTTCAAAAGGCTTCGACCACTTTCTGACAACATGCTTCGTCTCTTCTCAAGAACTGCTCAATCAACTGTCAGAAGTGCTTTTAGACCCAATCCCACTCTCAGTACCATCACCAAAGCAACCATGAGCGGTATGTCCACATGAACCATTCTTATTGTGCTTGGAACAACACGGCTGACATTATCCTCTACAGGAAAGGCAGAGAACCCCCAGCTGAAGAACTCCGACCTCTTCGATGTCTCCCACATCACCGCAGTCGTCACTGGTGGCGGCACCGGCATTGGTCTCATGATCACCCAGGCCCTGGTTACCAACGGAGCCAAGGTTTACATTACCGGCAGAAGAAAGGAGAAGCTCGACAAGGCAGTGGAGCTGTACAGCACTGGCCCTGGTAGCATCCACGCCCTTCCTGGCGATGTCAGTGACAAGGAGGACGTCATTCGTCTTGCCAAGGAGATGGAGTCAAAGGAGTCCAACGGCATCCAATTGCTGGTCAACTGTGCCGGTATCGCCAGAGACAACGACACCATGTTTTCTTCAAATGGTCAGCCTGACATGTCGGACGCAAAGGCCATTTCCGAGCACTTCTTGAAGACCAGGCCTGAGCAGTTTGCCGACACTTTCAAGACCAATGTTGCTGCTGTCTACTACATGTCCATGGCCTTCTTGCCTCTCCTGGCCAAAGGTCGTGAGGTTACCCCTGGCTACACTTCCAGCGTTGTGAATGTGAGCTCTATCAGCGGTGCCATGAAGGGCTCGAGCAACGGCCAGTTCGCCTACGCCGCTTCCAAGGCCGCTGCCACCCACGTCAGCCGCATGCTTGCAACAACCTTCAAGGACACCAAGGTTAGATGCAACGTTATTGCTCCAGGTGTCTTCCCTAGCGAGATGACTGCAGGAAGCTCTGGTGACGACAACAAGAGCAAGCTTGATATGAAGCCCAGCAACCCTGCAGGCAGATTTGGTCACGACTCTGACATGGCAGCCACGATCCTCTTCCTTGCTGGACGTGGAGGTGTCTTCTACAATGAGCAGATTCTCTACCCTGACGGTGGTATGTTGATATTGTCAGGTGCCATATTTTCTGACAATTGACTGACGTTTTACAGGAAACACTCTTGTTCAGCCTGCATACAACTAATTCAACCACGACGACGACATGACTATGGATGTGATTTCATTGCAAAGTAATGCCCCGATAGTGTCCAGCGATTGACTCCACTAGGCTGTATTGTGCAGCGCCGAGTACGACAATAAAAATATTCTTAATTCTCCGAGGCGTTTCCCTGGCGATTGACTGTCTCTGACTGTTTCGTCACTTTGCTTGCGTCAACTTTTTGTCTCATTTCCGCACGACAAGACTGTTTCATACCATTGCGACCACCCAGAGGCATCGACGACACATCCACCAACAAACTTGTCATCTCTTCTCAGCCATCGTCTGACAATTTACGCATATTCAACTTCTATCATTTCAATCAGTTCTTTGACTTCTTTGCGCGCACTTTAATTTTCCGCAGCCACCCCATTTGTCGCCCTTTGTTTTCTCAAGCAGACCCTCCGCACAACAAAGCAATACCTCATCATGGGCACCTACAAAGAACTTCTCGCTCAGGGCCTTCAAGTCCACCCGACAGCCTATCCTGTGCCTTCTCTCAATGTTAACGGAGTTCTCGTATACACCTTACAGAGAGTCACCTGAACCGGAAACTTTCTTGACGCCCGACTCGAGTGCATCGAAGTACCCGTCAACGACCTCCCTCACGCCACCAATACCCAGTACCAACTTAGTCCTCCTTCGAGAGACATGTTTACACAAAGCCAACCCTTCAGCAAGCAGGCTCTTGCTCCCTCATACCCATCGCCCCCAAAGAGAGACGAACATGGCAAGTTTCCTAGCAAGCCCGAAAACCTCCCTGCCAGACCTCAAAAATCGACAGTAGAGTACGCTCAGGAGAGATCCTTCGCCAAGCTCATCTCCACCGAGAGACCCCTCACCGTCGATGAGATGGTGGCTCGCGACAGCCAGTCCTTGGTCGAACTCCATGGCTGGATGTCATGGGCGTCGAGAATGCCCAAGGTTTGGGACCTCCTCGATCCTGTTGAGTACGAGCGACTCAATAGCTTCCAGACTGCTGCCCCGTTGCAGGCCAACGAAGATGCCCAGGTCGACAAGACATCGCAGACCCTCCTCCTTTTCTGCATCGTCGGATTCCTCCTGCGGTACTTCGGTGAAGTGGCAGCTGGACCCCTGTCCAGTCTTGCTTTCCTCGCTGTGGCGGTCATCCAGGTCAACAACCAGAACGGTCTGGCTCCCTTAACCAACCTCTCCCAGTTGATTCTCAACCCAACTGCCATGCTGAACCTCCTCACATACTGGATACTAGGAATGCTGAGAGTCGTCCTGGTCAGCACCTTCGCTGCCGTGACCTCTGTCGTCAGCCTCATCTCTCGGGGGGTAGCCCTGCTCCGCAGCATCATTTCTGAATCTCAATCTGGATCTCGAAACGCTTTTTGCAGTGTGACAGCTTCCCTGCATGTCGCAAGGCACGACATCGCCAGAGAGATCTCTAGCTTCCGCCTAGCTACAGGACTTGTAGCAGTACTGTTGGCATTCTCGAACTACAGAATGCTTCTGTACCCTTCGACCCTCGGACTTCTTGCTTGCATGCTCTTATGCCTCCTCATGGTGATCTGCATACTCGCAACGCTCACGGAGCGGCCGTTCAACGAATGCGTGTGCGGTAGCCCCACCGCTCCCCCTCCTGCCGTCCCTGCCCCTCGCGCATCGACAATGCTGTCCGGACGCAGTGGTGTCACCTTCGCTGACCCACTCGCGACTCCGCCGTCAGTCAGCACAAAGTCTCTTCCCCAGAGGCTTCGCCCGAGAGCGCTCATCCACGACTTTGGCACGCCGACCCGAAGTCCCTGGGGTGGGGACTTTGGTGCTCGCCGCAGCCCACCCGACTTGTTCGAACCGACATTTTTCAGCTCTCCGCCGAGGCAAACGTTCACCTGAGTGCGGCGTCTTAGTGCAGAGTCTCTTTTGAGGAGTACGCTCGTCCATTGAAGCTCATTTTGCTGGTCAAAAGTTCAACTGTCAATGTATGGGCCTGCTGCTCGAATTTGTCTCTGCGTTTCCGTTTCGACAGTCTAGAAGTACCTGTGACGTGTTTGGGAGGACTGTCAATTGTTGGGGAGAAAAGCGGCCGTGTGGATGAGTTTTGGTCATCTGCTTCGTCCATATAACTTCCAATGGCGGCCTGTTAAAAGGCAAGAATATGTCAAAAGCTACTACAGTGCACGAAGAGAGCGTAAGGAATGTGGGGAGTCTGTTTAGCGTAAGTCCTTTGTTCTTTCTTTCAATATTTTTTCATCTTGCCAATTTCTTTATTGCAACCACCCGCTTCCGGTGGTAAGGACCCTTGTGGTCGAACCAAACAATCTTCCCGATGTCACTTTCCAAAGCTCGCACGAAATGTGTTAACTTGTCTCCAGTCATACATCCTACTTTGCAGTCAAATCATGCCGGACCCGCCGCAGAAGCTCGCTCTGAACTGCAGTCTCTTGGAGCAGCTTCAGGCACGGTTTCCATCAGATACACCACCCAGTCCTTCATCACCAATCGCAAAAGGCATTGCTGCACTTGAGCGTCGGGCATCGAGCAGGTCTGCGGCAAGCCATCTGAACAAACCTGGCTCGCCATTCGAACGCAGTCGTACTGTATCACCTCTACCTCCTCATGTGAATCTGACAATCGACACAAGTTCTGGCATCAAAAGCACAGCTTCTTCGCCTGGTCCATTGACGGGCAGTCGCCGAATACCTCCATCGTTAATAAAGTCCAAGATGAGGCCTCCCAGTGAGCTGTTTCTACCCACACCACCAACTGCGAGAAGTAAAGGGTTCAGATTCTCAACAACAATCCCTGAGGATGGTCTCGCAATCAAGTCAGAGCCAGCTACACCTGCTACCACGGCATCAATACCGTTCATTCCATCACCTCCATTATCGCCCATCTCTGCCTCAATCGCCGACGCTATAAGTCGTGTCGATGTGGGCACATCAGTTCAAAATGCCATTGACAATCTGAGCAAACCTGAGGCAAATCGTTTCATATTTCCACCTTTGCGCTCCTCGACCGCACCACCTGCAAGTCTGCGACGGCAACCTAGCTTTGCATCTATCAAGTCATCGAGATCATTGCCTTTGCGTGCACTCAGCACTCGCCTTGGTAGGTTGAGTCGTGCAGGGGGCAGCAGGTCTCGTGGCGCTGGAGTACATTCCCACTCTCCGAAGAAACGCGGCTCCCAGTTTTCTGGCATCGACAAAGACATCACCGCTGACAGGAGAGTCAGCATGATGATGGCGAAGCACAAGTCCAATTTGGAGAGTGTGCTAGCGTCTCCAATCGAAGAACAACTCCCAGCGAGACCGGTGCTGAAAAAGGCAACAACGAGTGGCATGCCTTGGCGCAAGAAAGCCAGAGGCGAGACGATGAGCATGCTACTTGATTCAGGGTTCTTTCCCATCCAGGAATTCATCTATGAGAAGAATGAATCCCCGCAATTAGCAACACGTAGTCCGAACAAACGCAACCAACTTGCTTTGAACATTCTGGTCAAGGACCTACCGAGCGACCGTCCTTCTTCTATCGTCAGTACGCCTACAAACTTCTATCACCCAGGTTCTATGAGCTTGAAAAGGTCGACTCGCAATTACCAACGTCGATCCCTGGGTGTGCGTCAGCGAATCTTGAACGCAGCTTCCATATCAAGCTCGCAGATTTCCCCCACCATGGTGACCCACCATACTGTAGCTGCACCCCCGCTATCACCTGTTACTCCAACAAGCCCATTAACACCTACCAAAGCTCTTGCAGCTCTCACAGCCGGTATGCTCTTACCTCCATCACCAGGCTCCGACGAAAGTCCCAAGTCCGGTCAACCTTCCCCTGGCATTCTCGAAGTGATTCCGGAAGACGGCCATGTTACTGCTACCGTTCACTCAACCCCCTCTCCCGCCTCGCATACATCAATGCGATCCATACCAGAAGCCCCTGCACTTCCTTATGCAGTCGCAAGTGAAATACACTTGAGTTCAGGAACTGTCCTTATGGTCAAGACACCAGAATCAACAGCCTGGCGCCGCTCCGTGTATATCCAAGGACTGATCAAATTACCCACACCCACAGTGATGCCTCGGAAAGGCAGCATAGCAACGCTCGAAGCTTTTCAAGACAGCCTCGGCAGTACTCCAGTCCCACGACGTAAGAGTGAGGACATGGCCGCCGATGACATCTGCGATTGGTACGATACATGGGCTTATGACGCTGTATCTTTCGCATCGGATGAGTTCACGCTGGACGAGACTCACTTAAGCACCGAATGGGCTTTATCACCATTGAATGAGGAACCAGAAAGTCCCGTCGATCGCACAGTCCGCTTTCCACCTCCCGCACCTCCTCTGGCCAAAGAATTCGCAGCTGCAATGGTCAGCGACAGGCAGGAAAGCCTTGCCATCAAACCCAGACCCAGAATGAGCATGCCCATGGTACCACTACCCGAATCACCCAAAACACCATCAATCATCAGCAGCAACAAAGGTCATAGCAGAAATAGCAGTGGCGAAACTAGCTACAAAAGCGCAGCTAGTGATCCGATCATCCGTATAGACAGCAGAGGTAGTGGTATGAGCACTGTGTCATCTGTGGAAGAGAAGAGTTGGTTGGAGACCGACAAGAACAAGGACAAGGATAAGGGCAAAAGAAGAGAAAGCAGTTCTGGAGAACCACTCAAGGCAAAGCCGAAAATGAGTAGAATGAGAAGATTTGTACAGACTGCTTCGGCGATTTTGTGAGCAGAAGGATGATAGTGTCCAGCAGTAGTAATTCAGCAATCCATCACTTGGTAGCGCGAGATTCATGATTCACCACACGACTTCAACAGAATGTGATTTGTCCATGTGTATTTGAATGTTTTATAAAAGCATCAATCAAGATCTGTCAAGGTAAAAAGTGAAGTCGCATGCCAAGCCCTGCCATCTCCTCGATCTTGGTCTCCGATCGTTGCTTCCCGCAAACATATCAAACAACACAGACGTCACATCTCAGCTCTCACCTTGGACCTGATAACCAATCTGAAATACCTATTCAATTCAATTTTCCAAAAGTCAAAAATATAACCAAGCACGCTCTCAAGACACATCCAAATCTCACAATTAGCGACATCATGCCAGAAGTCCTCAAGTGCCCCAAATGCGACGCCAACGCCGATGTCACAAAGGATGGAAAATGGGCGCATTGTGCTTCTTGTATGTAATTTTCTATCCTTGGAATATCATCTTCTCCAACAATATCTTTGTTGAGGAATCATTCATTGTGGAAGTATTTGATATTGCTTTGATTTAACAATAAACTGATATTGTGGAATTCACACAGGCAACAATATTTTCCAACCTAGCGAAAGTCCGGATATGCAAGGAGAGGGCAAGAAGGAAGAGGAAAAGTAAATGAGGAGTCTTTGAGGGTTTGATGGGAGAGGAATGTTGGAATGCAGATACGCTTATTTGCGATTTTGTGCAGAACTTGGGAAATGGTGACGATCTTGGACGATCTTGGACGATCTTGGACGATCTTGGACGATATATACAGATGGCAGAAACGTACCCATGTCAACGCCTTCAATAAAGCATGAGACTAACGCCCCAGAACTTGGTGTTTTTCTTCTGTATCGTACCCGCGGTTTACAGAGGTCGACTCTCATCGGGTTTCCCGCCAAGATGGCCAACTTCACAGATTTCGGTGTCCTTGAAAACGAACGGCAAAACATCGACGCATAGCTACTACCAAATACGACAAGTCCCAGCCCAACAACGCCGATGGAGAAGTAGTCATTATCATGAAGTGGTACCGCTTACTCCCCGCCGAAGAACAAATGCATTAGGTCTGTGTACGGCTCTCGTGGGTTTCTACATCTACAGCTATCGAACTTTGCAGCAAGATTGCTATTGTGTAGCACTTTAAGGAACGAGTGGGAGATTGAGAGCATGGGATACACAGTCTCCCGCGTGCTGGATACTCTTATCCTCTTTCGCCGTCAAAGCCAAGCAATGTAATGCAGAGCTGTGGAAAAGTAGAGTAATGTCTTGTATCTGTGGACTTGACAGTGTATCTCGACAGCGTTTACTGCAAGTTCACAAAGCATTGTGTAGATAGGTGTAGTTGGACAAAAGGAGAAAATTGATAAATCTGTCCATTGGTTCTTTTTGCAAAAAGAGAATATACGCTACTTCTACCAAATTGACGATCGTCTTCTCGTGACACGACGAGGCGGCGACAACAAAACGCGCTCGCAAATCTACTGGTCCAGCTCGACATAGTTGGCAGGGAAGAGACCTTGTTGGCCATTGTAGTGACCAAACCACCAGTCTTCATCAGGGAATTCCTATTTCAGGCCGTTAGCATCGTGCTTGGGAATAAGTGGACGAATTCAACTTACCAAATCAGTAATCTTCGCACCATCGGGGAAACTGAGCTCGTTGTCTTCGGCGGCTTCATAATCGTACTGTGCTGTGGCGGTCTGGTTACCAGCAGCGGCGGCAGGCTCCTCACGGGCAGGAGCAGGAGGTGGCGGGGCAGCAGCGCCTCCAGCAGCAGCAGTATCATCCTCATTTACCACAAGCTCGACGTAGTTTGAGGGGAACAGACCAGTCTCGCCCTGCGAGTTTTGTCCCATCCACCAGTCTTCGTCGACCATCTCAATGTTCTCGACGTACTCGCCTTCGCGAAGCTCAATCTCATTGTCCTCGGCTTTTTCGTAGTCGTATTGGACGAGCGCACGCTTACCAGCAATACCAGCACCGGGGTTGGCGGTTGCAGCAGCACTTGCGCCAAAGGTGGTGGCAGATGCTTCCTCAGCAGCAGCGCGAGCATGGTCATCATGGTCGTCTTCCGGTTCGTCACGCATGTGTGAGGCGGCAGCAGAGGCTGCGTTTGAGAGCGACTGTGTGGGCATGGGGGGAGGTACGAAGCGCTCTTCCGGAGCCTCCATAGGCTCAACAGGAGCTCCACGAGCTACAGGCATGGCGACGCGAATAGGAGAGCTGGGAGGAGATGGCGTAGGGCTGCGAGGTTGAGCAGGAGGAGGAGGAAGACTGACATGCTCTTCCTCAGGTCTTTCGTCGTCTTCTTCCTGAGGAGGTGGAGGTACGGAGCGACCAGAAGCACCGGCATTGGGCTTACTGGAGAAATCCATTGGAGGAGGCATAGATGGGGCAGGAGAATCATCGCTAGCGCTAGATGCACCCATAGGAGCAGCATTCTTGAAGCGATCCTTGAGGGCGTTGACGCCGCCAGATGGCAATTCAGGTTCCATCTCACGCTCGGGAGATCTGACGTCGCTCTGGCCGGTCTTCTGAGCGCTGATGTTGCTTGTGCCTGTACGATTGGTCGAGACAGCTGCCCAGGACTTGCCGGTATATCCGCTCTGCCATCCACCGCTAGGCTGGCTCTGCATGGGCGAAGCAGCGGCAGCAGCTTGTGCAGGAGGAGCAGTCTCACCGGCACCGCTAAGGCCACGTTCACGGGCCTTCTTCTCCGCCCACAACTGAGCTGGAGACTTGCCGTCTGTGCTGGCAAAGTTCTTACTAGCAGCACCGATAGGGGCGGAAGCAGCTGGCGGCGGAACACCGAAGCCGACAGGAGTGGGAGCTTTTGTACCAGCAAAAGAGCTCGTTGAAGAGCCGAAGCGGTTGGCGACCTTGGGCTTGGGCATCTCACTCAAACGACCAGACTGGTTTGATTGACTGAAGGCGGCCGATCGCTGGGCCAGGGACTTGGGGGCTTCTTCCTCCTCCTCATCACCATCAGTGCGCGATTGGTTCACAGGAGCGGGAGCAGCAGCGGGCGATGGGGCAGCTTGAGCCTTTGCGCGGATAGCAGCAATGTCGACCTTGCCGACGGGCTCGTAAGCTCCCTTGACAATTGTGGGTCGATCATCCTTCTGTTCTCTTGCCTGGCTGCGAATGGCGTTGATGTCAACCTTGCCAATGGGTTGGTAGCCGCCTCTAACGACGTCGCTTGGGCCGTGGTTGTCTTGCCTTGTCGGAGGCTGGAAGCGCGAGGGTTGTTGCTTCTGGCTGGTAAGTTCGGCCATGTTGACCTTTGTAGGCTTGTATGCAGATTCCACCTTTTGGAGAGTGTTGCGGGACAACTGGGGGGCATCTTCGCCCCAGCCGTCATTGTCGGTCGACGAGGGAGCTACGGGCTTTGGTCGCGAGGCAAGAAGAGAGCCGCCGGTACGAGTGGGCATGAAGACGGGCTTGGTGGCAGCAGGCGGAGGAGGGACGCGTGAGACAGAGGCGCTCGAGGCGGAGGTTGATGATCCACCGCCGTACTTGGCGCCGGACGCGTTGGCTACCTTCTCGATAATGCCCTCGGGGCTGAGGTGGCTCTCGGAGCGAGCTGTGATCTCGACGTGATAGCCCTATACTTGTCAGAGGACGGCATGAGAGAGGTGGAAGTGGTCGAACGTACATGGAGCAGCTTGGACACTGCGGCGCGGTGGGTGTTGAAGTAGCCCTTTGTCCTCTCGGGCACACCCTCGCCACACCACGAGATCAGCACCGACTTGGGCAGACCAGAGTTGGGATCCTTGAGCTTAGCAAAGGCAAATTGGATGCGACCATCCGAGAATTCCTCGAGGAGCTCGTCCAGCTCGCCCTCTGTCGTCTTCCTGTCAGCTTGTCTCTGGGCTGCAGCAGCCTTTGTCGTTTACGCACCTCCAGTAGTCTGGACCTTGAGTACGCTCTCCTTGCTCGAGTCTTGTTGGAAGGCGCTTGTGAGAGGAGCCTGCACCGAGTATACCGCCCATTGAGCATAGGTCGACGAAGGAGCTGAAGGCGCGGGTCCGTCCACGATGCTCTGGTAGCTCTTCTTGATTGAGGGACCATTGGTCGATAGGTTGAGAGATGCCATGTTGGCCGATGTGCGATAGGGATATGTCAAGCAGGCTGAATCGATTCAAACTGCGAGAAGTGAGCAGCTTGTCAAGTTGTTAAGTCGATGTTCTTAGCTGCTGCCCAGTGCCCAGCGGGGGTACGTTTGTGTCGCGCGTCACCAGCCGGCGATTCGGTAGCGCCGTACTCCGTATTATGCACGAGCTCCGTATTGACCAAGAGGTGGCCGTGCAATCTTGGCATACCAGGCATGTTTGATTGGCTCATCTTTTTCGAGCATTCGTGGCTTCCTTGCCTAAGCCTTCGAACTCGAGCTCCTTCCTCTGACTTTCTGCTTTCCTGTCTCCACCTCTACCTCGTGTTGCGTCGCATCATCAGCCAAAAGGTCAAGTCTTTTCTTTGACCGCGCGCTGCTTCTGCTCAACTCCCAGTGGCTGCTACTTGTCTCTGCAAGTACATGCGCACCATTTCTGTTCTCCCTCTGTCATCTCACCTCACCCTATCAACTCTCCCAAGAGTTGCTGCCCTCTCTCTGCCCTGTACGAGTAGTTACACTTTTACTTTCTGACAGTTCGAGTTGCTTTGTCAACTGACTTGCAGCCATGGCTTGCCCCCAATCTCCAGCTTCTGATGCTTCATCGGATCTGTATGCAGAGGTAGATACGTCGTCGCAGCGCAATTTGCCTGAGCCTTTACGCCAGCACATTGCTTCGCCAGCATCCTTTCCGATGTATGATGATAGTCCTGTTCCACCCCCAGCACAGACAAAAGGCAAGCGTAGATTTGGCGACGAGGACCACCAGCCCCAAGCACCGCTGAAGAAGCGCAAGCTTGTACTCACCCCAGAACGTTACTTCTCACCTGCAGTTCCACAAACCGCCAACCTACCTGCTGAAGTATGGCAGTATGTATTCTTACATCTTACTCCGGACAATCTCAGTCGTTGCTTGCGTGTCAGTCGCCTGTTTCGCTCCTATCTGACCGATCTCACCGCATCTATGAGCATACGCCTGCCACATCGTCGCAATGGCCTTAAACTCATAGACAGCGAGGGCATCTGGACCTCGGCGCGGAAATTTTTTGCGCCAAACCTCCCCCGTCCCCTTGCTGGTTTTACCGAGATGCACATGTTTCAGCTTCTTGGGGGTAGGGATTGTCAAGCCTGTGGTGCTTTCCCATTGCAGCCCAACCAGCCGACCACTCCATTCGATGCTGGTCCTGGACTTGGCGGCGTGCGTATCATTTGGTCCTTCTCTGCTCGCCTCTGTTCTGAGTGCTTCGAGCTGTACTCTGTCAAGGTAGTATTGCGCCTTTGTTGTTCCGGTATCTGATCAGTCTAACTTATGTTTAGGATGTTGACGTCGTCGTATCTCCTGTTAATCCATTGAGAGCTGGTCTGCCGTATGCCTTTTGCACACCCGAGATGCATTACATTCCTGCTACATTACAAGCCCAGGCTGCTGCTTCCATCAAGGGCGCAATGTTCAAGGTGTACTCACAGAAACACATTGATGATCTTCAACAAGAACACCAGAATGCTATGGAGTTCGGCGATGCTGCTGCCGAAGAATGGGTCAAGGGATTGCCGTTACTCGGGAAACAGCAGATGGCTGATGCCGCTCGCTGGGAGAGATGGGAATCCCAACTCACCCTCGGCTCCGATATTTTCACAGTGCTAAGGGAGTATTTCCGTTCATATTCTGTTCCAATGATAGGTGAGGCTCCAGACGCTGTTGAATTCGCTCCAGAGGCTGCAGTTGCAACCCCCACAGTGAGTGCAACGTCGCTACCAGCGCCTCCTTCAGCTCAAAGTAAGTTTCCACCGGCCGGTGCATCTCATATTCTCCGCTCAAATTCCTATCTTATCCACTCCGACCAGCATATATTCAGAATATGCTGCAAAACGCGCCCTTCTGTTTTCCCGCATCCCTTAGCACGAAACTTTAACGTGGATGGCAATCAGTGGCAATTATTGATTTTGATCACATAGTGAAACATCCGCTACCAGCTCGAGTAGTTGCTGTCCCCACTGCGACTCAGCCTATCGCCAACGCCCAAAGTCCGCAACAATCGAGCAAAAAAGAGTGGCGCCCACCTCGTAATCTGAAGGAGGTGAACGAAGCGAGAGCTTCTCGACGAGCCGACATAGAACGACGCTGTTATATTGAATTTCAGCCACCGCTCATGCCGAATGTCCTCCAACATATGGAGTCGTTCCATGCTGCTATGCAGATTACTACTCCTTTGACTGACAGTGCGTGGGAAGTTCTGAAACCTCGTCTCTACACTCAAAGAGACGCCGCCGAGCAGATCGAATACTACCGAGAAGAACAAATGCGTGCTCTTCAGGCGACAATACCGGATCCGGCGTACCCCATGTACAGTCAGCCGGTTGACCCCACAGTTCTTCAGCGTCAATATGAAGCAGCTCAAGCTCCCATACGAAAGAAGCTTGGCATGTACGCAGAAGATTTGATCCGCATAAAGTGGAAGAAAGGCAAGATTCTGACGCGGGACAACTGTCCCGAGTTCGCTGTCGAAGTTCTTCTCTACGCCAGGAACAGATTCCTTGAGGTCGAGAGGCCGCATAACCTGCCACAAGATCACATGACTGAGGAAACCGACCCTTGGTTTGTGAGCTTGGAAAACATGCGGTGGCTTTACGATCAAAAAGTCAAGACAAATACTGACAGGCATTTGCGCGAGCTTTTCCACTGTGCCGAGTGCGGATCACTTGGAAAGTCATACGCCTTCGAAGGTATGATTCAACACTATGGTGCAAAGCACACAACCGAGTTCAGCCGAGGCAATATTGTTGTGCATTGGCAGAGTGCTGAATGGCCAGAAGAGTGTCCTCTGGTACCTTGCAACGGCGCAACTCCCGATCCGACCATGCCTCCCAAACCGGCCAAGAAAGCCCCGGACGCTGTTGAGCTTAACCAGCACAAGTCATTAGAAGCCAACATGAACACAGCTCAAGACCCATACCACAATGTTCCGGGTTATCAGAATGGCTCACCGTGGCCCGCAGCGGGAGATGGAAGTGCATACGATCTGTCTGGGTATCCAGCTTATTCGTCAGACGCCCAGGCGCATTACGCTCGATACGGCTACCCGTATACTCAGACGGGTGCTCCAGCAGATCCTCGCCATTCACATGGTTATTACCCTCCTGCTGTTGATCCTGGAAGCCTATATCAAGGTCAAGTCGACAGCATCGCCAACATTGGAAGCGATATTTGGGACACCACTGCTGGAATCACAGGCTTGGAAGAAAGTGTCAGAGTTCATACAGTACTGCATCTTGTTGTTTCGAGATTCAAATCTCAGTTTGGCAGTGAACCTTCGCTAGATATGCTTAACGATGCCCTCGTCAACCACTCTCTGATGCGTCCCATTAGGGATGCAAGTGGAATGGCCTGCATGACCTGCATATCCAGCAATCTCGACGGATTCCTGGCCTTTAAACCCTACGCGAAACGCATTGCAGACTATAAGCTGTATAACACCTCCTCAATAATCACACATTTCAGGACGGTCCACCTGGGAAGCGACTCTGGACTAGACTGGAAAGAGGATATGATCGAGTTGCCTGAAGATGATAACATTCGACAGCTCCTGATAGCTGTTGGAATGAACGATGAGAAACTTGGCATGATCGCCGAAGTCTTTCCCAAGCTTTTCCCCAACCCACTCCCAAAAATTGGTGAGATCAAGGAGACCTTCAAGCCACTTCCCAAAAAGGAGCCGAGATCCCGCGCGAACCAGAAGAAGAATAAGAAACAGAAAAAGAGCAGCGCACCTCATCCTGCTACTCTAGCGCAAGGAGAGACCTCGGAAGAGCAGTCCGATGCTCTACCAGAAGCCGCGGAGGACGAGTATGATCCTCGGCGTCCAGCTTTCATTGAGCGCGGTGCCAAAGGCTTGGGTCAAGGTACAAAGAAGCCTCATAATGACAGTCATCGTCAACAGCCATCGGTTGATCTCACACAACTTGCGCCAGAGACCCTGGAAGCTCTCAGTCGGTTGCGACCATCCGATCCAGAAGTGCAGAAGGCTCTCGCTGGTAGGACTGTAAGGAGTCCTTCCGTACCCAGAGCTAACGGCTCACATCCTCCACCGGTGGACACCAGTCGACACAATCGCGGGGCATTCGAAGCCAACTTCGTGCCCGCTTATCAGCCACAGCAAGCCCGAGAAGCCAACACACGCTCGAATGGTCGACATGATCGTGCTGGCGATGATGAGCCAGCTGAGGACTACACTCAGATCATCCGTACTCCTGCCAGCGGGCCATACGGCCAGCATACCGCTGCGGGCCCTATGCTCTCAGTTCCACCTCAAGATCGATATGTCCGACTAGACTCCCGTGGTCAGCCAACGGAACGCCCGAGGTACGAATCAGTCCCTTTTGGCTATGAACACGATCCGCGTGCAGGTCAACAAGAATACTATCCAGGTCCTGGGTTCAGGACAGAACACCCCCCTCCTGTCTCTTATGCTTATGAGCCAAGACCGGAGACAGTCTATGTTGACCAATACGGCCGACCCGTGGAAGTCGTGCGCGTAATCGAGCGTCATCCTCCTCCCATGTACGAGTACCCTCCGCACCAACCCGATTATTACCATCGAGAGGAGCCGCACGCGCGATATGTCTACTATGAGCAGCCACCTCACGTTGCCCCTGCTGCACCGCAACCAGGATATGCAGGGCCACCCAGAGCAGACTATGGACAACCGACTGGCCACCCATCAAGATACATGTACGATGATGGAAGAGCGTCAGTCCCTCGCAATTGAGATACCCATGTTTGTAGACGGATATTGTTATTGAAAAAGTACAAGACCAGATGTCGCAATATTGCTTTTGGTCAAAAATAGGCAGACTGTCACCTCTTCGTATTGCAGCAGCTTCCACGAAGCTCGATATTCGATAAGCAGACTGCATGCCACACTCGTCCCGTTGATGCGTAGGTAGCTTGTGCTACAAAGTGAACAGTTTCAAATATTCGTGTGAGAGGGCGCAGCGCAACAACGTCCATGCATGTACGTGACTAGCCAATTGGCATTCGAGGGTGAGACTGGAAGGAACAACTGTTCAGCCCCTGGCGACGCGTTTTTAGCTTCGATCAGCCGGTTTTAAGCTTTTGCCGACGAACTAGACCCCGCGGACCCTGCCGTCGGTTGCAAAGAGCTCGTCATTTTCCCACTTCCACACTCCCGCTACTCGAGTAGCTCTATCTCTTCAACGTGCCGGAACATGCTCCTTTTGCTGTCTGGCTTGACGTCGTCGGAGGCATCTTGCGTGATACACCTCCGCCCGGCTTCCGTCAATCTCATCAAGCCTCATCCTTCTGCCCATCCGAACTGGCGTTCCAGCTAGAAACTGTTGTGTAGCGCTCGAGGCCAATGATCATCGCACGACTGCAAGGAATTCTGGAAGACACTGACTAGCTGCGCCCTCCAGGGCAGCGTTCGCTGTAACATGAGTCGTAACATCCTACCTGCCTCTCTCGCTGCGAGCTGCACAAGCTTCACAAGGCCCAGCTCATCCGGGCCTTCACCCGCGGCAGCTCAGTGGCAACCTGTCAAGGTAAAAAAACTCACAGGCTCGGCATGTGAGTATTGCAGAAAGCGAAGACGAAAAGTAAGTAAGTCGCCTGAGCGTGAGTCAAGATGACTAACATAACTCCCATCAGTGCAATGGCGAGCAACCATGTCCTCTATGCGTGGACAACAATCAGGAATGCATCTACGAAGTGACCAAAACAGAAACCCAAGGTCAGGCTGTCAAACGAAAACATGCCCAGATGCAGCAAGATCACGACGAGTTGAAATCATTATTCGCCATTCTTGCAACGGGGAGCAATCAGAAAACCCTCGAGATCCACAATCGCATCAGAAGTGGACAATCTCCTGGTCTCATTCTACAACAGCTGAAGCATGGAGACATTCTGATTCAGTCTAGACTTAATTCCGAGCGTCATGTTAGGCATGTCTTATTGAGCAGTCTCATGCAAACCAATGCTTCATTCGACGACTTGGTCGACTTCATCGGCTTGACTGTTGCGAGAGATCCCAGTGCGCAGGTACCGACTGCTGCGTTGTTGCGGCAACTCAGAGGTCAGCAAACTGATCTAAAGGGACTTCGCAGTCTTTTAGGATACGCTCAGCCTGCGAGTACGCAGCGTCGAATAGCCATATCCGATCTCTTGAGTGATCAAGGAGGCCCTGCCTCGGAGTCTGGTAGCTCCAGGTCAGAATCCCTGGAAATGGAAAACAGCAAAAGATCATCAGAACCGCCTTACAGGCTTCCTGCAAAGCCCTGGACTACGTTGACCGACGATGATGATCTGGTCACTCACCTTGTGTCGTTATATATGGAATGGGTGAATCCGTTCTTTCGTCCTCTGGAAGAGGACCTATTTGTTGCGGCTATGCAAGCCGGCGACCTGACTTCAGAATACTGTTCACCATTTCTAGTCAACAGTATCTTAGCCTATGCTTGTGTATGTTCTCTGGAACCCAAGAGAGTCGGGTTTGGCTGATTCAGAGATAGCTCTACTCCGAGCGAGAAGGCGCTTTCTTTCAGCCTGACGACTACTTGACGCGAGGACAGCAATTCCACGACGAAGCCTTTCGACTCTGGCAACTCGAAGAAGGAAGGGCAACGCTGACGAACCTCCAAGCTCTGGCTATTATGTATCCTGGGTAAGTACGAAGATGTGCCACCCATACTTGCTGTCACTGACTGATGATAGCTGTATTTTGAGGGGCAAAGACAAGCTAGGTGTAAGTACGTGTGCAGTGATAACACAATTGTGTCGAGATGTTCCGAAGACGCTACCAACGTCGAGCCCTTCACGCATTCCAACGAGTGAAGACATGTTGGATTATCAACGAGCCAGGAAAGTAGCCTCTTGGGCTGCGTTTGCTTGCGATATGTATGACACCCCTCGCAGAACCCGCTGTTCTATTGGCTGATCCAACTCCGACGTACAGGGCGACTGCCAACACAATCTTACAGCCAGCTTCCAATACCAAATGTAAGGATGATCTCCCTACCGCAGCTGAGCTGATGATCAGCCCGAGTCGTGTATGGACTGGTTATCCTCATCACAACAAAGATGACCTCCTCGACACGAGCGCATTATGGGTCGCTCATTGTCGATTGACGCAACTATCCTGGAAGGCACAACGTCTCTTGTACGCTTCAGACCGCAGTGATCCTCTATTCCCTGTCCGCGTAGAAGCATTGACTGAAGAAATGAATGGCTGGAAGCGCGCTCTACCAGCATGTCTGCACTTCCAGGGAAGATTGCCGGCTCCGGTATATGACCTGCAGTATGTCTGGCAGAAAGTAACACGATCTGATACTGGCTGACATGTCTCACAGTTCGTGCTACGCAGCAGTGATTATTGCACTGTATTCTCTGTTCCAGCCGATTGGAGCAACTCAAAGCTCGCCAACCAGTGAATCGAGCCCCATACAAGAGATACACTCCCCTGAAACTACTTTGCAAGAAACAATCCGACAAGGCAAAGAGGCGAATACTCGAGCTCTCTTTGCACGAGTTATGCGTGATCGTGCTATCGCCACAGCCCAAGAGATGGCTGTCAAGATGGGCAATTTCCGTCACCACTACGGTCTCAAGATCATCCCACCTTACTTCGTCCAAGCAAATGGCGTCGTATGCTTCACCTTACTCCAAGATCTCTCTAATCCAGCATCTGCAGCGGCATTCAAAGAAGCTTTCCGCTGTCTTCTCGGTGCTGGGATGCAATTTCTTTGGGCTAGAGGAATGGCAAGGATGTTACATCTCACAGCACAAAACACTGGTATACAGCTACCCAAAGCGATTGAGACGATGCTGGAAGCTGTTGCAGATACCGCGTGGAAGAAAAGTGATACGGAGATGTTGAGCTCTTGCTGGCCAAACTATGCCATTGCTAAAGATGCCAAAGTCGGCGAGAGTGTTATGATGGAAGACTTGATCAAGAAGTGGGAAAGAGTCGCCTTGAATGAGGAAGAAGGGCGGGGCAAAAGATGACATTCATAGTCTTGGAGGATTTATCGTAGGTATTAGTATGAGTAACGCTAGGATCTAACGACCATGATATTCTCTCACTTAGCCGTCAAGCAGCACAGGTTTCGAAGCAGGCTTGAGACAAGCCACGATGGCTGAAATAGCAGCCAGTGTACCTTCTGGGTCCTTCACCCTCACAGTCTCGAGTCCAATCTCCTTTGCAGGATAATCGTTACCACCGGGAAAAATTGCATCACCGATAAACATCATCTCATCCAATGAGAAGCCACTCACATTCCTCAATTTCTTCAACCCATATCCTTTATCCACGCCTTTTCTTGTGATATCGATGGAAGTCGCTCCACCCATGTTAATAGACAGTTCAGGAAGTCTTGTACGCAAATCCGCCTGAATGACTTGCCGCTTAGCAAAATCAGGATCCCAAAGCTCCTTGTCCTTGACCGGAGCCTGCTGCCCCAATGCAGAAAACGTAATCTGACTCCCCCGGTCCTCAATTCTCTCGCCCCAAGTCTGCTCAGGTGTAAAACCCGTCGCCTCCAAAGCTTGCTCAAAAGCCTCGATGATATTCTTTCTCTCATCTTCAGAGAAGAGTTCGGCGTATACGGTATTCCAGCTTCCATTTGTAAAAGTGTAGAGTTTCGTGCCTGTTGTTGGCATGAGCCAGAGTTTTGAGAGGTCTGCGGTTGGGGGAAGACGGCTGGCGACTTGTTTTTGAAATTGGGGCCAGTCGCCGCCGGAGATTATGGCAACGTTGGCGACGGTTAAGAGGGATGTTAGGGCTGTGGCCATGGGGGCTTGGATGGGTTGTTTGCTTTCGGCTAGGGTGCCGTCGAGGTCGAAGGCGATGAGTTTGATCATTGTGAGGATGTGTGGTTGTTCGTGTGCGGAGTTTGAGGAGCAGGTCAAGATAGTGAGGAGAAGAGGAAGGGAAGTGCTGTGAGGAGGGAAGGTGCAATCGGAGACTTGGATTGCGTGGTCATGTTGTCTACGTATCTTTTCTTGTCTGACATGTGATATTCAGGGTGCTGCAAGGGACGAATCCTTCCAGCACGCACCTATTTATACTTAGCAGCATCTAACTACTCTCGTAGTCTGAAACATAGATCTGATGAAAGAGATATAGTATGTGCGGTCGAATTCTGCCACATCTCATCTATACATTGCCAACTTGAAGTTCGGTGGGAGCAGAGTCCTGATACAATGAACAATGGAATGCTAAGGCCAGTCTCACCTTCATCCTAGACGGTAAGATGCTCTTCTTCGAATCTACCTTAAAGAACGAGGCTCTCGGAAGCTGCTGTAAAGAGCTATTTCTTGAATGAAGGTGCTTCCCTTGGAGCTATCGGCAGTGGCGACCCCGCACCTCGAAGTTCGATTCATTTCCGCCCACCTCGCTACGACACCTCTCTCTTCATGCCTTATCGCGACGAATTTCTGAGCATCACCGTGGCAATCCTCACGATATCGACGCACCAGGCTGTACCGGTCCCAATCGCTCGTGCATATTCATCGACCTAGCAAACATGACTGTGGCAAGCTCAGGCGGGCCTACTACTCGCCGGAGGAGCAAGAGAACATCTAAAGCTATCGACGAGCAACCAATTGAGCCTCGGCCGAAGCGTGTTAAGGCGGAAAATCTACTTGGAGCTCAAGCGCAGGTCCAAGGTGATTCAGAAGCTGTCGATAAGCCAAATGATAGAGGTACCGACGATATCAGCGATGATGAATCGGAATCGTCGTCGGAGCCACCCACACATTGTCGCCTAGCCACTACTGGCGAATTGTTGAATGCGCATCTGGTCAAGTCCGTACAGGATCTAAATAATGACTTCTCGCTGTGGTATGAATTATTCCGTCGCGACGCAGATTTGAGATGGGGGTCAATACCTGCTGGCAATGAGGTCGAGATGCTTGTCGGAGGGCCTTAAGCGATTTTATCTGAGTGGACAAAAAGCTACGCACTTGATCTCGACTCCGCGACTCTTGGAGAATATCGATCTTTGAAGGTGGTGACGAGCAACCAGACGCAATTCGCCATACAGGCCCTAGAGCAATGCAAGATTGCGAGGACCAAGGTCTCTGACGACGAACGGTTCATCAAGAGGTGGCAGCAAATGTGGCAGTCAGAGATTGCGGCGAGGACCGAAACCATCTTCAACGATATACTGAGATCACTCCAAGCTCACAAGAAATCTCTACAGCAAAGCGGCTTCGCCTTGAGTGGAGGCATCACCAAATATGCGAGACACAGAGTTCTTGATACAAGTGTCCGTATGGCTTGTCGCTTTGTTGTTAACAGTAATTTTGTTCGAACGTACAGCCTACATGCAGGCGGTTGGTGATGAAGCCGTAAGATTCCTCACGCATCCATGAACTTGTTGACACGTTCTTTCAACTCTATCTCGGTTTGCAGAAAGCTGTCATGCAAAGCCAGTATACGTAATCCAAAGTCGGCGGACTTTGCACGAGTGTCCTCCAAGAATTTGACTTCTATACGAGCATACATTTGTAAGACAATCCACATTTGTTTCTTGGCCGCTTTATCAGCCTGAAGTTTCTCCAGTGCATCCTGAGCCTCTTGCAAAGTGACCTGATCATCTGGGTGATCAAGTGTAGATTTATTGGTCTCTTTCCGATAAGTTGCTTCCCATGTCTGGTAATCGGCATCCATGTCCAAGTTGTCCGCTCTCTAGCTTTGGTTGTCCAGGGGTACAAACGATCCCAAGAGGTGCTGGAATGGACCTTGCATCTCTTCCGGGCACGAGTCTTTGAGCTCTGAGAGCTGTCTCTCCCCCATTGCGTAGAGGAGCTGAGCTGATGAAGGTGTGTCCTTGAAAGCTCCGCTCTTGGGGGCCGACTTCACTGGGAAATTCTCTTGAGCGTTGACCACAGTTGATTCGGAAGTGGCCAGAGCTGGTTCGTGAATGTCCGCTACTGCGAGCACAGCAAACTCGGAAGCATCTGATGGTATCGCAGGAACATCTGCAGGCAGCTCCTGCGCCTGCTCTACCTCAGCTTGTGTCGTCGCCGAAGGTGGGATGTTCACCAAACCAGCCTCAATTTCTTCTGTCTTATCAACCTGGGGTATCGAGGTGACTATAGAAGCTTGTCCGTGTTGTTTGGCCTCCAGTTGGTGTGCCTCAACCAGCTGTTTGATGGCGGCTGGATCTGGTTTGTTCCACACGCTATCCTTATCCTTCATGTTGAGCGCTTTTCTACTTCTGGTTCCGAACGATCATTCATTGTCCCCATGAAAGTCTTTGTGACTATGCGCTGCGAATCTCGCATGATTATTAGGATGGAAAGGTAAGCTCTCAGGGGTTCGGAAAGTTGATTATGCCTTGGTCCAGAGGGCGGTTCGCTCCCGGACGCCAACGCTGCACCTGAATTCGATCTAGCTGGTGGACTTTTTTTGTGTTCAGAGGGTCGATTGGTTGCTGATCTAGGAGCTTGAGCGTTGTCAGGCCTAGCATTTTGATTCGTGTTGAACGCGAACTGCCGATCAGTGTTCTTCTTTTGCATGACATGGCGCGTTAGCAAAGAGGCGTGTATGACTCTGAGACTGAGTAATTTGTTCGAAAAGGAGAATGTTAGTACACGGCTGAGACTTAGTTGTTGCAGCGTACTCGTAGTGTCGCGATAGGAGCCTGAAATGATAGACTTTGGAGTCGCGTCACGCGTAAAGTGCAAAGATTCCAACGCAGTGCTGTCAGTAAGGAAAATCGAATACTGATTTCTGAGTGCTGTAGAGATTATCATGAATGATAACTACTACTCGTATATGTGCAACATACCAGGCTGTGTTGCATAGGGAGGATATAGGTGGCCTTCGCAGATCACGGAGCAGACACGAGCTGCTTCGCACAAGCTCTGACCTCGGCTGTTCTCGTCCTTCAAACACTTCCAATTTCGGAGACAACACCACCACAATCGCTATGTCAAGATCCAATCGGCGCTCCGTCACTGCCTCATACACGGCGACCAGGAGCTATCTCAGGGTGGCCCGAGATGAGCCTTGAGCGGCGCGCGTCACTACCATACGCAGCAATGGCGTGTCAACTCGGCCCTGGTGTCGTGTTTCATCACAACTCATCGCCAGATCAACCTAACCCATTGAACTCCGCATTTCAGTATGGGTTTGATGGACGCTATAACTTAGCAGTTTTGGTAAGAGTAAGATTACATGACACGCGGCGTCAACTAGACAAAGAAGTATCGGCACAGCGCTTGTCGATCATGTCTGGAGATTTCGCGCTTAGACTGCTGCCACCTCTCAACCTCAAACATTCGAGAAACAACTTGGCTCGTACAACACGGAGTGCTGACGCACACTTGACTAAAATGATGTGCAGCACGTCCCAGCCATGACTTGACACAGTCTTTGTTCTTCTGCTCATAAAGCTCTCGCTTTTCCAGCCGTGGTCTCTAGTCAGCCTGGTTGTTCTTTCCTTTTCTCACAAACGCTCTCTCTCGACCAGAATCGGTCCACTCACTCATTGAACCAACAACCATGCAGTTCAAAAACATTGTCACTGTTTCGTCACTCCTGTCGCTGGCGGCAGCAGCTCCCAAAGGGTTCCTTTCAAAACGGGTTGAGCAAGAAGAAATCACCTGGGGTCCGTTGATTGGACTTGGCCCGACTGCCGATGGTGTCGAAATCACTGGTGTTGTTGCAACGATCTATCCTGGAAAAATGCCTCAGACGCAAGCTGGTGGCCTATACAACTGGATTGGCATCAACAATGAGACCGAGACCGGTGATCTTGTCCAGGGTATCGTCGGCTCATACACGCATGGCGAAAGTGAATGCAAGGGTGCTCAAGCAGACTCGTTGTGGTACGAAAACTCAGCGATCCAAATCAGTCCTTGTCACTAACCAAGTTCCGCAGGTGTATCTCGGCAGAGGTCTATGGCTGGGACACAGAACTGAACGGTTGGAACCAATACGTCGGCGAGGAACGCACTTTGGCCTCGACTCCCGAGGATGGTATCACCTTCAACTACACTCTGATAAACCAACCGACTGGACTTTGGTACCAGACCGCTCGCAATGCACGTACTGGTGTCCTGTATGCCGAGTTCAACAAGACTTCACCGACCATGACCATGGTCAACACTGCTGTTGAATGCCAATCGTGTACGCCACCAACAGATGTTCAGTATTGGAAGGACATCACCATCAAGCTCTCAGGAAGCGACAAAAACTTTGGCAGCACACTTTACCAGTCCAATCATGCAACCAACACAAAACCCTTCACCAACGATAATGGAAGCATCTGGAAGATCCAGAATGTCACCATCCCCGTTGTTGCTCCTGTCGCCGATGTTGTCGGATGACCGCCTCTTCACGCAAGCTCAAATCGGACTTTGTACATACTCCCAATAATCTACTGCTGCGCACAAAATACGAGGCTAAATAGTTTGGGGGGAAGCAACATATTTCAGCCATTCCCAAGGTGTCCCTTTGATCTCTCGATTACTTGTATGATTTCTCTCAATTTTGGAATCAGGCTCACTACTTTCAATGTCAAGTTGACGTAGATTCTGCCGAGATCTAGCATGTCGATATCGTGATCAAGGTCAACCCACCAAGGTGAAGGCCGGCAAGAAGGTGTTCCCCGCAGCGGGGTTTGACTTTCGGCGCGAATTGATAACTTATCGCGAATGCCCCTTCCTTCGCCGATAACCTGATCGATATCGGCTTGCTTGCCTTTCATGAGACTTAATGTTTCATAGCGGCATCCGATAAGGGGCTAGCGAGTGTTATTGCATATATCAATTCTGTATGCACGATCGTTCTCTGACCCTCCAGACTGGCATTTATTTCGCAAATCAAACAAAGTCATGACGCCCATATTATTCGTCTTTATACTTATCTCTGCTGTACTGATATGCTTGAAAGCATGGCTCCGTCGTACAAGGAGGTATTACGAGAATGACAAACTTAGGGATAGCGTCAAGTCTGAAAATGGTAAAGCATTTTTCTGCATGCTAATCAGAATAAGGGACCGCTGACGATTGGGCAGAGCCTACAAGCACCGACCTTTCTAAGGTCCTCCCAATCGAGGACGGCTTCGACTGGCGAGAAGCCGTACCTATTGCCTACAGACCATGGCATAATGGTCCTTATCATGTCACGATGGGTATGCGGTAATTCTTCGCCGCGTGAAGCGGAAGTAAGTTTGACGTCCATCACAGGTATCAAGAACACGTCCATTCAAGACTGGATCGAGATCGACGACACATATCTAAAAAAGCTGGCACTAAAAAGGGAATTGTTCGAGAAGCAGAGAAACGCCACGATACAGATATTGCCTGGGTGTGAAGAAGCGGCTTTCGAAAGCCTATACCTACTCGCTGATTACCTTCCGCGTCGATATCCGTCTATGTTCAGGCGAGGCGACAAGAACACAATCCAGAACATAGAGACCAAGGAGATATGGGATCTGAATAGGGATGCCACGACTTGGGAGCGCTACCATCCGCTTGAGGTTATGAGCCTGCTTGCGTCGGAAGACTTTCTGATCTTGACGACAGATCCAGAGACAGGGGTATCCAGTCTGAAGGCCGGAGCAATCTGTTTTCCAGGTGAGCCGATCGCATGTTGGTCTTCAATATTGCCTAACAACATGCAGCTGGATGGCAGATCCAGGAGCGAATCGGACACAGTCTATGGCAAATCCATGCTGGGAAAGTACCTCAATATGAGTCCAAGCTAGCCAAATCAATGGACCGCTTCTTCGTGCGGATGCGTGTGAATTCTGCTATATCAAGATTCAACTATGCTATCGACGACTCGGACGAACTGTTTCACCCTCATTCCCACCATAACTTGCGCGCGGAGAAGAAGGTCCACCTTGATGACCTCCATCTGCGAGTCGAACGACAATTCCTGCAACGTCTGCCGAAGACGAGAGCTCTCCTCTTTTCCATTCGGACATACATCACACCCATCACCCAGGTGACAAAGGACCAAGAGGTGGCTGCTGCTCTCAGGACTAGCGTTGGGAGTTACACTGAGGATGTGGCTGCATACAAAAACAAGCCATTGTGGGATTCGATTTTACGTGATCATCTCGAGCAGATCCTGGACGAACGTCGCGCAGCATAGACCGTGATGAGTTAGACAAGTCCAGACCAATGGAAGGTGTGAACTCCTGTACTGTAGTATCGAGATATCGTCAAAAGGAAATATTGGGATTTTTCAGCGATAGATCATCAGCTGCACTTGTGAAACACAATCTACGATCCATCTGCTATGGAAACAACTCAATAGGCACTGATCATTCATACGAGAACAACTTTAACCATGTCTCTGCCACACGCGTTGTCGAGCTTCGGACGAGGCTTAAGCGCTTAGACCACACTTCCCCGCATGTCTTTCGCCGAGTTTTCGGAGCGAGCTTCGTGACCTTCCCTTATCTGGAAATCAGTCAGGCCGTGTCATCGCAGGCATCATCGTTGTCAAGAAAGGTAGCATGTCGTCTAGCGACCATCCTATCCATCAAACCTTCGCGGTGTGCTACTCAAACCGTCAGTATGGCGGGAGGAGATGCATCGCCCTCCAATTACAACCTAGACAACAATGCCATCACAACAACACAAATGTTTTTTGGGGACACCGAAAACGATCTGGATGCGGTTTGGGATGTTTGGACTATGACTTCAGCACCGACGGACCTGGCTTCCCATGCCACGACATCCGATAAGACAGTCGCCTGTAGGTCCGCTACCAATGGCGTTCATCGGTCTCGGAAAAAGCGTGGTAGGACTTTCACAGTATGCGTATGAACATAACGAAGATAGGCAGTTACCTGACTATCTCTCGGTAGGGTTGCTGGACTTGTAGACTACGAAAGGTCAAGGTAAGCTGCGCACACAATCACGCGTCGCCACCTCTAACTGTTGAAGTGCGATGAACAACGACCCATCTGTGGCAATTGTCAGCGTTCTCGCCACTACACATGTCGAGGCTATGAGTCAGATTTGAGCATGTCTGAGCAAGTGAGACCTGTCACTCTTCAGAGACAGTCTCAGCAACTACACAGCGCTTTGGACTCGTGGCATGACCGTCCCACCACACTCGATGGCACTTCCGCGAATGTTGGACATTCTTCCATTCCGGACATTCACGTTGATGAGACTTTTTGGGCCGGAACTGGCGACACCACGGATGTCCCGATGGAGTTCATTCCTTTTGAATCTCTAGTTGAAGACCTGCCGCTTATGGCCGACGTGCGCATAAACCACGCCGACGAATCTATAGCAGAACATGCCTTGCCCGAGCCTCTGTCTCTACCGGGAGATTTAGAAGATCTACTACGACACTACAGAGAAATCATCTGTCCTGCCATGATGCCGACCATCAATCCCTCACAGAATCCGTGGCTTCAGGTCTACTTGCCTCTAGCACTACAAACTCCAAGATCAGCTGCAACATCCGCTCTTTTGCATGCGATTCTCGCCGTGGCAATCCAGCACAAGGCAAAGATTGAAGGACAAGTGTCGTCTTCAGTATCGGTCCATTCCGCTAAGCATAGAGCATATACCTTGAGTCTGCTGCAAGGAATCCTCTCAGAACGGCATTGTCCTGACGATCATGCTGATCGGCATGCCATGCTCGCAGCCTCAATGAGCCTAATCACCATTGACGTCTTCAGCGGCAATAAAGAAAGCTGTAACACTTACCTCAAGCTTGCTCGAACAGTTCTCCATGGAACCGGAGGAGAGACGTGGTGGAAGTCTAGCCTGAAATCGAGTATCCTTTATCAGACCTTCAAATGTTATGAGATGGTCGCAAGCACAGCTCGATCGCATGCCGCTGCACCAAACTCCCCTGAAAGTACTCGGTCATGGAGCTCCGATTCTCCCGGAACGAGTCCAGGCGGTGAAAAGATGCAATTCACTGCTAGAGAAAACCACGAAAACGACAGAGGAGGATTTAATTATATGAGTCATTACACTTTGGACACTTCATTCGGAATTAGTCTCCACACAATGGCCCTGCTCGACAAGACCATCAGGCTAGTGGACAAGACTGTGTCGTCGCCGGGCGCGTGTTCACCTAGCGGACAACACTTCCATCTTGCTGATGAGGTTGAGCATGATCTTTACAGCGTTTTGAGCAATCCCGAGCTCCTCTCAGCACCGATCGTTCAGCACAAAATCCAGTGTTTTGACGACACGCCCTGGAAATCCTCTACTACTCTCCCCACTGTCATCGCGGACGAGTTGACAGAGAACCATATGTGGGCTTTCCATTACGGAGTTATATTATTCTACCATCGAGCTGTACGCTTGCCAACCAGAAAGGATCATTTCTCAGAAAACATGCAATTGCTAGTTAGCAAGCTGTTCGATCATCTAGAAAACATCGATTGTCTCACATCCGATACAGACGTGAGACCTGCAAACACACTTTGGCCAGGCTTCGTGGCGGCTTGTGAGGCGATCAATACAGATCTCAGACACAGAGCTTTGATTTGGTTTGCAAGAGCAGCGAAGCATAAAATTGGAAACATATCACAAGCGAAAGATCTGGTGATGGATATCTGGCGGCGTGTGGACAGACAAAACTTCTCGAATTCCGGACATAACGCATCTGCTGCAGGTACTGCCGGCTTAGGTCCTGTTGATTGGAGAGTTGTGATGGAAGAATCGGGGTTCGGCACCATGCTGACGTGAATGACAAGCGCATAATCGTCTACGGGCATCAAAGTGGACCAGCTAGCGATCTAGCGCGATGGTCCTCCGGAGAACAAAATTTTGCGAGCTACTGGTTGACGATCCCAACACAAACACATTTGGTGTCGAGCAAATTCGACTATGCTTTACCCATCTCGCCAATCTTCTGGCTGTAGAATGCTGTCTCGGCACCTCCCGCAAGAGCTCTCTGTAATTGAGGGAAAGGCAGCTGCTTTGCGAGCCAGGGTTCCTTCACCTTGTGGAGTTGTAAGCCTGCCTCTGCATCATTAATATCTTTGCCGGCTCCAATGCCGACGACCGATCGCGGAAAATCTGGGAGCGTAGCTGCTGGCCTGCCGATACCGATCAAGTCGCAGCCCTTAGCCTGCAGCGCCGAATTCATGCCTGTTCGCGTGCGAAACCCGCCTGTGAGCATCAAATGAAGTTTGGGGTGTCTTTCGCGGACAGCAAGAGCGAAGTCCAGGAAGAAAGCTTCGCGATTTCGTGTTCTTGCTGATGGGGATGGTGCTTCACTGCCCATCATCTGCTCTTGTCAGCTCGTGAGTTGATTGAATGAAAGAATGCGCTTACCTTTGGATTTTCATACGATCCACCACTGATCTCAAGGAAGTCAATATTCTGAGCGACGAGCGTATCTGTCTGTTTGAGTACTGCGTCAGATCCGGCGTCGTATTGCTGGTCTGCCGAATTTATCTTGACACTGATACTGAAGTCCGGTCCAACAGCCTTTCGAGTGGCCTCAACAATATCCACGACAATCTTTGCCCGCTTCTCGGGAGTACCGCCATATGCATCAGTTCTCACATTGGACTTTGGTGATAGGAAGTCACTGAGTAAGTAACCGTGAGCTGCGTGGACAGTTACACCGTCAAAGCCAACCTGCTGAGCGAACTTTGCAGCATCTACAAATTGGTGGACCACCGTCTGAATCTGAGCAAGAGTCATCTCGGCTGGAGATCCGAACTTTAGCTTCACTATTCCTTTAGCGACAAGATTGTCGCCAAAGTTGAGAGCGATGGCGCTAGGAGCGATGTTCTTCTCGAAGAAGCCACGAGAGCCAGCACCAGCTTGACGTCCCGGATGATTGATCTGCATGATGGCGAGTGCACCTTGAGATTTTATGCCTTGGGCAATTTGTCGCCATGTCTCGACTTCTGCTGTGCTCTTGGAGTTCTGGATAGTCGTGTCTTTTGCCGAGTTCTTGAATCTCTCGTCCACCATCACATTGCCTGAACACATGAGATTCTTTTTCCCTGAATGTCGGTGCTGGTAGCTAGCTGCTTACCAGTCATGACTGCTCCCCAACCACCCTGACCCCAAGTTTCGTAGACCTTGACAAGTTCCAGGTTCACCTGACCATTGTTCGCGAGTCGCTCGGCCATGGCTGCTTTGACCAGTCTGTTTGGTAAGACCAGCCCTGAGGGCAGAGTCAAAGATGTCGCTACCTCGCCGAGTGTATTCATGATGCCGGATAATGTTTTGTTGTATGAGGACGGATGCTTGCCAACACCGTAACATGCAACACTTTATACCGATATAAGATTGGCCGTCCACTACTTTCGACTTTTCACCAACACTCAATCTTGCTGAGCTGATCATAACTGTTTCGCAAGAGCTACCTGTTTGAAGAGCGAAAAGTCTATACCGTTTCGCAAGCATTACGCCTTTCAGCCTAGCGTGGTCCATCTGTTCAAATACTGAATTCTACTCGGACGAATTGTTGTCCCGATTACATGACTTCTCCTCTGACTCTGTACAATCGCAAAGATTCAAGCTCTGCTTGACATCTATCTCGCACGGAGTGGTGCAATGGATGCCCGTTAGTCGTAGGCCTGTTGGTACGCTGAGTGGTCCTCGGACGTGTGCACTTCCGAGCCCAACTCCCGCGCGAAGGGCGAAAGTTGTTGCGCCAATTCACCCAGGCAGTCTGTTCGATGGTCAGATCTAGAGAAAGACTGAAGAATCTGTTCGAAAGCGGCTACACCTGATCTTGATTGCTGAGATGGACAATTGAAGCAGGGTTGCCCGAAATGCATCCAGCATTCAGTCGCGAGCTGCTTGAAGCTACTTTAACCAGAAACGGTAAGCGCATTCACTCCATGACGCTCTCGGTAGACACTACGTAGGCATTGCTTCGAAACAACACGGCATTCTGTTTATCCAAGCTGTGCTTGAAAGCAATCGGCGAAGTCATTGCATTAGAGACCACGCACTCCCTTGCGGTCCACCAGCCGGCCAACAAACAAGGTCAATCAATATGAACCGACAGATAACAAATACAACAGCATCAGTACCGGTGATCTCAGGCTAAGAGCCATAGTAGAGGTATTCAGAGAAACTTGCAATCATGATTCATTAAGTGCTACCGACCTGGCATAGGGACGACCATGCAGTATTGATCTACCAAGCAATATCCTTGCCATCGTACTCCCACATCATATCATCAGTCTTGGCAGCCTTGATGTTGAGGAACTTTCCATTCTTTTCCTTTCCGCTTTCCAAGATCAGTCTCTTGACCTCAGAAACACCTTGCTCGACGCTGAGGTCTGCATCTTTGGAGCCCATGTCCGTTCTCAGCCACTGCAAGGCAGTCAGTATAGGTTCCCAAGACATATTCATCCGTAGTTGACTTACCCCAGGCGATATGGCAGCGATAGTGAATCCTGCGTCGGCATACTGTTGTGCCCATCTCAGAGTTAACATGTTCAGTGCTGTCTTGGAAATGATGTAGGCGTCTGTTGGCATGTCGGCGATGTAGGATGCAAGGGCGAACGAGCCAAGGGCAGAAGAGCTGATCACGCTTGTTAGCTATCAGGTCCAGTAACACCGTCGAGATATACTCACATGTTGAAGACCTTCTTCTGCGTACCCTGTTCGAGCAGAGGTACGAAAGCAGCGGTGACTCTTTGTACGCCGATCACATTGACATCGAGGATCTGAGATAGCTGATCGACTTCCATGCCTTTGATGCCACCAGTGGTGAGACCGTTGATACCTGCGTTGTTGACCAATACATCTAGTCCTTGGCCATCGAGTTTGCCCTTGACGCTCTCCACCGCCTTTTCAAGACTGGCGGTATTGTTGACTGAAGCGGAAATAGGGATAACACGGTCAGAGTGTTTCTGGACGAGTTCCTTGATGGCGTCGATCTCTACATTGCGAGCAACTGCGAAGACCTTGGAGACTTGCGAAGCCGGGAGTTCGAGCAGCTGCTTGACGAGCTCAAGGCCAATGCCTCTGGAAGCGCCAGTGATGAGATATGATGCCATTGTTGGTTTTTTTTTTTGGATTGGAGTGAATTTGGTAGATATCGGGATATTGATGGCTTTCTGAATAAAGGTCCTACAGCATAAATCTTGCCTTCTTATGCTCCTTGCTCTTATCATGAGACCGGACATAGTCTGTAAGCAGATGCGGAGGAAGGAACGCATGGTCTACCCGGCCTCCGACTTGCTTACACATCCCCCTTTGAATGTTTATCAGCATGCCTTGGCCATCTCCGATCCTTTGTGCGCAGTATTATGGACAAAATTGTCGAACATAAACTACAAACAGATTGCCTGGGTTTTCGAAGGAGGATTTCATTCTGCAACCCGTGCATCACCTGATGGTACGGCAGACCTGTTGGTGATCGTCATAGGCTAATTTTCTCCGAGGTTTATGCAAAGTTTGGCGGGGCGAGAAGCGGGCCGCCTGTCTGCCTGGCACTTTCGCACTTTTTGAACCACAACAACACACCAAGTATGAGACAGAGGTACACAGCTGTGCAGACGGCTACTATCCTCTGGTTCAGAGACCTGGATGTTTGGCTCGATTCTGACTTCTGTCATACCCTTGAGCTTCGAATGACAGCCGCGAGTTGTGCCGCGGAGAGGGAGACAACATTAGGCGATCAAAGCTTTGGCAAAATCCTTCTCGTCAATAAACACAAAGCTAGGACGGCAAACTGCATCTTTAGCACAGGCTTTCTTGATTCAAGACGGCTGAGTTCAGCATCATAAGGTGGATGGTTTATTTTGGGATATAGGTGCCAAGTCAGAAGATCGTATCCTGCAAAATATAAAGAGTGTGTTTGTCTCTGTACTCTGGTCCGCTACGTATCACAAACATCATGAAGACATACACTCTCGCTGGCCTTGTTGCCTCTCCTCTCGCTGCCATGGCCGCACCTGCCTGGACCATGGTCGCATTCAACGAGAGCGTACCTGAGATTCACGGCAAAACGATCAATGCCGACAGTGGTCTATTCTGGGTCAACAAGGACGCTGCGGCCGTCTGCCCCGACTACGACCCTCAATGCCCTGCATCTGAAGCGACTATCGTTTCTGGGCCCGTCTATGGAAGTGGTAGTGCTGCCGAGCAACAATACTGGTTCATGGGTATCCTTCAGGAAGGTGGTCAGATGATGGCTCCCGCCGGTCTTGACAACAGCTACGGTGGCCTGCCTCTCAAGTATGCGGCTGTCGGTGCTGAAGAGATTGGTGTCGGTGTCTGGGATACCGCTCGTAACTCTCACCCTGGTCTTGTCCTTGACAATAGCACTGTCGAGACTCTGGGCGCCCCTACCATTCGCTCCCAGGCTACTGTCCGTCCCTACACATGGATGGCCTGCCCCTACCCCGACACCTACCCTCACCCTGCATCTCTCGAGGCAGTCGATCTCAGCAAGCCTTTGAGCATCAAGACCGTCACCTACGAGGACGTCGACTCTTACCCTTACTGCGCACAAATTGAGATCACCCTCCAGCCTTCTACTCTGGCTGCACCTCAATACTACTTCTGCGAGGGTTGTCAATACAGATGCGACAACATCTACGGCAACAGTGTCTGCAAAGCCCAGAAGAAGCCTGCCTGTCTCGAGCCTTTCTGTGGTGCCTACACCACCGAGTAAAAGCTTGCTCCGAAACTGAACATCTCATGATACGACATGGTGGATAGATATTGTCAATAATACTTAGTTTTGTAATGTCAAAAAAAAAAAACAATGCCGTTCATCAATACATGAGATCTCCAGGTCAAGCACTCTTCTCATGCTCAATCAAGTAATCTCCCACCTCCTTCAGGCTCTGCCTCAACCCAGTCCACCCCTCCCCTTTAATCCACTTCAACAACTCTTCCGCCCTACCCTTCTGCTCAATGACCGCAAGATCATCTCCCTCTTCTGGATCCTGCTCCGCAAACTTCCTCTCAGGATACAGCTCTCCCCAAATCCTTAACACCGCGTTCGCATTCTTGGGCTCCGCAAATCCAAAGATACGCTCTTGCTCAACCTCAGGATGAAGCAAGGCAACAACATGCAGTAATGCTGTATCCTGAACAGCGATGAAGTTTTGCGGTGGCAACATACGGCCGACTTGGACGTTTCCATGGAAGAGAGCGATGGTGAGACCGATACTGCTTGGCCATCCTTGATGTTCGACCGAGATAGGAAGCCCGATATTGCCATCCGGCAGCACCGTATTGATGACAAGTCCTCTATCGCTATTCTCCTTTGCCCAAGACCAAACAGCTTGTTCAGCCAAAGTTTTTGAAGCACCATAAGTCGAAATACCTCTATCAGGTGTATAAGGACCAGATGCTTTTGCTCGTTGAACATATTCTTCTGCCCAAGAATCTGCAGTCACCGTGCGAGGGACATTGGCATCGTAAGCGGACGCAGCAACCGCAGAAGACGTGAGCACGAATCTTTCCACCGAAGCTGATTTCGCGGCTGCTTTTAGTGCTGTGGTTGCGAGGTTTACGGCGATGGGGATGACGGCGTTGGGGTCGGGGGAGAAGCTGACATCGCTGGCTACGTGGACCACACCGTGGACATCTTGCATGGCTCTCACCAAGCCCTCTTCATCAGTAAGGTCGGCGAGAAACCACGTCGAGAATTGATCAGCGCCGTATCTCTCGGAAAAAAGGGTAGTGAGCCAGTCAGCGGGTTTTCGGACGACTCCGCGGACTTTGTAGCCACGGCGGAGGAGTTGGTCTACTGTATGGGCGCCTATGTAGCCTGTTACGCCAGTAATGAGGATAAGAGAGCCTGGCTTGAGAGCTACAGAGTCAGGGATTGAAATAGTTGGTGCCATTCTCGATTGCCTCTTGGGAGAGATTGATCTTTATAATAGATATCGAATGTGTTTGTGTGAGGTTGAGTTGTGAGTATGGGACAGTCACCGACTTACCTTGTCTTACATCTTATACCTCGCTTCTATGCACACGATGCCTAGGTGCGTTGGGCGAAGCTACAGCATCAATGTTGATCCTCCGGGGATAGGTTGAACGATTGCCCCGCTAGTGTGGGAATGCTGACATACCCCCATCGGGACTCTATCGACGCGATACGTCACGATTGATCAGCTGAATTTACTTGATCTCGCCTTGCACATCACGACATCTCGTGTGCTTAGTCAGAGTCTGCACCTTTGCCTCGCTGTGGAAGACCGAGAATTCGACGTCCATGTGCTGGAACCGTCTGAAAGCATTTGGATTGACTTTCGCAGCATGTGGAGTGAGCTACTGGAACTATAAGCCAGATTCCTCGCATACACAACATGAATAATCAGAAAACAGATCATGCGACAATCGCCATGTGATCATCATGACGCAAGGAGGAGGTGACAGCTCATGCAAGGGCACTCTCCCCTGCTCCATATAAAACAGCACCCTCTCTACTGATCAACACCAACCAAACTCTTGGACATCCTCTTACTGGGCTCTGGTCGCTCCATTCCATACCTACTGCAACATGTTGAGAGCGAATACCCTAAAGTGCAAGGACGGTGACGGCAAAGAACAACATGACGTCCATGACCCTCAAATTCAACATCGATATCCCGAGGCAAGTATCAAGGGGAAACATTGCGTTCTTGCAGAGCAATAAATCAAGAAACACTTTTCGACGAGAGACGAGATAGTAAAGGCAAAGACGGCAACAGCAAAACATGATACCACGTCCATGACGCTTAAAGTCAAAGTTGTTATCCCACGGTGATTGTAGGGGACAAGACTAATCTTGCGTTCTTGCAAGGTATTGGATTGAGGAATACTTCATAACCTCTCATTGTACGGAGAGGTATATTGCATCAAGTCGAAGGAAATACATCGTGAAGGGGAAGAAATCATGTTTTATGATACGCAAGACTGAGAGGTTCTACTCCTCAGCACCATCTTCTTCATCTTCTTCTTCGTCGTCATCAATAACTTCTACAGCACCGATAACGTCCCATCGATCTCCTTTTGCGCTCTCGCTGACATACTTGACGAACCTCAACACACCTCTATCTCTGAGGACGACAGACAGTGTGTTCCAATTTGCCGGGTTAGAGAAGAGGATACCGTCATCTTCTTCATTGCCAGCTTGGTAAACAGCAGGATCAGCAGCCTTCTTCTTGTGCTTAGCGATACGACGATTTCCAGCGCCTGTCGCTGAAGCAGCATTGGGGGGGATGTCGACGCCGTGGTCAGAGTGTGCGTCGTCGTCATCGTCTTCGTCTTCGTCTTCCTCGTCGCCAGCCATGTAGAGCTCGTAACCACCAACGTTGTCTTCTTCTTCCTCCTTTGTCACTGGGACCTTGGCCTTGCCCTTTTCTTTCTTACCGTTCTTCTCAGCTCCGGCGTCGGCTTCTTCCTCTTCTTCCTCGTCGGCACCCCAGCCTTTGGTCGGTGTGACGTTCAAGCAGTATTCCAACTGTGCCTCGGGCTTGTTGTAGCCTGTTGCGAGTGTGTAGTCCAAGCTCTTGCGGAAACGACGGGCCAAGATGCTACTCTTCGCCAGAGTAAGACCAGTAGCCAGACTCAACCACTTGCGGAAAGCGAGAGAAGGAAGGAATTTGTTGAGAAGCTCGTCGTAAGCGGAAGATGTTACAGTGGCAGAAGGGTCGGCGTGCTTGAAGCGGTAGCGGTGCTTGTAGGGAGGAGTCGCTGTAGCCCAGCCGTCGGTCGCAGGCTCGACTTTGCCATCGTGGGCTTCAATATCTTTGCGTAGACGGGCGCTGAACTTTCTGCTGAGAAAGTTTGCAAGCTGTAGACTTGACTCTTCGGCGAAGAGTTCCGAGAGCTCCTCAACGGTGTCTGGTGTGAGATATTGCGGTGTCATGTACTGAATCAAGAAGTCCATGTCTTTTTCGTCAAACTCGGCTTCCTCTTCCTCGTCTTCTTCGGCTTCTTCTGCCTTGTCGTCGTGGTCGATCCACTGTTCCTTGGGCAGGTCGAACTCGTCGTTCTTGCCCTGCAGCTGTTGCAGAGAACTGCGCTCGGCCAGCTTCTCCTCAAGTCCAGGCTCGAAGCCATCCTCTCCCTCTTGCGGAATGTGGAACCAACCCGAGATGGCCATGCGAATGCGACCACCGTCTTTCTCACTCTCGCCCTCCTTGCGCTTGAAGACCTCCTCGACATCATGGAAACTCTGACCAGGCTGGACCGTGAAGAACGAGAGCTGGTTCCACGCCGGAGGAATCACCTTTGTGAAGTCGTAGTGGGGCACTCTGACCTTGTTGCCATTGCCATCCGTCTTTTCTTCCGTAGGGTACAGACGTAACGCGCCACCCCAGTTGGCCTGCCACGGTGTGTCCGGGTCGGTCAAGTAGAGGATATAGCTGACACGTCTGGTACCAATGACATCGTCATGACACAGCAAGTGACAGCCAGGAGCGTATACATTGACAGCCATATCCGTCTTCTTTCCCGACAGAGGGCCAGCGCCCGAGACCTCCGACACCCATGCGCGGAATTCGGGAGAGTAGAGCGAGTCGCGTAGAGTGAGGAGCGAGGGTAGTAGCTTCAGTGCTGAGGGATCGAGACCGGAGAGGTTGGCAAGGTCGCCAGACTGGTGGATTTTGTAAATGTCCGTCTCCTTGGGTGTGAAGTGGACATTGTCGATGATCTCGCGACGGACCGAACGGAGGAGCTTGTCGTTGATCAGACCAGAGACGACCGTGTGCAAGTACCTGTGAGAGATCAGACCCGACGACCGAGACTAGATGGGCTATGCGACATACGGTCCGCTCTTCGCATAGTCTTCGCGGTATTTTGTGACGACATCCGTGTCAAACAGCTTGGCACCAAAGTTTGCGTGAACCTCGTCTTGCGACTTTGCTGCCTTCTTGGCCGGTCCATTGGAATCGGCTCCATTGCTTTCGTGCTTTCTTTTGCCCATTATGCCGGTGTGGAAGAAAAAGCACCGTGCAAAATGGTAGAAATCGGGCTCAGAAAAAAGTTGGGTTGAAGGGTCCAAGAGCTCGATGATGTGCGTCTCCACACCACCTGAGCGTCACCTGAGTGGACAGGCCATCTCCGTTCTACTTCCGCATCACAGCTCTTGGCTACTGTATGTGCATACTCAGGCCCTTCTACTGTGTTTCGAATAATCGTAACAACTATGTAGAGTAACGGAAGACGTTGTAAAAGAGGCCTCGACGCTTCGAGCGGTGGCTATTTCAGGTACTAAACCAATTACCGACGCTTGGATCGACGAAGAAGCATAAATTCATCAAAGACAAAGGAAAATGAGGGGGGTCCCTCGGTATAGGTCGCTGACTGTAGACAGAAAGAAAAGAGATGCCAATCTCAGCCTCCCAAAGATAACAAGATGCATGTACGCGGTATGCCTCCTTCGACTGCTCCAGCTTACACTATGCACACTGCTCTTTCCTCTGATCTGCTGGGATGGGTCGGTTGATATCATTCATGTCGCAAATATCGAGCATTTGATTTGGGCAGTCGATTCGCATTTAACAACAGTCTTCGGCACATTCGCCTGTTTGGAGTGCGTTAGTCATAAGTTCATCTTCTTGAGGACCCTCAATTGAGACTTACAGCAGTCCGCGCAACATTCGCAACCCTCCTCGCAGACGAAACAACAGCAGAGAACTGCCAAACTGTTGTAGTGTGTTAGATCATGTGTGGTGCTCTGAATTCTAGGTCGGCAAGTCTTACCAGGACGCTAGGCATCCACGGTCCTTCTTCTGTGGTGCTTGCTGCATAGGGGGAGGTCCTTGCTGGTAGCCCATCTACAAGTCGCATTAGCAAGTTGCTCATATATCGGTGATATCAAAGCATACTTGTTGTTGAGGGGGGTAGTACTGGCCCTGAGGAGGGGCTCCGTATTGGCCTTGAGGAGGAGCGCCATATTGACCCTGAGGAGGTCCGTAGTAGCTGTGACTCGGTCAGCGACCATCCAATCCGAAGCGACTTCTCGGTATGACTTACGCCTGTTGAGGCTGCTGAGGTTGCTGAGAATAGTAGTTGGAGGCGGACATTTTCGATGGAATTTGTGTAAGAGTGACGAGGGTCGATGGTAAGTGAAAGTAGTAGGAAGGGCGAGATTATCTGTGGCGCAAAGAAGTCGAACCCCCGTCAGCTTTCGGTCCGCCTGATTTAGATGGTCGTTACGCGTCCCCCAGTCCTCGCTGTACTGGCCAATACGATCTCAAGGGTGCCGCTAGCCGACTCTCCCTTGGCGCCACATTGTTCACCACTCACCTCTGGAATGCTCTGTCTTCGATGCTTGTCGATTCAAAGAGGCGTGAGAAGTCGATCGTGGGTTGGATGCGATTTCTGTATGGAGGGTGATCGTCCTATAGCCCTGCTGACTTTGTCTCGTGCGGAGACGGCTCGAACTGAGATGGGCACTAAGGGTCTGATCTGATGTCACCGACCGCTTGTTTGCAGCTCTGGCTCCGGCTCGAGAAAGCTTGACTTGCTTGTTTGTCTATTTGATCTTGCAGTTTGGCTGGAAGTCGATGGTTCGCGTGGTAGAAGTGATGGTTCGTCGAGACTCGACACTGTGAAGATGCCTCGTCCTATATTTACCGGTCGGCCCTCGCAGACAATACGCATTCGACGAATAAATCACGCGTATACATTGATGAGTACACGTTGAGCCACGATCCCAGCTCAGCCTTTCTAAGCCACATCGACGCTCCTAGACCTCTCGCCGAAACGTCTGACGAAACATGTGCTTCGGACCTGTCAGACACGCTGTTTTCCGACCTCGAGACTCGAGTATCGCACACATTCGGGTCCCGCGGCGGCCGCTCATGCGCGAAACTGTCTCGTTTGCCCACGGCGAGCCAGCTTCGCTCCAAGAACGCATTTGAAGCCTAATCACATTGAATGGAGTACTTGAGAGAATTTCCGAGTGTTTGTCAAAACGGTATCGTAGCTAGAACGAACAAACAGCTGATTAAACCTCCATCTTAATGTCGCGTGTAAGACTGTCGTGAGACGCCGCCCGAATTTGTTGTCCACCGAAATTAACGAATCACACAAAACAAGTGTTTTTCAGAAAACTCCCAGCAACTCCTCCCGATAAGAAAAGAAAAACCAAAGTCTACCTCAGAAGCTTTGTGCGCTTCTCATGCCACCCGTATGTTAGATAAGAATACATCCGGTATGCGTAAAGACTCCTTATGTTATACTCCCAGTGTTGGTGCCAGATGCATCCCTTCCGAAAAGCAATAGACTCCTCGTTACGCCCCATTATTATCATCGTCGTTCGTCTTCGTGTGCATATTGACAGGTACATCATCTCAATGATGCCTGGAAGCGCTACCATATTCTACACCCTGCATTCCTTGGGAAGTGGTACCGGGTGCGTTGTAGTGCTGCGGAGGTGGGGGCCCGACGTTCATAGAAGGCAAGGAGAATTGACGAGATTGTCCATTGGCCTGGGCTTGTGCATTGGCTTGGGACAATTTCGACGTGTATGCACCGTAGATGTGGGGGTTTCCAGGCTCCAGTAGTCTGAGACGTTCCTGCATCACTGCAATCTCTGTCTGGAGATTGTCGACCGTCGATTGCGCTTCACGAGCGTAGTCCGAGGCTTCGCGAAGACGATGAACCTCAGTCAAGAGTCCCCGCTCCTGAGTCTGAGTGTTCTTGATGTACTCGATGGCTGCCGACTTGTCAGTAGGTTACGATGAGATGGATTCGGGATCAGGCTCACCCTTTGTCAGAATCTCCCACTTGGATGCCTTTGCACCACCGTTGGTGGGAACGGCTCTGTTGAGCTCCTCGAAGAGATCCTTCATCTCACTTCTGCGCTTGCGTTCTGCAAGCTTGTGGCTGATGCGCAACTCTGGTGTACGACTGTAGTTGCCACCACCTGGAAGGTTGGCCTCGTTTTGAAGAGCAGATACCCTATGTTGGCTCATGCTGTGGTGGTGGTGAGTCAACGCGTCATCGTCAAATCTTCGCTGGCCATAAGGAAGGCTTTCGTTCTGGGAGAAGATGCTACTTCTGATCGAAGAGGCGGCGTAGCTGTTGGTTCTCGAGATGCTGTGGCGCTGAGAATCCTCGCTGCTCGATTCGCGTCTTGACTCTTCCGCAATCGGGTCGTCGGGGAAGGCCCAGGCATGGCCAGGCGTTGGCTTGGAGGCCATTGGGTCAGGGGCGCCAGGAACTCGAGACGCGCCGACGATAGGCGGGGCAACTCTTGGACCTGTACCGCCGCGAATACTATTGCGGCCACTCAGGGGCGAGAGGGGGTTTCCGTTGTTTGGTCTTCGAAGGCTGGCAGCCAGCGAGACCTGAGACCCATTTTGACTCTCATAGGGGGAAGTGGGATTGTTAAGACCAAGGTTAGAAATCCCAGTGTGGACACGGCTGTCAATACTACTTCTGCGCGAATCCAGTGACTGATGATAGTCGACACTTCCGCGATTGCCCACATCAAATGTCTGGTTAATCGAAGGCAGAATGGTGTTCGATTGTTGCTGATGCTGAGACAGTCTGTTTGATGTCGGTGTGTTGGGTATCGAGTTTCTCGACTGAGGATCTTCTGGGTTGAGCAAGGTTGAGACTTGCAGAGAAGGGTTGTTCATGTACGACTCGACCGCTGGTAGGAGGTTAGTCTTGTACAAGCAGATAAGATGACGCCAACAGCTCCGCCGAAGCTGTAGCTCCAGCCTCCGCATATACGAGAAGCTACAGCTACAGATGGCTTCGAGATCGAGTATGTCAGCATCAGGGGAGCTAAATTTACTTACGTTTCATCTGAGGATGGATTGGAGGCCATGTTCCCGAGTCCCTCGAGGGGAGATGAGAAGGCTGGCGGTTTTGGGGAGAGTATTGGTTGGAGCTCGGCAGACCGTTAGTCAGAGCTGCAATGGATGGCAGCGTCTGTGACGGCGAGGGCTGCTGAGCATGATGGTGTTCGATTTTGGGCTCTGCCATGTTGTCGAGTTTATGCCAGGCGGAAGTCGTATGGCAGGTTCGTGGTCAACGTCGACGCGTGATGAGAAGAAGAATGGGATTCACGAGCGGAAGCAGAACGACAAAAATCAAAAAGTGCTTCTGTGCAGTGGATCCCCGGGTCACCTGCTGTGAGGTAGTTTGAGAGTGACTCCAGTAGCGAGGTCACGAAGCAAAGGCAGATTGTGAAGCTGTCCAGTAGAAAACCTGGAGATCGTAAGTGGTCCGCTCAAATTAACGCTCACGTGCCCCGCCCAGCAGAACAGACGAGTAATTGATGAATGGAATACAAAACAGAAAATGCATACCTTTATGGAAATTCCAGAGGATAAAAGGATGAGGACAGGAGGATAATGAAGAGTCGCGGAGGCGCCAACAACGTGGAGACGTCGATGAGGATCCTCAAAAGCGGATGTGGCTGCAGTGATGGCGTGTGCGCACGCAAAGAGAAAATGTATGCGGCAGTTTAAACGGCGTTGCAATGGGCGTTCATAAAAAGGATGCCAACGCTTGGTTCCGAAACCGATATGATGGTGTTCAACTAGACTGATGCGCTTCTGGAATCCTTCGATGGTTTCTCGGGCGGATTGGAGATATAATGGAGAAATCAAGAAAGGAAACCGCCTCGGTGAAAGGTCTCGAGATTTGGAGACGACTCAGAAGTGCAATTGATTAGCACGGGGCGCTGATCAAAGCTTGAAAGGAAGATTGCAGCAGAAGTGGCAGCAAAGGCATCAGACTCCGGGTGCCGTTTGACAAGAAGAGGCGATTGGATACACGGGGTTCCGTCGTGCTGTCAAATGTATGGCCAGGTGCTGGGATGACTAGAGCGTGGTGTGAGGGGTCGCTGCCTTTGTCCGTCAAGAGCGTGCCTTGCATTCAACGCTGGCCCGATTTGCGCAACGCGCCGAAAGGAAAAGTTGAGTGTTGCGGGAGCTGAAACAATGGGTTTCGAAGTGTGCGAGGAGACGGCACCGTCAAAAGCTGCCGAGTCCAGGTGATTTGATGATATGGAAAGAACGATGGTCAAGTCCTGCAGAGTGGCAAGAGGGAGAAATGGTTCACAGAATTCACGGCGGAGGTGAGCAGGAGTTGTAACGTGTATCGCATGAAAGAAGGGAAACTATGCAGACCTCGGAATGGTCTCTAGGATCGGCAACGAAACTCACAGCACGTGGATCTTGCTCTAGCCCCATCTGCCCTGCGCCCGCAAGAATAGCGGGAACCAAAAGAGCCTGGTGGGTTTTCTTGGGCTCCTAAATCCATTCGGCCGTACACATGTCGAGGCTTCGCTGCCGATGTCTCATCGCCGCGACGTGCACGGGATCTCCGTACATGACAAGACTCGCAATTTGGGAGCGCCTCTAGTTTCCTTAAATCATCATCTCTACGGATAAGTTACATACACAAGTCCTTCCCGGCAATCTCACGAATGTGCATGTCCCATGTACATGTGGGCAGTCGTTGGATGCTGCATGGCAACTCCTCGCGGCATCAGGAAATGAGAGTCTCGAGTGGTGCTGCAGCGGAGATTTTTGTTGCTGACGCTGGTTCTACTGCCTGTCGTCGATCGGACGGCTCTACCTATCCGAAGGCCAAGAAAAGAACAAAGCCTGGAGAACAGGGAGGAGCAAAGCAGCACCTTCAGGCGAGTTCAGAAAGACAATTCGTCCTTCACTCCCAAGCAGTTACCCTTCCCCAGCTGGGTGAGAACGGGGAACCAATCGGCAGGGTTGCGTGACAAGATCTACTTCCGCGTGAGCCGAGTAGATTGAATAGATGAGAAACAGTTCATCAAACAATCGTCTTGCTGCCCGTTGACGGCGTCTGAAAGCATGAATATGCTGCCCGGTTCTGGCCCAACGCACGCCAGGGGTCGCGGATTGAGGAGAGGGAGCGCGATCCACTCTTGTGCGCCTGTATGGTCACGACAGGATGCATTGCAGGCTATCCCTCATCATCCTGGTTGCCGGAAGCAGGAGACAGCGTGTCACAGGCAAAGGAAAAGCGAGCAGTATCAACCAGGCGCCCTGCTGCTGAGCCATTGAAGGCATTTCGCTGAGGCCTCCCCACCTTGCTTGTGTTACAGATACATGGAGATATCTGCGGCGGGCTAATGCACGTCATCTGCAATCCGAGGTTTCTCGGCCAGTCACCGCGTCCCTCATGATTCAGGAGATCATGGGGTGGCCAAAGTCACCAGGGAAACTCGACACCGTGAACGTCTGGGCGCTGAGTCTTTCTCCGATCGCATGTTGCACAACTCTCGCGTGGACCTTCGAGTGGCGCGCCTTGATGAGACCTCGGAGATGGAAACTTGTTGACGTGCAAAAGAGACCCCTCGTAAGTTGGGGAGTTTTGAATGCCAGAAAGCATATGCTTCTTGATCCTTAACCTCGTACGTGATCAACGGTTCGTATATGTCATGATACAAGCGGTCGGCGTTTGGGCAGGATGATCAGCAAACATCGAAAAAGCAAAATCTAGATCAAGGACAACGTGGGCCGCACGCGGCGAAGGGGGGAAGACAAGCCACAAGCCCGAAAACAGGCCCGGTGCGAACGTAAGATCTTCCACTCTTTGCCCAAACCTCTCTTCTTGCTTGTCAGCTCGGCATGGATGAACCCGGATCGGCTTTGTAGCGCCACTAAGCGTTTGTCACCTTTCGAGGTCAAAGTCTTTTCCTACCGGATTCAGAAGGTGGTCAATTTGTCTTAAGACTTTAAGGAACGGCCAAAGCCACACCCGCAACACATGGCTCAGGCTGGCTTGAAGGTTGTCGGTCAAGGCCGGACTCTACTGACGAGACCGGTCTAGTGAGGACAGAACACATGCATATGGTTTACCAAGGATCAGGGCTTCAACGGGCAGATTGGAAAGTAAAAATGTGTGGTGGTTTGGTCATATGGATAAATACAAAGGGCGCCTAGACGACGTTACAGCGGATCGAATGGCTGGAATCACTAGCTCTAGGAAGGAATGATTTAGCTCGCGCGTATTCATCGTTGAGACCACATGGGCGGTCGCAGGAAGTAGATAGCAAGATGGCCGGTACATGTGTCTCTGATGATAAACCCAAGCTTAAGCAGAGTCGTTGAGTCAAGCTGGCAACGGTTCGGCATGATCGGGCAACTTCATGATTCACTCTACGGACGTAAAGCGACAGGGGTCTTTTGTTGCCTTCAAACACGAGGTCTGTTGGGTGGAAATTGGGCGACAGCGTTGATGGGCGACAGCGTTGATGGGCAGCCTTACGGCCAGGCCTTCCACTCACGTTGACAGATAGGTCTTCGGCCAGGCCACGCGTCCATGTGGGCCGAGTCTGGGTGTGTTTTTGATAGTGATACACTGGTTGTTACACAGGTGGGTTCGTGACATGTTCTAGCATGCAGAGAGAGCGTCATTCATGACGGAGCGGGCCGCGACATGAGGTCGGTAATGTCGCATTCGTTTGGGCGAGCAGATGGCGGCGGGATGAGGCCCATGTGGCCAGCAGTTAGCTGAGCGTGGTCTTGTAGGCGTGGGTAGGATGTTAGGCAAGCTGCAGCCAAGACGATGGAGGTGGCATAGTAGGAACGTCTTCGAGGCACGTTGTGTGCAGGCTGAGAGTCAGGCGCGACAGGGGAGGTTCGTAGACGGTGGACAGGTGATCAAGGACGGACGAGGTAGGCGGCCAGAGCTCTGTCGAACTTGTCGACACGGATGGGCATCTCGAGACTGTAGAAGGGGTTCGCCATGACGTAGTCGGCATAGATGTCGTAGCATCTGCGAGCAATCTGATCCGTGTTTGGTTGTTCGGGGCTGGTGAAGACGAGGAACTTTGTGCCGGTGGGGGTTTGAAAACAGGTCAGACGAAAGTGCGATGACTCGAGGGACTGGATGCCGGTGGCATGGTTTGCGCGGTTGCCAGGCGGGGCATGGGAAGGTGCGACTGGGGACAGAGAGCGCGAGATGGCGTGGATGCCGTGAAAGGTGCCGGCCAGGATGAGATAGTCGTTTGAGCTGAGCTGTTGGAGACCCGGCGCAAAGTTGCGGTTGTAGATGAGTCCTCCGGCCTTGTTGATGACGAGCAATGCGAAGACAACCCTGGACACACATGTCAATCGCACATCAGGACTCGCGCGTTCGGGGTACACTTACATGGTGATTGCGCTCAAGTTCAGCAGTCGAGCTCAAGCTGTCTTGCTGCCGCTGCGTTTGCGAATTGGAGAGCGACCGGGGCGAGACAGCCGTGTCACCGTGTGTGGAGAAGTCGGCCAACGACGCCGTCAAGCCGCCCTGCATTGCCAACCTCGATGTTATAGTAACACATGAATCGCTTCACTAGATTCTTTCACTCTGTACTTTCGTCCCAGCTGTAGTGCAGAAGCAGTCGAGACCAAGACGAGCGTGTGAGACGGCTATATCTACTCCATCTCACTCTCACTCACACGTGTGTTTGGCTGAGCAAGCGCCGTACCTGCCCCGCGCCTCTATTAGCTTGCAGTAATCATCGCACCACCAACCAACGATTCTTTCACTTCGCACCATCATTGTGACTTCTCATCACTCATCCTCTCTTGGCACTTCAACCCTGCCATCTGATATGCCCTCTCGCTGATGATCCTTGTCTGACCCTCACCACTTGATCAGAAGTTCACTCGCTTCACCACATCTCACTCAAAATGGTGAACAACTCATCAACTATACGCGTCTTGAGGGCAAGTATACAGGTACCTGTTTCCTCTCAGATGTCTAATCCGTTGCTTAGGAAATCAAAGAACTCCAGACCGGCTCTGACTTGTGTATGTTAGCTTCGTTTTACGAGCATGCCCGAGCTGACTGTGTTAGCTCTCGCTGTCGCCTACTTGGAGAACGATGTCCGCACCATACGCTGTCTTATCGTCGGTCCTTCCGACACACCTTACGAATTCGGTTTTTACGAGTTCAAGGTCAGAGTCGGTCCTGCATACCCCGTGCAACCACCAAAGGTGCGATGCCTGACGACTAACGGCGGTCGCTGTCGCTACAACCCGAACATCTACGCTTCAGGCAAAGTGTGCCTTAGTATACTTGGTAATACCTATCCTCGCCCGCCCTTTGTTACTAGTACTGACTCTCTCAGGCACGTGGCGTGGTGAGCCAGGCGAACAATGGAGTACTGCCCAAGGGCTAGAAAGTGTTCTCATCAGCATTCAAAGCTTGATGAGCTCGAATCCCTATGAAAACGAGCCAGGTTTCGAAAACACACAACTCACAGAGGCCGAGGCCCAAGAATATGCACAAAAGGTTAGTTGCGTCTTCCCATGCCTATTGATTCCTCGCGCGCCTTCGATACCGATCGTTGTTGCGTTGTTCACGTGCCTCTTCGAGTCGGCCAGGGATTATGCAAGGCGACTGGAAATCCTCGTTTTCTCCCAGTCCCGGTTTCCTCGTGTGCTATACCATGTCTCTTCCTGTCTCGATGGAAGCAGAGCAACAACAAGCCGTAGCAAGGCACAGTGACCTTGTCTATCGGAGATACTGACCGGGGGACATGCAATGCTGACCATGTGCCACAGGTTCGCCATGAGAGCCTGAGAATTACGGTACTCCAACGACTCGAGACGATACTCGACATCTCCGACGTTGACCACAGGACTCCTGCTACGGCCCCAGATACCCCACCTCCTGAGATCGACGAGGAAGGTATCACGGAATACGATGCTGCTGCCGCCGAGAGAGACGAGAGCATCGAAGCCAACTTCCATCCGTTCACCGATCTTTACAAGCGCCGCTTTCTCTGGTACTACGACGCTTATGTCAAATCAATCGACGACGCTTCGACGAAGGTCAAGGACGGCGAAAACTTCAAGATGACGCCATTCGAGTACGGTGCTAACGAAATGCGCGGCAAATATGCCTATGCTTCTCTCAAGACTCGCCTCCAACGTATCTGGGGTTGTCTCGAGGCAGAAAAGGATGTTTGGGCACGCGAGGGCAAGAAGACACTCGCCAATGAACACGGCACGGCTATGAACCTCCAGCATCAGTTCGACTCGCTCCACAAGCACTACACTCAGAGCAACGGCCCATCTGTTGAGCTCAGCCTCGTCGACGCGAATCCCTTCCTATGGACTCTCACTTTCTTCGGACCTTCGGAGACAGATCTATACGGTGCAACTATCAACGTCCGCCTGCACTTCCCTTTCGAGTTCCCGGAACAACAACCACGAGTCACCGTCCTCACACCACTCTTCCACCATCGCGTCAGCGCCTCTACAAAAGCTTTATGCTACTTCCCAGCCAAGCTCTACAGTGTGCAAAATCACATCGAGAGTATCATGACCGCTATCATCGAAGAAAATCCATCTTACGACCCGCGAGCAATGGTCAATCCTGCCGCATCAGTCTTGCTCTGGGGTGATGAAGCTGGTAAGAAACTGTACAGGCGCAAACTTCGCAGAAGCGTACAAGACGCCATGGAATCTTGCGACGAGTTTTAGGTTGCAAATAGAGACTGACGAGATTCTGGACATGGGACATGGGACATGGGACGTGGCGTTTCACAAAATCTGGTATACCCCCTGGTTCATAGCGACGGCGTTCTCGGGTCGGAAGATATATACTTCTCGGTAAGGCTTTTCTAAAAAGACCCTTTTTCAACATGCTTTACTGTCGAAAGAAATACAACAATAATTTCTCGTTTTTGGCTCCCCACGCAAAGGTTGGCTGACCCGGTGGACATTGTGTCCTAATCAAGAGATACGGAAAAGTGCACAACACCCACACATGGCGAGTGATCTGCTCAAAATGATCATGAACCAATGATAAGGTCATCTGAAAGGCACAGATACGGTTGAATAATCATGAAGGCAAGTCCTTCGTGCTCAAAGGCCATCGTCATGTCTCGTCATACATGCCGCAGGGACAACCCTGACATGGATCCAGATGTCTCACTTCCACCGTCCATTGCATCTTCATGTCAGCAACATGTTACACCATCTCATTGACCCAACAACGAGTCCAGAGGGTCATAGAGAACCTGGTTTTCTACCCGTCTGCAGTTTGCCAAACATGTCGCACCGAAAAGCACTCCTTGCTGCAAGACAGAAAGGAGATGGCTGGGTCAGAGCACGGACGTGAGACAGAACGAGGTGGACTGGTGACGTGCGCCATGCATGACATTTGCTTCCAACGACAGCTCCTTCTTTTGTAACGGTCTCGAGTTGCTTGGACTGTGTTGATGGGATACCCCGGCGCGTATAGGTGGTGTCGCACTAGGTGGGCTGCCCTTGCGCGCGGGTCGTTGCTAGGCCCGGCGTGGGTGCGCGCTTCGAGAGGAAAGACTGAAACCATGTTGTGACTCGGTTTGAGGGTGTCTTTGTGTCTCGCTGGGTCTGAGTGTCGCCTCGGTGGGACAGTCCAGAGTCGAGATGGAAAGGTTTGCTGGTCGCAGGTCTTGACTTGATCGGTCTGATTTCGTAGACCCTTTGATGTTCTGGTATCCTTGTTGCTTTCCCATCTTCCTCTCTTGCTTGTATTCTGCTTGCTCGTCCGTCAGTTTTCTTCATGCCAGTGCACATCAAGATGAGACTCAAAGCATTCTTCGTCATCTTTTCATTGGGCCTTCCAGTCTACATGGCCGCACCTGTTCCTCCTTGTAACGTGGCACGCCTCACGAGCGCAGACATCATCGCCATGGCGCCAAAAGCGTCATCTTGTGCCGCAGCACCTTTCCCCTCCGAGTGCGCGACAGCCACGGACGCTGCACCCTGGGTCAACATGGCCTACCACCTCTTCGACATACACGCTTTTGGCACGCAGGCCGCGTTGTTGTCGCTCATGCTTTATGAGTCCGGCTCTTTCAAGTACGACATCAATCACTACCCTGGTGTACCCGGTCAGGGTACTCGCAATATGCAGACCCCGGTATTCAATCTCAAGTATGCTCGATGGCTGGCTGCGAATGTAACGGACTCGGGTATATCGATGCAACAGGTGGAGGATGCAGAGACAGAGGGACCAGTACAAGTACTGGCGCTTGTCAATGGCGATCGCTGGAGTTTCGCTTCGGCGGCATGGTTTCTGGCGACACAGTGTGATGAGGTGATCAGACTGGGGCTGGCCGCTTACACGGAGCAAGGATGGAATACGTATTTGACTGAGTGTGTTGGTACAACGGTCACAGATGACCGGACATCAATCTGGAAGAAGACCATCGCGTTAGAGAAGTGGTAGAAGTATCGTCGTGCAGTATTGACTTTGAATCTCCACAGGCTTCTTGTGTTTCTTCGAGACGCACATGTTGAGCTGGACAGTATAAGTAGCTATCAGACGAGTACATTGTGCTTGTCGCGTGGCAAGAAACAGTCACAATGCTCGTCTCGGCCGTGTCGAGGGGGAGGCGCGATCGAAGATGACGAGGAACAATTGAGCATCGTTCCCTCGACCAAGATCTAGCCACTCCACGTAGGCCCCTTCCAAACTTCACCAAACAATACATGAGATACGAGCCGCAATACTTCTTTCGCCTTGACATGGTTCTTTAAAGATCGTCGTGTGATACTCATGTCTGGATTAAATACCCCATGGAAGCATATGAAAGCACGTACAAGTCACAATCCGTATCTTGTTGCTCCAAGGATGTTATGATTGTGCGTCTCCCAATGCGATTTGCAAGCTAAATTATCGCATAAGGAAGTCAAAAGAACCGAATCGTCCATTTTGAGGCATGTTTCAAAAACCCAACCCCTTTTTTCTTTTATATCTCGTAGAGTCATATTCCGCTAGCGGCTCCCAACATTGGCAGTCACAATCATAACGGCTTAGCCGTGCCATGGATTCCGAGCGATGTGACTCTTCTTGTATCGTGCAAACATGGTTGAAAGGCCAATGCTGCTTCTAGATCCGCTTGTACTGAAGCCTAAGCGGTTTCGGGCTTCGTCTGGAGATGACATATCATAGGAGCATGATTTGTGGCACGCGAGGAGCGGTAATTTACAAGACTTCTTCCAGTTCACATGTAAGCGATTGAGGTCGTTGCTGCTCAATTTGTGTATCTGAAGGTGCTGAGCTGCTGTCGTCATCGCCGCTGTAATGGAGGGAGTTTGCTCGGCAAGCTCAGGCAGAACTTATGGAGTGGTACGGGCTGATATCAGGTGTTCAACCAGAACAACAGACATATCAGAATGATAACTCTGCCGCCGGTTCTACTCGTGATTGTAGAAATTACTCGTCCATTGAACTGCGCTGTGTGAACGAGATCGCGGTGCAAGTCATGATACGTAGTCGTAGACTGGGTTCCCTGGTATGAACGCCGTTTCCGTTATTGGCATTCATATGCTCCCGCAACCTCAGCAAGCTCTGCGCAAGATCAGTGAGCCCAAACACACCTCAGCCCCCTTCTCCGCGGTCCAGATTGTGTTGGCAGCTAGCTTGAGGGGGTTTCGAGTGTTTTCAGAACCGTAAGTGCGATATGTTTCTACGGAACGGCTTCGCATTCGTCCAATTCTGGTGTCGACAGCGTGTTCTTGCACTAGATGCGCACATGCTATGACTCTGCTGAGCAGATATGCATCGAAACAGTCATGTGATTTCTGAAGAGGCGCGAGGGTATAGATTCGCCTACCTGATACTCCTGTACCGACTCTTCTTCCATCCTGTCAACTTCTGATCAAGTTCTGTATTAGTCGTAAGCTATCCCGACTTTCCGCAATCTCCTGCAATAAAAGCAACGCAGCGTCAACTTACTATCGAAACTTGCCCCTGCCACCAATCAACCTAGACTCCTGATCAAAGGCTGTCGTAAGGCACCGACACAAGCATGATGTCTGATCACTCCACCGAGAAGAGCGAGATGAGACCCTGCACCATCAAGGAGGTTACCCCTGCAGACTCCACCACCATCACCACCACCACCAACAAGCAGTCCAAGAAAGGTCAGAAGAAGCGCGCGCGTGACGACAGCGCAAACCAAGAGTCAAGCCCTGCAAAGAAAATAAAGCCTTCCAGGAAATCAGAGACGAGCTCTGCAAAGAAGATCAAGCCTGGACCAGTTTGTTACATGAAGGCTGGCAGACACGAGTTCATAATCAAGGACGCCGAGCTCAAAAAGTCACACACCCTGCACCTGCTCGTCAACTCTGACGAACGGCTCGATTCTGACGAGGAAGTGGAGGATATCTACAGAATCTCCGCAATCCATGGAAAGCCGGCAGCAGAGCTTAACCTGGCCAGACACTCCGAGGCGACAGCACATGTAGCCTGGCTCTTTCTTCGAAACGGAAACGAGCCCGATCTCAAACAGTATCGGGGAAAGTGGGATGTCGGCGAGGAGCTCAGAAGTTTGCTCCAGATATTCCCAGATGCTGGAGCTCTGCTGGCTGCAGCACAACTTTTTGATCTCGGCATGGGCTTGCGTTCCAAAGAGCTTCAAAAAGCCGCATTTTCGTGGTACCAGGAGACACGGGCTACTACTTGGAGTTCAGTCTTCGCAAAACCAGGTTTGGGCGTATGGGTCTCCACGAGATGGCCAGAGAAACAGCAGAAATACGATCAATATGTCGCATGGCTCAGAATACTCAAGGAAAACGATCCTGAATTTATACGAGTGTGCTCGGAGATGGCCAAAGCAGTCGAAGACGACCATGCTGGATTATGCGCCGACCTCACCGAGCTGAAGCAATTGGAGCCTGCATCGTACTACAACTATTGGATGAGCGATCAGTCTTCGTCAGCGCGTACGGATTCCGGAGCGAAAAGCAACGTAGGTTCTCCCGAAGCCTCGGACACGGAGGAAAGCGAGGTCCCATCAGACGATGAGGGCAAAGTTCCATCGGAGGATGAGAGCGAAGAGTCAGAAGAGGAATGAGAGAAGTTCATCTGGACAGACAGAACAACATATTCAGTTTGTCCTCGTTCGGTGGGATCTATCAGCACATACTGAGAGTGTGAAGCTTGAAAGCACAGCTAGAATCTCGTGAGTCATTAGAGAGGCCAGAATGGGGATGGCAAGATAGACTGCGGAGGACCATTGATCTGAGAGTTGTTAATGTGTGGGACCGTCCCGATCTGCATGGATGAAGTAAAGCATTGTTTGATTGCTCTGATCAGTTTGGTCGAACTTTTGTTCATGAATGATATTGCTGTTTTCTGCCAAGATAATCCACTTGTCAAAGATCGATATGGTTCGTGCCCTGTTACTGAATAGTCTGTATACGGACCTGAAAGTCTCGTGACTTCTGTCTGGGCTGTCATGCTGGAGTGAAGGACTCTTGAAAACGTGTAACCCAGCAAGCATTGCATCGGCTTTCCCAATAGCCTGTTACGCATAGTATTATCACAAGCGCAGAACTTATGTCAAAAACAAGCATATCCAACGATCTTCGGGATAAGAAGCAGCTTGATATCGTGATGATAATGAACAATTTTTGTCTCGATCAAGCAATATACAAGTCAGAGATGACATTTCTTGAAATGCTCGCGTTCGTGCTCGGCGTCAGCCCGAGATTTCTCCGGTGCGCATGACGCTCACAGCTCTGCACTCTTCACTCTTCACTCTGATACTTCTTTCTTCTTTCTCCGTCGGTAGTCGAGAAACACCATGTCTAGCTTTGAATTGACAACAAAGGAACGACGCGAGGTCTATCCGCTATAATCACAACGTAGTACATACAAGATCAGTCCATGAGATCTATTGCTCTTGCTCTCGCAGCCAAATGTACCATCTCGTGTGCTGGTGTCCAAAGTCTTTTCTTGAGACCAGCAAGATGTTTTGCAGTCATGCCCGACATGAAGTATTATAGATTATGTGGTAAGCAGTCTGAAAGATACATCTAGTCAACGGTTTGTCTCGTGCGATATAAATATTCGGTTTCCATTGTCACCCTTCTCTGGGCCGAAGTGGAAAGATTGGGGAGAAGAAAAGGTAAGTGAAGCAAGTGAAGAAGATCTCACAAATTTGCCTCTTCGTTCACTTGGTCAGCCTCCGTTACAGATGTAGCGTCGTGCCGATGAGTCGAGCGTCGTCGGAACCGGCGCCGTCGACCTTCGTTTACACACCAACATCCTATCGGCGCGACGACCATGGGAATCTTGAACAGACTCAGCGACAAGATCGCAGGCAGACCCTCGTCTAGCCGTCCTTCCAGCGACACCGCCCATCTCTTATCAACTCTAGCACTCGCCGACGCCAACGGTCCTGCTACCCAGCACGCTTCCTTGCCCTACGGCTTTGAGTGGTCACCGGTTCCCCTGGATCCAGGGATGACCTGGATGTTGTCCATGAACACTATCGCCCAGATAGACGAGTACAAGAAGACTACAGGTCTGACTCTGCTCCAGAGGTAAGTTCTTCGATAATCCACCCGTACGTACCTTGGGAACAGTCGACTGACACATCTGCCAGGATGTGGGAAAAACGCAAGCTCGGCCACATTGACTTCAATATCAGGTGCGGCGAGTGGCAGTGGGGTGTTCACAAGGAAGTGTTGGCTGCGAGCAGCAAGTACTTCGAGGAGACCTTCGCTGCGTCGCAACACAAGGTATGCAAAACATCGTGCACTTACATGGAATGCAGTCATTGACAAGTACAGGGTACCTACCTGACCATGATCGAGCTCCAACGCTGTGATACAGCCACCGCCGGTCGTCCCGACTGTTACAACCCGAAGTACGTTGAAGAATTCATCCACTTCCTCTACAACTTCACCATCACCCCAGGTGTTAGAGAGATGCCTGAGTACGAGCGTCTCTGCACCCTTGCCAAGTTGCACCGCACCGCCACGCAGTTCCGTGCTCCAGACGTGATCGACGCCTTGACGAGCATCATTGACGACTGCCTTCCCAAATTCAACGAGAATGACGGCCTTAGACAGCAAATCGGTGGCCCTACCCTTGTAGACTTCGCTCGGGTCTGTCGCTGGGTCTTCGGCCAGCCAGAGTTCCCTGGGCTCGTTTGGAAGTTGCAGCTGCACCTCGTCAGCTACTTGAAGGAGAATGTCGCTTCTCTGGTCCAGTCGAGAGAAATGTGTGAGATGCTGCGTGAGTGCATCTTCAAGGAGTTGGACAAGGAAGATCTGAAGCAGCAGTCTGCTTCCAAGTAGTACCTCTCTTTGAGGATGGAATGGGCAAAGAGGGTCTTTGGGTGACTTATGCGGCTTCAAAGGATGCTATCAGCATCAAAAGTTCAACATAACAATCCGTCGCAAGGTTAGAAGTGAGTAGCATTATCTCACTCATTCGATATTTCACTTCCAGTCGTCACAAAACCCACCTCTTCGTCTTTGCTCCCCCTCTCTCTGTCCTTCTTTTACGGTAATACCTCTGACTCCCCAACTCTTCCTCGCCACATCGACCTTACGGTGGTCATACAGAGCCATCATGGCCCACTCACCGCTCTCTTCGCATTGCATCCCGCCAGAAGTCCCAGCCTGAGATCGTGCTGACAAGGCAGCGAATGGCATGTCATCATGGGACGACAATTCTTTCAAGTCTCGCATTGGCGGATCAATTCTCCAGGAGTCAGCTTCCCATTGCCATTGTTGCTTCCCCTCACTCATACAAAACACAGGATGTGGAAAGAGCGCGACCATGCCGATTTCGAGATATGTTGCGGTGATGAGAAGTTCAAGGTTCACATAGCTATTCTCCGTGCCAATTCTGACGTACTGGCCAAAACATGCGACGACCACTCATTTGAGGTGCGCATATCAGTTTCCCGTCCTGCTCTTGAAACCTGCCTGGCCAAGAAAAAAAAAACAGGAAGCGCAATCCAGTGTTTCAGAGCTTGAGGTACACCCTTACAAAGGCGAAATTGACAATCTCGGCGATGAAGACGATCCCGAGGTTGTAGGAGAGATGATCCACTACTTCTATCACCTTGACTTATCCCCCAAAGCTGGCGTGGTCTCACCATGGGATACTGAGCCTCATGCCGAGCCTTCTCTGGTCTATCTCGCCAGGATCTATGTGCTCGCAGAGAAGTGGTTCATCGAAGGACTCAAAGCCAAGGTCATATCCGCCTTCAAGGAAAGTCTTTGGCGCCAGATAAGTCACCCCGAGCTGATTGAGGCTTGTCTTATCATCTACAAAAAGACCACAGAACCTGCTGACGAAAGAGGTCTGAAAGCTGCGGTCGCGAAGTCTTTGGCCAACGGCTTGGAGGATTTCAATAAGTGCAAGCAGTTCGAGGAACTGCGCCAGGAGTTTCTCGAACTGGCTGTTCGTGTCTTGAAGGAGATTCCCAAGCCTCGTGCTTTGTGTCCTGGAGAATGCAGCCATTGTGGTAGGGGCGCACAATTGGGCTGGTAGCCTGACCAGGCCTAGCCTGAATCAGCCTTACAGAAGCTTGAAATGGACTTGAAATTTAACACTCGCGCATCAAGTATGGAGTTACCACTAGGGATATCAATGTCAGTTGCCAAAGTTCTGCAACCGACAAGCCCCACGTTCAGTACACTAGAGCTCGACCTCCAAGAAGATCGTGGTGGTTGATCAACTATTGCCTTAAGCAAGTACATGCAGTATCACCTTGAAATTGACTCCAACTTTCTGTTCAAGCCAACGTCTGCGAGCTTCTGGAGATTTGTTCATCTTTCGTCATGCAAAAGTGACATGTCATGATCAGAAGAGATAGCGACATACAATCAAAGACGCTCATGACGGCTCGTGCTGTACACCAGATGAGAAGCGAGCTCAGGCAACGCGACATTTCGTCTGGCTCGTTCTGGTCCTGATTCATCTAAGAGCTCTCCGCGCCAGACATCACTCGGGCTGTGCGTCCTATTTCACCATCATGGTCGACAAACACAGATACCAGCACGCCTTCAATCATGACATCGTACCACTGTTATGCACCGAACCAGAACAGTCGCAAGAATAATCTCAATGAAACGCAGACAGAGCTGTCCGCCAACGAATTGTTCGAGATTCAAGGCCTGCAGCTCGTTCTGGCAAAAGTCCTAGCAGATATGAACGCTCGGAGGTGCTTTGCTACGGATGCGCGATACGTTGATATTGACGGTCAATTGAAGCATACATATGGCCGCTTCAGAAATTGGATCAGAGAGATGCCTGAGCTCGCTACGCATGTATTGCTCATCTAGGGCGGAGGCGTCTGACAAGTCGTCGCACACAACAAGGTAGCGCTGGCCTGTACCGAATAACATACCTAACAGAACGTCTTCGTCAATAGCTTTAAGCTTAGTAGCTTCGAAAGACACTTCAGATCCCCCGGGAAAGCCGCGGCGTATTACGGGTGTGATGAATGGCGATGGTGAATTGAGGAAAGCATGAAGGTGAAGTCGGATTTGTCCAGCATCGGCTGCCTCGGGCCGATCGATCTTGCAATCCGTCACCTTCCTGATCTGACAAATCAACTCCTAGGTCATAGCTATCTGCGTACTTTGCCCCTTGGATACTATATTCGATCTTGTTTGCTCAATCAGAGCGAGTATTATCTGTCAAAGGAACATTCGATCACGTCGAGGCGTCTTGTAGCAGCCAAATTTTCTCGAGATCGTCATTCGCGGCTAAATACCACGTTCCTTGCGTCATCGATATCCAACAAGTCACCGCGTCCATTTATCATCGAGACAAGGCCCGAGAAATCAATTCTGGATGAGTGCTACAGCAAAACCGGCGGATGAGCGGGCGCCGCTACTTGGACCTCAACCCAGTACAGTTGATGCGGGTAACGAATATCTGCCCGACAGCGAAATTGAAGATGACTCGGGCCACATTTCAGCATCAAGGGCGGCGATATGCGTGGTTGCTCTGGGATCATTGATTTTCCTACAAGGTACAAACCACAAGGAATATACAGTCATTCGATGGCATGCTGATTTTTTTTAGCCACAAACATCTCGCTCTTGACCACAACGCAATCTACAATTGCAGCTGATCTCGATGCTTTTGAGAAGACGAGCTGGTTCACATCTGCATACCTCATTGCTGTATCATCGACATCACCCTTGACTGGAAAACTTAGTCAACTTTTCAGTCCAAGAAATTGCATCAGCGCGAGTGCGATGATCCTCGGTTTGGGTGCGCTTCTTACTAGTTTCGCCCACTCGTTCACCACATTCATCCTAGGTCGCATTGTCACTGGTATTGGCGCTGCTGGAGTCTTCACAGTATCAATTATTGTTGTGCTTGAGCTCAGCGGACCTACCAAGCGTGGGGCTGTGATTGGTGTTTTGAACTCTGGATTTACTGTCGGTGTTGCTGTTGGAGCGACAGTGGCAGGCGCGTTGGTGAATAAGGTCGGCTGGAGAGCGCTCTTCTGGATGCAGACTCCCCTTGCCGTTGTCGCTGGTGGGGCCCTGTATCTGGCCATTCCTACTCAATTTTCTGCTGCTAGAGGAAACAGCAAGGAGAGCATCTGGAAGAAACTGGGAACGCTCGACTACCTAGGCGCCACGACTTTGACTGTCGGCATTGTGCTGCTCCTCTCGGCACTCTCGAACCCTCGCAGTATTCCGATTTTGCCTATCATCTTCAGCATCGTCGCTTTGGCAACGTTCATTCTCAACGAGATGTATCTGGCTACAGACGCAATCATTCCAGTTACGCTGCTCAAGTCTCGTGGTATGGCGTTTACTTGTCTGAGTACTGTTGGATTCATGATGGCCCGCTGGAGTGTCCTCTTTTTCACGCCTACCTACACCCTCGCAGTCCGTGGCTGGGCTCCTGCAGCCGCTGGCAGTATTCTCATCGCTACGAACGGCGGGTTCGCTCTTGGAGGCATACTCGTCGGCGTTTTCCACATCCGTCGCCAAGGAAGTTTCTGGATCGCTTGTGTGATTGTGTATCTTTTGTTCCCTATCACACTTGTCGGCATCGCCATGCTATCGACTGCGGCAGCGTCTTCATCGTTGTACATCCTACTGCTCTTCTTGAACGGCCTTACCGTCGGTGCTGCGATGAACTACACGCTTGCTCATCTCTTGCACTTGACACCAGCATCCACACACTACATTGCCACCTCTCTGATTGCCACTTTCAGAGGCTTCGCTGGATCCTTCGGTTCAGCCATCGGTGGTGGCTTGTTCACTCGCATACTGAGAAAGTCACTCGAGGAGAAGTTCGACAAAAGTGATGCAGATCTTGTGCGTCGACTGTTAGGCAGTCCTGCGATGGTCAGTCTCCTAAAGGGAGCCAACAAGGCGAAAGCCATTGCTAGTTACGAAGATGCATTGAGAGGCTTGTTCCTGGCTGCTGCTGGTCTTGCATTGATCATGGTGCTTGTACAGGCTGCAACTGGGTGGAAGGGTGTAGAAGATGAGCCAGAAAGTCAAGATAGCGAGGAGGAGATTTCGCAGTAGTTGTAAAGTATATAGAACCCCCGATCAGAATAGCTCGAGCTTAATCTCAGAAATACAATGTATAAGTTTCGAGGTATCGCTTACCCATTGCGTGGCTTGACAAATGTATAGTACTCCCAAGAAACGCAGCTGGGACTATCAGGATAAGCCGTTAGCAGCGCATATGGCGCCAAGATTTGTACTCTATCTTTTCCTTCAGCGGCAGCATCGGTACCTATCGTAATGTCTGATCAGTCTGAACGTAGACATCTGACCGGGGAGAGCAGAGAACTTGATTAGGGTGAGCGGAGGTGAACAGCAAGGAGAGCGGAGATGTTGACTGCTCCTGATATTGTCATGCCTTTGCACAAATTTGCACGACACGCAATGGCTGTCAGTAGCCCAACTTCATCTCAGTACGTCCCATCAGCCTGCCCCAAGCCGAGATTTGACCGAACTGTCCTATAACACGCACAAAATCTTCAGGAGTGATGTATCCTAGGTTTGGAAGGACAATAGGCAGATTGCGGCCTGGAGGATTGTCCTTGACAAGCTGGGCCCACGTATAAGCTGAGCGCGGTACAGCGAGCTCTAGTACGATGTCCTCGAGGACTTCATTTCTTGGCTTTTTCTGCGGCGTCTCTATCGTGCAATCTGCGCGGAACTTAGGCGAAGGTCGTGTTGTATGGGTAGAGGTATCTATCAAGTCATAATGCGACTCTTCCGGACTCAATGCCGTGAAAGTTACAGAAGAAAGTCCTGTTTGCGGATCACCAGCGTCGTTCTGGCAATGACGATGCATCGAATATGCTTTTTTTGCATACAGAGCAACCTGCCTCAAGTGATCGCGGTTCTCTGTGACAAGTCTGTAAGGGAAGACCAGGTGTATGCCTCTTCGAGGTACAGGACGAGTTAGCTGATCGGCTTCATTCAGCCGGTCCAGAAAGGCAGTACTTCTGTGGCAGTCGCACGTTATGCTTACAGCCCACGTGACAGTATCTTGCAATGGTAATGATAGGGCAAGCCAGCTACCGTCGAGCTGAAAATCGCCGGGAGAGTGTCCAGAAGCCGAGAATCCCATGTCGATGGTGACACGACGTTTGCTGAGCTCTCCTATAGAATTCGTTACATCATAGATGGAGACTAGCAGGGGCCAGGGAGCGTTCCTTGGATACATAACACAACCGGAGTTCATGTGAAAGCGTTGAGAGTGGCTCTGCCAGAACTGTGGCGGGTGCAGAAGATCGAGTTGTCTTTCCATATAAAAGAGATGTGAAGCCTCGCACTCCCTGAAAGGCATCGACATCTTCTTCGGTGCGAGTAATTGTTGGACTGCATGGCGGATGGTCCGATTGACGGCTAAGCAGCAGTAGACATCATGGAAGTCATCAAGATGGGCAAGTATCGTATCAGCAAGCTCTTGAACAGCAAAAGCTCGATCGCAAACAGACTGGACGTGCTTGGTGGTCGTCAAGTGTGTTTTCTTCAGTTGAAGCCAATACAACGTGGACTTTTTCGACGAGTCTTGTCTTGGTTGGCGAATAAGCTGCCTCACATACAGTCTTGTTGTTTTTAGCATGACCTCGATGAGGAGCTGCTCGCGCAGAATGAGCTTCGCTGGTGAGGCATCTGGGAAGACCATCTCGGATTGGCGGTATGTCGACACGGCGGGCTCACGAGTGCGCGGTTGGAAGGAAACATGTTAGAAAAGGACGGATTTGGAGAGCTATGCATGGCTCCAACACGCAGGCTTGCAGTGTGGCACAGAGAGCACCTAAGAGCAAGATCAACATCAAGCATGGGAAGGAGCGCGGGTCCGGGTTCGGCAAGCAAGCGAGATGAGCTTGGGCTGCCGGCATTGGACGGCTAGCACCGACGATTCTTGATAATGAACGTCACATATCTTCGTCTTCATCTCCACTCAGATGGTCGAAATTCAGCCAGCGATGGCATCAGATCAGCTGAAGATGAGCTAGAATATCCGTAACATGGGATGAGACTCTGCAAGGAGGCCTATTCGTTGTCATAGAGCAATTTGGTGCAGAAGAGTCGAGCGATATCCAGTCGTAGACGTACAGAATGAGGCTTGGCAAGCGTCGCGTAAGGAAGCGCATGTGCTTGTAGCAAGTTGGATGAACGGCCGCGGGAACAGCGTCATATGGCATTTGGCACGTTGAATACCACGTCCATCTCTGTTTCCTGTGCCAGAACGACATCCCAGCCTGACTGTCGGACTCTTCATAGGCAATCTCAATTTGACTGGACGCGCGATTCTGTCACCTATTCGCGTCACTTGATTCCAGTCCTGCATATCCGACTTAGCATTCTCTCTCACCCGCCTGTTGACCTGCCGACAAGTCGTTGCGCCTCTCACGCTTCAGCTGGCGTGAACGTACTCGTCTCAAATCCTCTTCCAACCTGGCCTATTCTCTGTCATGTCGTTCCTCGGTGTATATCGGGCCATTTACGACTATGTGCCCCAGAGCGAGGGCGAATTGACCCTCACCGAAGGAGACTTGCTGTTTGTTTTGGACAACAGCTCCGATGATGACTGGTGGAAGGCAAAGAAGAAGGCCACTTCCGACGAGGATGACGAGCCAGAGGGTCTGATCCCGAACAACTACATTGAAGAAGTCTGTTGCCAACCCCGAGCATCTCTTGTTACCTCTTACTGACTGCCCTCCAGGCGCATCCTCTATACCAAGCGAAAGCCCTATACGATTACACCAAGCAGACCGATGAAGAGCTCTCATTCCCTGAAGAAGCGAGTTTGGATGTCTACGACACGTCAGATGACGATTGGACGCTTGTTGGCTTAAACGGTCAATATGGCTTTGCTCCTGCTATCTACATCGAAAAGGCTTCAGCTGGCTCTGCCGCAGCTGCCGTGCCATCCGCCCCTGCCATGCCTACACGACCACAAATCGCCCAGCCCGAGCCCGAGGAGGCTGAGTGGAACGAGTCTCCACCAGAGAGTCCCGCAAGGAATCCCGCTGCTGCTCTCGCAGGTATCATTGCACAAAGGACTGGCCAATCGCAAACTCAGGCTCGTTCATATCAAGCACCCATGGACCGCGGCCTTGCTTCGCCACCACTGCCATCACGACCACAATACACCCCCGACGAGTCTGAAGATGAGCCCACGCCCAGCATGCCTCCGCGACCAATCTCGTCCGTATCACGCGAGCCCGTCCGTTCGCCCGTGTACTCTCCGATGGAACGCGAGCCTCAAGGAGTCACCACTTCTCTCCCATACAACAGAGCAATGGCTGTCGAAGATGAGGAAGCTGCTCTCAGGTCGCCTGGCGGTTTCCGCCTATACAATATTTCCGAGGTCGTCTCGCATATGGGAAAAAACAAGAAGATGCCCATTACCTTGGGTATCAATCTAGCGAAGGGATTGGTGTCATTGTCTCCCGCCAAAGCGCGAGATGGGCCATCACAAGAGTGGACGGCGGATCGACTTTCCAACTATTCGATCGAGGGCAAGCACGTTTTCCTGGATCTAGTTCGCCCTAGTAAGAGTGTTGATCTTCATGCTGGCGCAAAGGATACTGCTCAAGAGATTATTGGCATCTTGGGCGAATTGGCTGGTGCTTCGAGAGCCGAAGGCCTCCGTGAGGTCTGGGCAGCCAGCTCTGGAACTGGTGCTGGCGGTAAAAAGAAGGGTACAATGCTTTACGATTTCATGGCTCAAGGCGACGATGAAGTATCTGTGGCCATCGACGACGAAGTTGTCATCTTGGACGATACAAAGAGCGAGGAATGGTGGATGGTCAGACGACTCAAGAATGGCAAGGAGGGTGTCGTTCCCAGCAGCTACGTTGAGATCACTGGCACTCTTCCAGAGCCATCATCAGCCTACACCGGCCTCAATGCTGCCCGTTCTACCGTCGAACAAAATAGACTCGAAGAGCAGCGCCTCACGAGAGACGTAATGAGATCGTCAACCATTCACGACTCGGATGATGGAGGCCGGCCTGAGCGTCACAGCAGTCTGGCCAAAGACGACCACCGCAAGAGCAGGCATAGCAAGAGTGACAAGAGTGATAAACCTAGTAAGTCTCATGACGTGATTGTATGTGCGGGACCTGACAGTAAACAGAGCCGAACGCTGCAAGAGTGCGCACCTGGACAGACAGATCAGGCTCTTTTAAGGTCGACGCCGAGTTCATCGGCCTCAAGGATGGCAAGATACACCTTCACAAACAGAACGGTGTCAAGATCGCCGTACCTGTCAACAAGATGGCTATCGAAGATCTCGAATATGTGGAAAGAGCGACTGGTGTTTCTCTTGACGAAGACAAACCACTTTCAGAAATCAAACGCAGAAGCACTGAAAAGAGGAAGGACCGACCAGAGAGACTTCAGCAATCAGGTGCTTCGTCAGGCGTCGTTGTTGAACAGAAACCCGAATACGACTGGTTCGATTTCTTCCTCGGCGCTGGCGTCAATCCTCAAATCTGCGAGCGTTATGCTGCTGCCTTCAGTCGTGATCAGATGGGCGAAGAGATTCTACCTGAAGTTGACCCTCAGTTACTGCGCACGCTTGGTCTCAAAGAAGGAGACATCCTTCGTGTTATGAAGTATCTCGACAACAAGTTTGGCCGCACTGGCCAGAAGAAGAACGTTAGCTTCGGCGAGGAAGATGCCGATGGTGCTGCAAATGGTGAAGGTGGACTCTTCTCTGGACCTGGTGGAGCCTTGAGAAACAACACACGCAAGGGAAGACCTGCCCCTGCCGTTCAAACCAACGATGTGATCGATGCCGACGCATTCAAGCAGGAAGACGAGATCTCAAAGGTCGAGACTCCTCTCGCTTCAGCCCCCGCCAGGCCCTCTGCCTCTACTGGATTCGATGATGATGCTTGGGACGTCAAGCCATCAAAGACTGTCAATACCTCCGAGCCTGCAGCTCCCGCACCGGCGAAGGTTCAGTCGCCACCGCCTGCTCCTGCCGCTCCTGAGCCACCGAAACTCACTCAAAACATGTCAGATCTGTCTTTGCTCTCGCCAGCACTTCAGCCGACACCCGCACCTCAGGCCGCGCCTCAAGCTGCTACCACACCTCAACAACAGCCAGCAAGAACAGGGGCCGACCTCGCATTCTTTGACAAGCTCGCAGCACCTTCTCCTATGCAGTCACAGATGACAGGCATGAGACAGCGTCCTGCAGCTCCGGCACAAATGCAGACCGGCAGTTCGATGATCGCCCCACCTCCTCAGCGTGCAGCTTCCGCTCCTGGTTTACCTCAGCAAGGCTTTGCTCCCCCAGCACTTCAATCTCAGATGACTGGTTACCAAGCCCCTCCCGGCCAGAGTCTTCAGAGTTTGCAACAGCAGCAGCAATTCCAGCAACAGCAACAGCAAATGACTGGACTCCCTCAACAGTACCCAGGGCTTATGGCTCAAGCCACTGGCTACATGCAGTCGCCCCAGCAAAGCGGTTTCCCAGCACAGTACCAGATGCCGCAAGCAACAGGCTATGGCCAGCAACAGCCTTATCTCAATGGTCAGGCCACAGGCTCACCTTTCGCCGACCCTACCCCTCGTCCCATTTTCCAATCTCAGCCTACCGGTATGGCTCAATCCTTTACACCTGGCATGCAACCCCAGCAAACAGGTTTCGGCATGCCTCCACCCATGCAACCCCAACAGACTGGTCTCCCGCCTGCCCTCCAGCCCCAACGCACAGGCTTCACACCTCAAAGCCAATTCGGCCAGAGCTACGCCCAGCAACAGAATGGCTATGGTGGATATGGACAACAAGCACCCCCTTTGCCGCCTATGCCGCCTATGCCAGCTCAGCCCACAGGCCTGCAACCCCTTGTACCCCAAAAGACTGGTCCTCCCCCACCCGTCCGCTTCGGTGTACAGCCTGCTGCTAGACTCACACCTCAGCCCACTGGCAGAGCCAATCTGTCAAAGGCAACACCGCAAAATCCCTTTGGTTTCTAGGAACGCCGGAGATCTGACTCGTGGACTACGAGATGGGGTTGATTGTTTGGAAGTGGGAAGGGAGGCTTGTTTTGTCTTTTTCTCTCATTGGTACAAAAACACCTTAATAAAGCCTTTTTGAGTAGAGCTGGGTAGTGTGTATATAGTCTTATTTCGTTATTTATTACATTTTCATTTCTATCTTTGTTTGCTTGAACACATTTGCCTCGTTTACCTGGGAATCGTTCTTTCTGTTTGTATCATACAGCATGTATATAAAGTTGTAGGCGTAATGTGGTCTCTCACTAAGTTCGTCGTACATGAGCAACACCTTGGCTATACTTTAAGACGTGACAAAGCAACAGCAAGAGGCGGGAGAAAGAAAAGAAAATGGTGTTTCCGCTATAGCACAGATAGATCTATTTACACGATTCGGGACTCCGCAAGAAACGAAAAGAGTCTCATGTGCTTTTTTGTCTTGTATTCCTCGTTCCACACGTTTCTCCAAAGTCACCCCTCTTCGTCAAATCTCAGCTTACAACTCTTCTCAAAAATCTCAAATCAATGAGTTCAAGTGAAAGATGCGCTTAAGCCTTGGCGACGATGCGGTCGATGTCGGCAACAGCCTGGTCGAGGATCTGCTTGAGGACCTTGGGGTTCTCGAGCTCCTTGTCAATTTTGGAGATGATGGAGTCGGCGAGCTCCTTTTGCTGGCGGGCCTTGACGGCACCCTCGTAGCGAACCCAGGAGTCGAGGACGGACTTGGCCTCGTGGGCGAGGTTGACCTTCTGCTCGAGCTCGTAGGCCTGGGCCTCGAGCTGGGCGGTTTCCTGTTGTGTCATGTTTAGTATCTTTTTATTACATTGATGGGCAAGGGGTCGCGAAATGGCGCACCTTGGAAACGGCGAAGAGGGACTTGGTGATGTCAACAACACCGCCGAGGTCCTGGACGCTCTCGATGCGCTTCTGGACGGCATCGGTGTGGTCCTTGCGGGCGGCGTTGAGGATGTTCTTGATCTTGTTGGTCTGATTCTCGGCCCACTCCTTGTAGGCGGGACCACCGTAGACGGCAATACCAGTGTAGACGGAGAGCAGACACAGCATAACAATGGACTCCTCGTTGACGACGTAAAGCTCGTTGCTGATAGCGGCGATCGAGACACCGGCACCGGCGGAGAGGATGGCGGTCTTGCTCAGCAGGCTGCTGCCGGGGAGAGAGTCGAGGATGCTCTTGGCCTTTTGCTCGGGCGAGGGAGTAGGCTGGTTGCTCTGGAGGCGTGCCTGAACGGCGGGCACGGCGGCCTTGTGCAGGGAGGAGACGGCAGCGGTGGGACGCGCGCGGGCGGCGCCTGTTGGGAGGAAGCACTTGGTTAGTCTATGATTCTCGAAGGCCAGACTGATATCAGATTATGCGCACCCATGACACTGCGAGCGACACGAGAGGCCATTCTGTTGACTATGGTTGTGGAGAGAGCGGAGAGGTGTGCGGATAGCAATTGACTGGACTCTTTCACTGCCCGGTAGCGCTTCGTCGATGGTCGTCGGACAGGCTTCGTCAAGCTCTGAGCCCGGGAATTGCCGCACGCTCTTTCCCTGGACTTGCGGAGAGAAAGTTCCCAATCGGGCAATCGCCAAAGAATTTATTTTGTACAGGCAGGAACGACTGCTTCATTTCACAACGCTGTAGAACCCGTCAAAAGCAGGATCGGACAGACCAAACCTTTCATCATGCCTGGACTCGTCGAGAAGAAGCGCAAGCGTACCGATGCTACCGCCGTCGCAAAACCTACCAAGTCGAAGAAAGTAAAGGCCGCCAGCAAGGACGGTGAAGATGATCCTCAGGCCCAGATGCTACTGCTAGAACAACAAATTCTCGAGTCGCCATCGAACTACCCAAATATCACCAGCCTCCTCAAGTTTCTCAAGTCCAAAGATGCAACCCAAAAGGTCACCGCCGCTATTGCACTATGCCGTGTTTTCTGTCGCTTGATGGCCGCCGAGAGAATGGTAAAGCAGAAAACCATGAATGAGGAGGAAATCGAGCAAGTGGACTGGCTCAAGACACAATACAAGGAGTACGGACGCCAGCTGGGCCGTCTGTTGGCAAGCGAAGAGCTTCAAAGCACGTCCCTGACTCTTCTGATGCGTCTGGTCAAGGAGGAAACATCACAGGACGGCCGCCGTGCTGAACAGGCCTGGAGAACTGGTATCTTCGCAGACCTGATCCTGGGGCTAGTAGCATCGCCCGATGCTGCTGGTGCGCGCGAAGAGTTTATGGAGAAATTTGTCGAGGAGCATGACGACGTCCGTTACTTCACCTTTTACGCTGTCGCAAACATCCTGGCTCGCTCACCCGAGGACCACGATCGCCAGACACTCGTATCGAACGCCCTCTCGCTGCTTCTGCTCATCGAGAATGCACCGGATTCGGAAACTCAGTTGGAAGACTGGTACGGTCAGGTCCCTGGAGGCCGCAAGCACGCCCTCTTGTCTCTGTCCTCGCACCGCAAGACAGCACAAGAAGCATGGCTCGCCATCTTCCGCTCAGCTCTTACCAAGGAAGAGCGCAAATCTATCCTCCACCATTTGACCAACCGCATCGTACCTTGGTTCACCAAGCCCGAGTCGCTCATGGACTTCTTGACAGACAGCTACGATGCTGGCGGTGCCACTTCTCTGCTCGCCCTGTCTGGTCTCTTCTACCTCATCGCACAGAAGAACCTCGACTACCCTGCCTTCTACACAAAGCTCTACTCTCTGCTCGACGACACGCTGCTGCACTCGAAACACCGCAGTCGCTTCTTCCGCCTACTTGACACCTTCATGAGTTCTACCCATCTGCCTTCCGCTTTGGTCGCCAGCTTCATCAAGAGATTGTCAAGACTAGCGCTGCACGCACCACCTGCCGCTATTGTAGTGGTGGTACCTTGGGTCTACAACATGCTGCTGCGTCATCGTACTTGCACATTCATGATTCACCGCGAAGTTCGCGGTGAGGCGCAACGTAAGCAGCTTGAGGCTGAAGGTATGGATGACTCCTTCTCGATGGATGAGATGGATCCCATGGAGACTGGCGCTATCGATTCATCGCTCTGGGAGCTCGAGACATTGGCTTCACACTATCACCCCAACGTAGCAACGCTGGCAAGAATCATCCAGGAGCAGTTCACAAAGAAGAATTACAACATGGAGGACTTCTTGGACCACAACTACCAAGGTCTGATCGATGCAGAGTTGGGCAAAGAGATGAAGAAGACACCGGTGGTTGAGTTTGAGATTCCGAAGAGAATCATCACGACCGAGGAGGGTGGATTGAACGATCTGGGTAGCCTGCTGCAGACCGCTGTTCAGGCATTGTAGATTCGGTATTTATTTTTCTCACGGTGGTTGCATATCAGGCAAGGCGTTGGTCGGCAGCTGTTTTTCCCGATGCATCTTGCGAGATTGAATTGTTTATGAAGTCTCTCATCGTTTTGCTCGAATGCTATGCTATTCTATTTTCTGATCCTCTTCGCTCCTCTCATGATCCTAGGGTATTCTTGAGCCATGTCGCACTTTCCCCTCCATTCCTCCAGCACTTCAATGAAGCGATTATAAAAACACAAAAATAGTAGATTTCCTGTCTCTACCGGTCAGATTGATACAACTCCGCCAACACCTGCGCCATGCACAAAGAAAACACAAAAGTCGTCCGACGGGTGGTGAAAAAACGGGGTCCGCTTAAACGAGCAGAACAGCGTTCAAGCAGCCGTCGTTCTCGGGGTTGTTGGTAACCTGGGCCCAACGACCCCAGACGACCTTTCCACCGGCGGTGACCAGACCGAGCTCGGAGACGTTGACCTCGATGATGGTACCCTTGGTCAAGACACCGAGTTGAGTGTACATGGGGTTCTGGGGGTTCTTCTTGACGGAAATGATGGGGAGTTGGACGGTGACACCGAGCTCGGGGTGGGTGACGTTGGCCTTCTTGTAACGGAGACCCATGGGACGGATAAATCTGGAGATTGTGTAAGTACGAATGTGGAGGAGAAGAGGCAGAGGGAAGGGTGACAAACCTCTCGTATTTCACAGGACGGCGAGTAAAGTCGGGGCCGACGAAAGTGGGCTTGGTGATCATTCTCTTCCAACTCTTCTTTGCAGTCTTCTTTCCGGTCTTGACGACCTTGAACATCTCCTCCTCGGCAATACCTCTGACCTTGGGCAGAGGTACGCTGAACTTGGCAGCCTTCTCGGCTCTCTTGTTCTTGATGGCGGAAGAAAGAGCCTTTGCATTCTGCTCGTTGCTGCGGTCGAGCAGGTAGGCGGGCAGAGGGGTGTTTGATGGTTCTGCGGCGTCGCTGGACTTGACGTTGCGCTCCTCGTGGGCTCTGATCTGCTTCTTCATCTGGATCTTCTCCTTGCGACGCTTCTCCTGGTACAGCTTCGCGCGCAGACCGCGGTAGTTCTGAGCCTTTTCGGAGCCGGCGTGGCCCTCTCTGGCCTGTCTCTTGCGCTTGCGCTCATCGTGATCGAGACGCTTGCCATGCTGCTTGGCAAAGCGTTCCATATACTCATTCTGAGGCATGGCGGCGGTTGGTTATGTCGTGGTTTGGGGTGGATGTTCTGGGAAGGAGTGAGTGCTGAGTCCGTCTTCCAGAAAAAAGATGGGCTTTTGCGGGGAGCGAGAGAGGCAAAGTCCCTGCCCGGCGCCCGCTCTGCCTCGCAAAGTCCGGCGGCTTGGCGACTTGCACGCCAGAGACAGACGCCCGACAATCTTCTGCTAATCATTTCATAGCCAATATCCACAACATGTTCCTCTCTCGTGCAGCCAAGCGGGCCTGCTGTCTGGACTCGCGCCTCCTGCCGCCGACCTTCCTTCTCCCCTTCACCGCGCAATTGAGCAGCGTCTCACACACGACCGACGCATCAAACACTCCCGAAGTGCTGCTCAACTCGTCCGCCGCAAAAGTCGACGCTCCTCCCAAGTCGACATCTGCCACATGTGCTCCTCTCTCGGCCAGCCATGCCCCGGCCTCAGCACCAAAGCTCCCCACACCGTCTCAATCGCCTCCGGCCTTGAGCGATTCTGTTCGGGAACTATTGCCTGTACTCCGCGCCCAAGGTCCTCACTACATTACCGCACACATCTATGATCGCCCTTACCTCCTCACCGAAGGCGACACTCTGCGCCTACCTTTCCTCATGCATGGAGTCCAGCCCGGCGACGTCTTGCGCCTGACCCACGCCTCATCATTCGGTTCACGAGACTTGACCCTCAAGGCCGGTGAGCAGCCTGCCAACTCTCGCTCGCCCACCGCATCTACCATCTCTGTTGTCGACCCCACACCTGGCAGCGTCTTGACTAGCGAAGGCAGAAAAATGCCCGAGGGAGGCCATTTTGTGCCGCATCTGGCCAAGGGCAAGCACATCTACATTGACGACAGGCTGTTTGTGTGCAGAGCCACCGTCATGGGCACCGAAGCTGAGCCTATGCGTATCAAGGAGAAGACAAAGCGTAGACAAAGAAGAGTCAAGACCGTCAAGAGCAAGCATCGATTCACCATCCTCAAGATCAAGGAGCTCAGGATAAAGGGTCTTGATGAGGTTGAGAGCGGTGTTGATGCTTAGACTCCTGGACCGCCTTTGAGGCTTTCTGATTACGAATGCTGGACGTTTAGCCGATATCGAGAAGGATGTATCAGTCGGGAAAATGCTGACGGTCAGGTCATGTATACCATTTTCAAAGTTTTGTACAAAATATATTCTCATTCATACCCTTTGGCCTCTGTCATTTTCTCGGCTACCGTCGTTGAGTAGTGATTTGATGTACGCTCCAACGGGTGCTCTGCAGCTTTCGCTTTAAATTCCATCACATTCTTCCCTGTAACCCTTCGACAAACACTTTATCCTTTCACTTCTCTTAGCGATGACCTGAATCAAGTGAGTGTATTCATCCCACTGAAAGCTTCATTCTCTTGCTGACAGTATTTAGCCAGCAATCACTGGACCGAGAGTCATACTCATCATCTTCCTGATCCTCGTCATGTCTGGAAATCAGCCAGCCTCCGGCCTTGAGCGCTTCTGCGGCCTCGTGTCTTTCGGCCACCCTCCCGTGGATCTCTGCTCCGAGACAGCTGCGAAGAAGACGGTCGTCTCGCAACGGGACCTGAGCAACGAGGGCCATGGTCGAGCACTAAGATACCGATTGCGTAGCGAACAACACGATCTCTATCAGCGCAAGTCCAAGAAGGATCGCCACAAATCCACTGCCACTCCCAAAGACCACATTCCTGCAGCTGCTCGCCGCCTACTGGGATCCTCCTCATGCCTGCTAGCTACATTTGGTCCTCTAGCCCGCGTGTTCGGCATTGGTGAACTCAGCGATGTAATTCTGGGCGAACTCGAACACAACGATCTTATGAGTTGTCTGGGAGGCACACGCGTGCTACGCCGAGCAGTGCAGAATTGTCCAGCTGCTCAAACATGTCTCGAAACCCTTCCGTTCGAGCCTGCAGGCCAGTTCTACAGTCGCGAGACTTGCTGTCTGCCTTTTCCGAAGAACAGTTGCCGTCCTATGCTCGTGACCAAAGGGACCTTTTTGCCAACAAGAAGAGAGAGAATGAGGGACGGCAAAGGAGCAGAACATCGCGTCTATGTGGACGTGTACCTTGGCAGTGATGGTCATGTCCCTACAGACTTTGACATACTTGGTAGCTGGGCTGATATGAAGCTTCCCGACATGCCGGTCGATATTGTCCTGGGAGGTCTGGGTCGACTGTGAGTGCAGGTACATCTTAGAAAGCCTCGATGAGCGTCGCGGTCCGGCTACACCTCGTGCTGCTAGTCCTTGGTCTCACAGGCTGATCACTCATGATAGGCTCTTGAGGAAGATCGCGGAATGTGTCAGGGAGGTATACATTGCCCACGAACATAGCATTCCCGATCGCGTATTCAACAATTATGTATCGTTCAGGTGTTTGACTGGGGTCGAGGTCGAGGATGAATGGCAGGGCATGGTCGTGTCAGGAATTTCCAACTTGGCCAACCCATACACGACTGGCTAGGTTTAGCTGTCCGCCAAATGTATTTCATCTCAACTGGTTGTACCTGTTTTAGTGAAGGAAAGGATGCATGGTCAAGGTGGTGGTCTCGACTAGTAGACAAGCGCACAGGGCACACAAAATAATCATGCCGACCAACTGCCGACGAATCATGAATAGTGTGTTCTTTGACTCTTTGCCTGCCTCACACTACCTACCCTAGAAAGTTTTGGTCTTCTACGCTCGTGTCTCCATAGACATGGGTGCAATTCATGCCCAACACCAGTCGCCTCCGATCATATTCTCGTGATGAGAGACACTGGTGCAACAGCCGTTTTTCTCAACAGGTAGGCTAGACCTGCTCGTTTTCTCGATCGATGCAGCCGGGGTAGCATTGGACTGTTGGCCGCAGATCTGGCCAGACTCTCATCATCGACGATACAAAGAAGACCAGAACATACATTTGCCCAGGGTCTGCACGACAGAGGTAAGCAATGTGAACTGCACCGCTCGACTTGATTTCAACCTCACTCTCTCAACTGCTCTGCTTTTGTTCTTCACGACCATGGATACGGCACAGCTGGACGACGCGCTGTATCGGGCTTGCATCACAGAAGACTTGGCACAGGTGAAAGTGTTGATACAGGAACAACATGCGCAAGTTAACAAAATCATCGGTTTCGCTGGACAGCTGGATTACTGCCTAAATCACGCAACGAGCACTGGCTCGATACCTCTGGTGCGCTTTCTGCTCGACCATGGCGGTGCAACCGTCAACGCAGGGGCATTACGGATAGCAGCTTTCGGAGGGGATTTACCAATGTTGCAACTCCTGCTTGAACCGATAAAGGCTCATTTAACAAATTCCGGAATGTCCAGGAAATGGCGAGGAGATCTCGCTTCAATACTCGTCGGCGCAACAAGACGAGGACAAAGTGAAACAGCTGAAGCCTTGAAAGTCTTCCGTTCACGTGTTGACGACTTTGACAAGGCTGTCGATGCCGGACTTCTTGCAGCATGCGCTGCTGGCGACATGCGCTCTGTCAAACACTTTGTCGATTTGGGTGCCGAGAACAAGGTTGAAGCCATATGTACCGCAGCCGAGTACCATCAATTGGAACCACTGGAATACTTTCTGGAGGAACACTCATTCGAGCCCGAAGAGCTTTTCGATCCTCTGATTTCGGCAGCCGCTGGCGGTCGTATGCCCTCTATCCTTCTGCTTATTGAACATGGAGCCGATGACGATTCAGGCGCCGCACTGGCCAAAGCTGCCAAGTTTTCCCACGTAGAGGCAGCACAGCACTTCCTTGGACTCTTCAAGTATACAACAGACAAGCTCTCGGCAGCGCTTGCAGCGGCAGCTCGAGTAGGCGACACTACGATCATGGAGATGCTCATTCGTAAAGGCGCTCAAGGCTCAGGAGCCTTGATACTAGCGGTTCAGAGAAGTCATCTTGCAGCTACGGAGCTTCTGATCCGGAACCTTGCACCAACGCAGCAAGAACTATCCAAGGCGCTGGAGAAAGCAATGTTTATCTGGCTACGGCCGGTACAGATGCGCAGACCATACATGTCGAGGACTTCCAGCCACTCTTCGAGAAGCACCAACGAAGAGACTGAGCCGACGATACCGGAAGTCCTAAATGATAGGGAAGGGTCTCGAAAACGCATCGTTGAGGTGCTTCTGGAAGCTGGAGGTCGACTATCCGAGCTTTACTATTGCCGACTTCTGGAAATGATGATTCTTACTCAGAATCGATATGGAGTTGAGCTATTGCAAGACAATGCAAGATTCACGATGGTGGAAACATTGCCTGATGAGTACTTGATCAGCCTGGCGATTTATCATCAGCAAGACGATATGGTCAATCTATTACTCGGCTTCCCTGTGGCGCACAAATCAGAGCCCGAAGAAGCAACGGAGCTGAGCAGCGTTCAGTCAATTGCCGAAAATAAGCTTGCATGGGAATCGAAAGTCTACAATCCAGTCCCTAGTCCGCTTATACTGGCCGCAAAGCTTCAAAATGAGCAATGGTGTAAGACGCTAGTCAAAAGCGAGGAGACGGACATCAACGAGTGGTGCTCTTACAAGCCAAGCAAGAGACTTTTGAGCTATTACGGCTCCGACAGAAAAACACAAACACCAAAAGAAGAACAATATGAAGAACTTGGATGCCCATTCGGCACGGAAGAACTACGCGACTGCGCCCTGTCGATGGCCGTTCGCTCCAAGGATATACCCATAACGCGTATACTCATCGAAAGCGGCGCAGACCCGTGGGTCAATCGACAAGGGATCTCTATCTTCGAGCTAGCAGCTAGGGAGAACTGCCTACAAGACGTCGAAACGTTCTTGGAGCAGGGCACGGCCGTGATGACAATTGATCGGAGAGAATGGGATGGCGGGAGAAGCATGCTACATTGGGCTGCGATGTATGGCACTGGTGGTTTGATCGATCTGCTTTGCAAGAAGGGAGCTACGATCGATCTCACAGATGCAATGCACACAACACCATTACATCTGGCTGTTGCTGCCGGAAATATAGGCACAGTAAAAGGATTGCTTTGGGCTGGAGCGAGGACGTCACTGAGAGATGTCGGATACTGCCTATGCGTTGACGAACTTGCTGCGAAGCTAGCACAAGAAGCTTCTTGGGCGGATCCATTAAGGGCAGTCAGATTCGACATCAGCCGATTCTTAGATGAGTGGGTGCGGAATAATATGGATCACCTGGATGCTGCCAACATCCGTAGAGAATCGAAAGCAGCCGAAGAAAGAGCAAAAGTGGCAGAGGCTTCACGGTCAGTAGACGCCGATCTTGTAGACCATTTCAGTGACGAGGATAGCGTGCATTGGAGCGACGGAGAGTAATGTGGGTATTTAGCAAGTATTCCTCTACAGACAGACACAAATTTGACGGCAGCGGTAAATGGAACTTGACATTATATCAAGAATATCGAGTGATGATGGAGAGAGTGTGTAAATCGTGGAGAGAAGCCGCTGGGCCCCGGAATCGGTCGGGACGAGGACTCGGTCGTAACTTCTGTCTGGGGTGACAAAACAGATGGTACGCTGGAGCTCGGCAGGAAGGTACAGGCTGCACTGAACGACATTGTGAGTAGTAAGAATTGTAGAAGAGGTGAGAGCGAAGGGTCGCTTTGCTTTTGGAAAGTGCGACAGGTGTAAGTTGGGTACAACAAGGTGATATTGTGTCAGTACGCAGGGCTCACAGAGCTACGAAATTCAAAAAGCTGTCAAAAGGTGTGGCCATTTCGGACGCTTTGACCCCCGTCCGAGTGCTTCGTTGCGGCAAATCTCGTTCAACCTCACCCTCCTCCTAGAACCGACCTCTCATCACCCTCTATCTCCACTCCATCCTCTATTTCATTGGGACCCGTCACACCCATCGGGCTTCTGAGAAATTTCTGTCAACATGTTCAGAAACGCCCTTCGCCAGAGCGCCCGCGTGGCCACCGTCGCCGCTGCTTCGTCGAGAATTTCAGCTGTACGTTTCAACAAGCTCCAACCACTCGCCGACACCTCGCCTGCGACTACAAGCTCGAGATACCTGGCCAACATCAAGCCCGATAACCATCATTGGACCTTTCGCCACTCCCAATGGCTGTTGTTGCGCGCCGTGTTGGCCGGTCGCGCCCTGGAGCTGTCGCTGGCGACGTCGAAGCTTGCCTCGCCTTTGCCAAGTCTTGCAACATCTCACTGACATGTTTTTTACAATCAGGCCCGCGCTGTCGCTCCCGTCGCCAACTCTGTCCGCGGCTACGCCGACAAGGCCACCCCCACTGAGGTCTCCTCCATCCTCGAGCAGAGAATCCGTGGTGTCCAGGAGGAGTCTGGTCTCGCCGAGACCGGCCGTGTCCTTTCCGTCGGGTACGTCTGCGACAATCCACATCGCTCTGGGAGCAGAACACACGAGAACTAACACAATTGGAACAGTGATGGTATCGCCCGTGTTCACGGTATGAGCAACGTCCAGGCCGAGGAGCTCGTCGAGTTCGCCTCCGGTGTCAAGGGCATGTGCATGAACCTCGAGGCCGGCCAAGTTGGTGTCGTCCTTTTCGGTTCTGACCGTCTCGTCCGTGAGGGTGAGACCGTCAAGCGCACCGGTGAGATTGTCGACGTCCCCGTCGGCATGGAGCTCCTCGGTCGTGTCGTCGACGCCCTCGGTAACCCCATTGATGGCAAGGGCCCCCTCAAGACCACCCAGAAGAGCCGTGCCCAGCTCAAGGCTCCCGGTATTCTCCCCCGTCAGTCCGTCTCGCAACCCGTCCAGACCGGTCTCAAGTCTGTCGACGCCATGGTTCCCATCGGTCGTGGTCAGCGTGAGTTGATCATTGGTGATCGTCAAACTGGTAAGACTGCCGTCGCTCTCGACGCCATGCTTAACCAGAAGCGCTGGAACAACAACACCTCCGACGAGTCCAAGAAGCTCTACTGTGTCTACGTCGCCGTCGGCCAGAAGCGCTCCACCGTCGCTCAGCTCGTCCAGACCCTCGAGGAGAACAACGCCATGCAGTACTCCATCGTCGTCGCTGCTACCGCCTCTGAAGCTGCGTAAGTTGTTTTTTATCTTTCTACACTTTCGAACGTAAAGCTAATACCCCCATCGACCTTTACAGTACTTGGCTCCTTTCACCGGTACCGGTACGTATTTCAAAAAACACTCTGCCTTCAATCAGCATTACTAACACCCTGTGAAGCCATGGGAGAGTACTTCCGTGACAACGGCAAGCATGCCGTTATTATCTACGATGATTTATCTAAGCAAGGTAAGGTCGCCATGGGTCGTTGGGATGATGCCCAAACTAATTTTTCTTCGCAGCCGTCGCTTACCGCCAGATGTCTCTTCTTCTCCGCCGCCCTCCCGGTCGTGAGGCCTACCCTGGAGAGTGAGTAACGCAGGCTCCGTTGGACCGTGTGCAGTGCTAACATGGCTCGCAGTGTCTTCTACCTCCACTCTCGTCTTCTCGAGCGCTCCGCCAAGATGAACGACAAGCTTGGTGGTGGTTCCCTCACTGCCCTGCCCATCATTGAGACCCAGGGTGGTGATGTCTCCGCTTACATTCCCACCAACGTCATTTCCATCACTGACGGTCAAATCTTCTTGGAGGCTGAGCTCTTCTACAAGGGTATCCGTCCCGCCATTAACGTCGGTCTTTCCGTCTCGCGTGTCGGTTCCGCCGCTCAGCTCAAGGCCATGAAGCAAGTCGCTGGTTCGCTCAAGCTCTTCTTGGCCCAGTACCGTGAGGTTGCCGCCTTCGCCCAGTTCGGTTCCGATCTCGATGCCGCCACCAAGCAGACCCTGTCCCGTGGTGAGCGTCTTACCGAGCTCCTCAAGCAGAGACAGTACAGCCCCATGGCTGTCAACGAGATGGTTCCTCTTATCTACGCTGGTATTAACGGCCACCTCGACAACGTCCCCGTCGCCAAGATTCTCCAGTGGGAAGCCGACTTCCTCAACCACCTCCGCACCAACGAGAAGGCCATCCTTGATCAGATTGACAAGGAGGGTGCCCTCAGCAAGGAGCTCGAGAACAAGCTCAAGGAGGTCATCCAGAGCTTCACCGCCAACTTCTCGTAAATTCCGATTAAAAATCTATAACGGGGAAAATTGCGAGTAGGCCGAAGAAGCCGTGTGTATAGTAGGAGCGAAAGTAGCGTCTCATTGAGTTTTCTTCCAAACATTTCAATGACAAAGTGTATAATCTTCGTTCTCTCCGCGACTGTGAATATGGCTTTGCTCAGACGTTCCTGCCGAACTTTCAACCAACTTCCTGCTTCCATTCACACAGATCCGCCACTTAACTCTCTAGACGGACACTCCCTGGACATAAATCAAGAGTGGAAAGAGACTGTGCATTGCGGCAGTGTGTCGTTGCAAGAGACTTCTCTTGATTGAGAGCTCTATACCCTGCATCTACCCTATCTTTTATTGATAATCGCAGCTAGTGGAAGTCCCTTGGGTTGTGCTGAAACGCAAAGCTGGGCATATTGTCGCCATCTATCTGATAACGACTAGTTCACGCAGGATGCCCCCTTTACCACCAAGCAAATAAATGGTACGGCATTTGCACTACCGACGTCACCACCGGGAGATTTTTTTGTTCCCTCCGAGCATAGTCATTTGCTTCTACCAGCCTCGCAAACAAGTTTGATGTCGTCCAATACTTGCTACGTGCTAAAATTCGCTCAGTGTAGTCTTGAATCAAACTCTCCTAGCCTATGGTCAGAAGACTCGACTCCATGCGGAGGACCAGGATAGCCGCCATGAAAATTGGTCTCGATCTAATCTTGCAGTTGCCGAACGAAAGATGAAAACATCTCAAAGATGGGAAGGTAGCTGGGGCTTCCTCAATTTGCCCAATTGACAGACAGATACGCACATGTCCTCATGGGTGATTTGGTGTCACGTCGATACTTAACCCCAAAGCAGAAGTAAATGAGGCATCCAAAAGGTGTTGTTGATGATGAATCCAAGCATAACAGACAATGTTCCGGCAAGAAATCAGATCCCTCAGTGTTCGGGCCTCATTGCTCTTGCCTTGTGATCATCCTTCATATCGAAAGTGACCAAACTAGCTGAACCCAAGACAAAATCAACCACCACTCGAAACAAACAAGTAATCAGAAACACCTCTACTCCTCTAAATCGCCGTCCGCAATCCTCCTGTCAAGTCAATCCCTTCCAATGACCTCTCAATTCCCCACGCCCACCCATATAACAACAACCAAGACCCCCACTCCAAACCCCAAAGTCCCAGTCACAGCAACAGTATAAGCAGCCAACCAGAGCATAAAACACCATATAACATCAGTGGTCCGAATGCGAGTGTAGATATTAATGTAGGTTAAGAGAGTTGCTTGGGAATAGAGTCAGCTGTGTATTTAGGCGCATGGTTGAACAGAAAAGAGAAAGAGAAGGAGTTGATAGGATGGGTCAGAGGGGCTGGTTGGAGGTATGGACTGGATACACGGGTGGGAGGTATAGACCACAGTGTGGTGGTCTGGGCATGAGGTATGATCAGAGGTAATGGGTCAGAGAGACGAGCAATGAGCATGAGCAAAAGACAAGAAGGCGAACAAATGTGCTTGTTTGGATGGTATTTTGAACATGGTGTTAGATTGGTCTAGTGACGTGCTTGACATGTGAGAAGACGGACAACCAGAGGGAAGGTCGGGAGTCTGATGAAAGTGTTTACGTGGTCTTAGGTGGTGTCTTGGTCACGTCTTGCCATTCTCCAATTTCGGCATTCTCTTGCTTGAGCGTAAGGGAGGGGGGGAAGTTCATGTGTGTTTCATGTAAGGACAATGTTTGTAGTCTACATGGGGTGTCATGTCTGAGAATGAGTAACTTGATGTGTCAAAGAGCAATGGTTGGTGCTTTGCGTGTGGTATCGTGTATTTTAGTGATAGGACGAGGGAAGGATAATGGGGTACGAATGGTAAATCCAAAGCTGAAGTCAAAGATGAAGGGAAAGGAAATCGCTAATCCAGAAACCCAATGCATGTGTAGAGAAAATGAAAGCGTTACTTGAGCTGCGTCTTACCCATGAGGTCTGCGAGCTCATCGACGGAGCTGTTCTTCTCTTGGGCGACATTCTCCGATTCGGCTTGATCAGCGTCCTTGAGAATACTCTCTTCCTCGGCATCTTCATCATCGGCCAAGTCGTTGTCCTCATCGTCACTGTCCTCTTCCAAGTCGTCAAGCTCATCGATACCCCAGGTCTCGTCATCTTCGTCGGCATTGGGGGCATTCTCTTCTCTACGCTCATCGAGCAATGTCTTCAAAGCCTCCACGTTGGTGTCCTCCTCTAAGAATTTGTTACCATTCAGCTCGACGCGTTGCAAGACGGGCAGAGCATCGGTTTGGGCGACTTTGCACAGAGCTTCGACACCCTTGGCAGCAATCTCGTCGTATTGGAGACGAAGTGTCTGAAGAGTCTTGTTCTTGCCGGACTTGAGGGCTTCTGCGAGCATCAAAGCTCCACGGTTGCTGAGCAAGCAGTCGCCCACAGCGAGTTCCGTGATGGACGACCAGTTCGCAACAACGTCGGCGAGAGCACGGCCACCCATGGCAGTGAAGGTGTTGTCTTGCAGATCCAAAACTTGAAGGGCAGTACACTTGCCCAGGCCGTTCTGCAAGAGAGCGGAAATGCCCTCTGGACGAATGCCATTTTGTACCATGCGAACAGTCTTGACATTGTTGTTGATCGAATATGCTTTAGCCCAAGCATTCATGGAGCCGGTCTCCAGTCTGTTGCGACCGCAAATGACCGTCTCGAGGTGAGGGACGGTCTTGCCATCTTTACGAGCTTGTTCTTTCTTCCCGGCGAGAGTAGTGAGGGCATCTGCGACGATGACGCCGGCATCAGGACCGAGACCGTTGTTGTTCAAGATCAGGTGCTGCAGCGGCACGTGCTGCGAAAGGAAGGGTTGCAAGTGGTCGACGAGGTTGAAGCCAAAGGCATTGTCCGAGAGGTTGACGGTGTGGAGCTCGGGGAGGGTGAGCAGAGCGGCGAGCAAGTGATCGACTGCTTTTGGGATTTCCTCGAGGGTACGAGAGGTGAAGATGTCGGCAAAGTTTGCGACCTGCACAGCGTCAGATTTGACCGTTGCGATTGACGATAATCGAGTGGACCTACCTTGATCTTCTTCTTGTTCTCCAGCACCTTGGCCAGAGCTTCGCATGCTTCGATGCCCAGAGTGTTTCCCACAAAGATGACCTCCTCTACGTCGTTGTTGGACTTGAGCTCAGCAATGTGTTTGTCCATGTCGGCGGCCGAATCGAGTTTCAGGCCTCTGCCCTCGAGCGAAAAAGTCTTTGCCATGGCGGACGTGTGGAAAGATGGACAGAATACGTGCGAGGAGAGATGGTGGTATGCCAGTGGAGAGAGGGAGGCTTTGTGGTTTGCGACAAGAGGGAAATTGCTGTCTCAAGCAGGCACAGGCACAGGCACAGGCACAGGCGCATGAGTGTTTACGCTGTTCCTTCCAGAACTCGTGAGTGCCAAGCAATGACTCGCCTCGCCGCACTTGCCCTCGGAATGCACGGCGCATCATGCCCGTTGCCCGTCCGCTGCTGACATATTGCCCGATTGCCTCATATTCGACATTATCTCGAGACACTCTTGTCGCAAATTGATTCCTGCTCTACCATCCACTCAAATTTCCTCAACATGTCTCAGCGTGAGTCTTTCTATCTTATGCGATCCCGGTGGTCCAACCTCTAATCCAACCCCAGCTTCATCCACCGTCACAACTACCAACAACCTCGCCGCCGACCTCAAGCCTCAGGGCGAAGCCGCTGCAAAAGTAAAGGTATTTGCCTTTGCATAACACTTGATCAACATGCCGTCTGACTATTGGCCACAGCCATGCTGCGTCTGCAAGGATGAGAAAGCCGCTCGTGACGAATGCATGCTCTTCTCAAACGCCGCCGACCCCCAAGCCGACTGCCAAAACATGGTTCAAAAGTACAGAGCATGCATGCAAGGCTACGGCTTCAACCTCCCTTAAACGACCAACCGCTTCCCTCAAACCTCATTCCAACTTTCTACCATTATCTGCATTGCGACCGGCGTTATCAGGAACAGGTGGAGATCTCGAGACTTTTAGATCCATGTATAACTAGTGTACAATACCACCACTTCTCTCACTCTTCCATTTGACTCATTACAGTCTCTTCTGCTTGTCGTCTGCCTGCTTGCCGAGCTGCATCAATCCACTCTCAGCCACAAGATGGTACAAGCACCAGAGATAGCACAGGCCGAAACCTGATGCGCCGACACAGACATTTCCAACCACCCAGAGGTCGGGCATGTTGGAAGGCGCCTGCACAAATGCCTCTGCGACATGCCAGCCCATCATCGCCATGTAAAAGAGGATGTGCACTGCCTTCACAGGTAGCGACAACCAGACACCTTGCTCACCAAAGTAAGCTGAAAGTGATGTTGGTGGAAGGCCCATGAGGTATGCCCAGAGGAGAGTCAAGACAAAATATGGAATCCTGAGTTCGTCCCTCTTGAGCAAAGGGAACATGGTCCAGCAAGCCAGAATGTTGGCGAATCCAATCCATGCCCTCAGATCAGGTCTTAGTCCTCCATGTCCTGCCATGAGCATAGTCATTGGCAGTAAGGGTAACAGCACATTCTTTTCGTGTACTTGGTAGCTACAGAGGAAGAAGCCCCAAGCTGTGGTTGCCAATGCCCAAGGTACAAGTTCCTTCTTTGGCTTGAAGAAGATGACCATGCAAGGTGGAAGAATTGACAGACTGGTCAGTCCAAGTGCTGCCCGGGAAAGCAGACTCGAGTCATACTGATGAAGCTTATGTACGCCAGACGCATGGATAGCACACCAGACATTCGCCACCTTGTCCTCGAACAGGCCGCGTGAGAAAGGGAAGATGCGATGGATTGACTGTGCAAGTTGGAACACGAGCGGGTAGTACCAAGCCTTGGTCGAAATCTGGGCCGGGAATTTCTGGAGCAATGGAGGAGGTTTTGCGTCGAAGGGTAAGAACACCCCTTTCCAAGAATCGTAAGCCACACCCAAGATAAATGGCAAGAAAAGAGCTGCAAAAGAGGCAATGGTAACGAGGCCGATGCTCAATAGCCGTCCAATATTGATGCGAGGAAAGGAACAGATACCCAACAGGTAGGCGAAAACAGCTGGGGCATAGAAGAGCGCCATTTGTTTAAATCCAAGAGCAGCGACAAAGTACACACAGCTCCAAAGATGACGGCCTGCAAGCATACTTGACATAGACGCAAGCATCAATCCGAGCATGACTGTGTTGTACTGGAAGTGTCCATGATCAATGAGCATTGTTGCCGGCTGCATTAGTACCGCGGTCAGCGCAACCGAAGACTCCCATGTTGTGATTCCACAGAGCTTGCTCATGTGACGGATGAAGATGACTGCTGCTGGCACCAGGACAAGGTACTCTGAGACGATGACTGTAGCACGCATGAAGACCTTCAAGTCGGGATCATCGAGACCCCGAGAAGTCTTCAACTCGAACCATGATGAATTGACGAGGTTGCCCCTGACCAGATCAGCGCCTAAAAGATCAAATAGCCACACTAAACACTTACAATTTACCAAGCACCCAGCTGTGGTAGGCAGTCAATGGGGGGTAATCTAGGCCCCACCATTGTAGGTCATGAAGATACCAATGTGATACGGGCAGATTGGTGGTCAACTCCATCCAGTGACGCTGTGCCTCGAAGTCGCCGTGCATGGGAGGCTTCTCTAGACCTAGACATATATCATATCAGTGTGAGATTGATTTGCACAACGAACAGATAAGTCCTACCAGAATAACCCCAGAAGCCAGTAGCCCATCTGAAAAGTCCGACAGCCATAAGGATGAGCGGCATAACAGCCCATTGTGATACTGTTCCCTTAGCAGGCAGTAAGAAAGACACCAAGGGGAAAGCTGGCTTCTGCTGCTTTGTGTCTTGATCTGTGATTAATAAGACATTGCTTCGAGGGCCAGAGATTTGGTCGTCTCTTCTCCTCCTTCTAGGGCGATGTGTTGTGTGAGCCATGACTAGCTCCGGTGAACTCTCTCTCTCTCTCTCTCTCTCGATTGTCCACGTTGGCAATCCGAGACCAAGGGAGAGGACCCTGAGTCTAGGGCTAGAGCGGTGATCGGCCCGCGGTATCCGAGAGGCGTTCCGGAGTAAATCAGTTTTTTCGCATGGCAGAAACTGTTAGCGCGGCTGGAGATCAGAGTTGCGCAGCCAGAGGTATTTGAAGCCCATCGCCTGCTTCTTATTTTTTCTTTTGCATCCTTCATCACCAGAACTTTCCTCGTTACTCGTGGAATTTTCATCAATACTTCATATTCGACTTTTACATCAATCAAGTGGGTTCGTCGCTCCTCTCATAGTGGGTTCAAGTCATCTCTTCGCGTTGTTGGTTTTGCGTGAAGCAGACTGAGATATACCATCTCTTCGACGTGGGTAGTGGGCACATGCACAATCAGGACGGCTTTTCATCAGACCATCTTGCGCGCAGACTCATGGCTTCTTGTGGGAACACACAGCCTTGACATGCCGCGAGAATAGTGGGCTTGAGGGCTTGTTGGCTTCCATCACTTCCATGTGATCATGGGTTACTGAGGGCTCTGCTGCACATAGCGACCATCACTGGTCGCTCACACCATGCCTGTCGTATCCGCTGTCGCTGTCGCAATCCGCGACAGCTTGACCGGTACGACTATGCACGCCCACCGCTACCACCATCGCCACGACGCGAACCGCCTTACTATCATACTACCTCAACAAGGTCCCGAACCTTGCTAACCTCGCCCATCAGAATACCAACACGTCACAATGGCCAAGGACAAGAGCACCAAGAAGGCTGCCGCCCCCAAGGTCGAGGCCACCAAGGTCAAGTCTGGTCGCGTCGCTAAGGCCGAAGACCCCAAGGTCAAGAGCAAAGACGTCGCAAAGAAGGTCACCGAGGCCACCAAGAAGTCCAAGAAGAGCAAGAAGGAGCCCACTCCCGAGCCTTCCAGCTCTTCCGAGTCCGACTCTGACGAGGAGATGGACTCTGCCAGCTCTTCCGACTCCGAGTCCGAGGCTGAGGCTAAGCCTGTCGCTAAGAAGGCTGCCAAGAAGGAGGAGTCATCCGACTCTTCTGACAGCGAGAGCTCCGAGGACGAGAAGCCTGCCGCTAAGGCTGACTCATCTGACTCCGACTCTGACAGCTCCGACGATGAGGCTGAGGCCAAGCCCGCCGCTGCTAAGGCTGCCTCTTCCGACTCCGACAGCTCTGACTCCGAGTCTGAGGACGAGAAGCCTGCTGCCAAGGTACGTACTGCCCGTCCAACTTTGCTCGACCACCACCCTTACTAACATACCTTTCTCACAGGCCGACTCATCCGACTCCGACTCCGACTCATCCGACTCCGAGGAGAAGGTTGAGGAGCCCAGCAAGAAGCGCAAGGCTGAGGAGGCCCCTGCTACTTCCTCCAAGAAGGTCAAGGTTACCGCCCAGGGCCAGTTCGGTGAGCCCAGCAAGGTTCTCTTCGTTGGTGGTCTTTCATGGAACGTCGACGAGGACTGGCTCTCCAAGGAGTTCGAGGAGTTCTCTCCCGTCTCCGTCAGAGTCATCACCCACGCCGACTCCGGTCGCTCCAAGGGTTTCTCTTACGTCGAGTTCACCGACGTCGATGCCGCTACTGAGGCTCTGAACGCCAAGCATGGTACCGACCTTGACGGCAGAACTCTCAAGTGTGACTTCAGCACTCCCAGAGACAACAGTAACCGCAGCTACGACAAGAACCAGGTCGGTGCCCGCGCCAACACCTTCGGTGACAAGCAGCAGGGTGCTCCTTCCACTACCCTCTTCGTCGGTAACGTTTCATTCAACACCACCACCGACAGCCTTACCGGCTACTTCTCCGAGTTTGGAAGCATCAACAGCATCCGTCTTCCTACCGACCGCGAGACTGGTGCCCCCAAGGGCTTCGGTTACGTTGAATTCGGTTCCGTTGACGAGGCCAAGGCTGCCCTTGAGGGCTTGAACGGTGCTGACGTCGACGGTCGCAACATCCGTCTGGACTTCGCTGCTCCCCGTGACCCCAGCTCCGGTGGTGGCGGCTTCGGCGGCGGTCGTGGTGGTGGTGGCCGTGGCGGTGGCCGCGGTGGCTTTGGTGACCGTGGAGGCCGTGGTGGCGGTGGTCGTGGCCGTGGTGGCTTCGGTGACCGTGGCGGCAGAGGTGGTCGCGGCGGTGGCCGTGGCGGCTCTACCAACCGTGGTGGCTTCGGTGACTTCCAGGGTAACCGTATGTCATTCGACTAAGCGTTACGCTCAGCATCTTGTCATTATCGAAAAAAGTTTGGCGTTCACGGATCCCTGGGATAGCATGATCATTCGGTCTCATACAAAGGCAGCGAAGGACATCATAGCTGTAGGAATGGGTGGTCTCTGTACAATCGCGGCGCTCGAGTTGTAGCTCATTGATACCTTAGTAGTTTCATAGCATTTTATGATCAAAAAGATATACCCAACATTTGCAACGATCGTCTCGAGTCACATGTGCAATGTTTCAGGGAGCGACCAAGGGTCTCGCAAGTGACGTGGAGCACGCAAGTGGCTGGACAGTGGACAGCCTCATGGGAGATGACAAAGATACATAGCAATCCATGTATGCAGCCAAGAAGGCTAGACCAATCACGATGCTATTCACGTATTCCTTTATCGAGTAGCACACGTGGAGGAAGAGCAGATGTCTTGAATCAAAGGACAAAGAGGAGCGAAGCTTAAAGGGGTGGCCACTTGATCGGAGCGTTGCGTGACCAGCGAAACAGCGGAGGTGGGGTATCATTCACCGACTTCAGGTGCATCGCATCATCGACAACGATCAGGCTGTCTCCTGTCAACTTGCATCGCTTCCTGTCGCTCCTGTCTGCTTCGGCCTTGATAGACTGAAGCGTCTGCCGCATGATTCGTTGGTGCCTGTCTACTTAGGAAGATTAGGCTGCACTACCTTTCCTCTTCCACCACGCTCTCCTAGTCCAGCCACCCGCCCCTCTCCTCGTCCTACACATCGTCGTTTGGCCTCGCGAACCATTTAACTAGCTAGACTTCGGACTGAAGACCATCCCATACGCGCCACCCTCCATCATGTCCAAGCATCCGATTACTGGAAACACCCGTCATGGACTCTCGTTGGATGCAGGTCGGACTCGGTCAGAAGGTAAGAAGCGAGCCTGTGACTTGACTGTACTATGTACTTATCGCTCGTGTTTTCGTGCTTTCACTGCGCTCTTCTGTCTTGGAATGCTTCCTTCTGTTTGTTCATGGCTGGGACGGATCGAGACCATCAAGGCAGCGCTGACTCCAGTCATGTAGAATCCTGGATCGAGATATCCTCGCAGCCTTCATCATCGTCGCTCTCCTCGGCTGCCGACGAGATTGTGACAACCGGCCTCCGTGTTCACCAGACATCCGCCTCTTATCGCCGAAGACGTCAAAGACCTGGTCGACCCTCGCGACTCAACATCGCTAGTCGTGCTGGCAGTGTTGGAGCTGCCAGCAGCCAGGAAGAATATGAAGAGAGCGAGAGTGACGATGATCATATCATATCATCTTCTGCCGAGGGACTGACGCTTCCCGCCACGCACACCAGAGAGGCAATGCTCGAGTCTTCGGACGACGATGAGAACAGAACTGCCGTCAACTACCCTATCAACAGCGACAGTGCTTTTACACCCCAGCCGAATGCCTTCTCTCACCCCTCGGCCCATTCTGCCAGACGTACCAGTCAACCTGTTCCTGGCTCCTACTTTCCCGCCCAACCCGAACGCCGTTCCTCTGCAAGACACTCATACCCTTCTCGTGCAGACGCTCGAGTTCAACATTCGCCTTTCAACATGCTCTCGCCAAGTCATAATGCAGCTGCTGACCATGAAGCCGCTCTCCGCGCCAGTCTGTCCACTCTGCAATCTTTCGCTGCTGCTGCCCGTGGCCTACCCAAGTCAAACACTCGCCCGGCAGCTGTTGCTGCTCCTCCATCCTCAAACAGGATCCAGCCAAATACGCTGCGTATGGTACCTGCCTCTGCCTTGGAGAACAACTCACCTCCCCTGACTCAGAACGTCGAGCCGACCTTCAAGCCAACCATTCGCCGTGCGTCCACATCCACCTCTGCATCTGCCGACGTCCGTTCCACAAAGTCTGAAGCCAAGCGGAAAGGAGCCTCTGGTCGCGGCTCTTCAAAAGAACGTAGAGCTATCAAGAAACGTCGCAACTCTGGCGCTCTCTACGGTGTTGATGAAATGACTGTCAGCCCTACCCTCTTCACATGGGTCGTTAGTGTGGGCGTGGTAGTCGTTTTCAGTGCCATCAGCTTCTCAGCAGGCTACTCGATGGGCAAAGATGCTGGCAGGTTTGAATCCGGTATGGCTGGCACAGCGGACGGAGCTACAGCCTGCGCAAGAGAAGCAGGCAAGAGCGGGCTTGGGTTCAAAAAGTCCAGGTTGTTCAGCATCGCCTCTGGCGTTGGCGTTGGCGCTTGATTACAAGGTCACAGACCATAGATCGAGACGAGAAGAACAGTTAGGTACGAGGAGCAACTGCTGTTTACGTGAATATGGAAGAATGGGATGACTACGAACGCGCATGAAGGGATCTCGGACATTTGGGCGTTTATGGTACTTGACAGTAAAGGCGTTCTAATTTCAATTTCCTGGAAGGCATAATACCACTGTTTTTCTGATTATAGTAGGCTTGGGAGGGATATAAGCGATTGAGATGATCAATATGCAGATATGATGAAATTGAGAATAACGTCAAACCTGAATGCTTTGACTAGGTATGCCGTTCCTCTTTTCTCTATGTTCAGCCTGCTTCTTCGCAATGTAACATGTGATCATGTCCTGAAAGCAAGCGTAAGCATTGATGATCCCACGAGACAAGGATTGAGAGATTTGTGAACATATGTATTCGACTGTGTACTGTATACTATGTAGTTTGGTCTGACTGGTGCATGAAGAAGGAAAGCACAACAAAGCAGCATCCTGTATCTACTGCTCGTCCCCATCTCTAAAGGCTGGCTCACTTCCCCATTCATTCTTTTCATAATAAGCATCTTCACTCCCTCGAAAAACTGTAATTCGCCGTCGCAGGTGGGAAAACACCTACATATCTCGTCTCCGCCACTGTGGGACTCATGGCACTAGGTGTAAGATCCCTTTCATACGGTATCGTTTTCGTACTTGAGCAACTGATTTGACGACCTGGGTGGCGTCCTTCCATTGTATCCGATTCCACAAATGCAGCGGGCTCTTCGTGGTCGCTGTGTGTCCAGCCTTGATACGCATCCGGTGTGTAGGATTTTATGGGCAAGTCGTCGGTACTGAGGGACCATTCATCCTTGCCTTCTGGAGATGAGGCACGGGAGGGTGTCTGGCCGTAGATTTCTGGTTGTGTGTGGGAGATGCCTGAGACGTGGAAGTTGTAGGCATCGATGCTGGAGATTATTGATGCTGCTAGGAAGAGGATGCTTGTATTTCGTTAGTGAGAGTTCTTGTTAGCATGACTGGGCGATTTGACATACCAGACTGTGACGCCGAGGCCTGTGGTTGCTTTTGCGAGATTACAGGTTGTTGCTGAGCCGTAGTCGAATGTTGAGCAGGAGGCAGAGCTTGGGGACAATTTCTTGTCGGTCGCTCCTTTCTGCATGCCCTTTGCTGTCCAGGCACAGGAAGAGGCAAATGCTGAGATCCATAATATCTGTAATCATAGTCAGTCTTTTGTATACGGAGTCGGTTGTCCTCGAAGTAACTTACAGTAAACACCGAATCGATTGCAACGAAAACATAAGGATTAGCCAGTCGCCATAGCCTTGTCCAGCAAGGTACTATGCACTACAATCCAATATCAGCAAACATTTCTTGATCGTGATAGCAGCAAACACTAACCTGATACATCAAAGCAGGCATGGTAAGAAAACAAAGAGCAAAACACCATTGCACACGACTGTCATGATTGCCCTTTTCCGTCAGAATGGCAAGAGTCATACATCCTGTGACAAAGGTAAGGATAGCTTGAAGAAGATGTACAGCAATCTTCAGCTTGTGTAGAGGGTTCTGTGGAATCCACATGGCGGGATAAAGCGCCCCGAGTCACGGTATAGGACACTTCTCTGACAAAGCAAAGAAAGAACAAGGAAGACGTGAGTAAGTAGAAGTACTCAAGGGAGATGTATAACCGGGAAATCCAAGTTTTAGAGGTTCGGTTCATCGACAAAGCAGGGCTTGCAGATTCTCATAAAAAAATAAGAGAAGCTATGGTCTCATCACGCAAGTTACGTCTCACCTAATTATATTGAACACAGATCTGAGGCTCTTGAGTGGATAGGGAAGGCGCGCAAATCCAATGTTTACTAGAATGAGAGCCCAATGCTAGAAACTGATCTACAAAAAGCCCCCCCTGTTGGCTAGGGACTCTGCTCACTTTCGAGCGCCACAACCACGAGGATCCGGCTTGGCTGACCCAGCCATCTGCTTTTCTTTCGATTTGAGCTGCTGTCGTGCCGCTCGATGCAGACTTTTGATACAAATGGCAAGATTGAAAGGACTGGATACGACTGCGAGATTGCAGAATGAGGATTTATTCGATAGTGTCATAAACTTTCGTGTAATAGGAGCGGGCCGGGAGGTCGATCTACATGTTGATTATGTCTCGCATCAGCTATCTTGAAACGTGTTTCAAGTATCGTCTCGCGCGAGATGGTTGACTTTATGGATATCGGGTTTCAGCAGTACAAAGGCGGACGATGTTGCATCATGCAGTGGCTTGAAGTTTCTCATGTCGCATCTGCAAGGCGCATCTGCACATTCATTTACGGTCAATCGCTACGACAACCCCTCTAGCCCATGAGTCTCATATGAGTCGTGTGAGAGATGACGACTCTCCTGTTCTATGAGCACGATCCCGATTCGGTAATTATTGCGCTTGGTTCTCCTCCAGAGCCGGCATGACACTGTCCTGGAATAGACCGAGTGCTCGATGTTGCTACCTATATTATTGACTTGTCTCGGCCAGAGATGATCAAAGAGCGTTCTTGGCGTCAGAGATCGAGGATCTCCATTGGTACATCTCATTTGTCTATAGACACTGCGTGAGACATCGTTATGCTCGGTGAACAGAGCTGTGTGCAAACATGAAGAATATGGGTTAAACTTGGTCGTCCTACAAAGGACCGGACGAGCTGGCATATGCGCATTGCAGTGCCTGTGCCCAGATCAGAGTCAGAGATGTCGTTGTAGTGCTATTCTTACTGGTTTCCACCTCTTGGTATCTTTCAACGCCTCAAAATGCAAAGGCTTCCTTCTAACCTCTATGCGCCCCAACGCCATGCATATCCAACAAGCAATCTTCAGTATCGGTAGTCTTGGTTCGAGATTGGGTATCTCAAGCAAGTGCCTTCTTCTCTGCAGCATCCTCAATCTCCTTCATGAGCTTGACGAGCGTTTCCACTCCTTCTTTATCTGGTCCAGCAGATTCAAAGTCCACAGCCTCTTTGACGACATCTAGAGCCTCATCCAGTCGTCCCTGTTCCTTGAGCGCAACGGTACGTCTGTACCATCCCTTGATGTTGGCGACCTTCTTGAGTTCGGTGCTGCAAAAGGCGTCGAGGGCAGCATCGGGCCACATTTGCTGGGCCATGTATGCTTGAGCACGGTTGTTATACAGTTGACTCAGTTCCTCGCGCACGAGACCAGCGGGTTCCCAGACAGGTCGCTTTGTAGCCATGTCAATGGCAAGTCCGTACATGCGAACAGCGTCGGCGAAAGCTTTCTTGCCAAATGATGCGTTGCCGGTCTCCTTGAGCTTTGTGATTTGTGCAGACCTCTTTGGGTTGACGGGAACTGGTGGTGGCGGGATGCCCAGGGGTCCTTCTAGGTCGACGATGAACGAACGGTGGAGAGAATTGAGGGCGGCCAATTCAGCTTCGAGTGCGCCGGATGATGAGTTTGACGAGATGGCCTTGGTGTTGGGGTCAATGTTCAGCGGCAGCTGTACGAATGTGTCTGGTCCCTCCATGTTGATTTAGTGCTGTGCGATGACTGGATGTATGTGAATGTCAAGAAGGGGAAGAGTCCTCGACGACTGTGGGGGAGAGCGCTGGCTGTGAGAGGACACCCGTTCACAATCACCCGCATGCCAAGAGATGTACTTATGCTCATCAAAATCAATACAACAGGTCATATGCTTTTCATGTTGGATATGCACCTAGAGTCATAACCTATCGTGACTGAATCTTTATGACCGACTGTAGTCTTGAATCTCTTCCTCCTTCCCTCGAGTACCGCGTTCCTGTTCAGCCTCTGCTCTTCTGACATAGCAAAGCGAGGTTTCATCCTAGTCTGATTCGATCGTATCAGATCATCTAACTCTCTTACCTGCTTAAGATTATCTTGCCGTGTCATCTTTATGCGGTGCTAGCTTGCTTCACGTCCTCTTCTTTCTTGGTACACATGATCCGCGTGAGCGAAGCAGTGCTGAACAACGGATAGCAAAGCGCTGATGTCGAGCTTCGCCGTGATCTTGGTGGATACCATTGCGACGAGTGCATGACTCAATCGACGCCTTTGATTTCCTCATACGACTGGTAGAAGCGAGGCAGGTAAAATTTGGTGTTTTCGTAAACCAGAAAAGTTACACACGTAGAAGGTAGGACGCGCACGATGTTGGGACCCAGCCTAGTAACCAACCGGTTAGCGGTTGACATGAATAACAGACATGGACATCTCACCCTTTGTAGAATCCTTTCAGACCCTCCTTCTGGAAGACTTGTCTGACCACATCACGTACGCCTTTGTAACGTGAGTCGGCATCATAGGTCTGAAGACGGGCTCTCACGACCTGGTAGGGATATGTGACACTGCCAGCAAACATCTTACTTGCCGCACTGAGTAACAGGAAATCGAGGTTGGTGAGATTGTCCCTGCCACCACGACTTGTACTCCAGTGGTTTTTGAGTTGCTCGTACGCCATAAATTGTATGGCACCGTGGCTGACACCAAAGAGAGATGGTACGAGTCCTCGATAGAACCCCTTGAGCCCTTCTGTTTTCCATAGATGCGTTGTTCCTTGTCGGATGGATTTGTATGCGCCTGGGGCATCACGCGAAGTAGATAGCATGCGCGTCTTGATGACCCATATGGGATTGGTACAGAGGGCTGTGAGGATTCCAGAGGCGCCAGATGCCAAAAAGTAATCGTACGAGGTGAGGACGTCTGGGTTTCCTCGAGCCGTCTTGATCCAGTCTTTGATGTTGCCGTACCTAAGTTCAGACTCGTGAGCAGAGGCGCATAAATTGCAGGTTGGGGAAATCTTACCAGAGAAAGTACAGTGCCCAACTGACGGAGTTTCCGACCATGTTGGGCATGAGACCGCGATACAGCGCCGAGTACCCACCCTCTTTTCTAACAATATTCTTGACTATGCGCACCGAGTCGCCGATATGACTGGTTGTACTAGGATCCACTGTTTGAATCCTATTTTAGCAGGTGACCAGAGTTTCCAGGTGTGCAAGGTAAGACACACCCTGCAGGCGTGTTTTGACGACATCGAACGGATGGACTACGAGGGTAGAAATGATTCCAGCGCTGAAGCCGGCAACACTCTCTATGAGCGAAGGGGACAATCCAGAGCCAGCGTGTCGCCCCTCGATCGGCGGGTACACTCGAGGCATGTTTGCTTGCTGCTGATCATTTGGGAAGGAGTTGAGCGATGACATTGCCGAGTGATGCACCTCGACAATGCAGCAGACGCGCCTGCATCAACACCGAGGCTCGTCATTGGAGTGGGGAACACGCTAATGACTAGCTGCCGCGATAAGATCTTGAGACAACGATTCGTGCACGGAGCTGGTCATCAACTTGGAAGAGTCGCAGAAGTCATGCTGAGAGGACCTTTAGAACAGGGTGCGATACATGTGTGTGTGTGTGTGTGTGTGAAAGCAGAAAGGGATCAGTATGTCCGGCTGCATCATATGTACGGAGGAGAGGCTGTCGTGAAGACATGTAGTAAAGCAGGACCAATGCTTGACGAGCTTATGGGTTTCTAGACTGAACTGACGCGTAGAGCTTACATAATTCGTCTCGTATCTTCAGTTAAGCTGTACAAAGGAACGGGGACTGGTAGTTTGTCCATGACATTTTAATCGGCGCCTTTTCTGGGCCTGGTTGATGCTCTATATGTACAGGCAAGCGCCTCCTCGAACGTGTGTCCTGGGACTGATCGCAACTGCTCGTGACGGAATAGCAGGATTGGATATCTTATAGCACGGGCAAGCTGGCGCAAGCAGCATGATTTGAAATCGAACGGACCGAGGTCTTTGTCGTTTCGTGATGCAAAAGGCCAGTCGGATTTCGATGAAGTTGACGAAAAATTCCCCCTAACGCCCGAATGACAAAGATTGGAAAGCAAGTCGTAGATCAAGCGGCGCATCTAGTGGTGGTCGTTGCCATGGGCGGCGTCACCGTGGGCGTGGTCGTCACCGAGGAAGACGGCTTCGTATGCGAGGTAGCCAGCGAAAGCGACAGTAGCGATACCGAGACCAGGGAAAGAGCCCTTGAATCTGTTCCAGCGCGAGAAGGGACCGGTGTATCTCCAGGCTTCACTGTTGGACTGCGTCAGAGAGAAGGTGCGGGAATGAGGTGAGTGACATCGACGTACTATCTGGCCCAGGGGTCGTTTCTAGGCTGGCCAGAGGCAGCAGCAAACTTTTGAGGATCAAAACCGGTGAGATTGGGACGAGGAGCCATGGTTTGTGGATTCTGTGGTGTACTGCAAGAGCGTGGCAGATGCGACACAGCTCGCAACGACGTCCAACGCGGCGGCCCTTCGGCTTCTTCCGGGCTGGCGTCTAGAAGCCCATACCAATGACCAGGGCTCTTCCACCAACACACAGCTCACATAGCTACCACATTTTCACTCGACAAGACAATCCATAACTCTACCTAGCTCTACAAGCTCTCTCCGGTCCGCCCCGTCTCGTATCACTAAAGATCGCTGTATAGCGGCGCGCGGTCCAGGATGCCGCCAGCAGTTGGGCGCATGCATGCGAGCCACATGTCGAATCCCTTCGTACATCTGAACCCGATCCCGCCGGCGCATTACCAGCAACAGCAACACTCCCTTCCACAACCTTTGACGCGACCTTCAAACTATGCCGGCGTCAACGGCTTCGTGCCCCCGACCTCCAATGTCGCTTTACAAAACGCATACGCCAGTGCCGGTGCTCTGGCTGGAGCAAATGCTGGAGCTGGAGCTGGTGGAGGTACAGGCTTGGGAAGTGAGGCCGCATATCGAGGTTTCGCACATGGCGCTGCTCTCCAACAGCAACAGGCACATCAGGCTGAGGCTGCTCAGCTAGGCATCAAGTCAGGTCTGGCAGGGAGGATACGCGAAGTCTGGTCTCACAACCTGGAGCATGAGATGGTGTTGCTGCGCCAGCTTATCACAAAGTACCCTTACGTGAGCATGGTATGTTGCTAGCCCTTGCACCACCTTCTGCCCTGGCCAATCTTGCTGACGCGACATGACACAGGACGCAGAATTCCCCGGTATTGTCGCGCGTCCCATCGGCAACTTTGAGAACAAGGCCTCATATCATTACCAAACCCTACGCTGTAACGTCGACCTCCTCAAGCCCATTCAACTGGGAATCACCATCTGGACTGCAGACGGCGAACTACCACCCCAACAGCCCGACCCGTCGCTCTTTCCCAAGTTGCCCAACAACCTGGTCGTGTGTCCCTGCACTTGGTCCTTCAACTTCCGCTTCTCTCTCGACCACGACATGTACGCTGAAGGCTCCATCGAGCTCCTCAAGAAGGCCGGTCTGGACTTCACAAAGCATCAGGAACAGGGTATCGATCTCAATGCTTTCGGTGCCGCTCTCACAACCTCGGGTCTGACCTTCGTTGATGATGTCAACTGGCTATCATTCCACTCGGGCTACGACTTCGGGTATCTGATCAAGTTGTTGACCAACGCCCCGCTTCCTGAGAACGAGTCAGAGTTCCGCGATCTTGTCAACATCTACTTCCCAAAGCTCTGGGACATCAAGTTTTTATTACGACACGCTCAACGCACCCTGGCTCCGCAGAATCGTCTCAGTCCTACTGCCTCAACTGTCATCAACACCCTGGGTCAGAAGTCTGGTTTGCAAGACCTTGCGGAAGAGCTTGGTTGCGTACGTCAGGGCGCTCCTCACACTGGTGGTTCAGACGCCTGGTTGACCGGCTCCGTCTTCTGGGCCATGCGCAACAAGATCTTTGATGGACATGCACCACTCGAATTGGCCGATCAGATCTACGGTCTGCATGGCGTTGGCCCACCAGCAAGTGCTGCCTTCAGAGACGAGTTCCTTCAGAGTCAGGGTCACCAGACTCCACAGACCAATGGTTCTCTCAGCTTCCACACAGGACACACACCTACCACCCACCAAGCACCGAGTACACCAACCACTTCGCATGCTGCCATATCCGGTACACCTGGACCTCCCCATTATTCTCAACACGGATCGCTAACTCCTGCAGGCGGTGTTTTCGGCAACTTTCAATACGCCAAATAGTAAATGTGTATCATAAGCTTCTGGTCGGCGAGCTTCGTCTTTAGCGGTTGTTACGGTGTCTAGGCGCAAAGCGGTATCCGGAGGGTTTGGCCTTCTCAGAAGGGTCTTTTGCTATTTTGTATTTTCAAGAGATTCAGAGAATGGGTCGAGATCAAAGGTTTGAGGCATTGGGTGCCACTTTCTTTAATGCATGACGCGTCTCACGAACTGTAGCCGCAAGGTCCTATTGAACCCCAGCTTCTCCTTCGTCCATCACGTTGATGTGCCTCTTTTCAGACACATCTTACGACGATACGTACTGTACAAATTAATCTCACATCACACGTTTTAAACTTGCCACATGTGTATCGCTGCGGTAATGATTGAATATATCAAGATCCTCGAATGTGTATGGTCAAAGCTCGTAATCATAAATAATTTACACCATCTCGCTACACACCAACTACTTGCCACAACAGTCGTTGCTTCCACCCTTTGTCGCATCACCAAATGCCAATCTGCTGATACCATCTACAACACCCTTGATACCTCCCTTGCCAGCTGCCATCTGAGTCGGTGTGCTCGAGTAGCTAGGAGGCACATCCATACAAGGGTTCTGAGTGAAAAAGTTGCGAGGTCTAAGTAACACAGTCATGGGCTCTGCAGGCATGATAGGGTAGTCCTCAGGAGCAGGGAAATGGGTCAGACCAAAAGTATGCCACAGAACCACATCTTCCTGCTCCAAGTTTGCCTCCGGCTCTTGGGCGATCCAGGCGGGAATACCTTGGGAGGGCTCACCAGAGGTTTGGGGCACGTGGCGACCGGCTGGGTGGACTTGATCATCCGAATATTTGGTGACGTGGACGGCGTGTCTGGCGAACCCTGCTCTCTTCCACACGAGACTGTTCTCCTTGGGTAGGAGGGGAGGTACTTCTCTGCTGACGAGCTTATATGAGACTGGCTTCTTTGAGTAGGGGTTGATCTTGCTGGTGTTGGCCATGTCCCAGGTTCGGCTGGTATTGCCGTCGTAGTCGCTCATTGCAGTAGCAGGGGTCTTTAGTGCTGTCTTTTTGGCGTAGAAGGCGTTGCCGTAGTAGTTTTCTGCGCTGCCGACTTCGCCGTCGCCTCGTACTGCGTCAGCTTGAAAGATGGTGTTGCTTGGACCGTCGATGTTGGGGTCTAGACGCAAGCAGAACAGATGCTGGTGGTTACTAGTGCGGACGTTAGCTGTGTACATTGATCGTCTTCAAAATCCAAACATACTGTGCGTTGACTCCAGGATAGACTTCAGTTCCCCAAGGAGCGGCCGGCTCGCCAGGGTTGAGCGCATATGTATTCAAGATGCCAGTCAACTTGATTTCAAGCTGGATAGTACCATCCTGCATAAAGACCCAGTATACACAATATTCGTAGTTGGCTGCAGTGAAGATTTGCGAGATGATGAGCTTGCGGCCTCGAGTCACCGTGCACGATTCATCGCGGAAATCAGTGTGCTTGAACAAGATGCCAGCATCTTCTTCATGGATGCAGATGGCGTTCTTGATAGTTTGTGCATCACCTGCTCTGTTGACGAATTCGGCATCCATGTAATGAATGGCTCCCTTGCAATCACAGCCAAGCGACAGGCTATTGGTCATGTAACCAGCGCCATACTCGCCGAGATCGAAAGCATGTTTGCGCTGATGAGGATGCTCAGGGTTACCATATGGTACTACCATCTCGGCCAATGACATTCTGTAAAAGATTGGTCTGACGTTGCCTCTGTCATTGAAGCTAATGTTGCTCAAGACGATACCCTCTCTGTAGTTGAAGCCAATGTGAACAGACCAATTTTGCCATTTAATAGTACGTCCGTCCAGGTCGAACGACACACCCTGAGGCTGCGCGATATCAATTGGCTTGATGTCAGTCCTCAGGCCAATCTCCTTGTCGATGGCTTCGCCGTGGAAGTTGCTAGGCGGTGCTTGGTTAAGCTGTCTTCTGACCTTCGGTACGTCGATATGAATGATCTCTTGCGTATCTGCGTTGAAGATGGGGCAGAAGTCCAAGGGATATGTGTATTGACTGTCATCCGGGTGTGGGCGGTAGTACATCAGAGCTTGTTGCAGACGAACGTTGCTTCCGAATCGCTCGTCATATCCAATGGTCCAAGGATCGCAATAAACCTTGTGCATATCTTGTGGAGGGATACCAATGATCCCACATTGCTCAATGACCTTGGGATCTGTGCGAACGACTTTCTCGACTGTGTTTAGATCTTCCATGGTAATCTATGATCAAGTCAGCGCCGTGTCGTTTGTGTGTGACAAAGTCGTGTCGCTTTGGACTCCCAGCTCCATCACAATCACTCACCAATGGCTGCACGCCTTCTGTAAGCTCCCAGCTCAGGATCTTCTTCTCCTCGAGGTCAACAGTGCCGTCGAAGACCTTGCTTCCTCTGCCAATCGCGACAATGTCTGCTACACGATGGGGCCTCTGAATAGTGTCAGGCGATGCCAACCAGGCCATCATCTCCTTCTTCCTAGGCTCCCATAGAGTAACAGCATTGAAGAAAACATCGGTGTACTCCTTGCGAACGATTTCCACAGCCTCCTTGATCTCGCTGCTTGATAGAGGATCTAATGGGTGAGGTGGTGGCAACTGACCAGTCAGTTGAGCTGCCATCTGCTTGACTCTTTCTAAGACCATTGTCGTGTTGGATAGAAAAAGGTATATGATATGTATGAAATCGAGTAGAAGCGATGGAGAGCAAGGTTGTTTTATATATACACAAGATGCGTTTCGACCGTCACAGCCATAGCAGTACGAAGATAGATAGTCGAAGTCTTCCACCAATGCCCCGCACCTGGCAGCCCACCACAGGTAGTCAGGTATGCGATAAGTACACACGCGATAAGATAGAAGGCCGATAGGGGACTGACTTCCTAGAAACAGTATAGCGTCGAGGGAAGCGGCACCTCCGCGCCCCGGGATCTCAAGATTCGGACGGCTAGATTTACCTAAACAACTGAGCTGAGAAGAATCTCGGGTTGACCTACCTTCAGTATCATGGGGCTCAAACGCTCTGAATAACCATTTCAGATCACGGAGAGAAACAAAAGACTCTGACCGATATGAGAGCAGGTAGATGTGTAGATAGGTACAGCTTCGACTCGAAAGATGGTTATCAGAGCGACAGACAGAATTGTTTTCGTCATCGTCATCGAATTTAGACAAGAGAAGGCATCTCGGCGCGGTGTGTCTGCTGTCACGATCCAAGCGCCATGTGCGCCATATAATGTGACCGACCAGTTTTGTCGGCCGTCAATTATCGCGGTGTCGTGGGAACGAAAGCGTGAAAGAACAACATGGTCGGATCCGTAGGATGAGGTAAGTGCCTTGACGCTGCGACGCGTACCTTTCGGCCGAACCAATCGGCCGAAAATCCCCCTCTGGAAGCGGTTAGGATTCATCGCGACATTGATACGTCGACAGGCATCCCAGTTAGCACAGCCATCTTCTCTACGTTGCTATACCGCACCGCTGTAATTCCGTGTCGCATTAACGTGCCAAACGCGATGGAGCATGAACGCTCGCCTGAGGGCGATCTGGGTCCCGATCGGAAACGACGCCGTAAGGTCCTGTCGTGCTTGGATTGCCGAAGGAGGAAAGTTCAGTGTGACAGGGCTCTTCCAGTGTGTGGACGATGTGAGAAGGCTGGCAAGCCGTGCTCATACGAAGACGAGGGCCCTTCTCAGCAAGCTTCCATTGGACAGAGTGTTCCCTACATTGCAAGGCAACAGTCTGTTACCGTGAGTAGAGACGTCTGGGATGATATGTTCAACAAAGTCTTGCATCAGGAGCGTATGATCGAGCGATTGCAAGCTGCTCAAGCAAGTCCTGCAACCCCTGCAACAATGTCAATCGCGACACCTCAATTGCATGGAGTCGCTGATACACCAGGCGGTGCCAGCGATTCGGCTGCAAAGGAGAGAATACTGTTTCGAGGCAAAGGATTCAAAACTACGTTCTTTGGTCCATCTGACCCTAGAAGCGCGATGACACCTGTAAGTCAACTCTATTCCCCTCTCTCTTCTAGCGATTGTCGTCTATTATACTCTGTACTCAGTCGCATACTGACAGAGCGTCCTCATAGAGCGCTCATAGCTTCTTCCGTGAAGAGGTAGCACGCAACCCAGATCTCGTACGCTGCAGGAGAGATGTACACAAGTTACGAGCAGTCAAAAAGACACTGGATAGGCAAGAAGCGCGTTTGCCTCATAAGCCTCTCACGGAATACCTACCTGAACGAGTCAAGGTTAATCTGCTTGTCGGAATGTACTTCGAGAACGTCGACTGCACCTATGCAATTCTTCATCATCCCACTTTCCATCGAGAGTATGAAGAGATGTGGCGAGATCCGACCAAAGCAAAGCCTGGCTTCGTGGCCGTTGTACTCTTGATGATGGCTTGTTGTCAATGTGTTGTGCGAGAGAAACAACTTTTCTACAAGGCCGACAGTCCACTTCCCCGTGAGACAGCCATCGCGCTGATCCAGGTATGTGAGTCTTGGATCGGCAAGTCGAGCCCAAAGCACACTGATATGGCTTGGTTTCAAGTACAATGTCTGCTTCTCATCGCAAAACAGACTCAACAAATGAAGATGAAGAGACGCTGGGTTGATTCTGGCAATTTGTTGAGAATCGCCATATCCGCTGGCATGCACAGGGACCCCGAGTTGCTGCAGAAGAAGACACTGTCTTCTGTTTTTGAGCATGAGATGCGAAGAAGGATTTGGGCGTTCATCGTTGAGTGGGACCTACAGACATCTATCGACAGAGGCATGCCGGCGGTGTCGTTGGATATTGCAAGCGATATTGCTCCTCCTTCAAATTTGCACGACACAGATTTCGACGAATCCACCACCGATATACGGACATCTAGGCCTCTCACAGAGATGACAAAGATGACTTATATGTGTCTGTCAGCTCGAAGTCGAAGTCTAAGAAGGAAGATTATCACAATGTTCAATCAGCCTTTGCACCAGGTGTCATATGATGAGGTGTTGGCTTATACGCAAGAGCTCGAGCTTAGTCTGGCCTCGCTACCTGACTGGGTTGGAGACAGACTTCAAAATCTGACAGCACACGATCAAAGCATTGCGCTCCTGCATATTCAACTGGAGCAATTCCTACTCATCCTGCATGCACACGCAGCCCGCCAAGCAGTTACCAAAACACACATTAAATTCTCCAAGCAAGCTTTCAAATCTGCCGCTGTTTCTATTGTCAACAAAATATCCGAATTGTCGGCCAAAGGCTTCAGATTCTTGCTGATGGCACGGGCGGACGTACAGAGAGTGTTCACCAATACTTTGTCGCTGGGGAATACTGACGATAAGGAGATCTCGACACAAGACCTACGCAATCTGGTACAGCCAACTCTTGAACTTGCAGAGAAAGTCCTGTATCTCTTTGAAGACAAAATCTTACACACAGGCGGTATTCAGTGGACGCACGCCTTCATTGTGTACGACATGGTCCTATGCAGAATTGACCCGCTCGGTCGCAATATGCCGTCTCGACCTGGCAGTGACAGGGTGTACAATATCTGCAAGAAGATTGTGGACAGTCAAGACTCGGACTTCATGGCAAAGGCGGAACCCCTAAAGGACTCTGTACCGACTCCTAAAAGAAACAAGGCCCGATACGAGGAAGAGACGACCGTGTTCTCGGAGAAACTTGGCACGCAGCAGGTGACTCCTCTGAACGGAGACTTCGTGCCAGATCTTGGCTTCTCCGACATGCTCGACTGGAACTTTGATGATTGGATGTTATATACTGACATGCTCTGGTCGCCACAAAATATGCCTATACCGGCCTTGTCTGGGCAAGTGTCACATAGGTAGAGAGCAGTCCAGCTACCACAAATTTAAAGCTATCCTCATCAATGTGGAGACAACGCAATATCCATCTTTCGATATACATACATTGAGGTCACATTATGTCTCCTAATATCGAGCGCCAATCCAATGCATGGGCACCGTGTCTGTTGAGTATGACTCTATGTTGACCTTTGCATTTGATGGAATCCGCGCCGATAACGGCGTGTTATTGCGCTAACTGCACCAAGCCGCAAAAGTAGACAAAAGTCTGGTAACGAATTGTCGTGCAATTCGTCTACTATGCAGTTGACATATGTCAGAAATGACATCCTCCCCTACTAAAAGAGTCACTACAACCGCGTGGATCAAAATTAATCCCGAAGGGCGCACAACCTTTATAAAGGCCAGTTATGTACTACTTCGTATATTAGACTCCTAAGCGAGCTCTACGCTTAACCGGGGGTATAGAAAGGGCCGATTTAGTCCTTCAAATCGCCGTGTTATTCTGCGTAAACCTGTCGCTTACCGCCCGACTCGAGTACTGGCTTTTATTCGTCGGCAGACTAAGTCCCTGTTTGACAATTCGTTAGATGTTATTACGCTAACTGCACTAAGCCACAAAATTAGACAAAAGTCTAGTAACGAATCGTCGCGCAATTCGTCTACTGTGTAGTTGATATACGTCAGAAATGAGAGACGAAGTAATTTATGCTAGCTGGATGACCCTGTCTATGTTGATGCATCAGTATAATACGGTCATTACTGCCCAGGCGGTCTCTCGCAGTAGAACTTGATCATCGAGAGCACTGACTGGTGATCTTGGTATGTGTCCGATCCTGTTTTGGACCGTTATGGTTCTCGAATAGACGAAATAAGAAATGCTTCATTTTATCGTCGGACAGTGATTTAATCAAGTACAATCCTGTGTTCGTGTTAATAGTACGGCTAGAACATCCCTGCGCAAGATTTAGAGAGAATGATACTCTACGGACTGATGTCATGTTTTGCGTATAGATACTGACACGTTTCGGAGAAATGTGACAGAACTGTGTGGGAAGACAGGCTAGGGAAACGTGACCGGGGATATATCGGCAATCGAACGAATCCGCTTCTACACAATAGCCGCAGCCAGACCAGCGACAAGAAGCGCAACACAATCATTTTGTCGTTATACGCATGGCATGGCACAGGGCACCCAAGAAAGTCTGGAGGGAGTACTCCAAGAAGGCTCCTAGTGACTACCAGGATGATGAAACGGTGGTCAAAAGTACACTCTCGACTGGGCTCCGCACCAATACCTGCTGCTGGACTTCGATAGGTTGGTTACTGAGCACATTTGACTTTTGCACCGACCTGTCGACGGAGTCAGTCGTGTGAGACTATTGGATGTACTGATCCAGAGAGGTAGGAGTGCGCTCTAGGAGTGATCTTCATGATATAAGGACCAGGACAGTGCCTTGTTAGGCTACGCATACTCGTAGCTCGAGGCCGCTTTGTAGGCCGCTTTATTAACATCTAGGCAACGGACTGCAGAATATGACTCGGACTGGAGAGCTGATACCGGCTAATGTAGCACAGAGAGTGGCAGGCTTCGGCCATCTACATTTCCCTGTCGACGAGCATACCTTTGCTCCCAGATACGCCAAGACAGCATCGTCTCAGGTTTTTGTTGGCAACGGAAAGCCAACGGTTTCCCTGGGCTGAAGGAAACGCATCGAGAGAGCCCCCACCCTCTCAGCTTCGACGCTTCGACGCGTCTGCTCTTTCTCTATCCCACGACCAACTTTTGCCAACCACACGAACAACACATATAATACGCCCAGACACGCGTCAAATCGGTCGCGTCCCACCAAACAACCCAACAAGACACTCGAAAGGATAAAAAAGCAGACATGCCTGGTGGAAAGGGTACGGACGCCCCATGCTCACATCGCGTGTTGTAGATGAAAGAGCTATCTTTTGCTGACGAGAGCTTTCCACCTACAGGAAAGACTGGCGGCAAGACCGGTGGCAAGGCAGGCGATTCTAGCAAGACGCAAAAATCGCACTCGGCAAAGGCCGGCCTGCAGGTATGTCACTGCCTCCTCTGTCCAAAAGCCCCCCCCAACAACGCGTCGCGCTTTACTAACTCCGGCATCGTTTTACAGTTCCCCTGCGGTCGTGTCAAGCGTTTCCTCAAGTCGCACTCGCAAAACAAGATGCGTGTCGCCGCAAAGGCAGCCGTCTACGTCACCGCCGTCCTCGAATACCTGACTGCCGAAGTGCTCGAGCTTGCCGGCAACGCCGCAAAAGATCTCAAGGTCAAGCGCATCACGCCTCGCCACTTGCAGCTCGCCATCCGTGGTGATGAGGAGCTCGACACCCTTATCCGCGCCACCATCGCCTTTGGTGGTGTCCTTCCATCCATCAACCGCGCTCTGCTGCTCAAGGTCGAACAGAAGAAGGGAAAGAAGGACGTTGCATAGGTTCTGACATGGGTCAACAACAACACTGATTATCGAATCATGTGTCGCACTGTCTTGCTTTTTGGGCTTTGGAATTGACGACTGGCTTTTATGGGTTTCATTTTTTTGGTGGTTGTTCTGGCTTCTTCACTCCGCGCACACCTCTCCTCCCTCCAGATTCCTCGCCTCTCTGCTTCTTCAGAGACGCCAATAGAGCTGAGACGGGATGCGCAAGGTGTGTCTTGCCAGGCTGCTCTCTTTGTTCACGTTTTATATCTCGGCGCCGGCAGGAAACAGGCACGGCGGCCTGCAAACCATGAGAGTTGATGTAGCACTAGTTGTTGCATGAGTCCGAAGTATTCGTATTTTGTTTCTATACCCTTAATCTCTTTTCAACAATAACTCTCATTGCTTCTGTTGTAGAGCATTGTCCCAACTTCCCAACCACCTCCACGACCTGACGACCTTGTCCAGACCGGTCAGTGTATCGTCGACGGCAGTCTGCCCTCGTTTGCCCGAGAACTCGACAAAGAACATGTAATGCCATGGTGCCTCTCCGCTTGGTCGAGGGTTGATGCTAGTCAAGTTGATGCCGTGTGTCTTGAAGACGGCCAATGCATCAGCAAGTGCGCCCGCATTTGTATGAGAGACAGTAAAGGAGAGCAGCGACTTGTACGCTTGAGCTTGCTCTTGTCCGTTTTCTTTGCCAAAAGAAGGTGACGTGTCCTCGAGGCTTCTTCTCCTCAGGATCAAAAAGCGCGTCGCGTTATCCTTTTCGTCTTCTATGTCACGAGCCAGGAAATCCAAACCAGTCATTTGTGCAGCGATACCACTGCTGATGGCTGCTGTCGTGTTGGTTTCGTCGGCTGCTACGAGCTCTGCTGCTCGGGATGTAGATGAGACATCCTGTCTTTCGACGCCTTTGAGATAGCATGACAAGAATGTCTTGCACTGACCCCATGCTTGTGGATGCGAGTACAGCTTCTTGATATGCGAGAGCGAAGTCAATGGAGCCGCACGTGAGTTGCTAGGGGTAGGATTGCCGGGTATAGGTGTAGCATGACCAGAGCTGCTCGGACTCTTTGTTTCGTCCGGGACTGCCTTGGTTTGTCCTGTTGCGTGTCCTTGAGTAGCGGCTGCGGGACGACCAAGTAAGCAGTGATGTACTTCAACATACCGCTCACCACAAACCACGATATCCGGGTGCTTTGCATTTTGATCGGCGAAAAGGTCCAGTGTAAAGACCACAGATCCATTGGTCGAGTTTTCGAACGGGACAACACCAAAATCGGCCTTTCCAGATTGTACCTGGCTGAAGACATCCTCAATTGTGGTTTGTGGCGAGAACGTATAGTTGTCCGAATTAAAAGCACTCAAGGTTGCCTATTTCCAAGTGTAAGCTTCGAACATCCTGAACGTAATGGAAACCCGATGATGAATATGGTATTGAAATTGTCCGATGACGGTGTGGGAGCATGCTTAGTGCAAGATGTATCATATCTCAAAGACTGTGCTCCAACAGGTCTGTTCGCGAGAGCCAGTCAGAGGTAACATATCTTACCTGATGGGTATACGATGCTTTTGGGCCTAGATAGGCGATTTGCTCGCATGACTGCATCTCTGCACGTATGCAGTTGTTTGATTTTCCGATCGTTGTCAAGTTCAATTGAGCATTTCCAATGCAGATTCAGAGGTCGAGAACAGTAATTGATACAAAAATCGTAGGTTTGTAGGTATAGCAATAGTTGGTGATGACCACGCCGAGGTCGGCTTTTTGGAAGTTGCTGTTGGAAGCTTCTTGCCGTCCCGCGGTGATCGTCCCTTACGAACGGTCAAAAAAAAACATAACAGTCAACATAAAATGCACGAATGTATCGTGCTCTCATTGTATGCTATAGTATTACAACGACTGGTCATGACGTGGTCCAGGATGCTAAGTAACAAAACTACAAGTAGAGACCCTCAGGCTCGCCCTCGCTCTTGGTCTTGAGCACGCTCTCTCTTGCTTGTCTGAAGTCGGCCATGTTCACTCTCATTCTGCGCTCTCTCAATGCCATGAGACCAGCTTCACTACACATAGCACGGATGTCAGCACCTGAAAGGTCGTCCTTCTGGTTGATGAACTCTTCGAGTTCAACGTCTTCTGCCAAAGACATCTTGGATGTGTGAAGGGTGAAAATCTTGCGCTTGGTGTTTTCTGCATATGACAATTAGCTTCAAGTGTGAATGCAATGATGTTGAGCTAACCTACGGTCGGGGTTCTCGAAGAGAATCTTGCGATCAATACGACCAGGTCTGATAAGGGCAGGATCCAGCGTCTCAATCTTGTTAGTGGCCATGATGACCTTGACATCACCACGATCATCGAAACCGTCGAGCTGGTTCAAAAGCTCAAGCATAGTACGTTGAATTTCACGCTCACCACCTGAGGTGGATTCGTAACGCTTGGTACCGACGGCATCAATCTCGTCAATGAAGACGATACTCGGGGCATGTTCAGCGGCAACCTGGAAGAGCTGTCTGACAAGTCTGGGACCGTCACCCAAGTATTTCTGAATCAGTTCACTACCGACGATGCGGAGGAAAGTAGCACTGGTTTGGTTTGCGACGGCCTTTGCGAGCAGTGTCTTTCCTGTACCGGGGGCACCGTAGAGAATGACACCCTTTGGTGGCTTGATGCCCATCTCCTCGTAAAGCTCGGGGTGGAGCAGGGGCAGTTCGACGGCTTCGCGGACTTCTTGAATCTGTTGTTCCAAACCACCAATGTCGGCGTATGATTCAGTAGGGGCTTTGTCGAGCTTCATGACCGAAACCAGAGGGTCGGCATCGTCTGTCAATACACCAACGACGGAGACGGACTTGTGATGCAAGAGAACACTTGCGCCGGGCTCGAGCAGGTCCTTGTCGACAAAGGACATGATGCTGACATAGTATTCAGGACCGGTGGCAGATGAAACGATGGCGTGATCGTCGTCGATAAGCTCTTCGAGGTTGCCGACGCCCATGGGGCTGCCTCTCATGTCATCAACGCGGCTTCTCTCGTCGGCATTGCGGTCCGGGTCGGCGTCAGCACCGGCGGAAGAAGGCTGCTTGTCATCTGCAGCTCTGGCCTTGCGCAGTCTTTCTTGGTTCTCGACGTATTCCTCCTCTAGTAACAAGTGATCGTGAATGCGCTGCATGCGCAGGTATCGGAGCTTGCAGCGGGCGGTAGGGTAGATGTTGGGGAGTTTGGCGGCGGCGTTCGGACCGGCCTGCTTTCTCTTCTTGCGGCCGATGCGAGTGGTGGGCTGTGGCGGGGGCTCGTACTTGGGCTTGTCCTTCTACACAGAGTAAGCAGGGGTTGAGTGGTGTTAGGTGGAGGCAAACATACCTTGGGATCCTTCTTATCCTTGTTGTCGCCTCCCTGACCGGGAGGGCCACCTCCAAGGCCAGATTGGTTGGCGCCCTATATGACGATCAGTATGATGTGGATGAGTGGGCGGCAAGACGAAGGCGTACCATGATTGATGTGGAAAGCTGTAGTAGCTGGGGCGCGGCGAGAGACGACTATGCTTTGCTCCGGGGAAAGAGGTCGACAGCGGCGTCAGACCTGGGCGGAAGAGTCTGTGCGAAGACAGAGATGTGAGTTGACGAGTGGTGTAGATGGATGGCGGATGGCGGATGGCGGATGGAAGAGGCACGCGGTGGTGGCAGCTGGAGACGGAGGCCCTGGTCGATTGTTCGGCGATGATGCATCAGCGTGGTCCAAGCTTGAGTGTTGTAGCAATGACATGTGCCTCGATTCCACCACAACGACAAGTGTGCGACCGCCGACCGGCTCTGGAATAGTCGTAATTCTCTTTTGATCCAACCAATACACGCCTCCGACCGAACGACCCGCTGCCTCGGCTCCGTCCTCACTGCTTGCAACCAATTTCGCCTTATATACCCTCGCTTCCGTCCTTCACTCGGCTCCGGACTCGAACTAGACTCTACATCTGGCCCGTCCACACTCTCTGCTCACAACAACTGTGCTCTCTACTTGAAGTAGACAACCATGGCGGCAAACAGAAACCGCCGTCTTGCCAAAGAAATCCAGGACGTCCAAAAGGATACGCACTCCGGTGTCTCGCTCGAGCCGCTGAACAAGGCCCAAACCGGCTCCGACACTCTTGATGACTTGACACATTTCAAGGGTGTCTTCCGCGGTCCACCAGACACTCCCTATCATGGCGCCATCTACCATGTCGACATCAAAATCCCGAACGACTATCCCTTCCAGCCACCTGTCATGAAGTTTACCACAAAGATCTGGCACCCAAACATCTCCAGTGTGACCGTGTGTCAACCTGCCCGCATCTCACACCGCCACTTCTTGCTAACCCAGCACTCAGGGTGCCATCTGTCTCGATACCTTAGGCTCGGCCTGGTCTCCTGTCCTCACCCTCAAGTCCGCCCTCATCTCTCTCCAGTCACTACTATCTTCGCCCGAACCAAAAGATCCACAAGACGCCGAAGTTGCTCGCATGCTCATCACAAATCCAAAAGAGTTTGAACACGTCGCTCGTGAATGGGCAATCAAGTACGCCGGTGCTCCTGAAGCTTGTCCAGGCTCTGAAGGCACCGGCGCAGAGGGAAGTGGAGGTGTGACCGAGGAGTCCCTCAAGAACAAGGACGATCAGAGACGAGACAAGGCAGAAGCCGCAAAGCTTGCTCAGTACGCTTCTATACAAGTTCTGCTTGACTTCGGCTAACACGTGCTGCAGATATCACGGCTACAACAAATCTCTGGTAGATCGCTTCTCCGCCATGGGCTTCGATGTCCCAACCGTGGTTGCCGCCTTTGAGTTCACTGGTATTGACAAGAACGACGGCGAGGACTACGAGCTCGAAGAAGAGTACATGGGCGACATTACCGCAAGGCTGTTTGGCGAAGCGTGATTTCTTCTTGCTTTCCTCGATTTTTGTCTCTGGCCCCCTCCTTAACACACCATGTCATTGTGAAAAATGCAGGTTACGCGAAACACGACATTACGATACTGTACCATTCCGAGCATGGAGCACTGCTTTGGGCCCACTAGCTTTTTTCCCCTATCACTATCAAATAGGTACATATTCCTTCACAGATGGCAATTTCAAATCCTTATACGACCTCACCCTCTTTCCCGTTCACTGCAGAGATGAAGACTAGAAGAGAGAAAAAGAAACATGGTTCTGATAGCCCCATTAATGTACATGTTGATTCCTTCTAGCAAGGCCGTCGTTTCTTCTTGACATGTACTCCATATTCGGTTGATGGAGTTGGTCCTCTTGCGTTGATGATTCGCAAAGTAGATTTACGATGACGCTATCGCGCAAACACCTTTACCACTCCGTCGCCTCCTGCGCTGACAACGTATCTTCCGTCCTGGCTCCATACCACGCTGCAAACACCCTCGCCCCTCATGGGTCGATGCGACGTGATGTCCTGCGTGCACTGTCTCTTCTCAAGCGACCAGAATCGAATGGATGCGTCGTGACCTGCCGAAACCGCTTCCCGTCCATCCTTTGATAACGAGAGCGATGAGATGGCCGACGGGTGCGCAAGCATCGTGTAGGTACATTGCCCTAATATCGGTTAGCATGATTATCTCTACCATGTCATGGCAAAGAAGACTTACCGCTGTTGGCATCGAAGAACCTGATGTATCGGTCTTCGTGGCCACTGACAATCACACCTTCGACACCTTGAGCCGAGCCAGTCGGTCCAGCGCCAACAGACTCCTCCTGATCTGCCCTCTCCATATACGAGGATCCTGTTTCCAGGCCAAGAGAGGCACTGCTAGTGGCAACAACGGCGTTTATACTGGTAGCCAACGTTCCATCGTAAGTCTCATTACTGGCCATTCCAATAATCTCTTCGCCGGTCCGCGTGTCGAAGAGAAGGACGCTCGAATCGGTATATGAAACAACAAAATTCTCACCCGACGGACTAAGAGGAGAAATGCAAGTAGGTGTTGCCCCAGAAGCAGACTCGCGCTGAATGCTATGAACAAGCGTGTAATGGAAAGGTGTAGTCGTAGCCACGTTGGGCTGAGGAGAACTTGGATGGTTGCTGCCAGATGTGACGGAATGGCGACGGCTTCCACCACGTCGCGAACCTGCTTGTGGAGAGACCAGTTGAGGAGGAGCACTGACTGACCAGATTTTGACAGTGCCGTCTGCAGAACCCGTGGCAAGTAAGATGCGATCGGGACCACCAAAATTCGAGCTTTGAGAACCAAAGACAGACGCTACAGTGCCTGGTAACAGGCAGACGGTCCAGACGGCGTCCGTGTGGCCTTCCAAAGTAGCCTTCGGGTCAACTCGCCCACGTTCCCACACACGCACTGTGGCATCTTGACCACCCGAAAAGATCCAGCCATCTCCAGACACACGGCCACCGGTGGAGAAACTCGTCGAAGGACATGCGGCAAGAGAGGTGACGATTCCATCGTGACCGCGGTGAGTGAAGTAACAAGCAATATCCAGATCGTTAGTCGCAGGGTTCTGGAAATTGCTGTAGCTAGCGGGTATGATCCAGCGTTTAATAGTACCATCATCGCCGGCAGTGCAGATCTCAGGTTCTGATGGGCTGCCGCCGCCGGTAAAGATGACAGAGCGAACAACGTCAAGATGGCCACGCAGAGCAAATTTCACCTTGAACTGAGTAGGATCTGTCTTTGCAGGGAGTTCCGCACCACTGTCATGGAGATCATGAGAGCCAGAACTTCTTCTCCTGGCCATGCCCTGCGAGCCTGAGGATCTGCGACGGCCTGACCCAGTGCGGGGAGGCGATTTCGAGGGAGGATTTGCTGCACTTGGGAACAGATCGGTGTCCGGCCTTCGGGGAGGCTGAGGCAGATCGGCAGGAGATTGTTCGGGCTGGGGTTGTTGGTCATCGAAGTTCCAGCCATCGGCCGAAGAGTCCTGGGTAACGATGGATCGAGGAGCAGCATCCGGAGTCGGGGCAACAGGGCGGCCATAGGAGTCGTAATAATGTGTAACCTGCTCTACAGGCTCGTCCAGAGATATAGATTGAGCCTGTGGGGGTGGAGGCAGAGTCTGAGTAGGAGGTTGTGCGGGTGGCATGGACAGAGCAAGATGACGTTTCTGGTCCTCGGCAGAAAGATTGACCGGATGTTGCAATTGGACATGGCCGGAGGGAGGGTACGGCCTCTGAGCACGGCGCAGATAGAGATCATCAAGCGAGACCGGAGGATCCGGCAGACCAGTATACGGAGCTGCAGGGTTCTGCATAGACATGTGCGGCGGTGGAGGGTGCGGCGGAGGAGTCAGTAGATACTGCACTTCGTTAAGACAACGATCAAGGAACTTCTTCGACTTGTCCCGGTATTGCTGCTTGTCAGGCGTTGTATCGAGGAAGGAGTTGTGCACGTCGTGGGATGCTGAACATGACGGATTAGCTGGGAGAGTTTGAGCAAGTCGAGTGAGTATAGACTGACGTCTGGCAGAGTGCAAGGTAGCAGCGTCTGGCTGGAGGGGCGCATTGGGGTCGCTGCCCTTTTTCTTGCGTTCCTGCCTGAGTGCGCTCTCGAGCATGCGCACTTGTCGTTCGAGCTGCTCATTGATTCTCTTTGCATGGCGGCACTCGCCCTCGTGCTTTGCAATCTTTGCCTTCATCTCTGCTCGTTCGATATCCCATGCGTTTCGGGCTCGCTCGTGGTTGTGCCATTCGATCTGGAGGAAGCGCATAACGCCTTGTTTGCGAGTGTCAGCCGGGGCCTGGCAGGTCGTCGGCCGAGGAGCTTAGACATACCCTGTAGCGTGTACTCTGCACCTTGAGGGCCATGATGGTCATTTGCTTGGGCGGCATTTGCGGCGTTGTTGAGCATGCCGCCCGTTTGTTGGTATGCCATGGCGATCGGTCTCGTGCTGCGTCGAGCGCGCTCTCTGTCTTTCTCTCTCCGTCTCTCTCGTGGTCGCGCTCTCCTGCTCGGTCGGAAATACTCTTCAGCACGTCTGGAGCATTGGCAGGTTGGACTTGTTGCCTGGCGTTTGCCTTGGCTTAGCTCTCAGGTCGAGTCTTGATTTGTTGTGCAATGGCATCCATCACCCAAAGGTACTTAACACATGCTCCCCAAAGCACAGAGCACGCACGTCCACAAAGCACATCGGCTAAACTCCACCCTCCTCTCCGCAACAATTCACCCCCCCTAATTTCTTGTTTCTATCAAGCACGCTCTTATCGCATACCGTGCACGTCCAAATAGTGCAAGCATCCCGGATCTCAAATGGTACATGTCGTGCATCTCGCTCTTCTCTGTGACGAATGCGGCGACATCGAGCTGTAAAAAGGCACAGCGCTTTTCTAGCTCGAGAGAGCTAGTAAAAAGAGTCGATGAGACGAGCATCCCCGTAGACATCACTGTATTTCATGAAAAGCACTGTGCCTTCAGACAGTTGGAAGTGTGACGACTGCAGCGCATAGGGAGGATGAGATGTTGCAAGCATCCTCCCAGTTCTGTAACATTCGCTCTCCTCGTCATGATGTGCGGCAGCATTGAGCTGCGAAAAGACACAGTTAGTTTTCAGATCGAGGGAGCCAGCGAAGGAGTCGATGAGACGAATTGTCTCCGTGGACATCACTGCAACCCCTGAAAAGTGTTGGGCCTTCAGACAGCTAGATGTGTAACATAGTTCAGCGCACGAGGGAGACGCTCGTTGTTCGTTTGAACGTGAATAACCATCAATGCCTTGATTGACCACTTTTCTACCTAAACGTACATTTACGACTATGTGCAGTCTTTTGTGATGCTCTCTACTCCTCCTTAGCACCACCACGGCCGGCCTTCTCGGCAGCCTCGATGCTCTTCTTGTCGGTCTTGATATCACCAGCACCTTGCATTCCCATGAAACCACCAGCTGCCTTCCAGGGTCTCTTGAGCTCGCCGACGGCAGGCTGTCCGAACAAGTGGACCTTGATCAGGTTACCCTCGAAGGCGCCCTTGAGAGGAATTATGGACTGGATGAGAAGAGGGTTGGTGTACTGGAAGTAAAGGTGCATGACAGCCATCATGCCAACACCCATGACCTGGCTCTTGAACAGGCCACGAACCTGCTGAGTGTCGTAGGCGTGGACGGTGGTGGTGACGGGCTTGGGCTCCTCGGTCGATCCCATGGGTGCGGGCTCGACGTACTTGATAACGGTAAGATCTGCCAGTCGGGTTAGCTCGCTTCTTGCTGTCGCCAGGTCCACTCGCGACTCACCCTTCTTCTTGTTGATCTGTGCCTGGACGTAGAGGTAGATGCCGGCAATGATAAGGTTGGATACGATGTACAATGCGCGAACTCCCATCAAGACGTTGGGGTCCTCGAAAGGCACTTTCTTGGAAACCTGCATCATGAACCTGTCACCGAGTCAGTGTCGCGTCCAGATGCATCACAGACGTGTCGCGTGCGTACAAGATGATGACCAGGTTGGTCACTTGAGGGTTAAGAGCCATCTTGTCGGTGTTCTTGCGGTGTTGCAGTTTGACGGATTGGCAGTGATCGGTTGGTAGATGGAGGGCTGGGGAAGAAAGAGCGATGGCGGATTCCTTATGAACACGTCGGTTCTTGCCGCTTTCGTGGTTAGTGGGGCTGGACCCTATCCAATTTCTGGCCCGCCTTCCAAGCACTTCTATCTGCCTCTCTTTCGTGTTATAGCCATAGAAGGTCAACATCACTTGTTTTCATATCCACGTTTCGTCTAAGCAAGATTTCTGTTACTACCTCAACAGTTGACTATGAACATTGCCTGCCCTCCCCTTCACGTCCAAGTAAGTGATGCTCAGAACAGTTCCTGCCAGATCATCACAGGACCATCACCATCACCATCACGACGCCAACTACCAGTGACCAGTATTCTGAACTGCTAACAGTCTTGAACCCTGTGTTTGATGCGAGAAGAGTTGGGGAGCTTGGGGTTCTTGTGGCTGTAATGGAAGCTGTCGCTAGCGAGCTCACTGCACCCCTTGTTGAGCTTGGTGTAATAATGCTGGTGGTTGTGTTTGACGACGATGTTCCATTAAAACCAACACCGCTTCCAACAACACTTACCCCATCGGCACCCAACAGATTGAACTCGGCTACTGTAGCGCCCAACTCGTCTCCTGTCGCCCGACACCCACTGATCTCGAGTGTGACATATTGACCAGACCAGATGGGGGTGGAGAAGCTGAAGTACGACATGTTGCCCACGTACTCCTGAACAACGTCGTTGGTAGCAGCATTGTATGGCATCGAGATCTCAATGTCAGAGAAGGTTGCTGTTGTGATCTCTGTGGAGCTGCTGTTGGACACACTCGTCGAGTTGTAGACGAGGACGCGAGCCCCAGTTGGTGGGCGGCTACCCCAATCAAACGATACACCAGTCAATGGCTGATAATCTACATCCCGCATGTCAACTGTCAGAGATGCAGGCTGACGACTGCTGGGCTGCCAACGAGTACTGGCCGCTCCATCGACAGCTGCGAGTGGGAATTGTCCTGGTTGGAACGTTCCTTCCGAAGTAACCGGCAAGCACTGGACAAGGTTCCCTGCCGTGTTGAGGTTGTCGAAGTATACACGGTTCTCAATTGTAATTGTTTGTCCGAGTGCGATGCTGATGTTGCGGCCTTCATCGAGAGAGAAGCCGATAGCAATTGGCATCGACTGGTTCGTGTAGATGTCGCTACTGTTTGGTGGTAGAGATGCCGATACATCTGTTCGAGTTATGTTCGTGTGCGTGTTGTTCATCGTCGCCTTTATTCCTGCTCCGCCGAAGATGATAGTTCGGAGACTGACATAAGGAATCTGAGGAGGTAAAGCTGGCTGAAGGATGAGTTGCTCTTCTACCACTCGAGCACCTAGCCAGCCCATAGGTCCAACCTGATGCCATCCACCTGCTCCAGTCATGAAAGGAAATGCTGGGTTCGTGCCGCCGTTGGTGGTGAAATTGTCAACCTGTTGTTCAGAGAATTGGTACCAGGGCGCACGTGTGTATGCTTTGAATCCGTTCAGAGCGTAAGTAAACGAAGAGCATCCCGCTGGAGAGAGAGCATTGGCTGATATTGAGTACAGACTGTACGTCATCGCAGGTCCATCGGGGGACTGCTTTACAGCGTACTGTTTCTTGTTAGTCTCTTCCCAGCTTATGCGCCACGTAGGGAGAAAGGTTACTCACGTAGTCTAAGGAGGCAAGCTTGTCTTCCCTGGTGTAATTCTCGGAGCTATAGTCCAGAGGGTAGTTGATCAGATCAACGTCGTCTTGTTTGATGACCGCTGTATTGTTCGCACCACGGAACTCTGTCAGCAGACCAGATGGTGCGAAAGGCAAGGCTACATTCCCAGCAATCGATGACCAGTTGGCTTCAAGATCCAGCGAGAACTCTTCAGAATATCCTTGGGTCCACTCAATTATCTTGGCGACCGAAGCAAGTGTGTAAGCACCGTCAGGAACCTGGTTTGCGTACTCTGTAGATACGTTAGCTCGTCATCGCATACACAGCCCAAACTGACACCTACCATCTGGATCAGTTAGATTGGCGATAGAATAGCCATCAACCGTCTGGTTGTATTCGACAAGCTCAGAGAACATTTGGACAATTGCATCATTGACGGGGATTGCCTGGTTCTTGAACCAACTGTCGTCTCCGGTAACTCTCCAGTACAGCAAGTTGTTCAGGAAGATATCACTGTTCAGATGGTACTGATAATCAACACAAGGTCCTGTACCAGTGCAGTTACCGTAGCGACCACTCGTCCAAGGATAAATTATTGCCTCGCTTGAGAAGTCGTTCTCTTGAGCGTTGATAGCTGCTTGCGGCGATAGCATCACACGGTATTTTGGGATTTGGGCGGCAAATTTGGGGTGCGACACGGAAACACCTGGTGACATGAAGATATCGGCATCCCAGAAGACGAGTCCGGCATAAGAATCCGAGCCAAGTCCTCCCACACTGATGGACCAGTGATTGAGATCACTGCCATCTTCAGGGAGGAGATTCTGTAGGAGGTAATGAACATTCGCCTTGGAGATGATCTGCATGTCGACCACGTTCTGATCATCTGGAAGGGAGCCGTCGGGAAGAGTATAGTCATCAACCATATCGTCTGTGAGTATCTCGGCCCATGCTTGCGAGCTACCTCTGAACAGCTCGTCAAAACCAGTCTCAGCAGCACTCAGCGATGCATTCTGAGCAACAGATTGGGGGTTGCTAAACCCATCAGAAGATGCAATACCAACAAATTTCGAAACGGTCACCGTAGTGCCAGCTTCCAGAGCAACATTCCAAGACTGACCAATGGTACTATCATTGGATGGGAGATAGAAGTTGGAAGAAGCGTTCAAACGAGACGCTACATCAAGGCCTTGTCCCTCTACGGTTGAGAAGATCCACGCTGTGATGTTTCCCAGCCAGTGCGGCGATACTGCAGAATATATAGTACTAGAGTTGTCGATTGTGCCCGTGGCGTGAGGATCTGATCGAACAGCGCCTCTTCCATCAATCAAGTCGGTAATCGTAACGTTGATGGAGGATGAAGATGTCATGGACAACCTGATCGCAGCTACGTTAGGCTGAGATCGGTCCATGAACATCTCATACGAGATGGACAAGTTGGTGCTCGAGCTTGGGGACCATGTGTAGTTCCACGTCTGTAGTCCGTTCTTCAGCGATCTGGTGGACTCGAAATTGGAGATGGTGGAGCTATTCACGGATGCATTCAGAATAGAGCCCTCGACTTCGAGGATGAGGTTCGGCCAGTTCGGTATGCCCGCAATCACACTCTCTCCGCCATTGAGAAGTAACTCTGGAAAATTCGTTCTTGTGGTGTTCTTCTGAGAATTGAAGAAGCCTGAAACAGTGCAGAAGGCTTGTCTGGGATTGTCCAAAGGCCAGCCGTTGATGGGAAGGTTGCCGCCATCGGGGTTCGTCAAGTTGACGTCTGCCTCAAAGAACGGGCCAGCAGCGGCGAGTGCGCAACCTATGTATCTGGACTCAAATCAGACATGGTTCACTCCATTCGCGATAATATGATCGACATACCCATTACCCATCGGCGCACGTGACTGATACTGGCCTTGCAGCAGGCTATCTGTCTTCAACTCCCACAAATCATTGTCCCAGGTGGTGAAAGTCGAAGGAATGGAGAAATCAGCATATTGCGCCGAGCAGTATGGCAGGACAGCTAGCAAGCCAGGTAGCCAAGCATGTAACCTGGCCATTTTGAAGAAAGAATGTGATGGTTCAGAGAGTTTCGAGACAGGCCGTTCTTATATCGAGACATTCATGCATCCATTGTGCCAATCGATTGCGGGGTACGTCATGGGCCGCTTGGCTCTCCAGAGAACGGAACGACGATGTGGAGAAAGAACACCCGTTTGCTGTCTCGGTTGGCCTGAGCTTTACAAACTCTCACCCTCGTATCCTTGCCAGGGACATCGGCATTCCCGGCATCGGAGCCAAATCACACGATATGTACTGTACAGCCGATCCCGACAGGAATCAGATCAGTGTCGCGAGTTCTGCAAGCCACATTTCTGGCAGGATGTCATGGATGGAGCATGAGCAGGCGACCAGTCCGTGTCAACCCCTCACTCGTCGAACGGCTGGGAGAAGCTTAGAACCTGGTCTGAGCCCATCACAACCAGCCTGTTCCTCATGTCGTCCGCCAAAGCAGAGGCTTGTTGACCGTCCGCTTCACCTTGTATACCGCTGAAGTCACAGCGTCCGACCCAAGTCCCCACGCCATGTTGTAAGACGTTACGCGCTCTAGCAGGATCGGCCCCTGCGATACCCATGGATCCATGAAGAGTCATTCGTTCTGCTGAGCTACGATACACGCCGCGGTGCAGGATGTTGTTGTTGTAGAATATGATATCTCCAGGGTTCATCTTCACAGCCTTTTGCCCTGGCATTTCGTCTTCGAAGGGGTCCGCACACCGTTCTTCTTCTGTCCTTGCACGCAGATGTGAGCCCGGAACCACAATCAAAGATTCATCAGGATATAGAGCCAAGTTCCATTGAGCGTGAAGCATAGGCTCTCGCAGGCGGTCCAGCTCTTCTTGAGCCGACACTTCCGGGCCTATATCGTCTCGATGCCATCGAAGAGCGAAGTCTACATCAGGTCGAACCAAAAGATTGTATAACTCAAGCACCAGATCGTTAGCACAGCATTGGAGGAGATCTGTCACAGCCGCAATGATGTAGGGCGCGAAGTACGAGGCGGCAAATGTATCGTGATGAGGGAGGTCTGGATGCATGAGATGTTGCACGCCCCATATGCCGTTCGAGACGTCCGAGTTCCAAGGTGGAAACTGCTTTGGAAGAGTCCTGACAAAAGGCCACTTGCCTGCACGTCCCAAGTGAGCGACATCTTGACAAGCAGTCCTCAAGGCATCAATCTCATCTTGCGAGAGGGCCGACGGGATCCTGACGAAGCCGTCTCGTTCTAGATGATCACGCAAGTCTGATGGCATTGCATAAAGTAAAGGGTCATGAAACCGAGTTTGGGATAAAAGCCGCGGAAGTTAGTACAAGGTGCAGGACTGAGGTGAACTCAAGGTCACCTGAACCTATAGCTATTTATGTTGAGAATCTTCTTGTCGGCCAATGTCCCTCGCCGAAGCTAGCGTTTCGAACTTGTTATCTTCGAATGATCATCTGCATAACATTTTTCAGAGATGTACAGTCAGATAGACAACCTCCATCTAGTGTTCATTTATACAGATAATACAGCCAGCAGGTTCTTGATCGCCGAGTGGATCACAGACTTATTGAGTATATACTAGAAGAGAGACAGGGTGTGACCACCAACCAGCCCCAAGGGAAGCTTCGACCGTCATACTCCTTGATTCGCGATTGCGACACAACAAAGATCATACCTTGCGCCTCGACCACTTCCCAAACGTCCGACAACGCCTTACTGCTCTTCGGGAGACCTCTTTATTATATATCCGATACCACTCCCATATCTGAGCTGCTGGCGGCTCCGTAGCAGTCATGGACGCGTTTCAAGCGATCTCTGGCTACGTTACCAAGATGGTATCGACCGGAGATGGCGCCACTGGCTCGAATGCCGCCAAAATGAAGATACTGCTTCTGGACAACGATACTGTTAGTAACTCACATGTTTCCGACCATCAGTGACTGATGTTTGCCCCAGGTCTCGGTCGTCTCATCAGCAACGACACAATCAGCTCTCCTAAACCACCAAGTCTATCTGACCGATCGCCTCGACAACCAGAACAGAGAGAAGATGCGCCATCTTCGCTGCCTTTGTTTTGTGCGTCCATCTCCTGACACTATCCAATTCTTGATAGACGAGTTCCGCGAACCAAGATACGGCGAATACCACATCTGTATGCTCGGCCTTCCTCAGCTGCATGGAATGATCTTCTGACTGATACAAGGCCAGACTTTAGCAACATAGTCAAAAAGTCGTCTCTCGAACGTCTTGCCGAAGCAGATGACCACGAGGTTGTAAAAGCTGTCCATGAATGTTTCGCCGACTACTTGGTTGTCAATCCAGACCTTACCTCACTCGCCCTCGAACACCGCCTCTGGAGCTCAAGTCCCGACATGTGGAACCAAGATTCCCTCGCAAGAGCCACAGATGGTGTCATTGCTCTGCTGTTGTCGCTCAAGAAGCGACCCATGATTCGATTCCAGAAGAACAGTCTACTTGCGAAAAAGCTAGCGACAGAAGTCCGCTACCAGATGACTCAAGAAGAACAGCTTTTCGACTTTCGAAAGACTGATACAGCCCCTATACTCCTGATCGTTGATCGAAGAGACGACCCTGTCACTCCATTGTTGACTCAATGGACATATCAAGCAATGGTGCACGAGCTTCTGGGTATAAAGAATGGTAGAGTGGACCTCAGTCATGTACCGGACGTTCGACCAGAATTCAAGGTGTGTATTTTCACTCAATATCATACTGATGAACTTGCTGAACTTCTTAGGAAATCTTCATCAGCCAAGACCAAGATCCGTTCTTCAAGAAGAACATGTACCTCAATTTCGGTGATCTCGGTCAGAATGCCAAAGACTACGTAGAACAATTCGCCTCGAAGCAGCAATCTAGTCACAAGCTTGAGTCTATCGAGGATATGAAGCGTTTCGTCGAGGATTATCCAGAGTTCCGCCGCCTTTCTGGAAACGTGACGAAGCATGTGACTCTGGTGACAGAGCTCAGTCGCAGAGTTGGGGAGGAGAACTTGCTGGACATCAGCGAGCTGGAACAAAGTCTTGCCTGTAACGAGAACCACTCGAACGATTTGAAGACCCTGCAGCGACTCATCCAGAATCCGAAAACACCTCCTGATAACAAGCTACGTTTGGTGGCAATTTACGCCCTTCGATATGCTTCTCACCCTTCAAATTCGACACCAGCGCTTATGGACCTTCTTGCGGTCGCTGGAGGCCTCTCTCGCCATCGGATCAACCTGATTCCCAAGCTTCTCACATATGCGCATTCCTTGCAGTCGTTACCACAGACTGGCGTCATTCCGGATCTTTTCCAGCCTTCCTCCATATTCCAGGGCGCCAGGGAGCGTTTCAACAGAGGTCTTGGTGGCGTAGAGAATGTATACACACAACACTCGCCACGCCTGGAGACGACGTTACAGGATCTGATAAAGGGCCGTCTCCGTGACAACCAGTATCCTTTCGTTGAAGGTGGAGGCACTACAAGGGATAAGCCTCAGGACGTCATCGTGTTCATGATTGGTGGTGCAACCTATGAAGAGGCCAGAATGGTCGCACAGGTCAATGCCAGTAGCCCTGGTGTGAGGGTGGTGCTGGGTGGAACTTCGATACACAACAGTGGGAGCTTCTTGGACGAAGTCGAAGGAGCGGTCGACAGTTGGCCAGAGGCACCACCGACTAGTGCGGCAGGCAGATTGAGAAAGGAAGTAGGCAGGGTTTGATAAGCCACGTTACGGAGACCTAATACAACAAAGTTCAATCACGCAGAAACACATCAGGTCGACCTTGTTCGGTGACTGCTGACGACATGCCCAGCGATACTTGTGATTACTGGCGTTGAGATCTGCGATGACCAGAAACCAGAAGATTTCTTCTCAGACCAACTTTCGTAGATATACGCGTGACTGGAGCTCGAAGCAAGTACCGGTCGTGCTGCTGAATGTTGCTCACCTCAACTTGATTGTTGCCTGAAATGGGGGGAGTTATGCAGATATAGAAATGTTAACTCTAATGCCACGCACAGCTTCTACTTCTGCTTGGTGTTGGTGTCGAGATCTTTGGCGGCAGCCTCCAACCTCCTCTGCTCTCGCAAAGCGCTGAGCTTATTAGTAGCTTCCTCGACAATGTCCTTGCTTTTCACCATGGCGTCCATAGCGGCGCGGTTTCCTGCCTCGACCTTGTTCTGGCCTTCACCAGAGCCTAGGAGCTGTTTTTCGTAGCCCCAGCCTGTCAGGAAAAGACTAACAAAGTACCTTTGAATGTGTTTGGTCTGCTCCATCGGTCGATTCTCGAGATACTCAAGTTTGACATCCCTGCCAACGATCCTTTGTTGAAGCTCCTGTTTAGCGTTTTGGTTGTACTCGTTGAATGTGGCACCACCATCCGAACTTATCGGACCAAATTCTCTGAGTAAGATGGGTGCCCAGAGCTCAGTGAGCCAAGTCTCTGCACGCTTGAACCCGTCCACTGGATCAGAAAGGATCACAGCGGCCACGTAGGCCTCGAAAACATCTGCTAGAATCTTTCCGGAGGCCTTTGCGAGTTCTCGCTCACCTTCTCCGGCTTTGAGACGGTCTTGGAAGTTGTAGGCCATGCCGAAGTGAGTTAGTGTGTCGTTTTTGACCAGACGCTCGCGTATTTGTGCTTGACGACCTGCGGCAAGGTGAGGGTAGCGGGAAAAGATGAGGCGAGTGGCAATGACCTCCAGGTAGGCATCTCCGAGAAACTCCAGACGCTCATATGTCATATCGCCAACTGCCGAGGTACGATCATGCTGACTGCTAGACTTGTGCACAAAGGGCGCTCGAGAATAAGGACCATCGGGGACTTGAGGGAGTGCAGGCAGAGACAATTTCTGACATGTGGTGGAGATTGATACAGCCGGATTCTGAGAGCTGACTTCTGAGCCTGTGATGGTGGGAGATTGGAACAAGTCTAGTGATGCAGTGGCTGTATTGATAGAGGAGAGTGATTTCGACAATTTGACCGCACTCTCGTAGGCCTCATGACCGAGGAGTTTTCTCGTGGAATCTCGATGGTTGACCAAAGTCTTGAGCAGTGACTCTAGATGTTTCGTAGGATCAGGTAGAGGACCGGTTTGCTGATGTGATTGTGATGAGTTCTTGGGGTGTCGCGGCTGAAGATGCAGGTTTCGTGGCCGGTAGTCCGAGTGACCATCATTTCCATAGCTTCTCTGCCTCTTTGAGGAGGAATAATCGTCGTTCGGGTATTCTCGCTTCATATTATTGATAACTTTGTTCGAAATGGTTGTCGATAAAAGTTGCATCAGCATTTGAAAAGAAACACAATCATCATGACGATCAAGCGGTCTAAGCTTCGGCTCGGCCCGCGGAGAGCCTCCTAACCCTAACATCCGAAACAATTTCCGTCAGCAATTGTTCAAGGTCGGTCACGATGTGACTTGTACCATTCAAAGATGCTGGCAACAAGATTGTTTGCGGGATCGCGACTCGCATTCCAACCGCTCAGTACACGCGCCTTCTCGTCGAGCCCGACCAATGCCAACCTGAAGCTCGCCTACGACTTTTACGAGGCCGAGAAGCCTGACGCCAAAAAGGATCCGATTGTCTTCATCCATGGCCTCTTTGGCTCCAGGAAGAACAACCGGAGCATGAGCAAGTGAGAATACATCTTATTGCTGATAGGGTACAGTACTGACTATGGTACAGAGTGTTTGCTCGTGATCTCAACCGTCCCGTCTACGCCATTGTAACCTCGTCCTCTCGATACATCTGCGACCACCACCTCTGATAGTGCCTTCTCAGGACTTGCGCAACCACGGCGAATCGCCTCACGATCCAAGACACGACTACACTGCTCTCGCTGAGGATGTCGAAGGCTTCTTACAAGAGCACAAAATTGAGCGTCCTGCGCTGATCGGCCACTCCATGTACGTCTCCCACGATAGCCGACAATCTGGTATTGCAGAGAAAGAGGTTGACAATGGATAAGGGGCGCCAAAACAGTCATGGCAGTCGCACTACGTGGCAAGGTGAAGATCTCGAGTTTGATCCCTGTCGACAATGCACCAGTCGACGCAGCCTTGAAGAGCGACTTTGGAAAGTACATCCAGGCCATGCGCAAGATCGAAGACGCAAACATACAGAAGCAGTCCGAGGCTGATGCCATCCTGGCCGAATTTGAACCGAATATTGGTGTGCGCCAGTTCCTCCTGACCAACCTCGCCCGTGGCAAGGACGGTATCCAGAGGTTTCGCATACCTGTCAAGTACCTAGCAAGCGCTCTCGATAACATGGCCGACTTCCCCTTCAAGGACCCTGAAGAGGCGCGATGGGAGGGTCCAACTCTGTTCGTTAGAGGAACAAAGAGCCATTATGTGGCAGACGAAACACTCCCAATCGTTGGGAGATTCTTTCCTACTTTCAAGGTCGCAGATGTTGATAGCGGACATTGGGTCATCAGCGAGAAGCCTCAAGAATTTAGAGACGGTAAGTCGCAGCAGTACATACGGGTACGTCATGGACTAACACATGTGATTAGCCGTGGTCGACTTCTTGCAAGACGCAGAATAGTATTGTATATAAAAGCTGAATCATATCAAGCTTGTTTCCAAATCAAATAAAGTCGTTCGAGCGGAAGTGTCGAGAAGATGTGTTGTGCGTGGTATCATAAAACTGAAATTGGAAAATTCGGAAGGCTTTTGACGATTCTTTTTTTGCCATGAAAAGTAGCTAACACGAAGATGCCTAAAGCATTCCTTTTCCACGTCGAACGCCGGCAACATCGTGTCAAGCAAACTCCAACCCATCTTGTTCCATTCATCAGATGCTTACACGCTCTCGAGGACGGTCTCCTTGAACTCACGCTCAACCTAGGTGAAGTCAGTATTAAATATAGAGAATGTGAATATTCCAGAATTGAACGCACCTTCTGGCCGGACTCGTCGGTGTTGGACTCGCCGTGGAGGTTAAGGAGAGCACCGAGGTCGAACTTGGGCGACTTGAGGAGCTTGACCTTGCGGACGTGGACGTTCTGGAGGGGGTAGATGCCCTGGGTGGACTTCTCGATCTCGCGGCCGATAACCTCGGGGATGAGCTTCTGGGTAAGCTGGGAGAGGGTGCAGCTGCTGGCCTCACGCTGCATGATGTCGGTCATCTTCTTGCGGATTTGTCTGATTTGCGAGCTGCGGGCGTATGTGGTCTTCTTGATCTGGTTGGGGCGTCTCTTGGTGAAGGCGATGCAGAACAGGCGGAGGAGGTAGTCGTCGGTGGTCTTGACGACAACGTTGGCCTCGATCAGGGACTGCCACTTGCGAACAAGCGAGCGGAGCTTGTCGGAAGTGAAGTCGAGACCGTGGAAGTTGGTCAGGCAGTTCTTGCCCTGAACCTCGTCGACTCTCAGACGGACCTTGCGGAAAGAGTGGTCTTCATCCTTCTGGAGATCGGCGAGCGAAACCTCGAAGATACGGCCCTTAAGAGCGTCGTTGGCGTTCTTGAGACCGGTGGTGCGGTTGACGAGGGTCTTGCCAACACTTAGGAAATGTTAGTAAAGACTTTTCTTTTCGTCCAGTGGCGGCCGGAAGTCGGATTGGCGATTTGAACGTACTCTCTGATGGCGAAGGTGGAAGGGGCCTTGAGGTTGTACCAGTCCTTCTTGGCGAAGCTATAGGCGCAGTCATGTCAGTCAAAGGTTCGTGTGTTGATATGCGCGCGCGGGTGTGTAGTGGTTGTTGTCGGCTTTGATTGTCGATGGTGTGTTGCGCAGCGATTCGTCTTCACTCACGGGTCGGTGCGCTTCTTCAAGCCCTTCTTGCCCTTGGACAATCTCTTGTTCTTGCCGACAGCCATGATTGTGTCTGTGGATGGATGTAAAAAAGGTCGTCACAAAGGAAGAAGATCAATCTCAGCCTGTCCAGCTGAACTTGGGGGTCTGCCAATTTTCGGGCTGTGTGCGTGCTTCGTGGAAAATCCCGGCACTGCCAAGCCCGACCGTGCTCGGTCCTTCGATGGTCTCCTCCACCACAAGACCTCCATCACTCGACCAGGACTTCCATGTTTGTCTATTCAGCATTTGATGCAATCACTTTCCACGCTGATTGTGAGTTTTGGACACTCAACAATTCACCGTCTGATGCATTCGCCTGACGAAGTCTGAGGAAAGGTTGGTGTTGTGCTTTCTCTACTTGCGCAGCCTCCGCAGAAGTATTGGACCCTGGCATAGATACATTGCTAGAGCGTTTTCGAGTCTCTGTCTCTTGATAGATGTTTCCCATGTGCGGAATACTGTCACTCCTGGTCGATTTCTCGTTGCGAAGAGATGGATATGCAGCGATGCCACCGAAATACGCCTTCCCATCGACTTCCCGCATCAGTCTGTTGATATTAGGTCTTGCCACAGCCCGTTGTCGCTCTGCTTTCGTGATTGGAAGAGAGCGTGAGTAACACAGTTAGGCACACGAGGGAACGAACGTTTCACCGGCACTCGCTCTCATGTCACGAGATACGGCGGGCTATTACGCGACTGCTCTCCAAATGTGTCTCACATGCGTCAGGCGTACATCGATTGCGTACCTATCGTCGTATACTGAAAGGCGGAATCGCAGAATGGTCCACCTTTGACCGAGTTCGCCGTATTGGTATGATCCTCACTTTGATCGAGCGAGACCAATTGAGGTGTCCGGACGCTTTTGTGTCTACTTCACGATTTCACATCCTGATAACAGTCAAGCTAGACCGTAGTTTCAAAGTGAGCCCTTGTATTATGCCGATGCCTCCCATTGTCCATGAACCTATCCCGAAGCATTAGTTGCGCCTATGAAAACTCCAGCAAAAGCAAGATGATAATCCCCCAGTAATGCGGATGTCGCCTGATCTCGACCCAGTTCGTGTCTGATCCTTGTCCATACCCATCTACACGTAGCCAGCAATTGCGTATGCCATAGCACCGTCAAGCCATGGCAACGTACCTAACAAGTGTCTTGCCGCGATGACCTCTTACATGACATTACAATTCTTGCCCTCCTTGGGCTGACCAGCTTCCTGGCCCTTCTCGATCTCGGCAACCATGCCTTCAAAGGCCTTGCCGACGTTCTCGTTGAATCTGGCACTTGCTTCTGTCCAGCCACAGCCGAGCTCCTCAGCCAGCTTGCGACCATCCTCAGCCTTGACTTGACGTTGCTCGGGGCGAAGATCAGACTTGTTTCCGACGATGATCAATGGGATTGACTCAGCACCCTAGAAGTTGTGTTAGAGCCATGCAAGGTGGCGACGTGTATCGGGGAAGCATACCATGTGGTTCAAGATCTTATCGCGGATAATCCTGACCATCTCGAAACTCTGCTTGCTGCCGACGCTGTAAACAATCATATATCCGTGGATGCCAATGAAGTGCTTGCTGTTGAGGATTGTGTATTCGTCCTTTTGTGCTCGGCTGTCAGCTTTGCTCATGCAGGTTGCGGAAATGCTTGCTCAAAGCGTACCTGTCCTGCAGTGTCGATGATCTCTACAGCGAAGTCTTGGTTCTTGTGCTTGATGACCTTGGAGAAGGTATTCTCGATCGTAGGGTAGTACGAGTCGACAAAGTGGCCATCAACGAACTGAACAGTGAGCGAACTCTTGCCTGGGACGTATCAGCTAGCTGTCTTCAGTGGTCGTAGCATCGCCATGGCATAGCTTACCCACTGATCTGCTGCCAACGACGGCCATCTTTCTTTGCTTCTGTTGTGGGGGCATTATGTCCGAGCTCTTTCTGTCTACACGCGACTGGTGAAGGGTGCGAGGTTTGCGGGTTGCGGGCGTCGGTGGACTTGTCACTATTGCGATGGAATGCAAGAAGGCCTAGTGGATTGCTTCGTTGGTTATATTCGGAGCAGACACTTGGAGGTTCCGGAGTGCGTTGTGATGGCAATGTGTCTACCGTGAGGTTGCAGGTGGAAGAGAGAGATCTCTCTATACGTTGCTGTAGTTTTGGCTAAGCAGCAGCTGCAACTAGCGACGGCGACGACCTGCTCTTTTGGAAGAACAAAAGCAGTTTGGGAGCTGGCAGCCGATTGGCGGCGCTATTGGGGGAGCGGTGACGGAAGCCTAAAACGCTGTAAACGCTTGTTTGAGTGGTCAGAACAACTCTCCATTACTTGATCGAAATTGCCCACACTTTCAACACTATTTGTGTAGCATTTGTTCCAACTGCTTCACGCCAGCGTAAGCTTGTCAAACATACGCCTAATCAGTTACTTGCGAGAAATTCGCTTTGTTTGTCGAATATCCGGGCCTAGATCGCTGCACAACGTGCTTGTTCAACGTTTTGAGTTAACAAATAAAGTACATTCCCATGGGTATCATCCTGTCTACTGTCATGTCTCGTGGTCTATTAATTATGCGCCATTGCGAAGACGGTCGACGAGCGCCAGCAGCGTCTGTGTGAATCCCGACGTCGTCTCTTCCCTTTCCTCTGTTGCTTGACTGTCCACTTGCTGGCTCATCAGAGCCATCACCTCCACAGCATCCACCAGAACCTCTCCATTCTTGCCAGGCAACTCATCACAAATCTTGGTCCTTGCAGTCCTGTCCAAGCAAACGTAGCCAAGGAGGACTGACAGCCAGCCATATGGAATGCTGGCCTGCATCTCTTCTTCGGATTGACTCTCTGCTGCATGCTCTTGGCCTCTGACGAAGATGCTTACAAGTGTAGCCAGTCCCCCATCCTTCGTGTTAGCAGTGCGTTCGCGAGCGGTTTGGCTTACGCTGGTCAAGTTGATCATCAGCCCAAGCGCGAGGACTAACAGATCATGATTAGACCCGGCCGCCTCTGTGCCTTGATTCTGGCGCGAATTGAAGTATTCAATGATCAATGACACAACCAGGTCTATAGTATGAAGTTCACAGAACACGCTGCTGTTGTCTTCGTTATTGTTGGTCACGGAGCAGCAGAAACGTAGCGCAAGTCCTTTCGAATGCTTTGATCCGCCGAGAAGCTTGGGCAGGGCGGAAGCGACTCGTGAGAGTGTTTCGACTGACCAAACATCCGACGACGCACTCTCAATGTCAAGAGTAGTGGCAGCCTCAAGAGCGGACAACGCCCGATTAGTAACGGCTTGTAAGTCCAATTCGGGCTCTGACCCGTGGCCGGTTGCCAGATTGACAAGCTTGGATGCAGTAGTAGGAGAGAGAATGGCGCCAGTATGCTTGTTACGTCTGTGAGTAACGACGATAACATCAATGCTCATCAGAGCGACCGAACAGGGAGACAAGTACTCCGGTGAACAGCTTTCCCAGACGTCACCAGTCCTGACTTTTTCCATAAACTCAAGGTAATCGGACTGCCCAACCTTGGACATATTGCTCTTCCTCTCTCGCGCAAGCTGAGCGATGTCCCTGGTATCATCGAGGTATGGTGTAAGGAATTCTAGCACACCTCCTCGAAGAAGTGAAGCAGACGCTTGTGCTATTCTCGTCAAGACGACGCATAGCAACATATCAGCTAGGATGTCTAGGCCAGCATATTGAAACTGAGCAATTATGCTTGTATCAAATCCATGCTCAATGAAACGAGAGACAAAGCTGCTGTCGGTGAGCGTACTAGAAAGATCCATGAGTGCCATACGTCTTTGGGATCTTGATGAAGGACTTGGACCCTTGATTTCGTCAATCAGACGTGTGACATCGTCTAAGAACCTGCTTTTGTTTCCAGCTGCTCGGAGATCATGTATGCTTCGAATTCCTTGCGAGTTGTCCTCATCTGATTCAAGGTTGTGGTCGATCAGGGACTTCGATTTGGCCGTAGGCGGAGCTTTGAGTCGCCGAGCACTTACCGCAGGACGCTCAGTAGCATCGATGGGTAGATCACCGAATATCATGTCTTCGAGACTGTCCTGTAGATATGTTCGCGACCGCGCATAGGTTACCTTCTTGGTTCCTTGGCTGATTGATGATGGCTGTGTTTGTTGTCGGCCCTGCGATTGAGAATGCTGTGTTGGTTCTTGAAGTACAGATTGCGCGGATTGGTTGTAATCTTCCATATCTTTAGATATCAGTCCTGCTACTTGCTCATGTGACTCGTCGTCAGAGCTCTCATCACTGCTTGCATTCTTTTTTAGATGATCGACGATTCGAGCTCTGTGGATATTTGGAGCGACGTGGGGATGCGAATTGGACACGGTTGTTTGAACCGAAACATGATTATGTGAAAGCTGCGCAGAATCGATGTTTGGCTGATGAGCGTCCACGTCAGGAGGGTCCGAGGTCAACAGCTCGTGCCAGAGTTTCGTTTGTTTTGGTGTTGTAGAGATGCTCGATACTGAATCCGCAGGGCTAGTAGGTGACGCCACTACTGGAGACAGCGGGCAAGCAGACTTCTTGGTAAACTTGACGGACGGTGCTCTTTGCTCAACGTCGAGGCCTGTATGCAGTGACGAGGGCACAGAGGTCACAGAGGCTCCAGCAGCAATCTGTCTTCTAGACCGACGTGAATGAGACGCATCAACAGCAATGCTCTTGACCACTGCGCTTGGCAGCTCTTTCGTGCCGGCTCTCGCGACTGGAGATTTCTTTGAAGATGTTTGGAGTTGCGATGTTGTTCTTTTGCGCTTGCACGGTGAGGCCGACTTTAGGTCATCGTCCTCTTTGAGCTTAGCAGCAACAACAACCTGACTAGCCTTGATTGGAGTCTTGTGAGGATTTTTTGTCTTTGGAGGTACGGGCATAGCCTCTTCGTCAGACATTGGGATGTCGAACTCGTCGTCTGTGTCCTTGATCTTTCTGGTGGCCGTGGCAGTAGGCCGCTTTAGCTTGGACGGCGAAACAGCATTCCTCGATTCATCGTAGAAATTCTTGACACTGTTGGCCGAGAAGGTAGGATTGCGAGCAGGTCTCCCGTAAGTGACCACAGATCTTTTGCGACGGTCACCGTTGGCGTAGCTCGAAGATTCAGGGAGGGTCGTCATATTGGAGGGTGGATGTCTGCAGGTAGCAATCTAGGAGGATGCAGAGGGACCATAGGGTGGCATCAGACCAGAGAAGTCTAGGGTGGTCGAGGAGTGAACATTAAAATGAACAAGAGGCTTTTAAAAGTCTGGTGATTAGGCTTCTGGAGGTAACCAATCGGTGGCAGTGATGGCGGTGGAACTAATAGCAGTTTCTCATGGTTGTTATCAGAGCGAATGTAATGCGACAATGAGCAGTAACCGATGCGATCAAGTTGTCGTCGTTGGCGTAGGATGGCGCAGACGGACATCAACAAAGTCACAGGTCGCCACGGCAAGCCGAGCAAGGGCAAACGACAAGACACTTGGGTTAGTCGACGGTCGGCGACAGGGTCCAATCTTCTTGGGCTTGGGCTTCACTTTCAGCCACAGAGCGACTTGTGAGCTCAGACTCTCAGAGCTGGCCGCTGCTGCGGGGCACACGACACTTTGACTGATAAGAAAGTTCCTGTTTACTTATCAGCTGTCATTCGCTCCTTCCTCAATTCAACACCTATTTGCTCATCTTCTCAAGCCCCGCCCCCCTACGTCTTCCGAACCTAGATACCCTCCTTCGCCATGTCGGACAAGTCCAACGCCCCTTCTCAATGCCTAGGACCCAACTACCGCGCTGAAGGTGAAAAGCCTACTGCAACCGTCTCGAAGAAAGTCCGCCATGACAACGTCCACGTCCTCCCGCAGACACCTCAGCTCATAGCTCTGCTGACGTAGGTGTGTCCCTTGCTGAAGACGTTTCGAGTCAATCCCCGCCAACACCTTGAGCAGTATGATCCGCGACCACCGTACCAACCGTGCCGACTTTATATTCTACTCGAATCGCATCATTCGTCTGCTCGTTGAAGAAGGCTTGAACCACCTGCCAGTCATCCAGCAAGAGATCACCACTCCCGTCGGCCGTCATTACAATGGTGTCAAGTTCGAGGGAAAGATATGCGGTGTCAGCATTATGCGCGCCGGCGAGTCCATGGAGCAGGGTCTCCGTGATTGCTGCAGAAGTGTACGCATTGGCAAGATTCTGATTCAACGAGACGAGGAGACCAGCCAGCCTCGTCTCTTCTACGAAAAGCTCCCCGAAGACATCAAGGACAGATGGGTTCTCCTGCTGGACCCCATGCTCGCTACCGGTACGCCATGACCTGAAAATTGGGTCGTCCTTTCCGAACTGACTTGTACGCAGGCGGATCTGCACTGATGGCTGTCGAAGTTTTGAGACAAAAGGGTGTGCCGGAGGATCGCATCCTCTTCCTCAATCTCATTGCCAGCCCCGAGGGTGCCGACAACTTTGCAGAAAAGTTCCCCAAAGTGAGAATTGTCACCGCTTTCATCGATGAGGGCTTGGACGAGAAGAAGTGAGTCTAATGCTGCTGCTGTTTGGAGTTGGGCGCTAATGTTATGAGTAGCTACATCGTTCCAGGTCTCGGAGACTTTGGTGACCGCTTCTACACACTGTAGGACGGTCAATCATCCAATTTACCACGCAGCTAGGACAGGATACCAGCATCTGCGCCTATGGCATTAGCTCTCAATCCATATGATGAATCCATGTCATGCTCTTCTGTGTCAATCCGTGTATGATGCCAAGCGCCTCGGTGTATCGTGCCGTGAACTCCTCTCCATATCGGAGCCCCCCGAACCAAAATCGGCTTTTAGCCTTGTGTATTAGGGCACTGCTGAGCTGCTGTGCTATTTGTAGTGTTCGACAGCTCTCACTCTTCCGCGTAATCTGCCTCTGCGTCCAGCTCGTCGTCGTCAATGAAACCGTCGTCTGCTGGGGCAGCATTGCGGGATCCCTGCAAATTCGATTGAGATGCAGTGCCGCTGTATGGGTCTCTTCGTGATTGTGATGTGCTCTGGGCAGCTTGCTTGGCTACGGAATCGCAAGCATCCACCCAATCCGAGTAAACGTCAATGGGCGCGCTGAGGTCTGCATGGCAAATGTTAAGGCGATTCTTGCATGAATTGTTCATCTCCCTCTCTCGAAGACGTACAGTTGGTCACGGTTTGGAATGTTTGTCCGCAGACCTTACACGTCAATTCGCCTGTGCTGGCTTTCTTGTCGATCTTGACCGAGACGGAGTTCTCGTGATTGCAAAACAGGCACTGGAAGGTCGTGGAAAGAGTCTCGCGCTATTGTGGTGTTAGTCGTGCACTCGCGGCCATCGGTACTGCGCATGATTCTGCGCACCTTCTTCTTGCCCTCCGGCTTGCTAGCCGACTTGCGTTTGCCCTGCTTAGTGTGAGCATGCGCGGTCAGGAAGACGATTAGGCAAATTCAATACCATGACAGCTAGTTGAGTGCGATGTGCGCGTATGCAAGGTTGTAGACGCCGACGAAGTTTCGCAAGGCTCAAGTTAGAGAATCTGACGTGTTGCACTTTACACCGGCGTTTAGGCTCGCTCCCGCCGCGATTCTACATGATTCACTCGGTTGCGGGGCAAACACATGCCCCACTTTTACCACGACATCTAGAGTAGACAATACAGCTGCTCGAGGAATGTCCACCGGATGTGCAGCAGACAGATCTGAAGATGCTCCTTTCTGATACAAAGGGAGAGTGCTGTTCGAAAGCGTCTGTTGGCTCAACAGCTTACTTGACAAGTCAAGCGACTATCAGCACGAATGATGTTGGCTAATGTCCATAGCGGGGTTGATAAGACTTGCCTTCGGAGCTGAGCGGTCGGGGCCTTTGACGCTTTCTGACCGTTGATCCAGCTTCCTTTCGTAGCATAAGCACGTGTGTTATCTGCTTGATCTATTCGATTTGTAAAACCGGCCCTCGATGTTTACGATATCAATCACCTTGCCCGAGGGCGTGATCGCCTATGAAACAGGAGAAGGCAGGTACCCGAATTCCGTGCCTAGATAGGTAACCTTACCTTATCATAATCACATGCTCTATGATAGCGGGGAATGGACAGTGTGAGCAATGTTCCTTTGTCGACAGCTGTTGATGTCCATGACCCCTTTGTACCAAGACACACACACACACACACGCTTCCTCCTCTCAACCTTCAGTCTCGTTAGATTGACAATCGACAGCCATCTCCACTCAAGCACACCGCTCGCAATATGGAAAAGACTAACGGCGTAGGCGGCGATGCTGCTATTCTGCAAGAAATTCTTGCCAGTCTCAAGACCATCCAGCAGGAAAACACCCATCTTGCTGCTGCTGTAGATGCCATCAACGGGCGGGTGAATATCCTTGCTGGAGTTAAGCAGGTCAAGGACTTGACCTTCGATCCTGCTGCTGCCGAGCGAAACAAGGTGCATCAGACAAACCCGGTTGTTCCTGAAGATGTGCCTTCGAGTCCTGATCTAGCAGTTGTACAAGAGTCGGGCCGTAGATCTAGCACGACCTCCAAGATCATTCTTACCTCGTACCCCGGTCAGGCTGGTGTCGACCCTCTCCCCATGGATTGGGGAAACAAAGACCCTTCTCTTCGAGGCCCGGTGGTCGTTTCGAGAAACCCCAGTTCAATTAGAAGACGAAACGCCATTGGTGCTCATGGCGGTTCCTATGCTATATGTACGTAATCACCGTCCAGTGCACATGAAGATCCGCACGACACCTTAGATTCCCATTGCGGTTCCTTTTGGATGGATAGCTTCGTGTTTTGAAGAAGAAATAGTGCTAACGTCCTCTGCGTAAAGACAATGCACTGGCCGTGGCGAGCAAGAATCTCAACACCGACCACCGCCCGGATTTTACCAACACTGAGCCAGCTGCCAACATTGGTCCCTTTCCTCAATGGTCAGAAGCCATAACGTCACTCTGCTGTTGTGTTCAGCGCTGACACGATTCTGTAGGGCTGATCCGAAGAAGATTGTTGCAATGGATCCCTTGGGACATCTTGCACCATGGCTCTTCAAGGATATCATTCAAAAGGAAGACGTCGACATCAGGCCTACAATTGCCATCACTAAGGCGCACATGAAGCTCCCCGAGATCGAGGAAAGTGTCAGAAAGGGTAGATTGGTGCCTGATGGCAAAATCTGTATCAATGAGTCTGGCGAGCTTGCAGTGACAAAGTTCGCTGTCGAACCAGTTTGGTACCTTCCTGGAGTTGCGGAGCGCTTTGGTATTGATGAGGGAGTACTCAGACGTTCTCTCTTCGAACACACTGGTGGTTCGTACCCTGAGCTTATCACTCGAGGAGACATCAAGACTTTCCTGCCCCCAATTGGAGGTTTGACCGTATACTGCTTTGGTGATCCTGCCAAGATGTCTGATCCTAATGTCAAGCTTGCCTTGCGTATTCACGATGAGTAAGCATGGAATCTCTTCAAAGACGACAATCACTAACGCAAGCAGATGCAATGGTTCGGACGTTTTCGGCTCAGATATTTGTACCTGCAGACCCTACCTGACATTTGGCATTGAAGAGGCAGTCAAGGAGGCTCAGAACGGAGGTTCTGGCGTCGTTATATACTTCCGTAAGGAAGGTAGAGCTCTTGGAGAGGTAAGTATTCTGTCAGCACCATTCTTCAGAATGCAAATATTAATAGGGCAGGTCACAAAATATCTTGTATACAATGCAAGAAAACGTGGCGCCGACCGCGCGAGTGAGTACTTTAAACGTACAGAGAACATTGCTGGCGTCAAGGATATGCGCTTCCAAGCTCTGATGCCTGACATCCTCCATTGGCTTGGTATCTCCAAGATTGACAGAATGTTGAGCATGTCGAAGTAAGTCCACAAAGACCCATTTGATTTGTTAAACCTTTGCTGCTAAACACGGTACGACCTTGGCTAACTATTTCTGTAGCATGAAAGTGAGTGTCCCGTCACCTCAAACGATCCACAAGTCCATGGTTAAGACCACGCTCATGATTTGACTTCAAGATTGATCACAAAGAACTTTCCAGCTGACGAAATGTGTAGCACGATGCCATTGTCGAACAAGGCATTCCTATTATCGAGCGCATCGAACTGCCAGACGAGCTGATTCCTGCGGACAGCAGAGTAGAGATTGATGCTAAAGTGCACGCTGGATACTTCACCAACGGCAAGATCATGACAATGGATGAGCTGTCGAACGTCCAGGGTCGGGCTTGGGAAGACGTCGACGTAAGTGTATTTCTCTCCTGTCGGTTATGGCATCGTTCTAATTGTTCCTCAAGCACTGATCGTAGTTTGGATGATTCGTTTGTCCTCCTGACTGAGGTTACATCGTTGGCTCAAGAATCGGGCCTGACTAGAAATGCATGCATGACGGAGTATTTTCATCTTTAGGCTAGCTTGGCTTACTCCTGCATGGGCGCTGTAATTTGGAAGGTTCATACTAGAAATGGAGGGCACTTTCTTCCAGGACACAACTAAACTCACCTTTGTACTTGCTGTTCTTTCGATCTCGCTCTTCTAGCATACTTGTGTATAGAACCAGAGGGTTCCTTCTCAATGAAAGTTTTGACGATCTTGGCTTGGGCCGGGGATAGCAAGAATTCGCCAATCATGGTCGACTCAGGTGGATCATAAGACTTGGTGCTATGAGACAGGTGGGATCGCTATCAGAATTACCGACTTGGAGAGGAGGAGATGTGCCGTAGGAACGGGCCGCGAACAGGTTCCATGCAAGTTGAAAGTTGCATGGGACTGCGACCATGTGCAGCAAAGTCGAGATAGGTGCTCATCCGATCGGTGTCCAGCCAGACAGCAGGTAATGCGCTGTCCCGCTTCCTTCAAGCCTCCGACCGTGCCCGACTCTTGAGCCTTCCACTGTTTCGACTCGTGGACATTTTCGAGGATTTTACCCATGCGACTGGGCAACTGTTTACTGCTCTGCATGATTTAGGCGAGTTTGATGTGGCGGCTACACCAAGGTGTCATCTGCCTGATTGCGAACCACCCAAGGTCGAACACGTCGGTGAGCTTGAGGAGAGTCGATAAAACAAAGCACACAACAACAGCAACGAGCTCAACCATGTTCACCCAGGTGTCATAGAGTCGCGCGGACACTTGCTAGTTAGCGGGATCCGATGTTCCCCCATACGCAAAGAAAACGGTCAAAGCCACACCGCTGGGCGCGATGGGGCGGAACATCGCCGGTCCCTGCAAGTCTGCCAGGTTCCTGGGTCGGGATTGGGCACCGTTACAATGCCGTGGGTTGCTAGCCTCATTTCTTGTGGTGGCCTGTCAGTGCGTGTCATACAAATTGTGGTGGGATCAGGTCCATATCGATGTACAGTGTGCCCTCGCGAGTACTTAACGGTCTGGCCGATGAGGAGGAGCATGTTCCGCGAATGAGAGTCCTCGATTCGAGTCAAAGCCGACATGGGCGCAGAATTGACTAGTAGGCGACTATCGACTTGGAGAAGGTTCACGCAATCAGTGCTCAAGAGGCCCCTGTGTATAGCTAGGCCCAGCAGGTACCGTGAGGCGTCACCATGACTGTGCAGTGATGGTCTCTCGATTTTGTCTACCGGATCGTGTACAAAGCTGACGCCCAGCGCCACCGTTCCCCTCACTTACTCCCAGCCCAAACCTTGAATTCTTATATTTCTCACGCGACCTTGGGCAAGCATCTTCTGTTTGTTAAAGACCCAGCTCCTCTTCTGTGAACAAAGAGTCTCCTAGAGAAAATCTCGCATCCAAGTTCATCGTCACGCTACAGATCGATCACATTCGCGACCTTCATCATGGCTAGGGAAAGTCAACGCTCGTCGTCATCGTCATCAGCGTCCAACATATTCATGCGCGGACCGTTCACTCTTAAAACCAGCCCTCCTTGTCTGAACAGAGCCAATTCGCATACTGCACGTCAGGAGTGTAGTGTGTCGCCGCCAGGCGGAGCCAGTTCCCTATTATACAAAGTGGCATCGGCTTCTCTAAGGACGTCTCCCAGGAGTAGTCCACCAGCATCTCCAAGGCAATGTCCGGTGGACATACAGGAGGTACAGTGGGATGTGCTAAGCCGCCGGCTGTCAGACAATCGCAATGGTAAGTAGGTCCAATAAGCGGAAAGTGGCATAGTGTTAACGCGACACAGAGGGCTACGTCAGTTTCCCGGATTTCGATCGCTTGTGTGAACCTGATCACACAACAAAGTCTGGGCAAGAAGCCCCTCTGGATGGTTGAAAGGCCGATTCTGGACTATGCCGTAAGGCAATCACATTACCCAGCGTCGAGCACGACGCGCCAGCATCCCGCTGATCCCAACGTCGGATACTTATCCACAGAGTGAAGCAGTGTCTCGAACATGCACAGTGAAGAGGCTCTACGTTTGACCAAGGTCGCACCCGGATGGTAATTCTCCATACAAGACCATCAGCTTGGATCTTATGGGATGCTACGATGACAGTATCGCGAGTTGTTATCAGGCTCAGGGTTGAAGCCTATGGAGCCGCGTGAGACGGAAGGGAGAGAGACAGCGAGCAGTATCGTTTGATTAGCTAGCAACTTCAGCGTGGGGAGATAATGCCTGAAGATCATGTCGGTGTTCGATCAGGTCTTCAGGGTGGGCGTTGTATTCGTATTTGCGGTTCCAGCGAGGTACTACCTCGAATATGTAACGCACACGTGTGCTCATAGCTAACTCAAGACATAGTACCAACCATAGATTGTAGTGATGTGTGTGGAGCAACGTCGTCCTGCCAATTCTTCATGAGAGCTCTGTTGATGTAGAATTCGACTGTGCCTTGAAATAGGTATGGATGTGGCAGGCTTCGGAGACGGGAAAGTGAGAGACTGTTGACAACAATGTTGGCAACATTGACTCGTGTCGCGGTGAAGCATGAGTCAAAAAAGTGAGGACCCCTCCACGCGCACAGGAAACAAAGGCTGCGTGCTGTTCACCAAGTTTGATAACCACTCACCCCACACACACACACACACGCACACACACAACCATGTTGGACATTAACGATTTTATTGCCGAGCGCGGCGGCGACGTGAAGAAGATCAAGGAGAGCCAGCGTAGACGCCATGCTCCCGAAGAGGCTGTCGACGAGGTCATTGCCATGTTCGAGGACCACAGAAAGTGTAGGATGCGCCGTCCTGCTGTCTAGCCTGCGCATTAGCTGACACGCTCTTCCTCACTACAGCCCAATACGCCGCAAACCAGATCAAGACCGAAATCAACACGCTGCAGAAGGAGATTGGCCAAATCAAAAAGGCCAAGGGCAACGCCGACGACTTGCTCAAGAAGAAGGACGAGCTGCAGGCCCGTCACAAGCAGCAAGAGGACGCCACAAAGGACCTGCACGTCGCCCTGCTGAAGAAGGCAAAGTCGATTGGCAACTACGTCCACGACTCTGTGCCCGTCAGCGACAATGAAGACAACAACCAGAAGATCCGCGACTGGACCCCCGAGGGTGTCGACGTCACAAAGAAGGACTGCCTGTCGCACCACGAAGTCCTCACCCGTCTGGACGGCTATGACCCCGAGCGCGGTGTCAAGGTTGCCGGCCACAGAGGCTACTGCTTGACTGGCTACGGTCTCTTCCTCAACCTTGCGCTCATCAACTACGGTCTCGAGTTCCTCTTCAACAAGGGCTACAAGCCCAACATGCCCCCGTTCTTCATGAACCGCGACGCCATGGCAAAGACTGCCCAGCTCGAGCAGTTCGACGAGGAGCTGTACAAGGTCACTGAGGACGGTTCTAAGGAGACCGACAAGTACTTGATCGCAACTTCGGAGCAGCCTCTGTCTGCTCTCCACGAGTCCGAGTGGCTCCAGGACAAGGACCTGCCCATCAAGTACGCTGGTTACAGCACCTGCTTCAGAAAGGAGGCTGGTTCGCACGGCAAGGACGCCTGGGGTATCTTCCGTGTTCACCAGTTCGAGAAGGTATGCTTTTCACTCTCGACGCCCTCTGCATTGCCCACTCTAACTTCTCCTCTAGATCGAGCAGTTCATCTTCTGCAAGCCCGAAGAGTCGTGGGAGCACTTTGACCGCATGATCGACACTTCCGAAGAGTTCTACAAGTCTCTCGGCCTTCCTTACCGCGTCGTTGCCATCGTTTCTGGCGCTCTCAACAACGCTGCCTCCAAGAAGTACGACCTCGAGGCTTGGTTCCCCTTCCAGGGCGAGTACAAGGAGCTCGTCTCATGCTCAAACTGCCTCGACTACCAGACCCGCGAACTCGAGATCCGTTACGGCCAGAAGAAGCAGACCGACTCCAGCTACCAAAAGTCTTACGTCCACGCCCTCAACTCTACCCTCTGCGCCACCGAGAGAGCCTTGTGCTGTGTCTTGGAGAACTACCAGACTGAGGACGGCATCAACGTCCCCAAGGTTCTCCAGAAGTACATTCCCGGTCAGCCTGAATTCCTGCCTTTCGTCAAGGAGCTGCCCAAGGACTCCACTAGCTTGAAGGCCAAGGGTGAGGCAAAGACTAAGGGAGGTGCTGCTCCCAAGCTCCCTGCTACCGGAGAGCTCGCCGACAGAACCAAGAAATGAAGAAGATACCCTACGACGAATGATTATATCCACAACAGACGTTGGGCAAAAGAGTCAAGTGCTTCATCCTGTGGATCGGGATGAGTTGCATGGTGCTGCTTGGATGTCTAGTCGCAAGGAGTACAGAATCGGCCATGGATAGTACTGGCCTATTTCGGCATCGCCGTACGTAGACTTGACACCATGAACAAAAGCAGATACAAGCATACCCGATTGGGTTTTACAGTCCAACAATCCATACCTTGTTCATGTGCTCTAATACTGCGAGTGGGCTGCGGTGTACTACGTAGAAAGCTGCAATTTGCCATGTCGAGCGGATGATATATCAGCCCCCTTCTGATCTTGATCACCCGCTTTTCCCGGATGTTGGTCAATTGTGTGCCTAGTACAAGCTAACAGAAGACCCATGATGCCTGCGGCTTACTACTCGCAATCAGACTGTGCGTGTATCCGTCCGTAAGTCGATGGCAGACGCAAATTTGGTACTCAGACATGCACAAACAACAAAACACACGTGCTCAGGATTTCAAAATTCAAATGCTATGCGCGTTTATTTATATCAACTCTATAAAACGGAGCCACGAGTATGTTCATCCATTTGTCTCATGAAGACTCGAGAGACCGCGAATGATCCTGCCTTTCAGATTCGCATGCTCTCTGCAATGAGTTTGTACTCCTTTCTCTTCTTTTGGTGGCTCGGACGTAGCTTGGCGTTGGCCTTTCCAATCCATTTGGCAAGCGGAGGGAACACGATCCTTTCGGCAAGGTATGAACAAGCAAATCCTCCGGTTGCGAGTACCAGGATGAAGATGCGGAAGCTTGTTGACATGTCTGTCAGCTCCATCAAGCTGACGAGCCATGGAGCAGGGTCGAACAACATGTAAGCAGAAACGCCTACTGCGACTACCATGGTAATGACGAATGGGACTGTGTGGATGTGTTAGCATGTGCAATCTCATTGAGAATGTGGGGTGCTTACGATTTTGCGTCATTGACTGTCTGAAGGGTGGACCAACACTGAGAACAATGGCGGAAAGGATGTACTGGAAGCAAGAGATCAAGAAGAGGGTTGTGTTCTGCGAGTTCTCCGAGTTCGAGTGTTCCTTGTCCAGGACAGGTGGCTGGTACCAGGGTTGACGTTGCACAACCTTCCAACCGACAAGCTGGGTCAAGACACAAATCACGATCTGACCAAGTAGTGGAGTAAGAACCTTACGGGAGACCAAGCTGGCTGTAGGTCGCTTTTTAGAAAGCACAGGGTATGGACCCGTCCAGCCCATGAAGATGGCGATAGGAAGGATGAGAGCCAGATCTATAAACAAGAACTGGAAGTCTCCGAGGTTTGAAGCAGTAGCGTAGAGGAAGCTCACAGAAGTGAACTGAATAGCAGAGTACAAGGACATGTACTTGAAGCAGCTGAAACTCGTAACGAGAGCTCCGCGTCCTTCCCGTATCACCTCAGGAACACATGAGATGTCGAAGACACGGCTAGTGAAGGGTGCAGCAACTGATGCCTCAGCCTCTGAAAGAGAGATACCCACGTCTGCTGCCTTGAGAGCACCGCAGTCATTGGCACCATCACCACAGAAACCACAGCAATAATCGATACTCTGAAGCTTCTCCACGAGTTCGTGCTTTTCGTCGGGCGACATACGTGCAAAGACTTGACCACAGACTAGCATCTCGCGAAGGACCTTTGGCGAGGCGAAGTCGACGAGCCATCGGAACACATCACCACTGACTGCAATAGAGTAATTGCGGAGGTTCGAAACGTCATACGGCAAAGACGAGTCATGCTCGGCTGGCGGAGGTAGAGGTTTGAGAGTATTGTCATCCAATTGATAAGCTGGGTTGTCCACACTCTCCCAGCTCAAGCGAGATAGCGCTGTTCGAGAATCGCCCTCGACGAAATGAGGCACGAAACAGTGAGCAGATCTATCAATCAGGTTACACTCCCTAGCAACACTGATGGCGGTTAGAATATTGTCTCCAGTGCACATGACAGTACGAATGTTGGCGTCACGAAGCTCCTCGATGATGCCAGTGGTAGAGGGTTTGAGCTTGTTCTCAAAGATGATGAAACCAACGAATTCGAGGTTCGATTCAGCCTCTTCACGCTTCATCTTCTGCACCTTCAACCAATTGAGCTTGAAAATGTGCTTGGTGGCACAAGCGATGACACGGAAGCCGCGATGGGTGTAGTAGCTGAGAAGTTCTTCGTAATCTGGAGGGAAGCTGTCAGGACGGCAGATATCCTTCATACATTCAGGAGCACCCTTGACGTAAACATTGCCACTCGGGTCTCCAAATTGACGGACTATAACACTCGCACGCCTCAGTTGAGACACGAACTCGAAGGACTTGAGCACTCCGAGTTCGATAGGTCGTTTGTTGTTCGGCGAGGTTTCATCTTCATCCAGATCCAGTTCCATACCAGGCGGGGGGCGGGCTACAGATGGCGAAAGAGAGTTTTGTTCGTCTTCATCAGTCGCGCCCGGTCGTTCAGATCCTTCTTCATATTGCCATCCGGTGAACTGGAACATCTTGAGATCTAGGGGATCTCCAACAAATTCATCGTCGACGATCCGCAAAGAGTGGCAGGTGGCCATGGTGTACAAGATCGCCTTGTTCGCGTTATAGTCAACAGTGGGGTCGCGCTCGTAGGTGGCGCCGGGTAGGAGAACAGTAGAATCAGTGTGGATATCGCTGAACCTATTTGCTGGTCGATTGACCACTCGAGTACCCAACACGTCGAGACCATCCTCAGTCAAGGTGCCTGTCTTGTCAAAGCAGACCACATCGAGCTTGCCGCCGACATTTACTCTCTGAGGACTAATACAGAAGATGTACTTCTTCTTCAGTCTGGACAGAGCAAAGTTGGTACCGATGGTTAAGGTGGCAGGTAGCGCAGGAGGCACGACGATGGTGATGAGATCGAGAGCTCGGACGACGATAAGATGCCAGGCGAGGCCGAGACGAACAAAATTGATGAACGAAGCAACAAAGCCAATCATGGCAATACCTGCCATCACTGCGATATAACGAAAAGAGTCTCTGTAGAATTTGAATCCAGACGGCTTAGGGAAGAGCATTGAGCGGACCAAAGCTCCCTTCGTAGTGTTGAATCCAGTGCGAACGACAAGGGCAAGAGCAGCGGCTTCATCACTTTTGTCTTCTTGGGGTCGGCGAGCGCGAATGATCTTGGTGCCGCTGAACAGGAAATTTCTTGCAACTTCAGGATGGATTGAAGAAGCACTGAGATCGAGAAGCTCTAGAGATTCATTGGTAGTTGGGACCTTTGAGACCGGGACAGATTCTCCAGTAAGCATGCTTTCGTTGACTATGCAATCACCAGAAAGTAGAAGACTGTCGCAGGGGAATTGTGTAAGATTGGGATCCGTAATTTCGTAGACATCGCCCGGAACCAGATCGCCGGATTGAACATAACGCCAGAACCCGCTTCTGAGGACACGGATGTCGCATTCGAAGCGCGATATCTCACGGAGGCGCGCCATAGTCGCCCTTGTTTCAATCAACGTCGAAGCGATACTTACGAGCGAAATGACGAAGATACAGGCGGCGTAGTAATAGTACTCGTCCACAGACCAGAGGACCAAACTAGCAATTTGGAAGATGTAGAACGGATGCAATGCCTCGTCGACAAGGAGCTGACCAATCGACTTCTGCTCAATGTCAATGACGTTCTTGCCGAAGATGCGCTCGCGATTCTCCTGTTCTTCTCCATCAATACCCGCTCTAATGGGGACTACGTCTGTCCATGCAGGGTCTTGCCAGGTGTTTCCAAGAATGAACTTGTCCTTGAATGGATGGAAGCAGAAACGGATGTAGCGATAGTCCATGATGCGAAGTTCGTCCAGAATTGGGTCGTTGTACTCGTCGAATTCGCGCATCTTGCCCTTTCCCGGCATTCCGAAGACTGAAGACAAAGGCATGTCGAAGCTTTGCTTGCTCAACTGCTGAACAATCATTTCGTTCCATTGATTTTCGATGACCAACCAGTCACACTTGTGCAGAGCAGTAGAGGAACCAATCAAGCGTACGCGCCATCGTGGCAACCAGCGGAACAAAAGATAGCCGAGTCCAAGGGTACAGATCGAAATGCACAGATAGATGGCGTAACCCAGGACAGAAGTCTTGAAGCCGGCAACGACGATAGTCATATCTTCGTTCTGGATGTAGATCTTCTGGCTCATCCTTCCGCCAGATCCATAACCACTTCGCACACTTCTGTCGGTATCCGACGAGCGACGGCGGCGCAGGAGAGGGCTGTGTGCTGATGAGCGAGAGTAACCAGAAGACTTGCGACTGCGTAGAGAAGGCCGCTCATTTGATTCCAGATCGGTCTCGGGCTCTGCAAAGGCATGGCTGTCCTCGGCATCAGCGCGGCCTTCTTCAATCTCGGCTTCTTCGTCGATGATGGCTTCTTCTTGGAGCCATTCTTCGTCTGAAATATCCCGGTCTTCGTCCTGATCGTCGTAATAGGTGAAGCTTGTAGTCGAGTCTGCGCGTGAACGACGGTGGGCGAAGGAGCTGTTGGCAGTAGGCACACTCTCGGACATGGGCCCAGAGAAGATTTCGTCGTTGGCCATGCCGACATTGCTGAGGAAGCTAACCCTGCTTCTGTTAGCCCGAACTGCACAACAGTGCTCTTGTCATCTGTTCATACTCGCTCATGTTGGATTCGCGTCGGTAAAAGTTATGGCGGCGGCTGGCCGTATCATCGTCGACGGTAACGGAAGACCGCCGGCGACTTCGTGAACCGTTCCTCTCCATGGCGCTTGCTCCTTGTCACGAGAACCCAACAGCAAAGGTCGCTTCTCGTAGGCAAACGAGAGAATCAACAAAATCCCGACGAGTAGCAAAAAGAAAGCATTTCCAGCAAAGTCGCGCGGCAGACGGGTCGGCGGGCAGGATGACGATAAGCCTTCCTTTTCGGGAAATAATCTGGGGCTATCAGTACCGCCCTGAGAGAGTCCCGGTTTCGAGAGAGTCGAGCCTTCACTCCACATGGCTCTGTGCGTATTAGGTCATTCATGGCAAAGTATCGAGTATGAACGCATGTTACGTGCTGTGTTTACTGTGATCTGCTCTGCTCTGCTTAATGCGCGCTTCAAATCACTTTCTCGTCCATTTCTAGCCTCTGCTGTTTCGATGTACAGATCACGATGTAGAAATCACCATCTTGGCCAGTCCACGCTGGAGCTGCAGTTGAATTTGGAACGTGAAAATTTTGGAGTCGACGGGAGCAGTTTATCTCATCATGGCTATTGCGCCATGCCGGGAGGCTTTTGCGATTCTTTTGTGGACATGAAACTAGTCGGCAGCTTCCCTTCCCAGACTGAGAAAACGCCTTCCTTTTGAACCACTGTCTCTGTCATCGAGACCAGGTTGACTGCAAACCAACACCGCTGCGACACTTGATCATGCTCGTAATCCCATCGAATCCGTCCTTGCCGCACTTATATCGAAGAAGGGTAAAGCATGACGCGGACGGTGGCACCGAACGAACGGGGAGGGAGGTTGTTGCGGAACTGAGCGCGGACGACACCAGAGTTGCCTGTGATTCTTTGTCAGATTGTCTCCTTTCTCTTTCTGCTTTCCTGAGCATATGTACCGTGAGCGCGGGTGACCTTGCCCCACATGACTCTGATCTTGGAGCCGCGGACTTCCTTGGAGGCGCGGTAGACGAAGGCGACCTTCTTGCCGCAGTAAAAGCTGGCGGCCTTGGAGTCGTCGACACCCTCAATCTTGATCAAGCTGGTGTTGGGGTTGGTGTTGCGCTTGCCTCTCTGGTAGCTGAGGTGACGTCCCCTACGCGGTAGAGGTCAATAAATGTTCCTTGCGATGCGTCGCCTGTTTTGCCGTGGGTGGGATTGGTTTGATTTGGACATTGCTCGGTACGTGTGCAGACGGAGGTCGTTCGGATGCAGCGAAAGAGCCGTAGAAATAAGGCAGGGCAGCGGTTTGGATTCATTACTCACTTGACGTAGACTGTTGGGTGTTAGCAGACAATTTTTCAAACCACGCGCATCTGTCGGCTGGCATCCTTGCAGAACCAGGCTCCAGCTTCTCAGTGTTACTCACGGCGGTGACCTTGCTCGGATGGCATTTTGTGTCGATTTGGATTGTCCCGGCGAGTGTCGATAGGTGTTGTCGGTCGGATCTCACGGTCGCTAGTAAAAAGTCGCAGCAAGTCAAGCGGAGAGCACTTGGAATTCAACACTGTGGGTGTGTGCCGATGTTAGCGTCTTGGCGTCGAAACTCCAACTTTCCCAGACAGCAAGTCATCCACTTGCAAGCAACCTCGCTCTCAATCAATGATCGCACTGTTTGACAGGCGGTACGAATCAGAGAAATACTAATGTACTGTAGCTCTTCTATGCACTACAGGCCTCGGGTATAATCACCACTTATTTGGATTCCGAACTCGATAGGCCAGCCCACGATCAACAAGTCGACGAAACATTCAGATCTCCACACTATTCGTGCTCGCTTTATGCCCACGCGTCGAATTCGCAAACAGCGAACTGCACATAACTTCAGATCAGAATTCTTCGTCACGTTGCACCAGAAGAAAGTAAAGCTTGGGAGAATCTCGCATCAAGTAAAGTCTGTAGAATAGAAGAGAAGGTCGATATCGTTCTCTGCAAGGCAGTGATGTGCCTCAAGTAAGTGGACGTAAGCTGCTCGAGTGTCCCATTCCTCATTTAACCCTGTCCTTCGATTCTCCATTTCCCTCATCCCTAGCAGCCACCCAACAAGATCATATGCTATGCTTCGACCAAGAGGCTGGCGGGCATAGCAGCGAGAGATGGCAGCTCTTCATAAATGCGGTTGAGAATTAGTGTCTTGGTGGCCTCAAAACTCTGACCCATCCTCGTCGTTGACCATCTTGGAAGCCTCTCCATCCTCCTGAACAGATTCGATGTTACCTGAGACGGAATCGGTAGCCTCTCCACCGCCGTTGACGATCTGGCCAACTGCGGCCTTGGGGGGCTTGACCGGAGTCTTGCGAGGACGAATAGTCTTTTTGGGAGCCTTGGAAGTCTTTCCGTCATCCGAATCGCCATCCTCAGTACGGGAGACAGTTTTCTTGGTGGCCCTCTTGAGGACAGATTTAGGAGCATCTTCGTCCTCGCCGTCGTCTCCTGCCTTAGCAGCATTCTTCGCGGCTTTCTTGCGCAGGGTCTTAGGAGCGTCGCTGTCCTCGTCGTCATCTGATTCGGCGGCTTCAGCCTTGCGCTTGGGTGGACGGCCGCCCTTGCCCTTAGGGGTCTTGGGGGTTTTGGGAGTCTTGGGTGCGGATGGAGCGGCTGAGTCGCTGTTGGCAGATGGGGCAGTGACGCCGGTCTTGCCGCCGGCTTTCTCGATCTTCTTGAGGAGATTACGGTAAGAGACCTTCATGCTCTCCACGGAGGCGGCGCCAAACGCCTGGGTTGCCTTATCCCAATTAACCTGTCGAGCGCAGAGTTAGCACATGATCGCAAACCTGCATGCTCAACAATCTGATCATCAACATACATCATTGTTGTCATCAGAACTGAGAAAGATGGCGAGGATGCGGTCTTTTTCACCATCAGAGAGGACCTCCTTGGCTATGGCGTAAGAGTACGACATGCTGGACGTTTCTTGAGAGTCTTGATGTGGGATTGGGGATGAGAAAGATGATGCGCGGGTTCATCAAGTGTGATCACGCGTCTGTCGGAAGGTGTTGGAGCATTGTTGAGTTGAGAAGGAAGGATACCACTGAAGGAAGTTGGTTTTGTATGCAGCTCTTGATCCTAAGTGAAAGACGGATGGATGCGAAAAGTCGCGGCAGGTATTCCACGGCCGTCTCACTTCCGGAGCCATCTGGATATCAAAGGAATAGATTCACTGTCTACAGGCTTGTTGCTATTTACCACACAAACCCGATTTCCTCCATGCTTTGCATCTGAATATGTGTTTACACGACGAAATAGCGATAGCATCATACCTTTCTGCCAAATGTGGCTGTGGATAGACAACAGGAAGATGGGGAAGACCTCGTTGGCAGAGGAGTGAACCAGGTGGAATCTTGTCCATACGACTCGCCCTGTGTTTGACCAAGTGAAATCTTACTGATAGTGATTGCCCGAACCACCTGATGAGTCCTGAACAACCAATGCGACATGAAGAGAGGACTACGACTACAACAACTTGATTCTATGGATTAGATCAATACCAAAAGCGAGGTGGACCATTATAAGAGGTTTCGACGTCAGAGATGGAAACAATGTCGGATGTGGGGCAGTTGAAGGACTCAGCGAAATCGGGGCGCATCCGCTGGCAATAGGGCTTTGTTCAACAGTGACTCAATTTCGCTTTGTAGAACAGTACAAACCACGTCAAAGACATACCAGCATAACACCAGCGACCCCTCCGACCGCTCCAAAACCCCCACCACCTTCACAATGGCTTACACCAACGGATTCGAACAGTCAATACCTCACCAGCAGGAGAAGAACCTGCCCGGCGGCGGCAATTGGGTCGTGCAAAAGTTTGGCGGTACCAGCGTCGGCAAGTTTGCCGTCGACATTGCCCAGGACATTGTCATGTAGGTCGCATGCCCACTCTGGACTCATACCGTGTACTGATGGTATGCCCAGTGCCAGCCTCAAGGAACACCGTACCGCCATTGTCTGCTCGGCACGTAGCACCTACACCAAGAGCGAGGGCACCACCAACCGTCTTCTGCGCGCTGCCCGCGAGGCTGAACGCATTGGCTCGCGCAAATATGTCGACATTGTCGATGTGATTCGCGCAGACCACATCGTGGTTGCAAAGGATACCATCTCTTCTGCCGAGATCCTGGACAAGTACTCGGAGTGTGTCAATGCCGAATGCGACAATTTGATCAAGATCCTCGAGTCCGCCCAGCACTTGACCGAGGTCAGCAAGCGTACCGAAGACAAAATTGTCGCCAAGGGAGAGAAGCTGTCTTGTCTCTACATGACAGCCGTTCTGCAGGACCGCGGATGCAACGCCCAATATGTGGATCTCAGCAATGTCATTGACTTCCCAGTCGAGCGCATTGACGACAGCTTCTACCGCAACCTGGCCAGCTCGCTCGCAAAGGCCGTACAGGCCTGTGGAGATGCGGTCCCCGTCATCACTGGCTACTTTGGCGACGTCCCTGGCGGTCTCCTGACCCAGATTGGACGCGGATACACCGACCTTTGCGCCGCTTTGGTTGCTGTCGGAATTGGCGCTTCGGAGCTGCAGATTTGGAAGGAGGTTGATGGCATCTTCACTGCAGACCCTCGTAAAGTGCCCACCGCTCGTCTCTTGCCATCGGTCACTCCTTCCGAGGCTGCCGAATTGACTTTCTATGGATCTGAAGTTATTCACCCCTTCACCATGGATCAGGTCATCAAGGCCAGCATCCCCATTCGCATCAAGAACGTCAAGAACCCTCGCAACCAGGGCACTATCATCTGGCCCGATCAAGCCGATGACTTGGAGGAAAAGAAGCCTTCTCTCTTCCGTAACCGTAGCCTGGTCAGCCTCAGCACCCACGATGGACCCAAGCGTCCCACCGCTGTCACCATCAAGCGCGGTATTACCGTGCTCAACGTACACTCTAAGAAGCGTACTCGTGCCCACGGCTTCCTCATGTCGATCTTTTCTGTTCTCGACAAGTGGCATCTGTCTGTCGACCTCATCTCCTCGTCTGAAGTGCACGTCTCCATGGCTCTGCACTCCGAGGTTGCCCTCTTGTCTGGCGCTGGACCCGATTCCGAAGAGATTCAGATCGAGTCCGCCGCTCTCAAGGGTGCGGTTGACGACCTGAGTGTATGGGGTGATATTGATCTTGTCCCTGGCTTGGCCGTCATTAGCCTTGTTGGCCGCCAGCTGCGCAGCATGGTCGGCATCAGTGGCCGCTTCTTCAGTGTCCTTGGGGAAAATGGCATCAACATTGAGATGATCTCGCAGGGTATGTGTCCTAACAATCATTTATTCATACAAGAGCTAAACGATCTTGTACAGGTGCCAGCGAGATCAACATTTCTTGCGTCATCGAAGAGTCTGAAGCCAACAGAGCTTTGAATGTGGTCCACACCAACCTTTTCACCTTCCTGGATTGATTTAGCGTTTAGCATAGCGTTGCACTGTTGCATACCAACAAGTGGATGAGGTGAATGAGCGTAAAAAGTTCTAAGCATATTATACCATTGCCGTCTTTTTGAGATAGCACCATTTTCTCTTGTGTACACTATGTAGACGAGTACATATCGAGGTCCGTGCCTTTGCCTGCTTATCATCACGAACCTTTTCATATCTTTGTTTCGTTACGGGCCTGAGACGAGCACCGCGGCCACCTTAGTGAGATGATCTGGCAGCCAGGGTCAGCACCACAGCGGTGTCTGTCGAAACCTAGCCCAATGCAGTAAGGAACACAGGGTTCTTGCTACTGCGAGAAGTCAACACACGCCGTAATGAGTGCCAGCCAAATTTCTCTTGTCTACTGGAATTCGTCCTTAGTCACAGAACTACCGGACATGCTGCATATAAACAGATACTCGACAGTTCATACTGTACGCCTACGGTGCACTCACACGCTACAGTCGGCAATTTCTGGTCTTCATGCAATATTCCTGTCTGTCACGCAAGTAGCTTGTTCGTTCACAATTATATGATGAAGTCAATCAGATGCACGGAGATGTGACAGAGGACTGTTACCTACCATGCCTGCAGGGCTCATGAGGTATACGCGAAGAGAACGATATGGGAACTAAGATGACAGCTTTGTGCTTGCAACATCCGTGATATGATAAGCCGCCGTGCAACGATGCTAACATTGTCGAAGGTCAACCAGCTCTATCATATGGGATTGAATATGGCAGACGAGAAGCACAATGAGTGGGATTCTTTGCATCATGTCAAGGCTCGGAATTCACATATGTTATGGTCGGCAGCATGATCGGTACGTCCTCAGGAGCATCAGCAGAGTACGCTTGACCTCAAACTCTGTGTCGAACTTATACTGTGATCCTAGGGACGGCAGACGATAATTTTGTGCAGCAATGCAACTGGCCTGGGAGCTCTCTGCAAATGCGTGTCAGAACCATAATTTCGTTTACTGTGTTCCCTTTCCTGAAGAAAGCGGGTGAGACGAGTAAGATATGGACATCTTGACGATTGTGTTGAGCATACATGCATACCAGGTAGGAAGCAACATGTCCCTATGGAGCCAGCGTGTGGAAACATTTGTTGAAGGAAGTAAGTATACGAGAGATTCGGGAAGTGGTAAACAATTGAGGCTTCTCAGAAGCCGAATCAGAGATAGGCCGACAACATAATTGAGCTGGACTCTGGCGAAGCTGAACCTGACTCGCTGCTGTTTGGCAAAGTGGCATGCATGAGTGAGCTGACTGACCTAATAGAGGCAGGCTGACGCGGTGCGTGAATGTCCACGAGCAGTCGAAATCAGATCGAGTGCGAGGTGCGAGTGAAGGCAAATGGCGCTCCACTGCTCTTAGTTTCATCGAGCGACTAGCTAAATGGCAACTCGATTCTCAGACCGCAGACCGGAATTGCACAAAATCCATTGATGCGTTATGCCTCTTGGCAGAAGAGAACACAGTCCCCAGACATCGGTGACTTTGAAGCCGAGCGTGGGGAAATTCACATCTTCGTTCACATGCTAAAAGTGCCGAGGATAGAAACATTTTCTCATACAACACAACAATATCAAAGACAACGATGCGTACCTCGCCCAACATCATCATCACCGGAACTCCCGGAGTGGGAAAGACAACCCACTGCGAGCAGCTTGCGTCAAGCACTGGTCTCACTCACCTCAATGTCAACAAGGTCGTGAAAGAGCGCGACTGTGAGGATGGCTTCGACGACGAGCTCAACAGTGTCATTGTCGATGAGGACAAGGTAAGTCATGCAATATCAGTCTCTTCGGTCAGCTTGTCTAACTATGGCCAGCTCTTGGACGCCATTGAGTCCGACCTCGAAGCTGGTGGTCAAATCATAGACTGGCACGCCTGCGACATGTTCCCTCAGTCCATGATCGACCTCGTTGTCGTCGTCCGTTGCAATAGCACCGTCCTCTACGATCGTTTGAAGAGTCGTGGCTACAGTGACAAGAAGCTCGACGAGAACATGGACGCTGAAATTATGGAGGTCCTCCTGCAAGAGGCACGCGATTCTTACGATGAAGAAATCGTCGTCGAGTTACAGAGCGACGACCTCGACCAAATCGATGAGAACCTCGAGCGTATCCAGACTTGGATCGAAAACTGGAAGAAAGATCACTCCGAAGCATAATCGCCTATCCATTTATACGAAGACTACGCTATACACACCACTATTCTGCAATTCAGAAAACGCCTGCAGGCTTCCCCTACTCGGTGTGCGCATTGAGCCACTCTGTCAGTTTGGCCAACGCCTTTCCACGGTGCGAAATCTTGTTCTTCTCGACCTTGGGCATCTCAGCGTATGTCTGGCCTTCGTACTCGAAGCATGCATCCCATCCTATGGTTCCAATTAGTCTCTCCTGGTCGCAACAAGGAAGCAACAAGCTTACCAAAAACCGTGGGACCACGTGCCTCTACAATTTTGCCCTGTTGCAGCGGTCAGCACGTCTCGGGAAAAGGCACTCCCACTGTGTAAATGTACCTTGGTTCTTCCCTGGAACACAATAGGTTCGTGGCCAGGACCCTCGGAATAGGCGAATGTGCATACGGCTTGGGCGCCCTTGTCTTCGAATCCAGCCAGAAGCTTGTGGAACTGCTTAACACCCAATGACTGCAAGAACCACTTACTGCAAACAGTTCGTTAGTCCGATAGAAAAAGAGAGCCGGGTTCGATGTCATCTTACACATATGGGCCTGGGAGTTCGTCAAAGGCGTCGAAGCATAGACATGTATCTTCAACCAGGACTGGGCCACCAACCTAGATAATCGCAACCTTAATGAATTGTCTTATACACTGTTGTGCATCATCTTTTGCGTACCGTGTCCGCTGCTCTACGACACTTGTCCTTTGAGATCTCCTCAATTGTGCCTTGAATCTCAAGCAAGTCCACGGATTGGTTGGAGAGGTCAACACCAGTTGGGGCGAGAATTGCTTGTACTTCGGCTAGCTTGTTCTTGTTGCCGGTAATGAAATTGAGCTGCTTGGGTGCCATGTCTGCGATTTGGTTCGAAAAATTCTTCCTTGGGGAATATAGTCTCAATGGGGTCCGAAATGCTGTTCTTATCATCAGACGTTTATGTTTGTTCCCAGCAATGGTTGATGCTCAAGAAATCTTTCCCTTGCCAAGAGGTAAAGAGCCGCCGTCGTCTCAAACAAGTCACCGACTGTTAGGGATCCTTTCATCTCCTCTTCACTGCTCACTGCTCCCCTGTCCTCCTCGATCTCATCGGCTTCTAGATTGCTCCAAAGCTGGTATTGGGAAATGAGCTTACTCATGCTGAAGTTCTTGCAGTAAAGAATCCATTTAGATAGTCCGTTTCTAGCTTTGGACAGGGTGCCCGCTCACAGTTGAAAGCCGGATTTCACTACTTTATAGGACCAAGAACCATGGACCCCAATGCGACTGATGTACCAGTTCCCGGCCTGCAAATAAAATCAACGACGTCACAGAAGCTGGACACAACCTGGTTGACTGCGCTGGTAGCATTACTGATTTTGGCAATCACAACTCGCTTCATCAGTGGTCTTCTTGGGCCATCGAAGTCTGCTCATGATGGATCCAAGAGTGTACCGATGATTCCATATTGGATTCCCATCATCGGACATATACCCCAGTTCAGTTTCGCGCCCCAAGATTTGTTGAGCAAAGCACGCGACACATATCGAAGTGGTGTCTTTGCTCTCAATTTAGGCAGTACAACACACAATATTGTCTTTTCACCATCCATGGGTGGATCTTTGATGAATCAAAAGCACTCAATCGCCAATATGGACTCGGTAGGCAAGCATGTCATGACCGCTGTGTTTGGATTTCCGAAGTCGAAAGCATCCATGCAAAGGTACGATGCTTCGCTTTCAGGATTAAACACATGCTATAAGCATTTGATCTCCGAGTCGTCCTTGAAGAATATGGTTCAGAACACGATCGATGTAACGAAACGCAACATTGCCAATCTGGTCACCTTTTCCGAAAGCAGAGTCGACCAAGTAGAGTGGGAACGTACCAGCAATGCCGAAACAAACACGAAACCTGATGGTGAACTAGTCGTGGAGGCTAGTATGATGCCCTTGATACGCGACTTCATCGCTGCGAACGCAAATCCATCTCTCATAGGCTCTGATTTTGTCAACAACAATCCCGACTTCTTCCAGGATCTTTGGGATGTGGACAGAGGATTTAAATGGCTTGCCACCGGACTTCCTGCGTGGTTACCTATTCCTCAGGTCTGGAAAGCAAAGATTGCACGAAACCGTGCTTTCGATCAAATACTCAAATTTGAAGAAGCAATGGAGAGGAGAGCGAATGGCGAGGATCCGGGACAAGAATGGCAGGATCTTGACAATGTCGGTCCGGTGCTCACCGAGAGACTGACCCTGTATCGTCAACTCAGATTTACCATGAATGAGCGAGCAGCCCTGGAACTATCACTGCTGTGGGCTATGAACGCGAATGCAAACATGCTGGTCTTCTGGATGCTCAACCACATCTACGCGGACAAGGATGTTCTCGCCCGACTACGCGAAGAAATTGCGCCATTCGTGCATGCTTTCCAGCCCAAACAAACTCTCAAAATGCCAGAACCACCTCGTATTGACACATTCGACCATGAGGCCCTGACGAGCAAGTGCCCCTTACTCAAGAGTTGCTATATTGAGTCCCTTCGCCTAGACGCCGCGCCCTGGAGTTTTAGAGTCATGCAAGAGGACTTGGTCCTTCCGGCTTCCAAGGAGAAAGATGCGGAGAGGTTCTTGCTGAAGAAAGGAACGTATGCTCATATTGCTCACTCTGTTCATCATACGGATCCGGCCTATTTCGACGATCCACAGGCGTGGAGAGCGGATAGACATATCAAGCACGAGCGAGGAGACGACGAGGTCTCTGTAAACATGGGAACGATTCGACCATATGGTGAGTTGAGAAGGTCAATTTCTTCCCCGACAAAAGCTGACATGTATGCTGCAGGTGGCGGTCACTCCATGTGCAAGGGTCGTGCTTTTGCCCAAAAGGAGGCTTTGGTCTTTGCGGCGGCTTTCATCAGCATGTGGGACATGGAACCCGCTGACGGTGCTCCTTGGAAATTGCCACGATACAAACCTGCTACCGGCGTGTACAGCACAAACGACGATATTCGAGTATGGATATCACGCCGAAAGGGACTGCCAGAAGTATAGTGAGGAGGGTGTTTTGCTCATATCAGATAGGTGTATCACACTATGCCGAATGGTACTCTTGTCAGTTGAAAGTTTTGTTGTTTTGTGATACATGACAAAAGGTATTTTCTTTTGCAAGTCACTCATTGCCGTTCCTCTCTTCGAGTCAACAGGCCAAGTGACCCTGGTATGAGGCTCCTGTGCCCATGCAACGCGCTGCTAAAATACAAACCGACAACGCCTCGCTATATAATCTCAGTGTCGTGAGCCAGAGGAGCGTGATGGTCAGACTCGCTCTGAGCTCTGTTCGTGTTGCTTGATAGGAATAGATCTTCACCCGGGCTCAACGACGGTACAGCTCGCGCTCCCTGTCTTGTAATCTCTCACGACGCTCACGACTCGGACTCCTACTACGAGTCCTTCGATGATTGTCTCTTCCGTTAGGCGGAAGGCGATCTCGAGAATATCCTCCATGCTCACGAGAGTTTCTCCTGGCATTCGGTGGCGCAGCGTCGTCGCGACGTGCAGCTGAATAGCTAGGGATGTATGTATCAATGTTTGGACCTCCTCTTGGGTTTACGGGTGGAGGTCGTGGAGGAAGGCGACCATCTGATGGAGGTGGGGGAGGTCGAGGAGGTAGACGACCGTCGGCTGGAGGCGGTGGTAAATGTGATGAGCCATTCGGATGCGGAGGTGGCGGTAAGGGAGGTCTGCGGGAATCGGGACCGTTCTGCCACGCTGGTCGTCTTGCTAGGGGAGGAGTATCGTGTGAAGGGGCTCGCGAATCGTATGGTCTTGGTGGAGGAGCAGCTCTCTGGTCGCGGGGTGGCCCTCTGCGGTCGTAGGCAGCATAACCGTTTGGAGGACCGTAGTTGCGGCCACCAGCTGCGCCCCAAGCTTCGTCAGGACCCATACCTACAGTGCCGCCAGCAGGTGCAGGAGGCATGGCGGCGCGCTTCTCGTGGTGCTTTCTGCGATCGAGCTCGTGTGATTCTTCGAAGCGTGGAAGGTCTTCTGGACGGGAGGGAAGAGGGTGGGTTTTGAAATAAGGGTGCTGTAGGGCATCCCAGGCATTGATGCGTCTGCGCCAATCCAGCTTGAGCAGTTCGGCGAGCAGGTTCAAGGCTTCTGGGTGCAGGCTGTGTCTTGTGTCAGCGAGTGCTCTGTTGCATTGAATGCGGAAGGGGGCAAAACTCACTTGCGGAACCTTTGGCGAAGGGTACCGCGCTGAGGCTCGAACTCCTTGACACCCTCGCAACCAGGGAGCTGAGACCAGCCAGGCATATTGTCCTCGTTGGGCGAGCCGACCAGTTCGAAGATGATTTGCGCCTGGTTGAGATCCGACTTGCCCTCGAGGATGGGCCTGCCTTCGAACATCTCGGCAAAGACGCAGCTATTCAAAGGTCAGAGGGTGCCATGTATACAGAAGAGGAGATAGGACACAACTCACCCAGCACCCCACATGTCTATGGCCGGGGTGTATCTTCTCAGCTGCAACAGAAGCTCTGGCGGACGGTACCATCGCGTTACGACAAGAGTGGTATAGTCCCGCACGGCGTCTCCGTTGCCTCGGCCGGGCTGAGGTACAGGCCCATCGTAGTGACGAGCGAGACCAAAATCAGCAATCTGAAGTAGGCCGCGATTATTGATGAGAATGTTTGCCGCTGTCGAAGATTAGCTGGGAGCAGGGAGAGCAGAGTCTGGATGGTGGCTACCCTTCATATCGCGGTGCAAGATGTGGCTGTCGTGCAGATAGCGCAAGCCTTCGAGCAATTGCAGCATGTAGCACTTGATCTGAGCCTCTGTGAAGATGATGTCGGGGTTTGTGGTCATTCCAGAAAGATCATGATCCATGTAAGGGCAGACCATGTAGAGAGTGGCGCGCTTCTTGACATCTTCTGCACTCTCTGTTAGGACACGGCGCATCAAAATCGGAGCGGTTGGGCGTACTCTTGTGTCGCTCGACGGCCATCTCCTGGAGGGTCAAGACATTGGCATGAGACAGCATCTTGAGGAGCTTGATCTCGCGCAAGGCGGTGATGGGGAAGCCATCCTTTTCGTTGTGTATCAAGATCTTTTTGAGGGCGACGATGGCGCCGGATCGCTTTGATCTGGCCTTTGAAACGACACCGAAAGTGCCTTCACCCAACTTTTGCACGATTTCAAAATCGTCAATACCAGCGCATCCGCGGAACCGGCGCTGGCTAGAATCCATCATGGTGACTGGTTGTCGAATCAGTTGATTGTCATGGCTTTTGGGATGCGCGTGTCTGCAAAGGATGGATCAAGTCCCAGGCGGAGCGATTATGAAGCAGTCGGCGACCGAGTGTTGAAATAGACTGGTCAAGTTGGATCGGATCGGATCGGATTAGTACATGTTGATGAGTGAAAGTGCGATGCGACTATTAGGTATGTCATTGGAACCTCTCGCTATTCGCGTCTTGGCATTGTTCCGTCGACGCCAAAGAGAGCATTCCATCCTCGCCCTCGCAGAGCGCAGCCAGTCCACCACAATCTCACACTACGTACGCTCCCGTTGCCTATACAGCTAGACTGGATTCCTAACTGCGCCTAGACACAATGGCTGGTCCTGGTCCCTCACGTCCCGCCGGTGCCCACGGCGCCCACCCCATCCACATCCACCCCGTCCGTCCTCTCTACAGATTCGCTGCGACCGGTCTTGGTGCCAGCATGTGGTTCTTCGTAAGTCCGAACGCTTCTCTTCGGGATGCTCTCTTTCTGACATGTCGTCTAGTTGATGTACAGAGCCAAGAAGGTATCTAGACTCCCGCGCCCCGACACCATCCTACCTATTAACCTCGGACACAGGACGGCCCTGCTCTCCTCGGCTGGAAGCACCCTTGGGATCACTGATTCACGAACGTCAATCTCTTTCAATTTCCTCTATACCACAATACCAATTCTCTCGTCTATGCCTTCTCAAACAAGTAGTGGCACACGCCCCATTCCTCTCCACCGTTGTACGCAAACAACTCGGCGCATGCGAGGTAGAATATCTGCCAGCGGTGGAACCAAGTCAACGTCTTCTCCTTGCCATACGTCTCCTCCAAATGCGGCCAGAGCACTTGCCTGTTCTTGTTCATGATCGACAGCCAGTCCTGCGCTTGTCAGTTTCGCCCTCGTGTCTTGGGAATTTGCACCATCTCTCACCTCGCACGTCTGCGCATAGTTCTTGCCGTTGACCCACCACATGCGTTGGCATTTCAGGTCATCTTGGAACCAGAGCAACAGATCTGCACTCGGCATCGTTCCACCCGTGAAGAAGTGTTCCGTCATCCATCCGTCCTCAAAGTCATAGGGGCTGTCCTTGTGTGCGAATATATGCACAAACAGCTTACCACCTGACTTGAGCAGACTTGATACCTTGGCGAGCAGAAGCTTGTAGTTCTTCATGTGCTCAAACAGCTCTATCGACAAGACACGATCAAATGATCCTGCCAATGGCGCCTGGAACTCATACGTAGAAATGTCTCCCGTGACAATCGTCAGGTTGCTCAGTCCTCGCTCTCTAGCTTGCGAATCAATGTACTCCTTTTGCGTGCGTGAATTGGAGAACCCAGTGATCTTTGAGTTTGGGAACTTTTTGGCAAGGAACAAACTGAGCGATCCCCATCCACATCTGTTTCTTGTCAGTTCCACATAATCAAGCGGCCGATTCGAGCGTGAAGTCTTACCCAAGATCAAACATGGTCATGCCATCCTTCAGGTCCGCCTTCTTGACGTAATCTTCCAACATGAGCACCTCTGCCTCGCCAATGCCTTGTCCAGGCTTCAGGCCCTCGTAAAGGCAGCACGAGTACTTCATGTTCGGACCAAGCATGTTTTTAAGAACACCAGTACCGACTTCATAATGTTGCGTGTTTGCTTTGGCCGTCTCAATCGCAATAGGTCTCTCACGGAGAAGCTCAACATACTTCATTTTGGTGTCATAAGCAGAAGCGTTTGATGTCGATGCGATAGATGTCAATCGCTGGCGTAGCTGCTGGCGGATACCAGCGCGAATGACTGTCGTAGGGAGGTAACCACCATCCAGCAGCTTCTCAAGCATAGCGTCTATTGAATCAGCTTCTGGTACATTCAACGTAGGCTTCGGCACAACTCACTGTAATCCATGGCTAGGTGATCTTGTTTCTTTCGGTATAACTCGACAAGACAACAACTCGTTCGTCAGACAGAGACAAAAGACAAATTTCCAGCAGTAATAACGTTGCTGCTGCGACCCAGCAACATCCACAATGCGCTTGGACCTTGCGTCATCGATATCGTGGCTCCATCGGCTTTCGGAGTGACCCCAAAGTCCGACTTTCAGACATAAGTAACCCGTGTATAACATGTAGACATGAAATGCATTGCAGACATGTACTACTGATCTCGAGCATTGCAAAAATGTATTTTGATTCGAGTGTCTTTATGTTGTATGCTCTATTTATGCCGTGTTCTTAAATCTCTGAGTTGCGACTGCAGCTGCAACAGAGCACAATGCTCCGATGAACAAACACACCGCTATGCCGTTGTATCCTTCCGTACTATGATGCTCGTCAGGATGAGCATCCTTTGCCAACTCTGGACTTTTTCCCGGCTCAAGCACAGTGAAGACTACCATCGAGATGCCCGTAGCAATGAATTGGGGTAGTGTCGTGTAAAGATTGAGGATGCCCAGATAGATACCAGCAAGCTCACCGGTAGCGGACTCGTCGGTTTTCTCGAGATTTCTGGCCTCCGAGCTCATCTCGATAGCACCGTCCGAGACCCTCTGATATTGATGACTGCCACGTCTTGAGGTAGGCAAACTGCTGCCGAGCTTGTTGATCTCAACACCCATAAAGGTGAACGGTGCCCAGCAGGCAAGTGCCCAAGGTCTGTGATTTCGTCAGTAGGCAATCGAACAAGTTTTTGAAGTGGAGAGACTTACATTCCGCACACTGCAACTAAAACAGTTGCAAATCGCAGTGACGTGACGAAAGGAGCAAAGACCATGGATCCTGCAAAGATGAGATGTGACACCGTCCAAGCTGTCAGAAGGCTGGGCTTGCGCTCCACGACCGTCTTGACAATGGGCGCGATACTTGCAGGGGGTCTTGGAGTAAACTCGGGCTTTTCGTCTTCGGGTGACTTGACCATCCATGGCAGTGTGATTGAGCCTATGAAGGTGACGATGGAGAATACAATCAAGGACATGCTTCCGACTCTGCCAATGTCTGAAAGGGGGTCCTTGGACTCTTTGACCTCAGGCGAGGCATCGTACCGAAGGTATATTTCTCCAACCCAGGTAGTGCTGTAGAAGAGAAACGGAAACCAGCCTTTTTGCAACGTTAGTACACAGTTTAAGCTTGCTTCTTGTGTTACTCACCAATCCACGACCAGAACTGAATCCAGCAGATCTGCCATGTTTTAGTTTTTCGTGACTTCTGCCAGAACCATGGTGTTTCTTACCATTTGAATTCGCTTGGGCAAGTTCTTGGTGGTTTTGAAGATCTGCACAAGTACTGCCACGATGCCATCGTCTGTTCCTCCCTCACTATAGTCGAATTAGCTGGAATCGTTATCGGAGAATCGTGGGCCTTACGCTCTCGCAATGAGTACACGTTCATCTACAGCCCAGCAGGTGACTCCAATGGCTACTATTAGCGCTACCGCTGCAATGACGGTAAGTTGTTTGAACTGCGTGTCGCCAATAAGGGTGCCGAAGATCGAGCCTAGATCCAATGCTCCAGCTCCGTAACCGATGAGGTGACCAACAGCTACCATTCTGCTTGCTACAAGACATTAGAACGGGCAGTTGAAGAAGTCGCTCCTCAGAAACTCACCCCAGGCAGAGCCCAGTTGTTGCTTTGGGATGGGCAAAGTATCCACAATAAGGCTGCGACATGATGATTGTACGGCGTTGATTGCAAAGTCAAGAGCATAAATAGACAAAACCGCCAGGAAGATGGTGGCTTCACGTCTCTGTAGATGGTCAAAACACCATTCTCGCACTATGATTTGAAGCTTGGGATTGACCAACCAGTTCGCCTTCTTCGACAAATGCAGCAACAATCTCTTTGGTCCAACCCAAAACCAGGAGACATATGCTCACAATCACTGTGCCAACAACCATGACTGGTCGTCGTCGACCCCATTCTGAAGTGCTCTTATCGGCCATGATGCCTACAATTGGTTGCATGATTAATCCTGACAGCGGTCCAGCTATCCAAACAAGCGAGAGCTTGCTCTTGGTCAGACCGAGCTGTAATAGATAGGGTGTACAATAGGTCATCTCTGTACCCCATGTGAACCTGTGACTGGATGTCAGTCTCTTGGAATAGTATTCCGTTTTCTCAAAAACATCAACATACTGCAACCCGATCAAGCTGAATGTCAAAAGCACCATGCGCATGGACTCGCTAGAGCCTTTGACATGGGGTGTACCTTGCCATTGCGCAGTCAATGCCATGATCGGTCTTATAGGTCACTACGTCGACATGGAGCTCCAAGTTCTGGTGCAGCAATTGATATCTTGATTGACAACTGGTTGTTTCGCAAGCTGACAGTAACACACTTGACGCGTGATGAGAAGCAAACCCAAGCCACAGGGTCTCGTTTACCCCTTGGCGCACAGGCCGCCGACCATGTGTTTGGGCAGCCCCATTCAGGCTAATGATTGTGCTATAAGTAGCAGCGCGTGACAATCACGAATCGCTGTTTTCTAGGCTTCAGAAGACAGAATAAGTATTTGAGTATTTCCTTAGTTTATTGCTATGGAGCGAAGAAGACGAGTCATTAAGTTTCTTTCAAATGCGTTCATGCATAGCCGCCCTTCGTTGCATGAAAATCATCATGAAGGACAGCTCTCTACCATTGTATCCTGCTAGATGTGCTTTGCCTTTACTGGGATCACCAGCATTTATGTTTCTTTCATTTGGGGTATATGTCATTTGCTTTTTAAAGCTTGTTCTCGGGGAGGTTGCTCCATTGGTAGCCAGCGGCGTCGCTGAACTTGTAGCCGTAGGAGGAGGTGAAATCGTCGAGAACGGAGGGGCCGCGGGAACCTGCAATTTGAGTTAGTGACAGTTGCTACAGGCATTTGATGAGGCCAAAGCTTACCGTAAGGGTAGCCCATGGGGACAATCTCCTTGTTGTCGTCGAGGTAGTGGAGAAGAGGGGTGAAAATTCTCCAACTGGCATCGAGTTCGTCATCACGGACGAAGTTGGAGTGATCTCCCTTGAGGGCGTCGAGAATCAAAGACTCGTAGGCCTCGGGGATCTTCAAGTCGGAGAAGCGGCGGCGGTAGGTGAGATCCAGCTCGGTAACCACAGTCTGCATGCTCAGGCCAGGAAGCTTGGAGTTCATCTTGATGTATACGCTCTCGTTGGGCTGGATGCGGATAACGAGCTCGTTGCGGGGAATGTCCTTGAAAATACCAGAAGTGACATCCTTGAACTGGATGCGGACCTCGGTCTTCTGCTCGTTAAGAGCCTTACCGGCCTTGAGGATGAAGGGAACACCATCCCATCTCTCGTTCTTGATATAGGCAACCATCGAAGCAAAGGTAGGGCAGCGGGATCCCTTGGGAACAGACTCGTCCTCCTTGTAAGAGGGCTTGGAGCCATCGAGCGACTTCTCGTACTGGCCGATGATGACGTTCTTGGGCTCGATGGGAGGCATACCGCGGAGAACACGGACCTTCTCGTCACGGATGTCTTCGGCGGAGAAAGAGATGGGGCGCTCCATGGCCAGCAGGGTCAGGACCTGGAGGAGATGGTTCTGCATAACATCACGGATGATGCCGAACTCGTCGAAGTAGCCACCTCTACCCTCGGTACCGAAAGGCTCCTTGAAGGTGATCTTCCCAGTGTTAGCTGAATTTATAGGCCGACCAGACCAGACAAACATACCTGGACGTTGTCGATGTGGTTGCGGTTCCAGTTGGAGCCGAAGAACTCGTTGCCGAATCTAAGGATCAAGATGTTCTTGACCATCTCCTTACCGAGGTAGTGGTCAATACGGAAGATCTCCTCCTCCTTCCAGTTGGGCTCCAAGGCGTGCTGAAGCTCTCTAGAGCTGCCAAGGTCCTTGCCGAAAGGCTTCTCAATCTGCAAACAGTGTCAGTAGGTGCTCGTGTCTAGGATCCCAGACTTCACTCACGATAATGCGGGCAATACCGTTCTTGGGGTAGCAGTGCTTCTTCAGCATCTCGGAGACGGGAATGAAGACGCTCGGGGGAAGAGCCATGTAGAAGATACGGTTAGTCTCTTTCTGGTTGTTCTTCTTCTCGAGCTTGCTGAGGTGCTCCTCAAGGCCCTTGAAGTATTTGTCCTCGTCGTATTTCTCGCCATCGAGGTATGTGCAGAAAGAACAGAACTCGTCCAGTTGCTCCTCGATCTCCTTTGTTGGGGTCTTGATGTGCGACTTGACACGCTTGATGAACTCCTCATGGTCCATCTTGCTTCGTGCATATCCGACAATTTGGATGCCTTTGGGAAGGAAGTTGTTCTTGTGCTAAACATTGTAATCAGTCGTGGCTCAACAAGAGCTCGCGTCTCGTGCAAGCTTACCAGGCCGAAGAGGGCGGGGAACTAGGCATTGGGTTAGCGAAGTGTTCTCGCATGACAATTGACAGCGTTGTTGCACTTACGGTCTTCTTCTTTGCAAGATCACCAGAGGCACCGAGAACAACGATGACGGTGTTCTCTTTGAGCTCCATGGTGCCGCTATATGCTCACGTTAGCTATATTCACATGCAACAAAAGATAGCCACAAGCACATGGTGGAAGCGCGTCAAGATGAGCCACATGTGACCGAGTGTGATGGCGGGTCATTGCATTGCCTCTCGAGGACGGCAAATAGAGAGTGCTGGGGAGTGCCAAAAACGGCGGAATTCGACACTTACGCGTTCGACTCGACCTCCGGGGTAATAACAGTGTCAGCCATTTTGTCGAGAGTTGAATGTGTAGAGAAGTCCGAGGGAGTGGGTGAAGATGGAACAGGTGGAAGGATAAGTGCAGCTGTTTATCGGTTGAGGAACTTTGGCGGCCGAACTTCTGGAGGGGCAGGAGCGATCGAGAGGACGGACCGAGTCTTCTGACGTAGTGTGCTTTGAAATGGAATGTCGCGTCACAAAACCTATATCCTTCGACAGCTGCTTCCGGCGCACACAAAGCAAAGCAAGTGAGACGGTATGATTTCAAAGGGTCAAACAAAGAGATTCAAATTCCAGAGGTTGCGCAAGCAGTTGGAAGAATTCACTTGTTTTGAATGCCACTCGACAATCCCTTTCTTGTTCGAGTCCGACTCCGGCGGACCTAGCATCACTCGGTCAATGCACCTCCAAAATGTCCGACCGGGTACCACTGCGTCAGTATCTCCGCTGCTGCCGGAGCCGCCAAAAGCGCTAGCTGAGTGAACCTAGTAACGAGCGGTGGGGGGGAGCTTCCAGCCAGGGCTGGTCCTTTAGCTGTTTGTTCTCGCGACCATCTCACCAGCGTTGTCCTGTATTTGTGCCGGTATACAAGGCAGTTCAGGTATAATTGTGTCTGTCCATGGCCATCTGCAGTCGTCAACAACGGACCTCTCAGTTGTGTGAGATCACTGATGCGGTATTCCACAGTAGCTACGTGTTGATGACATGTGCATTTACGACACCAACATGAGCGCAAACGGCAGGTATTTGATGTTGGATAAGATTCTCCATGCGCTTGTCATCAACTTCACAGGTGGCTGCCAGACGCTGACTGTTGACAGTCGCGCTTTCTCCGTCAAGCCATTTGCTCCTTCAGCCTGAACTATGCTTACCACCGGCCATCCAGCTCAGTCCCTTGAAATTCTGCCGGCCCATAGGCGCGAGATTGTGTGCTAAAAGGTCGCCTGGTCACGACTTGGTGCGAGATTTCTCCGCTCGGTGTATGCTCCTGGTCGAGGATTAATAATGACTTCACAAGTTTAGCGACATCCTGGCTTTCTATTGCCGGAGGTTTCGGACATGCTAGACACTTGAGCAAATGGGCCGAAGAGCCCGCACCCTCCCCGTGTGTGAAATACTGTCACGCCCTTTCTCCTTAACGACCAGCAGGGCAACGACGAGCTGTATAAAGGCACAGTCATATCTCGTGTCGGTAAACCTAGCGCAGAAAGTGTATGAGACGATGTATCTCGATGATGTCGTTGCAAGTTAAGAAAGTATTGTGCTTTGATGCAGCTTCAAGTGTGACAGTATTTCGCACACGGGGAGGACCAAACAGCAAGATGGTCGGGCTGAGCACGAGCAGCCGCCAAAGCTGCTCGCATCACATTCTTTCTTGCCTATTTATTGTTGTCGAAAGGTCCGACCTTGGTTGTTTCAACATCTCGAGGTCAGGCTCTATTGGATCACACGTGTGCCAGGTATGATATGTCCTAGCACGTGGACAACGAAGGTTTGCTTGGTGTGTTAGTCAGTGGTCGATACAACGGATTTGGCAAGGTCGGGACTATGGAAAATTTACCCTTCGAAGCACCTGACAGTCTCAACAACCAGCCAGTATCGCCTAAATCGGCAGTAAAAGGACAAAAACAAGGCTATTAACGAAAGAAAGATACCGCAGCCCGCATCCATCAATGTGACAGACTTGATTTGTGTAGATATGTTGCTGCGTGGACGACCCTGTCAAAGACACCCTGACTGCCCGACGAACACGATTGAATACACAAGATACACGCTCAGCATGACGAATCAAGGGGTCTGCTAACATGTCGTAAAACAGTTTGATGCTATTGTAGATTTCAACGCTTGCCTCATCATGCATACATATCCTCATCATCGCCAGCCGCATCTCCAAATCGCGCACCATCAGGAGATTCAGCCCTTGCTTTACCCTTGCCCTTGCCATTTGCAGTCCCATTCATTGACAGATGGTTAGTTCTGATGATGAAGTCCTCATCGACGGTATCATTGGCCTCTCGAATGACGCCTTGTGGCTCGTCATTCGCGGCACCACCGGATCCTGAGTTTGCCCTCTGCATCTGCATACGTAACATCTGTGCAAGCTGGCTCCTGGCAACAGCGTTGCCGTCTGTACCATTGATTTGTTGAGAGGGAGTCTCATCTTTCTCTTTGCCACCCTCAAACTCGCGACGAACGCGCTCGTAGTGGCCTAGCTCATCAGCACTCACACTAGGAACCAGCTCGCGTTCTGCTGCCATGAAGTCTTCTTCGGCCACTATAACGCTAGTATCAGCATCCGTGGCAAAGTGATCGAAGAAGTAAGCAACAGAGATTGGGGGTTGAGGCGGAGATTGACCAGCCCGCTCGCCATTGATCTCAGCTACTTTGTCATCCACAAGGCGAGCTGATCGCGTGATCGCTTTGAGCATAGCATCAGAGCAGAGAGCGTATAGATCGGCACCCGTGTACGTGAACGGAAGCTTTTCAGCAACGCGACCAAGATCTAGATCTGGATCGAGTGTGAATCTATCATGATCGTTAGCAAGATAGACCGGGTCTGACACAAGCATGTTGTACTTACTTCCTCGAAAGCGCCTCTAGGATCCTTTGTTGTTTCTCATGAGTATCACTGATACCCAGGTACAACATCTTATCGAAGCGGCCCGGGCGTAGTAGTGCTTGATCAAGCAAGTCTGGTCTGTTCGTCGCACCAATGACGAAGACACCACCGCCACCTTCGTCTCCGTCACTCATACCGTCCAATTCGGCAAGCAACTGACTGACAATACGATCCATGACACCACCGCTGTCGCCCTGGTTGCCACGCTTCGGCGCCACGGAATCAAGTTCGTCGAAGAATACACAACAAGGTCTCGCATCTCTAGCTCTTTGAAAGACACGTCTCACATTGGCCTCAGACTCGCCAATGTACATGTTGAGCAGTTCTGGTCCCTTGACAGAGAAAAAGTTGAGGCTGAACTCTGTTGCGATAGCCTTCGCTAGCAATGTCTTTCCAGTTCCCGGTGGGCCGTAGAAAAGGATACCACTTCGCTTCTTCAAACCTTTGGCAAATAGCTCTGGACGCGAAAGTGGCAGCTGAATAGTCTCAATGACAGCTTCTTTGACATTGGCTAGACCTCCAACATCTGACCACTGTACATTAGGGATCTTCGGCGCACCTATAGAGTCTGCAAAGTTCTTTCTAGCGTCGTCGACAGCCTTCTCGAAGTCTGCAGATGTGAGAGATATGGCCGAATCACCACCAGCTAGCTGAAGATCCCTGACAGAGATGACTGTATTGGGAGACACAGAAGCCGCCGCCGCTAAAGACTCAAGGCGCGTAGCCTGATTAAGCACAGCTCTTTCCGCAACATCAACAAGGTCACCAGCGACCAGAGCAGCGGTTTTGACTGCTACAGAGCTCAAGTCGACTGAGAGAGAAACCACAAGGCCAGAGTTTGAAATGATCGATTGAAGGATGCCCTCTCTTTCCGCTTCGTCAGGAGCGGTCATCTCAAGTTCATGCGTGAATATACCACGAATAGCATCGGGAATCTTGTCCACCTCTGTCGAGGTTGCGATCAAAACACGACAATCAGCTAGGATGTCTTTTAGAGTTCCAGCCATACGATCTGAATTGAGAGCCTCAAGATGACGAATCAAGAGTGATGTGTGTTGCGCGCCACAATGCAAGCCTCGTTCAGCCCTGGCCCTCAAGAAACCCTCTGTCTTGGTGTCGCCACCTCCTGTAGTCCCTTCCGAAACCAGCTCATAGGCATCGATTGAGAAAACATGAGTTCCTAGATCATGACAAGCACGGGAGACTGTGTACGCTTTGCCAATGTTTCTCTGCGTGGATGTTAGGAGAATAGCAAGTGGAGGAAGCTTAAGATGGACGGCGCGAGGACTCATGGCAGCCGCCATTAGTTCACGGATGCGGCGCTGCAAGACAGACACATGCTCCTTGTTTGGTGTCCGAATCTGGGAGTTACTATTCGCAGCTGCCTTCGGTACCTTCCTGATGCCATGGTAAAACTCCCACGAATTGTTCATCGTAGGTGGCAGTTTTCTTTGTAAAGCCCCTGACTGACTCATCCTGGTTTCCGTGGGATCAATAGTAACAACTCCTCCCCAGAGTCCAGCTTCTTCAGGATCTTGGGCGTCATTTGTCAGCGGTGAAGTCACATCACCAATCTGAAACCATGCGACCGCTAGACCGTGCGATGAGCCTCTCGTGCAGTTGTTGCTGGGAGACGATTCGAGATGAGTTAATATGTCGTTCGTCTCGTCTGCTGCACCTCCGTGGAAGACCGCTTTTCCTAGGGCTTCATCGATCGGGATAGCGATAAGATCACCAGATTTTACAACGCGTTGCTTCTGTTTGAAGTAATCCTGTAGCCGAGCGAACAGACTTGGTTGAACCGACTTTTCCTCTGACAGGGGGGTCGATAGCCTTGACAATGTCACTTCCTTGGCTGTAGGTGGCAGAGATGAGCCTTGTAGCCTTGACTTAGGCTGACCGGGACGCAGAAAATTGGAGTTGTCAGTGATTCGTAAAGACGATACACGCACATGACTAGGATCCCCGAGGTTGGCTAATAGGACGGGCGACAAGTAGAGAGTTGCGGAAGTGACAGGGGCTGGATGAGAGGAAGAGATGCTTTCGCGTCGACCTGATTTCTTGCTTAAGGGATACTTTTGTGCCTTAGTCGACAGGCTCTCTGGTAGACCATAGATTCTCAGTGGTCTCCAAACAGCGTCCTCATCAATCTCTTGATCGCGGAAAAATGCCATCAAGGAGTTTGCACCAGCAGGATCTTCTGCTACTTGCAGCTGAATCCAATCGCCGGAAAAGCAGCCGAGTTTCGCCAGGGCGCTTGTATCGACATAGACTCGAGCTTCTTCGTCGTATCTAGAGCCTGGTTTTGGATAAAGGAAATCATCCGGAATACGTTCGAGAAGTCCCTGAGTCTTGAAAGTCTTAGCTCGCCCTCCTTGAGCTCCTCTCGTTGTTGTGGAGGTCATTGACGAGAAGACAGAGCCTGGGGTATTGATGCCGCGAAGATTTCCGAAGAGCCTGGGGGTCGCAGTCGACCTGGCAGAAAGCATTCCCGAAGGCTGTGATCCGATGGAAGGTGCATTTAAAGAAATCAGATCGTCTGGATCGTCCGAAAGATCACCCAAATCAGATTCGGCGTCGTCAGAGGTCAAGTCTGATTCCAGGCCAGTGTCGCTCGGTGGGGAGTTCGCAGACAAGGGTGCGCGATCTTCAGCGGCAGTGTAGAATGCCTCGCTTGCCGTATCTTCATCAGTCTGCGAGAAGGTAACAGAGCGACCCGCCTTGGTACGGCGCTCACTTTGCGAGACAACAACTATTTGTGTTGCTGAGGTCACAAGGCCTTGAGAAACAGGCTCACAAGCAGTGACTAAGGCAGGAGAAGTCTGCGCTTGACCTTGAAGACGTGCTGAAGTAAGAGGCAAAAGATCGCCAGCTCTCACAACACGTGCAGCGTCTAGAGCGTCTCGCACATCACGAGTCGCTAAGTCGATGCCGACTGCTGTCGGCGGGTCCGATTGTCTGTCTTTCCTGCCCTTTGTCACGCGCAGAGCACCATTACTGATCTTTTTCTGAGCCCCATTGGCAGTTTCTAAAGCTGCCAAGTCCAACGAAACATAGATGACTTGCAGAGGAAGTGCGACAACGTCGGTCATACAGATGTCGAGGGTCGAAGCAGGGCGGAGGGAGCGATTGGGCGACTGAGTATGCAGAGCTCGCTGCAAAGCTTGGGCGACTTGCGAGAAGATTGAGATCCTCACAGAAGAGTGTGGCAGTTCGGGATGGCCTCGAGGGAGTCGTCTGCACGGGATAATGACCCATTGGGTAGCTGGGTTGCCAAGTTGGGAAGATGGAGCCCAGGGACTGACGGCTATGTGATAGATGTCTCCATGTTCGGCGGAAGAAGTCGGAAACAAGTCGTCGACGAGGTCGTGAGAGAGTAGAGCCACCTCTCCTTTGAGCTTGGTGTCGAGGTGAGCATGGCCAGAGATGGGTGGTTTGTCTGCCCTCCTCCTGGACGCCCTCTTGCGCTTCAGGGAGCCAGGCGTCGTTTCCTTGTAGGCCATAATCATACGACACAGTCACTAGCAGCAGAACAAGCTACAAGTAAGCTATGCGTGAGGGTGCGTTTCCTCGAGTCGTCGACAAAGACGCTCGTGGGGCTCGGTAACTTCTGGCAATGGGGAAGCTCCGCCGAATAGGCCGACCTCGGCTGTTCGCACACCTATTTAGGTAAATGCTCTGTCGCGGACCCATTGATCACGGTACTCAAGAGATCACAGAACGATTGGCAGCATGTCAAGCAACTGTCATTGGCCAGACCTACCTGCTTCTTTAGCAGCGTTCGACGGCCTTTTGACATGGACATCCAACCCGCATCGAGTCTCGGGAGGGCAGGGCAATCTCAAGCTAATTAACCATCCGTCTCGGCTGGAGACAGCCGGCACCGCCTGCCCAAACAGGCCATCTAGTTAGGTCGAGCTGCGGAGACGGTAAAGCCGGTGATCTCCATCAACGTAGTCGTTGACAAAGCATACAACAAAGTATGTTGAGATAACAGTCTACATGTATATTCAAGCCATGTTACAGTATGCGTGCGATATGTATGTCACTGACCTAGGCTACTGATTCCTCCGTGGACCAAGCAAGGTACTGCTGATCATTCAGATCAGAGCGGAAACGTGTGTGGCTTTGGAACGCGCTTCAGAGATAGAGGGTTGCGTCATCTGTCGAAAAAGTGCATGCGGCTGAGCCATGTTTTGATGTCAACGACCAACAAGTACTGAGGAGTGACCTGCTTTTTCCTGCTCAGAGCCTCTTGTACTTTAATCCGTCTTTCCTGAATTCTATATACGCCACACCGCTCCCTGTTCCTGATCTGCCTGATGTTTATATCTGGCTTCATTAATCTGGTTGTACATCATCTTCCTTGCAACTATGCCACATGACATGCTGCGGGAAGCTGACGCCAGCTCGACCAACTCGACACCTACAGCCGACGCCAGCTCGGGGCACTCGACCATGTCCAAAGCAGAGTCGGCCATCGAGTTCGCACACCAGGCCGAGCGTCTTGCACAGTACACACCTGAGCAGGAACGCAAGCGCCATTCTGATTCCACACAGGCATCCGAAGCCAAATTCGTGACAGCTCAGGATCCTATCATTGTTACAGCTAGCGGCAAACGCTTGCCCGCTGTTCCTATACACGAGGCTCTAAAGCTTAACCGTTTAAAGGACCAACTCGAGGATCGTCAATCTGATGGCCGCATACCCGTCAAATACAGCACTCGTCAGGCTAGAGATGGCACAACTCATGGTATCCTCGAAAACGATTCTGCAAGCCCGAGCAGCGAACCTAGTGCGCCCCTTAGAGAAGCCGTGCCTCCGTCCCGAACGAATCCCATGTTCCCACCTCTTCCTACTTATGGACCGCCGAGCATCCTAAGGACACTGCACTGTTATTTCTTCAGAACAACGAGTTCCGTCTTATCATTTCTATTCCTTCTAGTTATTGTTCTAGGCGCCGCTTTCACTAGCATACCGCTCGCTTTCGAACACGTCCGAATACGGTTCCAATTCAAGAACCCTGACAAGAGACGACCTTTCTTTGAAGAAGAGCAACGGCGTAGAAAGGCTCGCGCTGAATCTAACCGTAAGTGGGCCAGAGCGAAGCCTCCGACAAGTCCGGCTGAAGCAGAAACATCACCGCCCCAGGATGGCGAATTTGTACCTACAGAAGGCGGTCCGGATCCTTTGGTATGCGATGTTGGATACTACGCTCGCCGTGTAGGCTTAGATGTCGAAACGTTTGACGTAGAAACAGAAGACGGCTTCATTATCGAGCTATGGCACGTGTATAATCCTCGAGAGTATCGTCGACCATCACCAGCTGCTCATGGACCTTATGGACCTGAGATTTTCACGACCACTCCATCTGATCCCAGATTTGGCGAGGCCGAACGTGCTTTCCCAGCAGGAAGCAAAAAGTACCCGGTCCTGATGATTCATGGCCTCTTGCAGTCGGCTGGCGCATACTGTTGCACTGACGATGACAGTCTGGCTTTCTACCTTGCTAAGAGCGGTTATGATGTCTGGCTCGGCAACAACAGATGCGGCTTCAATCCCCGACATACTCTACTCGAATATGCCGATCCGCGCATGTGGTCATGGAACATTCGCCAAATGGGTGTCTTGGATCTTCCAGCACTCATTTCACGCGTGCTTGCAGAGACTGGCTTCCCGAAGCTGGGTCTGGTCTGCCACAGCCAAGGCACAACGCAAACTCTTGTTGCACTAGCCAAAGAGCAGCGTCCAGATATTGGTGAGAAGATCTCAGTATTCTGTGCATTGGCCCCAGCAGCATATGCCGGGCCACTGATTGGTAAAGCGTATTTCAAGTTCATGCGTGTGATCAACCCCAACTTCTTCCGCTGCATCTTTGGTATACATGCTTTCATTCCGTTTATGATGCGGATGCACAAGCTGCTTCCAGCTAAATTTTATGGCGCCATGGGCTACCGTGTGTTTAGCTTCCTCTTCAATTGGACAGACACCAGATGGGAGATTGACCTGCGCGATCGCATGTTCCAGTTTGCACCCGTTTATGTCAGCGCTGAGAGCATGCGTTGGTGGCTCGGAAGAGAATGCTTTGCGAAGCAGAAGTGTATCCTTGCTACGAAAGAGGAGGGGCACATGGAAGACGAAGAGGATGAGGAAGAGGATGAAGTCATTCGCCGTTACTACGATGGCGAACACACCGACACCGAAAAATCTCCCGACAGAGGCGATCAAGAACGGCCTACCAGGGATCAACCAGGGCTGCCACATCAAGATCGAGACAAGAGCGAGGAGCGCGGCAAATACGCGTGGTACAATGAACAGTTCCCTCCGCTAGCCATGTGGGTAGCCGGGAACGATGATCTTGTTGATGGTCGACGCCTCCTGAGGCGCTTTGATCGTGGTCGTGAGCCACATGTCAATGTCGTGCACAAGAATATCATTGAAGGATACGAGCATCTCGATGTCATCTGGGCCATGGATGTTATCGAGAAGGTCGGCAAAGAAGTTAAGGATGTCATTTGGGCGACAGCGTCAGAGGAAGCACGCAAGCAGTGCCGCACCCCTGTTGGTTGTCAAAGCGAAGTTTCAAAAGACCAAAGGAAGGCGGACGGCAACCTAGCAGACAGTTTCCACGACGAAAAGGGTTTGCCTGACATGGGCGTCGACATTAGCAAAGCAAACACCGACACCAAGGATCCCGGACCTGTAAGCCCCACGCAAGTCGACACTACAGCAGGAGAGTGGAGCCATGACTTGAAGTACGATAGGAAGGAAGCCGAAAATAATGCCCAGGAACAAAACTAGCCTGAGTTGCATCAGGATCGATATTTTGCATTGATGGAAGTATGTGTTGTCTGCATTGATCATGTATTTTGTCATCGTTGCTTTTTTAGAGATATACTCATCATTAAATATACGACATACTAACCACATAACTATATTACCATCAAGACTGCCTCCATGCTCGGAAAGAACAATGTGCACGACTGAGAGGCGGAAGGAATGGTTTGACTTTCAAGGATACAGGACGTGACACTACGATGTACTCGTCCAGCGCACCAAGTTTTGTTACGTTCAGTGACTGATGTAAAGATGCAGCTGGCTGGTCAGAACCAGTATGCCCTGTGACGGCTTCATGGGCTCAAAGGGGCTCTCCAGATATGTAACGATGCTCCAATCGAGGGACGTCCAAGGAACCCTTGCTTCGTAATGGCTTTGTTCAAATGCGCGGGGTCTGCTTTTGTCCCTTTCATTTGGTCGGTGAATTATACTTGTCCTTCCAGATCCAGCTGCTTCCCACGCTCTTTCGACCAGCGCCTTCAGCCAACCGCAGATACTGTGCTGCTTTGAACTGCAAACTTGTGTGAGCCAATGACTCGAAAAGGAGTACACGAAGACCAACTTACCTTATCTTTCGGCCCGCCGAAACCTTCTATGTAGCACCAGGCTGCTTCTTCCAGAGCGTCAGGATCGCCTAGATTGGCAGCAACCTCATAGTAGCTCCTCGCAGCGACTTTGTCCACTTTGATACCCCAACCATAGCGGAAGCAGTTTGCCAGCTCAAATATGGCGAGAACCAGCTCGCCTTTTGCTTCACCACCCGTCTTGGAACCTGATGAAAGAGCCGCTGACTCAATAGCTGCACTGTTCGAGGCTGCTAAACTCAGGTAGTGTATTGCAGCATCTGCAGAAGGCGTTATGCCCCAGCCGTGTCGTAGAGCAAGGCCGTATAGTACCTGACACAGAGGATTGTTTGCACCGTCAGGATCTGCGAGCTGTCCAAAGATTTGGGTCGAACGTTCTAGGTCGCCTTGCTCATGTAAACGAATGGCTTCTTGAATGTCGGCTTCGCCCTCCTCAAGAGAGGCATTCCGCGTGTGCCCTTTCTTTTCGCCAGTCTCCGACCTCTCACCGTGCAATATGGGGTTCTTGAGGGCCATCATGGTAGCTCGCTTCTCCCATTGCGCTTCCCGCTGCACTTTATTCTCCTTGGTCTCCGTCTCTTTTACCCTGCCCTTGGCATCTGGAGGATCCAACGGTGCTGGCGTGTTTTGAGGCGCGTCGCCCAGGTCGGTCGGCAGATGAGAGCTGCTCTCGCTTTTGGATAGACCCCGTGACCTACCAAAATGCAGTCTCTCGGAGAGTTTGCGCTCATTCTTGGGTCGTATCGGAAGAGTAGTAGGGATCTCCTTTTCTTCAGAGTGGGACGAGAGAGCACTGTTGCTGCCAATGCTAGAAGCAAAGTTTGCGCTGCTCTTGCGAAAGATATTGCGGCGTTTCCTCTCGGTGGGCCCTTGGCCAGATGCTACTGGGACTTCGTCGCCTGGATATGACGGTGGTATGATGACTTCCTGCTCGTGTGTCGTCGTTCGCATAAAGGTGAACTCTGGTATCGGGTTGGGTAGACCTGGCAGAGAAGTTGCGCTGACGCTACGTGTGCTCGCTGCATCGCCTTGAATGTTAGACCGCTTCTTGAGCACGTCTCTCAGCGGCATAGTGGGGATGGATATGTGGAGTATGCGATGTGCACCCGAGACGAATGTCAGCGTGGCCTTATGGAATGTCGAAACAGTCGAGAGATCGGGGGTTTCTTCGTCGTCGTCTGTATGAGAGCCATGGACAGGTCAGACGAGCAATGCTGGCCATGCTGGTGACTTGTGAGGAGGCAGCGCTTGCGGCTGTGCTGATCCGGCCAAGCCTTCCGATATGTACTCTGCCGTTTCACCATGTCGATTGCATCAGTAGCCGCTTACCATGACATGACTACATGCTCCGAAGATACATCACCTCAACCTGAACAATGACATGAACCTGCTCGACGGACTGAACATCTCACGCCAAACACTCTTCTGCATCAACACATAACCCCAGGGCGCAGGAAAATCAAGTTCATTCAATCAGAATACTTTCTCGGCTGTCATTATATCTTTCTATTCGAGTAATGTAATGTTCTTTCTGTCTTTCTCATCGAACTGCTCTTATCATCTTTCTTCCAATTCCAAGGGGATCTCTCCGTCAGGTGCCAAATGACTTCCATGCGCGGCCGGTTTCAAAGTCAGAAACATCAATAGCATGCACCTTGATATGACAAGGCCGTCGAAGAACCAAAGCTTCTTGGCGAATGCAATCAAGAGAAACCAACGTAGTCCTGCTGCTGGGAGAGCTCATGGTCGCGCTCATCAGTGCCGCCCATGACTTCGTTATCACTGAAGTTGTCCGAGTCTACATCATCGTAACCGATCTCATCGTAGCTCTCTTCGTCACTGGATAGATCCGAGGTCTCGGCTTCATCCATCTTGACTTCTGTCGACTTGGCCTTACGCATGTTGCCGGCCGTGTCGACGTGTGGAAGTCTACACTTTTTGTTACGGCATATACCTGTGTTAGCATAGTCGGGACACTCGAACACATGGCGCTCGGTACAATCAGCACCCTTCTCGCAGTAGCCAATGGTACCAAACGCCCGACAGGCGGGCGCGACAGGATTGACAGCAACGTGGGCATAGCGACATTCTGAGTTGGTGCAATTGCCGCGAAGAAAATGAGTGCAAGCAGGGACGCGGTGGGGATTGGTCTCATGGGAAAGGTTGCAAGCATCACCAGCAGCGCAACGGCGAGACCGGAGGAAGTCTTTGCAGACAGCGATCTTGTTTGGGTCGTGGGTGTAGCGGCAGCGGTTGCCGTAGGCGCACATACCTGCGAGATATGGTTAGTAACAATACAAAAGGCCTACCAACGGATATGTTGAGATGATCGCTCTCATTCAGATCCGTCGCGCAAGGACCGGTTTGGTGGCGTGTGGAGTATTGGGTACCCGTAGCAGTGAACCTTGGACACAATTCCGTGCTCTTTTTGACGTCGTTATCCCTGTTATCACCCAATCAATCAACAACCGTCTTTCCCAAAGCTCTTGACTCTTTTCCCAGTACCTCATGGATTTCTTTACCAGACCAGCACGGTAGAGATTACCAGTCTTACTCCTATGGAAGGTGACGCCTGCGACTTTGGTCGTCTTAGGCGTAGCCCCGGGATCTGTGTTCGAGTCGTCTAGGAAGGTGAGATGATGCGTCAAAGACTTGGCCAAGTATGCTCACCGAATATGCGTATCAGCTTGCTTCCGTCGGCGGCGACGCGGAATCGAATGTTGTTGATTTGGATGTCCCGTACAGCGACAGTCCCTGTAGACGGCAGAGCGCCATATGAGGTGGATGCGGACTGCTGAGGTAGGAAGGCCTTGATGACTCTTGCCTTCTCCTTTTCGTCGCGTAGACGCTGTTTCTCCTGCTGGGTCGCTTCGATCTCCAGCTGGCGCTGTTGTGTTTTTTGATCGTAGACGGCAGTGTTGATCAGTTGCATGTGGCGATCGCGCTTCGAGACCCACTGGCCAGAAGGAGTGAGAGCGGGCGTGGCAGGAGAGGCTTGTTGACCGGCAGGCGCGCCAACGGAGCTGTTAACAACGAGAGAGCGATTGCGGTACGAAGGAGCGTATGCAGGCTTGTGCGAGAAGGCGCGAGGAGCGTGATATGGCGCATATCGATCAGGCGCATATTGTTGACCAGTCCATCCAGCTCCACGGCCTCTTGGATGGTAGCCTGAGCCACGACCTGCCGGCGCACCATAGGTCGGCGCCGGGGGCCCGCTTCCTGATTGTCGTTGTTGATCGATGCGTCCTGCCGTCATGTCAGAAGCATATTCAGGCGCAAGCCGATTGCTATCAATACCTGTGAGGGCCGCAATCTTGGCGCGCAGCTCTGCTTCCTCGTTCATATTGATTCACAGTAGGTTAAGAACACGATAATGCTAATGTGCGAGCGAAGTCGTAATGTTGTAGGAGATCGCAAGAGTTGGTGACGGAGTCGGTGAAGGAGAGAAGCAGGCACGATCATGGGTGACGATATACTTCCGCTTTGGGTAGCTTCTTTTCTCTGATTGGCTGCTGCTTACTGACTGTCGCCTACCTATGCTGCTGTAGCACCGCCTCTCACTCCAGCAAAGATAAACACGAAACGTTTCCCCGGCCACTTGCTCGTAGACTAAGGTTGCTTTGCTTCGATTCTCGTCGCCGTCTGATGTCGAGAGAGTCGCTCTGTGGTGTTGTTTCAATAAATCTGCAATTGGTTGCGACGGCTTAGATTCTCGATTACCTCATCAATGTCGAGGGGTAAGTAGATATTTTCTTTTGACACACACTCAAGCACTCTGCAATTGATTACTGCTTTACCCCTTGCCACAAATCAAGCTGTGGATACACAGCAGCCTTGTACCTGTTACCACTAATGACACAAGCCCACTGGCTCGATCAATACGCCTCAAGCTATCATGAATGGCACGAGGCACAGGACAAAGGAAGACATTGCTTTTACCGACCCCTAGGAACTGTGGAGACAGCATTTGACTCTGATGGTATCTATTACCAGGGTCGTGCAGATGTTAACGCCTTTCTCGAACTCGAGGTCAAACACCATCTGTCAAAGGACCAACTCCAGAGGAGAATCACACTAGCATGGGCAGTCCTCAGGCTATACCACGTTCTTTTGCTAGCGCGCGCCGTGGACAAAAAGCCATACATGACTGCTGGGAACGTTGCCCAGCGGCGCTTCTTCCTGATATGTCCCCCTGTGGGACCTGAGGATGCAATCTCGGATGCGACCAAGTCGTTGGCTTTCATTGAGCAGCCGCTGGATGATCGTGAGCTTCCTTCTCAATTCTATCGTCATGCCCAGAATACAGGTCGCGTGGTAAACGCTGATGAGTATCTCGCCAAACTATTCATCTTTCCAGTCGACGCCACCGTGGGGACCAAGACCAGCTTGAAGTTCCTGTTTGTCAAGGGCCACCAGATTACAGACGGCCTGACCAATTTCACATGGTTGAGTCATTTCGTCAAGCTCCTGAATTCACCAGTGATAACTCTGGAAGAAGCTGTCAGTAGTCTCTCACAACGAACTTCGATCCAGACTCGACTGCCACTGCCGCAAGAGGACTTGTATCCTCGAATCACCGGCCCAAGGGCGAGAAAACGCTGGTTCTGGCTCTTGACGGTTGTACTGCGACATGTGAAGAAACCTTTGCCGTCGGCATTTGCAAATCCGTTGCGCCGAACCCGGCCTCTCAAGGAAGCAACTGCAATGCCTCCGATTCATGCCAGATACTTGAACTACGATGTCAAGCCCCCGTTGAATACCTTCACATGTATGGCCAAAGTTCCACAGTCTGCCACCAAAAGGCTTCACAAACTGTGTCGCGAAGCGGGTACGAGCATTGGTGCAGGTGCTTTCGTTCTTGTAGCCATGGTCATGATGTCTCTACACGAAGATCTTTACCCTGACGAAGCTCAAGAATCGCGTCGCCCGTTCATCGGTAGCTTCCCCATCAATCCCCGACCATTCTTTAAGCATCACGAAGCGCCTAACTCAATGATGCTCGCATTCTCGGACGGTGTATTGCTTCCATTCCTACCTTCATCACTCGATCTTGAGTCTCGCTTCAAGCTGCTTGTCAAACAAGCACATCGACAGCTCTCTTTGTATCAAAAACGTGCAAAAGTTGAAGAGACTGATGCACCTGCCTACATGGGTAGTAGAGGGGCAGGCCGTGTAGTCGCAATGAATTATGTTGGTGCTATGGAAAGACTCCGAGCAAAGCTTCCTGAAGAGTTTCGGAGCAGCTTGGGAAACCACAGCCCTCAGGGAGATCTCACTGCAGCGCAGAATGGTAGCATGGCCACATGTGGAGTAAGTTCGGTAGGACGGTCTGCATGGCGAAAGGGAGAATATGATGTCGATCGAGAGCTCGATGAAGGTGAAGATGCTTTCGTGGCAGATTATCGATTCAGCAAACAAAACGTTCGTGCCCGAGATGGCGAGTTTCTCGTCGGAGTATGGGGCGACGATGATGGTATCGCTGCAAACGTTTCCTATGACGGCAATGCTATTGACGAAGATCTGGTGAGAGAATGGCAACGCAGAATGGAATCTCTCCTGGCAGAAACGGAGTCGAAAGCCAGACTTTGAAGTTGCATCACGGAACGAAACAGCATCATACATTTTGTTCCGGTTTCTCCTTGCGCTCGGAACTTTCGGATCACCAAGTACCGTAGGGACGATCAAGCATTACAGATGTGATACACTTTGTGTGAGAGAGACCACTCAATCGTCCCCACAGTTCCCCGCAACGGGGTCGCCAGTGGAGAGGTAACCCTAAACTTCACGGAACGGCAACTTCGCAATCCGAACCCTACTCCATCCTGAATGCATATCGAGCAAGCCCGAAAGAAAGGCTGGTGGTACATATAGCACGAGGTCATCTCCTGTCGATGGAACATCAACAACTTCTGTTGCTCTTCAAAGATGGACTTTTTCAAACAGCTGCCGGTCACCTTCCAAGCTGGCGTATTTCTTCTAAGCATTATCGGATGTTACGCTTTTGCAAGCAGGATACAGAGATACAGGAATGAGCGCGATCTTTTACCGTTACCACCCCAGCCTCCTGGCTCGTTCTTTGTTGGCAACATGACCGAGGTGATTGCTGCTTCCAAGATTGGCCAACAACATCTGCTTTTCGAACGCTGGGCTCGAGAACACGGAGAAATCTACCGTGTGCGTGTTGGTCCTTTCACAGAGTACTTCATCAACTCCGACGCGGCAGTGAAAGAGATATTCGACAAAGCATCTGCCCAAACAGCCGAACGACCTCGCTGGATTGTTTCCAATGAGCAGATATGTAACCAACTCAATGTGTTGTTGCTCAATGCTAGCGATCCTCGCTGGAAGCATCAGCGCAAGGTCATCCACTCCGGTCTCACAAGTATACCGAGAGCAGATGCTGGCTTACCGTACCTCCACTATGAGACTGCAAAGTTCATGCAAGAACTCGCCAGCAATCCTACTATAGGCCGTGAGAGCAAGGAACTTTACAGTGCCATTGGACGTTACACTTATAGCACATTCGCTTCTCAGACCTTTGGCATGGACATACCCGACACCAACGATCCCACAATCGACTACATATTTGAGACTGGCCTAGCACAGATCCAGGGGACACTACCTGGCAATCATATTGTTGATATCTTACCGTGGATGGACAAACTCCCGATGTTCCTCAAGCCATGGGAGCGTAACGCTCGGAGGAGATTCAAGCGGGATATGAGTTGGTGCGTGGAACGTCTTATGCGAATCAAGAAGGGCAGGACCCGTAACGTAATTCAAGATGCCTTCTTGCCACGTGTTCTAGAGGACGAGAAGAATCTCGGTTTCGGTAGTGTCGAGGAAGCAGCATACCTCTCGCTCCAACTCATCATCGGAGCTGCTGACACAAGCAAGATGTCCACTTGGTCTTTCTTGGAGGCCATGATGACCTACCCGGAAGTTCAGGAGAAAGGTCATCATGAAATCGTCAAGGTCGTTGGTGATCGCGCGCCTGTCTTTGAAGACTTGGAGCAGATACCGTACGTACGATGCTTGATGAAAGAAACATGGCGATGGCGCCCTCCGGTCGCTCTCGGACATCCACATACCACCACGCGCGACCTCGAGTATTGCGGCTATCGTGTTCCCAAAGGCTCACGGTTACATCTCAATGCATGGGCCATACAACATGATCCCGATCGTCACGAAAATCCTGATCGTTTCTGGCCTGAGAGATATGCTGAAGACCATACAAATACTATGCAAAGCATCAACGCGAGTGATGTTCGTAATAGAGATCATTTCGCCTTTGGTTCAGGTCGTCGAGTTTGTCCAGGGTATCATGTCGCGGAACGCTCTCTTGCTGTTGCCATCATGCGTTTGTTGTGGGGCTTCAAGATTGCGCCTAGCACCGATGCAAAATTGCCTTTGAATCCAAGCAACTTTGCTGGAGAGATGCCCGGCAACCCCGGCGAACACATGCCTGTCACTGTCACGGTCCGTGATGAGAAGACACGCGCTGCAATTTACAAAGCTTTCAAGGACGCAGCAACTGACCGTGTTCAGCTTGTAGGTTGGCCTCAAATCCAACTCTGACACTTACTAACTTCTTGCCATAGGAGCCGCTCGCTTGATTGGCGTAACAGTTCCCACGACCAAATCACTTACGGGTCAATGAGGGGGCGAGGTCGTGGTTTGTGATTCGTGTGCTTCCTGGCCTGAAGCCCGGGACTTCCCCATGAATCTTATCTGGGCAAGAATACTATGCGAGATCCGGTTTGCCTGGTCATGGAGGGAGGTAAAATGAGATGAAGTACAAATTTCTGAGGTTTGTCGCTTCTCGTCCATAGCAGTTTAAGGGACACGAAAATATCGCAGGATACAGCTGTGGTTGCGTTACCATTGTTTGATTGTTTTACCGCACAAAGGTGATAAGTAATCTTCAATTTGATTCATACGAGTCCTGTTTGGCAGATAATAATGTGACGAAGAGATGCTCTTTGCAATGAGCATGCTTGATCGAATCTGTCAAAGTACCATATTCACCCTAGAGACTATTTGATAACTCAACACCAAACCACCCTTAACATATTGCCAGCATGTGGATAAGAGGAACCGTCGTGACCAACCAGCCGAGCATCAACTTGGTGTCTAACATTGTTCGCAAGGACTGCATCAATGGGCTGTGCCATTGGCAGTGCCACTAGCCTTCGCTTTGTCGTTTGACGACTTCGAGGCCTTGAATTTAGCGACCTCCTTGGTAACCGATTGATCCAGTCGAGCCTTGAGCTCGGGACGGTAACCCAGGGAGAACAAGACCTCGAGCCAAACGAAGAAAGGGGCGAGAAAAAGAGCCTGGACGAGGTTGTCGAGAAGAGCAGGGGCGCGACCTTCGAAGATGCCGTGTCCGACGAACTGAGCAAGCCAGGCAAAGACGTGCAAAGCGATGGCGTAATAGTTGGCCGTCATGCCATAGGTCGAAGTGAGGTGGTTGGCGTAAGCAGTGGCAGAGAGTAGAAGGGGCGCCAGTAGACCTCCAGCGACGGGCTCCATCAAAACATAAAGTGTAGCGTATAATGTAGCCACAATCGTACCTAAATTGGCTGGCAAGTTGGGTATAGTGATGGCCTCAGGAAGAGGGATCTCGGGAGTATTTGTGCACTGCACGTATCAGCGGCGAGACTGATGCTGTCGGAATGCTATGTGACTTACAAAAAGGAAGGCGGTCAGAAGGATCAAAGGAACACAGGTGATGTGAATGGCGATGTTGATCTAGGTTATTAGTCATTGATCAGTCGTAAGTAAGATATAGTGATTGCAGCTCACAGGATTATGGTGGTAAGAACCATACTGGAACCAGTCGTTAGCTGTCATTTATCAAACGAGTGAGAGGCAATGATTGAACGTACGAAGAGAAGCTGCTTCTCGAGATTGAGGGACATGATGTTGTTACGGATACACCGAATTGTCTGATTTTATAAAACGGGTGTCGATGAAAAACGTGGATAGATCTTGACGACGTGGTCAGACCGACAACACGTTGCGTATACGGTGGGTGTGCAGTCCCGAGCAAATGGAGTGAAAGAGGTGTGAGGGAGGTCGACAGCAGTTGGAGAACAGGATGCGCGAAGCGGGTTCGGACGGAAGACAAGTTGTTGGCTGACGGCCAAGCAGCATGACAAAGTTGATCAGGACTCTGCGATCACAACACTCAGGCGATAGTGGTATGGACGGTATTCTGCAAAACGTATTCACTACATTCAGATAGATAAAGATGACCTTTCAGTTATGATGGCAGTCATGGTTGGCATGTGCGATGCCGAGGTAAATACCATAGAGCCAAGACAATGTGCCACAATGCAGCCACTGGGACCTGCGCAACCAGGGATCCTTGGACCTTGACGTGACCAGTAGAGTGCGCATACATAAGGTAGCTTGTTGAACCACATATTCTCAGCTTTTGACGCAAGAAGAATGCCGGAAGCATGAATCGACTTTGCAAAAAGCACCGTAAAGGGTGTTGAATGGGAACGGTGCCAAGGCGTCAACGCGACAAAGATGGAGGAGTACGGGGTCGTGACACGAGTGTCGATGCTACGACTCAACACCACTCTTGTGACTGATCATATACCGACCCACTAATGCTCTTGCAGTTCATTGACCAGTCTTTCGAACAACGCCGTCTGTAGATCACACACCAGGCAAGGGCAATCGAGCACGCAACAGCCAGTCATGGCGTTCCGCGATGTCGAGGAAGCGCTTCCCTTGACCAGGCACGACGCCAACCAGACAGACGAGCAAGGGCAACCCAGGCCGTCAGCATCTTCTATATCCACAACATCGCTCGTTCTAGAGCATCTCTCCGGTCATCCGAATTCGGTAGAGGCTAAAGAAGCCCTATATTCACAACCGCGATCCGAAGAGTTCGAATACGACGACCGGGCGGCGTGGCAGCACAAGAGTCATGGTATCGACTCCAAGGCCCGTCGTATTCTATACATACTCGCTTCAGTGGCCGCTGTAGGCTGGCTTGCTGCCCTGGCTCTCTTCCTGTCTTCAGGCTCACACAAATCGCTTGCAAGTCGCCCTCACAATCCACATGCCACCAAAACGGCAGGACACGGTCAAAAGATTTCCCTAGAACAAGTATTGCGGGGTGACTTCTATCCCAAGAACCACGGCATATCATGGATCGGGGGATCACAAGGAGAAGATGGCATGTTGCTGCAATGGGGAGGAGAAGGAGGTAGGGATTACTTGGTCGTTGAAGAAGTCAGATACATGCAAAGCGCAGAGGCTTCGAAGCAACATAGCAAGACATTGATGAAATCCGGCGCCATCTACTACAAGGACGAATTTATCAGCCCAAGCAATGTGTGGCCCAGTGCTGATCACAAACACGTCCTCATTCAATCCCACATTCAAAAGAACTGGAGACATTCGAACACTGGCAGGTACTGGATCTTCGATGTCGATAGCCAGTCGGCAGCGCCTTTAGATCCTGCTGAGCCTAACAAAAGGATTCAATTCGCTTCGTGGTCCCCGAACAGCGATGCTGTCGTTTTCACTAGGGACAACAACATGTACATTCGGAAGCTCTCGGAAAGTAAAGTGAAGTCTATTACGACCGACGGTGGCGCACAACTCTTCTACGGTGTGCCAGACTGGGTATACGAGGAGGAAGTTTTCTCGAGTAACAAGGCCACATGGTGGTCCGGCGATGGCAAATATCTTGCATTCCTTCGCACTGATGAGGCTGCTGTACCCGAATACCCAGTTCAGTACTTCTTCTCCAGGCCTAGCGGCCAAAAGCCCAAGGCGGGAGAAGAGAATTATCCAGAGGTTCGCAAGATCAAGTATCCCAAGGCTGGTGCTCCTATGTCTGTCGTCACTCTGCAGCTGTATGACATCGCCCAAGGTCAAGTCTTTACTGTTCCCATCCAGGGAGACTTTGGAGACAAAGACCGTCTTATTACTGAAGTCACCTGGGCTGGTCGTAGTGGTAAAGTCATCATCCGAGAAACCAACCGTGAAAGCGATATTCTGAAAGTTGTCCTGATCGATGCCGAGCGAAGAGAAGGCAAGACCATTCGAGAGGTTGATGTGAACGCCCTTGATGGTGGCTGGTTCGAGGTCTCTCAGACAACGACCTACGTTCCGTCGGACCCTGCAAATGGTAGGGCGCATGAGGGATACATCGACACTGTCATTCACGATGGCTACGACCATCTTGCTTACTTCACGCCTCTGGACAATCCGGAACCCGTTATGCTCACCAAGGGCAAATGGGAAGTTGTCGATGCACCATCTGCGCTAGATCTCCAGAACAACCTCGTTTACTTTGTGGCCACAAAAAAGTCGTCCATCGAGCGTCACATTTACAGCGTCAAGCTTGATGCCTCGGAGCTCAACGCTGTAACAGACGATAGTGAGATTGGTTACTATTCTGGCTCTTTCTCCAAAGGTGGAGGCTACTTGCTTCTCACGAACAAAGGACCTGGTATACCATGGCAGAAAGTCATCAACACTCCTAGTAACGGCGACAAGCTGGAGATGGTTATTGAAGAGAACAAGTCTCTCAGGGAGCTCGTCACCAAAACAGAACTTCCTATTGAGATTTACCAAACTATAAATGTAGACGGCTTCGATTTGAATCTTGTCGAACGTCGTCCGCCTCACTTTGACGAGAAGAAGAAATACCCGGTCTTGTTCTTCCTCTACAACGGCCCCGGCTCTCAGCAAGTCGACCGTACCTTCCAACTCAACTTCCAATCATATATCGCGTCGTCTCTCGGCTATATTGTGGTCACATTGGACGGTCGTGGTACTGGTCATCTTGGTCGCGCAACCCGCTGCATCGTCCGCGGTAATCTTGGTCATTATGAGGCCCATGATCAGATAGCCGCCGCTAAGATGTGGGCTGCGAAGAAGTATGTCGACGCCGAACGCATCGCAATTTGGGGATGGAGTTACGGTGGCTTCATGACCCTCAAAACTCTCGAACAAGATGCCGGCCGCACGTTCAAATACGGCATGGCCGTCGCTCCTGTCACAGATTGGAGATATTACGACAGCATCTACACCGAACGTTACATGCACACACCTCAACACAATCCAGTCGGTTACGAAAACTCGACAATCACGAATGTGGATGCTCTATCGAAGAATGTCAGATTTCTGGTTATGCACGGTGTTGCTGATGACAATGTACATTACCAGAACACATTGAGTCTGCTGGACAAGTTGGATCTGGCAAACGTGCAGAACTACGATGTGCACTTCTTCCCAGACTCAGATCATAGTATCTACTTTCACAACGCTAACAGAGTAGTATATGAGAGTGAGTTTAATCGTCCTTCATTAGAAGACATAGTGAGCTAATCTTTACCGTAGAGTTGAATAATTGGCTCATCAACGCCTTCAATGGTGAGTGGTTAAGGACACCTAATCCTACACCTCTAGCACAGATCGAGAAGTAGAAACCACACAGTAACGCATCTTGTCGTGCGGCACAGGCAGTGGCGTTAATTGCTTTTTCTTTAATCATGATCTACTATACCGTCGTAGCATAAAGTAGCTCCAAGTGGCACTATAATCATATCGCCTAAGTTCGCTCAGCGAATAGATAGTGTTTCTTCTACGTGACTGCGCATTTGTGAAATAAAGTTGGATGTAATATATGACTATGATCTTTTTGGCTGTCTTGAAATCATAAACCCCCCCCCCCCCCCCTCCAATACCTTTGGCCCCCCATCATAAAATATACATAGCTTGTCGTCCTCCTCTATTCATATCCCATCTTCTCGGTCTCGAAACCTGGTCCATCATCCGATCGTCGCTCCTTCGCCTCCCCATGATTGAATGCGCATATAAACTTGAGCAAACTCGCTTTTGTATGTCCCTGGCAGACCGTAACTTCGTCGCCAGTATAGACTCTGCCGTAAAGTTGTTTGCCCTTTCCGTCTTTGGCATTCAATTTGACACCATTGATGAAAATTCCATTGCTGCTGTCTGTCGCGATCAAACAGTGCAAATCGGGCAGCTTGGTCCAATCTGCTCCAGATCTTTCCACCTTGTCGATACCCCTGGCGTGGAAGTATATCATCAACCCACGTTTGGGTATGCGAGTATCTAAAGGATCTGGGAAAGTGACAGTGTTTGTCGGGCTTCGTCCCCAGGTCGTGATGCGAAGGGCCAAGTCAAGCGTCACAGTACAGAATGAGTCTATGCTTGAAGAAAGACGACCTAGACGAGGTGCTGGACGGATAAACTCGGGCTGCGTTTGTGCAACCGCATGCAAGGGTCTGTCAAAGTCAAAGTCGACGCCAGAGTTGACTGTTGTCGGTGGTAGTGAGTGGAAGCTCGCTCCGGGTAGAAGACTGTGATTCATGAAGTCGTGACCGCTAACAGAGGATGCATATTCGAGAGAATGGGTGCTAGGGTCAGCCGGATCGTAGAACGACGATGCAGAAAGCGGGAGGCTAATCTGACGATTGAATGAGAGCTTCCTCTGAGTCGGTTGAGGTGGGCGAGGCGTTTCTTCCATGCTCCCTCCGGTCTGTCCTACAGACGCTTGGGGTGGATCGTTGGGCGTGGTAGGAGTGGTGGGCTCACTTTCGTCAGCGGTTGCCGAGAACGCAGACTGTGAGGAATCCATATTAAGATCACGCATATCTGATTCGGCTCCTACGAGACTCGCTAAATTGGACCCGCGCGGTCCTTGTTCAGAATGAGCTCTCCTCCTGACATTCTGCAATTGATCCTCTAGTTGGTGACTGGCGGCAGACGTAAACAAATCATTCTGGGCATGATGGTCCTCTGATGCATGCTGATCCGCATAATCTGGTGGCGGTGGGGCGAACACGGGCTGCTGGTGCTGAGTACCAAAGACGCCTGAGCTCCTCACGAAAGATGCCTGAACTTCACCAAAAAGGCGAGGAGGTTGTGAATTGATCGCTGGTCTCCGAGAATCCGTGTCTTTTTCTGCGTGAACTGGATGTTGCGAGAGTGCAGGTAACTGAGACGCAATCTGTCCGCTCTTGAATCGTTTTGACTGTCGAGGGTCCATAGTATCAGAATCTCCAGAATGAGTACCGATAGCTGTTGTCGTATTCCACTTCCCATGAAGACTCAATTGAGACAAGTCGTGAGCAGCGCCTGCCTCTGCGTCCTCTTCTTCTTCGATTGTCAAGAGTCCTGCTGACGGAGGTTCGTGATCAATCTGACTCGCTTCTCCACCGAGCCAAGGGTATGATAGACACTGCAGTGCCGAAGGCCTGATGGCAGGATCAGTGTTGAGCATATCTTCAAGCAAATCGATAGCATCATCAGAGACGTGATGCTTCTCGAGGACGGTGGTGTCCAAACTAGTGCTGACGATGCGTTCGAACATCGCTTTACCAGTATTGTCCGCGATACCTTCAAAAGGCGGCTTCGTGCTCATAGCATACCAGAGTACTCCTCCAAACGACCATATGTCGACAGATGAGCTGTATGAATGGTACTTGCCTCGTTGTTGCGAAGCACCTTTTCGATCTCGCTTGCGTCCTTTGCCGTTGAAGTGCGCATCATAATGTGGGAAGACTTCTGGTGCACAGTAAAGTAATGTGCCACAAAAAGTTTTGAGAAAAGTCTCGTTGTCGGAAATGACTTTGGAGAGTCCAAAATCAGAGAGCTTGACTGTAAATGATTGAGGATTGGTGTCGGCGATGAGGATATTGTCAGGCTTTATGTCCCTGTGAGTGATCATGTTTCGATGCAGGTATGCCAGTGCATTGAAGACTTGAATTGCCACCGGTTTAGCGAGGGCTTCTGGTAGAGGACCGTTCGTTCCAAGCCATTGTTGGAGATCGCCGAAGGGTACCAGCTCCATGATGATATATAAATGGTTCTTGACATCGTGACAGTCCATGTACTGCACGATATGCGGATGGCTAATGCCTTTCATGATACGCAATTCATTGTCCAGCTTCTTGTCGATGACGCCGTTTTTCATGAATCTCCTCTTCTCCAGCTCTTTTGCGGCGAACATTTGACCGTTGCTCTTGCTATTTAGCCGGTATACAGTTGCGAAAGCGCCCTTTCCGAGATGACCAGTGACGTTGTACTTCTCACCACCATTCCAATGCATACCGAAGGGGTTGCCTTGCATCAGCATAGGCTTAGCACTGGATGAAAGCTTTGGCTGACCATTTGTGCCAGGCCGCACAGCCTGAGTCCCACCATTCTGTGCTTGTTTCTCTCTTGCGAGATTGACATGGTCTAGATAGGCAGCAAACCTCTTGCCATATTCTTCGTAGTGGTTGTCCCTCGAGGGAATACGGAAGATGAACTTCAAAGTCTCGTCTCTCTTAGTCGACAAGATTTGAATGACCGAACCAGCGGTGAGCATCATGGTAGCGGCGTTGTTATTTCTTCCTCTGAGAAGCTTACCATCGACTATCGTGCCATTAGTGGACATGTCATGGAGCATGCAGACGCCTGCATCGGTCATGTAAATCCTGAAGTGCATATTGCTGACTCTTTTGACCGTGTCTGTGTCGATGACGACGTCGCAGGCATTCTCATTGCGACCAAAGACGAAGCCCATGGCGGGATTGTGTACTTTGGCAGACATACGAAGAGCAAGGTCCAGAGGATGTCTCTGGTCGTCCCCGGGCGGCGCAGGAAATGTCTCCTCCTTTTCAAGATCTGCGATGCTCAAGCCATCGCTATAGGTGCTTTGTGTGACATTTTGTAGGACGTGTTGTGGAGATCTCAGAGCAGTATTGACGACGACTTGATAGGCGGCAAGCGAGCATGGATGTAGAATACAAACAACATCGGCGACTTCGACTTCGTCGAGCTCTGGCTCGTCTTGTTGTGTGGCCTGCTGGGTGGCTTGTTGAGTGGCTTGCTGGGTGGACTGCGTCTCTTGCTGGGCAGGTTGGTGCTGTGTTGGGGTGCGATCCAAATTCGCGTTTGCTCTCGAAGCGACCATGGTGATATACAGGACGACGTTTATCGCACGTCAGGTGGATGTGCCGAGTGCCTAAACAACCCCAGCCGTAGCCCAGCCAGGGCCGGGGCTTCAGACGAGGAGACTCGACGGTTTGTCGACGAAATCGACAGGGCGCTGAAGTACTTGATAGCCCGAAATTTCTATGCTTTGCTTGTTGCAATGGACGCGATATGCTCCTTGGCGATGCTTTCGGGATGATTCTGAATGTCTCGGTATCCCCAGATTCGGGCGAGGCCTGTCTGTCGCACGCACGAGTAAATGGTGGAAGGCGAGGATAACAGGCAACGGTAGTCTTAGCGATGGTGTTAAACGGGACGGATTCCGTATGAAGAGGTCAATTCAATTGATCAAAAGTGTGTTCAACAAACACAAAGGGAAAGACGGTCGCGGGTCGCGAAACAGTTACGGTACGAGCAGCTAACGCGAACGATCGACAATTAGTTGCCTCTTCAAGTTATAACTGCCAAGACTAACCCATAGCGGCTGCCTGTCTTGTCTTGACAACCTTGACATCTATCAAGTGACTCACCAAACACGTCTCTCCCGTGTCTCTGTTGAATCAATCGAGAATGCACCCTGCGTCACCGTAAGGACAGAATGTTGCTCCCAGGCTAAGCTCTGTGCTTGTGCTGAAGAGTTGCACTAGATTTGCGTCCCTCGGCTTCGAGTATTCCACCGTCGTGGATTTTTGAAAAGGTGATCAGTGAGAGGAGAAAATTGAAGTCCTGCGTGGTGACAGCTCGCGCTTTCCGGGACGCGAGAGAGTAGGTGTTAGTCGGACCTGCCGTAGCAAGTCACGTATCTCTCTCTCGTTTTCTCACCTATACCCGCTCAACTCCGATGTGTATTCCTCTCACCAGACGCATCTGACATGGTTCTATCGCCGGTCGCCTCGCCGCTGGCACCACGTACTAAATGTGCCAGATTGGAAACCTACACCCAAGATACCGCTGTTCAAGGTGACGGCGTCGCTCCGTCCCCACACGCGACCCCAGGACGTCCCGGCCATCCAGGAACTTTCTTCGATTGTCAAGGCGACAGGAAGCTTGCCGGATATCTCGGTTTCTCAAGCACATCGGAGCTTTACATCTGCGGTGTGTCATGGCCGCTTCTACGTGCTTCAGTCGCTATACAACCCATACTTCACAAACTCAACCAGGAACTATCGCTTGCTCTGATTCGTGATGCCGAGCGCACTGGAGAAGGAGGGGGAGAAGCAGTAATGATCGATCGAGGGTGGTCTCTTCTGACTTCCTGATGGTAAAGGTCCGCCAAATGCGAGAGAAGCCGAGCATCTTGCTATCGTCTTGGTCAACTTGAGAGCCGACCTAGTCATCATGACCTCCGCCACAGACAAGCAAAATCAAATACAACACCAACACGGCTGTCAGAACTTCACAAAAATCTACCCCTCTCACCGATATCCGCAACTCAGCTACCCTGTCAGAGCTCCCATTATGACAACATGACGGTCAGGCAGAATCTTCAGGATGAGCCTTGGGAGGATACTCTGCCCACCTTCGCTGTTGACAATGTGGATACATCACAGGTGGTCTGAGAAGTGTTTTGATCCGTCACTAGATCGGATGTTTTTTGAAATGAGTCCTGCGGCTTTGGCTCTTCTCTTCTACTTCGCTATGTCCTGTAGCTCGAAATGAGAGGCACTAGATAGAAGTCGACCAGTCTTTCTTGTCACCAGTACGACCCTGTCCAGTAGCTCAACGGTCTTCAAACCGATGGCTATCCGTCTAATTTGCAAGGCTACTACTCTTACTAGTGGCATTTTACCTGCGTCCGAGAATGGTGTCGTGTATAACGTCGTGTGGTGTTGCGGAAGATTGTGAGATACATCTCCCTGGATGTCGTGAATGCTCACCCCACGTTGGTACCTTTTACTTTTGCCGAGATAGCAAGGCAGACTATGGGGTCTTTACTTTGAAGATGTGCATACAGTAAGTATAGCGAGCCAAGTGGTACTCTTTCCGATAAGTATCAAGCTTTACACTGTAGCTATGTCTCGAGAAGTCAATCTCATACATGTTCCCCAAGTTCCCCAACTGACTTTGTCCAAAGGCAGAGTGCGGGGTGGTCGAGAAGCTTGCCGTTGACTGGCACAACTGACATCAGATTCGCTGCTTCCCGCTTTGCGCAACAACTACGTTGCGCACCACACAAATCGCGCAAACCGACATCCACAACATGTCGGCAAAGATTCAAAAGACGCTTGCACGACAGCAAGAGAAGTAGGAGTCCTCTTGATGCCACTATCAACAGGAAGCTGACGGCAGCTACAGGGTCAAAGAAGGCCAATTCTACGAAGCTCATCAACAGCTACGCGTTATCGCATCCCGCTACACAAAGTCGAGCGACTGGGGTTCCGCCGTGGATCTACTCGCCTCCGGTGCTTCGATGCTCCTCAAGGCTGGTCAAGGAGCATCTGGAGGTGACTTATGCATGTTCCTCATGGATGTTTACGGCAAGGCCGAACTCAAGCCCGATACTACAAACAAGGCGCGCCTGTTGAGTCTATTGCGCGAATTTCCCGAGGGAGAACCTACAAGAAAGAGATTTGCTGGAGAAGTGATCGGGTACATAAATTGCTCGCCTCTAAGCAGACCGGCACCAAGCTGACTCTTGTATAGATGGTCTTCCAAGTTGGGCGAATATCCTGCTGGAGACCCTGAACTGCACCATGTCATAGGCACACTCTATGCCGAGGGTATGTCTGATACTAAATTGGGGGAGACCGGCTAACTTTTGAGCAGACGGCGAGGCTATTGAAGCGGAAAAACATCTCACGCTGGGAACGGCGGACTCAGCAGCAACCTTCTCCTCACTCGAATACGACTGGTACACATCCGATGAGCCGTCGACTGCCCCACTCTACGCAGCTCGTGTTGTATTCCCTTACTTACTGGTTGGCAATGTTCGTGCCGCAAACAAAGCCTTCCTGCTATTCACATCCAAGTTGTCGTCATCAAATCCCGGTCTCGGCGTGCAAGAAGTTGGCTCTACCTCATCCGATCTACGTGTGTACCCCAGCCTGCCGCTACTCAACTTCCTTGGTCTTCTCTTGTTGGCCGTCGAGAAAGGATCCGCGGATGTTTTCAAACAGCTCAAGAGTCATTACGCCTCATACATCAGAGACGCAGGAAACTGGAACGAAGCGCTCGCCCAGGTCGGAGAGATGTACTTTGGCATCAAGATCCCTAGTCAGAGCAATCCGCTATTCGACATGATGAATTCGTTTATGGGAGGAGGTGGTTCGGGAGGTCAGAAAGCGGCCAGCAGAAGAGTGGAAGCAGCACCTGCTCCAGCTCCCGCATTGGATTAAGGTGGTCTTGTATTCAAGCAAGAAAAGAGATCGAGTAAAGAACACGAACCAGTCGATATTACTCTCGTTTGGCTCCCAGAAACAGACAAGCTTGTGCTCGTCCGCGATGGTCGTAAGTGGTGACACGTACACATTCACTGTGAAGTGATGCTCATGGTGAATCTTATCAAGAAACATGGAGATAACGGCGTTTCCGGATGGATCGCGTAGCCAAGCTTTCGAACGGTTCCTGAGTGGAGCCAGTAATCGTCACCAACAGAAGATCGATACGACTCGGACGGCAGATTGCAGCAGCAGCCTTCTTTCCTCTCTCCATCCACCGGCTGACGTGCCTCTGTATCGCCATCACACGACACCCATCGAGCACCAATGCGCGACTCGACTGAATACCAGACGGTGTTCCAGTCGACAGTCGGCTTGCATTACCTCGGCGTCTCGAGCCACCCGGCCCACCGTCAGCCATTATGCCGCAATGTTGAAGGATGGGGCCCCATCAGTCCTTTTCGCTATGACTTTACGCCCTGCTTTCTCGATGTCTGGATCGCTTCCGTCTCTGCGTTCGGTCTCATCTTCGGAGCTGGTGCAATCTACTATCTGCTGAAGAAATGCAGTCCCCAGCCCGTAAAGCAAGATTGGCACTTCTACACCAAATTGTCTGTCCTCGCCGCCCTCGCTGCCACCACAGTTCTTCAGGCCATCTTTCAGATCGCAAACTTTGGCAGCGTCTGGGCTGGCGACTTCCGCTTCTGGGCCACCGTCCTAAATCTCGCATCCATCGGCCTCATCTTCTACATTCAGTACCTTGAACATTGGCGATCTCGCCAACCCAATGGAGTCGTCTTGGTCTTCTGGTTGTTGCTCCTCATTGCCTATGCCGTCAAAATGCGTTCGCTCGTATCGCAACAGCTATACCGTACCGAGCTCCCGTACTTCGTCTCCTTTGCCGTCAGTGTCGCCTTGGCCGCTCTTGAATTCGGTCTCGAATGGCTCGTGCCGAAACGTCTCAGTGACTATGACGCACTTGGGGACGAGGATGAATGCCCTATGGAGTATGCCAACATCTTTTCGATCCTCACTTTCGCCTGGATGACACCGATGATGAAGTACGGTTACAAGAACTTCTTGACTCAGGACGAGCTATGGAACCTTCGCAAAAGAGACACAACCGCTGCAACCACTCAGGCCTTCAACGATGCCTGGGAGCAAGAGCTGGAAAAGAAGAAGCCAAGCCTTTGGATCGCTCTGGCTCGTGGCTTCGGCGGTCCGTACATTCGTGGTGCCATGATCAAGACCATTTCAGATGTCTTGGCCTTTGTTCAGCCTCAACTTTTGCGTCTCTTGATCTCTTTCATTGCCTCTTACAAGACCGATACGCCTCAGCCGCCTATTCGTGGTGCTGCCATTGCTCTTTCCATGTTCGCCGTGTCAATCTCACAGACACTCGCATTGCATCAATACTTCCAAAGAGCCTTTGAGACTGGCATGCGTATTCGCTCATCACTGACTGCCGCCATCTATCACAAGTCGATGCGTCTCTCAAACGAGGGTCGATCTGCAAAGTCCACGGGTGATATCGTCAATTACATGGCCGTTGATACCCAACGTCTGCAAGACCTTGCTCAATATGGTATGCAGTTGTGGTCAGCACCCTTCCAAATCACGCTATGTATGATTTCACTCTATCAGCTCGTAGGCGTGAGCATGTTCGCTGGTGTTGGTGCCATGATTGCAATGATTCCTATCAACGGCGTTATTGCGCGCATTTCGAAGAACCTCCAGAAGAAGCAGATGAAGAACAAGGATTCAAGAACCCGTCTTATGACCGAGATTCTTAGCAACATGAAATCCATCAAGCTCTATGCCTGGACCACTGCTTTCATGAACAAGCTCAACTACATTCGCAATGACTTGGAGCTCAACACTCTTCGCAAGATCGGCGCTTCTATGGCCCTAGCCAACTTCACCTGGTCGACTACTCCTTTCTTTGTCTCTTGCTCAACTTTTGCAGTGTTCGTCCTTACTGGTAACCAAGCGCTCACGACAGACATCGTGTTCCCTGCTTTGACGCTCTTTAATCTTCTCACGTTCCCATTGGCAATTCTACCCATGGTTATTACATCCATCATCGAGGCAAGCGTCGCAGTCAACCGTCTGACAGACTTTTTCATTGCACCCGAGTTGCAGCGCGACGCAGTGCTGAAGTACGAGGCTGTAGCCGAACGTGGCGAGGAGTCGGTCCGTATTCGCGACGCCACATTCACTTGGAACAGCAATGACACTCGCAATGCCCTTGAGAATATCTCTTTTTCCGCACACAAAGGTGAGCTCTCTTGCGTGGTTGGTCGTGTTGGAGCCGGAAAATCTTCTTTCCTACAGACTCTTCTCGGCGACCTCTACAAGATCAAGGGTGAGGTCGTTCTACGTGGAAAGGTAGCCTATGTTGCCCAATCTCCTTGGGTCATGAATGCCAGTGTCCGAGAGAACATCGTCTTTGGTTACCGTTGGGATCCCCACTTCTACGAAAAGACCGTCCAAGCTTGCGCTCTGAAGGAAGATTTCGCGTCCCTGCCAGATGGTGACCAAACCGAAGTTGGCGAACGTGGTATCTCTTTGTCCGGCGGACAGAAAGCTCGCCTGACTCTGGCTAGAGCAGTCTACGCTAGAGCAGATGTGTACCTTCTTGACGATGTCCTTTCCGCTGTTGACCAGCATGTTGGAAGACATCTGATTGACAACGTCCTGGGTCCCAATGGTCTCCTCAGCGGAAGAACCAGAATCTTGGCCACGAATTCTCTTCCCGTCTTGATGGAAGCCAACTATATTGTTCTCTTACGTGAAGGTCGCATACTCGAACGTGGAACCTACGAACAACTCATGGCCATGAAGGGAGAGATTTCACAACTCATCAAGACTGCCAGTAATGAGGAGTCTCAGGCCGAGTCCCAGAGCGATTCGCTCGACAGCGATGACTCCGCCACTGTCTCCGAGACTGATCCGAACTCTGTCCAGCCCGAGTTGGAGATTACGCAAGCCGAGGAAGGTGAGACTGAACTTGCACCAATCAACACTGGTGGCGGTCGTCCAGCCCGTAGAGCAAGTGGGCTCTCCTTACGTCGTGCAAGTACTGCTAGTTTCGCTGGACCTCGTGGTAAACTTACAGATGAGGAAGGTACTGTCGGCCTCAAAAGCAAGCAAAACAAAGAATTCTCCGAGCAAGGCAAGGTGAAATGGTCTGTTTACTCCGAGTACGCCAAGACTAGCAATCTGGTTGCCGTAGCCATCTATCTCATTACCTTGGTTGGAGCTCAGACTGCTCAAATCGGTGAGTATAGATCAGTGTACGCCAACATCCATGTCTAATTTTTCCACAGGTGGCAGTATCTGGTTGAAGAACTGGTCCGAGATTAACGGCAGGTATGGTGGCAATCCTCATGTAGGAAAGTACATCGGCATCTACTTTGCCTTTGGTATCGGCTCCGCTTCCCTGGTTGTTGTGCAAACGCTCATCTTGTGGATCTTCTGCTCTATTGAGGTAAGATGCATCAAACATGCGTCCCGGGCCGTCACGCTAATGCTTCATCTTCTGCAGGCATCGCGTAAGCTCCATGAAAGAATGGCCTATGCTATCTTCAGGTCACCCATGACCTTCTTTGAGACTACCCCCGCCGGACGAATCTTGAACCGCTTTTCGAGGTAAGTGGCTTCGTCATGTCCCTGCATGCTGTCGATGTCGTGTAACGGTTTAAGTGCCGAGATTCACGACATCGCACGTGCACTTTCCCAATTACCGGATTTCATGTGCTGATGCCATATCTTCATAGTGACATATACCGTATCGATGAGGTCTTGGCGTAAGTGTTTGACGTGTGTCAGAGTCGTGATATCAGTGTGCTGACCTGATTCGTTAGTCGTACTTTCAACATGCTTTTTGTCAATTCGGCACGAGGTATGTTGTGATCCGATGCAAATGACTTGTGTATCTTGGCTGACATCTCTAGCTTTATTCACTTTGGTCGTCATCTCCATGTCAACGCCAATTTTCATCGCTCTGATTGTGCCGTTGGGCGGCGTCTACCTATACATCCAGCGCTACTATCTCAGAACCTCGCGTGAACTCAAGCGCCTGGACAGTATCAGCCGTAGTCCTGTATATGCTCACTTCCAGGAATCTCTGAGTGGCATTAGCACAATTCGCGCCTACCAGCAAAGTAAGCGCTTTGCAATGGAGAACGAATGGCGTGTCGATGCAAACCTCAGAGCATACTTCCCTTCCATCAACGCGAACCGCTGGTTGGCAGTTCGCCTTGAGTTTATCGGCTCTGTCATCATTCTTGCTGCCGCCGGCTTCGCTGTCATCTCGGTTTCCACCGGAAGTGGTCTTACCGCCGGTATCGTTGGTTTGTCCATGTCATACGCCTTGCAGATCACCCAGTCGCTCAATTGGATTGTACGACAGACGGTCGAGGTGGAAACCAACATTGTCTCGGTCGAACGCGTTTTGGAGTATGCCCGCCTACCCAGCGAAGCACCCGAAATCATCTCAAAGCACAGGCCGCCAGTGAGCTGGCCCTCCAAGGGTGCAGTCTCGTTCAACAACTACAGCACCAGATATCGTGAGGGCTTGGACTTGGTTCTGAAGAATGTCAACCTAAGCATCAAATCGCATGAGAAGATTGGTGTTGTAGGTAGAACAGGTGCCGGAAAGAGTTCCTTGACTCTTGCTTTGTTCCGCATCATAGAGCCCACAGAAGGCGATATCACCATTGATGATTTGAGCACTAGCTCCATTGGTTTGTTGGATTTGAGAAGAAGACTTGCCATTATCCCACAGGATGCTGCCCTCTTTGAAGGAACCATTCGCGACAATTTGGACCCAGGCCATGTCCATGACGACACCGAACTCTGGAGCGCCCTTGGTATGTTGATCCCCCTCTACGTGTCACTCTTCTTGCTAACGAACTGGTCAGATCATGCACGACTGAGGGATCACGTGTCGAGCATGTCTGGAGGACTCGACGCTCAGATTCACGAAGGTGGTTCCAACCTGAGCCAAGGCCAGCGTCAACTTGTCAGTTTGGCGCGTGCGCTGCTAACGCCGAGCAACATTTTGGTGCTTGATGAAGCAACTGTAAGTTTCAGGTCATCTTCTTTGTCGCTCAAATTTCAAGTTGCTGATTTGTTTCATTCCAGGCCGCTGTTGATGTGGAGACGGATGCATTGTTGCAAACGACACTTAGAAGCAACATGTTCAAGGATCGAACGATCATCACGATTGCACACCGCATCAACACGATCCTCGACAGTGATCGCATTGTTGTACTCGATCATGGACGTGTGGCTGAGTTTGACACACCTTCCGAACTCGTCAAGAGAAAGGGTCTTTTTTATGAATTGGTACGGGAAGCCGGACTACTTGGAAGTGTTGATGCTAGTAATGCAGCAGAATAGTTGGTGAGCTTGCATATGGACTGGTTACACACATACAACGATAACTGCCTATGCAGTAAGAGAATTGACAGCTGTTATGTATCTGTCACGTCGACTGTCCGATACCAGCCTCCGTGTCACCTTCGGAGTTCTTGTTTCGAAATTCCATGTCGGTCTTTTGCTTATTATTGTTGGGGCACTCGACATTGTCTTCACAGACGCTCATGCCAGAAGCCATATTGATGGCGCCGTAATTCCTGCAAGGAAGTGTTAACCGGGCGGCTCCCGAGATGAGTTACACATCTTGGAAGATGCGTATATACTGTAAAGGACAAGGGCACACGGCTGTGGCCCGACCCGCAGAGCTTGAGCTGGGCAAGCAGAGAAAAGTCTGAAACATCTCACCCAAGAATCGTTTAGACGCTGGTCTTCTCGAGAGATGCAGATGATAGATCTCTCGACAGAACCGGGATCGATCGGTAGTGATTCCCAAAACGGCATGGCTTTGGTGGAGTGTGCATCCCGGGGCGGCGCGGCTTATGGGGTCTGCCGTCCAGGGTCTGGAGGAATTCAACCGGCCATCTTCATGCTGTACGACCATGCACTGAGCAAACATCAATTTCCCGGAATTACTGCTGTCTCTCAACGACAGATCGAGGCTTGAGCCAGATCCAGGCGGGGAAAAAGTACACAGCCGGAACTTGTTCTGCAGATCGGGGCTGGCGGCTTGAAGACGGCGTGCATCTTCGCATCGATGAAAAGGGGACCAAGCGTGACGAGGGCAAAGCGATTCGCTTGCGTTACCCAATCTATGGTGGAATCAACATCAGAATATCATTGTGGATGATCTAGAGTGCAATGCAGAGTGCAGCTCTCTGTCTCGCAGAATGGCATCCAGGGTAAGTATTCGAACCAGACTGATGGAATTGGGATCTGTCGTTTTGTTATATTTTCTGGTTGAATATCAAGTCGTCGGAGCCGCCCTTTTGTGAATGTTGTATCCGTCTTTCCTTGTTTGCCTTTTCTGACGTTTCTCTGTTTTGCTCCTTCTGGAATCACTCCTCCTGTCGGCAAACAAGGCAAGTGTGACAGCTTGTGCTGTAACGCCGCGTGAAGACACACGCACACCGAGGTCAGCCTTCAATTTGCCTGAACCCCGCACCAGATCGTGGCATTTTCAGCCTATCGTTTCGGTTAGTAGACACTTTTCTTGTGCTCCATCTTCTACTTGTTGCGCCTATCAAGTGTCATTGTCTGGTGGCGTTGACGAGCCTCGGGGTGTCCGACTTCTCCCAAATAGACCCCCCTCTGTCTCACGTCTTGTTTTGCAAGTTTTCGTCACATTTCTTGTCTCCACCTTTGTTCCGATCTCGAAAGAAACTGCCCGTCTCGCTCCCCTCTGACTCTGACTGACCAGTTGTAGTCAAACAAGCTCACGCGCGACACGCGCTAAAGCCAACCATTTGGCAGTTTTGGCCGCACGAGGGTGAGCTTAATCCACTCCCGAGATCATCACTTGGGGCTCCCGCTAACGTCCGTTTTGACTTTTTGTTAGTTGCGGAGAAAACTGATCCGTCCCTTGCATCTCTCTACAGGGATCAAGCTCTTTAATATTAGAACATCTCGTTGCAAGAGCTCAGAGATGGTTTTGAGTTCTCAGTCAAGGTATAATCGGAATGCTGGCGGAGTTGGTAAGCAGTTGAGCAAACCATCGGCTCACGGCGTTTCTGTAAGCAGCTCTTTCTTGACCCTGTCTTGTTTTATGCCACTAATTGTTACAGTTTCGCTCTAGAAATGGGCCTGTGTTATGGTCTTCACCTCCACCAGATCAAGTACTCACACTGGACCAGTCAGCAGACGGTGCACTAGATTTCGACGGACTTTCCGCAGCGAACAAGCAGAAATATGTTGCCAACCGGTTGCCTAGCCTGCCTCCGCATGTGCTCGATAGTTTCTACCATGAGTGCATTAAAAATGAATCCTCGTCGTCATTCTCGATCTCTGAGCAAGTCTTGAATCCTCGAGCAGCGAGTATGTTTCTTGAGTAGACTCTGCCACAATGTCTGTATCTGACGTGCCATTAGGGATTTTGCAGATTGAACAAGGACTAGAAACGCATCGTGCCAACATACCACAGGTTGCATCGAAGCGAAAGGCAGCCGCTTCAGGAGATTCTTCCGATGAAGAAGATGACGAGAATTGGGGTAATCATGGTAACATGCAGATCACACTACACATCGCCAACCCGGATGAAGTTGTTCACTTTTTGAAGATGCGTTTTACTCAGATCCAGCAACTGGCAACCAAAGTCATCGCCAAAGCATGGATCAAAGCCATTTGTCCAAAGAAGCAGGCCAATTTTCCATATGTCGACAGTAACCCTAGAGCAGATCAGGCTCAAAAGCGTCGCCGACCACGACACGACGGCCCACCTAGAATCCCACTGTTTTGGCCTAATATCTCATTGTGCCGCCACAAAGAGCCTGACCACACTAGGAAGACTGGTGCGTTGCGACGAATGATGATCTGACATTGCTTAGCTAATGTTGTCGCAGAACGAACCCACCTTTTGGTCCATCTGCTCAGGCTACATTGGACCGAGCAGGATTGGCTGGAATCTAACGGTCATGGCTCTGAAGTCCCTCAGAAGATCAAGGATCAAAACTGGGTCGGCTTTCTGAAGGACTCATTCCCAATCAGCAAATTAGATGAGGTTCAAGGTAGCAATCCAGACAAGGCAGCCATGCGAAGGAGGTACCTCAACCAGATTTACAGAGTCGCCGAAGATGAGCAGATGATGCGGCGCAGAGTGGGTATGTTATTCCAAGCCACACGTTCAAATGTTCCAATACTGACCAGCCACAGGTCCCGATGACCAGAAGAGAACTTATACTGCTGGCGCTGGTTGGGTTCCTGCGGGCTCACAGGCCTTGGGGTCCTCAAGCCAGAGTGACCGAGTGGATAGTGAGGACGAAGAAGATTCACCTGCCATGAACTCATCCACAATGGCGCGCTCAAACTCGCGTACAGAGAACTTTGCGGCATCACCAGAGCCTGAGGAGCAAGCAGTTGACTCTGGCTCCACATCTGCATACTCTGGAGCAGAGGTTGTCAAGGAAACCAAGGTTGAGCAGATGCCTTTCAGCGGGTTTGTTCCGATGGATGACATCGTGATCACTGGCCCTGGCCATGGTACAGATTTGAAGTTCGATCCAGCAGATGAGACTATGACAGTACCACTTGGAACAGTACCGTCCGGTCGTGTTGGTTGTATGGACTATTATGGGTCCTCATGGGCCGGCAACACTGCTTTGGCGCAAAGAGCACCTGATGTGTATCAGCAACATCCATATGCTCCAGCGGCTGTACCATGGTATGGGACCCGGCAAGATCAACTCAACAACTGCCAGCCGTCAGTAAGTGTCAGCAATCAACCCTGGCATGACTACCGTCATGAATTCAGCCCATTCCAGACTCCAGCGCTTCACAACACACCGGCGGACCAAAGAACGTTCCACCAAGACGCTGAGTTTGGAACAACGCACCATATGACCATGTCAGCCCCCTTTGCACAACCGACGGTGATAGCAGCCAACAATCAACAAGCGGTGTACCAAGAGAGCGGGGCACGTTATGTTCATGAGCCTTTCGAGCAAAACAGCCAGTCCGGATACGTGGGTACACAGCACCAAGGCGTGTACAACGGATGGCTTGGATGAAGAAAGGAGCGACAACGATGACGACAAGCACGACAGCAACGAGAGTGACGATTTTGATGAAATTGCATGCAGGTTTTGGACGGACCAGCGAGGCGAACATGTCAGAAGATGGTAATTTCTTGAGAGAGTTGAAGTCGGTGTTTTCGCATTTCTTCCGAAACGAATTTCCTTGTGTTGGCGGTGTGACTGAATATCGTGGTATAGGAGTGATGATTAGTAGGCAACACGGATAACGAGAAATGTCAAAAGGGCAGCGCCCATAGCAGCAGCAGATAGCCGATTAATACGAAGGCAGCGCAGGTTCACCTAGTCCGAGTGTGGTGATGTGCTAACAGCGAAGTGAGTCTCGTGTCTGCAGTGCAAGTGGAGTGAGTGAGTGGACTCGTGGATGAGGGAAGCACATGCAAAAAGTAGTCTTGGCAATGACATGGGGGTGCCGTTTGCGGAGCTTTTGGTATCCCAAGTCGCAAGCAGCATCTAAAAGCAGCCGCGCAATTGGAAGGGTGCGTGTCGTAAAGAGAAGCGGCAGTCGACGCCCCATGCTCTGGCAAGCACATCAACACAAAAGCGACCAGCATGTCGTCCGTCAGGGGTGGTAGAGGAGGCAGCAACCGCGGTCGCGGCGCATCACCATTCGGAGCCCCAGCTGGTCCAAAGACAACAACGCGTTCGCCCTTCGCTCCACGCGCCAGAGGAAACAACCAAGTCCGCTTCAACGCTCCGACCAGAGGCTCGAGTGAAAGAGGAGGCAGAGGAGCCTCGCCCCGTGGAGGAGGTCGTGGACGCGGAAAGCCACCACCTGCGCCAACACCGTCACCTTTCACTGCGCCGCCTGTACAAGCACATGCGAGCAATGTCTCGCCCAGCTCTTCATTCGCCGACCGCTGGCAGGCTGTACGATACATCCCAACATCATATACTTGACACTCTCTGACGCACCGTGCAGCTCAAGAAGCAGCGCGAACAAGACCGCGCCTACGCCATCAAACAAGGCTTTCTAGCAGATCCCGACAAACCGCGCACATTGGCCGAAGCCATCACCCCCGTAGGAACATGTCCAGACATGTGTCCAGAGCACGAACGTGTCGAGCGCGTCGTGCAGAAAGATGTATGGGGCCCGGAGCTCGACGATCAGGGTGCTCCGGCCGAGCATTGCATGGTGAAGAAGTTCAGACGCGCTGCTGCTGGTGTCGACGAACAACTACCCTCAGACCTGCGCCCTCCAAGCACCCTCAAGCGAACCGTCGATTATCTGTTCGATGACATTGTCGCCAATGCCGCTTCACTCGGCAGTGTACACCACTTTGTCTGGGATCGGACCCGCGCCATTCGCAACGACTTCTCTATCCAACAAATCACAAAACCTGCCGACGTCCAGATTGCCATCGAGTGCTACGAGCGCATTGCGCGATTCCACATCTTGTCACTACATCAACTCGCCCTTCCAGACAAGCCTTACGACAAGTACGATTGGTATCAGGAGCGAGAACAGCTGGATCGCACGCTTTTGTCTCTGATGCAATACTATGACGATTCAAGAGGACGCTTGGAGTGCAAGAACGAGGCCGAGTTCCGCGCATACCTCATCATCTTCCAGGCTCAGGACCCTACCCCGGATCTGGACGAAAGAGTGAATACCTGGCCCGTCTCCGTCAAGTCTGATAGACGCGTAAGGGTTGCTCTCGATCTCAACTCGGCTGCTTCCAATATTCTGGATCCTCAAGGCCCTTTGAAGCCCCGCGCTGCTTATCCCGTCGCACGCGAAGACTGGGCTCACTTTTTCGACCTTGTCCGTTCACAAAAAGTCTCCTATCTCATGGCCTGTGTTTCGGAAATTTACTTCAAGTTGGTGCGGCGCATCGCTTTGAATGCTATCTGGCGAGGTTTCAAGGGTCAGGTCTACGAATTCACCTTGTCTTTGACGACCCACATTCTAGGCTTTGATCAAGTCGAACAAACAGAGACTTTCTGCCAGCACTTCGGCTTTGTCTTCAAAGCTTCTACTTCCGGACCAGAAAAATGCCTGGATCTGGATTCGGTCAAGGGCAAGACCTTTCCAGTCGAGAGCCCTGGTCTGGACCATCAAACTTTTTCCGATAGTGTTGTCGAAGTGAAACGAATGGGTCGCAACTTCTCTGCTGTGATAGGTGGTTATTCGGTAGCAGAAGCGCACACCTGCGGTTTCATTGATGAGAACTACGACAGCCAGATGGAAGACGAGATGGAGGATCAACCGGAAGAAAACCAAATCGAAGAAGGCGAGGATTCCTTGTTTGTTCCCATGGAACTCCCGAAGACAACCATCCCAGCATCGCCCTTTGCGAGCGCTAAACCGCAAGAACAAGTTCAGCCAGCATCAATCTTCTCCCAGCCCAAGCCAACACTCTCGGCCTTTGGCCAGCCTTCGGCGTCGAGCGCTTTCGGTTTCGGAAAACCATCTGTCAGTCCCACACCTTCAGCTGCACCTATATCCACCACAGCGCCTCAAGGCCCTTCCATCTTTAGTCGACCGAGTGGTGGTGGCAACGCTTTCTCAAATCCATTTGCTCTCAATCAGTCCGCCAACACCTCCGACAACACCGCCAGTATGAAGCAAAGCCCCGAGGCATCTAACAGCATTTCTCTGTTCCCGAAACCTGCTTCCAATGACGAGAAAATTCAGCTGAAACCTCCACCCACGCAAATCGAAATACCACTTTCTCGGATTTTCGTGCCCAGCCCCGCTCTTGGAACAAACCCTGCCTCAATGACCAGTCAGCAAACTTCCACTGGATCACCATCTGTCTTCCAAGCCCCTCCGTCTACAGAACCACCAAAGTCCTTGTTCAACTTCTCCTCTCTTCCTCAGACAACTGCATCACCTTCGCAATCGACTTCAGCAATATCAAAGAATCCATTCAGTCTCACCCCTGTAGAGAGTGCACCAGTGCAAACACAGCAATCAACTGAACCTGCACAGACTTTTGCCTCTCCGTTCAACACCATCGCCTCTGTATCTGAAGAAGCGCCTGCCTTCCCCTCAATACAGTCTGCTTCCATAACAGCTCACGACACTTTCAAGGTCGCAGAGAGCACCGCATCCGCCCTCGGCTCAAAACCTTCGCAATTCGGTTTCGGCCAGTCCACGCAACCCAAGAAGCCAAGTCCACTCTCACAATCCTTTTCTCAGGAGAACAAAGTCGAAAGTCCGATATATAAAGCTTCCACGCTTCGGCAGCCATCTGATGAGTTGGTACCGCAAACCCCTGTTGTCCCACCCCCAAAGCCCGCAAGAACTCAAGATGAGATCCTCGAACAGCTAGCTCGAGAGGTCGTTCTGGATGCTGATAGAGGGCTGGTGAGACAATTTGTTGAATACCATGCTCGCCAAACAGTCATGGAAGTCTATGACGAGCTATATATGGACAGCATCCGAGAACTTGCAGACACGTTCAGGAGAGAGACGCTTTCTTACAGGTTTGGCAAAAGATGGCGCGAGATTTGTTGGCGACGGAGACTTGCTAGACAAGGGCGGGAACGCCGAAAACGCGCTAAGAAAGACCAAAGTGCGCGTGAGCTGAAGAGGAAGCTCGCGGCTGAGAAAGACGCTGTCGAAGACTTTTTAAAGTCCACAAATTCGACGGTTCGCTTCGCCGCCAGTCTTCAAAGTCCGAATGCTGGTCAAGCAGGTCAGAGAGGTCATACCGAGAGGGAAACAGATTCGAGAACAACAAGCCAATTACACGAAAACAAGAGATTGAAGAGCTTGGACAACCTCGAATTGGAGACACCTAGGAAGCAACCAGCTGCAACTCCACGTTCCAACTTCCTCGGATTCAGCATGCTTGGTTCCCAAAATCGGCCTGCAATCTCTAGCACGCCTTCTCGATCCAATTATTTCCGCCTGAAGGCCTTAGGTATCAACCCTGGAGAAGAAACGAATAACACAAGTCTAGCCAGGAAGCGGTTGAGAGAGGACAGCGAAGAAGCCCAAGCAGAAGTCCGTCCGCCAAGCAAGAAGTCTCAAACGCCGCCGTCAACAATAAAAGCGCAGCCTTTGATTTCACTTGCTATAGAACGGTCTGCCAACAAGCCTCTAGGGGGCATACCAGCAGGCACTGGATCACTTTCAAAGGCGCGACAAGAAGATGAAGAGCTCTTTGCTCGAGCGCGAGCAGCCAGACAGGCCTTGGCAGATTCTGGCGCTTGGTACCGATCTGAAGTGCAAAAAGACGATTCGAGACGCAAGGAAGAATCTGTTAGGTCACTAACATCGCCATCTATGGAACGCGCTCGTGAACTCGCACGCCTTCGGTCAGCGAAGGCCGGGGCTTCATCACCTGATGTACCTGCCTATCGATTGAGAGAAAGTCGTTTCGTGCCACGAGCTCAGTACAATTTGGCGATTGAGAAGGCCAAACAGAAGATTGAAGCCAGATCAAGAAGTCAATCCCGTCTCTCGACGCCAGGAGCCACGCAGTCTCCTAGCCATCCAGCTGGAAAGAGATTACACACTGCCAAAACTCAAGCATATCCTTTTGCTTCCCTGGATGGACAACTTGACACTCAAACAACAGACAGCATGGCTCAACTTGCAGATTTGCATAAAGTTCCCGAGAACAACGCATGGCAGTACGAGCCTTCTTTCTTTACCGATACCATCGACCCAGCGCTGTCTGAACGTGACGTCAGCGGACAAGATGCTAATGGATACGAGAATGGTCTCGAGAGCCTTGCTCAGTACGCCGTCGATCAGTATGTCGATCTAGGGTCAGATGGCGGTACGGAAGATCAGGAAAATATTCAAGGCTCAGACGAAAGCTCATTAGAGGTCGATGATCTGGTCGACCCGACGGTATTCGCCGATAGTGATGAAGACAGTGTGGTGGCTGACGACGACGAAGAAGAAGCTGATGATGAAGGCGAAGATTATGTTGGAGGTTGCGCTCAGAATCCCGAAGAATTCGAGGATGAAGAAGGCTTCGACGAAGAAGACTCGGAAGTCTTAGAAGAAGAAGAAGAAGAAGAAGAAGAAGACTCGGAGGCCGTTGAAGAAGAAGAGTACGACGACGAGGAAGAGGAGGAAGAAGAAGACTCGGATGTCGATCCGTCAAGTGTCAACAGCTTTTCTGCTGACAATGCCAACAACATCAAGGCAGGGACGGGCACAGCGGATGATGCCTTTGAGCTCAGCGACTGATGGCCGGGCACCGGGCAGGAAGTCGAGATATTCTGTGGAACATGATACCAATTGACTGAATACACATGAAGTTCCAACAAACCCGCCTCTTCTTGACTTGATCCTGGATAGATGAATAAGCTCAAGAGTCTTGATAGAGACGATAAACACAGCAAAGAGGGGCACTAGACACGACCGTGATTCTCGACCAACAGTGCCTTCATGTAATCGCTAGGCTCGTATTTCCATTGCTCTTCCATCAGTGTCTTGCCCACAGAGTCTCGTAGCCTTGACATGATTTCTGCTTTTGGTCTCTCGAGCTCTGTCATGATGATAGTGGTCAGCCGAGTGAAACAGAAACCATGGTTGATACTTACCATTGTCATCCCATCTTTTGCTGTGTCTTCCGCCAGCAGCAGTTCCAGACGCCCAGTACTCTTGCACGAGAGCTGTCAGACGTCGTTGATCTTCAAGATCTGTTGTGTTTGACGCGGATTAGTCTGTGATGTTGACTTGTCATGGAAACCGGAAACCATTACCTTCTTCATCTGCGCCATTGATCTGCTCTCCTAGAGCAGGAACTTCGTGTAGATAGTGACCCCTTTCGTCTCTTAGCACCATATCCCTTGTCGGATCAGGCTCATTTCCATCGTCCGGCTCGATTGTTGTTTCGGTGGCAGCCCTCGGCCGTCGGGTCCGGGTCGCCCTGCCAGCAGCTGCTGCACGCCTGCTTAACCTGTCTTCCGCATCATCCGAGTCTTCGAGGACAAGTTCATTCAGATGCATCGGAGGTGGATTAGTGGTAGTGGGTCGTCGTGAGAGTGTAGGCGCAAAGAGGTTGCGTGCGGCCGAGTTGGCGCGCAAGGCATGGCCTCCGGAAGCATGTGTTGGATGGAGCAAGTGGCTGGTGGCGCGTGATGTGGGACGACGCGGCGCATCATTGAAGGGATCGTGAGGACGAGGTGGCATACTGGTGACTATGGTAAGAGAGGGTGGGGACGCAAGAAGATTGATTTGGATGAAATGGGTGGTCTCAATGGCACAGGGATCTAGTTTGAAGCAAGAAGGGATTCATGGTTCAGGGTGCTTGGCAGGAGCGAGAGAGTTGTCAGGTTATGTGAGCATGTGTGACAGATGAAGGCAGACAAGTCTCTGGGGAGGAAGGAGGTTTGGATGTCTTCGCAGGAGGGGCAGTCGCACCGGCAGTGCCAAGACGACCAATCTGGCAGTCAGCCCCCGATTGTAGCGACCAAAAGCTAAACGTAGCTGCAGCGAGAACAGGCAGCCCCTGGGAGTCTCTTTGTTTGAGCGTTGAGTCTGCTTTTCTTCTGCCGCACTCTGTTTCACGACCCGGCAATCACACGAGTCTAGGAGCGTCGAGCCGGAGCCATCTTTCTTCCTGGCCATTGTCCGCCATGCGCTAGCCTGGACAACATACAACCCGTCGACAAATTCAGAGACCACCATGTCGCTCTCACGCTCTCCTTCACCGAAACGAGGCGGCGGCTGGGCAAGTCCCGGTCTCAATGCCAATTTTGCGCAGAGTAGAAGCACCACGCCCGTCACATCGTACAGCCAGAACCACAGCGTCACATGGGCCTCCGCTCAAGCAAGAAGCCACCAAGTCAATGGATACCCAGCATATCAAGAAGGCGGCCCAGGCTTCTTTGGCAAGCACATGCGCAACATCTCGGCCAGCCTGCCCTTCTTCAACAACGCTCCCAAGGATGAACGTCAGGCCGAAAAGGAGAAGGCTGGTAGAGGCAAATGGTCTCCGGCGCGAGGAGGTCATGTCGCCAGCTTCAAGGCCATGCTCGGTCGCCATCTCTTGAGATCAAAGACACGATTCATCCTGGTCCTGGTGCTCTTGTCACTCATCCTTTGTTTCTATACAACCCGTACGTCGACCAGCAGAACAGGACCAAGTGCCCACTCACTGACATGATGATACAGCATTGCATTACTGGTACCGAAGGAGCTCGTGGCTGGGCGGCGGCAGCAAATTCGTCGTCATCCTCGCGGCCAACATGGGAGGAGGAGTCATGGAGTGGAAGGGCCCTCGTGAATGGGCCATTGAACGCGACAGTGTGCGCAACAAGAAGAACTACGTGCACCGATGGGGCTACGAGTTGGAGATAGTCGACATGAGCACCAAGAAACGCTATGCGCACGAGTGGAGAGAGAGCTGGGAGAAGGTCGACACAATCCGCAACGCCATGCGCAAGTACCCCCAGGCCGAATGGTGAGTCCATGTCATCAAGTCGCGAGGCGATTGCAATACTGACTGCAGCAGGTTCTGGTGGCTCGACCTCAACACCTTCATCATGGAGCCCTCGTACTCGCTGCAGCAACACATTTTCGACAACTTGAACGACAACGTCTACCGCGACATCAACTTGTACAACCCCCTCAACATTTCTCACCCTCCCACAGCGGGCCATCTCGACCCCGAGAGTCTGTCGGCCATCGGAGACGGCAAGCCCGACTCGATCAACCTCATTGTGCCCCAAGACTGCGGAGGCTTCAATCTGGGATCCTTCTTTGTCAAGCGCTCGGCCTGGACAGACCGCTTGCTTGACATCTGGTGGGACCCCGTGGGCTATGAACAAAAGCACATGGAATGGGAACACAAGGAGCAGGACGCGCTGGAGTACATGTACACCAACCAGCCGTGGGTTCGCCCTCACCTTGCATTCATCCCCCAACGCAAGGTCAACAGCTTCCCTCCCGGCGCATGCGGCGACAATGGCGAAGACATGAACATTCACTATCACGAGCACGACCGCGACTTTGTCGTCAACATGGCTGGTTGCGAGTGGGGTCGAGATTGCTGGGGTGAAATGTACAATTACCGGCAATTGAGCAACAGGCTCAACCGCAACAAGTGGGAGAAGGTCAAGGACGGCGTGTCGGGAGCCTTTTCTTTCCTCCAGACGAAGAAAAAGGAGATTACAGGGACGGAGAAGGACGAAGCAAAGAAGGAGTCAGGATGATATTGGGATAAAGGAAGGGGAATTTCGGAGTCATGTATACATTTGCAAACAATGTTGATTTCTTGTGCCTGCCCTGTTCCATTGATTGTGATGCGCGGTCAAGTACAGAGATACAGGCAGTTATGTGACTGTTGGAGGGGAAGAGTGTGGCGCCATGTTGTGCGTGTGCGTGTGCGGGTGCGCCTTTGCGGATAAAGGACATGTGGATTTGATGGTGGTGGTCGGAGCTTGACATGGGCGAGGTCGTCTATGAGCTGCTGGGGGTGATGTTCTGTTGCTCAAAGAGGTAGCCCTTGACCTTGGAGTGCTTCAATTGCTCGAGGTAGCGTTCTGTACAGAGTCAGATGATTGCACGCATGCGTCGAGGCAATGGTATACAGACCTCTGAGCTGGCCGCACTTCTCGAGGTGGTTGACGCCCTCACGGTAGTAGCACTTGCCCATCTCCTCTCGGAGAAGACGCGCCATCATGCTCTGCACCCATTGCTCGCGCAGCACGGCATCCTGGGCGGCCTTGAGCTGCAAGTTGTTGTCGTAGTCGACTCCCTCGAATGTTGGCGGCACCTTGGGCTTTTGCATGCGGAACTGGATTGACTTGGGTGTCGGCATCTTGGAATGATGTGTCGAGAGTGTGTATGTTTATGGTTTGGTGCTTGCTATACAGTCGCGAGCTCGTCTTCTCCTTCTCCGTCCTTGCCAATTGCCAGTCGCTGTCGCGGCCATGCGCGCGAAGTCCGGCAGACCGGTGCAGCCCGCCCTCGACCAATCACAATCCACGCCTTATTTCTTACTCCTCCTCCAAGACAACCTGACAGACTTGCTCTTTTCCTTTTTGATTGCCTTCTTTTCCACCTGCCTTTCCACTCTTCTGTCAATCGCATCCTTCTCGCCTAGCATCGCTTGAGGTGCACTATAGCTGACTTTCCACTGCCATTCGTCGAATCGCACCACTGGCTGCTCTTCAAGCTGCCCCAGAAGCTCGCTTCGTCGACGCTGGCATGTAAAGCAAAGACGTTCAATCCTCTTGCTTCGATATGGATGCGTCTTCAACTCGCACCCTGATGAGTACGTCGAGATTGGCGATATTGATGCATGTCGACACATTTGCAACGGTAGCTTGCCCATACATGAGTGCCCGCATGTTGTGAAGATGTACAATTCGTGATAGCACATGTTTCTTTGCTGTCTATGGTCAAGAAGGTGCACTACTCATACCAGTTATAGCCTTGCAAACCCTTGTCCGTTTCCGGCCATGTCTGCTTTGCCTCGACCTTTCCCAGTGGTCACGTACAGTCTTTGTTCGGCCTTTTCTTCAATCCTGCGGACTCTGTACTCCTGCTTTTTCTTCCCGGTGGCCAATTGCCAATTCAACCACTCACTAAGTACATGGAATGCTGTCTTGACACTGCTTCATCAATCCCTTCATCAAGTCTTCAACACATACGAGACATGTGTTATTGAAACAGCCCAAGTATAACCTGTTTCTTTGTCCTCTTTGTGCGCCTGACTTGGCAGCTTGCAGGTCCTACTTCAAGCTGCTGTTCCAACATCTCAGTGGACTTCATCTGTCATGCAGACCTTTCAAGTCGCTTGACACCTCGTCGAACAAAATCAAGGATACAGTGATAGATAGATCCACCCACCCAAACCCCAGACATGGCCACACCCACCAAAACCTTCACCCTCACCACCTCCTCACAGTCCATCCACATCTCAAAGGTCGCTCTGGCCATAATCATTACATTCAGTCTGGTCAGCCTGGTTGCTCTCACCATCGCCTTGTGGATTTTATTCCGCTTCACCTGTTCACGTCGAGGAAGAAGGGCGGGCTACGCAATCAAGGATGGAAGGAACGAGCACACGCAATGGTGGAAGCATGCCAATCCTCCTGCCGACTCGAACAACTCGTCAGAGATGTCGTATGTAGGCATCATACCCGCTCCCGAGTTGCTTCCCGAAGACGGCAAGAGGAGAAGTCGACACTTTGGGGAAAAGAGTGTTTAAGATAGGGGAAGCGCCTTATGAAAGACAGGATGAATAAATTGCTCAATGTATGCATATTCAGGCAAGGATAGATTCTGTACATATCCGTATCATGCCGTGCAATGAAACAAGTCAAGACGCTATGCTAAACAACGTATGGAGAAATCGGGTATAAAGAAGGCCTTAGTCTTGAACGCTGACAGAAGCTTTCTCAGCAGCAGCTGCTTCCTGATCTTGTGTCTTTGGCTGCTCCTCGTCCTCCTCGTCAGCTTCAGGGATGGCACTGGACTGTTCCAACTCTTTGATTTCCTCTGGGTTCGCAATGCTGATACTGCTTCCTCTGTGCTTTTGTTGTATAGAACCTGCGGGCGTAACTGTGACGAATTGTTCATCGTTTGATTCGACAGCACTCAGGGGTGCAGACGATGGCTCGGCCGGTGACTCTGATGCCTTCGAAGCCTGGGCAGCGGTATCCTCGGCGACTTTGACACCCTCAGACTTGGTGTTGGCTGACGAGTTCATCGTCTCGGGCTGAGTGTCGGCATCGGCTAGACTCAACTTGAGAGGAGCGACCTTTGTGTCGTTGATGCCGGGTGTAGGACCTTTGCGTGCAGCACCAATGGTGGCAGCCTGGGAAGCAGCTTCTTTCATCGACAGGTTGGCCATGGGCGATTGCAGAGACTCGGTCTTCTCATGTGCGGATTTGGTAGCGGCGGTAGTGGTAGGCTTGACGGGCAGCTGGGCAGGAGGTTGAGTGGTGGAGTGCATGGTGGCTCGGGTGGTTACTGCTTCACCGCCCGGTGGAAGGGCAGAAGAGCTGGGCGGCACATCGCCTATGTTCTCTTTGATTTCGCCAAACTCGTTCCATTCTTCGACTTCGTCAAGATCCTGGACAGACAAACATCAGCAAGTCGGCCTTGTCAAGACATGGATCAACCTACTGCTATCACATAACCTTCCTTGACCAATGCGGGCAGCTTTTTTCCACCAGATCGGCGGCCGAAGAGACGACGGGCCAGCTCGTTGGTCGCCGTGTCAATGGCCATGAACGGTATCCTGTTGGCATTGAGAATTGTCTCTATACGCGATGTTGCTGTGATGATATGTGACGACCCCGCCGTCAGAGACGTGAAAAGAAACACTCTGCCGTCCTTGTCCCATGCACTGAGGTCCTGTACCGAAGTCATGGTGATGTTGTACTCGTAGTCTCGCTGTTTAAATGACTGACTTGTTCGAGAGGGGAGGTGTTTATTCAAAAGGGTCTCAGCACCTCTGACGTTGTTACGCGTAGCTTCTGTGGGGTACTCGGACTAGCACTGTTTCATCTTCTTGAGCTTGGTCAACCAGTATTTTTAGTAATTCAACTTTGATGCTTTAATTGCAAAGATAACTATAGTGTGTATATGTTGTTCGTCATGCGTCGCTCGCTGCACGAATGACAATAGCCCCCCTTTTCTGATGTCCGACTATCCAAACGCCTATCCCATAAATCATCAATAAGCCTCAATCTGCTGAGGCATCGGGACCTGGCCGAGTGACACGTTCTCCTTGGCAATGAAAAGATTGCTAAGAGCATCGCGCACCTCAAACTCTTCCAAGACGGCTCCAAAACTGTGTGCTGTCAGTGAACATTCTTCCCTTCTGGACTGGTCAAACTCACCCGTAGCATCTGACCTTTCCTGCGAGGTCAGCCTTGACGAGCTCAAAGTCCTGAGCGTTCATCTCAGATACTCTGCTGTTCTGCAGCAGCAACATCCAGGCCATGACGGGTGTCAACTCGCCTTCGAGAGGCAACTGGGCGCTGAGATCGAGCAGCTTCATGAGGTCAGGTGCCTTCAGGTCTGGCATTCTGTGGCCGTATGGATCTCCAGGCTTGTTCATAATGTGTGAAGCTGGAGGGCAGGTCGCCATGAGCGCATGGCCGCACATGTGGTCGTACTCTGTATCATCAGGCCGCTCCATGGGGTGATGGAAGGGCTGTCCCTCAGGGTTGTGTGAACGGACCACAAGGTATTGCATATGATCCATACAAGGGCGTTCGAGACTACGCAAAGGACGACGTCAGCCCAATCGCGAGACGGTACAGCAGCGGTAGTGGAGGAACCGTGAATCTATTGGTTCGGCGGAGGGGAGGGGTATGCTGCCCTGTTATAGGGCTGGCCTTGGGAGTCGTACGTGAGAACGAAATCAATGCCAATCTGATCATAATCCAGGTGCTGAGCAGGTAGTTGACCTGCACTTGCCATGGGCTTGGAATCCTGGGAGCGAAGAGGAGAAGGACTGAAGCCAGCAGTGCTGGAGTCTTGACGGTAACTGCCAGAGATACTGCCACTCGAGCTGCCATTGTACGAGGCAGGTATACCTCGCATGGCAGGGAGGGATTGCAGACTATCGAGAGGAATGCCGTGGGCGAGGAGGAGTTCCTTCAATCGCTTGTTCTCGCCGACGACGGCATCACGATCGGAGATACTGGATCCGTAAAGTTCCTTGAGGCGGAGCACCTCGTGCTCGAGAGCCTTGATGTACATCTCCTTGCGTTCCCGATGCGTTCTGAGAATTGGTCAGATATTGTGCGATACGAATGAGTAATGTGATTGACAATCATACCTCTGGGCTTGTCTGTTAAGTTCCTGTCTGCGAGTCAAAGCAGGTTTGCTGTCGGGCTTGGGCCCGCGTCGTTTGGGAGCTGCGCCATCTGCATCTGCGTAAGAGATAAATGTTTGCTGCAAAATTTGTCTGGATTCGCATACCTTTGGTTTGTTTCTTGTCAAGACCGAGGGTCTTTAGAAAGCCGAAATTGGAGAGTGGACTCCTTTCAGAGGAATGTTGACTCTCTGAAGATGTATACATTAGCGCTGCGTTGTTATCGACAAGTGGCTCGTCCGGCGACATTGTTTGCATTGTGACCTGCGCCATGATGCATGCAAGGTGACCGACACAACACGCAGAGGAGGGGTAGAGAAAGAAGACAAAACCGGGGTTGAGGAGAGGAGAGGCTTGATGATATACATAAAACGTGGGAAACGTACCAAGATCCTGAGCACTACTCGGTGCTCGGGGACCAGCGTTAGGCGCCGACATGTCTCTAGCGCAAGACTGTCGCTACAGAATATCTGACTATCGAAGAGGCGCTGGCGGATCGCGACGGTCTGGAACGCTGGGGAGAAGTCAGTCGTTATGAGCAGATCAATGACGATTTAGGAGACTACGGAGAGATCCGTGGACTCCAAGTAAATTTGTCATGCGAGACGAGGAAGCTTTCCACGGACGCCAGAGAGGCAGAGGGACCATGTATGACCTGACTAGAACAGGACTTCGTGCAACTTACCGCGATTTTAGAACATTTAAACAGGACGATACAGATCAGAGAGCTGTCTGGGGATCCAGATGGGTATAAGTGCAAACTCCTCTTCTTGCGCGACGCGACCGCGATCACACAAACTGTCGACTCCGGCCGAATCCGTGGCAGGGCAGGTGATGGGGCAGAGTGTCAACCGTTTCGCCGGGCACCAGCCAGGGAAAGACAAAGGTGAGTCTCAGAATGACAATACGTCTTAGACGTTGCGGTCGCTGTGGAATCTAACAAATCCACGCGCTCTTTTGCTATGCTGCTTGGAAAAGGTCTGATGCAATAACTCTATAGAGAGTGGTAGAAAAGAAGAAACGAATGGTCGCGATGGGGGAGAGATGAGAGGACAGACATGTTGCGCCAGAGTGGAGTCCAGGTCGGCGACCAGCGATCATCCAACCCGTAAGCGACCTAGTGTTTGTCCTTTTTCGTACCTCGAATGCTGGCTGGACCCGCCGCCTGCGAGCCGTCCCGCCGGAATATTCATCCTACTCTTCACAATCCTGACTGAAGCCAGCGGTGACGCTTCAACAACGTAACCCTTTTGCTGTACCGCGCACGCAGCCAGCCCTTGCTTGTTTTTGGAGGCCCCTTGGCAAATGGCGTCCTCGAATAGGCAAATCGTTGCTTGGTTCTTCTTAATCTTGCGCTTTGTTTTTCTGACGTTTGGACCCTGGCTAGCACATGTCCTGATCGCCGACATCTTGCTGTCCTGCCTCCTTCCATTCGCTTTCGTCTTTCCCACCTACACCTACCATGTGGCCTCTGCTATCGCCGAATCAGTATGGCGTGGGATACAGCGAATATGCGAAGTATCTAACGGCGCAGACATCATCATAGCGGGAGATGAACTGCCTGCTGGTGAAAGCGCAATTGTGGTCGCCAACCATATAGAATGGTCTGATTTCTACCTTGTTCAGGCCCTGGCTATGCGCGCTGGCATGCTAGGTCGCTGTAGATGGTTTGCCAAAAACGCTCTCAAATGGGTGCCTGTGTTGGGTTGGGGTCTGTTGGTCATGGGTATGCCACTAGTCAGTCGCAAGTGGGCCGAGGATAAGGAGGAAATGGACCGCTTGTTTAGCGGCATCAAAGAGGGACGCTGGCCTGTTTGTACGTCTTCTCTGTCATATCATGCGCCGTTGTCCACTTGACTAATTATCTCCAGGGCTGGTTTCTTTCAGTGAAGGGACACGGTATAGACCAAAGAAGCATGCGGAAGCAACTCGATGGTGCGAAGCAAATGGGAAACCACCACCTCAACACACGTTACATCCTCGTACCAAGGGCTTTGTTGCTACTGTACAGCAGTTGCGCCAAACACCCCACGTAAAGGCAGTATACGATGTCACTATCGCTTACGCTGAGGACGACAAATTCATGTCTCCTCCAAGCTTTTTTAAGACGATCTTCCAACCCAACCTGGCCCACAGATATCGGATGTACGCATATGTTCAGCGCTACGAGTTGATTTCTCTGCCATACACAGATGCAGAGATTGCACAATGGCTTGAAGACAAGTGGGTGGAAAAGGGTCAGAGACTGGCGAGCCTTAAGAAACAGTTGGTTTATGGAGAGCCCTGGAAAGGTATTATGAACAAGATCTGAAATGTTCGTGCTTTGGAGTCATCTCCGTAACAACTTGGGCGTGTGCGAGACCGATTCTTGTAATGAAAAGAGGCATAACCTAGCTTGTGGCCTCTCAAGCTAATGTAATTACTGTACAAATGAACACATATTCTCGCTTACCCTCTGGCTGGTTCTCTTCCTTACTGGACTACGAGTGGGTTTCTCCGGAGGACGAGTGAAAAGGCTGGACGATTTGTCGACTTATTCTGTTAGTCAAATATTATTTGCACTCACATGCTCAGGCACACCCTCCCTCACTACTCCGGTTCTACCGTCCGCATACTTGGACCTTCACTTGAACATTGATTACCTTTACGGTCTCTAAAACAGCAGCATTGACCTCGAGCACTACAAGATCTTCAACAAAGTTTTGGATCATCCTCTCGATCAGCTACTCGGCTTGGTCACCAACAACCTCGGTACATACAACGACAACATGGCACCCAAGGCTCAAGAAGTCGTTGAAGGGCCAGTTCACAGGTGTCGCCTCCTCCGATGACCAACTCGATTGGACATGTTCTGACGTGCACAGAAACCTCACTCACGAAGATCTCCAGAACTTCCACGCAAACCTCGTCAAGAACCGGGAGATGGCCTCAGTCGTGGAAGCTGCTTTCAAGCAATTCGATACTCAGATTCACAACCTCCAGACCACCGGTCCCATTGCTGCTACGATTGATCCCATCAAGAGGGACGTGCGCAAGGTCAGGGCCGTCTTCGAATCTTCTATGGAGATTACCCGCTCCAAGGAGGATATCTCAGCGGCCATGATCGAAGAAGGTCGCATCGGCGAGACCCTTGCGGCCATCAACGAAGGTCTGATCGCTCTCGGATCGCTGAAGAAGCCACTTCTCAACATCCGCGACAAGCTCAACAAGATCAGCGCAAAAGATCCCACCATCGTTTCTGACGGTCTCCAGACCATTGGATTCGACAAAGAGATCGAAGCCTATGACACAAATGTGACCGACTGGGCAGCAAAGATAGCCGTTACTACTTGGGAGGATCCGAAGCTGTCTTCTTGAAGCTATCGTCTCGAAGTTGTCTTCTTGAAGCTGTCACAATGAGGCTGTCTCATTCGGCATAGGGGTAGCAAAGGCAGGTAACTTAACGCTGATGACTTGCTGGGATAATTGAGGATTGAGCCCGGCTGGGCTACCACGAAAACCTGGGTCCATTCTCGGACGGCAGCAGGTTAACGATCATCTCCTCGGCAGGACACGACAAATTGTGAAATACAAAAGACCATCACTCTGTTCTTTCTTCTCGGTCTTTAATTCTCTCTTTCCGTCGTGACGCTCTGCACTTGTTTTTGATGTGTAGAGATTATAGTTTCCTTGATATAGACTTACTGTCGGTACGTACACGCATGCTCCTTCCCAAAGCGTGATAAATCGACCTCAACCGCGAGCGCCCCCCCCCCCCCCCCCGGGAATTGTCGCGACATCGAGTGATGGAACCTAAAACATTCCCCACCAACTGTAGCTACCGTCTACAGAAAATATAGACTGTCGTTTGTAGACTTGTCCTTCGTGCAACATCAAGTTGTCTATCATGCGCTGCTGGCCGAGAGTCGCGCGTGGGACGAGTGGCTTGCTGACCCCAGCTGGAATGATCCCTGCTTTCCATCATCCTTGTCAAGTACCTGCCGTGTCAGACATATTGAAGACAGAGAGCGTCCCCACGATCTGCGACCCTCTTCCTCTGAACTATTAATCTGCCGTTGACATTGACGACCCGAACTCAAGATTCAACTCTCCGACCATAAACACCAAGCAAAGTCAGATTCCCATGACCAACACCGCAGGACACAATAAGAAAGCCCAAAATGGCTTGCTGGGCTTTCTGCTACTCAAGGAGCCGTCGGGTTCGGCCTTTGCGAGTGCTCAAGCGAACCACGAAAAGTCGACCAAATCCAAGCGACCAGCAAATCAACGCAGGGACTTGTCTCATGGCGACAAGCCTGCTCCAACGGCATCACTTTCGTCCTTCCAATCTCGACCATCAATCTCATCCACCTCGACGACGACGTCGACAGGCAGCAGGACCTGATGAGCTGAAGCAAGGCTTCTAGCACAGTTAGCATCGATTGGCCAGCATAAACCAAACACCTCATGCTCAAGAGCCCAAGTCTGCATTGGGACTGTACATGAGCCAACAAGGGAGACCAGCTCAGCGTATTCTGAGCACTCTCGAGCACTGTGACTGTACCTAGCCCAAAGGAAGTGATCCAGCACGCGAGGGTTTTAATATAGCGCTGTCGTATTGTGACGGGCGACAGAACGACCATTGCCGGCTTGGTTTAGTACAGTTTAGTACTGAGTAAGGAAGGCTCTCAGTCGACTAGAAGAGACTGTGTCGATATAAGCCAGGAGTGTGACCCGAAGGTCTACTATTTGCTCTTGGTCAGAGTCTCAGAATCGAAACTAAAACGATGATATCAGTGATAAGGGAGTGGGAAAACCATATTGGGCGAGTATGGCAAGGGCTAGCTAAATAGAAGGGAGATAATGTAGCCACAGTCAACTAGTATCAAGTTTGTAATCATTGGCGGTGAGCTTTCTGCCACTTCCCCACGACATGTCGACATCAGGGTCTTCCTCATCACAGCACCATCCATCAACAACAATCAATCGTCGCCTTACGAGCTGGCTATTCCTATGGAAGACAACCGTGCCGCTGTTGAGGCCTTCGGCCCTTGCAACGAACGCATACACCGACTTCCTGAAGACATGCCTGACACATAAGACAATGAAAACACTGTACCTTCTGACTCTGTCCTGACCTTTCGAAGATTCAAGACTGAGATGCACCGCTGAGTTCAAGGCACAGAAAATGGTCCGGAAGAGCGGCTGCTCCATGTGCTTTTCCTGGTACGCTTCGCTACTTTTGGAAGTATTGTGCTTTGTGACGGCTCCGTTTCAGGTCATTGTTCTAAGCCGGCAGGATAGTACTACGGATTCAGGGAGGGAGAGTCGCTTGGTCGAGGGCTCCAATATACGAGAAAAGAGGTCATATCTCCGCTTGGGAAGGGCACCTATCTGATGTGGCACGTAGGGCCGGCCCGCTGTACGAGCGATCCATTCAGTGCCCCTCGATCCTGGTAAACAAATGATTCATGTCTTCGCCGTAAGACAGGCGCGTGGAGACATCGCTGATAAATGTGTCAAATCTCCTTGTCCACACATTCTGGCCCATCCGAATCACTACATCTTGGCAGCGAGGCTCATGCAAGCGAGACTCAAACATCCAAGCGAGACTCAAACATCCAAGCACCCCCGGCATCTCAGCATGCCTGGGAGACGATACAGAGTGTCGAAGTCCAATAATGATAGAGATCCGAGACATGGGATCAGAAGACCGGTGATCGTCCAGAGTGCTAGATCAATCAGAGGGCGTATGACGCTTCCACGAACGTACTGGAGCAGTGAAGTGAGAGTGCAGAAGAGACATGCTTGCACGTGTTGAAATCGAGTTCTCGCAGCAGTGGACCTCACAACGCGCTGGGTGTGCAGCGAAAGAGCATCTAGACGAAAGCGGTAAGCTCGATCACGGGCTCACCCTCACGTGGCGCCAAGCGGGGCTGTCTCACGTGCAATGGTCAGGACACTTTTTGTTCAAAGTCCTGCTTCCTTTTTCTAGACACGAACACCATGCTAATGCTCTGTCTTAGATGTTACTAAGTCGTGTTGTTTGTTGTCTTGCCGTTGAACCTTTCCAGAACTACATCCGGGCCTATTAGTCTTGACACCCTTACACGTCCACATACCGCAGGAGTGGACAGCTACGCTGGATGCTGCAGCCAGGTGAGTGGACCGTCGTTGGCCGTACGAGCCTTCTGGGCGTGTTATTGGCGGCAATATGGTCTGACAACAACGACGACATGATTGACGATAGCTTTGCTGCATGCGGAGGACGGGCTCACCGGATTGTATTGATGCAGCCATCATCGAGGAGACGTCCGATTGAGCCGACGTCCTTGATTGAACACATGAGAAGAAAGACACGTCTGGAATCGGGTACTCTGTTGAGACGTTCTGGTTCGACTGATTGTTTGTGCATTGCTCTATTCTATCATCAGGCTTGCAAGGCCAAAGGAAGAAGAATCCGATAACAGGATCGATGAAAAGAAGAAGGGAGGAAGCGAGGCAAGTTCTTTTGCCCCTTCCACGTTGAAGTAAAACCATTAACCGTAAGTTCCAATCCTTGCAATTTGCAATATGCGCCGTGACCCAATTACCCCAGCGAATAGTGAATCAGCACGAGCTCTCAGATCTCGAACACGCCATACCGACGACGAGGCAGACAAACAGAGAAAGGCTCGAGAGGAATGGAGAATAGATGATTTATCGCTTAGAGAGCGAGGTAACCAAGGGCACCAAGGATGACAGCACCGATCATGCCAGTGCCGGCTTGGTGAACGCTAGCGGCAGCATTGCCAGATGCAGAAGCGCTGGCAGAAGATCCAGCAGTACCGGAAGCAGCTCCACTTCTGCTGGAAGAAGCAAGAGTGGAAGATGCCTTCAGGCTCTGCGAAGAGATGGTACCGTTGGATGTGGAGTTGCCACCAGCAACGACAGTGCTCACACCGGCAGAGGGCAAGATAGCAACAGGAGTGCTGCCAGCGGCCTCGGAAGTGACGGTGGTAGCGTTGATGATAGGAACGGGCATGCGAGTGGAGAGGGCTGAGGAAGCAGCGGCGGGTGAGACCTCAACGCTTGACTCGACAGCCGAAGAGACGGAGGCGACGATGCTGGAAGCAATGGCGCTGGAGATCGACTCGACTGCGGAAGTGACAGAGGCAGTAGCGCTGGGTGCAGAGGGAGCAGCCTCAGTGACAGGGGCCTGTCGTTCCCGTTAGTTCACGGCTCTGGTTTTCTACTTGCGACCACGAGAGCAGAGGCACACAGGAGAGAGAGAGAGAGAGGGACGTACCTGGATCTGACCGTCTGAGATCTGGGTGACAACGCCGGCAAAGGCGGTGCTGGCCAAAGCGCTAACGAAGAAGGCGGTGGTACGCATGATGATTGTTGTTGTTGTTGATGGAAGTTGAGATTAAAGTTTTGTGTAGTTGGAAGAGAAGCGGTAGGGAAGACTTGAAAATGTAGCGAGAGTAATTCGCAAGAAGAATGCGAGAGTGAAAGACGGAATTGGAGGAATGAGTGAATGTTCAATGGGCTGGTGAGGGCCAGGGGTTTTATGTGCTGCGATGGAGAAACACGCAAATGTCACAGCCTAGACTGCAAATAGAAGGTTTACGTGCTCCAGACAAGCTCCAAACAAGTTTCTTAGTGCACGGCGCTGCATATTACGTGGCTGGCAAGTCGAGTTGAAAGGCCAACCAAGATGCAATTGGTGCATGGTTCCCCAATCCCCAGAAGCTCTAGCATTGCTGTGGCCCGCTCCCGATGCAAGGAACCCTGTCGAGGCTGCATCGTAGTTTCATGAGTGAGAGTAACAAATCTCGCTAAATGGCTTACAGTCTTTGCCTTGACACTCCTCGATGCTCCTCAAATCTTTTCTTGATCTCTACTGCTGCGCACGCTCGGGATACGCGTCCCTGTCGACCTGATCTGGAAGTTCGCAATGGAGCACATCCAGTTGACGTTTGATCACGACGCTAAAAAGAACGCGACAGGCGGGCCATCTCGCCTAGTCAGGAACGCCTTCGCGTACGTCCGCTAGGGGGCCCTTCCACCCAACGCTTCGACGACCTACCTATGTGGAAGCTTCTCGCTGTGCAAAGTGCATGTACAGCCTGCACTTACCCGGCCAGAAGCTGCAGCACCTCGCAGCTTGACCATGGTTGTATGACGGTAACTACACGACTCGCTCCTTGCGTTTTGGTGGCCATCACTGCGCCTCGGTAGATGGCGTGTCATGGTCCCAACCACTGTCCTACTACGACACATCGGTGGCGCTCATGACTTGTCGTCCTACGGTCCCCTTCGGTCGCTTCATCACGGCTTTACGAAAAGTTTCCAAGCCACATTAGGCACGATTATGCGCTGCTGAAGACTGACTTTTCGCGGGGATGTGGTGGCAGCACCCAAGGTAAGGTATTGTACTCAGAAAGTCGGGGCCGATTCTGGTAGATAGTGGTGGCTTGGCGGACCAAAGTAATATCTTGTGGTTTCGAGTGGTCGTGTGAGAATATCGAAGAGCTTCTTTTGCCTTAATGACCTATCGGCGCGAGTGACGAGGTTGGTAATTAGTGAGTAACAGAGGCCAGGGTCATGGTGGAAACGTGATGGGTAATGGTGTGTCGCTGACGCAATTTGCGCCCCACCAAAGATTGGGCTGGCGCGCTCGCAGCAAAGCAGAGATAGCTCATCGTCAGCGCATACAACGACAATCACCACATCCTTCGACTACACCACATCTCACATCCCGCGCGGTGTCCACCATGGCTACATCAAATCCCTGCACGCTGAGCGAGATGGCGTCGGACAACGACTTCGCCAGCTACACCAACAGCGTCCCCGAATCAAGCACGCTCGTCATCTACTTCCACGCGCCATGGGCCGAACCTTGCAAGCAGATGTCCACCGTCTTGTCCGCTCTTGCTTCCACATACACTGCCTCCTCGCCGCCCACAGTCGCTTTCTTGGCTCTCGACGCCGAAGAGCTGAGCGAAGTCAGCGAGCAGTACGACGTCACTCAAGTCCCGTACATTGTCATCCAGAAAGCCGGCAAAGTCCTGGAGACCATCTCCGGCGGTGATGCTTCTCGTGTGCGCGCAGCTGTAGAGAAGCACGTAGGCGCAGGCAGTGGCAACGCTGGCGCTGCAGGTCTGCCCCCAGCACAACTGGTCAACAAGCCCGAGGGCGCCAGCGCAAAGAACCTCGCCTCCTACGCACCCTCGTCGAACGATCCCACCACAGCTCCCGAGTATTCGGCCGCCGAAGCAAACCCCGAGACGAGCAAGGAAGAATTGAACAACAGACTCGGCGAGCTGGTCAAGGCTGCTCCAGTCATGCTGTTCATGAAGGGCACTCCCTCCGCCCCTCAGTGCGGCTTCTCCCGCCAGACTGTCAGCCTTCTTAGAGACAAGGGCATCCGCTACGGCTTCTTCAACATTCTGGCCGACGATGATGTGAGACAGGGACTGAAAGAGTTCGCCGACTGGCCTACTTTCCCTCAAGTATGGGTCGGTGGCGAACTGGTTGGTGGTCTTGATATCGTGAGTCCCATCCGTGTGCCTTCGCATCATTCGACACTTGCTAACATCATCTTGCGCAGCTCAAGGAAGAGTTTGAAAACGATCCCGACTTCTTGGGCGACTACGTAGCCAGCGGCAAGAAGGGCGGGCCTGCTGCTTGATTCGTCGCTATCATCCAAACGCACCTCGCCCTCATCTTCGAGTTTCATGTCACTTACTTATCTCCCAAAACCTCTTACGCTCAACATAGACTATGACGCCTTCGATACCATCAATGCAAACGTTCCCATCTCCAGATTATCGGCAGCGAAGCACCATCTGAACTATGTACACTGTCTCTTTTCGAAGCGCTCATTCAGGCCCTAAACTTCCCCCAAGCAGCCTCCAAGTCCGCCTCATCAGTTGGCCGCCATATACGAAGTAAATCGTGGTGAGCGGTCGAAACATGCTTGCGCCAAACCTCTTGAGTAGCAAATTCGAGCCCACAGCCTTGATGGACGCATGGAAGCGATACCGTACTGTTTGTGTCTCGAAGATGATCTGCGCACATCTGGAATCGCTTTCGAAGTCGTCAGTTATACTTCATCCCAGATTTATCACAAGAAACTTACACTATGACAATCAATAAATGGACAATGAAATGTTTCGACTGTATCTTTTTCATTTGATTGAGACTTCTCTCCGTTGAGTGCCTGCTGTTGTTGTGGTGATGCAAAATCCAGACTTTGCAATACATCGCTTTGGTAGACGTTGGCTTGTGAATGTCTTTGCTTACTTGCGACCATAGGTGAAGCTGTGGCTCGTCCAGGTTGCGGTCCTTGAGCGTACTGGTGCCTCGTGGCCAGGTCTCGTGCCATACCATGTTCCAGTGCTCGCGCATTAGAACCTTGGATCACGGACGCTTCAAACTCGGCCCAAGCCTGCGCATCTTCTCCTACACAGAATTGGTTGTAAGACGATTCAGACCAATCTATTCGCTTCAGAGCCGTGCTTGTGTTAGGCGGCGCCATGACAGGCATTTGCGAGAAGATAAGCTGGAGCCTACCGAGAGCCCTTTCTTTACGTTCTACTGGTTTCGCGCCGTGAATACTGTTGGGAGGTATCGTCTTGTGGACTTCATCCGAAGCCGTCTTCGTATAGTTGTCCCAGCTCAACGACTGTGCAAGATGGTCGCTCAGACTATGAAGATTGCGTGTCGTTTCTTCGGGCTGAATATTTGATCGCGATAAGTCACTACTTGCGTATGTGAATTCTGCCTTTGATTCTTGCGAAGATAGTTCAGGGTTGAAGCTGTCGTTCCTCTTCAGATGAACACCAGCCCATCGCTCGGGACTATCTTGAGCCGACAGTGCTAGATCCAGAGTTGATCCTGATCGAGGGCTCGATTCACCAGTCTCTGTAATGCTACAAACTTCCAGCATAAACTGTGAGAAATCGTTGTTTGCATCTGCTGTGTCGAGCTCGAACCACTTCTTGGAACATTCTGTGGTCTCACCCCCATAGTGACGATGCTTACTCGATGGCTTGGCTATCTGCGGCGACGATGTTGATCCGTATGATAGCGCTGGAGAAATTTTGTGAGCACTTCTCGAAGTCGCGAGCTCCTTCGTTATCTCCAGAGCGCCTGAACCATCAATAGAGGTTGAGAGAAGATCTTTCGTCAGTATCATTGCAGATGCTCTTATCCTTGCAGAAACTGATGAGGATGACAATGAAACATCCATGTTATATCGGGTCCAGATTTCTCAGCCTCCAGTACAAAGTAAGTCTTTTGACAGCGTCAGAAAACAATCAAGGCGAACTTCGTAATGTTCAGGCACTGACCAGCTCGTCCTTCCTCCAGCTAGTGGTAGAACAAGCGTTGGGAGGAATAGCGATCAGACTCGAGATCTTGGTAGCAGAAAACAACAATATACAGCATCGGCAGCCATGAAAACAGAGCAAGGCAAGACAAGAGGAGACCTACATAATTAGAAGAAGAACCCCTCTTGCTGCTGACACGAATCGTCACGATGTGTGCACGCAAGACTTCTCTACTTCAGGGCAAGAAATGAGACTTCCCCACCTTTTCTCAAATCGGCAGTCGTAGTCGATAGAAAAAGTTGAGCCCAGCATGTCCGCGACAGATTGAAACACGCTTTCAAGTAAAGGTAACGAATTCAATGGTATCATAAATGCTGCAATGCGAAAGGCAGGCTCAGGGAGAATTTCCTAGAGCTCGTCCTTGTATGTTTCTTCAGAACCCTCTGGCTTCTGCCCGCCCTCAGGACTCTTGCCAGCTTTGGGGTCGTCTTTCTTGGGATCAGATCCCTCTGCAGCTTCTTGCTTGGGCGGCTCTGGTTTCTCATCGCCCAAAAGTACGCCTCTATATTCGCGCCCTTCAGGAGTGTCGAATACTTTGAGCTCCCAGCCTTGATCGCCTGCAATTTTTGCCAGGTCCTTCTTCAATTTCTCAACGCTCTTTGCATCACCAAGGCCTAATCTCTTCAGCTCATCTGCAGACATGGTCTTACCAAAGCTGTCTGCAATCGTCTCTATGAATTTCTCCTTGCCGCCCCCGACAATGGCAGATTTCTCTATTTTGCTGCCTTCAGGAATCCATTTGTGAGCGCCAACAGTGATACCACCGATGACTGCAGGAGCTTTAGGTTGCGAGTCGGCCAAGGGATCGGAAAGATCAGGAGCGAGAAGGTCAGAAGCAGCAGCAATTCCAGCCTCGTATTCAGGAACTTGGTCGTCTGAGAGGATAGGTGAGCATGCGATCTTGTTGGCGCGATCTTTCTTTGGGGGCTGGAAGGCGACATCGTTGCAGAGGCGCGGAGTCTGGATGACCATCAGATATGCACATGTTGCGACCTCTTTGATGATAGATATCCGATCTGCGGTGGCCGGGTTGCAGTGAAACTGGACTTCAATACGCCTCTCCTTGCCCGTCAGGTCGCATAGGGTACCGCCAGAGAGACGCTGCACGAGATATCTGCTCTCGCCGCGAGTCTCTAGTTTGCCAACTGCCTTGTCCTCCAGGGACCTGTCTTGCGATTCGTGGGGTGGCTGGTCTTGAACGGCGCCAAGCATGAAACCAGGAACACTAGGGTCTTCGACTGGGGGGTATGCGGGGACAGCTTGAGAGGGCGGTAGCTGATGGAATTGCTTGACACCCTGAGCGTAGCAGTATCTGTAGCTCCACCATCCACTCCAGTAGTAGATGCAGTTGCCTTGCATAGCCTTGAGCAGCTGCCAGCCCCTGTCATTTGCGCGTGCCAGCTCTTTCTCGTGGTCCTGCTTTGACAGAGTCTCGTTGGGCTGAGACGAGGGCGGTTGCTCGACTAGACGTGGGATCTGACACAGATAGCGCTGGCCTGCCAGAATGACGTCCTCGTAGTCGTATTGTGGCTTCTCGGCTTGTGAAGCATACTCGTCCGAGTGAGAAAGGGTACGGTCCTCGTGGTGGGCGTCGGGATGCGAGAGTTTCTCCTGAGCCTGCAGGTTGGAAACATGGCCCTCTGCAAAGTCGACGACGAACTGCGTTGCGGTCAGTGGATTGTCCCTGCGAGACAAGACATCGGCGTCATGATACCTGAGGGAAGGCGAGGACATCATCCTGTACGCTGAAGGAATTCTGAGCAGCGACTGCCAGTTGTAGCAGCGCGGCACTGGCCCAAAGACTCTTCATGTTTGACTGCGCACGGATATGGTCATGGAGAGGTCATGGAGAGTTCATGGAGAGTTCATCGAGCATCCAAGAAGCATCGACCATCGACCATTGACCATCGACCATCAAGCGTGTGGAGCAATCCAACGGGACACCTGGTCGCACGGACTTAGGACTTAAGCTCTTGCGCCGGCATCCGTCATGTCCCACCGAGCCTCAATCATACATCCAAAAATATCCTGAACCTACGAACCTACGAACCTACTCGTATACAGCGACTCGTCCACGCGCTTTTCCCATCTGGATGCCTGAGCTCCACTCTCGATAATCTGTCCAACACCTTGTCCCAGCCGCTGCCTTACACCAATTCCAAAGTTAAGGAGTGGCATATGGAATGGTTTTGGAGATTGAGCCCAGGTGTCTGGTTCACAGAAGGATACTGGACCAAGATGGTTAGCCCAAAGGCATTCCTCTGGGATGTTGACGAAGCGAGTAGAGCTATCGGTTTCACATTGGGACAATTTGGGAAGGACCTAGCCCTGATTCTTGTCATTGGCACGGTGTACCGTGTTTTGGCATATGGTCTTTTGGTCCTCCTTAAGAAAAGGTGTAGATAATGTCCTTCCTCCAACATTCATTATGTTGTACCTCAACATATTGCTTACATCGTGGTCATGAATGCATTCTGTCTTCATGTTGTGATATCATAATAGCAAATATCTGAGTGTTCGAACGTGATGTAGGATGTACCAAGGAGTGAAGATGTGCGAAACGATACCACTACAGAGGAGGACTTGTATCACCCGGTCCGTGGGCTGCGGCTCAGACGAATAGGTACCCTAACCAACCTAAAGCCGAATAGAACACCTTCAACAACCCGGTAGGCACATGATACCAACGCCAATCTCCCAGGACTGGCAGAACCACGGGCACCTAGCAGAGAGTTACAGTGAGATTGTTGGCGACTCCGCAAGCGTGGATTTTGCCTCCGTCGTAACCGGTAAGGGGGTTGGGAGTACAAGCGGGATCAGACAGCGAGATGCGCCAAGCTTCACCAGCAAACGGATCACCGTTGGCGTTGATGACTGACCAGTAGAGCAGTGAATCCTGGGGGGAGTCGCTGAAGCCGAGAGTGAACTTGGGTGTGGATGTGGAAAAGTAGGCCGATGTCTTGCTCAACCCATAGGCATTGCCAGTGCCAACGCGCCACTGCGTGTAGGTCCCGTTGGTTGCAATTTGATATTGGACGGGCTGAAAAGTCGTATTGGTGATGGTGATCCAGACAGGCTCGGCACAGTTGTTCTGGACTGTCGCGAAGGCTGCCAATACAGGGCTAGCCACGGCAACGAAGATGGCTGATGTGAGAGCGAAGAAGTGCATGATGATGATGATAGATCAGGAATCGAGTGATGAGGTTGGTCGTAGAAAGATTGATGTGGACGATCACTTGAGGTTCTCTGCTGTAGATGGAGAGAGTAATATTGTGAGTAAGGACAGGCAGGAGCGTTCCCTTTTATGTTGAGAGCGCTCCTGCCTTGCATCAGCCAGTAAGAAGCGGCACGAAGGGTGCTTACCTTCCATGTTACAAACAGATGGAATGCTCAAGCGTGGTGAACAAGCTGCAAGGAACCTGATGGTGTAGCAAGGAGGACAACGAAACTCGGGTAAAGAATTGCTGTTTCGCAAACTAGCTGTACCCAGTGACAGATATAGACATATGATTCGAAGAGCCGTTTGCACTCAAGCCAGACTGGAGTCGGAGTCTACTGTGGCTCATGTTCCTGACCAACCTTTTGTCGAGCCTAGTTGGGTGCAAAGTTCCTGCAGAATCCAAGTGTCTGTGGTCCGGCTTGTTGCATGTAGTAGCACGAGTGACAGGTCAATCTGAGATTCGTGGCAAGGAAGGCATTCAAATCTTTTGTGCACTTTGCCGTTTGCGAGGAGGCTAGCGCGTGATAGACAAGGTCGTTGCTTGGTGGTTCAGAGCTGTCATGAAAACACAAACGACAGTGGTTCATACGATCCGGATGGGGTCACGATGTACAGAGCAAAGCTGGAAGTCGAGCGACCGGTGAGGAGCCTCGAAACAGTCTCGGACAACAAGGCTGACTGCAAGGCAGCGTGTAGTATGAGGGAGGTCTGATAGTGGTTGTGTTGGAAGGCAACTAGGCATGTAGAGGAGGCAGGTGGGGCCATTGAGCTTTGAAGCTTGGCGGCACGAATAGCCGGGGCACCTTCCTAATCAGCAAGACAATGGACGAGCTGTCATGAGCAAGTAGAGGAGCCATGTGAGATAGCCAACACTTCGCGGGCGAGATGCCTCTGACGATGCCCAGAATACGACTCGCTGTGCAATCGATCCATCCACCAGCGACACGTTCCACCGTACACAACATCCCCCGAGCTTGGACATCTCCTGTTCATCGAAGAAACATGGCAGCCGTCATTACACAACAAGGAGTCGAGGAGGCAGCGCAGCAGCTGAGCAATGGTCAGGCCAAAGTCGACAATTGGTCCGCCCCTGGAGCTGCCGCCTTTGACTTCCGCTCAGATGTCATGACCCGACCGACGACTCGCATGCTCGAGGCCATCGCCGCCACGACTTTGCAAGACGATGTCTTCATGGAAGACACGACGTCAAACGACCTGGAAGCCTTTATCGCCGACCTGACAGCCAAGGAGGCCGCCCTGTTCGTCTTGTCAGGGACCATGGGCAACCAAGTCGCCTTGCGCACCCACCTCCTAGCCCCACCCCATGCCGTCCTGACCGATCATCGTTCCCACATTGTTCAGTGGGAGGCTGGCGGTGTTGCCAGTATGTGCGGTGCCATGATCCAGGCTGTTGTGCCCGCCAACAACAAGTACTTGACCCTGGAAGACATCAAGAAGTATGCTGTAATCAGCAACGACATTCACGCTTGTCCTACAAAACTCCTCAGTCTGGAAAATACCCTCAATGGCATCGTGACTCCTCTCGAAGACTTTCAGCGTATCAGTGCTTGGGCCAAGGAGAATAACATTCTCATGCACCTTGATGGTGCTCGGCTTTGGGAAGCTGTGGCCTCGGGTGCTGGCTCCCTCAAAGACTACTGTGCCTGCTTTGACTCCATCTCGCTCTGCTTTAGCAAAGGTCTAGGTGCGCCTATTGGTAGCATAATCGTCGGGACAAAGCAGTTCCGGGAAAGAGCTCGTTGGATCAGAAAGAGCATTGGTGGTGGCTTGCGTCAAGCAGGTGTTGTTACCGCTGCTGCTCGCGTTGCTGTCGAAGACACATATCTTGGAGGCAGATTAGCCGCAAGTCACGATAGAGCACGCTCGATAGCTTCCATGTGGGAAAAACTAGGCGGCAAGACCTCAAATCCTGTCGAGACCAACATGTGTTGGTTGGATCTTGACGCTGCTGGCATAAGCGTCACAGACTTCATCGCAGCTGGTGAAAAGGTTGGTCTGAGATTGGGAGGTGGGCGACTTGTCGTACATTACCAGATCAGCGAGGAAGCCGTGTCGCGTCTAAAGACCCTCATGGAAGCCGTGTTAAAGGGCAAGGGCAAAGAGCTTGAAGGGAGGGTCGAGTATGACCCCAAGGATCTCAACATCAAAGTCGAATAAAGTATCTCTGCTGTACTATAAACCACAAACCCCTATCAATTGATCATGACTACCACTTTTCCTCTGGCCCGTCCAGTATTCAGCTTCGCAAACGCATCCTTCGCCTGATCGAATTCCCACTTGCTATCGATGATGATCTTGCTGCGATCAAGATCTAGAGTCTCCTCCAACCAATCCTTGCGAAATGCCAGATTGACGCATTCATAGCTCTGACCCAGACCTAGCTTACCGGCCAAAGTTCTCATGGTCATCTTGGGATTCCAGAGGTATGTCGCTGCCCCNCCCATACTCTCCCTGCCAGTCTTGTCTCCTACGATGGTAACATATTTCTCAGCGAGGCCTACGCAGGATGTTCCACCAACACAATCGATGATCGCTGCTGGGTTGTATTCTCGCACGGCGTGTGGCACATCGCCCGTGTTGTAGTCGACAACATGTTTTGCCCCCATGGACTTTACGAAATCGATATTGCGAGAAGAGCATGTGGTCAGGACTTCCCATCCTCGCTCACAGGCGACGTAAAGCACATACATGCCGACCCCTGAGCTGCCACCTAGAACAACTAATCGCTGAGTGCTTTTGACATAAGGCTCGACGTTGGCGATCGTCGTGCGTGCTTAACCCATCAGTCAGTATACAACGGTATCGGGGGAGGCCTTAGTACCTGTTAGCCACACCAGAGGGAGCGCGGCGGCTTGTTCCCAGCTCATGTCATATGGCTTCTTCACGATAACGCTCGATTTTGTGTCCACGACTGTAAGCTCTTGGAGGGTGCCGCTCGTAAGCGTGAAAGTGATCCCGTATACCTGTCAGGGACATTAACAGGGACAACAAGTGCGAGATGGTGACGGACCCCCACAAGCTTGTTCTCGCATGTCTTGTGAACCGTAGTGTATACAATGTAGCTCGAGGATGTATGTGGCAAGTTTTTCCGATGCGTGATCAACCTACCTCATCGCCAGACTTAAACCCGCTTTCCTGACCAGCAAGTTCCACAACGCCAGAGAAGTCCTCAGCTACACCTTTCTCGAGAGGAACAACGAAGCTTGGAAGATACTTCCAAATGGGAAGGTTCATGAGCTGGATATCTACTGGATTGAGCGCTGCCGCCTTGACGCGAATGTAAACCTCCGACGCTGACGGTTTGGATGGTACTGCAATAGCCGATTTGTGAAGGCCAGCGGGATATCCATCATGTGTGAAAGTCCATGCCTTTGCTGCCGAGGCCATATGGTCGAGCTCTGGCGACAACCCTTTCGTGAATAAGAGTAACTTCGTTCAAAAGAAGGATCGACAAGATCAACGACAACGACAAAATGCAGGAGCGGGGAAACTCTAGTTCGAGTGCAACAACTCGGGAAGGCGCTACCCGAGATGACGCTCAGTATCGCTGCAGATGTCACGGCATGTGCTCTGGAAGTCCTCTGATGCACATGAGTCGACATCATCTTCCGCGAAAGTTACGCGTGCTCGCAAGATGAACTGCTCTTAAATATCGTCCCCGAGATACTCGGCACGGCTCAGGATTGCAACGGCGGAAACAAGGTTTGGAGGCAAGGGCTACCCCTCGATCAGGACCCCGTGAACCGACAGATGTATGACATCGATGGACAAGTAAAGCAGCCTTATATCAGAGCATAGACGTCTTCTTTGTCCATCAATAAGACATACATTCGACAAAACAAGTAAAAGTCTTAGGAGCCCCTCTACCATGGCTACTCACAATGACAGCCCAAACTTCTATGATTGCCTGATCATTGGAGCGGGAATCTCTGGCATCAACGTTGCGTACAGATTACAGGAGCAATCACCTAATCAGTCATACGCGATATTGGAGGCTCGCGATTCTCTAGGCGGCACATGGGACCTGTTTCGCTATCCTGGAATTCGAAGCGATTCTGATATGTACACCTTTGGCTTTGAGTTCTATCCATGGAAGGAATATCGCACAATGGCAGATGGAGCCTCGATCAAACAGTATTTGAAGGATGCCGCAAGCACTTTCGGAATAGATGAACATATTCGTTATCGCCATAAGCTTCTCGCTGCAAATTGGTCTTCGGATCAACAAAACTGGAGTCTCAACGTCGACACACCTAATGGCAAGAAGAACATTCGCTCTCGCTTCATTGTCTTTTGCACGGGATACTACGACTTCAATGAAGCCATGCCTGCTACTATTCCGGGCATTGAGAAGTTTCAAGGAAAAGTCGTCCATCCACAATTTTGGCCTGAAGACCTGGACTATAAGAACAAAGAGGTTGTCATCGTAAGTTGATCTATGTCGCAAACTAGACTTGTGCTTACGATGTATTGCTCTAGGTCGGCAGCGGGGCTACTGCTGTAACTTTACTTCCCAACATCGCAAAGGAGACCAACAAAGTCATCATGTTACAACGCAGTCCTACCTACATTGCTGCAGTTCCACAGCGAGACAATCTCTCGTACTGGCCAGCAAAGTTCCTTCCTCTCAGCTGGACATACAAGCTTAGGCGCATACAATTCTTAATCCTGCCGTTCCTCTTCTTCAAATTTTGCAAGGCCTTCCCTGATCGCGCCAGAAAACTGCTGAAGAAGGGAGCAGCGTCTCAACTGCCAGAGGGCTACCCCCTGGAGCCTAATTTCGACCCAAGCTATGGACCATGGGACCAACGTCTTTGTGCGTCTCCAGATGGAGACTTCTACAAGGCTATCAAGGACGGACAAGCCGAAGTCGTTACGGCTCACATCAAGCAGGTCACAGAAAAGAGTATTCACCTCGAAGGCTCTGACCGTGTCTTGACTCCCGACATCATCGTCACCGCAACAGGACTGAAACTCATTATGGCTGGAGGCACCAAGTTGTCTGTGGACAATGAGCCTACGGAGGTATCGCAAAAGCATCTGTGGAAGGGTGCGATGATCGAAGACGTCCCCAATGCTGCTGTAGTCCTGGGATACACCAACGCATCCTGGACACTAGGCTCAGACGCAACGGCACAATTCGTAACTCGTCTCTTGAACCACATGGACAAGAACGGCTTATCACAAGCAGTGCCGAAAGTGGATCCTAAGTCTGGCATGCAAGATCAATCGGTTCTGAATCTCAAATCCACCTATATCGTCAAGGCAGAAGGCAGCCTTCCCAAAGCTGGAAACAAGGCTCCGTGGCTCCCGCGATCGCATTACCTCAGAGATTTGTGGGAGATGAAGTTTGGCAGCATCACGCACGACATGCAATTTTCGAGAATCTCTACGTAGAGTTTAGATATATCCATGAGAATGATGTCCTTTCCTGCTTTTTAGTATTAAATATGTATAATGAAGGAGAATAGATGACTCAATACGACCAATCACAGCTGAGATGAGCTGCTCCACAAATTCGGCCCGATCGATTCCGTAAAGTCCGCTACCACTTTGGAACTCCACACCAGACGCGACCCTCTCGCCCCTACGGCCCTGCTTGTCAACTGTGTACCTGGCAGATATTTTTCTTGCGTTCTCTAAACCGTGTGATCGACTTGCACACTGCTGAGTGACAGCTTTGAGATCGTCCAGCAACTCGATTTCAGGGTGCTCAAAGTGGGGGCGGGGTCCACCACTTCTCAAGCCACCCAAGACAGCCCTTACTCTGTGCGTCGGTAAGTCTGAGAGTGTAACGTGCAAACTCCAGGCTACGAGGTATGGTTTTGCGGAGATGCTCAATATGCGATCGGAATTTCACAAAAGTCTGGACCCTCATCAGATAAATGCTCACACATCAGCTAACATGACAGCAGGCCGAACATTACCTTAGGCATCAAAGGTCTCGTGAGTAACGAAGGGACAACCTCGTGACAAGATGCCTGACAATTATCATTAGACACGAAAGAACGACCTTATGAATGTGCAACATGCAAGAAGCGATTCTCGCGGAGGTATGTAGACTGATCGTTGAGGCAAACTTGCCGCGCTGATACCTTTTTGCAGCGACGTACTTTTTCGACATAGCAAGCTGCACAACCAGCCAACATCCGATGACCGTGTGGACTCGTCAAACCCTTTGGCTGGAATCGTCAGAGCGTCGCCATCCGACGGCTCGATGATGCCGATCATGGAAGAGCGTCTGAATCCTCATGCGTCTTTCAATCGTATGGACAGACCGAACTTTGCCCAGGAGCAATCTTATGCCGATGCAAATCTGGCTCATTCTCGACACATGTCAATGCCTGATATATCTCTGGGTCATGGACACATACAGTATAACATGAGCCCGCAGCAACAAGGCCCTCTTCCACAGCTTACACCAGCGCGCACTTACGCTGGACCTGAATTCACACCAGTACAGGAGTTCCCTCCTAGAGTAGCGACACCTGGGATGCCATCTCACGCATACGACCCGCAACTAATCTCCATGGAACATGCCCACATGGATGGACTGATGTCCGGACCGTTCGGGGTCGGTGGACTGCCCTCAAATTCGCCAGGACAGTCCCAGGATATGCTGCATTTCTGGCTGGCCCAGGCAGACAACGACCTCGGTTATGGTGCATTGACATTGCCAGATGTAATCGATACTCCATACACACCAGATCCCACTCATAGACTCGCATGTCTATCGGTGCATAGAGCTGCAACATCGGAGACCAGTGACACTGCCTCTACAGGTAACATACCTAACGAGCGATTTGCCAGAGTTGAAAACTGTTGGTTGGCAAAGAATAATGGAACTCATCATCTAGCACCGTCACTTTGGTCTGACATCCTCCGAAGTCCGGGCCCGAATCTATTCTCAACCGGTCCTTCGCCGCCTCATGAGAAGCTAGACAGCCGTTGGGGAGTGAACGCTGCACTTCGCTGCCGCCTAGAAGCAGAATTTGGCGCGCATGTGCTACACACTACCGGGTCCTCTGCGAAACGCCCCAGCACTTTCCCTCCTGCGGAGGTCCTGGAAATATGTCTGGATCATTACTTCCGCCGGTTTCATCCAATGGCTCCATTTATCCACGTCCCATCTTTTGATGCTTCAAATACTCCTCTTCCCTTGCTCTATGCAATGTGCATGATTGGGCTCAGTGCCTTGGAATCAAGCAATGGTGGCAACTTCATATCGAATGCTTTTACTGTAGGTGCCGTTTATCAAAAACGAAATGAACTAAACGGTCTTTGTATGCTTTGCTAACACTGTGTAGATACTGTTGCGGAGAGTTCATAACGACCTAGCGATTAGTGCGATCACTCCTACAGCTCCTCATGCGCGGTTGGCCATCTTTGCGGCTGGGTTCTTGACCTTGTGTCTAGCTGCCTTGTCAGGAGTGAGTCTTTGAGTTGCAATTTGTGTATGCAATGCTGACTAAGGTTGTAGGATAAAGATCGACTGGCGCAGTCTCAGACCCTCTATGCCATACTAATAGCTGTGAGTATGAGATCCAGGCACTTTATCTCTTACTGACGGCGTATCAGACTGCACAGAGGCAGGGGTTGTTCTCCGTTGAGGAGCTCGATGTCGAGGACGCCATTTCTGACGTTGACGACGAGAATCTGCGATGGTTAACTTGGGCTCGAATCGAAACCGTCAAAAGGTGATATAAAGTTCACACTCGTTGCATCCGTCGATATTAACCCTAACTCGACAGACTCATCGTAGCTTTGTTAACCACTGACTGGTGGTTTTCCGCGAACTCTTCTGCCAGCCCCGCGATACGACCGGAGACATTACAGCTGTGTCTTCCATGCGATGATGTCCTGTTTCGAGCGGAGTCGGCTCAGCGATGGAAACAATTGCAACAGATTGGGAAAAGGATATCCATGCCGATGATTAAGCCACGAACATTCAACCTGGAAGGAGCTCTGGATTCAGTCATACTGCTAGACCCTCCTTTGGATGCTCCAGGACAGTACACATTGCTTTCGGCCATCAAGCTTTGCGTCTGTGACGCCCAACACAGACACTTCCTCCCAACGGATGACTGGGATAGGCATGATCACCTTATCCCGTGGGAGACGTATCAAGACGATTTAAGGGCACGTTGCTTAGTACAGACTACGCTGGCTCTCGCACCGGTGATCACCGGGTCAGCCAAGACTGCCGACCTCAATTCTCTGGTTTTATGGCACAATATTTGCCTGACGCTGAACTCCAACATGCAAATATTCGAACTCGCAGCAGGTCGGGCAGGCGCCGGTCCAGCTGGCAAAGCGCTCGCGGACGTGGAAGACTGGGCCCGCACTTCGTCGGCTCGTCGCGCTTGTATACATGCTGCGCAGACATTCAAGTTGCTCAGCAATCGTAAGGTCTCAGAGAGTATCACCCTGAATTCCATGTCTGCTCTCTTCTGCTCTGCTCTTATTCTCGGTCTGTATTTGTTCACTGTACAGAACTCGGAAGCCGAGACTGCACGTTTGCCGTATGAGGTGATGGACGATGTTGACTGGACAATTGTTGGGAATGCAGGCATGGCAGAGACTTCACCCGGGAACAGTCCAGGCATGATGTTTGAGTCTTCTCATGCCTCAAATGTGACTCGTACATTCATCGAGATGGGCGGACCCGTATCGATCAATGGTGTTGTTGCCACCAGCGGCTTCCAGACCGCGAGACGTACGCTGTTGGACTTTGCACACTTGATGGACGGTATAGGGACATGGAAGCCTCGGACGTTATCTCGAATCCTGCACATTATGTCTGACGTGTTGGAGGAGTCGCTCTGAGAGACACATAGTCCTGTAATTATGATTGACCGAATTGGCAAAGCTGGTTGATGCTGGTACATGCGTTTGCTCTAGTTCTTCTTCCACTCCGCTTTGTCCCAGCCTGGATCATTGCCAAATGCTCCTGGATTCTCATGAATCCAATTTGCGACGTCCTTACATTGAGCTAACCAGGTGTTTTCCTTTTTGCTCGCCAAATGTTCAAGCACTTCTTCCATGACCTTTAACTTCTCATCTTCTGTTTGCAAGAAAGGATGGAAGAGCAAGGCCAGATATCCCCCCTCTCCTACGACTTCATCTATCCTTCTGAACAAACGGTCCTTCAGCACTTGCGGGGATAATGGCTCCTCGGTATCGCCTTTGCCTTTTCTCAATGCAGCCGTCGAGGCCATGTAGAAGTACGCATCAATGCTTTCCCACTGGAAAGGTACCATTGCGACGCCATCCACCAAAGCTGGACGATCTGCTGCAGGAGAGAGGTAGTTCATTCCTTTCTGTTTCATCAGATTCAGTGTACGTTCAGTGACTAACCCTCCCGGTGGTCGAAAGCCCTTGTAATGTACCCCAATGGCCTCCGCACCCTCGACACTTTTGTTCAGGTTTCCAATCTCCGTCTCAGCATCAAGATTCTTCCACACTTCATGCTGATATGCGTGAAATCCAATCTCATGACCTCGACTTTGCACATGCTTGATCGTGTCCGAGTAAATGGGGCAGTTCCAGCCCTCGACGAAATAAGTGGCCGGGAGGTGGTATTTGTCGAGTATATCGAGCATCAGAGGTAGCTTCTCAGTGACTGAGAAGTGCGAGCCTATGGGCTTGTCTTTGGGCCAGAGACCGCGGTTCAGATCTGCGGCTTCGCCCATGTTGTCCATGGTCAAGCTGATACAGGCACGCTTGCCATTCGGCCAGGGATATTGCTGAGTAGTCATGACGGGTGCAACAAACTGGTCCTTGTATATCATTCGTAAAATATAATTCTGGAAGTTGAAGAGACGTCTGGAGCTGCAGAACACACAAACTAGGCGTACGATAATAGCCCAGGCAATTGTGAGGCTGACCTCTTGAACGCTGGTCCTGCCAAAAGAGGATGTGGAGAAGTTATGGCGGTGACATTTCAGTGCAGAACTGCCGAGTGGGGCCCATCCCGCTGGTTGTTTTCGCGACCGCGATGTGAAACGTGACCCTGGCCCGAGACCTTCGAGCCTTTTATTCGTCACATAAACGACCGTTCCGTCGGCCAGGAACTCGCTCGAGGAACGACTGATCCAAGTGCATCTTGAGGTATGTATCCGGGACCAACATACCGTGACGTGATTACAGCAGTGCCATCCCCGGCTCAAATTTGTTGATCTTGCGGATCACACAAAGTACTACAGATATGGGTCCCAGGTTGAGCCCACGGGCACTCATAGCTGTCAGACAATGACGACGAAGTCTACTTGCATATAAAGTACAAACCATACCGCTGCGGAATAGCGTATACAAGAATGAAGCAGCTATAACAACAATGCTTTGCAGGGCAAGCACCTGCTCGGCATATTCTACCTCGAAGCGCCGCCAAGACCTGCAAGAGTAATTTACTATCACAACGTGATCCAGACTGGCGGTATGCAGCTCGGTTAACATCCAGCACCTTGCATTGGGAAGGTGATGGCTTCTCGCTAGACCTTTCTTTCTAGTTCTCCTCTCTTATCGTCATCTCCCAACGTCAGAAAAGAAGAACGAGAAGCAGCTTCACCTAAAAAATGACCACCAAGAGAGACCCAGCCAGGAGCATCTTGCTCGTCGGTAGCGTGCCCGGTACAGACACTGAAGACGTGCTTCGCAGATTGGTCCCGGCACTTGGAAGCCGTCTTAAGTACATACCCGACGGTGAAACCGGCCAACGTAACTTCTTTATCGGCTGGCAGATTTACAAATTTGGCGCAGCACCCGAGGTTGTCAGTCCGTTCGGCCAGAATGGAAAATTTGAAGAGACTCCAGTACCAGAGGATAAGATCAAAGAAGCAGCTGAAAAGCTTGAGGGAATGTCGACCGACTACGATACTGCAGCTCTCGAGTCGTACCCCATTTTCAGGAGACTGAAGGAAGAAGGAGTGATTCCTGAGGGCGTCAAGTTCCAGGTCTGCTTGCCTTCGCCTTTGACTTTTGTGTCTCCATTCATCGTTGGCGACTACAAGACTGCAATCGAGCCAGTCTACGAGCGCGCTATCCTCAGTGCTCTTAAGAATATCGTTGCGAGCATTCCAAAGGAGGAGTTGGCCATTCAGTGGGATGTCCCCCTCGAGTTTGCTCTTCTTGAAGGCGTCTGGGTAAAACCCTGGTTCTCTCCTCTCAAGCAAGGAATCTTGGACCGCTGGCTCAAACTAACTGCTGCGGTTGATACAGCCGTCGACATGGGCTTCCACTTCTGCTACGGAGACATTGGACACGTGCACTTCACCCAGCCCAAGGACATGGGCCTTATGGTCGACATGGCAAAGGAGCTTCTGAGTCAAGTCAAGAGGCGTGTTGACTACATCCACATGCCTGTACCCAGAGACAGAGACGACGAGGCATATTTTGCTTCTCTGAAAGACTTGCAAACATGCAGACGAGAGACTGACGTCTATCTCGGTTTGGTTCACACAGACGATCTGAAAGGTACTCTGAAGAGAATCGAGGCTGCTTCGAAAGTTCTCGACAACTTTGGAGTGGCGACTGAGTGTGGGTGGGGAAGAACTTCTCCTGAAGATATTGATTCAATCGTCCAAATTTCGAATGCTGTGTCGGAAGCTGCATAAAGCATACACCACCTGTCGTGATGGAACCAGAAATGGTTAGTCCGGTATATAGGCAACAAGGCGAAGTCCTGAAAGTCTTCAATAGAACGATAAAATTTGTATTCGAGAAGGGGTCTTGATACATCTCGTACAATTCAATATAGAAGCAGCAGTACGATCGTCGAGCTCAGTTCCAATCAGTTCCCATTCGTCTTGCCTTGTAACAACTCCCTGAGTGCTGCATCATCATAGTAAACCTTGTTTCTCTCGTCCATCAACTTCTTGTCCTCCTTCACTCTCTTTAGAAGCGCCTTGGCTTCTGGATTATTGGAAAAGCGATCGGGCAAGGTATTCCAAACCTTGGGATCCGTACCGCGGGTGTTGATAGTGCCACAGCCTACGCGAGCATATTCAGTCCACAAGAAAGTACGAGAACTCTCAATCATGATGGTCATCTGATTCTCCAGGATTTTTCTCGGCCCACTCTCCTGAATGCGCATTTCTTCCACGTAGGCGTCCGAAAAACCTCCATGTGGTGTGTGGGCACCTTCGAAACTGCCGCCGCCGGGCTGGAAGTCGTCGCTCCTTCCCAATCCTTCGCCATACAGACAGGCCAAGAACTCAGAGGCCGAGTTTCTGTGAAAGTAGGGGAGACGGAAGGTGTTGGAAGCGACGTCCCACCTTGGGCCGAACCAGAGGAAGTCAGCAAGAGGAGTATTTGGGTCGCGAGATTTAGCGGTCAGCACAGTGTTGACCGAGGGGTCGGTGTGGTCGATGCTGGTTGCGTTTTGTGAAGCAAACTTTGTGAGATCGTACTAAAAAGCATGTCAGAAAATATACAGGCTTGCAATGCATAATACCTTCTTACCTTGTAGGGAACAACATTACCATGCCATGCCACAAGATCAAACGGACTGTGGTCTTGCTCCAAGCAATTATACTTGCCGTTGTTCTTGTTGACAATCTCCCATTGGCCAGTCAACTCTTCATCAATATGGGCAACAGGGTACAAGAAATCTCTGGGGTTGGCAAGACCATGTCCTCCGAGGGGACCCAGGTCGGGCAACTCCCACATACTGCCCCAAACCTCTGTAATATATCCTCTGGCGTTCTCCACACCAGGTGCAAGCGCAATCCTAAATCTCACTCCCCTTTGGATGACACAGATCTCACCAGGCTGAAGAAAGATCATTCCGAACTCGGTCTGGATGTCCAGGTTTCCTTGTTGAGCGCAAAGGAGGAAGTCTCCGTCTGTGTTGCAGAAGGCGCGCTTGTCCATGGATGCATTGATCGCATAAACGTAAAGTGCCATTCCTTCTCTCAAATTGGGGTCCCCAGAACCCGCGAGCGTATGTAAGCCGTCAACGAAGGTTATTTTTTCTAAAACCTTGGGAAGAGGGAACGGCGCCCATTCTGCTTGTTCGGGCAGAGTCTCGACTTCGGGATTCAGTGAGAGGAAGCAATTTTGGATGTGAGCCTTTGATTCAATCTTCTTGTACCCATCTGAGGAATTTTAGGTACAACCGTCACAAGTGGTAGTGAAGCTTACTTACTGTGAGCTGCGGCAGGTCGCACACGGTACATGTACGTGCTGTAGTTGTGGGCACGCGGTGCAGCGAAGGCACTGTACGTGATGCCTTCGGTGTACAGACCGAAGCGGACCTCCTGCGGGTTGTTCTGAGCGACTGGCAAGGTGCCAGGAATCACCTCAGACTGGTGTCTGTTGTTCCAGCCATGCATGTACGTATAAGGGTCGTTCTCGCGCGTCGGCTTCTTACGTTGCAAGTCCGTGTAGTGGAAGACCTTGGTAGGGTCTGTAGCAGGCTTGCGTTCCTTCAAAGGGGCCGGCATGATGGCGTAGCTAAGATTGCGTATGTAGTATAGGTATGTTCTTGTTGGTACATAAGGAAGAGGGAAGAGCTCCAAGGCCACATAATAACCCAATCTGTTGCCTGGTGTCTTGAAACGGCAGTTGCGTCGGTCGCGACCAGGACCACCAACCTGCGGGGTCTCTCACATCGTTTGGTGGGGCGAGGGGTTGTTCTCGCGAGGCCTTGTTTGGAGGCTTTGTGTCGCGACATTGATGGATGCTCCGTCACCAGCCACATCGCTCCGCACTTCGTGGGGCAAGAGTCCTTTCCTCCATGTGGGGCACGTTCACAAGTCATTCATGAGTCGGCCACAGCCAGACATTGTGATTATGTACAATAAGACTGTATATAGACTGGGTATCCACAATGTATCGCCCTCCGATGCAACTCCTTCCAAAAAGAGCCGCTTCCATTCAATCAACGCCATATGCGACAAACCAATATCCCGCTTCCTGCAACCAACATCCACGCTATGCAATTAGTGATTGAAAATGCGCCATCAGAACATACCGAAGAGTCTGCACCTCACATGATGGTGCATTCTCTGTCCGGCTTCTCCATCTTTCGCTTTCGATGGAAATGTCCTTCATGATTCTTGTCACCTCGTTCCTTCCTGACCTTGCTCCTTCCAACGCGCTCTTTCTCCGCCTTCTCCGCCATCTTGACATCAAGATTCTTCAGACTTTCGACAGACGCCTCGCTTCCACTGACTGTTGGCTGACCTTCGATTTCTTTGACGTTCTCCACGTCCTCATCTTGTTCGGCTGCTGAACTGAGATTGGTAAGGTCTGTTCGACTCACACGACTAGTGAGTTTACTCATACTCATGTTCAGACTGAAGCGTGATCCGCCATCCGTAGAGCCGGGTCGTGACTTTGTTTTCTTGGTGCTGACCTTGCTGCCTCTCCTAGACGGTATACCCAGGAAGCTACCTCGGGATTCGTCTATGGGCGTTGAGGGTATAGAAGTAGTGGCCTGACTTCCAGCAGTACTACCATCGTCCGCAACGCTACCACGACGTGCATCTAGACTGGTTCTACCACGTATGTCCAAACTGGTCCTGTTAGAGGCCGTCCAGTCAGTTGTATCAGTACTTGAAAGCCCGTTGGGTGATGTTGGCGAGGAAGATTCGATCAGGACCATATCGGTCTCATCACTCCCGATTTTCTTGAACTTCTCCGGCGAGTACTCAAGCGAGTCAGAAGGATGGCGCGACATGGCCTCATCGTAGGATGGAGGTGCATCGGGTACAAGTTCCTCATCAATGGGTTGGACCTGGTAGAACAAGAGGTAAGGGCATTCCTCCTTCAGCTTTTGGTTGATGTCAACGTAGGTGACGCGTTCTCTAGCGAGATCATCAAACAACATCCAAGGGTCTTCTTCTTCAACGCTTTCGGCAGTATCAGGACGATCGGATCGTCCATCAACACTTTGAGCATTAGCAGCCCGGCCCCGGACTAAAGAAACGTAGTGGCCCGAGTTGACCGATACACCGCGATGGCAAACGACTGACTGAAGCACAAGCTTGAAGTTACCGACAAGCGGACTGTGGTCTTCCATCTCATCATCAGAGACAAAATTGGGCACAGCAATCTCGAGCGGGATGTCAATGAAAGTGTCCAGGCGACTTGCGACGCCGGTGTTGGAGTATTGATATCGTTTGAGTGCGATGCCAAGTACCGGGCGCTTTCGCGAAAAATGAGCCGCAACCTGGGCATCGCTGGTAGGGACGATGTTTTCGGTGTACCAAGGAAGGAGTTTGAAGAACTGCCAAGCGGGCATCAAAACTTCTGTGCGGATCGAATTCTTACGCGATCTTCCAGGTCCAGGGGTATTTGTTGCATCATCTGAACCTTTCTTCCCTTCTAATTTAGCCTCTGCCACTCTGCGCTGACTGAAGATACTGTCAGCACGCGTACGATTCATGCCAGGTCTGATCTTGTCAAGTGGAGATTTGATCGGCGTGCTGGGCGTGGCAGACGGCGACTTGACGGGCATGCTGAGATCTGGCTTGGGTGGGACAGCCTGGTCGAAGTATTCAAGCGTCTCAACGTGCATGGAGCCACCTTTTTCGCACGAATTGGTTCGCCGCAGTCTCTCGTTGGATCTGACGGACTGGAGGGTATTGCGTCTATCTAGATGGCGTTTGACCTCGATTCGGTTGTTGAAATAGTTCTCCAGGCAATCCTCAAGAGTGACGACAGTGCTACCTTCGGGCGGCTCTGTGACGACAGCAACCTCCAGCAGGCGTTCGTTGACGAATTTATGATCATCGGCTGGATCTTCTTTGCCTGTATGGAACAGATCCATCTTGAGAGTGAGTAACGGAAGCTCGAGCTGGCCAGTGATGAAGGTGAAAGCCTCGGAGGTGTCCTGTTGGCACAGCTCGGCTGCCGAATCCCAGCCGCACTCGGCCAATGAGTCTTGAAGGTGCCTTGTCTGTGCAACTGATCAGCAATCGACCGAGCGCCGTCATGGATGAACACTACGTACAATGTCCCTAGTGATGAGTCTGCCAGAGCGCAACATGTTTACCCACAGGCGTAGCAGTCCAGCCAGCTTCTTGCGGGGTAGATCGTCGAAAGAATTGTACAGCATGGCCTCGAAACTGTCGAGGCGTGCGAACATGGCAAAGAGGAGAGCATCGAGGTAGCAGGTCACGCCGTTGCGGTTCTCGGCACCAAGTAACTTGGTCGAAGGGTCGTATGACTTGACAAGGCCCTCGTATGTGTCTTCGAACAGGAGCAGTAGTCGCATGGCCTCGTCTCCATTGCCTGCCGAGCTTGTAGCCTGCAAAGCATAGTTGACGTTTGCCTCTGTGAAGGTAGTGATTCCATATTTTTGCAGTCTGGCAAGAATTGCCTTGATCTGTGGGAGCGTCTGGTCTCAGCATCGGTCTACGCGGTTGGCTAGCAGGGTCCTCAGGGACAGCTCACCCTCTTCTCATCCTCTTTTTCGACCTTCTTCTTGTCTTCGGGTACGAAAAGGCCACCAAAGGCGCCAGCGTCGGGGAGGTTCTGTGAGGTGGAGTAAGAACCGCGGTCAGTGAGAGTTGCAAGCGTGGGGAGACAGTGAGTTTGGCAGAAGGAGCAGAAGAAGAGCGCGAGAACGAGGCAGCCACGGCAAGGGCCCGAGACAAGTCGAGTGACGGATCGTATCCCTGATCCGGGCGAGCACTGTCTACGGAGCCGGCATGCCTGCGCTTCGGTCGAGGGGGAAGCTGAATTCGGGGAAGGAGAATAGAAATACTTTTGATCGGCGGTCCCGTCTGCCCAAGAAACGCTGGACACTGCTGCTCATGGCGAGGTCGGCAGAAGCAGGTTCAGACTTGTCGAAGTGCTGTCGCGTCCATCAAGCGGTGAGAGGATACAGAGATGCAGTTGTGAAACGGGCGGCGGGGTATCTGCAGGGCTCCTTTTCTGCGGAGGGTTTGTCTTGTTGCGCGAACCGTGAAGCTGCTATTTGGCGGGGAAGCAGGAAGGAGGGAAGAAATGGCTAAATTAGGGTCCAGACCAGACGCCTTGATAAGGTTCGTTGAAGAACTGCGTTTTCCGTCGACGATGACTCTCCGAATTGCACGTCGGACTGCGCAAAGAGAGAAAGGATTTGGGCAGAGGATAGGTGGAGCAGGTTGAGAGCGGGAAGGATAATGTATATCTTTGCAATTCAGCGCTCTAGGCAGTGACGCTGGGCGCCCCGTAACCTACGGACAGTGGGGAGAGGAAGGGGGGATCTCTGCCACCATTGACAGCCATCCGCCCAATCTGGTGCTAGCTCAATGAGCCGCGCCCTACCAACGTGTTGCCACATCGCCGCCTGAGGGGGGAGACCCTGTCATACATCCATCATCTCGCCAATAAGAACCTCACCGATGCTGTCGACTTCACGCGGCCCGTGCCTGCCAAACCAGGGCTGCGAAGCTCGTAACCGGTACGAGCGATGAATAAGATGATTATGTTCATGATTGTCGTAAGGAGGCTATTCTAGTTATCAAGGATATGTACACACTCAACGCTAATCCCTCGCATTTTTCTAAAACTCAAAATGCTGCCTCATGTCCTCGAGATTCATTCCGGGGCCAACGAGCTCTTGCAAGTCTCTGCGTTCCATCTGAGCAAACACTCTTCTTAGCGTGTCGTAGAGATTTGTGCTCTGGTTTTGAGTGATCATGGCTTCTAGCTTGGCGTCTGTCATATTGTTATCGCCAACCACCTGTCTTGCTTTTTCCAGGCCTTCTTTCTCCGTGATGCGGTGCATGGCCAATGCCCCGAGAAGGTGCTGCGCGGCCTCCTCGTAGCAGCCAATGTTTATACACGACACTCCCAAGTTGTAGCGTGCCCTGACGAAGTTCGGCCTCATTTCCAAGGCACGAGAGTAGGCATCGATGGCCTCTTCCGACCTTCCAGAATTTGCGAGAGTGGCGCCGAGGCGATTCCAGAGGAGATGCAATTCTTCCTGTCTGTTTGTGCTGCCTTCTTCAGTCGAGGCTAGCGCTGCTCCGAAGCAGTCGACTGCTTTGTCATATTCCTCTGCGCCATAGAAGAGAACGCCTAGGCCAACCTGGACGTCGGGATCCATCTGCTCGCCGTCTGGAGAAAGTTGTGCGGCTTGAATGAATAGATCCGTCACCTTCTCGTGCAGAGCATGGCGATCGGTGAAGCCAATCTCGTCATCTTGCGAGGAGAGAGGTCCGTTTATGAGGGTGGGATATTTTGTAGCGACCCAACGCTCAAGCGTTCTGTAAGCTGTACTGTCATAGCCCTCGTTGGTATACGACACAGCCAGACCCATCAAAGCTTCCAGGTTGTTGGGGTCGAGTTTCAGAGCGTGCTCCAGCGCACGAATTGCAGGTGATTCCTTTTCATTCTGTGCTTGAGCTTGGCCAAGAGCTGTCCAGGCACCCATGTGGTCCGCATCTTTTTGAACAGCAGCCTCGAAAGCCAAGGCGGCAAGCGAGAGGTTCCCACCTTCACGCATAATCTTCATGCCCTCATCGTAGGGGTTGGCCAGCTCGGCGAAGGGGTTGTCGTCTTCGAACATGTAATCGCCCAGCGAAGGGTCGCGGTGCGTGTTGAGCCCGTCGAAGCCGTCCCACTGGTCGAAGCGATCGGTCGCATCGCCAAAGGATTCGTGGGTGACAAAGTCTCTGTTTTGGATCGTCTCAGCTTGGATGCCCTGCCATACCGACTCGAAGTCACCAAACAAAGTTTCGCTCTGATCAACTGACCTGTCCATGGCATTCAGCTCTGCCTCGATGGCGGCGTTGGCCTCTGCATCGAGTTGGGCGTCTTGTTGTTCTTGCGGGGCGTCCAGCTCGGCGAACTGAGCCTCCCAATCCTTGTCATCCAGCTCGACCATACGCTCCTTGCCTTTTGACTGTTGTTGCTGATCCTGCGGAGTCTGCATGCCATTCATGGCCATTCCACCCATGCCCATACCTCCCATGCCCATGCGCATACCCATACCGTTGCCGTAGACGCCACCATGTTGCATGGGGGACTGGTATCGTGACATGGGGGTTTGTTGAACATTGCCGAGTGGGCTGGACGTCCTGACACCGGATGTCTGCTGGAAGCGAGCAAAGTCTTGGGGGTTGAAGGCTCCGTTGGCCTGGTGAGCAAAGGCAGGACCGGGCTGATCGGACATCTGCGGCTCGAACTCGGCGGCCCAGTGGTTGGATGTGGGAGAGGCTGCTTGGTCGAGCTCACGACGCATTTGTTCCATGGCAAAAGGCGAGTCTTGGAATGTCGGGCCATGCTGCATAAAGTCGTCCATCATCTCATTCACTCGTCAGCAATGTCTTGCAGCGACTGGCGTCTTGTGCTTACAGCATCTTGAGGGGCTCCCATCTGACTACGCATGCTCTCCATGCCTCCGGGACCCCTGCCTACTAGACGGTCTCTCTGTAGCGACTTGTCATCTTGGACGTGCTTGGTGAACTGGCTCAGTGGGTTGCCCGCCGTCGAGCATTCTGCCCCGCCGAGAAATGACATGGTGTGCTGCTTGTGGGCGTCTTTGGAGGCGGGAGCTTGTCGACTAAGTGATCATGCAGTAAGGGTGACAGGTGACGAGTAGCAGTGAGATGGAGAAGAACGAGAGACAAGTTGATTGTTCAGCAAGCAGCACGGCGGAGGAAATAAAGGGCCATGTCATTCGGCAACAGCTGGCCGAGGACGGCGAAACAACGTGGGGAAGGCACCATGAAGGCCGCCTTGGCAGCGGCTTCTGAATACCGAGGTCGTGAGTCGTGACCTTCACGTCTCTGATACAACCTGGAACATGACTTCGCACGTGAATGGTGGACGACTGGGTAGCATAAAATGATACAATACATGTCCATCAACACCCCATCAACACCCATCAACGCCTTTGCTATAGTACAATGCTTTTTGCGGGGAGACTGCATCTAGGCGCTTCTCTCGCTTTTGTCGCTTCTCTCACTTCTCTCGCTTCTGTCGTTTCCAACATTGCTGCGGCTGAAGTCGACGCGGAGCTGTCTGCCGTAAATCTCCTTCTTCTCAAGAACCTCCTTGGCCTTCTGTGCGCTGGGTACGTCGATGAAGTCGGCGTGGCAGAAACCCCTCGGCTGGCCTGAGCGACGGTCGACGGCCACTCTGACGTCCAGAACGTTGGTGATGTTGCGGAAAAGGTCGTTGAGATCCTTGTCGGACATCTGGAACGACATGTTGCCGATGAAGAGAGTCTTGCTAGGTCTGTTGAGCTTGGGAATGCCGTCCATAAGAGAGCGGGGCTCGCGGCGGAGATGGAACTGCACTGCCATGTTGCGACCGGCCAGGGCCTTCTGGTTGAGCTCACGCTGTGCCTTCTCTGCATCCTCGAGTGTCTTGAACTCGATGAATCCGAAGCTATCCAATCGTGTCAGTCTCAAGCATGCTAGTCCAAACATCAGACGACATACCCTCTGCTCAAACCACGGGCGTCCTCGGCCACGCGCGCATTGATGATCTCTCCGTAGCTGGAGAACTCGCGCTCAAGGTCAGCGGCCTTGACCTCGAAGAAGAGGTTGCCAACGTAGAGAATTCTGCTGGGCTTGGGGTCGACGTGAGTTCCGTGAGCGGCGTTACGGGCGCTCTTACCGAGAAGAGACTCGGCTGCGGAGGTGACGTTTGAGGCGACATCTTGCACCTTTTCCTTGACCTGCTCGACGACCGAAGGCTGCTCAGAGGCATCTGCTACCTCGGGCACAGACTTCTCCTCCACGCTGGGCTCCTGTTCTGCCTGCGCCTCGGATGTGACGGCCTGCTCGGTCTCGGTGGCTTCGGTAGAGACAGTCTCATCGGTGGTCTTGGCCTGGGCGAGGGAGGCCTCTTCACTGGCGAACCGTCTTTGGAAAACAGGCATCTGCCATTTCTGTGATTGACTGAGGGCGTTGGGGGTCTTTGTGACGATTGTGCGGGCCTTGAGAGGCGAAGAGGTAAAGCTGCGAACAGCGGCGCGACGAAGAAGGAACCTGCAATTCGTTAGCTTGACTCCGTCATCGCATTCTTAATGTAGACTGTAGACTCACATATTTACAGTGTCTTAGGAAATTTGTTTGGATGGTCTCTATCGCAGGGCGCTGGCACAAGAGAAACACTTTCGTTCGCTCGAGCTTGGCGAGCCCCGATTTGGTTTTTTTCGGAGGGTGGACTTTTGAGCATCAAATCTCGTGATCGATCAATTATACTGTCGTTTCTTCTTGATCCCTACTCAAGCAGCATCAGATCTTGAAATGTGATAGCATTTGTGGAAATGTGCCTTTCCGATATTGTGATTAACCACTCAAAAGTGTGGCAGAGGATGTAATATCCGGTTGAGTCTTACGCGATGTCTTGACACCGATGATCTAAAATTCACAACACTCTGTTGCCATGAATCGATCATTATTTCACCAGTGCGACATGCATGACAATTTAGTAGGACAAAGTGACCACTCAGGCACATATGAGCATAATCAGGGCGAGCTGACTGCGGTCTCGTCATGGTCTTATCGACACAAATCTACATAGTCAGGGTCATCCAACAAACATGGGGTACTTGCGCTGTCAGTTCTAGCGCAGATCAACTGCACAGTGATCGAAATGCATGGCATTTCGTTACACGACTCTGTTGTCGAACTTTGTGGCTTGGTGCAGTCAGTGCGAGAACAGCAGCGCAAGCACACGCAAGTTGGCATGGACATTCCCAAACTGATTCGATTATCTGTTTAGCAGCGTAGATCGTGGTACCTTCAGTGCATATTTGACAAATAACAGGCGACCCTCTACATCAATTTCACGGAGACTACCATGTTGGTCCCGCGTGTATTTTCCGTCAGTCCGCGAAACATCTTATCTGCTGGGCGCTGCTTGACATTGTCCAAATGGTGACACAATGATGAGTGACGACAGTGAGACAACAGATCGCGACCGCCACGTGCGCATTTATCGCCGGTGCGTCATGGCCTTGCTTGAGCTACCAGTCCAAGCGAGAAGGCTGGGCGGATTCTGTGCTGGTATAGCCAGCAGTCGAGAAACCTCAAGCCACGGACCTGGTGCGAGGCTTCGCTGACGCTCGAAAAGAATCAATTGCTCACGTCCTGTATTTCGAGTGCATGCGAAAGATGGTGGAGAAATATCCTCCGTCATAGACTCGAGATCCCAAGCATCCACGCTAAACAGCCGAAGACACCGAGATGCGTTTCCGCGATGCATATAATCTGATTGATCCAGCAACCGAGGGGACGTGAGTGTTGTCGAATAGTGAATTTTGCAATTGGACAGGCAAGAGCCGCAGCTGGCGGAGCACAACATCTCGCTTACTGCATTTCCTAAACGTCGTGCATTCGGGTGTCGTGTTGATTGGGAGTTTCTCCTCAGTGTGCTCACGTGTATCATTCACAGCATCTGTGCAGCGCACATGGCGACCGGTGAGAAGATGGTCATCAAGTCAGAACTTGCAGTGTTTATTGGAAGCAAACATACGCGATGGAAGCGTGTCAAAACCGCTCGGCGGCAGGCACAGGAACACTTCACGCTGTCCGAGCCGAAAAGACACCAATAATCACCCATGGCATGGTACAAATGTGGCGCACACCTCAAACAAGTCACTGAGCGTACAGGCAAGCGCTTGCACGCACACGGTCTGCGTAAACAATCGTGCAAGCGTGATTGCATCCCAGACTTGTCGTATGATGTCGAGAGGAACGTGGTGGGAATGGAGCTAAGTGAACTGAAATGACGTCGGCCAGCTGCCGTTTCCGTGGGGATGGATCTCTCGTCGACACAGTGTTCGTCACTCACACTTTCACTCCAACACCACCCATGTAACACGCGATACCTCATGTCTGAGGACTGAAGCCAGTCAAATCTTGAAGAGACACCCTCACCTACGCACACACATGGCTTCGAAGTACAGGCGAGTGCTCAACAGTGACGCAGAAATGGCATCACCAGCCGTCAACAACAACAATGTCAAAGGAGGCTCTCGAGGCCGCGGTAGCACCTTTACGCGTCGACCTGGCCGGCAAAAGTTGACCGGACTATTTGCAAATGGAATATGGCATTGCGATTGTGATTGCGACCCCCGTCTACCCGCTGAACACTTCCAGGTGAAAAAAGACAGCGCGAACAAAGGTCGCTCACAGTTTCCATTTCCGATCGACGCCGCTGATATTTGAACAGGCAGATGGTTCTACACCTGTCAGAATGGTGAGGGACGAAGATGTGGATTCTTTCTATGGGATGACGATGCAAAACCACGAGAGGCAGCGGCTGTCCTGAGTAACTCTAGGAACGAACCTAGAAGCGAGCCGCATAAGCCCACATCCCCCGTACACCATCCGTTCCAGACGATGCAGTCATCTTCAGATAGTAATCCAACGTCGAGCCAGTCCAAAGGCGTGTCGAAGCGCACATTCCTCGATGCCGGCCTCGAAGACGATGGCCATGACCATGACTCGTTTCCTTGGTCCTTGTCAAGTCATGAAGAAGCGGATTTGATGAATGCACCGGAAACGCCACGAAAGGCAGTCAAGTTCGATGCTCTCGCAACACCGGCGACCAGTGTAAACAGGAAGCTGCCATGGTTGGATACGCGTGCCAAATCGCCTGCTGCCACTTCTGCGAAAGCAACCCCTTCCAGACACTTTGATCTGCCGCAAGTCCTCACGCCATCGATTTCCAAATTGTCCGTCGCACAACACGCTGCTTTAACACCGCAGGTCACTCCAAGTCCCTTACGCTTTCGCAATCCTTCAGCACATGCGTCGTCTCCCCGATTCACCCTCACCGCAGATGTTTTCGCCGCCCTAGATGATACAAGTTTCAATTTGCCAGCTGAGTCAACATCAAAGCTTCGAGATATCTTGACACGTCAGGAGTTACGCATTGAGGGAATTATCAAGGGTCGAGAAATTACGCGTCTTGCTCTTAAGGCACGCGAAGCCAAGATCGTTGAGCTTCAAGCCACTGTTGTAAGCCTCGAAGCTGAGAGGGACGTTGATCATGCGCATGTCAAAAGGCTCGAGTGGGAGAAAGACATGTTGGCAAGAGGTCAAGACTTTGACACAGAGTTGTGATTAAGCATCGGTCTATCGGGTAGGGCTGCAGATGGCGTTTTCCATATGCTCCACTCAATAGTAACCTGCTTACGACCATACCGTCCGCTATTCACAGATCAATCTCTGCATGCCCCAATAGTGACATCTGCAACGACCAACGACCATGGGCAGGCTCAAGTAAGCCTGCTGGCTGCAAATGTTCTCAACAGGAAACTTCCGATCGGTAGACCATTCAGATGCATGAATCTCCAAGGCTTCCATGGTCCTGGGCCCGGGACAATATCACGATCAAAACTTCCGCATGAGCAAGCAGGGAAATACGCAGTCTCAAACGCCGACAGACGGGGACCGTTTTCTACGCATGCGATCAGCTGGCGCATAATCGAACAAATCAGCTCGCGCAGTAGCAGCCACTCGGATGATCGCTGCATGATTTACTCTCGAGTCATCATTCGGCCGGGGAACAGGAATCGGCCACGACACCTTCCTAAATCCTCTACCTCTATGCTGTACGACTCTGGAAATCAGTCGTTGCCGCTTCTCGCGACTTTGATGCAGCGACCCGATACCACTGTTTCTGCCAAGATCAGCCGCCAGCTTTTCTGTTCCATCTACACCATATTGTGGAATAGCGCCTGCCGATTACTCCCCGACGCCAGGTCCGGCTAAAACATGTGCTGGCATACATCGCCCGGGAAGCAATGTTCTGAAAAGCTCCGTGAGGGGCATCGGCCACGGGCGGCCGTCTCAATGTATAAAATTGGTTATCTGCCGCCCTATCCCCGCCGGCTTGTCCCATATCTCTTTGGATGTTTGTTACCTCAAACTGGCCTTCTCGATCACTATCCGGTCTTCGATTAATCAAAGGTCATTATGAGTCAAGACCGTTCAAACCTCGGCTACTGCGATACCTATGATGTTGGCATGGCCTACACCAGCCCAATAAACAACGAAGGCCTGCAGATTGGTCAGCCTGTCCACTCTCCTCCGCAAACCCGGTCTTCGATGCCTGTCAGCCTCGCGGCAGTCTCTCCTACTAGATCACAGTGGACCGGACAATACTATCCTCGTCATGAAGGATGGTGCGAGCGCGATCTGTTGTCATCGAGCGACATTGTATCAGAGACAAGCGTCTTTGACGACAGTGCCACACCCAGTCTGCACCGATCAGACTCGGGCGACTTTTCCGAGGTTTGGGAACAAGAGCCTCCCTCGGTACCCTTCTCACCATCTCATGGGTTGCTTGACAACATCGGAAGTGGCTTTCCCTTTCAACTTCCTCCATATGTCGCCGTCAGCCCAGATGGTACCATCCAACAGTATGCGTCCATGTTCAGCGAATTAGAGATTACTGATTCTCTTCCATCACCTACTGTGCTTGATGCGCCTTCGCGTGCAGATGTTTGTTGTTCGTCTTTCTCGGACTCCAGGATCAATACCCAGCAATCATGCATTCAACAGCCTCATGAACAATCTCTTCCGGGTAGATCCAGAAAAGTACGACAGGCCAAAGAACCCGAGGATTGCCTTTCAAGGAGACCGGCACGTGCAAACAGCAGCAAGGCACGTCTGTTCTGTGAAGCCTGCCGTGATAGCAAGGACTACTCTCGCGGGTTTCGTGGTGAGCATGAGCTTGCTCGTCACTACGCGCAAAAACACACCAAGCACAAGAAGGTGTGGAAGTGCTTTGATCTCAGTCCAGATCGTCTGATGCGTAATTGTGAGAGGTGCAAGACTGGTCATCAGTACGGCACCAGTTATGGTGGCGCCGAACACTTCAGACGGAAGCATACTGGACTGTTTGGCAAGGACATGATGGAGCTGTTGCGAGGCAAGAATCAGCGCTGGGCTTTAAGCAGTAACCGTCTGATTGAGGAAGGATGGCTTCGTCAGGTGTTTGTTCCAGGTGATGGTGAACCATACCTGGAGCAAGAAGAGCATGTTGCAGCCGTCATGCACACGCCTCTGTCTTTCAATAGCAGTCCTCAGGAGATAAGTCTCGATGGTGGAATGTGTATGCCGCATTTGCAGACCTTCCATCAGCCGCAGGTGCCGATGAATGATGCCAACTTGGCTTGGGCTCAGCATCCGCATCAGCTTCAGCCTTACAACCATCAGTATCTGCGCCAAGGTCAGCAGCAGCAGCAGCAGCATCACCACCAGCAACAATGGCATACAGATATGCCTTGAAAGACCGGAGGAGTTTGTTGCTACTGGACTTGAATACCAGCGATACCTGGGCAGCTTCCGCTTTGGAATACTTTATTGTTTTTGCATGGGATGGTTCGCGATGATACCCCTCTTACTTCAACTCCTTTCCTGCTGTCAATCCTTCGTTCTTCTTGTTCCTGTCGATCTGTTCAATGCCTGCTCATGTTCTGCCAAGTCTGCTTGCTTTGTTGCATACATGATCTCCCTTCCTTGGGTTTGTCTGAGTGCTATCATATCATCTCGTATAGACATCAAGACAAGACTCATCTGAATCCTTATCAAACAATACCGGCCGGATTATAAAAATGCAGGACTACGTTGATAGAGCCGGGACAGAGGCGTCCAAATTCCCAGTGGCCAGGGTGTGCGTTTCACGACAGGCACTTCGCACCGATCCCCGGCCAATGAACACGATATTATAGCTACCGCGTGAGCATGATACCTGTACGGTCCCGCGGGACTGATCTAGGCGATGATAAGTCTCTGGACCCACCTGCCAGATATGCTACAGTAACACCGAGATAGGTTCCTTTTGGTGTAACTCAAGGAGATTGCCACGCCATATACACCAACAACTTCTCTCTCCTGTTATTTTTCTTACGTTGGATATTCTGCAGGGCTGATGAGTATTTTCTCAATTTCCTGCTGCATTCCCCGAACCATGGTTCACCCCGATGCTCCCCCCCCCCGCTTGTCATGGGATCAGTTCTCATGACTTCTGAGCTTTTTGCTAGTGCACGCTCTCCTCTCGAACCCGTAGACCCGGATCAGGCGTTGGAAGAGGACAGAGGACTTGATACCTAGCCACAATGGCAAGTGAGGCATCTTATTGGCGAAGAAGGGGGCGGTCAGGGCGATTCACGATTGGTGGGTATACTTGATGCACACGAGTAGACGGGTGATTTGTAAAGAGAGCTGGCCGCGAAAAACAATGTGGACGTAGGGGCGAGCCGAGGAACGGTGAGTGCATAAGCTGGACTAAACACTTATCCTTTGATTCAGCGAACGCACAGTCGTCGCCACGATTGCACTTAGTGTGACAACACGCACAACACAAAGATCTTAAAAGCAGAGTCGATATTGTAGCTCTTACAAAACTTCCAGTGAGCATACTAGCACCCTCGGAGTTTCTTACCTCAGTGGCAAGTCACAAACCTTCATACCTTCTCGATCCTGTCGGTGAGGTATGAAACATTCTTCTCGTCCATCGCGGCATCGAAGCCTTCTTCAAATCCCTCCTTGGTGAACAATCTGTCAACGTCCTCCAATGCAAGTCCCTTAGTCTCGGGGTAGAACATGTACTGGATAAAGATTAGCTATGAATCGTGGAGGTCGTGAAGTTTGTCAACTTACCATGATCGGCACCCAAGTCGCGTTCAGCACCGCAAAGATAATGTATGTCCTCCACTTGATGTTCCTGATAGCAGGAGGGGTGATGTATACGATCAAGAAGTTCATGATCCAGTTGGTACCGGTAGAGATGGAAGAACCTCTTTGACGAAGACGGAGAGGGAGAATCTCGGACGGGTACACCCAGACGGTAGCCTGGAAGCCTACAGTGAAGGCACCTTGGAAAATGAAGAGCATTGCTGCAGCACCAATACCAGCAGAGTCTAGTCGTGTTGTTAGATGCGATTCGCAGACAAACATGATAATAACTTACGGGCGATAGCTGTCTTGGCCTGAGTCTGGTAGACAAGAGCTGCTTGGACTGCCATTACAGCGGCCATCAAGCTTACCATAGATAATAGCAGAGGACGACGTCCGACTCTGTCAATCAGGAACCAAGGAATGAAGGAAGCCAAGAAGAACCATGTGTTCAAGAAACCAGACATGAGACCGGACAGACGAGGATCGAAGCCGAGACTCTCCTGGAAAATAGTACCAGAGTAATCTGTCAACCTTGTTAGCAATGCAAGACATGCTTAGAGCAAAGAAGGTACTCACAGATCAACGCGTTAATACCACCAAGCTGTTGGAAAGCTTGAATGCTGCAAGCAATGAGGAATCTGCGTCTGCTTTGGATGCTGTCATTCTTCAGAAGATCACCCCATGTGCCGGCACCAATAGACTTCTCGATAGCCACCGTGCGAACGATATCGCTATGGATACTTTGAATCTCTTCGTGGCTCATCTTGCCCTTGTTGAGGCGTGTCAGGACCTCCAGAGCTTCCTCGTTTCTGTCCCTAGCAGCAAGCCAGCGAGGTGTCTCAGGAATGATCAGGACGATGAAGATCATGGGAATCAGGAAGATGCATTGAAGGATGGTGGGTACACGCCAGATGTAACTGGTGCTTTGGCCGTTCTCCAATGTCGAGAAAGCGTAATCGATCCAATACACCATACAGATGCCTGGTGAAGGTCAGAAAAGATAGACAGCGGGCATGCTCAACAGGATCTTACCGAAGTTGAGGGTAGACAGCTGTGCGCAGACATATCTGCCTCTTGTGGCTTTGGGACTAAACTCGGCTTGCAAGACTGGTACTGTAGAGTTGATGAAGCCCATACCAATTCCACTGATGATACGGCCGACGATCATGTGGGCGACGTGGTAAGCGGTGGCTTGTAGGATTGCGCCTGACATTGTGAGCTTTACAGAACCAGACATCTGTACAAATTAGGTATGTTACTTACCAACGATCATGATGAGTACGCCGATCAAGATCGACTTGCGTCTACCGAGGTTCTCGCCGATAAAACTGGTGGTGACGGCTCCAATGAAGCAACCAATCTCATAGATTGCCACAATCAAGCCGATCATGCTGGTTCCGCTGTTGGTCTTGGTGTCGATGCCAAATGTTTCAGTAAAGGCCGCACTGTTGACGAAACCACCCATCAAGCCATTGTCGAAACCAATAAGAAGGAAACCAAGACAAGTCAGCGTAGTGACTGTGTAAAGCAAAGCATTGCCCTCGAGTTGGATTGCCATGTTGAGGAGTGGTTGTGTTGTCGATCTGAAGCTTGGGCAATCCTGAATGGCGGAGCGTCCAGATTATATAGACTGTATCAAAGCCCGATGGCACTCTAATGAATGCGGCTCTTCGTGTTTCCGCTCGAGCGCATGCGGGGCCTTACAGATGATGCGAACGCGTGGTATGGGGTCGTCTGGGGAAGGACGACCTGGGGATCTGGTGAGCAAGGTTTTGAATTGCAACTTCCACCGTTGAGCTCGCGGCAAAACCGTCAATCTCCGCCAGAAACCGGCAGTCTAGAACTTTATCCCTCGTACGCACCCGACCACTTGCTCGATCACATTGCCGTCAATCACCGCCAGACTCCGGTATGCTTTCGTACATCTTCCCACGATCTGAAGACGTCTCCCTTCTAGACCGCTAGAAGCCGTCAAATCCCGTCGTCTAGTCAGACCCATGTCTGATACTGTAGCCGTCAGCAGACCTCCAAGAACTTGCGTGATAGGAGAAGCTTTGTCACAGTGATAAAGTCGGCCAAATCAGGCACATGAGCAGAAGCCGACTTTTATTGATATCGGCGCATGCTTGAAGTGACCGACATTGCTGCAACGCCGAGATTCCGTAACGAATTTCGGATTATAGATAGAAGCTTCTCAGAACGATGATAGGGGCAGGTCATACTCATCAAATGGCACACACTACGCAATTGAGGGTGGGTAGCCAATACGCTGGATGAGGATTCACGCTGACTATCGCCAGGAGTTGACCCCTTCTGAGAAAGCATTGGAAGGTCAACAAGATCTAGCATCCAGTAGCAGTCCTACGATCATTGTCTACGACAAAGCCTTCTGTGAAATTGTCGGCTTGTCTCCAAGTCTAGATTGTGTTATGGAAGCTGAGTTACCTTTCGCGCATGAAGCCGGTGTCTACTTCCCAGATCAGGACTCGCTATTTGTCACCAGCAACAGGTGCAAGATACAGGAGATTGATGACGACGCGATTATGATTCACAAGCTCGTGCGAGAGCGAGATGGCAAATGGACGAAGAGCAAGATCGACGCCGACATACCCATGGCCAATGGTGGTGTCAATTACCTGAATGGTGTCCTCTTTTGCGCTCAAGGTCACCATTCGACCAAAGGTGGGCTCGTACTTATGGATGCAAGGCCTCCGTACAGGGTCCAGACGCTTGTAAACAGCTATCACGGACGAAGGTTCAACTCGTTGAACGATGTCGTGATCAAATCGGATGGATCAGTCTGGTTCACCGATCCGGTCTATGGCTCGGAGCAAGGCTTTTGCCCAAAGCCGCAGTTACCAAATCAGCTCTATCGCTTCGAACCAGATACCGGTAACATCAGAGCTGTTGCCGATGGGTTTGGGCGACCGAATGGACTTTGCTTCTCACCAGACGAGCAAACTCTCTATGTCACCGACACGGATTGGGTCCACGGCGACGGAACCATAGATGATACCCGTGCCTCTACCATGTAAGTCAGTTGTTCCTTTCATCGGCGATCGGAAGTCTGACCCAGTCAAAAGCTACGCGTTCGATGTCATCCAACGCTCAGGGGCCGACTTTCTTGCAAATCGTCGGGTGTTTGCAATGGCAGATACAGGCATTCCAGACGGTATTAAATGCGATACGGTTGGAAATGTTTTCTCTGGGTGTGGAGATGGTCTCAATGTCTGGAGTGCTGGAGGCACTTTGATCGGCAAGATCCTGGTACCCGGTGGTGTGGCAAACTTCTGCTTCGGCCGCAGTGGGGAGTTGTTCTTGCTAAACGAAACAAAGTTTTGGGTCGCAAAGATAGCGTCCTCGATCAGGGGGGCTCTACTGGAAGGCATGGGTATCGGTTGTGATGAGTCTAAACAGAAGTAGTAGCGTACCTATACAATGTTGAGAGCCAACGTCTGCTTCGACATGACTTTGACTCGTTGCCTCATTGTAGTTTTTCTTGCAGCAATGTGCTTCGAGCCCGTCGCTAATTCTGAGTACTGGCTACCAGAAAGCTCTAGCTGGCATACCGAGTTTTGAAATCGGATATGGTTGCACAAAAAGGCTTGGGTAAAATCACATGTTTGATTGGAAGAAGATTGAACGCCCCCAAAATGCCATGAACTGTACTCCCTCATCAACGCAAACCACCTCCAACGACTAACGATTGACCCTGATCCATGTAAGCATCGCGGAGAAGACGTCGAGATGAAGGGATATTCACTTACAGTAGCGAACCCGGTCTTGGCATACATCAAGACAACATTCGCGACTTCTTCGGGTGCGCAAAGACGCTGCAGTGGGATGTTGTCCACAACTCCAGGCACACTGTCGGCAGAAGGCAAAAGGCCAGTACTACCAACCATTGCGGGGCTTACGTCGTTGACCGAGATATTGTACGGTGCCAGACGAGAAGAGAGGTTCTTCATCATTGATTGTAATCCGCCTTTGGAGGCAGCATAGTCTTGGTAGAGCGGTCAGACGAAGCAGAGAAGAATGCAGACAGTAGAGACTTACGACAACCGTTGATACCTGCTCCATAGGCAGCGATGCTTGAGATGAATATCATTCTACCCCATCTTTGATCCCTCATGCCCTCGACAACACCCTTGACTAGTAAAAAGGTAGCCCTAAGGTTGACGTTGATAGTGTGCTCGAACTCTTCGAGAGGGATCTCCCACACGTTCTGAATCCTGACGCCATATCCGGCATTAGATACGAGAATGTCGATTGCACGCTCGTGCTGCTTGACGACCTCCGGACACAATGCTGTCGTCTCTTCAATGCTAGAAAGATCCGCTTTGTGAATGGTGATTTTGAGATCCGCATTGCCCGGCTCGCTCTTGAGTTCATCAACGAGTCTTTGGCATGATTTCAGATTGGATGAGTAGGTGAGTGCCAGATGTACACCTTGAGCTGCAAGTTGTCGTGCGCATGCGGCACCAATACCGCCAGAAGCTCCGGTAATCAAAGCCAACCTGCCCTTGATCTCGTTGTCGACTTCGACGGGAGGATACTCATTTGTGGTATGCATCTTGTGGTAATAACAGGTGGTCCAGAATTCTGTTGATATCGTATCCTAATGATGAGCGTCGATACCAGTCTTAAGAGCAATGCACGTCGTCTCCAAGTCCGAGACAAGACCACCGTCAATTGCCGATAGATACAGCGACATTGGAGGAGCTCCGCCTTTGGACACGACAATTGAGCCGGCACGCATAATCGGCACCAACCCCGCTAGAAACTGTCCACCACTCCACGTTTCATCATCTTCACCGTCAAAAGCCGACGGTCTTCGATCGAATTTGGTGCTCCGTCACAAACCGACATAGCGGCTTCAGTGTCTCGTGAGCTGTATAGCGTTTGAGTTTTATTATTATGAGAAGGTTTAGGTTACGCGAAAAGGACTGTGGTTCACAAGAAGAACGTGATGTACAGACGGCGGACGCGAATCGTATTTCACCGAGGCTTGGATGAATCTCGGAGGATCTCATCGAATAAGACACTCTATCGGGTGTCTGGTTGTACGACGAATATATCTTACAAGCAGATCAACCTACGAACAGCTCTATCTATCATTCCACCATGCTCGTTGGACTATCTCTGTGGAAAGGCATGCTGTAGACGAGTCCTAAGATCTGTGAAAGTTGAATGATCGAGCTTGGCCCCGTTACTGTGGTCGTCGTATATCAGAAGCACCGCTACGCGACCTTGTCAACAATCACGAGCGCATGGACGCCTATACACCCGAGTATCAAAGACATTGTACTATTCGCTTACTTCTAATGCTAGCCACTTTTCGTGATCACATGAGTGAAATAACGCTCCGTAAGTGTAGAGGGCTCCTCTGCCGATCTAGACGACGTGTTTCAAGTTACCCCGTGCCCTATATGGGTCTTTGCTAGCAACCATGAGCAGATGCTTCATACACATGAAAGGCCATTTGACTCTTAGGGTAGTATCAGAGACCACCTATAATACTCTTGCTCGAGCCTGGTTGTCAGCTTCAAAATCTCGGACATCTCTTCTTCCAACACTCATTCAACTCTTCAGATCACACGCCGGCCGTGTTCAGATTCTTTCCTTTCGTATCATCAGCCCAGCATGGTCAATCGCGACTTTTTCCTCGGGGCTCTCGTCGCCGCCTCCACCAGTGTCATCGCCCAGGACTCTGGTTCTGAGAACATCCGCTTTGGCAATGCTTTCTCTCTTGGAGCCACAACCTCGTACATAATCGAAGCCGAAACGACCTTGTTTCCAGGCAAGACGCAGAGTGGCGATACTCCCCGTCTTGCCCTCTGGCCTGGTATGGGTACCGACGAAGACCAACTCATCCAGGCTATTGTCTTGGGCTCTACCGACGCTCAAGGCGAGCAATGTGGTGGCAAGCCTCACGTTAGTGGTGAATGGTGTGCTTTTGCGAGTGCGCTTCAGGATGGCGTGCAACTCCAGGGTGACACTTTCCCCGTCAAGTCAAATCAAGGTGTCAAGATTCATTGTAAGTTATACGACATCGTGACTACAATGCAACTACGCTAATCGTGGAAAAACAGACAAATACGATGAAGGCTCTGGCAATACTACTCAGACTGTCTCGATCGAGGGTAAGACGGTCTCGACATTGTCCACTAGATCCGGCAAGGCCATTGGTTTTGGTACTGCTGAAGAGGCACAAAACGAATTCCAGGGTGTGGTTCATGAACACTCATATGTCAATACCACTGTCGTACTCGCTGCAGCAGATGAGCAGTTTGCTTCAACTCTGAGCAAAAATGGCGCTGCCGGTAACCTCGTCACAAAGGATAACAAGACATTCAAGGTTGACAAGATTACAATTGCTGAGTACAGTTTTCCTGCCAGCGTGTAAAAATTGGATAGCTCGAGTTACTGCTATAATCAGCTGTAGCTTACGGACATCATGACAAGAGCAAATTTATCCTTGCCTCTCTTCTCTAGTATTAGGCTCAGGCGTTTATTCGTGGCCCGTTCGGTCTTAGATAAACATCATATCCCTTCAGGTGACTCTAGTGGCAAAACAAACAAATCTGCTAGACCAAATGCAAGAATGATAATCCCGAGGATGCGTAACATGACCAATGCTATCGATACACGTCACCAAGTCAAACTCATATGCCTGTTCCTGATCATGCTTTCACATGCTCATTCAGTGTCCCCGACTTCATCCTCGTCCTCCACGATTGCCGCCTCCTCCTCACCGGGTCTAGGTCTGCCAAGTGCAATGGAAGGCATGCTTTGCGTCATGTGGTCAGGAACACAGTTGTCCTCACTACCCACTTCAACGCCAGACCGGCTCGTCACCATACTGCCCTTGCGGCTCTTACTCACAACACCGGGGAACAAACGGGGCTCGGAAGCGTCGAGAGATGACATAGGCATAGGTGCAACGTCAGGTGGGATAGAGGTGGGCGCTGGACCGCTGGCAGCTGAGCCGTGTCCAACCATGCTGGCCGCACGAGCGTGCCTGTGCTGTCCATGGCCAGGCAGGCTGACCATGCTGGGCGACTGTGAGATGCGAGCCGCTTGAGCGTTTGGTACATAGTGATGATGGGCAGCAGGAGCTGGTAGTTGGAAGTTGGCATCTCTCGCATTACGCGTTTGGAAATATTCCGAGTGGTTGAGAGGATTCGTGGCTGAAGGGTTGGTCTGCATCGACGCTGTGGGCGAACCAGGTGCTGTAAGATTGGAAGAGAAGGGGTGGTTCGGCTTCAGGTTTGACATAGACAACTTGCGCGATGGGTCGCTTGCTGCGGTATAGCGGTCAATCCTAGAGCGGGAAATCAGTAAACGTCGGTGAGTTTCTGCCATTTGGGAGATTAGCATACATGGCAAGTTCTTGCAACCAAGTCTCGTGACGGAACGCCTCGCGAATATTCGGCACATTGACCTTTGCCATGTCGTTTCCAGCAACTCCAGGCAGGGAGTAGTTGTGACCAAGCCAGCGTTGCTTGACTGAATGTTCAAATCCACTTTGAATTACTGAATGTTTCGCGAGCTCGCACATGTCAACTGCGCTAAGCTTGTAAATCTGAGCAGCCACCGCATACTCTTCGATGAGAGGTTCCTTAGTGAAGGCGAATTGCAGGGGGTCGTCGGTGGACAGCGAAACATTCAAGCCGCGGCGGAAGTACAGAAGGAAAGGATTGCGCTCGTAAGCAAGGAACAACGCGTTGTTCGACAAGGGTGACATGGCAACACCAATTTGCTCGAGGTAGAAGATGTATTGCAGCAACGGGACTTTGCGCAGCAAGAGACCGTGCGAAATACTGTGACAGCACAAAACAGCAGCAGCAAGATGATCCGTATCGCCAGCTTCACCACAATGAGGTCGGAGGAGGAAGGTGCTGAAGCCACGCTGCTTGCGCCAGACGTTGAGCGAAGAGATGTTTGCGAATAAATAGTAGATCCAGTACGAGTAAGGTGGATTTTGTCCTGTGCTCCACTCCTTCGGCAAGGGAAACTTGCGATAGATTCTACGCTCTGTCTTACTCTCGTCATCGACAGAGTCAAAGCCGATGACGCGCTGGAGGAATATATGCAACTTAGGATGTGAGGTAGGGTCTTGTGTGACCTCGAAAAGAGGCTGGAAGACGTTTTGGATGACCTGCTCGAAGTTCTCCATCAAGTTGGAGCTCTTGTAGACATCGTAGAGACGAGGGATCTGGATCAGCCATCGTACGTTGGGGGAGTACAACTTGTTGTCTACAACCCATGCCGCTAACTTGTCCCACTCTTCAAGGTCACGACCATAGATGGAGATGCGCCATTCTACCATTTGATACTTGCTTGCCTCGAGATCGGCAATGACTTCCTTGGTGATCTCGGCCAAGTATCTACCGTGGATGTAGTTGTCTGTTTTGAGGAAGATGGTACGAAGACGTGATTCGCCTACAGGATTATACTTGAGGTTGAACTTGTCAAAACGATGAAACGAATCGGTGTGAGCATGCATATCGAGTGTGTCGATGGATAAATCATATGCAGTTAGGTTGATACTCTCGAAGACTTCTCGTAGAGTCAGGTGCTTGCCGTCACGGTACAAGACAACCTCATTAGGGCTCTTCTTCATCTTGCTTTTGATGAAGCGCAGCAAATGCTTCTGGTTCATACAAGCCGAGTGATGGACGTGAGTGTCGACCTTTCGGACATTGTAGAAGTCCCTGTGAGGCACAGCTTTCGTGTCTGCAATCTCCTGATACTCATTGAGCAGAATATACAAGTTGAACTTGCCTTCGAGATATTGCAAACGGCGGAAAGCAAAACTCTTGCTGGGACCGTCCGATGATACAGTCAAGATGGCATCAAGGTCCATGTAGAACTCGCGAATGGTAGGAATGTGAACGATAGGGGTGTCGAGCTCGGCGGCTTTGTTGTTCTCATAGACTTGGTAGACGCCGTTTGGATCAAGACGAAAGGCCATTTCTCCAGGACCAGGCAAAGGCATCAGGTCGTCAAGCTCAAAGTCCTCACCGATATTCTGACCCATCTTGCGAGGTCTTCTGCGAGGCGTCTTGAGATGCTGGCTCTCGGTCATGTTGGACTCGTAATCTTGCCACGAAGGGTCAGGATGAGGAGGGTATATGGTCCAGCCAGGCTCATCTTTTGGATTGTCTGTGGCACCTTGGAGAGACAGGCGCATGTACTTGTGTCTGAGGTCCAGCACCTTCTGGATGTTGCTGTAGATGGACGTCAATTCGGCCGTGACCTTTGAGTCGTCGACAGCGAAGCCTCCCGAGCCGCTTCCCAAGCCAACACCAGCTCCTGCACCGTGTAGACCTTGTTGCTCAAGGAAAGGTTTCTGCTCGTGAGGCAAGTTGGGGTGATTCTGGTGAGCACGAGCATCTCGGTCGGCTTGCATCAAGGGCGAAGGCGCGTCATTCTGGTGGGCAGCAAGGCTGCGGACAGCATCTACGTGGCCGAGGGCGGGAGTTTGAACGTCGGCGCTTGTGGGAGGTTTCGCAGGAGTGGCCACGCCAACAGACAGGGCAGACTTGTAGGTGGCATCGTTTGCTTGCAGGCTGGTGTTGCTCTTGCTGGCTCTCAAAGGGTTGAGCGGAGAGGTTGCAGTAGCATCGGTGGCGACGTTTGAGCTCAGAGTGCGCGTCTTGGTCAAGGTCGGGCTCTCGAGCATCTCGGCGCGTTGTCGTTGGTAGAACTGCTTTGCCTCCGAGTGGCTCATAGCCTTCTCAAGCGACGAGTTGTAGTGCGTTGTGCGACGTTGCTTGTCTCTGGGCAACATGCCTTCGGGCTCTTCCTCGCGCTCCAGCAGCATACTGGCCGTCATGTCGGGTGCCTTGTCCGACAGGCTTCTGGATGCCATCATTGAAGGGCTTGGATCGTCGTTGTTCGACTCGTCCTCGTCCTCGACCTCGCTGCCAATCTCGCTCCTCGAATCGACTCCATATTCGCTGTCATCATCGGATGCGTCGTCGGGTCCAAAGGTTGGCGCGTATGTGGGTGGCATCGTTGATGTGTGTACCCGTCTGTGCGACTGTCCACGTCGGCGTCGAGTAATGCCTATAGCTTCCAATGTTGGAGGAATGACGACAACGTGCCTGACTGAGAATAAAGGCGCCTTCTTCGCAGTACGTGGAGTAGATTACGTGTCTGAGCTTAGGAAACTAAACTGTACGACGGGAAACAAATGAGAATGAGGATAAAGTCTACCTTGCCATTCAACCAAGCCATTCTCTCCACTTAGTATCCCCATAATTTTTCTTCATGTGACGCTGTAACAAACGTCCAAGCTTCCAGGTTCGCCAGCGTCTCTCTCGACGAACAACGTCGCATCCAGGTAATCTGAACGAAACAAGACGAAGTCTCCAAACCCTGTACGATCGCTTTCTGGTATCCGCCTGTTCTATAGATCTGTTGCCTCTTGCTCGGAGTCCCGAATTTAGTTTCCTTTGTATTCAGCTTATTCTCGTACTCCACCCAATTCACGGAGACCATGAACACTGACTGCGCACATCCTACATTTCTCATGCCTTCCCCTTGTCGCGCAGCACAACGATCATGAGCAACGTCTGATTGTGACATCGCCCGCAGGTACCGGAGCAATGTGACCACGAATTACACCTGTTCATGCTACAATTGTCATCAAATACCGCAGGCCAACGGTAAAGAGTGCACAGCCTTTCATGGCTGGGATCGCGGCTCGAGCAATTGGACCTGTTCATAGATCAGTAGATAACACTATCTCCAGAGTGTCAGCCAATGGGCGACCACATCACACATCTCTTCTCGTGTGCATCGGCTGCGATATTGCCGCTTGGTCAAGCAAGAAACCGCTCATCAATTTTGAAGTCGGGTAATGTAATCCACCCATTCTCGACTCAAGGCTGCCTGTTGTTCTGTTCCAACAGTCATTGTTCCCCTGAGCAGATCGTGCTAATTCAGACAGTCTGCAGACGATCAGCTCGCCGCGGCATATGGAACAGCAGTAGTCAGCAAGCAAATGGGTGACAGCAGTGATAAATCTGTCGACAACACGTGCTATCGAGAGATCTTCGAACGGGAAATCTTGTCATGGAGCGAAAGGTGCGAGATGTCTCTGGCTGACTTCAGATCTAGCTTGATTGGGCTAGAGACACGTGCGGCTGTCACGAGTCGCAGCAGCGACTCTGCAGTCCGACAAATGGCTGCGCGGACGTACAGTATGGTCAGTATGCATGCTCTATTGGTAAGTGGCTTTCAAGATTGTCACGATGTATGCCTTTGACTAGTCGAACAAAAATTGGGAGATCAGAAACGTGTGATCCTTTTTGGACCTCTCGGTGCTCGGATTTTTCTACTCTCAGTTTATCGACAATACAAATCAATCCAAAATAACAGTCTTTGTCTCGAACGAGGGCCATACTTGGAGGATGATGATATGGACACCCAGTCAACTGTAAGATCGAACACCGTTCCTATGCAACTTTTTATCGATGCTGAAACTTCCGCTGGTGGATCGTGATAGCGAGTATTGCCAGTCTTCTCGTACACTTAACCAAGATGCTTCAATAGCAAACAGAAGGACATAATTCGAGGCTTTGTAAAGGCAAGGATTGCAGATGTGCGACTCTCAATTGTAGTCATAATCTCACGAGTTCAAGCAACACGAGGGTCGATCCTTTGCGAGTCAGCGAGCACCTAGAGATTTCATTCAAGTAGGCTCACAATTCTGCACGCGCTCGGGCAACTGTACTTCGCGCGTCGCTTACGCGAGCCATCATCGGGTCTTCATTTTTCGTACATCTCTTGATTCGCTCTCACGGTCGATAGCAATTACCCCTGCGGCTGGTAATATGGATTCCAGACATGGAGGAGATGCCTAGGTACGCGTCCACTAGCCATGTGGTGCTTACGCCATATACTCTGCTCGATCATGTTTCACCTGTCTTGCATGCCTTTGGGGGGCCCGCCTGTCAAGACACCGGCGGACGAGCGTGGAAGCTACCACTGGCTCTGGAGAGCTCGGTGCAGTAGTTTCACCGCCTGACGGGAGATCTGTTGTCAATTTAATAGACGGGCGGGAAACCGGATATGGCTTCGAACAGCACCAAGAGCCTGGCTTTGAGCCCTGGCCGTCCTTCGTCGGTCTCCTGCATATCTTGATGTCTGGCTCATGCTCAAAAGTCGCTATGGATCGTATCGCGTCATTATCGGCAGTAGTCGGCAGCTTCAGCTCTTGTCCACTGTTCCAAGAACAAATGTAAGTCGCTGATGGCGTGCTTCAAAAACAGCAGATCCATGAAGAGACAGATATCAGGTGAGGTGCTTGGACCCTGATGACCTGGTCGTAACAAGCCCTCAAAGATTTTAAGTCCGTGCGGCACAATATATGGCTTTCCTTACAATAACGCTACTCCTTTGACGTGCATCATCAATGCCATGTGCTAATCGGGGCTACGCTAAATGTGACCGCTTCGATTCTTCCTACCTTCTAATCCACAGCGTCGGGAATCTTCGTAACTTGCGGTCATGCGACGGCTGGGCTTGGTCAATGATGGCTGCTAATTTCTTGCTCCGGCAATGTCCCTAGTCGAGATAGCGCAACCAATCCTTTTCATACTTGCCTGAGTTCTCCTGTCTCTCTTAAGCCTCGAATTCCCGTCATGTTGGTCGGTTCTACGCTGCTCGTTGCATCTCAACATACACTACCGCAAACCGTCTGAATCGATCGTCTATACATCCTATCCCTAGCAGGTACATCATAAGGCTTGATTACTACATACAGCCTACACGATGTACGCAGACCCACCGAGATCCATGGAACGCGTGAGCCGTCGCGACATCTTCACATCATTGCCCGCTAGAATCCAATGGCTGCATTCATTCCTAGAATTTGGAACTGGTCAGTCATGCAACGGTTTTGATGTTTCCCAGCTCTGACCTGGACGTACCATAGATGACGTACAAGCCTTGTTATCTGGGCAAAAGTACATCAAGGCAGTCATTCCTGCAATCGTCAACATTGTATACAAGAAGCTTCTGAAGTACGACATCACAGCTCGTGTGTTCACCACAAGGGATAGCAGAGATGAAGGTCCGGTGGAGAGTTGGCCAACCGAAGACAGTGCTCAGATTGAGCACAGAAAAATGGTGGGCCCTTCCTTGAGGCTCGAGCATGGTCATGACTGATTCTGGACAGTTCCTGAGATGGTATCTCACAAAACTCAATTCTGACTGTACACGAATGGACTACTGGGTAAGCTATCAACCCACAGCAAGTGTTGACTCGGCTGACACATCTTAGGAATACTTGGACAAAGTCGGGTAAGTCACTTGCGCGTACATAAACCGCCTACTTGGTATAGCGAAGAGGACATCGACTTACACTTCTGCGATAGCTTGATGCACGTAGGCAAAGGCCGCCAGAACCCTTTGCACGTCGATTACGTCTTTCTGGGTGCATGTCTAGGCTTCATCCAAGACTCACTGTTCGAAGCCATACTTTCACACCCACGTCTCGAGCTACACCGCAAGATAGCCATAGTCAAGGCATTAGGAAAAGTCATTTGGATCCAAAATGACCTGATAGAAAAATGGCACAACACCGACGGCTCCGAATATTTCCAAGAAGAAGCGGACACGTTGCTAGCGGAGATTCAAGAGGACGAACGTGAAGGATACCTGCATGGCAAAAAGATTCTCGGTGATGATGGCTCTTCGATCCTGACAAGCCGGACTGGCAGCAGCAGGAGCTCTGACAGCGGGAAGACATCGCTGGGCCGTCCGATCGAAGAAGCAACACATCTGAGCGACGGCATGAGCAGATGTCCTTTCAGCGGCATGTCTCGTACTGGTCCCAACCCTGCAGAACTGGAACGTCAACGCGCGACGTCGGCGCCTCGTTCACCGCGTGTGAATGGCACAGCGCCTGAAGTTCTTCAACAGTATCACAACCCTGGCACACCGCGTGTTCGCTTAATTGACGGTAAGACAGTGCTGAAGGAAAATCTCGAGCCCAACCCATTTCAAGCTAGAAAGTAAGTCCACTATAGTCATGTACGCTCCCAGCCCGACTTTTGTCCAAGCCCGCAAAAGCTGATGGTGATCAGGCAACAACATGTTGGCCAAGCCATCTGAGTACGACACCGGACAGATATCACCACACCGCAACATCATCTCGGCGACTAGGCAAGTGCTAAATTGTATCAGCTTTGATGAGAAGCCACGCGTTCGAACACAGCAAGATCAGGTACGCCGGCAGCCCTCAAACTGGAGGCTTGACACCTTGAGATCAAAGAAGGAAGGATACACCCAGTTGTGACTGCATACAACTGGTGAGATGAGGCGCATACAGGATGGAGTTGGGAAAAGAGTTGAACCTTTGTTTTCGAGATACCAAAATCACAAACCAGTACTGTCATAAGCCGATGAGCTAGAATGATCCATGAGTACTATCATCACCACCGAATGGAGGAATCTCTTGGCTCATCGTTTAGACCCGCGTCAGACAGCAGTTGTCAATCGGCAGCCTAGACTCCGACAGCTCTGCAACTGAGGTCCCAAAGACGATCCTCTGCCTGTTGATCGTAGGCATGGGTAACATACTCTGCACCACCGACTGGCGCGTTCTCCCCCGCTGCGACAGACTCGCCTACATCAGCGCAATAGACACCGCCCTTCTCATCAAAGTGAGGTGTCAGGGCAGCCCAGACAGTGGTTGCAGCACCCTGCTCGGGGCTCTTTTCGAGCTTGCCAAAAACATCCTTTCCGCCCAGGCTGGCAAGAGTGTCATCATTAGTGTGGCGCATCAACTCGGTATCGAAGATCACGCCTGGGTGGACCGAGATCGCATGCAAGCCCTGTGATCCGTAGAGGCGGTCAATGCTGTTGGCCATGTAGATGTTTGCAGTCTTGCTTTGACCGTAAGCTACCCAAGGATCATACTCGGATTTCTCAAACGCCATGTCGTCGAAGCGGATCGGTGACAAGGTGTGACCGTAACTCGACAAGGTGACTACACGAGAAGTCTGAGTGTGTGTGGATGAAGAGAGCAGTAGAGGTTTGAGCAGCTGGAAGAAGAGGAAGTGACCAAAGTGGTTGGCCCCCATGTGTGTCTCAAAACCGCTGACAGTCTTGCCTTTGGGAGCATTCATTACACCTATGTAAGGGGATCAGCCGGCTAGCAAAGAATGCCAGTTCGTACGAAATACTGACCGGCATTGTTGATCAAAATGTTCAATGTGGTACTCCTGCGTACAAAGTCCTTGGCAGCAGCGCAAACGCTGTTCAAGTCTCCAAGGTCCATGTAAACCACTTCTACTGCTTGGCCCTCGGGTGCATCCTTGGTGATGGCTTCGATGGCTTTCTGGCCTTTCTGCTCATTGCGAACCGTGATGTAAATCTTGGCTCCAGTCAAGTAAATCGCTCTAGCGGTCTGAACACCAAGGCCTGCACTACAACCAGTGATCAGAATCACTTGGTTTCCGAGTTTGCCCTCAAGACCAAGGTCTCTGACAACGTCAATGGCTGTAGGGCGCTGGTCCCTCGGCCCATTTGGTATTTCGTGTCTATTCAGATAGGGCCGATATGCTTGAACGGGAGGGGACATGCTTGTTGTACGAGGTTTTCGGATTTAAAGGTAGATGAAAATGGCTTGATGGCTTAGCGATGAGTTGGATCGAGACCCTGGCATTGCTCTCTCTTATGCGTTCGAGGCTGTGCCATTCTACAGGCCCAACGAGATTACAACGGAGATGTCAGAGCTTGTAATGTCCGCAAGCTCTCAACAATCAAATGTCATAGGTCGTCATTTATCATGCCTCATCGGCCGAAAGTCGACTTCATGGTCCAAAGTCCGGGCCGGAGATAGCGGTCAGCTGTTTAGCGGCATGATCGAAAGGCCTACTAAACTCGATCGAACAGACGGCATCGGGATATGTACAGCGGGATTGCGTATAATCCCAGGGCGACGACTACATCTTGTATGACTTATACGATGAATTTGGCTCGAGATGATGACCGGTCAGGTCGACGCTAAGTCGAGAAGAGTTAGCGGCCGCAGTTGTCACCAAAGTCGTCTCAGCTCAGAAGGAACGGTCGTTGCGACCCCTGACAAGAGAGCAGAAGGATAGAATGCAGGTAGGTCGCGCCTTCTCAGATCGGACGTCCAGGTAGACTACATCAGTCGACGAGATGCTTCTTACAATCCCCCGAGCGCCCCTGCCGGCAGGACTGCTTCTCGTCTCAACCGTCTTCCTGCTCACCTATCTCTATTTGCACGATCCGCTGAACTCGAACACACACGTCCTCTCGATCAAAGGATCCACACAGCCGACACAGCTCTCTCAGTGCCCGCCGTCGTCGGAAACCAGCGACATCGTCTTGTCCATCAAGACGGGTGCCACCGAAGCCTTTGACAAGCTCCCAACGCAGCTACTCACCATCCTGCAATGCGCCGACAATCTTCTTCTGTTTTCCGATCTGGACCAAGACATTCACTCGCTACACATCCACGATGTTCTCGATCGCTACGACCCTGAGTTTCTTGCGAATCATGCCGACTTCGAGCTATACCGCAAACAAAAGAAATACCAGGCCGAAGGTCGCGACATTCAAACGTTGGGCAGCATGAAAGACTCAAACTCGGACTGGCGCACTGCTGGACACAATGCTGCATGGGCTTTAGATAAATACAAGTTCTTGCACATGATCGAAAGAGCTTGGGAGTTACAACCGGACAAGGACTGGTATGTGTTTGCTGAAACAGACACCTACATCGTGTGGCGAAACTTGGTCCAATGGCTCAAAGGCTTTGACCCAACCGAACCGCTGTATCTGGGTCGAGGCGAACCCATGAAGAAAGAAGAAGGAGACGGCTTCTACTTTGCTCATGGCGGCAGTGGCTTCGTATTATCTCGCGCTGCCATGTACCTATTTTGCGAGACCAACAAAGGTCTCGCCAGTAGGTGGGATGCCAGGATACCAGATCTGTGGTTTGGAGATTACGTCGTTGCAAAGGCCATCAAGGAGGAGCTTGGTCTGAACTTGACCTCGGCCGCCCCAATGTTCAGTGGCCACAAGCCTATGAACCTGCCGATCGGCGCGGGTATCTGGTGTCATCCTGTCATTACTCAGCATCATCTGCGATCTGAGGAGGTCCAAACCTTGTGGATGCTAGAGCACGACTTCTACACCAACTCATCCTCGGGCAGTGTGCCACATTTGCGCTTCTCACATTTGTTTAGAGACATACTAACCGGGGTTAACTTCCCGGAGCTACGCCTAGAGTGGGACAACATGTCTCAAGATAGCATGTACACAATCAAGCCTCCTCGCACAAGAGTCCAGGCACTAAAAAAGCCAGACGAGCGCGTCGGTGAACCTACAGTCGAGGAAGACCCAAATGCATCGTCCGAGGCATGCAATGCTGCGTGCGAGGTCACGGAAACATGTTTCCAATGGGCCCATCTCAATTTTACCACTGTCGAGGGGACCAATCGACACAGTGGCGGAATCTGTTATCTGAGTAGTGTATTCCGCTTCGGCAATCAGAGGCCAGAAGAGTCGTGGGTTGATGAAAAGAATGCTACCAATATCCATTCATGGTCATCAGGGTGGCATCTGCCAGCAATCGAAGCCTGGCTTGCCAATGCGCCAGACGAGTGTGGCAAGGTTGACTGGACGTAGATTTCCCGTAATGTAATTGATGTATATACAAAAACAAATGCCTTTCACATTAATGGCAAGAGTCCTCGTAGCACAAGGTTATATAGTATTTCTACGTTTGATGTATACAGAGATCCGCGGTTCAGTTTATCTTATCGCCAAGATCTGATGCCGATTCTCCGGGCTCAGCTCTTACCGCGCCTGCTGTTCTGGAGAAAATCCCAATTCCGACATTCATATTCGATATATCTGGCCAGAATCTGTAACGGTCTAGTTTGATGGTCTCGAGATCAACTGCAGCCAACACTCTTCGATATTTGTGTATTCATTGGTTCGACCAGTGACCATTCGACCTTCCGCGTCATCTGATTAGATTGATAAGCATCTGAGCATCCCCCCTTCCGAGCGACTGCCACTGTCCTAGAGTTCGAGGATGTCGACTTCTTCGTCCCCATTACTGGAGGGACAAGTCTCTGCGGAGCGTCTAAAACTTAGACTGGCAAGGCCACGAACATACACTGGCTGGACGTGGTCTTCTATTGCTACAGTCATTTTCAACATCTCCATCCTACTTGGACTGACATATGGAGTCGGCGTCGGTATCAGTACGATAAAAAGTACTTTGATGCCGAGTAATGAGTACTGTCTGCATACTATTTCAGTCTCATATAACTACATTACATTTGCTGGAGAAGGGTACGGCACATACAATGGACCAAAGTGTCGCAACCCTCTGCGAATCGCTTCAACATATTCTTCTGGCAAGACGCTATGTACTGACAGAGAGATTGAGGCTGGCTTTGAGAAGATTCGTAAAGAGTGCGAGAAGGAAGATCTACAGCTGTCGGACTGGCGAAGACTTGTCGAGAACGTCACAAGCGATGATATCGCTCGAATGAGAGTCGTGGATTTTGACGAAGTACCCAATGGTAGAAATATTACAGAGCCGGTCAGACTATCCAAGCCGTTCTTCCATCGAGTTGGGAACACTCTTGTATGTTACCCTGTAACAATGTCAGAGAAACGCGACTAAGACTTACAGATGGCTTGGGAGTACGAGATGAATTGGCATCACCAATCAGCATTCGCCCTCTATGCATTCTGGGGCATGCTTCTGGGAGCTTCGGCGATCTTGCGTCTTCTGCAGACGCATCATACACTACTCTCCTCAGCGGACGCACAATCGAGCAAGACCGTTCAGGCCGCGAAGTCAATTTGGCGATGGTTCCGAGTGAGCCTAGTCATCCCACCGGCCTTCGGTACACATCATCAGCGCCTTTTATACTGGTGCACCATTCCGACACGTATGGAGACGGTAATAGTGGCCGCGTTTTATCTCCTTACGACATATTTGTCTGTGTCACACTATCGCCTGATATCTAACAACATATAGTAAGAGCTATGATGGGGGCCATCAAATACAAACTGCTGACCGTACCTAGCTGGGATGATGAGTCTCAACAACTCTGGCGGTACGTCGCCGATCGTACAGGCATAATGTCTTACGCGACGCTCCCTTGGATCTGGATCTTTGCTGGCAGAAACAATGTGTTCATGTGGGCGACTGGACTTTCTCATCAAGCTTTCAACATCTATCACAGGCATGTCGCTAGAGCTGGTACAGTACTCGCCATTGTACATTCTGTCGTTTACACCTGGCTATTCGTTGAGTTTGGTAGGCACCGATGTCTCGTGCTGATATATGTGGACTGACCCGTTTTAGAGGGATGGGGGATGTTCAGCAGAGAGTTCACTCAGCTTTGGCTCCTGATAGGCGTTGTGGTGAGCTATTGCGATGTATCCATTGGTTGTCCCCATGACTGACCACTGTATGTATAGGCGACGATCACTATGAGCTTGCTTCTACTGTTCTCGGTTTCCTGGCTGCGTGTTAAGTTTTATGAAGCTTTTCTGGTCCTTCATATTGCCCTTTCAGTCATTACATTGGCTGGATGCTTTCTGTAAGTTCTTGTCTGTGTCTACCTTTCGACCATGAAAGCTGAATCAGAGAGGCATACCTCGATCTTCAATGCCAGATACGATGCATATCTCTGGCCCATCGTAGTAGTATGGATCCTAGACCGCGGTCTTCGGCTGTTACGCCTTGTATGCTGCAATCTACAAGTACGGTTGAGCAAGAACTTGATACGTCGTATACATACCGTCGCTTTTTATAGCAAAGAGTCTGATGTCATCAGGCTCGATGTCCAAGCCGACTCTTTCCTCGCACGGCCAGTAGCCGGACAATTTTACTACCTATATCAGCCGTCGACATGGCAGGGTTACGAGAATCATCCATTCACCTTGGGAGCTTGGTCTCGTAAAGGCGACACGTCAGATGACGTTCAGAGTTCTCTGCTTCAGTATGCCAATGCATCAGACATTCAAGACGAAGGGGAAGGACAGTCGACTCTCGGTCAGCTGCACAGATCAGGAGGCTACACCTTGACGTTCTGGATCCGACCTTACGATGGCTGGACCAAGCGTCTGCGAGACGAATGCCTGAAGTCGTGCGATCGACCGATCACTCCAACAATCCTACTCGAAGGTCCATATGGCCATCACTGTCGTATATCGTCCTTTGATACGGTCTTATTGATTGCTGGTGGTACTGGTATAGCATCTGCGGTACCATATATCCTCGAACACATCGCGCTATCTGGAGCGCTGAAGACGGATACGACACGCATGCACTTGGTTTGGACAGTGCGACAAGCATCGTTTATTCAAGAAGTGTTCTCGCGAGAGCTTCGCGCTGCATCGCAACGAGATGATTTCTCATCTGATCTCTTTTTTACGCGGCGTAGCGAGGGAACAAAGCCCGAAGACGACGTATCGAACGACGGAGAACAAGAGGGGACTTCTCCAGGGATGCAATATGGACGACCGGACATTGCAGTCACAATCGCAAAAGCTGGGATCAAAGCAGAGGTGACAAGCACGAGATTGGCTGTGTTAGTTTGCGGCCCGCCTGCTATGGCCGACGAGGCTCGGAGCGCGGTTCATCGCTCACTAAAACGTGGGTGCCACAACATGGAGTACTTCGAAGAGTCATTCGGATGGTAGGACTGGCGTTGTGGTATTTGTACAATTGAGGTAATGGGTTATTTATCGCGCCTTTGCTTGTCCTTATTTTACCAACTAAGCATCGTCTTCATCCAGCATCTGCTCCGTGGACACGAGCATGACCTCGAGAGCATCACTGAAGGAGCTACCAAAGGTTGTTAGGAGAACAGTGGAGTCTCCATCAGCGTTACTATATTCCAGAACTGCCTTGCACGTGGGCTCAGCAAGGGCTGAATTGGAGTTTGCATAAATCGAGATGCGAAACTCGATGGCGTCTGGGTACAGTATGCGAGCATTGTCTTGATGAATGTTGTCAGGCAATGTGCTTTGATGTCAGTCATTTGATTTGCGTACTTGTGATCTTGTCGCGGATTATCTTGTAGTCGAACATGATTGGAAAGCTTGTTCTTAAGCGTCCTTGTTTGTTGAAACGATGATGGGTTCGTAAAGAAAGAAAACAGCAGGGCGGTGATAACCGCAGCCGAGGGTTTGCGATTGTAGTTTCGTGATGGGATTGACTGATTTTCCGCGACGACCAAACTCGTGCTTGAGCCGTAATGGACGACTCATCCGTTGACCTTAGAGCTTGGCTTCCGCGATCTCTGGCTGTACATTCGTCCACTTCTTGATGTCGCCGAAATTCATCATTCTATTTGAGCCCTCTGGTCCAAATTTGTCTTGCAGATCATCCCAATTGCGATTTACTGCCGTCTTGGGTCGCTATCTAAAGCTGTGTTTCATCCGAAGATCGAGCTTGTCCTCCATGGCATTAGTGATACTGTGTCTACAGTTAGCCATTAAGGACGTATGTGTAATCCATACGAGAAACTCACAATCCACCGATGACTGGGATGTGGCAGAAATCATGGCCCGAGGCACTACAACCCAGCATAAGGCTGGGGTAATCGGGGTGTTTAAATATTAAGAAAGCACGATTGGGAGTATCTGCATACCAACAGATTCGCGCAAAACTGAACGGTCTATCTGCGAGATGCGGCATAGTTTCGCGAAGGAAGCTACGAGCTCTTTCCTCTGCCTCTCAGGGACCTGATGCTTTACAAACGGGACACTTGACCGTTGAGAACTACCTGAGGTCAGTATCTAATGCAACCATTGCTCGAAAGGGCAAACTTACTTTTAAGGATCCATTGTGTAGTTGCAGTAGCCAGGATGCTCGTCGCACATCTTTAGCTCCACTTTGTCCTTATAAGGCTCCATGGAGGAGCCCCGGTTAATGTTAAACAACACTGGCAAGTCCTTGAATAACTCTATCTCCTCCTTTGTCATCTTGTTGTGAGCTATAGTCCAGGCTGTGGGACGCAGCTGATCCTTTATGTCGAAGGTTATCCCGGTGTTCGCGCCGGCACAAAGTTTAGTACGATCCGCTCGATGTTCGACTCCGTCGAGTGTCGTGGCTCCTCGGATATCCCTATCCTCGATGATTAGATTGTCAACTTTGCCTCTCCGCTCGCTAGTGACAAACACCGCTCCTAGACGTTGTGCCTCGTTCGCTGCGCTTTGCATAGATTTCCTTGCGTGGATCCAACCAGAACCTTTTTCCATCCACCAAACTTCCCATCCAGGGAAGTCTCCGGTGAGAACACCTTTAGGCACAGTCGCTTGGAAGTCTTCCTTCGTCTTAAGAGGTAGCCAACCTGCATCCTCGCCTGGACCGCTCGCGGAGTTCATATAAGCACGTCCAGTTTCGCAAGTTGCAGCAATGATGCATCCTGTTTCGTGGAAGTACGGTTTGAAGACCGGATTACTAAGCCAACCTTTCGTTGCTTTATTGATCAGAGTGTTTGCAACAAAGCGCTCGTCTGAATTAGCTCCAGCGACGAAAGTACTAAGCTCAAAAATCTTATTAACATCATTACCAGCAGATATAGGGGATGGCACCGGATATGGATCAAGGAGAGTAACGTGTTTGTATCCTCGTCTGCAGACAGTGTTAGGTCAAGCACGCAAGCTAGAGCAGCGGATGCTTCGAGGTGCATACCTTTTTAGACGCAATGCAGTAGATATGTTCCAAGTACCTGCCCCGACGATAAGCACTGACGAATCCTGAGACAACGAAACAGGCATCTTGGAAGGGAGATTTTTGATGTGTGTGTTGTACGCTTAACGAAGTGTGATGGACATTTCTTGAGACATGGGAGCAGCAGCGCTAGTGACCTAACTGGTCGCACTTCCGATGCATGTCGCCCAGGGAAAGCAAGCAGAACTACCAGGCACTTGACATCAGTAGTCAAGTACGAGTACAACGATGATGGGAAGGGAAGAGGGGAGACTCTCACAAAGTAGGAAGGTCCACGCCTGAGCCTGGGCCACCCTTGGCAAGCTCACGCGATCAGAATCTTAGCCGCTTCGACTTCCCACCTGCATCCCCCGGCCTACAGCGGTCAATGAAATCTTGGACCTTCCTGAGAACCTCCACCGCCCCATCATCCTACCGGATGCGCCGTCATGTCTAAGGCACATCTTTTCTGTTCCAGACATCTACTATGCCCCGCAAACGCTTGAACGCTCAAGAGCCCCCGCGAAAACGTAACAGGACTGGTTGCAACAAGTGTCGCGCTCGTAAAGTTCGGTGTGACGAACAAAAACCAGTCTGCAGTCAGTGTCATGCTAAGGGGTTTGAGTGTGAAACGAGCATAAAGCTCAAGTGGGAGCAGGATTATACCAGCGCTGGGCGAGCATTTGGCAGAGCGGGATTGTGGAGCAAGAATGCTGCCGAGAAATCAACTGTATCTTCACCATGTATTCATGTCAACGACGAGGAAATCTTTTGGATACAGACACCTCGAATCTCATCATACAGCTTTGTCAACGCCACCGTAGGAAATGTCGAACAGTTGACGACTCTGGACAGCATTGCTTGGGAAATTGGGTCAGTCTTAGATGTTGTCCGCGTTAGTGATCGCGATGACACCTCGAGCACTGCTTCCTTGTCGCCGTGGCTATCTACTAGGGAGCCATTATTCGTACCTCATCAGCGCATGATACCGTCAGCACTATCCATGCTACCTGGTCTTTCCAATCCAATGCACTCGAGCCTCTTATCATACTATCTGGAAAAGATTTGCCCAATCACTGTCCCAGGCTCCGTCAACAAGTCTCCTTTCGTAAATCTGGTTCTACCATTCTCAATCTCATCTTCGCCTGCTGTTCTAGAAGCCCTTCTCGCGCTTGCAGCTTGCCACAGATCAAAGAACGACGCGGCTTTCCGGTCAGCCTCATTGAGGCTTGGAGACAACGTTCTTCGCACTCTACGACGAAGACTCAGTGCAGAAGATCCTCTACGAGTTGCCCTGGATCCTGAAACGCTGGTAATTATGATGATCTTGTGTCAGTACGAGATCATTAACGAGTGCGATAAACGTTGGGTTGTTCATTTGAGAGGAGCTCGAGATTTGATTCGGATCAGACGAAACGCTCGATTGTCTCTTGGGACTGGACAGTCTTCCAATGAGCTCATAGAGTTTGCTGAAAAGTACTTTGCTTTCCACGACGTGATCGGACGAACAGCTTGTGGCGAAGAGCCCATCTTTGGCATTGACTTTTGGACATCAGACGGTGAAGATACCGACGCTTGGCTAGGTTGTTCCTCTGGTCTAGTGTCTATATTGTGTGAGATCACCGAGTTGAGTCGGCAGCATAGGTCGAGACCAAGTCTGAGTCTCCTACCAGAATTTCAGTCCCAGGCAGCCTCACTGGAGCGCCGACTTTGCGGTCTCCATCAGCGAGTGTTCGATGAGGAAGACGATACTCTGCAATTGTCCGCTGAGTTAAAGAGACTGGTCGCTGAGCTATACCTACACTGCTCTCTAAACGGTGCGACGCCTGCAATGCCTCTCGTTGTCGGTCATGTGCAACAGATACTTCGCCTCATTTCCGTTCTGCTAGAGCATGAAGTGCTTGCGGGTTTGAGCTGGCCTCTGTTCGTCGCAGCCGTCGAACTCGAACCAATGGCAGATCTAGAATGGGCTGAGCGACAGGACTTACCTCACGAAGTACCAAACTATGCCCGACCCTTTGTTTTGTATGCATTGAACCGTCTACGCGGTTCGATTGCCAATATTACCAAGACGCGGTCTGTCATCGAAAGAGTGTGGCTTCTCAGAAGTCAACACGATCTGTCGGAGATACACCCCAGCCTTACTAAGGATCAGAATGACTGGGAGCGATATGTCAGCCCACTTTGCGGCGGCTTAAGTCTTGCTTGAGGACCGAATAATTCGTTGATTTGGAACATCAAGTCGAATCAACATCTCTCTACAGTACAAGCATAAAAAGCCTTGGGCGAAACCCAGGGATCAGCATATCCATCCAGATGTTGACGGTTACCTATCAGCTTTTGTTGTTATCTTTGGCGAAGGCTGGACCTTCTGTCAGTTGTTATGGTAGTCACTTGCGGCAGGAGGTATGTGCCACATCATGGGCTTGGCCTGGATTTTTGTACTGAACATGATAAGCATGGCCTATCTTTCCCCCAGATAACAGACTGGGTGGACGCGGTGAAGCTTATTAAACGTACAGCTGTAATTCCCATTGGCTTCGCTTGTACCTTCGGCTTCTCCGCATCAACGTCCATCTGTCGGAGGTACATTGATACTTCAACCGTTCATCTTAGCAATTACGCCTGAGCGAACAATGATCATACCGCATGAGGTCGAGGTCGCCAGTTGTGATAAAGAGCATACTGTCCTCACGAGCCCTGGCCTGCCCATTCAAGTCATCGCTGCCTATTCGTCTACCACAAAACACGCCATGTTAAACCTGACCTACGACCTTGACGTACCAGGCGCTGAACAGCTTGTTGATGGTACGATGTAGTTGTCCATCACGTCTAGAATATGCTGAAATGTTCAGTGAATCACGTTATCGACGCTGCTCATAAAGGCGATTCCGATATTGTTCTTATACCACGTCCGACCGAATGCGGATCAGACCCTCTTGCATGGTCTAGATGGAAGAAATGGTACCAGCTTTTCCTGCTAGCGCTATATGCGTGCGCGTTCTCGTTTGGAGAAAATACCCTTGGTGCGGCATAGACTACTGTCTCTGAGGATATCGGTGTATCGCTCGTCAACATGAATGGAGGCAGTGCACTCAACTACCTGCTCCTTAGTCTCTGTAACATCTGGTGGATCAGCACGGCAAACAAAGTTGGCCGACGCCCAGTGTTCCTGCTTACCACTGATATATTGTATGGCTGGCTTGTGGCAAGGCCGTGCTCATGGCACTGCTCAGTGGTTTTTATCAAACAGTTTGAATGGTGTCGGTACTAGTGCCTACCAAGCTGTTATCCAGCTGTAAGTATTTGATATGTTCTTCGCTCACGAGCGAGGTATGACGCTATCATTCTACTTGTTTGGCCAGCAGCCCGGCAGTATACTTGGCCTGATCACTGGCGGTATCATCTCGGACCAACTCGGCTGGAGGTGAGTAATGTTTCGGCACGACTATGCCACGTTGCTGATAATTGTATCACAGATGGACACAATACTGTGTTGCGATGATCGATGCAGGTGTCTTGGTGCTTCTGTTCTTCACTTTTGAGGAAACTTTGTTTCCCAGATTCATCTTCGAGAAAATACAAGGAGTCCTTCCTGTGACCGAAGGCCGATCAAGCCCTGCAGAGCTGAGCGGCGGCAATAGCGATCTCGACGAGAAGGACGTCAACCGCGTTGTTACTGTGCAATCAAACAGTCACGATATCCAGCAACGGGATCTTCCTCGCCGAACCTACGCGCAGGAGCTCAAGCTTTGGGTATACTTCCCAGAAAACAAGACAACATACATGCAATACTTTCGACGCCCATTTGCTCTATTCCTTTCCCCGAACGTCGTCATCTCTGGCTGCATATTTGCTCTTGGCTGTACAGGTAAGCTCAATTCGACCCGTCCTGATCTCCGCCCCTTCGACGTATAATAGCCGTTATTGTCTCGTTTTACACCATCTCCGAGATCCTGACCGAACCACCTTACGATTGGAGCACGTCTTCCACAGGCCTCGTCTTTCTTGCCGCCCTTATTGGTAACTTCGTGGGATGGTTGACCGGAGTTCTCTCCGACCAGATTGTCATCCGTTTGTCGCGAAGAAACGGTGGTGTGAAAGAGCCGGAGATGCGTCTGTGGACGTTGTGCTTCTCATTCGTCTATGCTGCTGTCGGGTACATGATGTATGGCTGGGGGGCTCAGACTGGAGCTCACTGGATGACGATCGCCTTCGGAGTCGGTTGTATGATCGCTCACCAAGTCTCGGCTTGCTCAATCGCTATAACATACGCTTTGGAATGCTTTCCAGGCATCGGAGGAGAACTGGTCGTCGTACTCGCTATTTGCTCTTCCTGCATAAATTTTGCTATAAGCTACAGCGTGCAGCCGTTCACCGAAGCAGCAGGTTATGGTTACACCTTCCTCTTTTTCGGCCCCTGCGTTCTATACTCTATGCTCTATGCTCTATGCTCTATGCTCTATGCTCTATGCTCTATGCTCTATGCTCTATGCTCTATGCTCTATGCTCTATGCTCTATGCTCT